AAATTGATTTTGCCATCTCCACAGGGGATCTGGTAGATCATGACGAACTGACTTTGACGAGTTTAAACCTGACCATCGAATCAGAAAAGTAGTGTTCAGAGATATCAAGAATAGATTGGGTAACGTTCCCGTATATTCCGTTATGGGAAATCACGATTCATATCCTTATAGAGAGCTGGCTCAAGAAAACCATGGATTCCTCAACTATTTCTCGTACAACGCAGAGCTCATGACTGATCTTTGGGAAGATTATGGCTGGCTTGGTCCTAAAGAGTCTCAATATGCGAGGAAGCACTACACTGTGTATTCTGTTGAAACGCTCAAGGGGTTGAAGATCATTTCTCTTAACTCTAACGTGTGGTACAAAAAAAACCATTACGCATATTGGAACGCTTCACAGCCCGACACTTTTGGCCAGATGCAGTTCTTGGTTGAGGAGCTGGTAGAAAGCAATGCCAAAGACCAAAGAGTATGGATAATTGCGCATATTCCGTACTTGCAAGAAGCCCTTCCTCTTCCTGCTAAGATGTTTGTAGAGGTTGTTGAGCGGTTTTCTCCTTACACCATCGCCAATATCTTTTTCGGCCACATCCACTAACGACCAATTCCAGATTTTAGTGTTCGGCTCCGGGAGCTGATGCCAAGACCGTGGAAAATGTTGTTGCTTCGGCATGGATCTCACAGGCAGTCACGCCATGGATCTACAACAATCCTTCGTGGAGGTATAACACCATCGACAACAAAACGTTCTCAGTTATGAACGCTTACAACTGCTACACTAAGCTCAACGAGACCTTCACAAACAACGGCAAAGAGCCCTTGTGGGAATTCGAATACTCATCTCGGGATGGTTACAACATTACTTGGCCTGAGACGGCTCCCTTGAACGCCGATTATTGGCGCAATGTGGCCAAAAAAAGATTAACGAACCTGTGGAATACAATCAGTTATACGAAAACTTCGCTATGAGATTCTAGCCATTTGTTCCTGATTGTAGTAAATCATCTTCTTGTGATCTGGATTTCTGTTACCGGACGTCATTTACCGTTGATGATTATGATAGTTGCGTTGCACAAGTGGCTAAACCATCTTCGTAGATTCCTTTTTGGGGCTCTGCTTGATTACCAACGAAGCTTAAGTTGGGACATTTAAAGAGACATTTTGGTACCATGATCGCAATCCCTGTGTGATTTCCGTGTTTACCCACTTCAGCGTCAGTCCGCAGCATTATATATGATGAGCAATGAGATCTAATTGTTTTTGAAATTTTTTAGGTAATACGATACCAGCTGAATTGTTAAATCATTTAGAGTAGTTGCTGACGAAGAACAATGATCGCTTGCTGCTTACCCTAAGTGGAAGAGACTCAAGAGTGCTTCATGGTAGCGGTCTATAGTCACCTCATCGTCGGACACCCTGCTATTCTATAAAAGCCATAAGATCTGTTTGTGAATTCCGTGAATCACTGAGAACCTGGCCCTTGAGACCAGGAAAGATACTCAAAATGCCTTCGCAAGAGCACTTTGCAATTGAACGGTTTATGGACGAATATGAGGAAAACGTCGATTTTAATGTTGCAGAAACGTGCTGCCACTCTTTGACTCTCAACGAGCTACATAAATTATGCGATGAGAAATTCGAGCTCAACTATGACAAACGGCTTACTTACGGCTCGATTTGTGGATCTCCCGAACTGCGTTCACTCATTGCCAAAATTCATTCGAGCCAAAATGTGCAACTGACCAAAGAAAACGTCTTGATCACAAACGGGGCCATCGCCGCAAACTTTTTAGTCAGCTATGCACTCGCAGGACCTGGCGATCATGTCATCTGTGTTGCCCCCACTTATCAGCAGCTCAGCAGTGTTCCACGCATGTTTGGCGCAGACGTCGACATTTTGTGTTTGAAGGAAGTAGATGGCTACCTACCACATATCGCGGAGTTGACAGCAATGATCAAACCGAACACGAAACTCATTGTGCTAAACAACCCAAATAATCCACTCGGCAGCGTGATTCCTACTGATCTTTGGAAAAATCGCGACTGTTGCTGATGACAGAAACATCACTGTGCTGTGCGACGAAGTTTATAGCCCTCTGTTCCACTCCTGCGGGCAGCCCAAATCCTTTGTTCAGCTGAGTGCCCGAGGCATCGTGACAGGCTCCATGTCCAAGGCATACTCGGCTGCTGGAGTTAGATTGGGCTGGATAGTTTCGCGGGATACCAAATTCTTGGAACAAGCCGCATCAAGGAGGGACTACAACACTATTTCTGTGTCAATGGTGGACGATGAAATTGCGCATTATATTCTCAGAAATCGTGACGCTGTTTTGAAGCGCAATTATACTCTGTGCACCGAAAATCTTGCTACTCTCAAAGATTTTGTCAAGTCGTCAAACGGAAAATTCTCCTTTGTGCATGAGCCGGAGGGAGGATCTGTGTGTTTGATACGAGTCTCTGGGATTGAAGACACAGAAGCATTTGCTCGCAGCTTGGCGACACACTACAAAGTACTGTTTGCACCGGTCGAGTGTTTTGGCATTCCAGGCACACTTCGGGTTGGATACGGGAACTCAAACCTCGAGCTCACAAAGGGTTTGGAGCTTTTGAATAAGGCGTACAATGGAGAGCTAGAAAAGTAGATTCTAACACAGATATGACTCAAGAGCAACCAGTGTGGTGCTTACGTGAACTTAGCGTACCAAAAATAGCAGATTTCGAACCAGCACAGAAGCTTTTGCAATCGTGCAACAATGCTATTCCACTCTCAGCCTCCAAAAGTGAAGAAAAGAAACTTACCGGCCATGATGTATTTTCATTCCTTGGAAGCATACTTATATATCTTGATTCGGTGGATATCATTTACTAATATTCCCAGCCAAGACTCCCAAAAAGCCAAAACATCATAGGAAATTATTGTGCAGTGACGTAGTCGGCTTCACGAATCAACTTCAAGGAAAAGAATCTGTCGCCGCTTTTTCATTAACGTTAACAATATATTCGTAGATGAAAGCCACTGTTGTGAGATGGGCAGACACTGGAATGTGTTCATCCACCGAATGGACAACTCCCCACATTTGAGGGGGCTGGATATTACCAAAGAATCTGTAAATGTTTTCTGTTAGATTCCAGTAATACTTTGTGTCGCTGTTTGCAGATATTGTGTTCGTAGTGATATAAAGTTCATTTTCTGGAGTGTGCTTGAAAACACCATTTTCGTAAACATTTTGAATGGTACCGGTAAAAAATATCCCAAACAGGAGAGCCCTCTGTTGGTGAATAAGGTGATGGGTTCAAACCTTTGAGGGCTTCAATTTTGATGTAGCCTAATTCTGTCGGAGCTATTTCTTCCCTGTCGCCAGCGAAAAACCCATATCCATATTTCTCGGCAATTTGCTTGGCTATTTTAGCATCTCTTTCGAATGTCTCATCCACAGAGGATTTTAAATCTATTCTGTGATTAACCAGAAACTTAGTCATTTCTGGAAGGGCGTTGGCTTTGATACCCCCATGGAATACATCTACTGCTTGAGAAGTTCTCATCAGCTCTCTCATTGAGGGAACCTGAGATGTAAACTCGATCATCTTCTTTCTTTGTTTGTCGTCGTAGGGAGCATCTAAGACAGCATCTCTGAACTCTGAAGGGAACTTGCTATCATGCTCAGCCACACAGGTCAAGTATCCATAGAACGCACTATCTAGACCCATGTCAAACAAGAAGGGGTTGTTCTCTAGTGTTAGAACAATATCTGATGCTACTCCAATTGTTGTGTGCTTTGGAGGAATCGAAGAATGTCCTCCAACACCACTCACTGTAAATTGGACATCGACGTATCCCTTCTCTTGTACTATCGGTGCAGCAATGAAGACGTTTTCGTCAATTTCTTGAACCATCGCGCCTTCATCGACTATGGAGTAGATTCCATTTTTACCGTAGCGTTCTTCAAAGAATGGAGCCAGAGTGCGAGCTCCTTGAAGACCTGCTGTTTCTTCATCGAATCCGAATGCAATAATGACTGTTCTCTCGGGAACAAAGCCGTCTTTCAATAGTTGTTCGACTGCCTCCAATTCTGCAATCAGCATTGTCTTACAGTCAAGCGCTCCTCTTCCCAACAGTGTCGGTCTCTTTATCGTAATGGCCTGAAAAGGGCGGGAACTTCCATTTTGAAATTGGTTTCTCTCTCGACTGGGACTACGTCCTGATGCGCTGTAAAAAGCATAGGTTTCAACAACGAATTTTTGCCTTCCCATGTGTATACAAGGTTAACTAGGTTAACCTTTTCAACTTTTAGGTGCCGGTAGGTCAGAGGAAAAGTCTCAGAAAGATAATCATGGAGTTTGAAGAATTCCTCATAGTACTCCAGGTCGTCATGTGGGCTTGGATTATCGTCATAAACCTCTGTTGGTATCTGAAGAGCGCCACTGAGTTTTTTGATAGATTGTTCCTTGAACTGAGGGTCTTCAAAAATAGCTCTTACAGAGTTGTCGAATGCCGGTGTAATTGCATCGATTTTTCCACAGTAGTTTGTTTCGCGGCGTACATAATTGTTTTTGGCCAAATGCGACATACTAACAGCTGCTCCAAAGCACAATGCAAGGATTACGCTGATAATGGTCCTCTTTTTCTTAAAAAAGGGCTCTTTGCGAGAAGAGACACCGGTAGATTTGAAGTCGTACGACATACTTCGAGTCAGTGATGTGATGGCTGCATAATCAACACGTATCGAAACATACAGCACTGCGCAACGGCTTTTTTATATGATTTCTCCGTGGCGTATAATCTATGTATCTTTCGCTGATGTTGTTCCAATTATGACTTAAAGCTGACTATCAGTTTTCAGCTCATCTGCTGGTGCGGACGAGAACAACTTTTTCGAAAATACTATAAAAATCAACTACTGCGGAGGAGAAAACACAAACTGCGGGCGAGAATCAATGAAGCTCTTTTCAATTTCTAAATGGCCAAAGTGTCCGACCTTGTTTGCCTATACGTTCGGATAGGGCTTTGGTAACTCAACATTGGAATCGACTCAATCTATCGAGAGTGGTCTGTCTAGGCGCTGACGTGTAAGCTTGATTATAAGCTCAAACAAGCAATAACGGTAACAATCAAGAGCATCTAATCATATCGACTTTATGGTGAGTCTGATCTTGAGAGTGCAATCCAAAGATTATTTGAAGAGCTGAGCATCGCCGTTCTTTCAGTTCTTGATTTGATTCACTTACACTCTTCCGAAGCCAAATTTCTTCTTAGATATCAAGATACCCAAGCTTGAAAGACTATCATGGACGATCAACACAAAGGAGCATTTTTCTTTCCACCAAATGCATCACTAATTTAATCGGAATCTTGATGATGCTTCACTAACCAGATTCTCCACTAAAATCGTTTCCTAACCAAGCACGAGAACTGTCTTTTGACTCAAACAATTTGGGGCAATCAACAGGGTTTAGTCATCATCACATCAAGAAACATCAAATTCGGGAAGCTTTAATAGATTCCAAAACATGGCTTCCCTCTCTTTACTACATAGCGGCTAACATTCCCAACGGGGCTCTGTCGAACTTCCAACTTATACTTTTCAAGAGTGATTTTGGGTATACAAGAAAGAATACATTGCTAGTCTCAGCTGGATTAGAAGCTGTTGAATGAGGTGGCTAGCCTTTACTTGGTGTTGCGTTTTATTATTGCTCTAAGAAGTAATGAAGTTTTTTAGAAAGCCGATTGATTTGGACGATAATCGCACTGATTATGACTTTCATTGGAGTGTGAATGTTGGCGTTAGCAAATGACTGCGAAAATGCAAAGCTTGCTGGAGTTAAACTCAACTACTTATCGCCGTTAGCTTTTATTTGTGTTCTTGCCAATATCTCCGCTAACACCCTTGGTTATACCGAAAAATAGACTGTTTTTTCGATAACTAACGGGAAGCTAAAATAGCGCTTGTTGCTTGTGGTGGCGCGTGCATTGTCATCATTGCTGATCTTTATGTCTTGAACGCACTGAAAACAAGCACAGAGACAAGCTCGTTTTGGAAAATCCTCCTCAATTTAGTTCAAAGACCATGGAGTTCGCAGATCTCAGAGATTGTGAGAATCCTTACTTTCGTTACACTTTTGTGACGAACTTTGAGCACGGCCAAACACATTTATTTCGAACATGAGCTGAGATGTTGATGTTGGGTTGGCCGACGATGTCTCTTCGAGTACTGCCTTTGCTGCACGACAAACACGCGAGGTTAATTGGATCGAATGTTCTCAAAGCGATCCTACGACACGATAGTGAAGGAGGTCACAGTTTGGAATTTTCAAAAGGTATGCAACGGTTGCTCCAGTAAGACGAAGGGGGCCAACACGTAGTGCTCGCATTATTTCATGGCGCACTTACTCTCATCATTTTTGCTCCTCCAATACGGTTAAGTTTTACATCTCATTCAAGAACATCTAGTCTGCGGGAACTACAAGATCTTGCGTCAATCTGCTAAAAATTTCCGCCGTGCTCAAACACTTGTCCCTCCCCGTTTGGATTTGGTTGACGCCCTGACCGCATAAGTGAAAGTTGACCAATGATGGGAACTTTGATCGCAGTAGCTTGAACTCACTGTACCTGTAGCCGTAAGGAGGCAGGTCTTTACCTTGACTAAGGCTAGCGAGTCTTTCAATAAATGGTGTTTGTAAAGTTCTTGCAGGAAGCCCCGAAGGAAATGGTGTCAGCGTGGTGGATATCTTATGGTGGGATTTTATGAGGTCCCTGTAAAACTTGCTGGACTTGGACTCCGCAGCGGCGAGAAAGGCGGTTCCTAACTGACAGGCCGAAGCACCTTGATCTAGGTAGAATTGAATGGCCCGGGAGTCCATGATCCCACCAGCTGGAATAAGAAACGCCTCGCTCCCCAATTTATTCTTGGCTTCTTGTAACCGCTTGAACAAACAAAGCGTAGAAAGACCCTCGTCTAAGTGGACTTCATTGCCGGGAAAGCAGCCTCTATGTCCTCCCGCCTCATAACCCTGACAGATGATACCGTCGACGCCCAACTTGAGGAGCTCTTCTCCCTCAAACTCACTAGTTGCTGTTACAAAGATGGCGATCCCGAGCTTTTTCAATTTCTGAATGGAACTCGAGGATGGGCATCCGAAGTGGAAGCTGACCACGCCCGGCGTGAACTCCGTCTCGAAAAAGGTCAATAGGGACAGGAAAATGTCCGAATTTTCTTGGGTTTCGATTGATTTAAAACTCACATTGCCGTTGTCGAACTTTAGTGGCGACTTCAAATCTTTGGTTTCCAAAACTTCGCAGTATAGGTTATTCCAGTTTTCTTTCTGTCTGACGGTAGGAATAGGGTATATTGGGTGACAGAAGAAGTTTAAGTTGGCCTTTTGAGGGTCTGCACCCGCTGTAGACAGAAAACTATTGACAGCTTTACGAATTGCAGATACCGCAGATGTATCTTGGAGGTCTACGTGAGATAAGGTTAAAGACCCTAAACCACCGCTTGCAGCAACCGCAGATGCCATCTCGGGCGTTGATACGCCAGCCATTGGAGCTTGAACGATAGGGTAGTTGAGCTTGAAGGTTTTCAAAAATCGGGTACATTCTCGAGACATTGCGAAGTCGGTTTGGAAACCTGTTGCGTCATCCTGTTCTGTGTGTGTAGATTTGGCTTTTGAATAATCTTTTTCTTACCACAACATTGGCCTGTTGGCCGAAATCAATAATTCGTTAATAAAGCTCTCAAAAGCATCGCCTCGGGAACAATTTGGTTTTAAAGCAAATAGGTTTGACGGCATATTTCCGATGGATCCGGGGAAGACTTGATTCGATATTGCCAGGCCTTTTTCTTTACTTTAGCGCCAGTTTCACGCACTGCTGGTCATAGATCACGTGTTTGGTGATAGCTGCGAGGAACTTGAAGAACAGTCCTTACCGCTCAGATGAACGCAGTGAAGCCGTTGGCACCAGTCGTCACACAGAGCAGTGACTTTATACCGACACTGAAATTTATAACCTTTACCAGTCTCCACTCTTAACGTTCTTTTTCTTTTATCACCCTCCTCGCCACTGACACCTCATTTATTTAGCACTAATCACAGTGTTTAAAGCTTAATTCATGCTATGTAGGCCACTCAATTGAAATCAAAATCTGATTACTATCCTACGGGCTATGCTCTCGCAGAGGATACTATGACATCGGTGCAGTTAATCACATCCAAGCTTTTTGCTTGTCGAGAGTGAAGTGGTGTTCACAAATTTAGGTATCCGAAATTGATCTTTCCCTTTCCAATATTCATGACTGTTCCACTATTTAACCGCAACTAATAGACCCTCGAAGTCAACCCCCATCTGTTGTCTGGACGCTTTCCTCTCACTGTTCGCTTTCAAACACTTTTTTCGAGACCAACAGGTTCATTTGAGTTTGCATCGTTGCTTAGACATGCAGTACCCTTGCATTGTACATGCTCTAGAAAGCCTGCCTGTACCCTTTATTCAAAGCCCTTACTCATACAAAATGTTTCCTCGCAAGTATTCTACTATCGCTCTCCGAATTCGTTGAGCACTCATTATTTGATATTAACCATAGAACAACAAAACACAACGTTCGAAAAATAGTATTTAAGGCCATGTCTAGAGGGTTGTAGCTAAATTTTCAGAGCCTATTACCAAGTAATCATTGTACCGTGAGACGAGGCTTACAGCCTTCTGTTCTCCTCTTGCGAGCAGCCCAAATCCTTAGTTCAACTGAGTGCCCGAGACATCCTGACAGCCTCCATGCTCAGGGCATACTCGGATGCTGGAGTCAAATAGGGCTGGACAGTCTCTCAGGACATTAAAGCTTGGAACAAACCGCATCAAGAAGGGATTACAACACCATTTAAGCCTTCATCGCATTATCGTCAACAAAAACCTTGAGTCCAATTTTCGACAGTTCCACGAAATTACAGCACGAGAAAAGTGACACATTTGACTGTTTACCTCTTCATTCACATATCTATGGTATTTTGCAAAACCTACGGCAAAGTGCTCTATATGATGTCGATGCCCTTGATTATGCTCTCGCTATGCAAGGGTCCATCTCTCGAGAGTTTACCTTATCGATTGTGGCTGCCGACGCTATATTGATAAGAAATCTTTTCCTCGAACGGCACTTGGCTAAACGATAGAGCAAAGGGTCCCAGAGAATCCATTTCGAAAGTATAAAGACCAGACGAAGATTGTTACCAAATTCTGAGCTGATTCATTCATATCGTGGATAACCACAGCCAAAATGAAATACGTTCTATCAACTGCTGCTGCTATTGCTGGCTTGGCCTCTAGCGCCATCGCAGAAGTGTTCATTGTCGATAACGATACACCAACGGCCTTGCAAGTCTTGCTCCCTCTTGCAGCAGGAAAACAGGTTTTGGGGATCACAACAAACTTGGGAGACTATGATACTGAAGCTGCCACCTACGAAGCTGCCATGGCTTTGTCTACCGGTAATCTAACCTCTTGTATACCAGTTTACAGAGGTGCTGAACAACCATTGGTTTTTGACAATAACACCTACCACTTGTGGCAAGACCTATATGGTGAAATCGTGTGGCAAGGTGCATGGGGCACGGACTACGAGAGCCCAGTGCCCGCCAACGCCTCGTTCGAGTACAACAAAACCGTAGGCGCACCACAATGGATCATGGACACAGTCAAGAACTCAGAGGAGAACGTAACAATCGTAGCCGCAGGAACCATGACTAACTTGGCACTAGCACTAGCACAGTGGCCCGGCATGGCAGAAAAGGTAAAACTCGTTATCATGGGTGGGTTTGTCGACGCCCAAATCGCACAGGTCACTGGTGGCGATCTCATCAACGACCTGTACAGTGATTTCAACCTGATGATCGACCCCGAAGCGGCTCAGACGGCATTGACCGCGCCATGGAAGGAACTGGTCATTGTTGGCAACATCAGTTCTCAAGTTTTCCCCACCCAAGACCTTTTCAACGAGCTGATTGCCCAGTCCGGTGGTCTTACTGCCATCAAAAACACTGCGGCTCTGGGATACGTACAGGAAACAGTCGGTAACGGTACTGTGCCATCTTTCAACCTCCCCTACTGGGACGAGGTGGCCTCTGCCATTGCAACAAGCCCCGAAATCGTTACTGGGTCCTACGAAGCCTACGTCTCGGTGGACACTACATTCTCTTCTCCCTTCTACGGTAGTTTGAGAATGTACCCATCCAATCTACGTGCTAAGAAGGGTGTTAGAACAGGAAAAGCTACGATGATCACTTCCGTGGACGTCGATAAGTTCAATAGTATGATAGTGGATGCTCTGGTGAGAGACTGGACCAACTTCTGCAAGACCGGTGAGGCTTCTAGTCTGATCGATATGTAGTACTATTTAGAAGAAATGATAAAGTAGAGATCACTAGCACAACACTTGATACTTTCAAATTCACTGACAAACAACTTTCTTAAGATAGAACTCCTGGGAATTTGTGAACAGGATTGTAATACTGCCTTCAGGCTTTACTTTGCAAAACTATCTTTCGCATCTTAAAGGGTATCAGTATAAACACAGATAAGCATACTTTTATCTTTCTTGATAGTATCAAGTGAAAATACGATCAACGACGGACAATACCTAAATGAGTGGAAGAATACGAAAGATCGCTGTCAGTGGTCAATTTTGACTCTCTTCATCCGAAACTAACAGAATGGAGCAAGTTGTTCCCGTCAAAAATAATAGTCTCTCTCAACTAAGTCAAGTGCTTCTCCAATATCCAATATAGTAAGCACGAGTACAAAATCGACCTCTGGTGATGGTAGAGTCCATAAAACTCGGACAAGCAGCAAGCACCAAATGGCAGCTTGCTGTTTCTGCAAGAAGAGGCGCAAAAAATGCGACGTAGTTTATCCGTCTTGTGGATCGTGTAAATCGAACAAGATTCCTTGCACTGTTATTGTTATTCCCACAGGCAGAGAGGTGCCCCGGAAGTATATTGAAATTCTCGAAAACAAGATCAAGGTATTGGAAAAAGAGCTGGAAGAAAATGGCTCGAGATATGTAGACCGTTCTGAAAGTCAAGATGCCCGACGGGAGAACGAGGAATCGGAGACCACGAAAGATAACGGGCTTCCATTAGAAGTTGGATACATTACTCTGGCAGCTGCAGGCGAGCCAAGATACATCGGTCTGAGCAGTGCATACTCCATAACGAAAGCTATTCATAGTACAAAAAATTACTACGAGCAGCAAAAGGGATATAATGAATCTAACGACCTAGCTAATATCAGAAATGCCAGCGTTCAGCCTTCGATAGTAGACGTTGCCTTTCGACAGCCACGTCGAACCGATGGATAAAGGCTCCTCAAAGCGTACCATCATGGAGTGCAGTTTCAATACCCCTTCCTCGATTGGGACTGGATTTTGACATGTTTCGAGAAGGTTATACAGGAAGATACTGAAGATGATGAGCTGCTCTTCTTCATTTACATGATGTTTGCCATTGGAAGTCAGTTATCAGAGTCTGCTGGAGGAGCTCGATCGGATCGTATCACCCGTGCTTACTACGACAAAGCATTTGAGCATATTGCACCGGTTGTCGAGGGCACTAACATTCGCGCTGTGCAAGCGTACCTGCTTCTTAGCGTTTTCTCGCAAAAGATGCCGTATGGAAGCTCTATCTGGCAAACAACGGGGTTGGCACTCAGAACCGCAGTGGCTTTGGGACTACACATGAAACCTTATCCAGGCAGAAAAAATGGGATCTAAAACGAAGCTTGACTGTGACCAGGATTTGAAGTCGCGCATTTTCTGGTGTGCATGTAGCATGGAGAGAATCAATGGCCTTGTTCTAAGTCGGCCTTTTGGAATTGCAGATGCAGAGATCGACGCGCCATTTCCGAAATCGGACCAATATGCAGTCTCGATTTATGTATTCAAATTCAGAATTCTGCAATCCGGTATATGCTCGTTTGTTTACAAGCCCAGGCCCTCGCCAACTAGCTCAGAAGAAATGAACGCTACGAGACACCGGATATAGCTGGAGCTGAACGATTGGAAATCTACATTTCCGTACAAAAGAGACGCAGAAACGACGTGGGAAACCAAAAATTGGTGCACAATATCATATCACAATTCCGTGCTTCTGCTTCCAAGCCCTGTGGTCCTAGAGGTGGCAAGGTTGAAGAAGAATACCCTGCCCGCAACAATTGAATGGTTTTCTGTCTTTGCGCTGTCAGCATCTGCCATCTGTCTCAATTACAAGCATTTGCATGCAAAGCGAAAACTAAGCTACACATGGCTAGCCATTCAATGCGTGTTCGTGGCTGGGGTCACCTTCCTATACTGGATTTGGTTGGATTCCTCGCTAAACTTTCTACAGTGGGCAAGGAAAAGCATTATTTATGACGCAGTGTCTGCGTGCTCCAATATACTTTATGTCCTGGCAGAACGCTGGGAAGGCGCTCAGATGTTTAGAAATACCTTTGAGCGCTTGTCTAAAGCAGTGTTGGCTCACTTTGAGGGCACCGAAACCGTCAGTGAGGGACAACCTACATCTACAAATCGAGGAAATACTAGTACCGTGACTGAAATGCAGAAAGCGACACTGCCCAATTATCACGAAACCATGTTCTTTGAAGGTGATTCGCATCACTTTTCCAAGAGCGATGGCCACTCTTCCACCGATGGCATATCCTTCACTATTCCTCAAAGTATGTCTAGTGATTCCTCACCGATGGTACCAAATGAGTTGGGGCTGGAATTTTCTGAAACAGAGCAAATTTACGACACGGTGTGGGACTTTTTGAGCAGCACGGCCGACACATTCATTTAAGACATGTTCTGCGATTTAGAAAGAGCTTTTGATAAATGTTAAGGATCAACTTGACTTTCGTATTCTAAATTTCATATAGCTGTCTTGGTCTATAGTTGTCATTCTGCTAATTTTCGGAAAGATCCCTCTTGCATCTCTATGCCATTGTTCTCATTGTTGTCTTTGATACCGATTGTCGAAAATATACGTTTCGGAAGTATACGCTTATCAGTCAACCGAATTGGGATTCTGGCAATAATTAATCAATAGACTGTGATAAGCACACCATCACCGACAATCAAGAGCATCGGCGAATCTACCTAATGATACAACACATACTGAAGGAAGACATGGAACATATAAAGACTGGCACCAGGTCGATTGAATCATGTCATCTCTTCCCTTTATGGTCCCTATCATCACTTCCGTCCTCTCTCTGGAAGGTGAACTCATCGAAGTAAGTGAGAGAGATGCGGATAAAGCTTTGCACTACGCGCTGGACACGCAGGGCATCGAGCTGTACCCTGAAATTGAACGGGCATTGATTCGGAAAATTTATTGGTGCATTCTACCGATTGTCGCGGCACTTATGTCCTGTCAACTTATGGACAAAACCACTAATTCTTACGCGTCTAGTACGAAAACAAGATGCTGCTGCCTCCACCGATTACCTACTACTTTCAACGGTCTTGACGGGTCCCTAACTTAATGATTTTATTTGATAGAAGGCGCCATTTTTAGCTGATTTACGCGGCAGAAAGCTGCACGTCCAGGGAACGCAGCGCAGGTCTTAATTCTGTTCGAGGTTTGATTATAAAGTAACAACTTTCACAAGCGGTTCGTGCTGAGAGAATTTATGATTGAATGAAAACGCCTCTTTAAGCCATCGAGTGAGCAATTTGAGTTCCTGTTGACGGGTAGGGGGGGGGGGGGTGGATTGTAACTAATTTTCTCAACGACAGTTAGCTAATTTGTCGCTCGAGCACCAGTCGTCTGTCACTTGGTCGCGTGACGGAGGAGTATTCATTTACTGACGCCATTGAAGGCTAGTTCTGATACAAGCCAAGAAAAGAGATACTCAAAGGCTCTGCTTCGGTTCCCAGTGCATTCATCACTATCCGCATTCAATTCTGTAAGAAAGCTATAATAACAACAACAGATTGCAAGAATAGACCTTTAGAGAAGGTTACACTTAGCGACGCAATTAGCCAATTAAATCAAAAGTGAGCTTGTTGATTCTGACCCAGTACATTCTTATGTACCCTAACACATTGAAGCTAATACGCTACTACGCAATTAACCACGTAGAAAAATATCTGTAAATCTAAATGCGATACTTTTTTATGAAAGAAATCGGGGCTCTTGAATTATTTAGGCTAAACGCGCCCCACACCTATTGCAAAAAAGCCACCAGTCTTGTAAAGTTTGGTATTATTTGGCAAGAATGCAATAGTTCTATTAATCGATCGACTTCTGTACATCAAGTATACATTACGAAGTGGGCTGCTACAATCATCAGGCCGCATCCGTTCACATTATAGTACAGTTTCCGCCCCCGCCACCCCTAGCTCCTCCAGGTCGAGCAGCATGCTCCCTCATCACTTGCTGTCGCCTTTGAATTATAGCTGTACTTGATGGATTCTCGTGACCCGTTTGCGATGCGTATTTTGCTCTTTGTGACACATCTACATGAACAAGTCTATAGGAAGAACCACCGCCTCTAACGGACCCACCTTTGTGAGAGATTTCTTCAAGAATCACGGTGTTATATGTGTTTCTTGGCAGTGAGCTGATGGGCACCCACTTTCCACCTGGTTTCAGCGTCGATCCTCCACCACCTCGTACTGACTTTGGTATTGGACTTGACGAGCTTTTGTTACTTTTACTCGAGCTATTTGTTTTTTTGGAGGTGATATCTTTTGCTGAAGTTCCTGTTAAAGTTGAAGTACTGTATCGAAGGCCACCACTTGAAGTTGTATAATTATAATTACTCCGTTGTGATGAGATGCCAGAACGCAACGAGACTGGTTCGAAAGATAAATTAGACTCGCTTCTAGAATATGATGCCCCAGGACTATGCATTGGCTCCATTTCGAGAATAGAAGGAGCCTCCAAAGCTATGTCGAAAGATAATGTTTCCGTAATGACTGGGTCGATTCCAAACTGCAACATAGTGTTTGACAAATAGAGGTACACTCTTAGCCAAATATCTTCCAGCTCTCTGGTCATGTCGAAGCCGAAACGATCGCGAAGGGTTTTCACGAATCCCGCGCCTGCTATGCGGAAGTGCTCAGCATAAACGCCAAGGATTCGTGAATGGCGCTTTCCAAGCCCACATAGATATTCGTCTAGCACCGAAAGGTCTTCTAGGTTATTGACAGCAGCCATGAGGACCCCCGTTACAGCAGAAGCTGCATGTTTGAGGGTCGGGAATGCGTCGTGAAGTTCGGGAGCCAATTCTAATATATTCGCAAGAAATTGAGTTCCAAATAGAAAACTAGAGCAAGTGTCATTGCCTGCAATGGCGGTATTGCTGCCTTCGGTGCGAAAGAATTGTGGATTTTGTGTGGGGTGCGATGCGCCGTTTTTGCGCTTTTTCAGTGATTTGTTGATGAAAGTTTCGTACTTCTCGTTCGAGCACTCATTGTCGAGCAAGATCGACCACGACAATCTTGCGAGCTCGATTTCGCGTGGTTTGAGCGTCAAGCTCATCTTGTAGCGTTTGCCGAAAGAAACAGCGTGCGAATTGAAGTCATTCGTAACAGTGCTTTGCTGTTCTTGTTCAGGCCCGTTGTGACCCAGTTCGCCGTCTTTGGAGGCCATAGGCGAGATGTCCTCGTTGTAAGCGTCCAAAAAGGACTTTGGGTACGATGCAACACTGCAAAAAATGGATTCTCTTGGCGATCTACTTGAAGACATGTTTTCCATGTTGGGGCTGGAAGTTACATTACCATGCAGCGCTGTGAGTGTCGGAACTGAACTTAGTAGAGCATTAGTGTCCTTCGGGCCAACCAGCGGCGACATTAGAAAAATTGGTAGTTTGCAGTTTCGATCGTGGGTCACGTACCCACTAGCATGGGAAGGTAAGTGCTTATTGATGCGAGCGAGAGTTCATCGCAATCTCCATCCCGTGTGCCGAGTTGCCTGCTATTTAGAATATATATCGTTCGAGAAATGAACGTCAAATTAAAGTGTAATTGTGTTGATGCAAGAGAAGATTGAATACGATGTGCCGCAAGTGTCAATAGATGTTTCTTCGCCGATAAGATAGTGTGAGATTGTGTGCGAAGAGGTTCGAGCATCTACAAACGAGTTAATCAGAAAGAGACGGTATGGGAACGGTTCAAATTTGAACGTCTGGAAAAAAAATACCTTTGATAAGGTGATTTTTTTCCAGTTATGGTAAAAAGAGCTGTGTAAAACGGCTTGTCGGTAGGGGATTAGCAGACGACAAACGGTTGAAGTGCTTGGTAACGGCTAGATTTTGAGAGCTGACCGCAGAGTCCGTAAGCGCATTCGAGTCCAGACATCTTGCCACGGCATGAAAAGTGAAAGCGAGAAGAGATAGAGAGAGAGAGAGAGAGAGGGGGGGAACAGGAATAAAGATCTTGGCGGGAAAATCATGACGTGTGTGGCATTGCATTAGATGGGCTCTAACATGCATTCGTATATAGTGGTGTATGCGCTTCTTAGTCCAACAGGAATCCCAAGGTTAGCGTGAGTCTTTGAGTAGCGCCAAAGATGAGCATCGGGCTTCTTTGACCTGGACTGTGTCTGTGCGATCAAAACACTATCGTGCTCCGCATGAGTCCGCGTTCGAGCATAGCCACACACGTGCGCGAAACATCACATGCGCAACGTGTATCACACGTGACGTGGGCCCTCCTTTCCTTGATCACTGTGAACGAGCAAGAGCGCGTTACATCCTCCTCCTCCTCTCCCTACCCCTTTTAGCGTCCCCCTCACCCCCCACCTCTTCCAACCGTTTGAGCGTTCCGTTGCGCCGAAATCCGGTGGAAACACACAAAAACTCACTTTAATGACCGACAGACACCGTTACAACTCAGCCCCGGTCACAAAAACACAAAAACACAAAAACACAAAAACACAAAACATCCGTGTGATGACCTATGGGCAATTTTTCCGGCCAGATTTCGGAACATTAGTCGAATCTCAGCGTCATTGGAGAAATGATGTACAAACGCGGGGTTTGGTCCGGGTGTTGTTATAGCAACGAAACCATAAAATCCGACCCCAGATGGGCCCTTTATGTACCCCACAAAAATACATGAAGGATTTTCCGAGAATCTTCTACGGTGGTTTCTGAGCAAAAGACCCTGTTACCGGTTACTTTATTCATTGTGGCCCCAACTTTTTACCCCAGAGGCACGCTGGAAAATACTAGCAGGATATCGAACAAACATAACCATCTCAGCCAACACCACCACGACAACAAAAACACGTCTCTGCCCACCCAGTTGCCAACAAACAAACTGACAAGCCTCAAACCTCGGCAGGGAGGAAGGGGGCGGTTGTGATGAACGAAAAATGTGAACAAAAGTTCCCTCTTGCCGGAACCCGCGTTTGTTGCAGTCAGCAAGCGGAGTGTAGCCGTGCTGTTCGACGACGGTGCGGGGGGGTCTTTAGACCTGACGCGTTTGTTCGAATTCAAACTATATAAGAAACAGTCGTTTTCGCTATCCCTGGTCTGACAGATGAAATATTATTGTTATGAGATCTTCTTTTTCTCACCAGAAGCTTACCATCGCAGAGTTCATTGATCTCGACCAACAACAGCATTCATAAACACAGCTCTTTCACTCTCCTCTCCCAATAGAGCTACTCTTTCCGCAATAGGAAAACAGCCTAAAACAGACAGAGAGACGGACAGACACACGCATCGGGATTACGTAAGATCACTTCCCCCTCATCCGCCAGTCCCTAAAACAAAACAAAACTAAACAAAACAAAGCAAAACAGCCGCCAAGCTCAACAACAATGGGTATCCTGCAAACGCTCTTCAAGGCCGAAGACAACATTGTCGGCTCCAAATTCCGGGCCATCGCCATCGGCCTCTTCGTGGCCTTTGGTGGTGTCCTGTTCGGCTACGACACCGGTACCATTTCCGGGATTCTCGCCATGCAGTACGTGAAGGACAACTTCACCGACCGTGGCCACTTCACCGCAGGCGAAACGTCGCTGATCACCTCGATCCTGTCCGCAGGCACTTTCTGCGGCGCGATCTTCGCGCCGCTCGTCTCCGACACCTTGGGACGTAGACTCGGGCTGTTGATATCCACGGTGATCTTCACCGTGGGCGTGATTCTACAGGTGGCGGCATCGGAGCAGAATCTGCTAATCGTGGGCAGAGTCATAGCCGGTCTCGGGGTCGGTGTGTTGTCCGCCATCGTGCCTCTATACCAGTCGGAAGCTGCCCCCAAGTGGATTCGTGGTGCCGTGGTCTCCTGCTACCAATGGGCCATCACCATTGGACTTCTACTCGCAGCGTGTGTCAACCAGGGCACACATGCACGCGACGACAGCGGGTCTTACAGAATCCCCATCGCAATCCAATTCCTATGGGCCATCATCATGTTTGGCGGTATGATCGTTCTCCCAGAATCACCTCGTTTCTACGTCAAGACGGGCAAGCTGCCACAAGCTGCGGATTCTCTGTCTAGATTAAGAGGCCTGCCCAGGGACGATAAGTACGTCGAGGCCGAGTTGGAAGAAATTGTCGCCAATTACGAGTACGAAAGATCGTTCGGCTCCACAACCATCTGGGACTGTTTCAGACCCGCCAACCACCAGCTCAAGCGTATCCTCACGGGTATCGCCATCCAAGCATTGCAACAACTCACAGGTATCAATTTCATCTTCTACTACGGAACCCAGTTTTTCCAAAATTCCGGTATTAAGAACCCCTTCATCACTCAGTTGATCATGAATATCGTCAACGTCGTCATGACCATCCCGGGAATTGCGTTAATCGAAATTGCTGGAAGAAGAAACCTACTGTTGGCCGGCGCCGTCGGTATGTGTGTCAGTGAGTTCATCGTCGCCGCCGTCGGTACCGCTCTACCTGACAGTAACTCGGCCAACAAAACTTTGATTGCTTTCTCGTGTACTTTCATTGCCTCGTTCGCAGCTACCTGGGGTCCACTTGCCTGGGTTGTGGTTGGTGAAATTTACCCTCTAAGAGTTCGTGGTAAGTCCGTGGCACTGTGTGCCGCCTCCAACTGGCTATTCAATTTCGCGATCGCCTACGCCACGCCCTACTTGGTTGATGAGGACCGTGCCAACCTACAGTCCAAGGTCTTTTTCATCTGGGGTGGTTGCACTTTCCTATGTTTCCTCTTTGTCTACCTGTTCGTTTACGAAACCAAAGGTCTCACTCTGGAACAAATCGACGAACTATACGACACCTGTCCGAGCGCACGCCAATCCAAACACTTTGTTCCATCTCAAGGATTTGCGCACGATTCTCCCGATGCCGAAAAGGCCGTGGTGGAAGCAGTCGAAAAAGTCTAATGCCCGCACCCCAATTGCTGTAGTTGGGGACTTTTTTGTATGTTTCCGTCCCCTGTATACCGGGGGTCTATGCGTTGAACCACATCCATTGTGGCATGATGTTATGAAGCGCAGTGAATAATTGAGTCTCTTTGAGTCTTAGAGAAACCGTTTTTTGTATTTATAATTAAAAATGCTAATGATTTTACTACTGTCGTCCTAGCTCATTTCATCGTTACCGGAAGGAAGTGAAAATTTGCAAACGGCAAGAATTGATGCAGGTTTGTGTTAATACTAGTCTTTAGCTAATAGTAAATTCATGTACATTTCTTGGTAGATGCTCAAAGTCCGGCTGGCAGCTGGTATATGCCTAGCAGCTCTGATCACGTGACCAATATGTATATAAATTGTGTTTCAGAAGCTCAACTCCCCTCAGGGCACAGGAGTGATCCAAAACCTGCTACAGGCAAACGGCCGATAAAGGAGGGGCAGAGGAGTTCTATAAATCTTTCGCGCTTAAGGACGGTGACGGGATACATCACTTCCTTGTGAGTGGTATAAAGAACCGTACGGACTTTTTTTAGGCAAAGCAAAAGATGGCATCTTGGTTTACGCACAACTTGCAGAGACGATTACTGCTGTACCTTCTCCAGAAGGTGTCCCTTTTTTCCCAAATTGACATAGCTGCCCTGGACGTTTCACTCGGTTCAAGCTCGCACTTCACATTTCACGATCTTGACCTAGACGTTGATAGTATCGAAATCCCTGATGTGACCATTCGAAGCGGATTTTTGAAGCAGCTGGAACTGCAACTCACTGTCAGCGGTGGTCTTAGTGTTGAGGGCTCTGGAGTTGCCTTCGTAGTGAAGCCAAATCTATCCAAAGCGCTCGACGCCCAGGCATCAAGCTTTTCCCTTACAAAAACCGTTTATGATTTGACAAGCTCGGTAATGCAGCTTTATGAGGGCAAGGATGGCTTGCTGGACGAAGATTCCATTACTGACGATAACACTAGTGAGACTGATAGCAGAGGCAACGAGTCTGACTCTCAAAGTGCCCCTACAATGCTTCAAGCAATGCGCAACAAAGCGCTAGACTTGATTTTATCAAAGCTCTCAATGACACTGCGAGACATCAGCGTGAAATTTTTATTCCCGGAGGACAATATCATAGAGCTGACGATAGGAGAGATTATTTGCATATCCGCTGATGAAACACGACAAATCAACATTGGGCACTTAAGTGTACGGCATTTCAAAAAACCTAGAAAGGGGGAAGAAAATGGCTCTATGTCCAAGGCAGAACCTTCAATGTCAGAATCTTTGGTGTACTCTAAACTAGAGGCTACTTCCATTTACATGAGTGCAATTCAGAGCTTACAAGAGGTAGGGAAACCCGATTTACCAGTTGCAGATCAGATACAAGGCTCTGATCTCCTTACCATCGACGAAGTTACAATCTCATTCAAAGGTTTTACATCGGTTGATGACATTGCCATGAGGGAAGCTGCGATTGGCTTCGAAAACTGCTCGATTTATCTTCACCGTTTACTAGAACTGAAGGACAAGGTCATTATTCCCCTGATAAATCTACTGATGAGTCAACCCAAGAAATCGACAAGTAAAAGTGATTCAAAAACTCCACAGCATCTTTACGGATATAAGCGATTCCGAGAGGAACAAAATCTTCATGACGATCAGCAGTTCTCTACTCTCAGAGGCACGATGCTTATGATACATCTGTCAGATGCGCTAAACCTAACTATAAACGGTATGTCAACGAGTCTGGATGAGCGCCGGGTGATACAATTTTCTCTGGAAGGAATTTATCTCTCGTGCGATGAATCCGTACTTTTCGAGGTAGACCACAGCATCGATTTGCCAATAATACAGGCTTCCTATGACACTACTGAAGAGTGTATCGCTGTAAAAATAAATGGAGACATAATTTTGGACCTCGCAGCTGAGTCTGCGTGTGAATTATTCAGGACTTTTTTATCTCTCAAGAGGTCAATAGATGTCTTGCGGCAGAACCTTCCAAAACCTGCAAAAAAGACAGGCGACGTCACAAGGCACCCTGCATTTCAAGTAGACGGAGCGCTACTCAAAGCGAGTCTTCGCTTTGCTAGTTTTTCGCTTATCCTATCCGCGAGCAAGTACTCTGTTTCTCTTCCATCAACTTTGTTTTCGTGCGATACAGTCCTGCTGGTAATGGAGCAATCAAATGAAATGATGGACTTGATGAAACTATCACGCATTGGTGTCAAATGCTTCCCAGGCCCAGCTCAACGTAGTGCTTATAATCATAGCTTTGAGGAAGTGATGATCTCCTTCAAATGCAATGCTTCGGTGAGAGAAGTGAAATTATACGCAACAGCTGAAACCCTCAAAATAATCTCCAAAGAGGTAGAAGACTTTCGTGCCAAAGTCTCGTTGGTATCTGCAGATTATGGCTTAGGGAAGACTATCCGAGTAAAGTCTCAAAGACATATGAGGAGAAGTGTCAAAATCATGGGATCTTCATCGTTCATCAATAAGCCAAGTTCTGCGGTGAAGTTTTTGCTCGAGATAGGCGCTATTGAGGGGTGTTTGGACAGTATTCTACAAGCATCATTTGGTAAATTGGAAGCATCTATGAACGATTGCTTGGTTTACTTTAACGACGACCAAACATTTACTGGATACGCCAAAAGATTCAATGTTAAAAGGGCGGCTGAGGGTAAAAGTGAGATGATCATGAATACTGATGCCCAAGAAAAATGCCCGATTCCAGTGTTGACATTTCACAGGAAGTTGACTGGTAAAATGTGTTGTGCACTGAGGAAAATTGGTTTCTATTATTTTGCCAGATGGCTTGATTTTGTGCAGCAGCCTCCAGAATCAAACAGCAGGCCGCCGAATTGCCCGGCAAAAATTGCTGATAATTATGCATCTGTCTTGGAGATCAAGCTGATCGAATGTGCAGTACACTTAAATCCCTACAGGCTAAAAGCTCGAATGCTTTTTATTATAGGGAAATGTGCTATGGAGCTGACCATACCAAATATGAATATGAAAGGTGTTTTCAGAAATACTTCAATTCTTCTGATTGATGATGTAGATAATTTCAAGCCAAGGCCTAGTCCTCAAGAGAGCATACATCTGACGTCTTATTACACAGATCGCGGATTTGCGAACGTTGGGAAGCTTGATAAATGTCAGTTTAGCACTCGGAAACTTGACGAGAGCTTGAAAATTACGGTAGATATGGGCACTGTGTCCCTTTCGTTGTGTGCCGACTCCATGCAAACTCTCACCCAGGTTTCAGTTGATTTGGGGATACCTGTAAGTTTCCCGGACGCGGAGAAGTATAGAACAAAACCCTCGCATGTGGAAGTCTTTGACGGCGTAGATGAGGACTATTTTACGGAGAGAAAGCTCCAATTAGATCCTTCAGCAAGAAATGTGGGTGTGGTACAATCGATGGATGACTTCGTTGATCCTTTCTTGAACGACATAAGAGATTCGGGAAATTTCATAGATGTCAGCGCTGCCTCTTCAGCCGCTGACGAAATGGTATCGATCACCGGGGCTCAAGACAACTACTTTTCGAGGAAAAGCCAGCCTACTAACTCTAAGAGCTCAAACGATGTCTCCAAAATAAGCGTAATATTGAGTCTTACTTTAGAGCGAGCTACCTTAAAGCTTTATGACGGCTTCGACTGGACATATACTCGAAAGTCGATTTCGGACTTGATCAATCAAGTTGAAACAGCGCTGCAACATCAAAGTCCTTCACGTTCCGAAACTGTCAAGGCTTCTGTTTTTGACTCCATATATTTGTTTGCGGGGGCCGACGTTGAACCTGGCATGTTGAGACAGCAAATCAACAAAGATTTACAAACTGAGGCCAGCATTTCGATTAACTCGTCCAAAAAATTGAGGCTTCGACCTTCGACAAGCTACAAATTAAGAGTGGATGCCTCTGGTATTAAAACTAACGTTTTACGTTATAACGTTGACAATCCCACAGAGTCCACCTCAGATGTGTCCGCTGATATTCTCAACGACATAACATTATCCGTGGAAGACTTCGAAATTATCGATAATATTCCGACCTCAACATGGAACAAAGTGGCTACTTATTGGAAGAGTGAGCCCCGCCCTAAAGGGTCGGATATGATATCAGTATGGCTTAAAACCGTTAAGCCCATTGATTTCTTAGCCGCTACGGAGCTCATTTTAAAGGTCAAAATTTTACCCTTGCGCTTGCATATTGACCAGGACGCGTTGGACTTTCTCGTGCGATTTTTCGAGTTCAAGGATTCTCGCTTCGATCTTATTGACGAATATCCTGACTTCGTCTACATTCAGAAACTAGAGGTAGAGTCAGTGAAGATCAAGATGGACTATAAACCAAAAAGTGTTGATTACTCGGTTTTGAAATCAGGTCATAAGAGCGAGTTCATGAATTTCTTTATCTTAGAGGGATCTGAATTACAGTTGAGACATTTGATCGTTTATGGGGTGAATGGCTTTCCGGAGCTGAACAAGATCTTGAATGGAATATGGGTACCTGATATTACCAGTCGTCAATTGAAAGGCATTTTGGGTGGTGTTGCCCCCATGAAAACTATGGTCACTTTGGGGACAGGTATAAAGGCATTAGTGTCAACACCTATCAAAGAGTACAAGAGGGACCAGAACTTGGGTAGGGGCCTGCAAAAGGGCACCCAGGTATTTATTAGAATCACTGCAGGCGAGTTTGTACGTCTTGGTGTAAAACTTGCGTCTGGCACGCAAGCAATGCTGGAGAACGTGGAGGAGGTCATGGGTGGTGAGGGCGCTCAAGCTCGAAACTACAAACTCAAAGATGTCGACTTTGAGGTCATATCTGAAAAAACTTTCAAAAAGTACGAAAAGCTATTAGGAGGCCGTAATCCTAAAGACTACAACCAAGAACCTGAGGCCCTCTTAGTTGAGCCAGGTGCCACAGAACGAGACGCTCCAAGAATTTTTAGTCTTTATGCTGATCAACCGGCCTCGCTAAAACAGGGCCTGAAAGAAGCCCAAGGATCTTTCGGCAAAAATGTCACACTGGCTTACGAGGCAGTGCTTAAAGCACAGCACGACATCAAAGAGAACAGTAATGCTCAAGAAAGAGCCTCGACCGTAGCCCGTGTGATTCCTGTCGCTCTTCTACGGCCGATCATAGGTGCCACAGAGGCGCTATCAAAAGCCTTGCAAGGTGTATCAAATGAAATCAATGAAGAGCAGATTTCTATGCTCAAGGATAAGTATAAATCTCGAAACTAGGTAGGCTCGTCTTCCAATTTTGTTGCAGTTTCTTCTTTATAGCACTACATGTTAATCGAACACCCACTTGGAGAGCGTTAGCTTATCATTCTGCACGCCTTTGTTTCGTTGTTATTTGAAAACACCAAAATTCAATCGCCAAAAAGACCATCAACAGCATCGATTCAGACTAACAACTAAGAGCCTCAGGCCTATTGACACTGACTAGAAGTCAAAAAAAAACCTGTTATCGCGGTTTCGAGCTAGTACGTTGGGCTCAAATTCAGGTCAAACTTCTCGACCAAACCGGATTTTGCTGTAACAAGAAAATTCAAGTTGTCGGGAATCTGAGATGGACACATTGGCCCAACCGCATAGGGTGGAGACATCTTCTATACGAAACAATGGTTTATCAGAAAACGCAAGAGCTAACGAAGAAAAACTGGCGAGACCTTCGTTGGGTCCGGCGAAGCACAGCTCGCGCAGTCCAAAGGTCTGCGCGCGTTGTAACGAAGTTATAATACGCGGGTCACTCAAAGCTCTTGGGCGGTACTATCACGAAAACTGTTTTGTGTGTTATGATTGTGGCAAAGTATGCAAACCCAAGTATTTCCCGTTTGAGGACCCCGAAACAAAACAACTTATACCACTTTGCCAGCAAGATTATTTTAAACGTAACAATCTGTTGTGTCATGTTTGTGGACATGCTCTTAGAGGCGTTTACTACAACGCTTTTGGAAAACTATATGATGAAGAACACTTCTGCTGTAAAATTTGCAAAGCGAAATGTGGTGTTAATACATGCTTTAATTACAAGGACGACCTATATTGCAAATTCCACTTCCTCAAGTACTTTTCAAACCGTTGCAAAGGCTGCAACTACCCAATATCGGACCAGTATATTGAATTTCCTCGAGGTGACGAGGTTCATCGTTGGCACCCGGAGTGCTACGGAGTTCACAAATACTGGCACGTCAACCTGCCTCCAGAGGCAGTTGGTCTGCCCCAAATAGAAATTGCAAATCCTGAAGATATCTCTGAGATGGAGAAAGAAGGAGGCAACCGTGGCGATTTAGAAAAATATGTCAATTCCTTCAGCAAGTTGGTCTCCAAAACGTGGTCAGTGCTTTATCGTTTCGAGGAAGAGACCGCGGTTTGTATATCAGACATGTTTCAGTACCTGACCAGTTTTGATCAATTGAAGGGTCTCAATTCTGCGGCTTTGTTTGTTCTAAAAATCGAGTGTCAATTTAAAGCTCTGGATTCTCTAGAATCTCTTTACACCTACGGCACAATCGATGGTTCACACTCTAGTAGTGTTAAAAACGACCGGGACTCATCAGCAAGCAAACTTCCGATGGAATCAAATATGGAATCGCATATGAAATACGCGAAACTGCCACGCAACTTGTCCACCAAAGTTATGATCTACCTTCAATTACTGCGAAAGCTGAGCTCAGCTTCCAAAGAGAAGGACGTGAGTGTATCGTCTCTTATGTCTGTCATAACAGGGGTCGCGCATTTTTTGAAGCTATTAGTGCGACATGGTTTACAGACAGCCCTAGACCGAAATAAAGCGGCACATTCAGCTAACGCCTTGATAAAATATTTGCGAGAGATCGAAAAGAACGAATTGATTGAGGGCGAACCCTTCAGGTTTATAAACGTGGGAATTGACGCCACAGACTGTTGCCCGGTATGCGGCAAATACATTCAAGAGGAGTGCATACAGTTCAAAAATATTAGATGGCACAGATCTTGTTTTCATTGTTCTTCATGTCATAAAAGTATTGACTCCTTTGGAGTTGCTGATGCTGCTTTTAACAGTAAAGCGAATTCTGTGCTGTGTGCCCAATGCGCTGTAGACGATCCTGAATCCTCAACAGGCTTCTCTTCTGTCACAAAACTTTCACAGCTCATATTCCTTCTTAAGATTGCTCTCGTTAGGTCCAAAGCAGTTATGGAAATACAACTCAAGAACAGAGAAGCACTCAAGCGCTCAAACAGTATCAAGGAATCAATTTCCATGCAGCAAACTTACATCAGAACACTAAATGATATCAAAAGGTTGAAATCCAGAAGGCAGAGTGTACCTCTCGCTACAACTAATAAACAAGAAGCACGCCGGTCGCGCATTCTTGAAACGTCTGAGATCGACGTTAAAGCAAACATTCCCGAAGAAAAGTGTCTGGTGATACAAACTGATAAAAGCTCGACACAGGAGGCAGAAAATCAAAACATGTTCAATAGTACCAAGACTTTGACACTTGACGACATTTCCCGCATTGTTGCAGCAGAGCAAGCAAGAGAACTGAGGCCCAATGCATTCACGCACTTCAAGAAACTGAAAGAGAACGACGAGGAGGAAGTGAAGCTAGTCAATAACAAAAGCGGGATTTACTATTCTGAGCTAAAAACCGAGGATCAGTACCTGATAAAATTGATTTCTCTTTCCTTAATCGTTTTGCATGCTCAAGACTTGATTCATGACGCAAGTGTAATTGAAACGCTTATTCCACAACCACCGCAGAAGCACCAAAAAAATCCACATAATTTCTGGTACAAAATGAAAACGATAATGAGTAAGGAAGGCAAAAAGTCCTCAGCTACTAACATTTTTGGCTGCCCCTTGGAGCAACTAGCTATCCAGTGGGGGGTAGACTCTGACCTAGGGATAGGTCCTACAAAGATCAAAATTCCCATAATCGTTGACGAGCTCATATCTTCGTTGAGACAGCTAGATATGTCGGTTGAAGGTGTTTTCAGAAAAAACGGGAACATTCGGAAACTCAGAGAGATGTCCAAATTCATTGACGACAGCCCTTCAGAAGTACCAGATTTTTCCAAAGAAAACGCGGTCCAGCTTTCGGCTCTTCTGAAGAAGTTTCTCAGAGAGCTTCCTGATCCATTGTTGACGTCACAACTATATGATATATGGATTCGGGTTGCTAAAGTCGAGTCGGATTTGGAAAGGCACAAGTACTTTAGCCTACTGTACGCATTGTTGCCTGCCTTCAATAGAAATGTCGCGGAGGTTCTGTTTTCTTTTTTGCATTGGGCTTCATCCTTTTCACATATTGACTCTCAGATGGGCTCAAAAATGGATATTCATAACCTGTCTACAGTTATGACACCTAACATTCTTTATCAGCAAGGCACAACTACAAATCAGCCCACAGTTCATGGCGGTGCCATTCACAATACCTACAACGACGCATTCGCTCAAAATGAAGGTGAAAACTACTTTCTTGCCATCGAAGTTATTGATTATCTTATAAATCATAACGAGGACTTGGCTGTTGTGCCAAAGTACATGGTTGTACTTCTTGAGAAGGTGAAGGGTGAGCCTTTGGCCGATTTTGAGACAGTCAAAAAAATCATTCAGACCTTGAAGATGTCGAGTGATTTGAACTTCGCGGACTACGGCTTAGTTGAGCCTGTCAAAATGAAGAAGTCGGCATCTGTCGCAAAGGTCGAAGTGAAAGGTAACGAATCAGGATAAATGTATACGGCAATGTATTTCACTTTCTATGTAAGAACAATTTCTTGTAAGATTAACATTTTATATAAACCAAAGAGAGAGTTTACAAGCTCTACAACGAATTCAAAGCAACACCCTTTCCTTTCAATGCCTACTTATACGTACAGAATGTCACTGGGCAACCTCGAAGCAGAACTGATTTAGTGACAAATGGGTCTCGAAAAACAACCTTGGAAATACTGATTGGTCTCAGTGGCATGCACAGCACGAGACATATTTATATATCTCAAGACAGGCTGAATCTTGAACAGTTAAGAACAACGATTATGTGTATTGTATGAGACCTAGACTAAAAAAGTGAGCTGAACCGCGTGCAAAAAATAGTTTTTGAAAAGCATTCAAATTTTCGAGTTGTTTGATGCTACACCAGGCGTAGACACAGGCCATTGGTACAGGTTGCTATCTTCGAAAACATAGTCGTGATTTTCGAGGAATTTCACCAAGTTTTTAGGCCCTCTAGATCCATAGGCGTATTTTTCTGGAGTTGGGGCATCTGGGCCTTCTAAATGGTTCAAAAGTGGGGTGAAAAGTTTCCAGCTGACATCCAGTTCGTCGTCTCTTACAAAATTGGAATGGTCGCCGGTCATAACGTCCTTTATCAATGCCTCGTAAGCTTCAGGTATCCAGAAGTCCTTGTACCGTCTTGCGTATGTCAAGTCTAGCTCCGTAACTTGGCAGCTAGTCGAAAGACCAGGAGTCTTGCTGTTGACTTTCAAGTAAATGGCTTCGTCAGGTTGCACTCTGATGACCAATTCGTTGTGAGCAATTTCATTAAACATGCCGGATGGAACACCTTTGAACTGAATTCTGATTTCCACTTTGCCTTCGTTTAGAGCTTTACCGGCTCTCATAACGATAGGAACACCGTCCCAGCGCTCGTTTTGAATTTTGAATCCAATAGCGGCAAAGGTGACGCACTTGGATTTTGGGTCGACAGTGTCATCGTCTAGATAGCCTGGTTTGGAACCGTCTTCTGATGGACCATATTGACCGGTCAAAATATCATTTGTGTCTATTGGGGCAAACGCTTTGAGGACTCTCACCTTCTCATCACGGACGGACTCCGCGTCGAAGGCAACTGGGCGTTCCATGGTGAGCAAAGTCAGGATCTGCAGCAGGTGATTTTGCATCACGTCTCTTATGATACCGATTTCGTCGAAATAGCCACCACGGCCTTCCGTCCCGAATGGCTCCTTGAAGGAAATTTGGATGTTTTGAATATTTTCTTTGTTCCATGCGGCGTTCAAAAATGTGTTGCCGAATCTAATGAGTACGAGGTTCTTAACCATTTCCTTGCCGAGATAGTGGTCGATTCTGAAAAGCTCGTCTTCGCTGAAGAGCGGAGCAAGGTCGTTTTGAAGCTCACGGAAGGAGTCCAGGTCGTGGCCGAATGGCTTTTCGACAACCACTCTGTTCTCCCCGTTTTCGGCGTACACGGTCTTCTTGATCTCTTTGCACACTGAAACGAAGGCGCTTGGTGGCAGCGCCAGGTAGAAAAGCCTGTTGGGGCGTTCGACCTTGTTTTCCTTTTCGTGGTCCTCGAACGCTTTGCGCAATTTTTCGTAGCCCTCGCTTTGGTCGTAGGGTCCCGAGATGTACGTGACCATCTGCAAAAACTGGGTCACTTTTTCTGTGTCCTTCTCACCGTTGGGTTTCTTGAGGTTAGGTTCAATTTTCTTTCTGAGATCATCGTCCGAAAGCTTGGAACGTGCAAACCCTATAATTTTGCAGCTTGCGTCCAGATATCCCTCTCTGAACAGCCCGAACAATGCTGGGAACGTTTTTTTCTTGGACAAGTCGCCCGACGCCCCGAAAATGACGATGGAAGTGTGCTTTTTGAACTCAACCGGTTTATTCTCGCCCATTGTGCTGTTTTGAAAACTTCCGAACTCTTGAAACTCTGGAAACTCTTGAGTTTCTTCAAACTCTATTCTATCAACGAGCTTGTCCTAACGATCTTCCAAGCTATAAAAACACGTCCAAAACCTCAATTGGCCTTTATAAACGCTGCAGATACTCTGAGAATCTCTTGATCAATCACAAACAACTGATATGCTTGTCACTGCTCTAACCTTTTATACCAAGAGCCCGGTTTTGTAGCAAAAAAAGGTCCTGTTTCCCAATCCCGTCCCGTTTCTTGCGCTTTATATACCCCTCTCTGGGAACGGCCAATCAAACATAATTTCCTATGACAAATGGGAAATGTGGGAAGAATCGAGAAAAGGAGCGAAAGGGCACGTGACGAATACGAGATTTGAAACTTTTAAGAGAGACGGGCCGAGAGTAAGAAAAGGGTGTTGATGGAGGAGGGTTTCGGAAGATTACAGCAGCTTTATTGAACATATAAATTTCCTTTTGGTTCGCACTATCTCGATCTGTGTGCTTGTCGTAAGAGTAAGCAGTGGTGGACACATTATTAGGGTGCAAATCTATGTCGCTTTGAACGAGCGATTGTCGATCGGTTTTGCTCTAGACAATCGATAAATTCGAGAAAATTAGGCAAAAATCGGAAATTTTGAACTCTCGAAGAACAGTTGAGGGTGTGCCAAAGGCATGGCTCAAAGATAGTGTAGAGGGTAGTTTGGGAGTCTGAATGATTCACTTTGGGTAGGGGTTAGTAGAAGGTTGTCACGTGACGTCGTTAAAACAGAAGCAGCGTTTGCGGGTGTTTGATAGCATTGTTCTTGGTAGATATGTGGTGCTCTCTTGGATTTAGGATTATCGTGACAGCTTGTACATCTCCCCTCCCTTTCCACAATGTTCTCAGTGATGTCTCAAGATCTTACAAACCACACCCGCCTCGTAAGATCACGTGTATAGTCGATTAAAGTGAAGAGTTTCATGTTTTGGGCTCCTTTGGCGTCATTCGGGTAGGCTTCAAGAACACAGACTGCACCCGGAAATCATTTGTAAGGGGGATTGGGTTTGACCTAGGTCCAATTGTAAAATAGACAAGTACGACGCTAGTACTTATTTGCACCCTCAATCTCGTCATGTATTATCAGCTAATTGTTTGCGTAAATTAGTTACCTGGCCACCAGAATCACCCCCCGCAGTTTGACGAATCGGTAATTCTGAGTTTTGGCTGCCCTCAAATTTCCTACAAAACCTACAGACGCTTAGCACTTGGTTATAGCCGTCTAAACAATATCGCACAATCAAGATCCATATGTCTATGGTTTCTTCGTGCCCGATGTCAGCGCACTAGTCAAAAATATTGATGCCAAAAAATCAAGCCTAGAATAGCCTATGAACTACTCCAGAAATCGACGCTCAGCACGTTGGTAGTCTACACCTATTGCCCTTCTGTAAGCTAAATAAAGGCTCTAGCGAGGTACCAGTACTAATCTCGCTTTGGTAGGTTTTTATTGGTAATTTTGTCTCGGTGTGGGCTGGGAAAATCGGTTTTATTGCAGATTTAAGCTTTGTATAGCATCGTAACTAGGACCACTTTCATCTCCTTAATAACTATTCGTCCGGTGCCAAACATACATTCTAGATATCCTCATCATCTATATTCGGTTGTCCATCATGTGTCATTTCAACTTTGCAGATATAAAATCGACACATCATCGCTTGCCCCGTATGCTGAACCCAAAATGGGGAGATACTCTCCAAGACTGGGCTTTGGGTTTCGATTCCTTAGCGGCATCTCTTCACCATAGGTGAAATCTGCAGATAGTCTATGCAAAAATTAGTGCACGATTCGTTACACACTAGTTACCTCGCGCTATTAAGACCAAACTCGTTTGCGTTCCTCCCTTTTTACTGACAACTGCCAGTCCATGATGCAAGGTCGAATACTATCACTGCGATTTCGCAGTTTTCCTTACCAATTCAAACATTGCGTCTCTTAGCGAACGTCTTTTCGCCTTAGCCAGATTCTTGACTTCCAGATGGCAACTTTAATTTGCGCAAGTAAATCGACTCTACCTGGCTACAGCACCAATAAATCGCCAAAGCCAACCCCGTGTATGCATAGCGTTCTCGGTGCTCGCGGAAACCTCATCATTGATCCTCAACTACATGCTGAAAAACGAGTCAACCTCAATAAAATAACGTCAACCCATAAGGTCTTGGCATAAAAAATAAACGCCCAACTCCATGGCCATCTTCCCAAATTACCAAGTATTGCCCACAGTTACCACATCTGAAGATTTTTCTATGGGCGTAAAGTTATACTTGTATGGTGTTGTGTCATTCACACTACTTTCATCGTAAACCCGCGGCAGATTCTGCTCGTACTCTTTCTCCAGAGTTCTTGCCAGCGCTCGCCTTCTACTACTGTTCTGTTCCCCATTCAAAAGCCCGCCACCATTTATGCATCCTCCCGGGCACGCCATCACCTCAATGAAATCGGTCTTGATTGGCTCCGCTACCGAACCCGCTACTTTCCTTTGTGAGGAAGGGTTGCCACTTCTCTTGCGTAGTACTTTCACATTCCTCGTTGTAGTGCCAGACCCTGTCAGCTTTCGAACCATGTTCTGAATATTTCTGAATCCGTATAGTTGACTTGAAGATGCAATGATCTTATTTTCGACACCGCTAACCAACCTATATTCTTTGATGTCACTATTCTTACCCTCCAACGTTATTATTTTAGAACCAGGGTGCGCTTTTTGTTCGTGCAGGACATACTGAAATGCAAACCCCCCCGAGCTACTACCCTCGTTGGACCCCCAATGAATTTCGGGATCCCAACCATGGGGACTGCAGGCCTCAAGTAGCGAGCTTCTATCCGAAACTTCAAAATACGCATTAATGTCAAGCTGAAGTTCCTCAAGCATCGTTACAAACTCACGAGGAGTGATCACACAATCCACTTCACCGTCGCCATCTTTTCTGCTGGCTTCCAGTTTTTTGTCAAAACACGGCATCACGGTAAGATGGTAGATATTGGGCGCAGCTTTCTTCAGGAGCGAGCCTGTAATCTGCTGCGGAGACTTTACGTCCAGCAAATACGGTACCAATTCAGGTTTTGACTTCTCAGCGTAAAGCACAAATCCGGGACACACGGCACAAAGCGTTGGAGTTGCAGTTTGCTCCGCAGCTTTTCGTCTGCACAGCTCGTCGTTGGTCTGCTTGATGGTGACACTGCGTCCAAGTTGTGTTCCCACCACGTACCGGGCTCCGAAATACTTCCGCATAAAGTTTAAAAATACAATATCAAAGTCTTCGAGGGTCATGTTGTAATATTTCGCCAGGGAAAGGCGACTTTGGGGTGGTATGCTGACGGCCAAGTTTGCATCTTCTGGAAGCGCTTTCCAGGCCTCTAGAAATACTGTATGGCTTTGCCGGCTCAATAAAATCTCCTCACTAGATGTGATGCACCCGGAACATGCCAAACAATCTTGCAAAGAAATAGACACCTTCTCAACTTCGTTGGACTCTTTTCCAACTTCAAGTTCGTTGCTGCCATTTGCGTCGCCTTTGATCGTCTCGGTGGGCTTCACACATGCAAGACCAGGACTTATGAAGTCGTTGAGATCGCTTTCGGACAGTAGCGCGCTCATTCTGAAACGATAACAATAAACCAATGGTGTTTGCTAAGAGGTACTTGGATAACAACGAGATGAGCTTTAGCCTTGCCGAGATATCCCATTATTAATGATCATGTATTACGGAATGGCATCGGTCGGAGCTGTCTATCTCTGGCAAGCAGCTAGAACATTCAAGTGTTAACAGTATCGATAGGCCGGTCGATAATGTTTGGTGGAAGACCGTGCGGAATCTGTTAAATATCAATGTCTCTATTAGCCTTTACAATAGAGGCAAGTGCTTATTTGAGTTTTCAAGAATCTTGGAATGCCACTTACATAAAGTGCTTACAACGTAGTATAGCCTGATAAGAGGTCATGAATTTGGTCTACAGAAGACTTGTCCGACTTTGTTGCTACTGAGGTCAAAATAGAGATTAGAAGTTGATCGTTTCGAATATACCAGCAGGGCGATCTCCAGATTTATCTTGCAGAGACCATTTATTGTTATTTGAATGACGAGCGGTTAAACCTTGAGCAGAGTATCACTGAAAGATCGGGATAGAGCCCTTGCACTTTTCATTTCTTTAGTTACAAAGTATATTGATCTTTTAGTCGAAATGTTGATATATCAATTTATCCATTCTGATCAGCAATGTAGCCGTACCAATTGAATGAATGACGGAGGATATAAAAAAAACGTCTACAAATAAAATACACACACGAGAGTGCTACGAAATACACATTTTTATTGAATTTATGTTTCAAGTATAATTGCAGTTATGCTGGACTACTTTGTCGAGAAGCAAGCTCCTTCAGACTTGAGAATACAAAACTGTGAGGCTTTAGGTAGCCGGGACATTCGATGCTTAAAATCAATTCTTCAACCGCCCGTGAATGTTCAAATCTCAGCAAAGACTCCACGCATCAGAGCTCATGCCATAACGGTTAAAGCGTTTGTTCCTTGAACGACTTTCCTCTAGCCGACGTCGCAAGGCTGGTCACATGACATGTGTCAAATTTCAGTTTCTTCAAAGTTACGGTGAGGAACGCGAGGTGTCGATCAGAGCCAAGTTTGCGCTCACAGAACCATAACCCGACGCTTCGGACCATTCACAGAGGCGTTGAGGCTGTCGCATTACATTCATGAAGCTTTCGACAAGCTTTAGTTGTCTCGTCGGTGTGCTGTCACTGAGTGACCTCGTTCGGTCGCGCCGAGTGCCGAAAAAAGACCATTTGGCGAGAAGATACTTCGCGATTGAGAGCAACCTGCCACCACCAAGACTTCGAGAACTTCATCCAGAATGGCACTACGAACACGAAGTCCGGGGTCTTGAGGACCATTACGTGTTTTCAGTGGAAACTGACGATGAGGTTGTTAAAAGACACGATGTGCATGGCGGTTTGGCTGGCGTTGTTTCATACCATGCCTTACCGCCCAAAAAGCTTCAAAAAAGAATGCCTGTCGACTCCAGTATGCAACCTTTGCAGGATGCCAGGGACCGCTTGTCGATAGAAGATCCCTTGTTTGAGAGACAGTGGCATTTGATCAATACCAATTTCCCAGGCCATGACGTCAACGTTTCCGGATTGTGGTATGAAAATGTTACCGGCCAAGATATCGTCGCGGCTATTGTCGACGACGGGCTCGATTTTGAAAGCGAGGATCTTGCCGATAACTTTTCTGCAGAGGGCTCTTGGGACTTTAACGACAATGATCCGCTACCAAAACCCAGACTTAGCGACGACTACCACGGGACTCGATGCGCGGGTGAAATCGCCGCTGTCAGAAATAAAGCTTGCGGAATTGGTGTTGCGTACGATGCCAAAGTCGCTGGAATCCGTATTCTCTCCGGAGAGATTACTTCAGAGGATGAAGCCGCGTCATTGATTTACGCCTTGGATGTAAACGACATCTATTCATGCTCTTGGGGCCCTCCTGATGATGGACGCTCTCTACAGGGACCGGACGAACTAGTCAAAAAAGCTTTGGTGACTGGGGTCACAAAAGGAAGAGATGAAAGAGGTGCCTTGTATGTTTTTGCTAGCGGGAACGGTGGTTTGTTCGAGGACAACTGCAATTTTGATGGCTACACAAATTCAATCTACTCAATAACTGTTGGAGCTATTGATCACAAAGGCCTGCATCCTCCGTATTCCGAATCTTGTTCTGCTGTGATGGTGGTAACGTACTCTTCAGGTTCTGGCGAACACATACACTCCACCGACATTCATGGTCGATGCAGTGACACGCATGGTGGAACATCAGCTGCTGCGCCGCTAGCTGCCGGTGTTTACTCCCTGGTTCTGAGCGCTAACCCTGACCTCACATGGAGAGACGTGCAGTACCTCACAATTATGTCATCCGTAAAGATAAATGACGAAGACGGCAAGTGGCAAGATGGTGCTATGGGGAGACCATACTCACATAGATACGGCTACGGAAAGCTGGATGCTTATCGCATCGTTGATTTGGCTCGCAGCTGGAAAAACGTGAATCCTCAGTCCTGGTTTTACCTACCAACCCAGCAAGTAACCAGCTCCACAAATTCAACTGTGGAAATTTTGGAGTCTTCGGTTCAAATCGCTCCCGGGCAGTTGAAGGATGCCAACTTCAAACGTGTCGAGCACGTCACAGTCACTGTGGACATTGAGACAACTATTAGAGGGCGTACCACCGTCGATCTAGTATCCCCAAGTGGGGTAATCTCCAATCTAGGAGTAACTCGAAGAAATGACAACTCGCCGGACGGGTTCAGGCACTGGACTTTCATGTCCGTCGCTCACTGGGGTGAAGTAGGTGCTGGCGAATGGAAATTGAAAGTTAGTACGACCGATGAAGCAAATACGGTTGTTCTTAACAACTGGAGACTGAAATTGTTTGGGGAATCCTCAGATCCTTCAAAGGCTCAAAAATTTGAGTTTGGCAACGACGATGAAAGCGCGACTCCAGAAGAATCGACCAGCACTTCAGTGTCTACAACCGCACAAACTTCTACCACTGCAGAAGTACAAGCCTCTTCCGCGGTAGCATCGACTCTCACAGCGTCCGCAACACTCTCAGCTACTCCAACGCAGGACAATACCGATGTGAACAAACCAAATCGGTTGCCACCTCCCTTCGAGGGGATGCGCTATTTTCTCGCAGTATTTGCCCTAGGTGCTTGTGCTATCCTGCTCTATTTCTTCTTTTTTGTCAGATCGAGAAGGTTGATTAGGAGAACCCGTGCGGAGACATACGAATTTGACATTATTGACACAGACTCAGACTACGATTCGTCACTCAATGGTACCGCCAATCCAAATTCAGAACACCCCGATGATGGAGAAGCGATTGATTTCGATTTTGATCTCTCTGATGACGAGCTCCTGAGGAGCAGTTCTGGGTCACCGGCTCCTGCACAGAGTCATGCAACAAATCAGAAAGAGAGAAACATAGATGAAGTGTTAGAGGATGCTCCCAATGGAACAGTTCGCGACTCAGATGACAGTGCCCAGGGTAGCTCTTGAGACTACAAAAGTTGATGAGTGACAGCATCTCTAAACATATAAACGGACATCGTCATACGCTGGAACAGCTCATTCAATATCAAGAGTAAAGATATGTAACATAGAATAAAGCATTCTTTCCGTAGGAATCTTGGCGGTCCAAAATGCCAAGCCCACTATTTCGGTTGTATTCGCGCGTCAAGCGTTACTATCACTTTGTACTTATACTGACGTTGCTGTTACAACAATACGTTAAATCGGTTATAAATAAAGTTTGCCTCTGGTATACACAGAGTCAACTACTGAGGTAGCATCTAAAAATGCCTGCCTTTATCTTTGGACCCAGAACTGGACTAGTATTTTATGGAATCTTTTTGGCGCTTCTTGCACAGCCCGCAAAATGCATGGATATGGACGACACAACGGAATACACAAGACCTGAAATTGTGGAGGCCGGATCAAAAACCTTTCACTGGTTGTGCACTATGGGTCTTCTTCTCATTGTGCCCTCATTCGCTGCTGTGTTTTCATTTGCTGGCAAACTTTACATGTCCATTTTTCTGCAATTGGTGTCACTGATTTATGCTTTGGTGGAAGCCCTAATTCTGAGATTTCCGGATGCCGATGGAGTTGAGAATCGAACTTCGAGGGGTACAGCGTGGTTTTTGATAGTATTGATAGGTTTGACAATACTTTTTGGAAGCTTAGCAAGTGGAACTGGTGCTCTAGTTCACAACAAGCGGTTGAAATCAATAGTGACAAAAACGGGAGAGCATAAACTTCACATTAGTCACAGAACTCTATCTTTCGCTGTGGTCCTGGCCGGTTGGGTCAAAACTTGCTTGGCTCCTGTTGCCATGTTTGGATTTTGTCGAAAAGTTCATACGGGTCAATGCATTGCTCATGGTGTGATGGGGTCTGCTTTTGTCGTCTACGGATTTGTATATTCCATGGTATTGGTGATACCATGGCTACGCAATAATGAAGGTCCCTACTCTCAAGATCGCATAGACAGCTGGGTTATGTGTGCTTGGGGTATTGTGAATACTTTTACGGAACATCGGTGGGGCAGGGAAGGCTGGAACCACGGCGACTACCAGCACACCGCCATGGGTATTGTGTGGTGGGCTGGAGGACTGCTAGGCATCTTCTTGTCCAGAGGAGGCAGGCGAACTTTTGTGCCTAGTTTGCTAATAATATTCACAGGCTGGGCGATGTCCGAGCACAGCCAGCATTTGATAATCAGTACCAAAGTGCATGCACTTTTTGGTCTCGTTTTGATGTCGGGAGGAGCACTCAGAATAATAGAAATATCGTTTCTGTTGAAAGACCGAAGGTCTGCAGGTGAGATTATGTCTTTCCAGTACTTGGCACCTTTCTGTTTGGTGTGTTCTGGCATCTTGTTCATGAGCGCCAACGAAGAGCAACTGATATTGGTGTTAAGACTTGGTGCTGATCACAGTGCTTACAGTCTAGTCGTCATTTCTGCTGCATTTGTCACGTATCTCTGGATTCTCTTATGCCTCGAGCTTTACCTCAGACTAGTGCTTGCTTCAGAGAAGAGTCCGCTCACTTCTTACAAAGTCGGGGATGTGACAGACTTTGAGTTAGACAACCTTGAAGAAGGAAGTAGTAGCGTTGGATCAAGAAGATAGTGGTCACCGATAACCAAATGACCTATAAAAACAAGAGAACATTCCAAGTGGGCACTAACGATACAGAATATTTGGAGACACACCAAATATCATTTGCGCTAAGACAATGCGTATAATACAAACAAATCGACAAAAAAATTCTTGAGCATCAAAATACGCCCCACATCCTACAGCAAAACCTGCCCGACAAGCTGTCGAAATTCATCATTGAGTTCACCTGTAAAAATTGGCGGTGACAAAGAAGAGTAAATAGAAAGATGCGGATCCATAGATCGGTCTGTAAAGATCTTTAAAAGAATTGTAGAATTCATATGCCTTTCGGGGCCAATGCCACTAATTTGCTTATGACCTGGTGTGCTTGACGAAAGGCATTAGAATTTCAAAAAAATGCGTATAATTAAATCTAAGCCCGAACAAAAATCAATCTTATATGATTGTTATATAAAGTAGGCTACTCTCTTCACTTTGACGGACATTATAGAGCTGAATGATTGCGTCTGGCCTATTGAATAATGAGCTAGTATCCTGGTCAAAGTCTGGGCTAATTGCGTACGTGGATAATGAATCTGGTTATGCTAACTTGTGCGTAACATTACTGGAGACCATAAATGGTACCAATTGGAGGCTGCGACCGAGCAAGAAATATGCTATACAACCTTATATGCTGGATACATCAAGTACAGGAAACGGTTCCAATACCGCGAATGGCAATGCAAGCGGGACAACTCAAAGATCAATCAATCATCTGAGTTCCATCTATTGGAACAATACTCACAACCATGCAGGTGACCAGTTGGCACTGTTTGATGATGTCGGAAATCTGACGGTATTATCCGCTGGTCAAACAGTTGAGGGTGCTTCTACCTTCGATAAATTATTTGTTCTATTCCAGGACAATGGTTACAAGATCTACAGCCAAAGTGCTCCATTACAGGAAAGCACGTCCGGCATCAAAGCAACCCGCGCTCTAGCAAAGAGAGACACTCATGCCACAATAGTAGAATTCCACTGGGTGGGCACCCCTACGCCTCTGTTTGCACTTTTACGCGCTCGCAAAGATCCATCGACCTCTGCTTTCAAAAGTCAAGTTCAACAATTTCAACCTTTAGGACTCACTCACCCAACCTCCATAAAATGTGCCTGCTTGGGATTAAGAAGAGGTGGCCAACTAGACTTCTGGTATCAGTTTTCCAACTCAAAAGATTATAAAAAGATATCGCTAAACCTGAATAGCTGCCAGGAGTCTCGAAATAAGCAATTTGACTGGATTCAATGCGGAAAGGTGGCCCAAATGGAGGAAGATCAAGCCTCAATTGTAGGTGCTTATTCTAGGCTTTCCAAAAAACTCATATTCTACAAGCTCTCTGTCGATTGGAATATCTCCTCTCAAAATGCTGTAGCAGATCCAAAATTACATTTACAGCACATTATCGAGTTTAGTCCGGACTTCTTAAGCGACAAGGGAGAGCCAGTTGAGCTGAAGGGTTTTGAGCTATTATCGGCCACCAGCAATAAAGGATCGGGCCCAGAGTTGCTTCTCTGCTATGACGTAATGGGCGTTTCACGTTCTATTGTGAAGCGATTTAAGCTCACACAGTTTACCCCTTCTTCAGAGCTATGTGCGGTCTTCGGAGTTTTCAACACTGAAGACCAGGCTCTGCCGTTATGCCAATACTCTTTTGAAAAAGAGCATGAGTACTCTTTTGACTGTACAATCAGTGCGATTGATTACATCTTTTCCGAAAACATTGTGATATTTAGGCTCAAAGATGGCCACAGCTCGACATATGACAGGCGGACCTGGAAAAATGAAGAAGAACTATCCAGAGAACCAAAGCAGGACATAATATCATCGGCATTTTCCAATGGGATACGAATTCCTGCCACCCTTCCGACAACTGCCTTTGAATGGTCGCGCATATCTCCCTCGTTAGGAGGGATTCTATCGAAAGCGAGCTCTAAGGACTCGTTACGCTTCGATCCCATCGAAGCCCCTGTCACAGACGTGGCAGAGAATGACCTATATGTGGCTTCGACATTTGCGTACGCATTTGTGTGTGCCAACCACCGACAGACTTCAGGTGAAGACCTCTCAATTGCGATCAAAACGCATCTGCTTAAGATAGCTCAGGTCAGCGAGAGCCGAGCTGAAAAGTTTTTGAAAACTGTTATTTGCACAGTTTATCAGTTGTTCGGACTTACTCCAGATGCTACGAAAGAACTCAAGGACAAACTGATAATGAGTCGTCCTATACAGAGAGCTATGCTTTTGCAATCTGAACTGGCGTGCTCTTTCACCAATAATAATATATACAACATGTCCCGAACAGCACTGACGCTTAGAAACATACTGTTCGCGTTCAATGGGGTATCTCGAAATATCCAGGTTCTTATTCATCATAGCGCTACGATGAATTTTCAGCAACCAAATGGGAAACTATTTCAATTTGCATTTTCCAAGCAAGACCTGATATACTCATTGATACCGGGTGCCAAATGGTTTGTGAAACTAGTGACGTTCCTCACTCAACAGATGATCGTTTTGATCAATTCCCCTAATGATAAAGAAAACACTCTGGTGCTAGGAATTTTTAGCTCGAAAATGACAAGACAGCTATTACTTTCAGTACTGAGTGAGATAAAGAAAGTGATTCATCTAGTCACAAAATTCCCAGAGACATCGTTTCCTGTTTTGAACGAATCTTCGATATTTTTGCGTAAAGTCTTGGGCGATTCACCGGTCAATTTCGAAAAGTTTGAAACCTTTTTGGCGGACGTTAACAATAAGTTCACGTCACTTGGAGAGAGTCCAATTGTGGGGAGCTCTACAAAAGACTCTTACCTCATCATAGAAGGCGATATCCCCCCCGAAGTGTCACAGCTGAAAGAGTTTCTACTGTCCTACTCGAACACCGCGGTTCTGTCGCACATAAAGCCAGCTGAGGTATATTTCTCCGATACCCGTGGACTTCGCATATTTTCCTCAGAAATGTTCCCGTCGCCGTATTTCAAGCTTTTACAGCCTCTGGAAAAGGGTATTGTGGTATCCAGCGACGTAATATCTAGTAATATCCCATCCAGATCTCTATGCGTGGTGGAAACCGATGATATATCAAAAGAGCCGCTTGGCTCTGGGAACTATAGGCTAAAACGGTGCTGCAGGTGTGGTGCTGTGTCTCGTGCCGGCTATCCAGTGACCTCTGAAGATACCATTGTTCCTACAAGTGTTTCCACAAAGCGCTGGACCAGCTTATATGTCAAGGTCTGTATTTGCTCCGGCCTTCTCTACGAGCTTGAAGAAGACACTCACCACTGACCGGGTCCTCTGACCAAAATAACAAAAGAGCTTACACCGAGATTCGAACCGACTGCTTTAAGTTCTGGTTTTTCTCGAAGAACTCACTATACACGATAAATTGAAATAAAGGTGGCAAATCATACCTACCAAAAAGCTACATCTAACCTACTCACCAATCACTGGCGTTTGCTGTGCTAATTGGTTCTATTTCTCGATTAAAAGTTTACATCCTAGCAATCAAAAGCTACTGTTAACACCTCATATTAGTCCTACTTTTTGATCGCAGTTTTTTTGCCCAGTTTCTACCCAGTATATCAATTGCCATTGCGAAGTTCACTCCGAGCTCCTGTTTGGCTTCAAAATTCTAGAGTACTGAGTTCGACGTCTAGTAGATTCAAAAGTAATGTTTTTAACAAGAAGCGAATATGACCGTGGAGTCAGCACATTTTCCCCGGAAGGACGACTTTTCCAAGTTGAGTACTCGTTGGAAGCCATCAAACTAGGGTCTACCGCTATCGGTATTGCCACATCTGAGGGTGTTGTCCTGGGGGTAGAAAAAAGAGTCACTTCTCCTTTGCTGGAGGGAGACTCCATCGAAAAAATAGTGGAAATTGAACGTCATGTTGGCTGTGCGATGAGTGGTCTTACGGCTGATGCTCGTTCAATGATCGAGCACGCCCGTGTTTCAGCAGTAACACACAACCTATACTACGACGAAAACATCAGCATCGAATCTTTGACACAATCGGTTTGTGACCTGGCACTCAGATTCGGTGAAGGTGCCTCTGGAGAAGAAAGGCTGATGTCGAGACCTTTTGGTGTAGCGCTTCTGATTGCTGGATACGATACTGAACAAGGCTATCAGCTGTTCCATGCTGAACCTTCGGGAACTTTCTACAGATACAACGCCAAAGCTATAGGTTCGGGGTCTGAGGGTGCGCAGTCCGAGCTACAAAACGAATGGCATTCTTCCCTCACTCTAAAAGAGGCAGAGCTTCTAGTCCTCAAGATTTTAAAGCAAGTAATGGAAGAAAAACTAGACGAAGACAACGCCCAGCTAAGTTGCATCACAAAAGATGAGGGATTTCAGGTATACAGTAACGAAAAGACAGCTTCAATTATTCAGGAGCTGAAGGAAAAGGAAGCTCAGCAGAGCTCCGAGATTCCCGACGTTGAGATGAGTACGTAGACTTTGATTTAAAGGCACAACATAAATCTGTATCTATAACTCAAGCGTGGAACTAACTAGGTTTTTGCTATGCAATATGTTAACTTACTACCAAAGACAATTTCAAAGAACCAATAGATCTTTATGGAGAAAGACAATTGTTATTAAACCTGTATGTTATATTTTCATAAATCATGATGCACTAATCTACCAAATGCGAATATTCGGGTACCTCCTTGATCTTCGAACAGAAGAATTTTTCTAGTCTGTTCGCGTACTTGAAGTATGATGTATTCTCACCGTTGTAGGCCCTACAATTGTTGAAAATGAGTCGTGCGTCATAAACGAAGTTTTCCATTTTCTCATACCTGTTGTTTTCTAGTTTTATCTCCATCGTGCTCAAATCCATTGGTTCTTTGATAAATTCGTAGTAGTCCGCGACCTCGTCTTTATTAACCGGCTGTAAAAACGGCCAAGCAGCAGCGTGGTTTTGCACCTCTGTCAGAACATTCTGCATAGCAGCGTAATGTGGTCCCCTCTTTGGCCTCTGCGCTAATTCATCCATCTCAGGAGTCCAGCCAGCCTCTTTAAGTCCCGGAATCTCCATCGGATCGATAGGTTTTATGTTACTCAAGTCCTTAAAGTGCTTTAGGCCTGTGTAAACAACAGTACTCCTGGAGGCAAGCCGTATTTTTCTTTGCACAGCAGCTTCTTGAAGAAGTAGTATTTTAGCGGCATCCAAATATCGAATACGCGGCAGCATAGAGCATTGCATGAGTGTACCTCCTTCATAATCTTTGATATAGCCCATCCATATACTTTTCTCCAGATTGACTTCTTTGGTGAAGCCCTGCTTTTTGAAATAGCCAATTGCGTAGTTGTCCGCGTAGGTCAGAAAATACTTTATTCTCGACGTTGCTCGTACGTAATCTTTCAAGTGATTCATCAAATGTGCACCATACCCTCGTACTTGCTCTGTCGAGCTTATTGCGCAAAACACAATCTCTGCAAACTCGCGATTATCGAATGGCCTGTAAGTAATTCCTCCAACAACCGTGAGAGGCTTGCGTACCACTGCCATCGACAAATGACTTCTATCGTAGACAAGCCTTGCGATGTATTCTTTTGGCATCTTGGGAAGCTGCTTCTGGAAAATATTTTTCAGGCCGGTCAAAACCATCATGTTTTCTTTCGTATTATCATTGTTCACCACCCTAAACTCAATTTTCCCTTCCTTTTCTTCTATTACACTGGCTCGTTCCTTGAATTGGTATTGATTCCCATCGAACATGAAATGTGTGATTCCAGCATCTTCAGAGTCTGGCTCAGCTTTGACTGGTGTAGATCCTTCCGATTCTTCGACGTTTGTCATCTCGGTATTGTCCGGCGATAAATCAATCACACTTTCCTCCTTTTTTTCCGTTTCTTCAACTTTCAGTTTCTTAGAGGCATCTTCATCAGCCACGTTGGTTCGTTTCTTCGTGGCCATCTCTGAATATCCAGTCGCGAACTCTCCGTTTTGACTGCTTTTGGTCGACTCGATTATTTGTAGATAATTGTAGGATGCCATAGCTCATGCTTCGATATCTTAGTAGAAAGTGATATGAAAGACAACATGGGCGTTTCGATCTGCCCTGCTTAGTATAACTTAAACTAGGAGATCTTCGTCCAGTTCCTCATCCCAATCCTCAAAAATATCCTTGAGAGCATCTTCAGCTTTTGCTTGCACGTTTGTGAGTCCCGACAAATCCTCCACGTACTTATAGTTGTTTAAAGCAGCAGCAACGAAATCCCAACCATGAGCCCTGAAGGCCTCAACAACCGAAGAACTACAAGCAGAACACTGCTTAAAAGCTGGGCTTCTCAATTGTAATGTCTTGAACTCACTCAAAAAACCACGAACTTGGTGTGGAAGATCACCTAGTATAGTCTTGGTTGACACCTCATTGGTGTTTCGATCTTGATGCTGTAAGAGGGACACCAGCAGTTCCACACTCTGCGATGCAGCCATCAGTGCTACTCCTGGCCTGGTAACCGTACACATTTGATCCAGAGTCCGGTCTGCAAGACTGTCACTGGGCGCAACGACGTCCTGACAGAAATAACAGCCATGACGATTTTCCTCCTGCTCAGAGTAGGCTCCATGTCTCATGACCACGTAGCTGTCAAACCCAAGAGCAGCATTTATCACTATTTTGTTTTCGGCACAACCCAACACAGTGGGCAGCCACCTCGTTTCGCGAGAATCCATCAAAAGGAATATAACATCGTGGCTCCGCACTAGTTCATGCAGAGTCTCGAAATCACGCTGTTCTTTGGTTTCATTCATAACTGGGTGTCCAATCATAGGAACTTGAAGGTCAACACCTCGCGTCTTGACTAAGGGGAAAATTTTACGCAAAGACTCGGCAGCTGTCGCTGCTTTAGGTTTTCCACAGCTGTCGAAGACGAACAAAGGCTGCCGGACTGGATTTGAATAAGAGACGCGGCCATTATCGACAAAAGTTATCTCTCGGACACCCCAAGCCAGCAGAGCGCGCCCAACGTAGCATCCTAGAGTTCCGGCCCCTAGCAGCAGCACGCTGGTATTCTTTATAACATCCAAATCAAGTTCAGGAGCGATACGCCACTTCATTAATTTTAGATTGAGGTCTAGCGATTGATCTGCGACTTGCAAGGGATCCAACAGGGTGCTGAGATCTGTTGCTCTTGGTGTAAGCTTGTTCTGTGAGTTCCTTTCCCAGCCACTGACTTTCAAAGCTGATGCACTTATCTCTCGGTCAGTACACAGCTTGACTTCCATCCAGAAACTGCTGCTAGCATCCGATCTCACCAAAATTAATCGTATACTGTCCAGCTTGGGCACGAAGAGTTTAAACAGAGAGACGAAGTTTTTTACCAGGGCAGATGGGACCATCTTTATTGTGCTGGTGTCTCGGACTATTAGAGTTGCACAGTCGGTTACCTCGTCTTTTGAGAAGTTTCGAAGACCGCCATCGCTGTCCTCTAGACATGACCAGCATTCGGGATATGTATCAAACCAAGAATCGTACTTATCAAAGTCTGTTAAAGTACCACTGGCCGTCACTTTCAGGTTGAGAGACTCCAATTGAAAACAGGGGACACAAACCCAATGGAAAAATTTGTAAGACTTGAGATCAGCAAAGCTAATCACGAAAAATCGCACGCAATTATTGGGATCATCCTGGCTTTCCTTCCAAGCTTCTTGAGCGCGTTGGTTTAGGAGACTGGCCTTATCTACCTTCTTGAAATCCTCAATGGTGTTGTAGTTGTACAGAGATCCCTTTACGGGAAGACCTGTTCCACTCTGCGGTTCATCGCCAAAACTTTCATTACTCAGGAATAAATGCGCACACGAGGACCCTTTGGGGATATGTTTGATGTCAATTCGACTTGTAAGCTCTTTACGGGATGAATCCAGTTTCAAAACCTCTAATTTGAGTCTCGCCAACTCTTGGAAGAAGGATGTATCGAGGAAGGACTGACATGGGATTGTGAATTTCATATGATCCCCGACCATTTGATAATACACCACAGTGTATGAGATTATTATCAGACTCGGCTTCGATTTTCCAAGTTGGTGCGAGGTTGTGGTTGAGATTGATCTTATGGATTATAGGCTCATCGTAATTTAATGTGATCGCCTAAAACGACCATCATTAAGGTTAACAGTCCCCATTCATCACTATACAGTCCATCTATAGCGATAAATATAATATACAGAGTTCGCGCGTTCCGGGTTGTGTTTTTGGTTATGTTGCTAGAGAAGCCTAAGATGGTGGCGCTTCGTCCAAGGTCATCTCATCTAGCTCATCCAGAAGCTCGTCGATGTCAATCTGTGGGCCATCTTCATCGTCATCTTCATCCATCTCCCCTTCGGCTGGAGCCACAGGTGCATTGCTCTTGTAAAGGTTGACAGTTTGACGCATTTCTGAATCTTCTTCCAGCTCTTGCAGAAAGGCCTCGTAGTCTCTCTCTGCTCTTTCCATTTCCTGTTTCTGCTGTCTGGATGTGTAGTCTTGAGAAGCCTCAATCTCTTGATGCTCACGAGCCATTCTCTTAAGCTTCCAGTTTCTGTTCTTGCGAGTCTTACGAATGTACTGCTTCTTGACCAAGACCACATCTGGAATATGCTCGATATTCAAATTGTCGAAAAGATCAGAGTTGTAGTTAGAGTTGGCGATGAAGTACCCCATCACACTGTCTCCAGGATGGCAAAGAGCTCCGAGATGAGAACGAACGTAGTATACTTGATCGTTGACTCCTAGGTCAGCGGCCCTAGCAACAGTAATATCGGCAAGTACCCACTTATTTTTTGTTTTGCCGGTTGGGTCAACGTCTAGGACTATGAACTCAACCAACTGTGAAACATCGGCTAGAGAATCAAACGGAGTTCTCCAATAAACAGATGCTGATAGATCGGCCGTCTGCAAGGTCATGGGATCCATGAACTGAAGAGTGTTAGAGACCTTGAAACACAGCACAAACTGGGAAATGTTGCCGAGAGATTTCGCCAGCTTCTTTGGTAGAACGACAAGGTCATCTCTACAGATAGGTACAATTTCGACCGAGAAAGAGAACTTGTAGGTGGAGGAACCCGTGTGTGTATCTTGCGAAACGAGTTCTTCAGATTTTTTAGATCTAACTGGAACGACGGAGTTGAGGAAGTCTAACATCTTAACAGCATGGTTTTTCTGACCGTAGAAAAAATCGAGACCATCCTTCGCTTCTTGGATGTTGATGGTGTCCACATGCGCGTTGTGTCTTAGAATCAACTGTTCCAAGTACAAGAAGGTACGTTTGTGAGGAACCTTTTGTCTGATTTGTATGGTGGCTCTCCATGTGTTGGTGGTGTAGGAACGAGCGCAATCGGCACATTGCATCGCAACAACCACATACTCGACCTCGAATGTTTGCTGGATGATAGTATTAGTCATAGCCTCCCCTTGCACCGTGAGTTTAACACGAATACGTCTAGAATGTGGTTCGGTCCAAATAAATGAGGCATCCACTAATCTGACTTTATTGAGACCTTTCAGGCGGCGCAAACATAGCGCCAGAAGTTCTCTCGATTCTAGTTGTGCGTGCACCCACTGTCCTGGAGGTTGCAAAAACCGCTCGCAGTTTCTGCAAAATGAAACATTAGCTTCTCTGGGTATTCCTTCCGTGATGTCAACGGTCAGCTTGATACAATCGTAACACATAACTAAACCGGCAGACCCGTTGATGGGCACACCACAGTTACAACATAGCAGCGTAGCAGCTTGGTGATTATGGAGAGCACTGTGGTCTAATGAGGTATAATTCATATTGGGTTCAAAAGAGCTTGTGATAGGCTAACGGTCTGGTCGTCTTGATCTTGCAAGCTTCGCTTAGGTGGCAATAAGGTGGAAGAAATAGCTGAGATGAGATGAGATGCGATGCGATGAGATGAGCTTCTGAAAAATTTTAGACGGCCTGAGTATTTCGAGAGTCACGTGTTGGTTTCGAGCTGATTTCAAAAAACTGTCATGGTCACATGATGGTCACGTTCCGTCAGAGACTACTTGCGCTTCTTCTGCTTGCCCTGGAACAACAGTCCAAATGACTTCTTCTTGGTCTTCTCGACGCGAGGTTCATCGTTGGCATCACTATCAGAGGACTGCGCGCCGTGTTCGTGCTCAGTGGCTTTTCGAGGTTTATTTATTTCCTCGTGTTCCAACTTTTCGCGTATCTCACCGCGATGTGAGTTCTTCATCTTTCGTTTAAGAGCTATCATAGCTCGCGTATCATCCGCGTTTATCTTGTGAATGCCACCGGTACTCTTTGCTAGCTGGTCAGAGCCAGCCTTGCGTTTTTTCTTTTTCGCTAGCGATGACACCTTCTTGTCGCTTTGTATAAATTCTCCCACGGTCGCGATTTCTTCTCCAGATCCACCGGCCGCGGGTGAATCTTGATCGAAGCTAAGGCCTGCTCCCACAGCTACAACCGGAAGCTGGTAAAACGAAGCCTTTGACGACGTCAGATCTTTACTGCATTCCCCACCCACATCGGTTTGAAGCCATTCAAAAGCTTTCAGCTTGTTGTTATTAAACACCGCTTGCAAGGAAGCTTGCAAGCCCAGTTTCTCTTCTATCTCCTTGGCTCGAGACATGCCTGATTGGATATGTGCTCTTTGATTTGTTTGTTCGACAAGATGAGAGATGAGCATACTAAAATTATGTGTGTGTAGATAAATGTATACAGTGGTAATTAATTTTTCTTAAGTATAACAGAGTCGTCTGGTAGAGCTACATACCATTCATACCGTCTCCGCAGCTTTGATAACTACTTGGTTTCATCGCTATATTGAGAAATACATGTATTAACAATTTTAGATGCTAATCTTTTCTATAACCTTTTTCCTTGCCGTTTTTCCGATTGTTAATCTTGCGGCGCTCACCGAAATTCTCTTTCTCCATGGCCATCAAACTTTCCCTCTTGGCAGCTGTAACCTTAGAGAGCGCCTTCCGGATTACTGCCGTATCGTGTACGTCCGTAAACTGGTCCATTTTTTTATTTATTCTCTCTTCGATGGCTTCTATCCTTTCCACGTCGCGCTGACCAACAAAACATATCGATTCACCGGCTCTACCAGCACGAGCGGTACGACCGGCTCTGTGTATGAATGTATCAGGATTTGCTGAAATATCGTAGTTCACCACCAGCTGTACTGTTGGAATATCCAAACCTCTAGAAGCGACATCCGTTGCGATCAGAACGCGTGCAGCATTCGCGCGAAACCTGTGGAGCGAGTTCGTCCGCTCCTGCTGCGGCATTTGCGAGTGTAAGGACGCTACTCGTACATCCAGCTGCTTCAGAGTTCTTCTTAAAATCTCTGCTGTCACCGTTCTGTTGACAAAAATTATGGCAGTCGCTTCACCGTAGGTGCTGCTGGTGAGAATCTGATAAAGGTATGCCTCCTTTACCTGCTCCGGAACAAGAAGGTACGTAGTCTTCAGTGTAGCTGGAACTGCAACGTTGTCCATTGACTCAACCTCATAGGAGAAAAGTTTGGGTTTGCCTGGAACAGGAGGTGCATTTTGCAGCATCTGCACTTGGTCCGTTACAGTGGCTGTAAAAAGGAGATTTTGGCGGCTTGTTTTGGGCGGCAAGACCCCGACACACGTAGCCAGATCCTCCGTGAACGTGTCGGTCAAAAGAATATCCGCCTCGTCGAGAACCAGAAACTTGACTCTCTTCAGACCTCCCACTGTATCCTCACCACTGTTCATAACATGGTGCGCTAAACGGCCAGGTGTGGCCACTATGAAATGGGGCTTCTTTTGGAGCTCGATTGCCTGGTTGACGATGCTCTCTCCACCGACCACCAAAGCGACCCGAATGTTCATGGAACTGCCCAAAGCAGTGAACTGTTCTGCAATCTGCATGGCAAGCTCTCTCGTAGGAGTCAACACGACTCCGAACATCCCGCTAGGATCTTCCGACCACTTGGTGAGTATAGGTCCCGCGAACGCAATAGTTTTACCCGAACCCGTCTTGGCACCACCAATACAGTCTCTTCCTCCCAAAATCTGTGGGATGCAAGCTCTTTGAATATCAGTTGGTTGCGTTATCTTCATGGAGCGCAGAGCCTCAACCAGCCATTTTGAGATTCCCAAAGTAGAGAAATTGCCACCGCTTTCAGTAAAGCTTGTCATTACAAGGTAAGTAATCCCCTGTGTTGCCTCTTACTCTATTGTTCAGTGTTTAGCACTATCACCTAACGATGCGAGATGAGATGAGGTGAGATGAGATGAGATTTTGGCGGGTGATGTTTTTTTGCCAGCTTAAAAAAGAGGTCACATGACTATGATTTCTATCAAGCTTTCCCAGCACACGCTGCCATCTTGCGCAACAACAGCTTTATATTCTGACCGTTCAACGCGCTAATTGGTATCACATCCCAATTTTGGGACTGGCAAAAATCTCTTATTGTATAAAACTTCTTTTGGCTGGCTGGATCTTCATGACCGATATCTGCCTTATTGCAAACCACCAGCACGTTTTTCTTGGCGACTTCCTCCAGGCCACCCAGTTCTGTGATTAGTAAATTGAGGTCCTTCAATGGGTCTGAATTACCTAAACTGAGTACCATAACCCAGCCTTTTGATCGTTGAATGTGTCTAATAAATTCTAGGCCCATGCCTCTGTCGTTGGCCGCTCCCTCAATGATGCCTGGAATGTCAGCAACGGTGAAACTGAGCCCGTCAATACCTAGTTTAACGGTGCCCACACTTGGATGGGTTGTGGTGAATTCCCAGTGGCCAATTCGAGGCCTGGCGTTGGATATGCGATTTAAAATGGTTGATTTGCCAGCATTAGGTAGACCAACCAAACCCAGGTCTGCCAGACTTTTCAGCTCGAACATAAAGTGCTGCTCAAGACCGCTCCGTCCCATTTTTGCGAAACGTGGGTTTCGGATGACGTTCGTCAAAAAATGCATGTTTCCCAAACCACCTTTCCCACCCTTTAACAAGCAAACAGGCTTCTCGCTAGGTTTGTCGAAGTCTAAACCACGCAGCGGGAATCGGTCCGTTTTCAGCTCAGATTCCGCGGCCTCAAGGTCGTAAACCTTTACCTTCTCGTTCAACTCCTGAAACCACGATTTGTCTGAGTGATACACCTTGTCTTTACCCTTGAAATTCCAGCCCTCGCCTGGTCCGTAAGATTCGCGGAACAGCTGAATATGTGTGGGTTTCTGGTCCATCTCGAAACGGCCTGTGCAATGCAGACTTACCGTTTGTTTATCAAGTGCGGTCCTGGCAGGCACCGCGTTTGCTTTTCTGTAGGCTTGCACGGCGTGGCGAACTGGTATGGGATCCATACACCATTTAATCACAGTGCCTACTGGAACCATGATCAAAACGTCCTTTCCGCGAGCACCGTCCAGCTGCTTCGCAGCTCCACTCTCTCCATCAGTGGCTCTGTAGCTGGTTTTCAATTTGGCAAGACTATTTAATCCTTCAACGGCTTGCACGTAGATTCCTCCTCCATCTCCTCCGTCTCCTCCATCAGGCGGTCCAATAGCTCTACCGGCATCCCGGAAGAATGATACAGCACCGTTACCACCGCTGCCGCTACGTAGTTTAAGAACCCTTAGATCAACAAATTCTTTAGCCTGCGCATGACGTTGAGTCTTGGGTTGCAGGTAACTGACCGTCGTGAACTGAGACAAAGATGCTTTTACATTAATATATGGAGTCTCGGGAGGAGTTGAAGCAATTTGGAATCTTGGTTCTACGTCAACGGCAGTCTCGAGCTTACTTTTATTGCCCGACTTATCTCGATTAACAGATCCCACGGCCTTGTTTTGGGGGCTTCCAAGTTTCCGCAACCAGGACTCATTGTCTGATGCTTTAGGTGCATTGGCGGGGGCTTTTGATAAAAGCCTAAAAGACTGAGGCCTCCTCACCGACTGTTGGAAAAGTCTCGCCTTCATCATTGTCAAAGCGTCTTTCTTGCCGATATTAAATGAACTTCTGCTTGAACAGAATTAAAATGAAGCCAATGTTCGTCACGTGCATTTTCAGCATGCATCGTTTCGACTAGTCTTGCCATGTAACTGCTTGGCCCTCGTCGAGTTTCAGTAATTGTCCCTCAATACGCTTGCTTCAGGACATCATAACATCTTTGTCGGGAATCGCTTTTTCAAGCTGAGGCTTAAGATTTTCGATTCTCCGGAGAGTCTGAGTTATTGAGTGCGCATCATCGCCAAACATCGTGTTTTCGATAGATTCATAGTTCGCCTTCCATCGTGTCACCTCAGAAGTCATGTCTCTGAGCTTATCGCGCAAGATATGTTGATTTTCCAAGGTATACCGAGCTTTTTCCATTTTGTGCGAGTCCACCCAGCCAAGTAGTCGAGACTTCAGATATTCGATATCCTTAACATCCCCATCTCCACTAGTTTCGTATGCATCCAAGATGTGGTCTATATCGAGCTCGTCGTCAGCGCCAAGTGCAGTCTTGCTCGAATACAGAGCTGTGTCGCATAATTTAGATGACAGCCTTCCGATGAGATTGATGTGCTCCATATGAAGATTGTAACTCTCAGATATTTCGTAAATGGACTGTAACAGTTCTGTGATATTTCCTTCTTTGTCGATAGACGCAGTGAGTCTGCTCTTTGCCACGTCGGCTGATGGTCCCAATTTCAATTTAGTGTTATAAGACTCGATGATACTGATATGTCCATCTCTAAGATCTGCCATGGACATCATAAAAGGACCGAAATCAGCTCTCATAGCCATAAGCGCTTCATTCTTCGCAGAGTCGTTGGCGGAGTCTTCCACCAGTGTCTGCAGGTTGTCGAGCAGCCCATTAGAGAGCTGGTAATTGGACTTCAAGAGCGCGACCAACTCATCCAGCATTGATTCAACATTTTTCGAGTCCATTGGCGATGCTCTAGTACTGTGAAAAAATCTTCACTGGAGCTTTGCAAAAGAATGTTTACTACGCTACCTGTAGCTTTATTTATCTCTATACATTTAACTAATATCGTTTACTTTTTCAGATATTTTGTGCCGAGTATCACATCGCATCTCATCAAAAGAGGCACTCCATATAAACCCTTCAATTTATAAACTTCAAAGGATCAGCGTGTACCAAGCCTACAATATGGATTTGCCATCTAACCAGCTTCTTATAGAGATTAGAGCAGAGTTGAGGGAGTCAGCCTCGCAATTGTCACGATTAAAGCTTTACAATTCTTCTAAATGGTCAGCAGAAGCGCTATGGGGGATGTGTGAAATTGAGCCAACACCTATTGTGTCAGACTTGATGAAGAACGACGAATCTCCATTGAGAAGCAGAAGCAATGCAAACGCTATCGAATCCCAGCGCTCGCCGGAAAAACAGGGCCCGGGTATGGACAGTTCGGAATACAACTTGTATTTGCTGGCATCGAGCTTATTTGATTGTAAGGAATTTGATAGATGCGCATTTTTCTTAGCAGACAGCCAGCATCCAGAGCTTCTGTTTCTCAAACTATACAGCAAATATCTGTCGTGGGATAAGAAAACCCAGGAGAGCGTGGAAAGCATGCTGACAGCGGGGGACGTCAAGGGTGTCGACGGCATGAGCAGCTCTGGCGACGGTAACAGGAGTAGAGATAACATAGAAAGGCTTCGAAACCATGAGGCTGGCGATGGCAGAGCGCTGAAGAAGTTCCAGAAGTCGGTAGATCTCGACAATGGCGAGTCCACAAGCGTGCCCACAATTTTGAAGGAACTCAATGATTACTTATCAAAAGATCAAGAAGGAGACGAAAGCGCTGGAATAGGAGTTGCTTTGCTTCACTACTTGCGGGGGTTGCTATACAAATTACAAGATATTCCTTCTAATGCAATAAGTTCGTTTCTGTACTCGCTGTCCCTTTTCCCTTACAATTGGACCTGTTGGACTGAGCTCATAAGCTGCATTTCACGCTCAGACGAATCGTTGTTGCTTTTGAAGGTACTGAATGAGAAGTTCATATCTGAGAAGTCTCAAATCATGCTCAAGTTCTTCAAGTTATCAGTGTTCCAGGAATTCAACGGAAACATTGACGATTTCATTCAAGAACTGGACTACCTTTTATCGATATTTCCCAACTTTGCATTTCTCAAGACCCAGCATGCACTCATCAATTATCATTACATGGATTACGTGAGTGCCGGGCTCATTTTTGACCAGATCATTAAGTTAGATCCCTATCGCCTAGAGGACATGGATACTTATTCGAACATTCTATACGTGATGCAGAAAACCTCGAAACTAGCATATCTTGCACAGTTTGCATCGGGTGTTGACAGGTTTCGAGCGGAGACCTGCTGTATTATCGCGAATTATTACAGTGCTAAACAAGAACATGAGAAGTCAATCATGTACTTTCGCCGCGCCCTAACGCTTAACAAAAATAGCACCAGTGCTTGGACTTTGATGGGACATGAATTTGTCGAATTAAAAAACTCTCATGCGGCTATCGAATGCTATCGACGCGCTGTGGATATTAACCCCAGGGATTTCAAAGCGTGGTACGGTTTGGGTCAGGCCTACGAGGTCCTGGACATGCATTTGTACTCGCTGTACTATTTCCAGCGCTCATGCGCACTTAAGCCCCTAGACAAGCGTATGTGGCAGGCCTTGGCAAGCTGTTACGAAAAGGTCGATAGTACCGATGAGTCCATTAAATGTTATTCAAGAGCGCTTCAACTGTCTCTGAATAGCGACCAGGACACCTCAATTCTTTTTAGACTGGCAGTTCTGCACGAACAACTACAGGATATTGCTAGCTGCAAGACATATATGGTGAAATGCGTAGAAGCACATCAAAACACAGATGGTCTCATAAGTGACGAGATTACGAAGGCAAGTTTATGGCTGGCAAGACATGAAGCAAAGCACAAAAGATTCAGCGAAGCGTACAAATACGCTTTAGGCGTAACACACGGGACCTCTCAGGAAATTGAAGAAGCTCGTGCAATAGCTCGAGAGTGTAGAAGGCGAATGGAATAAAGCTACGTTCGATGCCCTCTTAATTGCACGTGATCTCCCTTTTTTATAATGCCAAAATTCAAAATTTTTGAAATATGGCAATACAAGTAGAACAAATGTGTATAGCGAAGTAACGACTTCTAATATTCTTATTCTCATACTCCTAAGGAAGTTGCGTTGAGGTTTATATCAAAAACCACTGTTGGCGAGTAGTTTCATCTGTTTGGGAACTCAGACACATTATGAGCGGCCTTCCACCGCCTCCGCCACCCCCAGGATTCAAGAAAGGGTCCTCTTTACCGCCGCCACCACCACCCCCGGGATTCAAAGCCTCTAACTCGAAATCTTCACAGCAAAATGGACCAAACAATCAGAACATACCACACTCATCAGAAAACAGCTTTTCGCGAGCAGCAGACGGTGATGGTAGGAAGGATTGCTATTCTCAATTTGAGGCAAACAAAGCATCTACGTTACCACCACCCCCGCCTCCTCCAGTGCTCTCTAACCCTTCTCTAGCTAACTCTTCAAAGTCAGGACTGCCGTCTCCTCCTCCACCTGTTGGCACTGCCACTCATGCGGTAAAAAAACAGAAAATCACTTCAAATGGCGCTAAGGGTATCACTAGACTAACGCCCGAAGAGCTTCGTCTCAAACGAAACGAATGGCTCAATCTTCAAAAAACAAGATTCAAAAGAAGAGAAACGACATCCACTGTCAAAGGTAAGGCCCATAGACGTGGCCTAGTGCACTCTCATAAAGTAGATATGCCTCCTGAGCATCTCAGAAAAATAATCAATGATCATCGGGACATGTCATCCAAGAGGTTCAATACTGATAGAAGGGCCTCTTTAGGGGCGCTTAAATACATGCCTCATGCAATTTTAAAGCTCATAGAAAACATGCCACAACCTTGGGAGCAAGTAAAAGAGGTGAGAGTGTTATATCATAACAGTGGTGCCTTAACCTTCGTCAACGAAATACCGAGAGTAATAGAGCCTATTTTTGCTGCGCAATGGTCAACAGTATGGATTGCTATGAGAAGAGAGAAGAGAGACCGCCGTCATTTCAAGAGAATGCGATTCCCGCCGTTCGATGATGATGAGCCTCCTCTTTCATATTCCGAGCACGTACAACATATCGAACCATTAGATGCCATCAACCTGCAGCTGGACGAGATAGATGATGCTGCGTTAAGGGACTGGTTTTTCGATTCCAGACCCCTACTCGAAAGCAAAGAAAATGTCAATGGCTCGTCATACAAAGATTGGAAACTTGATCTTCACATCATGTCCATTTTGTACAGAATAACTTCTCCTTTGGTGGACAGAGACCAGGATGCCAACAGTCGCTATCTGTTTGACAAGGAGTCTTTCTTCACCGCCAAAGCGCTAAACAACGCGATTCCAGGAGGGCCTAAGTTCGAACCATTATACCCCGAAGAAGATGAAGGCGATTATGACGATTTCAATTCTATTGATCGCGTTATTTTCCGAATTCCTCTTAAAACGACCTACAAAGTTGCTTTTGCTCATCTCTACAACAACCGGCCCAGGTCCGTGCGGCTATCTTGGTACAGTGCCCCCATATCTTGTTGCGTAAGCAAAGATAGAGATGAAAAAACGTCTGCTTTTCAATTTAATGAGTCTTTCAACCTAATTCGAAAGTCTCCAGAAAACAGAAACAAAACTTTGGTAAGCAGCGACTTCGCGCTTCCATCTAATTTTAAGGCATGTATGGAAGATATGGAGTTGGAGACACCAGAGACACAAGATGCTTTCTCTTTATTCCATGCACCCTTCCCGTACAATAGACGGACTGGGAAGACAATTCGATCACAAGATGTGGCCTTGATCAAGAAATGGTTTCTGCAAAGACCCGGAAGTGAAATCCCGATAAAAGTAAGAGTATCTTACCAAAAATTGCTAAAAAATCATGTTCTGAATGAGCTGAGAGAGTCGCACACGAGGGCAAGAAACAAGAAGAAGCTTCTTAGAAGTTTGCGAAATACTAAATTCTTTCAGCAGACGACCATTGATTGGGTTGAGGCGGGCCTACAAGTATGCAATCAAGGATTTAATATGCTCAATCTGCTTATTCACAGAAAGGGCCTAACTTATTTGCACCTTGATTATAACTTCAACCTAAAGCCAACAAAAACATTGACAACAAAGGAGCGTAAAAAATCGAGGTTTGGGCACGCCTTTCATCTCATGCGAGAAATTTTAAAAGCCACCAAACTCTTGGTGGATGCTCACGTTCAATTTAGACTGGGAAACGTTGACGCATTTCAACTAGCTGACGGTATCAATTACATCTTAAACCACCTGGGGCAATTAACTGGGGTCTACCGTTACAAGTATAAGGTTATGCATCAAATCAGAGCTTGTAAAGACCTCAAACATATCATCTATAACCGCTTCAACAGAATAATTGGAAAAGGTCCAGGGTGCGGGTTCTGGCACCCATCATGGCGTGTTTGGATATTTTTTATGAGAGGCGTTATTCCTCTCTTGGAACGATGGTTAGGAAACTTACTGGCGCGTCAGTTCGAAGGCCGATCTAACGAAGTTGTCAAGACTGCAACAAAGCAACGTCTGGACGCATACTACGATTTGGAGCTAAGAGCGGCGGTTATGAATGATATTCTTGACATGATGCCGGAAGGCATGAAACAAAATAAAACAAAGACCATTTTACAACATCTCAGCGAGGCTTGGCGATGCTGGAAGGCCAATGTCGCGTGGAATGTGGCTGGCATGCCAGAGCCTGTGAAAGCTATCATTGAGAGGTATATCAAAGCGAAAGCTGATGGATGGGTTTCAGCCGCACACTACAATCGAGATTGCATCAAGCGTGGTGCTCATGTGGAGAAAACTGCAGTAAGGAAAAACTTAGGCCGGCTAACCCGTCTTTGGATGAAGTACGAGCAAGAGCGACAGCAGAAAATTGAGAAAAATGGCCCTGAAATTACACCAGCGGCTGCCACGATCATATTTAAGGCCATGGTTAATTGGTTAGAGATCAATAATTTCTCCCCCATACCATTTCCTCCTTTGACGTACAAAAATGATACAAAAATCCTGGTTCTTGCTTTGGAAAATTTAAAGAACGCTTATTTTTCAAAAGTTAGACTAAATGCAAGCGAGCGGGAGGAACTGGCGTTGATTGAAGAGGCATATGACAATCCACACAACACCTTAAATCGAATCAAGAAATACCTTCTCACGCAAAGAGTTTTCAAGCCTGTTGATCTTTCGATGAAAGATGAGCTTCTTCAAATATCCCCCGTTTACTCGGTAGATCCTTTGGAGAAAATTACTGATGCATACCTCGACCAGTATTTGTGGTACGAAGGTGATCGAAGACATCTCTTTCCGAACTGGATTAAACCAAGCGATACCGAAATTCCCCCTCTTTTGGTATATAAAATGGCCCAAGGTATTAATAATGTGAGTGAAATATGGGATGTGTCAGATGGACAGTCAACGGTCTTGCTGCAGACAACATTGGAAGAAATGGCAGAGAAGATTGATTTCACTTTACTAAATCGGCTTTTGAGACTCATTATGGACCCCAATATGGCTGATTACATCACAGCTAAAAACAATATCATTTTGAACTTCAAAGATATGAGCCATGTAAACAAATATGGCTTAGTTAGAGGGCTACAGTTCTCTTCGTTTGTCTACCAGTTTTATGGCCTTATGGTGGATCTTTTAATTTTGGGACCTGAAAGAGCTCTTGAACTAGCAGGGCCGCCTAGCTCGCCAAATGAGTTTCTGCAATTTAAGAACCTAGACGTTGAAAAGCGGTCTCCACTAAAGCTCTATTGCAGGTATTTTGACAAAATTCACATACTGTTTCATTTTCAAGAAGAGGAAGCGGAGGAACTTGTTCGAGACTATCTCTCTGAGAACCCAGATCCTAATTTCGAAAACGCGGTAGGCTACAACAACAAAAAGTGTTGGCCTAAGGACTGTCGAATGAGATTAGTTCGAGGTGATGTGAATTTGGGCAGGGCTGTTTTCTGGGAGGTCGCTGGCCGTGTTCCTTTATCATTAGCCAATATTACATGGGAAAACTCACTTTCTTCTGTCTACAGTAAGACCAATCCGAATTTGCTCTTCACTATGTGTGGATTTGAAGTGCGGATACTCCCTAATATACGAGCAGAAGAGATAATCTCGTCAGATGAGGGAGTTTGGGATTTAGTTGAGGAAGAGACGAAGCGCAGAACCGGAAAAGCATTCCTGAAGATTTCCGACGAAGGCGTCGAAAAGTTCAATAATACTATCAGAGGTATTTTGATGGCATCTGGTTCAACAACTTTTACGAAGATAACTGCGAGGTGGAACACCGCCTTGATTTCTTTGTTTGCTTACTATCGAGAGGCTATTGTGGCAACCGAAGCGCTTTTAGATGTGCTTGTTAAATGTGAGACCAAGATACAGAATCGAGTGAAATTGGGACTCAACTCCAAAATGCCGACCCGGTTTCCTCCGGCTGTTTTTTACACACCAAAGGAACTTGGAGGTTTAGGTATGTTAAGTGCATCCCACATTTTGATTCCAGCCTCTGACCTTTCCTGGTCAAAGCAAACTGATACTGGAATAACTCATTTTAGGGCAGGGATGACGCACGAGGAGGAGAAACTTATCCCTACTCTGTTTCGTTACATAACCACTTGGGAGAATGAATTTTTGGACTCGCAGAGGGTCTGGGCGGATTATGTTGCGAAGCGCCAAGAGGCATTACAACAAAACCGTCGCTTAGCTTTCGAAGAGCTGGAAGGTTCATGGGATCGTGGTATACCTCGTATTAGTACTTTGTTTCAGAAGGACCGACACACTTTGGCTTACAACAAAGGGCACCGAGCTCGGCTCGAGTTTAAGCAGTTCTCGCTAGAGCGAAGTAATCCATTCTGGTGGACTGATGCACACCACGATGGTAAACTTTGGAATTTAAATGCGTACAGAACCGATGTCATTCAAGCCCTCGGAGGGATTGAAACCATTCTGGAACACACCCTTTTCAAGGGAACTGGATTTAGCTCCTGGGAAGGGCTTTTCTGGGAAAAAGCATCCGGTTTTGAGGACTCTATGCAGTTCAAAAAATTAACGCATGCGCAAAGAACAGGGTTGAGCCAGATTCCAAATCGTCGTTTCACTTTATGGTGGTCACCGACAATCAATAGAGCAAACGTTTACGTTGGGTTTCTTGTGCAACTTGACCTGACCGGCATATTTTTACATGGCAAAATTCCAACTCTCAAGATTTCTCTGATACAGATCTTCAGGGCTCATTTGTGGCAGAAAATCCATGAAAGTATTGTTTTCGATATTTGCCAAATCCTAGATGGCGAAATGGATATGTTACAGATTGAATCAGTCGACAAAGAAGCCATTCATCCCCGTAAATCATATAAGATGAACTCTTCTGCTGCTGATGTTACGTTGAAGAGTAATTATTCTTGGAATGTCTCTGGGCCTTCCCTTCTTCATCACACGAACGAACAATATGATGCAACCAGTACAAACAAAATGTGGGTCGACGTTCAACTTCGCTACGGTGATTACGACTCGCATGACATTTCACGCTACGTGAGAGCAAAGTTTCTGGACTACACCACCGACAATGTCAGTATGTATCCTTGTCCTACTGGTGTCATGGTAGGTATCGATCTGGCGTACAACATGTACGATTGTTATGGTAACTGGTTTGACGGTATGAAAACGTTAATGCAAAATGGTCTCAAAACGATAATGAAAGCAAACCCTTCACTATACGTTCTCCGAGAGAGAATTAGAAAAGGGCTACAAATATATCAGTCTCAAACACAAGAACCCTTTTTGAACTCTTCGAATTACGCTGAGCTGTTTAGTGACGACACGAAACTTTTCATCGACGATACCAATGTTTACAGAGTAGCGGTGCATAAGACATATGAGGGAAACATCGCTACCAAGCCCATCAATGGTTGCATCTTTACACTGAACCCTAAGACAGGAGAGCTTTATCTGAAGATCATACACACATCAGTGTGGGCAGGTCAAAAGCGTTTAAGCCAATTGGCGAAATGGAAAACTGCTGAAGAGATAAGCGCCTTGATTAGATCGTTACCCAAAGAAGAACAACCAAAGCAAATCATAGTTACGAGAAAGGCAATGCTAGATCCCCTCGAGGTGCACATGTTAGATTTCCCCAATATCTCTATCAGGCCGACAGAACTGAAACTACCTTTCTCAGCTTCATTAGCGATTGAGAAACTTTCGGATGTCGTCATGAAAGCAACTGAGCCACAAATGGTGTTATTCAATATCTACGATGACTGGCTAGAACGAGTGTCGTCTTACACTGCGTTCTCGAGGCTCATTCTGCTGCTGAGGGGGTTGAGAACAAATGAGGAGAAAGCGCAAATGATTTTGAAGAGTGACCCAACGATACCCATCAAAGATTATCACGTTTGGCCTTCTTTCAGCGATGAGCAGTGGATAGAAATTGAGAGCAAAATGCGTGATTTGATCCTAGAAGAATATGGGAAGAAGTACAACGTCAATATAGCATCACTGACTCAAACAGAAATTAAGGATTTGATTTTGGGTCAAAACATTAAAGCGCCGTCTGTTAAGAGACAACAAATGGCTGAAATAGAAGCCGCGAAATCTTCAAATATCAACAATGGTGGTGAACAGCAGTCGGCTGTGGCAACCAAAATCATGCAAACAAACGCACAAGGCGAAGAGATCATGGTAGTTACATCGACTAACTACGAAAATCAAGCTTTCAACTCCAATAATGAATGGCGCCAACGAGCTATATCCAATTCTTTGCTCTATATGCGCCTAAGGACAATATACCTATCTTCAGAAGAGTTTGTGGAGGAAAAGAACGTGTACATTCTGCCCAAAAATCTCCTCAAGAAATTTGTTGAAATCTCGGACTCAAAAGCGCAGGTGGGTGGTTTCATTTTTGGCAAATCCGCTGCGGGGCATGAAAATGTGAAGGAAATCAAAGTCATCGTAATGGTGCCACAACTTGGTAGCAACCATACAGTTCAGCTAGGCCAATTCTCACAGAATTCACCTTACCTACAGGACTTTGAGCTGCTCGGATGGATTCACACTGATGGCGAGGAGCTGAAATGCATGTCAGCTCCGGATGTGACGGTGCACTCAAACTTATTTCAAGACCAACAAGATGCCATAGATTTGTCGGTATACCTCAGCCCGGGTTCGGTCTCGTTAGCAGCATACACATTGTCAGATGAGGGCTTTGATTGGGGCTCGAACAATAAAGAGCTTTTCGCCAGGTCTCCTGAAGGTTTTGAGCCTACATTTAGCGAGCACGCGCAACTGATGCTGTCTGATCGAATTACAGGGTATTTTTTGGTTCCAACCTCTGATCTTTGGAACTATGCTTTTATGGGAGCCGCTTTCAACCCAGAGAGTAGTACTGAATTGAAGCTAGATGTTCCGATAGAATATTACAATGAGCTGCACCGGTCCGTTCACTTCCTGCAATTTGGCGAGGTGGTAGACAACGAAGAATTAGAGCCTGATCAAGAGGACGTGTTCGGATAAAATAACCAGGATCGTATATAATTTTGTTACCAAGAAGAGCATTAATGAGAATTTCCGTGGCATAGACTTAAGAGCTAGTGTTATTATCGAGATCGAAGTTATATTAGCGTTATTATGATCCTTCCCATCTGGCTCGGACGGATCACTTTAATTGAGGAAAAAAAACTTAAACTCTATTAATTTTTCAGTTAGCGATGAGCCAAAGACAATAACGGTTTGACCATCGATGAGCGATGTCCAAGAATCAAATGTGATTAGCCGTCAGCAGATTACATCTACTGTAAATAACACAAGGCGCTCGTTGGAAGAGCGTCGAAAAGCGTTGTTGAAGTCCATTTCTGACAAGAAAGAAAAACTGCGAAACGACATTGTGCTGACCGAAAAGAAGGAGCAGGTTCGCGACGCGATTGATGACATTATAAGGTTAGGTTACAGCTTCGAAAAATTACGTGATGAGTCTGGTATAAGCCCACGATTTCTAAGAGAAGCATTTGAAAGTACAGGACGAGTGCTCGCAGTGCCGGATTCGGTGACGGATGAAGTGCAGGAAAAAGAAGCAATCGCGAGTGAATCTGAGCATACTGAGAACACCGAAACCCCCCATTCGACGCCAAACCCCACATCATATTCTTCCAAAGCGCCCAGCACCAAAAGACGAAAGTTGGCGGCGGAAAGGCCTGTTTGGCTTCGGGACCTCGTGATTGACCTTACGAGTAGCGGGGACGAGTCTGACTATGAAGTTCAAGAGAAGAAACCTCCCGTCATTGAAGAAAGGACCCAACGAGAAAGTGACATCATCAACCTGGGTTCTGAGGTGAGCAGAATTGGAATGCGTTTAAAAATCGAAATCTCACGCCTGACGCAGCGAATTCGCGCCACTCACCAGCTACCCATGAATGATGAGCTTTTAGCTCCATTGATGGATCGAAAAAATTCTATGCTTAACGATATCACCACCTTGTTCGACGAAATAATTTCGAAAAAGCAGCCCTAAGTGGTGGAATAAAAAAGTGCATGTTGGAAACTTACTTGGCAAAGCGTGCCAGTAACATTCACCTTCTTGGAGATATTCTACAAAACTAATAATTGAACTTGAACATTTTGAATTTTCTAGCTATCTCAAGACCCTTATCAACTAAACAACAGTTAAGAGTGTTAAAAACATTCAATTGTATAGACTCTGCAACTGAGCTGATTCCATCCTGACGTAAATGGTCTATACTAGCCCTCATACTCAAAGTATTATGATTTATGTATATTTCGTATATGGCGATATTAACAGGGAATTTGACAACAAAATGAGGAATGTTGAGAACAGGATCAAAATCAACCCTTTGCTCAAAATATCGATCTGCGTAACTTCGTCCCCTTAAAACTTCTTTACCTTGTATCAATGGGCGTAAGAAACGCTAAGAAAAGAGGACCAAATCATTTTGCCTCTCCTGAGCGGTTGAACGCAGTGGATGAAAGCGCTAGCAATGAAAAAAGCTCGGCGGTAAGTTCAAGCACCAGCGAAAAAGCAGCTAAAATGAAGAAGAGGTATAAATTTACACCGATCGACAAGATAAAAGATCGTGCAGATAAGAAGGAATCACCACCAGGATTGCTACGGTCCATACCCGTGTCTCAAATTCGGAAATCCAAAGTGGACGATAATTCAGCGCCACCGCGAGAAGCTGTTAGTATTAGGCATACCAAAACCTCAGACAAGATCAGCACGAGTGGAAGAAAATTTGAAGAAAACACAGGTAGGTCTGAAGAAGTGGTTTGGCAATACTCCCCGAAAAAAAATCCCAGATCAGAAGGCTCGGATGTAGACTTAGGCTACCGATCGCTCTCCGAGGACAGTGTGCTTGAACAGGTCGTCAAAGAGTCTTCTACGCCAATTGTTCCAAATAAATATAGGAGCGTTTTGAATCTCCCGCACATGAATAACGAGCAAGACCATAATGGCGAGCCTGCAAGCCTGGCTTCAAGAAATCCTTCGCTGCGGCAGAATTCCCTCCCTAAGTCTTTTGACGAACAGTCACCTTCTAGGCCTTCAACACGCGACATTGACGAGATAATTCACGACCTCGAAGGCCAACATGAGTTGAAACCACCCTTTCCCGCAGAGGACATCCCATCGTCGCCTATTTCATCATATACACAAAAATTAAGAGCCAGGAAAGATCCTTGCAGATCACCAACGTCACCAACGCGTAATGCGAAAAAATTCCAAAATCAATTGTTGGTGGATCAGCATAAAAGCGCCACAACCCTGCGTACACTATCCTTGGCAGAGAATTTACGAGCCAGGAGAAATAATCCCAAATTGCGGAGTTTTGATCCTAAACAGTTTCAAAATCAATCATCACAGGACCAACATAAAGACACACCATCCTTGCCGTCCTTTGAAGTGACGCGAGTCAAAATTAAGAATGGAGAGCAGTCGCAAGCCGCTCCTCGATCATCGCCAGTTGCCACAGGCCTTGATTCGCCAAAAAATGACGTTTATGACGTTAACAAAGCTACAAACGAAATGAATAACGATAATAATGACAGTGAAAATGACAACGACAATGATGGAGATAATGACAAAGACAATGACAACAGTATTATCCAAAACGATGATGACGAAAGTTACGATGAAGAGGATGATGACGATGGTTCTTTGATAAAAATATTAACACAAAAGTTCGGGGACAGCGAAAATCATAAAATTCCTGAGGCAGCTTCCAAAAATATACAAAGCGTAGAATCAAAATCCGATGGAACTTTCTCGGACGATTCCGGTGACGATTCTCTTATCAATTTGCTCCATGCAACTGCCCAGAACCCAAAGGATCTGCCACCCGAATGTAGTCAAAGGGAGCCCGAAATTGATGCGATCGAGCAAACATTTTCTCAAAACGTACATGTCAAAGATAATGAGCTGAAGTGGAACGAAATTATCAAGGACTACGTGGAACGAGCCCAATTTGCTGTTCAAAGGAACGACATGGAAAGAATGGTAATTGTGGAGATTAAAGATCATTTTATCAAACAAAACGTGAGGCAAAAAGTCCTCGTGTGCGTGGATAAGGAAAGCAAATCCTGCAATTTAGTTGTTAGACAGCCTTGGGTCGACTTACCCTTTGAACAAGGTGATGTGGTACACACCATTCCTGGCCAAAACTGCGCCAACAAAAGGCTGTTTTCGAATGACAAAGAACCTTACACTGGAAAAATCAACGACAACTTGTTGATTCTGAACCCAGATATTCTTCTTGCAGCAACAACCATCGGAAGAGCCGTCGAATGTCAAAGAAAAGCGATTATTTGCACTCAGTTTAATGGACCTGGCGAACCTAGTCTTCCTGCTTTGACAGGATCAATTGTACATGAGTTACTACAAGCGTGTCTTCAGTACAAGCTTGTTAACGATAATCTTTCGGATAAGTTCGTTTCCTCTAAACTGTATGATCTGTTGGAATATCATTCAGCGGATGTAACGCTATGTGGGACAACAAAACACCAGCTCTCTAGACAAATTGAAGAAGATCATCTTTCAAACATAAAAGACTTCACACGCAAATATGTGAGAAGTCACGGTCCCCATGGGACACCAAAATCAGGTACTCAAATTACACGAAATAAAGTGCCCTTTGGAATCTCGAACATCATTGACATCGAGGAAAACATTTGGTCCCCAATGTATGGGTTGAAAGGCTTCATTGACGCTACAGTTGAAGCACAATTCCCAAATAACTCAAGATTCATTACTCCGCTTGAGCTTAAGACAGGAAAAACAAAGTCAATATCCCATGAAGTGCAAGGAAGTATTTATACGCTACTGCTGAATGACCGATATGAAGTTCCTGTCAATTTTTTTCTGCTGTTTTACACAAAATCCAACGATTTTGACAAGCAAAACACGTTGCTTGCTTCAATTAAACACCTACTAACACTGAGAAATCAGGTCTCCACTTTTCTTAAGCACGAACTAAAGGAGATCAATAACTCAAAGTGGAACGGCACTATTCTTCCGCCTATTCTAAGAAGTTCAGAGTGTGATAATTGTTACTCTAAAACCGAATGCATGGTTCTGAACAAACTCTGTGAAAATGGAAATGCAGCTGATAGCGGTCTGAAAGATGGTGAATACGAAGCTCTAACAGCACATCTCTCTGGAAATCCTCTTTCATACAAAGAATTTTATTTGAAATATGAAGATCTCATTGTGAAAGAGGAATCTAGCCTTAATGGTATCAACAGAAAGGTTTTTCTAGTTGACAGCCGTACTCGGGAATCGATTAGTGGCAAATGTCTTAGCAGTTTGCGAATAGAAAATATCGAGGAGCACAAGTTCACCAAAAACATTGAGTATACTTTCAGCAGGAAAAGTGGCGAAAGAGACCTACCACCGATGTCAAAATCTCAAATTTCCAAAGATGAAATCGTCATAATAAGCGATGAGATCGGTCATTTTTCACTGTGCACTGGTCGTGTGACTAACATCTCTAAAGCTTCGATCACTGTAATGACGTCTAGAAGACTGGAAAACAATAACATTCACGCGCCAGGGTTTGAAAAATCCAACAATCAGACACTGAGAACTGTTCTTATGCCTGCTGCTCATTCGGGTTATAGCCAAAATGCAGGATTAAGTTATCGCATTGACCGAAACGAGGTACAGAGAGGGATGGCCATGGCGAGGTTCAACCTACTCAATCTCTTTCTTCCGCCTATTCCAGAAGGCACCATGACTATCGATGAGAATGGTGTCGGCACTGAGGTCAAAGCATCCTTGGGTGGTGACATCAAGACTCGGGAACTTCTTGTAGATGGGAGGGCTCCGACGTTTAGGCCCCTTTCGCGGCCACCGCCAACTGCTTGTGATGATTGCCTGAAGTCCAAATTTAACATGGACCAACAGACTGCATTTGACAAAGTTATGAGAGCTGAAGATTTTGCATTAATTTTGGGTATGCCAGGTACAGGAAAAACAACTTTAATTGTCGAAATTGTGAAATGTTTAGTTGAATGTGGTAAGAGTATCTTGCTGACTTCATACACGCATTCGGCTATCGACAATATACTTATCAAGCTGAAGCAATGTGGTATTGACATAATGAGGCTCGGCGCCAAGCACCGTGTACATCGAGAAACTCGAGAATTTGTTGTCGATGTGTCTGGCGCAGAAACTCTCAACGAACTACTTAAAATAACGGAGTCAGCTCCCGTTGTTGCAACTACCTGTCTCAATATTTACGATACTTTGCTCACAGTAAGGCGTAGAGATTTTGACTATGTCATCGTAGATGAGGCCAGTCAGTTGTCCTTGCCCATGTGTTTAGGGCCACTTAAATTTGCACCCAAGTTTGTCTTAGTAGGAGACCATTATCAGCTGCCACCATTAGTCAAAAATGAAGCGGCACGAGCTGGTGGTCTGGATGAATCACTATTCAAGATTTTGTGCGAAAAATACCCTTACAGCGTGGCGGAATTGACCCATCAGTATCGAATGTGTCAAGACGTCATGGCATTATCAAATTACTTGATCTACAACGGAAAACTAAAGTGTGGAAACGAAATGGTTCGAGACCAAGAGTTGTCGACGCCGAATTCAGCGGACCTGATTAAACTTCAGAATCAAAACGCTTCTAAGCCTTGGCTTGCAGACGTCATCGATAGCAAGCGAAAGGTAGTTTTCCTTAACCACGACCTTTGCGCATGCTGCCAAGAAACAGGAGATAGAGACAACATCACAAATGTTGGAGAGGCAGAAGTGGTCTGGCAGTGCGTTGCAGCTCTGGTAAAGAGTGGAGTTAAACGTAATGATATTGGTGTGATGACTTTGTATCGCGCCCAGCTTAGACTGTTGCGAGCGATGTTTAGCGCGGAGGAAGATGCGGAACTCGAGACTCTGACTGCGGATCAATTTCAAGGTCGCGACAAAAAGTGCATTATTATATCGATGGTGAGAAGTAATGATGGAGCTAATGGTGGCAACTTATTGCGAGAGCTGCGACGCGTCAACGTAGCAATGACCCGCGCGAAGGCGAAGCTGCTAATCGTCGGCTCGAAGAGTACGGTGGGCTCTGTAGAGACGATAAGCGGGTTCGTGGACTTTTTGGAAACGCGAGGCTGGATATACACGCTACCTTCAGATTGTCTCGAGTGCTACAATTTGGTGCGAAACACGCAGGTGGGACCGATGTCGCCGCGCGTGTCGGGCGAGCCAAAGCCTGCTGGCGGTATTACGGGAGATTCCAAATTTGCGCGGAACAAGCCTGTTCTTCGAGACATTCTGAACGGAATGTAGTGGCTAGTCGCGACAATTCCCAACGCAATTCCCGGTGGATCTGCACTGAAAGAAGTGACAGTCCATTGTGTCGTTTGTACACGTGACACGCCGCGTCAGCGACTAATAACTATAAAGTGACACCTTCTAATGAGACGATTTCCTGACGACACACTATGGTTTTTAAAAGCCACTTGCCGTTTCGTTCGAATGGCCGCCTGCACAACGGGCATCTTGAGTTTATATGGCCGGTTTTCGAAGCGACAGAAAGAGCGTGAGCATCAGAAGTCGTAGCGAGTTGTCGAAACGACAATAAACACACAACTCACACACAGGCACACCCACACACAGGCACACACATCACACCCATAGCACGACCTCCATTCACACTTTCGCACTTTCACACTTTCACCACAAAGCTACGCAACAAATGCACCTTTTTTAGGACACCAAGTGCATCCAGTAATTCTAGTGAAACTCATCTCACCTTGTCTGTCTCGCGTCAATCTCCAGCTTCAAGCCAGGGTGGCTTCCGTCCTGTCTTCCTTCTATCCTTCCACCCACCCATCCTTCCACCCCACATTACCACGTGATAATCACCTGACCACTTTCCCACAGCCGTGCGTCCCTTCAAGATTACGTCATCGGACTTTTCTCTAGCCCGCTCCTGGTCACCTGCCTCGTTCGGGACATCCGTGCCGAGAAGCAAACCGCGCGAGTAGCCAAAGGTCAGGAAATTAATATTCCTTAATAAACCCAACAAGGTCTCTCGGTTTCTCACTTGTGTTCTCTTTCTGTCCAAACAAGACGGTAAGCTCACAACTTCAACAAAGCCTGTGACGAGTACGAGAAGCAAACGGCAAACGGCAAACGCGCACGCACATATACAAATCAACGCGTGGTACCACTCATAGCTTCGACACCCTGGTTTTTGTTCGTGTTTCTGTACCATTCTCTCGTCCCCTTTCCAGGTTTCTTGATGAACACAGACTCTCAATTGCAACAAGTGGCAAATGGACTTGCACAGACGGAGCTCTCGTCGTCGCCAAAATGCGAGCCAGAAGTGCAGTCCAGCGCGTCGCACAGCCGTTCCGGCAGCCGTTCAGTCAGCAATTCGCCTGGCACGCCCACACCCAACTCCAGTGCATTGCAACTGGACCAGCTGGCAAACACGAATTTGCTTACGATTCGCATCAAGTGGAGCGACGTCGTGTCCAACGCCAACACAGACACGGAAGCCGGTGCCATTCCCAACACTCCGGCGTTCGTTACGTCGACGCTCGCAGCAGTGGTACACGCCCACCGTGGCGTGGCTGTGAACCCGTCCCTGATCGAGAACTACGAGTATCTCAGCGACAAGGGCCGCCAGGATGTGCTGGACGACAACCGCGACGTGTACATCCACGAGTCCGGCGCCACCCACGTTGAACAGTGGCCTGCAGCACGTGGCGACGGCACTGATCACGAGTCCACGTCCCCCTCCACGGCGGCGGCGTGGCCCTACGACTTCGTATTCCAGAGCCAGTTTAAGCATTGGGAAGACCTCGCTGCGGCACGTGACGCGGTGCTCGAAGAGCTACGACGTTTCGGCCAGGCTAAGACCACGGGTGGTGGCACCAGCACCCCCATCACTAGCACCCCAGAAGCCAGCGAGACCAGCGACAGTGATCACGATAGTGACACCGAGGACGTCTCAACTCCTTCACCGCTTGCCAAATGGTCTGTAAGCGAAAATGCACATGCTCTCACGCATCCTGGAAACCTGTACATTCGAGGCATCCCCAAGGACCTGACCGTTGATGATTTGATCCCCATTTTCGTCAAATTCGGGCCAGTACTGGCGTTGAAAATCATTTGCGATCCAAACACGGGTGAATCGCTTGGTTACGGATTTCTGTCGTACCCATTGGGATCGCAAGCTTCACGCTGTATTAAAGAACTTAACGGCAACCTCATGAACGGCTCGCCGCTTTTTGTGAACTATCACGTCGAACGCAAAGAACGCGAACGTGTACACTGGGACCACATCAAGGAAGATAACGATGACGAAAGGTTCCGCGGTGTCTTTATTGGAAACTTGCCAATCCAAGACGCGGACAAAAACCTAATAACACCCGAAGACGTGGTCTCTAAATTTCAAACCGCCCTTGCAAACGAAACAGAATCAGTGGAGGTCCTGTCGTACTATTTGCCTAAACGCAACAGTGAGAGTGACGTGGTTTACGACGACGAAAACGACGAGAAAACCAATGACGTTGAGACATGCGCTGCACGCCACGAGGATAGTCCGCTAAAGGGTTACGGTTTCATCAAGTTTGGCTCACATGCGCAAGCGCTGCGAGCCATAGAAAAGTTTCATGACTTTGAATGGTTTGGTAACACACTGGTTGTGAACAAAGCTGTCCAATCCAAGTCACACGCCCATCATCACTTCCATCATCACACTCATAATTCGTACAATCATCACCAAAATAACTCACACTATCATCACAACAAGCCCCGTCGTCATAGCGAGCGACCCGCTGTCGCCTCCAGACAACCCAGTCTCACTAATGTATCGTTTTATGCTCCGTTTAGCGGGTCTCAACCGGGACTTGGTTTTTTGCCCAGCGCTATGCCCGCGTATGCTCATGCTGGAGAGCTGGATCCTCACGACACTTCAGTAGGCTTCTCACCTGTTCCTTCGCCATCACCCAATCACAACTACATCACTTCGGGGCAATTGCATCCTTCAACGTTTGGTGTCCCACCCTCTTTGAGCACCACTCCAGAGGCTACCACTGCTCCTTCATCTCGCAATGGCTCAATGTTTCAAATACATCCTCAAAGCGGTATTTTACCTCATACTCCTTTCATGCTACCCATCCCTACTAAGGATCAACAAGAATCCAATTTGTACGTGAAGCACTTGCCCTTGAGCTGGAAAGACGAAGACTTTTATCGATTTTACGAGAAATTTGGCGAAATTATAAGCGCCAAAATCATAACAGTTGGAGGAAGTAAGAATGGGGAACTACCTGATAATTGGTCTTCTTCAAAGCCAAGTGAATCACCAGTGGGCACTTCAAGAGGTTACGGATTCGTATGCTTCAAAAACCCTTTGGATGCGTCAAGAGCCATGATGGTCACAGATCGGTACCAAGTTGACGAAAATCACACTTTATACGTGTCGTTTGCTCAAAAGCGGTCCAGGTCGGTGAGTAACGGTGACGCAATCCACATGGCGTCGAATGAACCCCGTTCTAGTGGTACACGCAGGAGTTTCCAGCATCAACAGGGTCCCAGGCCAGACTATTTTGGTAAATATAATCCCAAATTTTTGAATGCAATGATGCACCAACATGATGGCCACAAACAACTTTCGAGACCTCGTGGTAGCTGGCCTGTGGCTTTGGGGGTTCAAATGGTTCCACCGTATCCGATTCCCATGCTTTCGCCAATAGGGCCTTCAGTACCAGTTCAGTCCAGTGCAATGATCCCTGGTTCTAACGATACGGTTGGCGGAAACGATTCCAAGGCTGTTTAACAGAATTGAGGACTATAACGGACTTTACAACTTTTCAAGATATACTACTGCGTTGAGGAAAAAAATCATTATTCGTTTGTTAAAAGAAAGTCGAGCTAAGAAGCAGAGGAGAAGAACTTCTTCAAACGTTTCATCTGCTTGACGGCAAGTTGAATAAAAAAGTTCTTAGAGACCGATATGTATAGTGTCTAGAGAAAAATTATCCATTTGTTAAAAACAATTGGTTCTTAGCTGTTGAATAAGCTCGTCTTGTCACGGTACGTCGTGAGTGTCAAAAAGGTTGCGTTGTAAGTGTTTTCTCGATATATAATACATAAGTGTGTGTCGTAGTACGGGTATTCTGAATTTCAAATGTTTTCTGTGTTTTTGGGCTTGTTTGTAGTAAAACAAAGCCCGTTTTCGTGTCGCTGGTATAATATTGTTACAATGCACGCTTTGTGCAGTTAATCGGCGTGCCAAGAGAAATAGAAGGACTTTGGAAATGAAGGTTGTTTGGTCGGTGGAAACGTGAAGGCTGATGGCGCTCAAGGAGCGGGGAATGAAGAGCCGCGTGGATGGTGAATTGAAAGCTGTAAACACGTCGTGTGTGCGGAAAGCGGCTTGCTTTGTCAAGGGACCCTATAGCAATCTGATGTATTCAAAATCATTTGCTGACGTCGTCGATTGTGAAATACGTACCAACAATCAATTGCCCTCGGTTGCTGACGCTCTGAATTGTGAAGAGGACCTTAAAGCCATCTGGTGTCTTCACAATTGAGAGCGTCAGCCATCAATTGTGCTTGAAGCCATCTGACGTATTCACAATTGAGAGCGTCAGCGATCAATTGTTCAGTAGTGCTTGAAGCCATCTGACGCTCTCAATTGTTCAGCAGTGCTTAAAGCCATCTAACGTTCAGCAGTGCTTGAAGCCATCTAACGTTCAGCAGTGATTGAAGCCATCTGACGTATTCACAATTGAGAGCGTCAGCGATCAATTGTTCAGTAGTGATTGAAGCCATCTAACGTTCAGCAGTGCTTGAAGCCATCTAACGTTCAGCAGTGATTGAAGCCATCTAACGTATTCACAATTGAGAGCGTCAGCGATCAATTTTTCAGTAGCGATCAATTGTTCAGTAGCGCTTCAAGCCATCTAACGTATGCACAATTGATCGCTGACGCTCTCAATTGTTCAGTAGTGCTCGAAGCCATCTGACGCTCAGTAGTGCTTAAAGCCATCTAACGTTCAGCAATGCTTAAAGCCCTCTAACGTATTCACAATTGATCGCTGACGCTCTCAATTGTTCAGCAGTGCTCGTGGCCACCATATTTATTCACAATTGATCGCTGACGCTCTCAATTGTTCAATAGTGCTTAAAGCCATCTAACGTTCAGCAATGCTTAAAGCCATCTGACGTATTCACAATTGAGAGCGTCAGCGATCAATTGTTCAGTAGCGATCAATTGTTCAGTAGCGCTTCAAGCCATCTAACGTATGCACAATTGATCGCTGACGCTCTCAATTGTTCAGTAGTGCTCGAAGCCATCCAACGTATTCACAATTGATCGCTGACGCTCTCAATTGTTCAGCAGTGCTCGTGGCCACCATATTTATTCACAATTGATCGCTGACGCTCTCAATTGTTCAGCAGTGCTTAAAGCCATCTGACGCTCTCAATTGTTCAGTAGTGCTGCGAGTACTCTAACCTTCAGCAATGCTTAAAGCCATCCATCCTCGCATTCCTGGAGTTCCCCAGAACCGTACTGAAAATCGAGCTTTTTTGCGTCGACAGACTGGAGATTCGACTTGTGGGAGGCGGGCCCGATGGATGCGAAAACGAAGAAGAACCCACGCTGCTGAAGCTGGAATGGGTAGAAAGCGTCGGGTGTTTCAAAAACGTCCATTTGGTGTCGAGACAGCTGATCTCGTTTTTCAGCGCCAGCAGTGTGGCAGACACGGATTCTGCCTTTGCTGCGGACCCGGAAGGGAAGTGTTGGAGCACCTCGAGCACGGTGACCAGACTTTTCTGCATCAGGTTCAAGTTTGTCTGGAAGTGTTGTACCTGCGTGTTGGAGGCAGCCGCTAGCGGGAAGGACGACGCCAGCTGCGGTAGCGGAGCCTCGACGGACGGCTGCGAGTTGTGGCGGGACGGGTACAGCAACGGCGACGGGGGGCTTTGTGGGACCTCGTCCGGCAGGGGCTTGAGACTCGGGAGTGGAGCCCCGACGTAGTTGATGCACACGGGCGACAGCACATTCTTGCGTTTGCCATTCTTGCCCGCCCCGCCGTTCTTGCGCACGATCCGGTTCAGCTCCACCACGGAGCTGTTGCGGTGGAACGCGCCGGACGGATGCGCGAACTTCCACACCACACACGTCTTGTCCTCCGCACCCTCCGTTTCTGTGGCCAGTTTGTGGAACCCGTACATGTGCAGTTGGCGCACAAAGCTCGACACCTTGCCGTGTTTAAAGAACCGGCGCAGGACTCCGGCTGCGAAGCCGGAGTCATGTGGCCGGATCAGAAACGCGTCTGTGTCGCCACCCCCTTCCTCGTTCCATCGGATCCAATATTGCAGTTCTGGATGCTGGAGGATCGCATGCAACTGGTGGATAAACGTTTTGTACTGCATCGGGAGCCACGCAATGGGGGGCAAACAGACGAGAGGCGAAGGTCTTGACTGTTGCTCTTGTTCCGTTGCTTGTGCGTGTTCGTGTTCGTGTTGTGGTCCTTTGTGCTTGAGCGCGGGGACACAGTGCTGGATGCTCTGTTTCATATATATCTTGTGTTTCCGTTTGGTTTGGGCGGGCGCGCTTATCGCCGAGATTTGGCAAAGAAATGGCGCGGAAAAAGAAACGAGACTGGCGCGCAGCGGAGGAAAGGAGGGGAAAAAGAAACGAGAGCGAAAGGGCGAATGCGTTGCCTAAAGCGGAAGTGGCCGAAGGGGTACCCGAAGGGTGCCACAAGCACTACTGGGCAAGGGTGCTACAAGCACTACTGGGCAATTGAGAGCGTCAGCGATCAATTGTGAATACGTTAGAGGGCTTTAAGCATTGCTGAACAATGGAGAGTGAGCGTCGGTTGTGAATAAGACGAGAATTTGTCATACAATGGAACAATTGAGATCGTCAGCGAGCAATGGGGAGAACTCGTAGTGTTACTGGAGAGTCTCGCTCCCAATTGCGAACTTGCAGAGAAACCTTGATATTACTAAAATATTGAGAGCGTCAGCGGTCGAACTCGAGGAGCGTAGAGAACTCATTGTGATTGGAAAGAGAACTCTTACTTTCACTGAACAGTTAAGAGTATCCAACGAGAGGACTAAAAACACTCTTGAGCAAGTTTGCTCTCTAAATACTATCAAAAAGTCGATCCTTGACGCAGAGCCCTCTCAATCTTATCGAACAATTGAGAGCATCGGCAATCAATTGTGAATAAGTATGGTGGCCACGAGCACTGCTGAACAATTGAGAGCGTCAGCGATCAATTGTGAATACGTTAGAGGGCTTTAAGCATTGCTGAACGTTAGATGGCTTTAAGCATTGCTGAACGTTAGATGGCTTTAAGCATTGCTGAACGTTAGATGGCTTTAAGCATTGCTGAACGTTAGATGGCTTTAAGCATTGCTGAACGTTAGATGGCTTTAAGCATTGCTGAACGTTAGATGGCTTTAAGCACTACTGAACGTTAGATGGCTTCAAGCACCACTGAACAATTGAGAGCGTCAGCGATCAATTGTGAATAAGTATGGTGGCCACGAGCACTACTGAACAATTGAGAGCGAAAGCGATCAATTGTGAATACGTCAGATGGCTTTAAGCACTACTGAACAATTGAGAGCGTCAGCGATCAATTGTGAATACGTTAGAGGGCTTTAAGCATTGCTGAACGTTAGATGGCTTTAAGCATTGCTGAACATTAGATGGCTTTAAGCATTGCTGAACGTTAGATGGCTTTAAGCATTGCTGAACGTTAGATGGCTTTAAGCACTACTGGGCAATTGAGAGCGTCAGCGATCATTGTGAATACGTTGGATGGCTTCAATCACTGCTGAACGTTAGATGGCTTTAAGCATTGCTGAACGTTAGATGGCTTTAAGCATTGCTGAAGGTTAGAGTACTCGCAGCACTACTGAACAATTGAGAGCGTCAGATGGCTTTAAGCACTACTGAACAATTGAGAGCGTCAGCGATCAATTGTGAATACGTTAGAGGGCTTTAAGCATTGCTGAACGTTAGATGGCTTTAAGCATTGCTGAACGTTAGATGGCTTTAAGCATTGCTGAACGTTAGATGGCTTTAAGCACTTAGTGAACAATTTGAAGTAGNGTTCAGCGATCAATTGTGAATACGTTAGAGGGCTTTAAGCATTGCTGAACGTTAGATGGCTTTAAGCATTGCTGAACGTTAGATGGCTTTAAGCATTGCTGAACGTTAGATGGCTTTAAGCACTACTGAACAATTGAGAGCGTCAGCGATCAATTGTGAATACGTTAGAGGGCTTTAAGCATTGCTGAACGTTAGATGGCTTTAAGCATTGCTGAACGTTAGATGGCTTTAAGCATTGCTGAACGTTAGATGGCTTTAAGCATTGCTGAACGTTAGATGGCTTTAAGCACTACTGAACAATTGAGAGCGTCAGCGATCAATTGTGAATACGTTAGATGGCTTGAAGCGCTACTGAACAATTGATCGCTACTGAACAATTGATCGCTGACGCTCTCAATTGTGAATAAGTATGGTGGCCACGAGCACTACTGGGCAATTGAGAGCGTCAGCGATCATTGTGAATACGTTGGATGGCTTCAATCACTGCTGAACGTTAGATGGCTTTAAGCATTGCTGAACGTTAGATGGCTTTAAGCATTGCTGAACGTTAGATGGCTTTAAGCACTACTGAGCGTCAGATGGCTTCAAGCACTACTGAGCGTCAAATGGCTTCAAGCACTACTGAACAATTGATCGCTGACGCTCTCAATTGTGAATAAGTATGGTGGCCACGAGCACTATTGATCAACTGGGAGCGTCAGCCTGATTTGCGAGCTAGAATAGAGCACGTTGTATCACTGAACAATTTGGTCGCTTACGCTCTCAATTGTGAATAAGTCGAGGGCTCAAGCATTGCTGACGCTCTCGATTGTGAAGAAGCAGGTCCCCCCTGAACAATTGATAGCCTTATCGATCAGTAATAATGTAAATGAAATTAGTCGCACTACTATGCAATCGAGAACGTTAGCTACAAGCACTATTGGATATTTGAGAGCGTTAACGATCGATCGTGAATAGTAAGAGAACTCTCACTATCACTGAACCGTTAAGAGCATCCAACGAGAGGACTAAAAACACTCTTGAGCAATCAAGAGCGTAAGCGATCAGTTGTGAGTTATTCGAGATCTCAAGTATTATTGAACAATTGGGAGCGTAAGCGATCAATTGTGAGTAATAATAACCACTCTGTATTGTTGAAGCGTCAGCAATCAATTGTGAAAGCAGAGAATTCGTAGTAGTACTGAACAATTGAGATCGTCAGCCATTTTCAGTGAATAAGTAGAGGACCCGAAGCACTATACGATTAAGAGCCTCAGTGAGCAATTTTGAATCTATGAGATGGCTACAGGCACTTGCAAGTAACAGCATCACCAATCAATGATAATTAAGTGGAGTCTGCTGATATATTGTTAACAAGCACGATCATTAGCAAGTAGAGAAGTTGAAGCACCGCTAAAAAGCATAACTGAACAGGCGATTACGCCCGCGATCGATTTTGAAATGCTAGTCACTCTTTGTAATACTGAGAGAGCCAGTGATAAATTGCTTAAATAAGTCTTTCCTCGTACTCCTGAACTACTAAAAACGGTTCGATCTTTTGTGAGAATTGGATCACTATTAGAACTTTTGACTAATCGTTTGTTAACGCGCCTGATGTTATTTACTACAAGCACAAAACCGTCAGGACGCAACCATGAATGAAAAGGAATTCGTTGGTACAAGAGCCTTGGCGAGATATTGTGAAAAATACTGATAGCTTCTAGTACTACGGAACAACCGAGATCTTAAGAGATAGAGTGCTTACAAGGTGAAATAGGAGCGTCCGCGTGCAATTGTGATTACGTAAACTACCTTCAGTGTCAGCGAACAGGTGTGATACGTTGGATGGTTTACATCAAACGAAACCGCCAGCTTAGCACACTTGATTCTGAACAACCGACTGTGGGTGCTCTCGTGAATGATGGTATCGAACAGAGTTTGCTAATTGACTTGGCGCTCTCAACTGTGAGCTGGTAACATAACTACGAGCATCAGCGAGCAATTGTGAAAAGTCTTTATGGCTACAAGCACAATTACATAATTGTAAGTGTCAACAGTCGCAGTAGAAGCGCTTTTGAACTTTTGACAGCGAGAGCGAACGAGTGAATAGATTTCACGGAAATATCAACCAATCGAGACCGAGAGCGATCAGGTACGAAGGGGTGCTATAACAAGCCATTGCAAATAAGATGATTTTTGAGCAAAGAGGGCCAAGAGCGATCGAAACTCGCAGCACTACTGAACAAGTGATCGCTTTTGCTCTAAGCTCAGAAAACGCAGAGCTCTTGAAAGTCCCAGCATTGATTACATGTACGTTGGGTGGCATACAGCACTAATTAACAAGCGAGAGCTTCAGCTTAGCGCTCTCATTACTTTTGGAAAGCATCGGGAAGCAATTGTGAATATGTAGCGGGGTTTTGAAAATAAAGTCGACTGCTGAGGTAAAAGAGCTCTAAAACCACGCTGAAGAAAACTTGAAACACTCACTGCCAAGAGTGCTTGAATGGCGTCAGACTTTCGAATGCAAAAAAAAAAAAAAAAAAAAAAAGAATCACTTTCGCCAGGTATTCTTCAAGTAGGTTTTCGTCCTGGAGCTGATCAAATTTTATCGTAAAGTACTAACGTATTCTCAATTAACCTTTGACGCCCACTTGTTCTTAATGCCGAGAGTTTCTCACTTTTTCCCAATTAAGTACGTCAGCGATCAATTGTTCAAGTAGGCCTATATTTACCATGACTACCGAAAATTTTCTACTTGATCGCTACTGCTCAAGCGTTCAACTGTGCTCATACTCACCGTAATAACTCACAATCGATGGCTAGCGCTCTTAATCGCTCTTCGAGTTTCTTTGCCGATGACGCACTTGATTGTTCAATTGTGCTTGTAGCCACATTTCACTCCATTGTCTGTTCTTGGCGCGCCACGCTTGCTGACGTAAACCGACGCCATTCATGCATGTCGTTTCTTTTTTATCTGTATGTAACAAAGGCACGCGTAAGATTTTCCACGGCGACAGAGCTACAACAGAGAGCACAGTTGAACAATTGAGTGCGTTGTGAATAGGTCCACATCCGTTAATTTCACCGAACAGGTACAATCGTTACAAAACTCCTCACGTCTTCATGCAGGCGTTAAATTGTAAGAGAAGCAAATAGTAAATACTATCTCAGTACCGTTTGCCGACATTCTTGTCTTCAGTTTATTCTCCTGCATTCTTGTGATGCACTGCTGATGACGAAAAAACTCCTGTATTTTCGAAACTACGGTCTTGAATGATAGCTTCAAATGCATTAAAATCTAAAGTGGGTGCAACTCACAAAGATCTGATTATGAACGGGCTGAATTTGAGGAGCCTGGAAAAATACCGCATCTCGAGCGAGAACGCATCACCGTCACCAGGCGAAATTTGATAACGCACTTTAGCAGTTCGGGTTTTCGGGTCAGAAAGTCTTGAATTGTGAGCAAATGGATTTTGCTGCCCATCTGGTGCTAAATCGTTACTAGTTTCGCCACCAAAAGAGTTGACTAAATTGACCTACAATAAGGCTGGCCCAGTTAACCATTCGAACCTCACTGTGGGCTCTTAGTACACCTGCTGGGTGTTCGTTGGTAATATATTGGGCCTCAATCGTCATTGTCGTGTGATCACGTGACTGGATGACAGATGCCAGGGTGGTACAAAGTGACAAAATTATTGCTCGCGGAAGGCTACAACACGTTGGCGATACCTAGACGAACCAAACCATCCATTAAAAGATACACACGTAACTGAACAATCAAGAGCACATTTGAAAATCATTCAGTGGGAGCCATGGAAGAGTACAACGGCACAAGCATATCACGTATATTTTCATGAGTAGTTGCTGGCGTATATCGTTCACCGCATCACAAAACAAGTAGAACGTCAAGCACATTACACTGGAGTATAACGCACACAGCTGAATCTACAAACATCCAAGTCAAAATAGTAGCTACTACCGTTTTCCCCACGAAATCCACGTTTGCACGTGATAATGAGTCACGTGCCTCGTTCTGCGATTTCCACGCCCTTCGAATTTAACATTTATCGGAACAGTAGCAACTTACACTCTTATTCCTCTCCCAATCCAACCAAGATCTCACAACAATGGCCTCTGTATTCACCTATGACGACTCCAAGACGCTAGCCCATGATTTGGCACAATACATCCTTGCCCAGCAGAATAAGGCGCTGCAAAATGGCAAACGGTTTAACATCGCCGTGAGCGGTGGTTCTTTGCTGAAGGCTCTCAACGCTGGGCTAATCCAGGACCCAGAATTCCAAAATAAAGTGCAATGGTCCCACTGGCACGTCTTCTTCTGCGACGAAAGGATTGTCGCGCTCGAGGACGAAGACAGCAACTACGGTGCGTTCAAAAAACAGGTCTTGGACCCTTTACTCAGCGTGGATGGCGCGCTAGGTCCTACCTGTTATGCCATCAACGAGTCTCTCGTGGGACTTGGTGAAAACGATCGTATTGCAGCCGAATACGAGTCGCTGCTGCCCGACCATTTCGATCTCATATTATTGGGCTGTGGCCCAGACGGCCATACCTGTTCGCTTTTCCCAGGCAAGACCCACGAGTACTTGTTGCAAGAAAGAGAGAAAAAAGTTACGTGGTGCCACTCGTCGCCCAAGCCTCCAGCGGACCGCGTCACGTTCACTTTGCCAGTTTTGGAGGCTGCAGAGGCGCTGTGCTTCGTTGCTGAAGGTGCCTCCAAGCAACCCATCCTCGAGCGCATCTTGGAAGGCCACGACACCACGCTTCCAGCGGGACTTGTCACTGAAAACTACCAATCGTGCGTATCCTGGTTTGTCGACCAAGCCGCAGTCAAGGGCCTGTCAGTGAAGAAGGAGACATTTTCGGGAAACTAAATGTAAATTTTAAGTAGCGATCAAAAGGGTCTTTAGCAGCAAAAGGAGGGCGGGAGAAAGTGGCTATGAGAGTCATCGAGGAATTGCAAGTAAGATGACGCCTTTCCACAGATACTACTATTGAGCTGCTGATTGCAAACGCTCATATTTTTACCTCAAGTGCGCTCAGTGCCTTACTACAGTCCCGCGCCAAAAACCAAACCCTGACGGTTTCAGTGAGTAGTGCCTTTAAGGTTTAGTGGTGCTCATGACTTTTGTAGTTGAACGGTTTAAAGTCCGTGTCGTTTAGATTTGGCATGCCTGGGTGTTACGTAAGCACAGAAGAAGATGGCTACAGGCCCAGGATGCGATCGCTACAAACTCAATTTGAACAGTTGAAAACGTTAGCGAAGCGAGCTCTCAGCACTATTGAATATCTGGGAGCGTCCGCGAGCAACGGAGGCATGCTGGTATCTATGAGCAATTGAGAACGATGGCTATATAGTAAAGAAAGTTTATTGTTGTTGAACGGTTGGGAGCACTGGCAAGAAACTGTGCGAAAAGAGCATCCTCGATATTGCTGGGCAATTGGAGCAGAACCAAGCAATGTGAACCAGTGGATAATCCGTAGCTGGGCTGAACACTCGAGCGTCAGCGAACCGTTGTTAACCCAAATGCTCTTCGGAGATTCTACATAACTGGTTTTTCATTTTTGAAAGCTGCTGTGCTGAGATAGGATCTTGACAACCGTAGCTAAGGGCTCTACCATCATTTAATCATCTTTTTCTATGTTGCTTCAAGTACATTGCTGATCATAACGGATCGCTGGCGCTCGGGTGTTCAGTTGTGCTGCTATTATTTTTTTCTCGCTCAAGTGATCGAATTTGACATTTCGTTCTCCAGCTATATTTTGTCGAGGCGCGTTTGTAGTTATCTTGTTGACTGTTGATTAGGTTTCTTAACTTACTACAATCGAAAGCACAAGATCTCATTGTGGACTCGCTTTAGCGCTTGGCACTCTCGAACTCTACTCTCAATTGTTCAAAAGCACTAAGGGTCTTGCCATTCATGGTTGTAGTTATGTAATCACTGTTCATAGCTCGATTGTTCAGGAAGTGCTAGAGTGATACCAAGATCCCTAGCCATCGAAGTCGAAGCACTACCTAATAATTGAGGCGTCAGTGATCGAGCTTGAAGCGTATGAGAGTAGTAAAGCATCTTTTGTAACTGTGAGCGTTACCATCATTCGGAAACGACCGTTTTTTGTCTCAGTAGGCATCTTAAGTTCTTCATCGTGCTTCAAGTTCGATAGCTGATGCTCTCAATTGATCAATAAGGCTACGACCGCTTGAGTTTTCTCTTCATTTAATTGTTCACTAGGTTTTGTAGCTTGTAACCACAATACAAATTACCATGGTTGCCATCTTACGTATTGGAGCCACTCTGCGTATTCGCATCGCTTGCTGAGCGTCAGCGAGCAATTGTTTAGTAAGACCAAGAGAACGCTTTCACAAGTGATCGCTAACGGTCTCAGTTGTGAATAAATAGAGAGCTCAGCGATATTAAGGGCTCACTATTTAACAATTGGGAGCGTCAGCTTGTAACCACAATATAAATTACCATGGTTGCCATCTTACGTATTGGAGCCACTCTGCGTATTCGCATCGCTCGCTGAGCAACACCAAGAGAATTCATTCACAATTTATCGCTGGCGCTCTAAATAGTTCAATAGTGCTCAGAGTACATTAGGTATTCGCAATTACTCGCTACCGCTCCGAATTGTTCAATAGTGCTTCAAGTTGTCTAGTTTATTCACAATCAACCGCTATCGCTCTCAATTGTTCAAATGTATTACGAGATTTCTACGTGTTCACTAGCGCTCTCGATTGTTCGAAGGACTCCAGGTCTTCATTTGCTCAACTGTACTACGAGCTCTCAGTTGTTCAGTTGTGCTTGTAGTATCAGATTTATTCACAATTGATCGCTAGCGCTCTCAATCGTTGGGGTAGTGCTTGAAGGCCTACCTTTATTGTGTGCTTGTTGTTCAACAGTGCTCCGAGTGGTCATGACCCACCCCTCTAGCCCCTCCTCCTCCTCGTACACCGCTCTCTAAGAGTCTCCACTTTTTAGTCATTTTTTTTTCCTTCCCGCCTCTCCGTGACGTGACCTCCTCTCCAAATACGACCAAGAAAAAGACCCGGCAATTACTCACCAAAAACGTTGCACAAAAGCGTAACGGAGCCGGTTTTGGCGTGCTAGACAGGACTCACGCGCAAACCCTGGGCAGGGTGGCTAGTATATATATAATAAGAGCAGGGGAGAAAGCAGTTTTTGGTGAAACGTTACGAATCAGAAAGGAGACGAAAGCTTTTGAAATTGAGCACTAGAACCTAGAACCTAGAACTAAGAACTAAGAACTCCACACACAACACACCATACTATGTCATCAGCCGCAGGCGGAGCGTTTAGAAGATTTCTTAATAGTGAAACGGGTCCCAAGACCGTACATTTCTGGGTATGTTGACTAGCGATCGTGGGTGAATGAGAGAGAGAGAGAGAGAAGAGGATAGAATAGTAGATATATGTGCACTGCAATAACAGCGTGTGTGTATTTATATGAGTTGTGCGTTGGGCGGATGAGACCTCCCTGCCTGCTTTGATTGTGCTTGGTGGTGCCCGGATAGCGATTTTTTTTTCCTTCCTGGACTGCGCGCGCGCGGTAAGAGTGGTGTGGAAAATTGTAAGACGTGATCAGGGGGCCCCCAGGAAGAAGAAAAAGGAAAACAAAAAAAATTATAATAATAGCGGGCGCAGGTATATGTGCGCGCGCGGTTTAAAGTGCGCGCGGTGCGCGAGGAGCACGTGAGCACATACTCTTTTTCTCTCCCTCACTCCCTCCCCCCCCTTTTTTTCTCCCACCTACTAACACCAATCACCCCCCACAGGCCCCCACTTTCAAATGGGCTTTAGTCTTTGCAGGCATTAGCGACATCAATCGACCCGTTGACAAACTCTCCGGCATTCAAAACCTGTCGCTTCTCGCCACAGGCGTTATTTGGACCCGTTGGTCCTTCGTCATCAAGCCCAAAAACATGCTGCTTGCATCCGTGAATTTCTTCTTGGGATGCACCGCGGGCTACCAACTCTCACGTATCTGCAATTACCGGCTGCAGCAGGGCGACTCCACTCAACAGGTGATCGACTACGTGATCAACGGGCCCCGGAAACCCGATTCCAAGATTCACAAGCTTCAGAACTCCGCGTCGGGTTCTGTCAACAACAACTCCATGAGCCACGGCTCTACTGCATGAATCCGGGCCGAATTTTTCGCCTTGAATGAAGGCTTCTCTTTGCATTTTTTTTGTACACTATTTGGATTTAGGACTCTTTTCAACCTCCTAGATATAGACTCAACATATATAATATATACTTTATGTATATGTATTTGGAAATCAGCTGCTACCATCTGGAATTTGCAATTGCAAGCGTTTGCAATTGAAATCGAGTGTCTGCGGCACCGTTCGTTCACTCAGGAATATAAATTCATTTACTGCGAATATTTAAATATCGCCTACAAATAACTCTTAACTGGCTGCGTAATGGTCACACAATCTCTACTGCTGTGTTAGCTGGACCACCTTCTCCGCGGCAGGATCTAGCTCGTCGAACGAGTAGATCTTCAAACCGGACTCCTCGATGATACGACGACCTTCTTCCAAGTTGGTACCTTGCAAACGAGCCACAATTGGCACGCGCACAGCCAAGTTCTTGGTCGCAGCAACAAGACCTTGTGCAACGTAGTCGCATCTGACAATACCACCGAAAATGTTGACGAAAATCGCATCCACATTCTTGTTAGACAAAATCAACTTGAACGCGGTCTCAATAGTCTCTGGAGTGGCACCACCACCGCAATCCAAAAAGTTGGCAGGATCACCGCCATACAGCTTGATCACGTCCATGGTGGCCATAGCCAAACCAGCACCGTTCACCAAGCACCCAATGTTACCTTGCAATTTGACAAAGTTCAAGTCCGATTTCTTGGCCACCACTTCGTCTGGATCTTCTTGAGACAAGTCTCTCCACGAGAAAATCTCCTCTTGTCTGAACGAAGCATTGTCGTCGAAACCAAACTTGGCGTCCATGCACATCACTTTGGTGTCTTGGCCCACGACTTCACTCAATGGGTTGATCTCGATTTGCGAGGCGTCCTTGTCTTGGAAGATCTTGAACAACTTGGTCACGGCGTCAGCGGCGTCTGCTTCGGCCTCGGCAGAGAATCCTAGACTCTTGGAGATTTGAGCGGCGGTTTCAGCGGTCAATCCCTCCGAGGCGTCCACGGTGAATTTTTTGATGGCGTCGGGGGTTTTCTCGGCCACTTCTTCGATGTTCATACCACCCTGGCTCGAGCAAATGATCATAGCCTTTTTGGAGCCTCTGTCGAGCAAAATCGACAGGTATGCCTCGTGCTTGGCGTCGACACGTTCCACCACATATACCGCACTCACTGGCTTACCTTTAGCGCCCGATTGCTTGGTGATCAAGCGATTTTTCAGCATTTGCTCAGCAATGCTCTGTGCTTGCTCGGGACTCTCTACCATGTGAATACCGCTCTTTAGCCCAGTGTCGAAGTGGCCCTTACCACGGCCACCCGTTAGAGCTTGTGCTTTGACGACCAGCGAGCTGTTTCCCAATTTCTTTGCCACGTCGAATGCTTCCTTGGGTTCGAACGCAGCATCACCAGCTGGAGTGCCAATTTTGTACTTTCTTAGCAGTTCTGCAGATCTAAACTCGTGGATCGACAGACATCTCTTTTGACTCGCGACTTGTTGCAGACCTTTCTTGAAGGCCACGGTTCTGGAAAGCATTTTTCCTAAGTTCCAGTTGACTCTGGTTCAATTGACTACCAAATGGTGAGAAAATGGGGAGCCAGAAAGGATTAGACCTGTTCTGTTAGTTTTGGATCAACGGCTGTGTCTGTCGAGAACTTCGATGGATTAGAGTTTGAGTTTAATTTTTTGGTCTGGGGCCTATAATAGGCTGGATCTATGGCCCCGGGTAACCTGTCGTTAGGTAAGATTTAATTACGGCCGGGACGAGATTCGAATAGACGCGTTCTGGGAGTGGATGGGTTTGGGTGGTCGTCAACGGCGAAAACAGACGTTGCTGATTGCAATAATACTGTGAACAGTGCTAAGATAGGGTGTTTATAGTGTTATGAGCTGGACATGTTATTTCAGACAGATGGATTTGTTTGGTAATATGTTTTTAGAAAAGGTGAAATTATTTAGTTCAGGTGCTAGGGCATTCCTGGTGATAAGGCGTTTTTGTTATTTGATAGTATCGTGAGGTGCTTTCTTTTGAGTCTTTTTGACAGCGTTCTTGAAATATTTCGTTTCGTGATGCATCCGCGCCAAGCCTAACGAGGATTGGAAATTACTTTCAATATATCGTTGGGCATACGACTGACACCAGCCTTCATAACTTCGAAATACACCACTCTGTGGGCTCAGAATCAATTAAGTCGACCTGTCCTGGTCCTGCTGGCATTTGTAGTTAGCAGGTGAATTTATCACTTTATAGTTTTCTGACATATGGCCATAGGACTGGCGTCACAGAAAAAACCGTCACGAAGAGCCATATGACTTAAGAGACTCCTACTTTGACTGAAAGCCCAACAGCACACTACCTCTGTACTTTTTCACATGGATCGCTCATTTTACTATCAATCTTGTGTACCAAGCACTCCGGCGCTCGCCACCAGTCCTCACAATCCTTTCCTAAGCCCATTGTTCATAATGTACAGTATAAAGTATTTATCAAAGCAGATCGCACAAACAGTACGGTCATCGAGCTACTCTGCGTGCGACCTTTGATCTAAAGAGAGAAAATGTTTCCTTATCCATTGGCGTAACGGTTTTAATGACCCTTCTTCTTCTGCTTGGTGATATGTTGACGCAGAACCTTTTGACGATCACGCAGCGACATCTTCTGTTTTCCTTTCACAGACCTCTTGTGGATCATCATCACAAAATTCTTCTTACGCTCCTTTTCACGGTTTGTAGTAGACCTCTGCTCATCTCTTTTACTCTTGCGACTGGCAAATTTCTCTCTGCCTTCACGACCTTCCATAATACTAGCAATTCTCTCGTCTTTAGTAGCTTTGCGGTGCTTACGGGGACCAACTAGTCCGTCAGCGTCCACGGTCTCTTCGTTCTTTACTCCCATCAACCGTGCGACACCTTGTTCAGTTCTCAATTCCTGAAGTTTGGCGAAATCGGCCGGGGTTAAAACACGCGAAGATGCCAAATCTCTGAATGCAGTTTCAGGGTCGATCTTTCCAGTTTCGGCTTCAGCAGCTTCGCCTTCTGCCTTGTCTGCTTTGGGCTTGCCGTCTTCATCGTCACTGTCACTCATGTCAACATCGTATTCTTTGTCGCTCTCGACAGTAACCCACTCGCCATCAATCTCTTCCTCTTCCTCGCCTTCATCTTCAACCTCCCAGTTACGATCGTCATTTTCGTCTTCAGCTTCGCCGTTGAGGTCTTCCTGTTTCTTTTTCCATTGAGCCAAAAGTTCAATACCAGCAATACCTTGCACGTTACTCTCGACACCAAACTGAGGCCTTCTGACATCTTTACCTTGACGGTTAGATTCTTGTATGTCCATAGAAGCAACTTTACCACGATCTTTACGTTTAAGCATTTCGGGTGCAACTTCACGATATAAGGCCACTAACGCTTTGGCTGCCATGCTAACTCCCTTAGCCTTCGATCCTTTGTACTCCGTCAAGTCTTGAAGTAGCGTTTCGTCAATGGCCAAAGGTGCACGAGAACAAATCTCACGAATAGTGTTTAATCCTGCAGCTGCGACTTCAGAAGCGACACCGTCGCTAACAAATTCGTCCGCTATTTTACGCACCAACACCGCGATTGTTTCGGGTGGAACCATATCATGCGAAGACTGGGCTGCGGCGGCAAGAATCTTGGTAACGTCTCTCTGTTTTGGAGTCAAGTATTTGAGGAAGAACGAGTAAATTCCGAGAACGGTAAGTTTGTGAGTGCCGATCAATCTAGAAAGCAGTTGCATCAACGCAATCTTTTGATCCAGGTCAAATCTGTTGTTGTTCTTGCTGGATAGCTGCTTCGCAAACAGCTTATCGGCAAAGCCTTGAGGATCACGAAGTAAATGGATAGCACTGAAATTTAGGTAGCCCTGGGGTGTTTTTGGACCGGCGTTTTTTTTCCTGACAGTTTTCAAAGCCGCTTCCATCTTTTTACCACGCTTACCACTCTTCTTGTTAATCTGCATTTTATGTCTGAGTGCGTCCATGTCAATGTCGTCATCGTCAGAATTTTCTTCAAAGTTCTCCTCACGTTCCTTGTCTGCTCCCAGAAAGAACAAGACACCGGAGTACGCGATTTTGACATCATCGTTAAGTGCTGCCTGTGTCATGATTTCAACGGCTCTGGAGTCGTCCCAGATACCCCTTCTCCATAGTTCTCGCGTCAGTCTCGCGGCCCACACACCTTGCGAGTCTGGTTGGTCGAGCAGGTTAAAACAGATAGCTTGCGTTGATCTGTTGAGTTTCTGGTTTTTGGCACCAGTGTTGCAACTCTTAAGCAGCGAGACCAGTGTGCTGTAGACTAGCTTCCGTACTTCCTTGGCGTGAGAGTTGTGACCCAAAGCGTTGCTGTGGGACGAATAGGCCACCAAAAGCGGGAACATGGTCTGAATTAGTGTCTCTGCGGAAATCACTCCTTTGTTTCTCAACATAGTGAGAGACGATATTATTTTTTCACGCACTTCAAAGGGCAACGACCTGTGATAGTCCAAGACCAATTGTTTTAATTCATTGGGAAAGGTTGCAGTTTCTTCTGGATAGCACGAGCAAACCTGACTCACAAAGCCCACAAGCTCCACAAATTGTCTTGTGTTGCTATCGCCAGTGGTTTGACTCTCTAGAGCGTTGAGCATAAAGATATCTCTCAAGGATTCGTAGTGCGAATACTGCTGCAAAAATTCTTCCCGGTAAGACATGGGATCCCTTTTGACCAAATTTTGCAGTAAAATAACATTAGTCGGCAAAATTGCCGCTCTCGATTTCCTCACCATCTTGATATGATCACCGTGTAAGCTTTAAAGTTGTGAGATTCTCAACCAGTTCTTAGTATCTATTTGATGAGATGAGATGAGATGAGATGCGATGAGCAGCTGTGTATATGGAAAAATTTCTTAGCCAAAAGGATATTGTCGTGTATCGTGATTTTGAGAATTGAACTAGTCGCGTTTTTAGTGTCACGTGGGAACTTGGGCCGGCTGGGCGGCTAAAATAGACGCCGCTCCACAAACAGTGCGCTCCTTCTCTAGTGCTTACGCGCCACCGAATAGCCCATCGATGGCGTTGTAGTTGATTTTCTTGGAAAAACTAGACTTTTGGATCATATTCTTCACGTTGTCGGCTGTGGTCAAGTCACCGCTGTCTTCAGCGAGCTTCAAAGCAGCCTGCAGCCCTGAGTCGTCCTTCAAATCAGCCAAAACACCCTCTGCGTCGGAGGCAGGCTTCCGCTTGCGACGAGTCGTGCCGCGCTTTTTGGCAGAGGCATTTCCAGATGCCAGATCTGCTTCTTGTTTGAGCCTGTTGGATTCTTGTTGCAGCAAAAAATCGCCGTTGATACCTATCCAAATCCGTTCCTTGAGCTGAGATGCCTCCTCGTCGAGAAGTTGTGATTCCAGCTCCTCGTCGTCCACGTCTTGTAGATCCTCGGGGTCATCAGCAACTTTCGCCAGTAGCGAGGAAGTGGTAGGTAGCAAATGCAAGTTTCTCGGACGGTGGGGATCGGTTTCGATCGAGTAGCCATCGATGGCGTCTTGGAAATTTGCCGGTTCCTCGCTGCCTTGTCGCTGTTCCGATTTGGTGTTCGTTTCAGTGTTCGAAAGTTCCTCATTGTTTCCGGTCTCATTCTTTTCCTTCTCATTGTCCACGCCTGGTGATCTTGAGCCATTGGTATGGTCTAAGCTCTCATTTTTCTCTCGTCTTTCTGAAAACTGTTTCAGATAGTACAGTACCTCTCTCGATGAAAGTTCTTGGGCCCCCAGGACCTGCGACAAGATCGGATTTCTGTTCAAAGCTTCTTCGCTGGTCTCAAATTGGTTTCCCATCATCTTTTGACGCAGCTTCTTTTCCTTGAGTCGGTTCCGCTCGAAAGAGGGTGGGTGAGATTCCGTGTTGTTCGTGCTTTCATCGTCATCCTCGCGGAACTCGTTGATGGAGAGTTTTCCTGACTTGGTGTTTTTGAATTCGTTCAACCGCTGTTGTAACGTTTCCTCTGCGACGTGCGACACAGCTACAACCTCGGAGTGTGTTCTGCGCAGATTATTCATTCGACACGCGAGAAGCAGACACGCGCCAGCTATACCAGCAGGACGACGCCCCTCGTACATCCAATCTCTGGCCATACGCTGCGCGAGCTTAACTGCGTCTTTGACTACCTTTATTTTCTTATCTCCCAGCTCAAGTTTCTCGGCAAAATGCTGAATGAACAACGAGGGATCTGTCAGCGGCAAATTCGTGATATGTAGAACCTTGACCATTTTCAAAAAGGTCGCGCCAATAGAGTATACCGAGACCTGCAACCGTGATGAGAAATCAATCAGCATGTGGTGCGTTTTCTCTTTTCTACAGGCAATGTACAAACAAGCAGCGATAACGTTCTGAGAACGACGCCCCTGTACAAAATTGTTGGCCAATGCTAGCGTGTACCACTGTGTTGCGGCCTCTGTGACGTACTCTGGGATGCTCAAAGCGTGCGACACAGCCCGCAGTTTTCTGCGGGCATTGTTGATGGTAGCTTCACGAGATTCGAGGGCCGATGAGCCACCTCTAGGTCCAAAAGCCGCGTGTGATTGTCCAGCACCCACGTAACTACCATGAACGACTGCAGCTCCCGAGCTGGATTCTCCAAAAGTTACTTCCGAAACAATAGGATTGTCCTCTGCGACTGTACCACAGTCCTGGCACACCGTATCATTGTTTGCGTTGGCAATATCCTTAATAAAGTTTACACCTCCGCAGACTTTACACTTGGGCATTTGTTAAAGCGTGGTTATCGAAGTTGGACTGCACAAATAACTGGCTCGCGCTCTCGCGTTTTATAGACGATGAGATGAGATGGGCAACTAGCCGTGTAATAATTGACATTTTACCAATATATATATTGAATAAAATGTGTAAAGTAATAGACACATAGAATGGAGCCCAAAGGTGAGGGCCAAAGAAGGGTGAGGCTGGTATCATGGAAGACATGGTATGGGATGGTCTATAAACATGCAATTCGGGCTTTCTTTCGAGACGTCTCGATACAATGACACAGCAGTGATTTTCGTACATAGTGATGTTTTCCGATACTTTTACCACCGGTAACAATTCTCTCGCCTCTGGCCATAAATGATTGAAAATGGTCTATTACCAACAGAGTGTTTGCTGTGTTGTGCTGTGACGTGCATTTTCACAACCTTTTATTTAAACCGTAATTTGATAATATCAACTCTTATATATCATTTTATCACGTGACAGACGTCACAACGAGTTATCATGGTTAGCACCCTGTACCGAGAAACCGTCTCATATCATGGCCAGACTAGCTCTTGGGCAAAACTGATCATTCGCTAGAAGTCGGGCAAGCTCCTGATTTCGATACCTAAACTCGATTTCGTCTCTTATTAGTGAGATTTTGTATATTTGATATATAGTGTTAAATTTCAGCCTACCTGAAATACTTATCCAAATGTCATCTAGGACTGGCAAACCAAACCTACGATAGTGAAGTAATGGGTGTTGCTGTCTGGTTTATACCGCATGATGGTTCAACGGTATACGAAACTCTACAGTCATTAATACTGTCTCTGCAAACGCTGTTCCCTGACGCTCCTGCGTTTGAACCGCACCTTACAATTACATCGCAGTTGAAATGCAACTCTAAAGAAGACGTCCAACAGATACTCACCTCATGTATGGCGGCGTTTGGGGCAATAAAGTCTAGTTTGAAAGATGATAACGAGACTATGGTTTCTTTTACGGGGGCTGGGATTGGAAAGGGTTATTTTACCAAGGTCAGGCTCATTTGCGCGGAAAACAAGTATTTGATGGGCATTGCGCAGATAATACGAGAGCTTTTCGTAGCGGAAAACGCCGAAGAAGCCTCCCAATGGCTTCTGGAAGAGTTCCAGCCGCACGTTTCGCTGGTATACTCCGACATGTACCACGTTAACCAGGCCCTCGAGCGGGTCATTGCTCAGAGAATCGAAGACACACTCGACTTGTCCCTGCAAGAGAACGCGGTAGCAGGAGAACAGAATCAGAAATCCTGGTCTTTTGGACGTCGTGTAGCGGGGTGGAGTCTAGCCGGCACGTTCAAGGTGGTCAGGTGCGAAGGACCGATACAGCAGTGGCAAGTTTTGGGAAGCGTCGAAGTTTGAGGCTTAGTCCAGTCTGAGAGACTCTAATGCGAAATTACAGGCTACAGACAGTAGGTACAGCACCAGAATGGAAAAGACCCATCCTCCGTGCTGTGGGTGGTGTCTAAGAAACAGCATCGAGAGTGAACTAAAACAAACGGCTCACGTGCTGTCTTACTGCTCACACATACAAGACGGGATAAGGGACCAAGCGACGTTTCGATGGTATGCTCCCAATGGATTAAAGATTCTAGGCTCATTGATTCTGTCAGTAATTCGCGTAAGAATTAATCTCAGGGTTTTCATCCCGGAGACGAGCTGTGCATAATGGCATCGTTGCCCATTGTCAAGGTAGCTGCAATATATATATATATATATATATATCGTTTTATACGTAAGTAATTTTCGGCCCAGTGGAAGCCATTCAAGTATCTGACCAGTGGTACTCTCATCCACGATGAGCACTGTTAGCGGCCTGTCTGATGCTTAACTTGCGCTCTCAATTGGCTCTGTTTCGAACTGTAGCTCTCTTCTTCCTCTCAGTAAATTAGTACCTGGATTTTTATAACCACTAATTTCTCATCGGTGCTCATCTCTTAAATAATACCTGCTATCCATCAACATTATGTGCCCATGAGCAGCACCAGCCGTCGAGTCCATCGCAAAACAGGCTGTGTGCCGTGCAAACTCCGCAAGAAAAGATGCTCAGAGCACAAACCTGTGTGCACCGACTGCGAGCGCCTGGGAATTACGTGCATTTATCTTCCGGAGAAATGCTCTCGGGAAAAGATCAATTTCTACCGGGAACAAGTGGAGAAAGAGCTTTCTGAAAGAAAGCGACGCAAACCCAGCGGTGCAACTACTCATAAGCAGCCCAAACGCGCGCCGGAAGATCTTTTTGGTGAAATCACTTCGGATGCTGTTCTCGCTACTTTAAACACACCGTCTGCTCTGGACCTCATTCCGTACGATAGGATTAACGATCCGAATTTTCTAGGCTTCATGCCGTCCCTGCCCTCGCCTCTGCCACCGATTTCAGAACCCTCGATGATGCAGTTGGATGACACTGCCATGCATCTTTACAATTACTATCGCGATTCGTTGTCCCACCTAATCTCAATTGCGCCCACCAGACAGAACTACTACCTTCAAATATTTCTTCCCATGGCACACCAAAACGAAGGAATTCTCTACGGAATTTTGGCCTGGGCCGCACATCACCTGTCGCTTGGTGGAGTCACTGATCGCAGTAGTGCCAATCGCGCCTTAGCATCATCGCTTCTCAAAGAACAGAGTCCTGCCGCTTTGGACGATACCTATAGAGATATCACAATACACGAAAGTGGCGACGAAGCGATTATGTCATCATCGTCGCCGATCTCGTCGAGCTCGTCGAGCTCGGCGGCTAAAGAGCCGCCGAGCCCTCCAAGTATGGCGTCTTTTGACATGGATCATAGCTACAACTCCGAACCAGACTCACGATACGCAGCCGTCGCCAACGAATATACGCTGTATTCCTTGCAGAAGCTACCGAACCCCAAGACAGAGGGACTGCTGCCAGCGCTGGCTAATCTTCTCGTGCTTTGTGGAGCTGAGATTTGCCAGGGTGATGTCGAGCGTTGGCGAGTTCTTCTTCGCTGCGGTGCTCGCATGATCAAAGATCAAGCGCCAAACAGTGATATCGGAGAGCTTTTGGCCGATAGCGAAAAACCCGGCTCTCAATTGGACGCTAAGGTGACTCGTTGGCTATTGTCAAACTTCGCCTACCACGACATTCTCGGCTCGGATAAAAGCCATTTTCCAATGGAGCAGTACTCCAGGATTCTGGAGGACCCGGCCGTTACCTGTAACTACACTGTGGACCCATTGTACGGTGTGAACCGGCCCATCTTCCAAATATTGGGCCAGGTAAAGAATCTTGCCAGGAAGGTCAAGCAAGTTTTAGCAATTGGAGGCCACAACTGCGAATCGATCGCAGACGGACCCCTACACAAGATAATAGCAGCGGCACAACGGCTACAGGTGTCTTTGTACAGCATCCAACCCAGTGAAAACGACCTTGCATGGTACCAAAACTTGGCCGATAATGGAGAAGATGCTCGTCCTTTGGCCAAAACCTTATTTTCAGTGTTCCGCACAACAGCCCTCCTGCATCTCAAGACCGCTGTTCTGCGACAAAACAAGGAATCCTACGAAATTCAATACCTGGTCTGGGAACTGTCGAGTGATCTGGATAAGGTACTAGGCACTCGACTGGAGGGTGGACTGTGTTTTCCACTATTCATTTGTGGTGTCAACTCCTTTAATGGCTCCCAGCGCCAAAGTGTTGAGTTGAAGTTCGCAAACTTTCTGCAGCGCTACAAATTTCGTAATGTGGAGAGAGCATTTACTGTAGTGCGGCAGCTATGGCACAATTCTGATAGGGGCCGTATACAGGACTGGTACGACATTGTCGATGAGATCGGCTGGGACCTAAACTTTGCCTGAGCCAGGATCGATCTCAACTTTTTTAGTTTCGTTTTCTCAAATTTAGATAGACATCCATGTTAGTTTCATATGTATATATACAAGAGTTCTGGCCAACCGTTATCCGTATGTCTCGTCCGTGTCGACATTAGAGCGTCTGGTGCCGCTTTAGCTTTTCCATTACAAATGCCATTCCCAACCTGCTTCGCTGAATGTTCTCGTCAAATCTAGCGTGAGACCACTGCTCGATGCGGCTTCTGATGGTTGCATTGAACCCACTGGAAAACTTAACAGAGCTGGATGCCTGAGTTTTTTCGGTCGTGGAGTCAAATCTATAAGTGGTAAATTCCTCGACCTGGATGATCCGAGTGTGGTCCAAGTTCCGCGTGTAAGTTCGCAGAACCTGGTTTTTGACGTCCACCTCTGAGCGTTCGATGATCCACGAATCTGAAATCTTGCCCAAAAAAGGCTTTACCCACTGTGGCAGCCGTCCTGTCTTTTTTATCAATCTCGTTGTGCATAGTTCCCCGCTAGCCCTGAGTTCTCGAGAAAGAGTGTCTATAGAGAGAACATGCGAAGCATACGGATTTGGATACCGGTTGAAAAACGCAAAAGACACAGTTTGGAAGTTGTTATCGTAGACGTGAGTGTTGTTATACCAGAGAACCATTTTAGCATGTAAAGTCTCCAAAGAACGCTCTTTTGACCTGCTGTTTTTGCCAAAACTGCTCAATGACACAGCCCACGCAGAGAGAGCAAGAGCACTAGATGGGAAAACCGCCGCTAGTACTACTTTTTTGAGTTCACAGACGCTGTAGAAATCAATTGATGGTTTGTCGTGAAGAGCACTTTTCATAATTAGCGAAATAATTACCTACCGGAAAGATACTGGTGACAGATATTAAATGTTAAGAAACTGGCGTTTGCCAGAGGTATCAGGTGAACAAAAATCTAGCACTCTCAGCTGTGCTGTCGATCACGTAGCGTAAATTTTGAAGAATTGTTTGCCACTTTTTTTGCGAGCTGCGGTGGATTTCCAGAGGAGCTAAAGTCGACGACGCAACTCGGGCTCAAAGTATCTTGAACAATCTCTGGCACTTGTTCGGATCACCGAAACCGAATTGGACTAGTCTCAAAGCAACAGTTTTCACTGCATTGCAATCGATAGTTTAGTGCAACTTGACACACTGTTATTTCGCAGACCGAGAAAACGAAAAGCAGAGAATGAGATCATGAATTTGAAATCATGACTTTGCATCAAACTTTTGTATTTGAGTGAAACTTTTAAGAGCGCGATGATCTATGCTATTTATTTGTATACTATGCTGGTAAAATGCTGTTGGAAATTTGTTTAGAGCACCATGGCTCCTAAAGCTAGAGCCCAGGCCCCAGCTCCCAATCCCGCCATACAGCCAGCTCCTGGACCTCCTGCGGCGTTGGTGGAGTTACTGATGCTAGCAGAGCTCGCGGACACCGTGGAAGACGTGCTAGAGGTTTTTTTCGTCGACCCCGAGGCTGAGGAACTTTGCGATCCGGAGGTCGCGCTCGAAGCCGCACTCGAACTCGTAGAAAGGGTCAATTCACTCGCAGGAGTCCACCATTTGGTTACACTAGTGGTCCACCAAACAGTCGACACATACGTTTCGCCGGCAGAATTCTGGGTGGTAATTACCGTAATTGGGCCCCCGGCATTTGTTGAGGACCCAGATGTCGCTAGGGTAGTAGTAGGTGTGGAAGTCATGGAAGTTGTGGAAGTCTGAGATTCAATTTCAGAACGGCTCTCTACGTTGCTGGTCTGAACCAAATTCACGACTGTGCTAACAGAGTTGGAATTCTTTTGGGAGCTAGAATCGGAATCAAACCCTCCCAAGGCCCCACTTCCTCCAAGGACATAAGGAATGCATGCAGCTAGTGTGATGTATTTAATGAATTTCATTGTGAGTCGATGTCTCTACGAAAAGCTATCAAATGCCGATGCCATTACAATCTGCCAAGATCGTTTCTTATATACACAGCCGAAACAAGGTTTGATTTTACCAAGCCAGAATCGGGAATTGAATCTGCATGGAGGCTGACTAGATGCATGAGAAATGTGCCTAAATTATTGCACCAGCCCTGCTATTTTTTGTCTGATCTGTTTAACACCTGTAAATTTTCTTAACGATAACACAGTTGAGAACCATCATTCTGTATCATTCTGTCATTGTCGAGCTGTGTAGTGCAACTTTTCGGACAAGAAGCCCCATTTTGTGAGAGTTGAGAGTCGAATGTATCGCACGACGTCTCATCTCGAAAGCTACAAACGCCTTTTTCGTTAGCTCAGCATCGCTAGGATGCATGCCCATTATATTTTTAAATATACGACTAGATAGGCTGCTTAAGGCTGGCATGGATTCCTTTCATAGCATTACCACACCAACGTTACTACGCTTTTCAGAATCAAAAGTGTTATCCTTTTTCAATCCACCAGCAATGGGGCGAACTTTGTAGTTGAAAAGATAGAAATTCAAAAATCCGTCACCAGGTCCAAATTTCAAGTCGTCCAAGAACAATGGGTTATCCTGGCAACTCATTGCGTTGAAGACGTCCATTTTGAGGTCTCGAGCCTTAATGCATACGTCGGTAATCAAGCGGTTGAGCCTTTTGCGCAGCTTCAGCGAACCCTCTGGGTGGTATCTGTCTGCATAGTCAAAGTCTGCGTCGGAAGCGTAGTAGAAGAGGTAACCTATTCCAAGCTCCTTGTAATGTGGGTTGTTCAACACAGTGAATGGCAAAGAGTAGAAGGATACAAAATCCGTAATTTTGCCTTTGTCTTCAACAACGTAAGCATAGACCACATTTTTTGAGCTCAAGAAAACATGTTTGAACTCCTCCTTCGTGAACACCTGGACGAGGTCAAATCTCGATTGGTACTTTTCAAGAAGATCGAAAACCTCGTCTACGTCCTTGTCCTCCATTAGCCTCAATCCTGGGGTATCAGTTTCTTTCGGCAACGTGTACTTGGCTATCATCTGGGTCTTGGAGGCATTTGTTGGCAGGCCGGTGAAGCCCACCTCGTAAAGCTTTGACCAATTCAGAGGACGATGAGCGTAACGACATGTGGCGGCAGGAGATGGCAAAACGACACCGGCGGTGTAGAGTGCTTGCCAAATGTCTTGCTTGTTGACGCGTCTAGTGACTTCTTTGATAAGAACCGGTGTGAGTCTCTTGGCTCTCAATTTCTTGTGTATGCACAAGAAGTTGATCTCGACACTTTTCACCAGCTTGTTTCTGACTCGAAGCGTGGCTGGCACAGCACTGATAAACGCTACTAGCCGACCAGACTCCTTAGTGCGAACGCCTACATGCCAATCTTTCCTCCAGCCTGGGCCTTTCAAAGACCAATTGAAAAAGTCTCGCGAATAGTTAAAACGGAAGGTAGCGTCTTGATCCTCGACATAATTTTCGTTTAATAGAATGAAAACATCGTCCAATTGCTGCGAGTCTGTAAGATCTACAGTGCACCATTCGAATTCGCCCAGCAATGGCAAGGGCTTGTCAGGAATGTCCTGCGGTCTTTGCGAATTATTGATAGGACCTTCATCATTCACCTGTTCATCAAAACGAGACACCGGTTGCGTCTTCCAAAACTTGTACTCCTCGAATTGCTTACGCTGAGGTTGAGTCAACTTTGAAGTGTCACCTTTCGACAATGCAAGCATCTTTAGAAGCGCTTCTAGCTTCTGGGCCTGTTCTGGATCTTGCGACATGAGTTTAGGTGCTAGCGAGTTCGAAGTTTCCGTCAAGTGTCTCTGCTAAATGTCCACAGTCTTAAAATGCAAGTAATGACGAAATACCCAATGGTAGATCTACGCACTGGCTTGAGTTTAAGACTTTTCTTGGATGAAGGTCGATTTTTTTTCAGAATGATAGAGATAGATATATTCTATGCTGAACTTGATGAAAATACGCTGGCATGAGAAGTTCACATAAGGCTGAGATTTTACTATGGGATTTGAGCCATTTGGCGGTTTTATTAGTGTGAATAGAAATTCTGAGACTCCTGTAGTTTTCAAGTTTATTAAATAGCTGCTGTAGGCGCTGCGATACGATACCGAGGGCAATGCTGCGTCGCGATAATGAGATCTTGAGTTTGAAAGGTGGTGAGTAAAAATGCCTGTATGAAAGGCAATTAGTTTCTACGATGAAAGTTTTGCGGAGGCTGAGTTTTGAGAAGTTTGAGCGTTGCTGATCAGTGGATGTGGGAAAAGGATCAATTATACTGAAAATTAATGCGCCAGAGCTTGCCTATCATAAAAACGTTGTATGACAGAGAAATTGATGTTTCAAAGTAGCACATCAATCTCATAACCTGTACGAGATTTTGGGACAGTGAAGTGTGTTTTCTATGCAGGTGGATATGGAGCTTAATTAAATTGTTATTTTGCTCTGTGGTAGTGGCATTATCTTAATTAGTTACTTTGCACACGCATGGCTCCTTTATTGAATTCACTGACCTTAAAACACCCACGAAGCCCATCGAGCTTTCTATTTACGTGACTTTAACCAAATAACGAATAACTGACACTCATCCGATTTAAACGAATATATCATATAGAAACACCCAGGTAATTTCCGTTCATTTGACGTTGAAAGACAGCAGCGAGCCAGTCGCAAAGCGATTGGTCTCGTTGTGCACATCACGGTATGAGACAGGAAATGAAGAAATGGTACGATTTGTCAATTTCCTCCGGTACCTTCGTTGTCACACAATTCATCACGTTTTTAATTAATATGACATTAAACCTGACTTTAAAAGAATAAAGGCTAAAGAACACACTCTTCCCTAATGTGCCATACGAGAAGAGGGTTGATATAATCAAGCCTCGACACACTCAATCCAGCTAAAGGATCCTTGAGAATTTATTCACTTATCGTCTTCCCACTCCACGTTTGTTCTCAATTGTATAAAATATTCATGTTTAGCTTGAAAAATTCACAACTTACCCAATAACACAATAACCAAGTAAATACCCTATTGTAGAGCCCAAATCATCCCATGAGCTTGCTTTAAAACTATCAACATCGCTAAACCTCCAGTTTCATAAGCCCAAATACTATCACTTTTTCCGAAACTGACACACGTCACCAAAATCCCATAACAAAAAATTTTCCAGAGAGCGATGAGATGAGATGCGATGCGATGAGCACTTGAAGTGATCCTACATCAACTCCTGATCCCATCCCATCACATCGATATGATCTCTTCGACAACATGGGTCCCGCGTGGATTTCCATCCGAGTTTCCCGAAAAGTATGAGCTCGACGATGAAGAAATGGAAAGAATCAACCAATTGGCACAACTGAACCTGGAAGACGCCAAGGACGCCGAAGAGGATGGAGATAACGATGAAGCAGATGAACAGGCCAACGATGCGCTTCAAAACTCATTGAACGGAGCAAAATTGGCGGCCCAAGGAGAAGCCGACGATGACTTGGCAGAGTACGATCTAGAACATCACAACGACGAAGATCTAGGTGAGGGAACTGACGCTACCATGTTCCCAGGTTTGTCCGATGAAGTCAAGTACCACGAGGGCGAAAACGGTGAAGACGCATACATGACGCTGCCCACGGAGGAAGACGCTCACGAGGCCAAAGAAGAGTTGCAGGTATACCCATCTGATAACATGGTCTTGGCCACGAGAACAGAAGACGACATTTCATACTTGGACGTGTACGTGTATGACGACGGTGCTGGTTTCCACGACCCAGAGATAGGCCAGGAGGCTGGTGATGAGCAAGACCCAGATGTGGCTCGTGGCCTGGTGCGCGACAGTGCCCTGTACGTTCACCACGACCTCATGCTCCCCGCTTTCCCTCTATGTGTGGAATGGCTGAATTACAAACCAGGGTCCAACTCCGACGATCCTGCCAACTTTGCCGCCATTGGTAGTTTCGACCCTCAGATTGAAATCTGGAACCTAGACTGCGTGGAAAAAGCTTTCCCAGACATGATTTTGGGTGATCCACAGGCCTCTGCTTCCGCTGGCCCTGGCAAGAGCAAGAAGAACAAGAAAACTAAGAGCAAGCACGTCACCACGCATCACACTGATGCTGTGCTGTCTTTGGCTCACAGCAAGCATTTCCGTCCCGTCTTGGCCTCTTCATCTGCCGATAAGACTGTCAAGCTGTGGGATTTGAACGAGGGTGTAGCTGCACGCTCCATTGCCGCATTGCATTCGAACAAAAACGTTTCTGCCATTCAATGGCACAACACCAGCGGTTCAGTTCTATTGAGTGGTGGTTACGACTCTCGTGCGGCTTTGTCCGACGTAAGAATCGCCGATAACTCTAATATGAGCAAATACTGGTCGGTTATGTCTGGAGAAGAAATCGAGTGCGTCCAATTCGCGGATGAAAACACCTTCATGTGCGGTACTGACTCAGGTAATGTCTACTCATTTGATATTAGACAGGGAGAAAACAGTTCTCCACTATGGACTTTGAACGCTCATGATGCAGGAATCTCGACATTGAATGTAAATCCATTTATTCCAAACTTGTTGGCTACAGGTGCCATGGGTGAAAAGACAGTCAAGCTTTGGAAGTGTGGTGAGTCGGGTCCTAGCATGGTTCTTTCCAGAGACTTTGGTGTTGGCAATGTGCTGTCGACTTCTTTCGCACCAGATATCGAGGTTGCTGGTAACATTGTGATTGGTGGTGTTTCTAAAGGTTTGAAGCTGTGGGATGTGTTCACCAACAGATCGATTCGTAAGAACTTCGGCAAGGAACTAGCCAGTGTCCAGAAACAAGCCAGACAGGAAGCTCATAGCATAGGGAAAGCTTCAAGAATCGCAAGAAAGTATACAAAGAACGACAACCCCGACACCGTAGTTACCGTTGACGATCAAGGTGAAGATGAAGAGGAAAATGAGGGCCGGGAAGGGCAAGACGATTGGGAAGACGCCGAATAAACAATCGCCGGCAGATAAATCGTAATCATAAAATTTAGTCATCTGTATATTATTACCAAACAAGCACTTCATTGAGCCCACAATCGTGCCACCCGCCAGCGGGGCCTTTGAGGGGAGGAGGGGAAGTATTTTGCCCAATGGGCGAAGGGCGTTCGCTGTCGTGGAGTGTTGATGCCCGTCGGGTCTGACGCAGACCTGCCAAACATGAGACGACGACCGGTCTTCAGTCATTCTTTGTTAACAAGCCACCTCAACCTCCGGTTCTCCTCTGTGTCCTCGTCAACGTCCACCAAGATCACCTCAGTTTTCTGGAAACGGCCATTTTTGGAGTCCGAAACGAAGCTGACGCTGCGCTCGGACCGTCTTCTGGGTCGCATGAGCACTTGCGACATCCGACGCGCTCTGAGCTCGTCGTGGCTCGTCATATCTTGATCTTCGTCTTGTTCGAACACATCGGACGGGGTATAGGCGTTCTGCGCGTCGCTGAATCGCCAGTCCCTCGCCAAAAGCTCGTCCACACAATCCTCATGGCCATCGTACACCACCTTGCACATCTGCTGGTACTGGGAGGCAAAAATATCCTGGTTCCACGCGAATCCTTGGGATTGTGACGTGGAGATCGTATAGTGGGGGGAATCCCCGAACGTCATAGCGTAAACCACTGGTGTTTCGCTTTGACGCATACTTTGAGAAACCAGCATTGTTCGAAAATCGGTAGCTTTCCGCCTCTTTCGTTCGCTTCCAAAAACGTCCTGTCAAAACCCTTGAGTCTCCACAACTCTGGTGTGTCACCTCCTTATATGCGTCGGCCAAAATTTCAAAACCACCGAAATGCTACACTAATGAAAAGCTCTCGTCGCTAGTATCACGAAAAGACCACTTTCGCCACCTAAAACGTACAACCTACGTCCTCAGCTTAACAAGTAAGCTCCCTTGAGGAACATCATTTCCCTTTGAAGTTCCCTGATTTCAAGTTTTTTTTAAAGCATACTAGTCTCTTCCCCAGAACAGGGTAACACTATCAACAGTTTTGGAAAATTTTCGAGTCCTCATCGATTTGAAAAATTTTCGAACTTTGACATGAGATGAGCTAGCTGGCCATCAGTTGAACAAGCTAGTATTTAACAATAAACACTGTGTGGATTAGTCGCAGTTGATTCGAAGGCGTGTTTTACGAAGTCGTCAACATTATCAAAAGATGGCGCCTATTGAATATCTGCTTTTCGAAGAGCCCACGGGCTATGGGATCTTCAAAGTTAAACTACAACAAGATGACATTGGAAACCGTTTGAAGGAAGTGCAGCAACAAATTAACGATTTTGGCGCTTTCACCAAGCTTGTGGAATTGGTGTCGTTTGCGCCTTTCAAAGGAGCCGCTCAGGCGCTTGAAAACGCTAATGACATCTCCGAAGGTCTTGTTTCTGAGTACTTGAAGGCTGTTCTTGACATGAACCTGCCCAAAGGCTCCAGCAAGAAACCTGTGACTTTGGGTATCTCTGACAAAAACTTGGGTCCCTCCATCAAGGAAACTTTCCCATACGTGGACTGCATGTCGAACGAGCTGGCCCAGGACTTGATCCGTGGTGTCAGAATGCACGGCGACAAGCTTCTAAAGGACTTGCAAAAGGGCGATCTGGAAAGAGCGCAGTTGGGTCTAGGTCACGCGTACTCGAGAGCCAAGGTGAAGTTCTCCGTCCAGAAAAACGATAACCACATTATCCAGGCCATCGCTTTGCTCGATCAGCTCGACAAGGACATCAACACCTTCGCCATGCGTGTCAAGGAATGGTACGGCTGGCACTTCCCCGAGCTTGCCAAGCTCGTCCCCGACAACTACAAGTTCGCCAAGCTTGTTCTGTTCATAAAAGACAAGGCTTCCCTATCCGAAGAGTCCGTCCATGACCTCGCTGCTATCCTAGACAACGACGCCGGCATTGCTGAACGTGTTGTTGACAACGCCCGTATCTCGATGGGTCAAGACATCTCGGAAACCGACATGGAGAACGTTTGCGTGTTTGCTGAAAGAGTGGCCTCTTTGGCCGACTACCGTAGGCAGCTGTACGACTACTTGTGCTCCAAGATGAACACTGTGGCTCCAAACTTGTCCGAACTGATTGGTGAAGTGATCGGTGCTAGATTGATCTCGCACGCTGGTTCTTTGACCAACTTGTCCAAGCAAGCTGCCTCCACCGTTCAAATTCTAGGTGCTGAGAAGGCTTTGTTCAGAGCTCTTAAGACTAAAGGTAACACTCCAAAATACGGTCTAATCTACCACAGTGGTTTCATTGGAAAAGCTGCTGCCAAAAACAAGGGTAGAATCTCGAGATACTTGGCCAACAAGTGCTCCATGGCCTCCAGAATCGACAACTACTCTGACGAGCCTAGCAATGTTTTCGGTCAGGTCTTGAAGAAGCAAGTCGAACAAAGATTGGAATTCTACAGTACAGGTGCACCAACTCTGAAAAACGAGCTTGCAATTCAAGAAGCTGTTGCCTTGTACAACAAGGACAAGCCTGAAGAGACTGTCAAGGAGTCGAAGAAGAGAAAGCTAGAAGCTAGTGACGAGGAAGCTGACGAAGACGACGCCGACGACAAGAAGGTCACCAAAAAGGAGAAGAAGGACAAGAAAGAGAAGAAGGACAAGAAGGACAAGAAGGAAAAGAAAGACAAGAAAGAGAAAAAGGAGAAGAAAGAAAAGAAGGACAAGAAGGAAAAGAAGAAATAAACTCATTTCTCTCATCTGTGTCATCAACCCTCGCACCTACCTGCATTACTTCCATGTACTAAACCTTAAAATTTACTTTGTATATTGTGTATATCTAGCCAACAAGGAATCTGCCAAATTCTGTTAAAAAGCTTAGATATTATGGGCTTCAAACGCTACAAGTACAGTCCCGCCTGAGCACCCATAGCGGTCCCGTTGAGCCTCCAGTTCCGATGGCATTCTTTGAAGTAAGTGTCTCGATCCCCTGAAGCCAATTCCGACCAACACTGATCTATCAGTGTGTCCATTGCATCCAACGACAGTTTTTCATAGCCAGAGGGCCCCTCGCTCGGCGCTATATAGCCGCGGAATGGTATTTTTTGTAAGATCAATTGTGTCATCGCGCTGGCAATGAAATTCGTCAAAAACTCAGGCGGAACCAAAACGCATAGTCCGTTTTTGGCCTCGTCAGATGGATAGGAAACAGTCTTCACCTGCTCAATTCTATCGCTTGCTCCAAGCACGAGAATTTCTAGCGGCGTCGAAAAAAGTTGGGCGATTTGTTTGGACAAAAGGTTCAGTGCAATGGGCGGGACATGCAAAAAGTCCTCGGCGACGCTTATCACCAAGGTTTCAGGGTTGATCTGTAGAACTGGAATTTCCAAGACCTTGGCGTCACTTTTGCGCAAACTATCCTCACGAAGTTGGAAATCCTCGCGGTATAAAGCGTGTTCCGAGCTTTTGGTCTTCCACGAGACGCGAAATTTCGACACCTCGCTGGCATGGGCCAAGTTTCCAGGAAAAAGCGACCTGAAGACTTTGGTTGTTAGAATAACCTTCTTGTAGCTAGAAATATCCAGTCCACCCACAAGTTCAACGTCAGGTAGAGGTTCCAATTGCAAAGATCCCAAGTCCTCATTATTGTCTAAAGGTGCATCTATGTGATGTCTTGGCTCAGAGTAATCATTCCATTGTTTAAACTGCATACAAAAGTTAGTTTTTGGATTCAGCATTTGAATGAATCAACTATTAGCACTTACAAGCATCGTTTTGGTCTGGTACGATGTTCAAATGATGCTTGGTGATGAGTTGTTTGATTTCATAAATTAACAACTTAATGACTTGATGAGTATAATTCTAAGCTTTAACAACTACTATAAACATATAAAGAACAGACCGAGATATAGAGCACCCGCCACCAAAATGTCCGCTGCAACTCAAGAATTGACCATGAACTACACATCATCGCAACAGGAGCTCGAAGACCTCGTAGTTGCCAGACAAAAACTGGAAACTCAGCTGCAAGAAAACAAGATTGTTCAGGACGAGTTTGACACTCTGAAAGAGGAAACGAAGGTTTACAAGCTGACAGGAAACGTTTTGCTACCGGTGGAGCAGTTTGAAGCCAAAAATAACGTCGAGAAGAGACTTGAGTTCATTACTACCGAGATCAAGAGATGCGAGGAAAATATAAAAGCCAAACAGATAGTATTGGAGAAAATGCGGGCCGAGATTATACAAGCCCAGGGCGCGCAGCAGAGCACACACGCTTAGTGGGCCTTCTTTCAGCATCAAAAGCAGGGTAAAAGCAGTGTCGTACTCACAGTTGTAGTGGGGTCATCATGTATAAACGTTTGATAGTAAGTGTACGAAATTGAAAAATGATAATAGTAAAAACCGTAACCTAAGAGCATGGGGTGAGGCTAGCTGCGTGTGAGCTGGGACTTGGCTAGATTGATGCTCATCAGTAGCGTGTACCACATGTACTCTTCCGTGTTGGTGTAGTATTGGCCCAGTTTTGTCACGTGATGAAGCTTTTCGGCTGCGAATTCGAACGTTTGTGCGAAGTTAGGCGACTTGTCCTGGGCCATGAACAGCTCCGAGCTCACAAACGCGCACGAAATGGCAACGCGTTTGGAGTACCATGCAAAATCGTGCGAATCTGCCTCGCTCGAAAAGTATATCATATCGTCGGAAAGGCGATGCAGTTCTGGAAGAGCACTTTTCACGAGAAACTCGCCTGGCATCGACAGAATGGCCAGAAGCTGGGACAAATGCGATGCCACGGGCTTGTTGAGTTCCAAACGGCGTTGGAACAGCGTTCCTAGACTCGTTGGGCTTTGTGTTGCCTCGAGAGAGGCTGTGGCAGAGTTTAGCTCTTTCGTGATGGCATATCTTTTGGTGACGAGATGAAATTTGGCTAACTCGAGCACCGAGGGCGGAACGTTCAAAAAAGATGGCGAATTGTCTGCTCCAATGGCAGACAACACTGAGGATCCTAGTCCCAGGTCATTTAGAGACGCCACGAGCGCCCTTTCGTTGAACCCGTACGACGGCACATGCTTTTCCAGCGTGTGGTTCAAAACTTTATACTGGAGAGAGTTGGGTCCGTAAGCCAATGGGGCGAAAGCGTGTTTGGCTTCGTGTTCCAAAGCGTTGGGATGGTACAGTCTGTGGCCAGCTAGCCGTTTTAGAAATCGCATCGTTCTAACCACGGAGAGGTGTTTTAGATCCACCTGTGCACCTTGTGGGTCGCTAGTAGCTGCTGAGGAAATATATATAAGTAGACTATATATTTTTCGAACGTAGTTGTGAAAAGACCCAAGACCAAAAGCACACCGGGCGGGGCAGCGGAGAGATTCTGATATCGGGATATGGCAATTGTTGCACACGATTCCCTGTGTCGTGCGCTTGCTCGTCAAGAGCCGTAACGTATACTACTTGTCCTTCCGACGCTTCAAATTACAACATACAGATATACTTCAGATCGCTATCGACGAATTCAAAAAATTAAAATCGACCTATTTAGGAAATCTTTCCGTTTTTGACATTTATATCCCAAAACAGTAACCTGACACCCAATTTGGACGTATTGCTTGTTTGGGTATTCTTTCCCTAAGGGGTAGCTACAGATATTGAAAAGATTGGCGGATTACAAGGATTCTCACTAATTTTAAAGGACGGCAGAGATGCGTTTTTTGCCCAATTTTCCTGGTAGAAAAGATATAAAAGCAGGTATTGAAATGCATTCGTTGCCATTTTCTAGGTTGAAGGTCAGATCAAGAGACTCGCGCGCTCTTCTCAGAATTGAGAATTGAGCATTGTCGTACTAGTCTTTTTAAATTAAAAATCGGTTTATTTTAACGCTTTCTGCAATGACCGCTGGTAAACCTATCAAATGTATCGCAGCCGTGGCATACGAAGCCGGAAAACCACTCACCGTTGAAGAGATCACAGTGGATCCCCCCAAAGCGCACGAAGTTAGAGTCAAAATAGATTACACTGCTGTTTGCCACACCGATGCGTACACTTTAAGCGGAGTGGACCCAGAAGGCGCTTTTCCCGCGATTCTGGGCCACGAAGGTGCCGGGATCGTCGAGTCTGTCGGTGAAAGTGTTACAAACGTCAAGCCTGGTGACCACGTTATCGCGTTGTATACTGCTGAGTGCCAAAAATGCAAATTTTGCACCTCTAATAAGACCAATCTCTGCAGCTCCGTGCGGGCCACGCAGGGCAAGGGCGTGATGCCTGATGGGACGTCGAGATTCCATAATGCTAAGGGCGAAGACCTGCTGCATTTCATGGGATGCTCCACATTCTCGAGATACACCGTGCTGGCGGACGTCTCCGTTGTCGCAATCGATCCCAAAGCTCCCCTAGAAAAGGTGTGTTTGCTCGGGTGCGGTGTGACTACAGGGTACGGTGCAGCTGTTAAGACTGCGAATGTTCAAAAAGGCGACACTGTTGCCGTTTTTGGCGCAGGCACTGTAGGCCTTTCCGTTGTTCAGGGCGCGAAGGTAAGAGGTTGCTCTAAAATCATAGTGGTCGATATTAACGACGACAAAAAAACCTGGGCATCCGAGTTTGGAGCCACTGACTTTATCAATCCCATGAAGGATCTCAAGAAAGGAGAGACTATTGTCGACAAACTGGTTGAAATCACCGATGGTGGATTAGATTTCACGTTCGACTGCACCGGAAACGTCAACGTGATGAGAGACGCTCTAGAGGCGTGTCACAAGGGCTGGGGCCAGTCTATCATCATTGGTGTCGCAGCCGCGGGTAAAGAAATTTCTACTAGACCCTTCCAGCTAGTCACAGGCAGGGTGTGGAAGGGATCAGCCTTCGGCGGGATCAAGGGCAGATCCGAAATGAACGGATTGATCTCCGACTATTTCGATGGTAAACTAAAGGTTGATGAATTCATTACACATAGGCGTGGATTTACTGAGATCAACGATGCATTTGAAGATCTCCACCATGGCGACTGTCTGAGGACGGTCCTAGACTTATCGAAATAGGGAACTCGTCTTTAGCCTTGACGACTTAACCTAATTGGAAAAGACATTAAGTCAATTCTATCATTTTTGGTTCTTTAAAATTACTTACTTTTATAATAAATGATAACTACTTTTATGCTTCCAACCCCGACCTTATTACAATTCTTTCAATCATATCTTTGATTCATAGCTGACGAAGAGAAGTGTGCCAAAACCAATAACCGATATCTCCCACTTCCATTTGTATGATTTAAAATTCGCTCTTACCATGCAGGCTCCGAAAAACTCCTAGTATTTAAGGAGACACCAATCCCATTGTCAATCTCTTGCATCATGTTGTAGGAGTTGACACTGCCTAAATCTTTTTGTTGATGCTCGGTAGTCTTGGGACCACCGCAGCGTAAACACACAACGTTTTTGGCAAAATTGTGATACGTGCAAACGGCGCACTTCCAATCGCCTGCTCTGAACGGCACGTTTGAACCGCTGTGCTGATTTTGGCCAAAACGTTGACCCTGATTGTAGCGTACACGCTGTTGGTGGTGTTGCGACTGGTGGTGTTGCTGTTGCTGTTGCTGAGAAGGGTGCATTTGCTGCATTAGCTGACCAGTCATTTGTCCGGGAATGGACGGGATACCATTCGCTACATTTTCAAGCTTGTAACCAGTTTGTAGATCGTTCAACCCGGGCTGCTGCAATGGATTTCTCACAAACCCCTTGTTAAAACCATTTGAGTCTGTTGCTGGGAATGAACAGCGGAAACAAGATGTCCGTCTTTGAAAGTTAGAAAATCCGCACGACGGACAGTTCCAGTCGCCTGGTCTGGGCTTGTTTTTACTCTGCGGGAATGGAGACAAGATCTCTTGAGCCCTATCTAGAACTCTTGCGCTTGACGGCTGAATTTCCACCGTGTGTTCAATAACTCTGGGCTGCTTGGTGTTGGCGATGTTTGACAGAATTGATCTCCCGTTCAACGACAATGCCTCGGTAGCTTCTTCGTGCGATTGAAACACCACAAACCCGGAAATGCTGTCCTCTGCCTCCACATACGTGCTGTTGTTGCTAGACCAATTATTGTTGACGTTGGAAGTTTCCTCCACGATATTTCTAACGGTCCAAAAGCCCACAGGGCGGGCGCCAAATTGCGTGAACCACGACTCCAACTCGCTCTGCGTGGTGTCGGGAGGGAGGTTGTTCATATAGAGCACTTTAGACCTCTCCTGCAAGAAAGTGCGCACATCCAGGTACGAATCGTATGGATGTGTTAAAACCATGAGTTTGTCCTCGGGAGTGGAGCATTTTTGATGCAACTGAATAATCACAGCCACTGTCTGGTCAAGCGGGGTCTCAGGCTGTGGAGGAGTGGCGGGAGTGACGGCAGTAGCGGAAGTTTCGCCGTGTTCGGTGGAAACCGCGTCCGAAACCGCGTCCGAAACGAAATCCAATTCCAGCACCGCCCGCAGCTCGTTCAAATCCTTGGCTCGTTTGTTCTGACACGTCGTCTTGCGCAGCGCCAAAACCTCTGGATGGTTCACACACCACCGCTGGTACTCCTTCCACAGGTCGAAAACCTTGGGATGTTGCAAATGCGGTGGCAGTATGAACACTTCGTCACGGGCCTGCCGAGGCATTGTCACCCGAAAATGCCATGTCGACCCCAGCGAACACAGCACAAAGTCCTCGCCAGCATGTGCCGCGATGTCGGCGTCCAATTGGCCCACTGCTTCTTGCAGCGAGCACCCTGGACCCAACTCAACGTGCCGGTTTTCTTCAAAAACCGGTTTGAGCGTTTTCGCATCGAGAAATTGGTACTCAAATCGTGCGATTTGAACCCAGTCTTTAGCCCGGTCTTCCCGATGGGCCACCTCCACCTCTAGCACAACATAATGCATCGTTAAGATGCCTGCAAACGTTGTCTATTGGGCCAAATGTTAGCAGCTCGGTCTTTTCCAGAGAAAGCTTGATAAAATCTTGAAATTTATTGAACTTTAGGAAATCTTGGATTTTTTTCATTTCATGAGATGAGCTTCACGGGCATTGGAAATATTCGTTATTGGGCTTGAAAAATTTTTTTGGACGGGAGATCACAGTACACGTAATAATGATGTGACGTTCACGTGAGGAGCACGAGGTAGAAGATAGCACGTGAATATCACAGGATACTCAGTACAGTGTGACTTTCACGTGAAAAGCACGAGCACAGAGGGCGTCTCACATCCTAGTGTTCGGACGAGACGACAGCAGACTGGAAGACATTTGGACACTTACCAATGCCATAGGCAGAGATACCGAACGCAGGTCAGATTCTTGCACAACGTTCAAGCGCTTTTTTCCGCTTCTTCATCATCCTCCTCATCCTCTTCTTCCTCTTCTTCCTCTTCTTCCTCTTCACCGTCCTCCTCCTCAGCTTCCACCTCCGCGAGCTCGTTGGTCACGCCCTTGGGATGCTGTCTCAACCATGAGTCCTTCCACGCCACAATGCGGTCCACATTCTGCTCCATATCCTCGGTTGAATTGCTTTGCAGTTCCACCACAATCTCCTGCGCATACGAGTCCACCGCGTCCTGCATCACCACGCCCATGATCTCTGCGTCGATGTTCTCTTGCAACTTGGCCTCGTGGTACCCTCTCTGCGACAACCTATCGTGCAACACCGAATTGTCACATCTCAACACAACCACCAAATCTATCAGTCTCTCTGGAAAGATGTCGTTGACGTGCCAGTCCACGATCGCGCCTCCCTTCCGCAACAAGGGCTCCAAATCGTCCAGCAGCTTGTCCTCGTCCACAATGTGCGACTTTCTTGCTTCGTCGTAGCCATCGTAGCACTTGTTATCCCTCGCAAAATCGCTGATGTTGTAGTATCTACAATCTTTCAAATGTCTCTGCAAAAATTCGCATGTAGTGGTCTTCCCACACCCGGGAGTTCCCGTTACTAAAATGTTAGGTGTTAGTCTAGTGCTCATAGTCCAATAGTAGCTCGAAATGTCTGTGAAAGCTCAGTCTCTTGGTGTTAAGTTTGTTGTTTTCCAAGTTTTGACAACTCGATGAGTTAGAATATATATACATATATATATATGTATTACATTTATTGTAGAAAATTTGATATATTTGACCTATACAAAGCTCGACGAACTAGACACCATTAACACCATAATCAAAGACTATTCAAGATGGATAAGTATGGGCTCAAAGCTCTGTTACCACTTATAAGACGTGAAGATCAAAGCACAGAGTATGACCCGTCTATGACGCTGGGAATCGACCTTACTTCCGTACTTCACTCGTTAGGCATACAGGGCAACCAGCAAGGAAGACAAAGAGTTCTGGACACATTTCAGTCGCCCTGGGTAGAAACGTCGCGTAGCGAAGTGGAACCCCGTTTCTTCGTGCCGGAATCGTTCACAAATATCCCAAACGTGCTGCAATCTGGGGCCCAAGATCCAGTTTTCAATTCCGTCCAGCAGGATCATGCCAAAATCTCGTTATTCCAAGACGAGACCCTTTTCTACCTTTTCTACAAGCACCCAGGAAGCGTCGTACAGGAACTGACATACTTGGAGCTTCGCAAGCGGAATTGGAGATACCACAAGACTCTAAAAGTCTGGCTCACAAAGGATCCAATGATGGAACCTGCAGTGGCACCAGGAGGAGCATCTGAGAGAGGTTCATACGTTTTTTTCGACCCACAGCGCTGGGAAAAGTGCCAGCGCGATTTCGTGCTTTTCTACAACGCAATAATGTAAAACTATAATGATACACACGAGAGTCTGTTGGCAGTCTTCTCTATAGGTTGAATCAAAAGGCCAACAGCCAAAAGCTCTTGTATGGAAATTCGTGGGTAAAAGGGTATATAATGATATTTACAAGACCGGCCATCGACCGTAGCCAGCTGCCCCTTATACTTCAATGGCATGGTACCGCTTGCCCCTGAATCCCGCCATGTACATGTTAAACTGATACACTTGTTGAGGATTCACATCATTCAGTTCCCATTTGGTGCTTCCAAAAACGTTGTGGGAAGGTTCCATTAACATGTCCAGTTCATTGCCATGGGCCTCTACTACAGCGGCCATATCTCTTCTCAGATCGGCCTCGTTGAAACCAGTAGTGAAAATGGCACATTTGGTCTCCAACAACGCCTCCATGGTCTTGCCCATCCAGGTCTCTCGAGACTCGGGAGCAGCAAATCCGGGATGGAAACAGAAGAAAATGTCCGTGTATGGATCGTAGGGGAAAAAGTCCTGCGCTTCGTGGAAGACATGGAAGAAATCTGTGTGATAGAAGAAGCTCAAAGTCTCGTCAACTCTGCGCACGATAGGCGTTGATGAATGAACGTACTCGCGCTTAGTTTTCTCAAAATGAGACTCGGGTCCAACGAAGTGCAGCTCCATTTGCGTTTCGGGGAACATGAATTGCAACTGTTTCCAGACGTGACCCGGTAGCTGGGCCTCAGCTCTTGCGCCTAAGATGAAGATTCGAAGCGGGCTGTCTTTGGCAGTTGAAGTGACACGACGGTTTTGTTCAGGATATAGTGTGTAGCGCAATGCTGCTAGCGATTTTAGACCTTCTAGAGTGATTGGACCCTTTGGGTTGAGAGAATATGGCGAAAACTGATGAAGCACGGACCCAATCGTGGTTGGGTAACTGAGCATTTTCGTTACTGCGGCTAGTTGGAACTCAGTGTCCATGGAGTAAAAACCACGGGTGTAGAAGAAAAGATCCCAGTTTGTCAGATTGACCATACGATCGAAGTCCTGGTCTAGTGGGAAATCGAACTCTGGGAACGGCCTGCCGGATCTCAGATCGTGTTCGTAGATGTTAACTTTCTTTAAAATTTCGGGTCTTTTAGACTGATGGTAAGCCGTATCTTTCTCCCAAGCGTCACGAGAGTGATGTGTAGGGATTCCCGAGACTGGACATGTATAGTTGATTTCACGGCCTGTTACAGGACATTTTGCCAAGGCTCGTATGGTCGCTGCTCTTTCTCTCAGATCTGGGGAGGGCGACTGATCCCATAGATGAAACCTATTTTCAGGTGTAGGCTCGTCAGGAGAAGGAGGTGGATCCAAGCCCAGGGCGTTTCTCACAAATCCCATGATGTGTCTTTTTTGCATTAGGCCAGCACCATAGCGAATACTGGTGCGTTTCGCGACACACACTTGCATTGGACAAAAGTACTTGTAGTTGATGCTGCTAAATGTAGCCTCTAGAGCCTTTACAAACGATATAAAAGGTTAAGAATTGATCGTAACAGCCCTTCGATGATGTGAACTTTTATATATCAAAGAGGTCCGATTCTAAAATTTTTCAAAATATAAATAAGGCAAAATGAGTATAGAAGACCATGAAATGGTTGATCAAGATGGGATAGACAACAGCGTTATAGATTTGGTGCGCCAATGAGAGAATGGCTGGAGAGAGCGGACTTTTAAAGTTAGGAGACTGTGTAGTTCAACGAGTTTACTAAAATTATATTTCAAAATATATTTATGATCTTGTAAAAATTCGAATTTTTGGCATTAGGCTGGGCATATTTTAGTGTCAAAGCAGCTTTTTGGGTATAAAAATAATGTGAGCATCTTGTGTGAATTTTCGGGGTCCGACTCTGGGAGTTTTTGGTTGGGTTTAGTGCGTGTTTGGCTTACGGGGTGTTCGACAATATTTTCTAATTGTTGAGGAAGGAATTTTTCAAGGAGTAGAGATTTAATTCTGGTAGTACTGGTAGTGCTGGTGATGTAGGAAATCGCTGCTTAACAGAGCAATGAGATTTGGTTTCTTCCTGGGAGTTCCACGATTTGGCCTTTTTTGGTTGAAACCCAATATATATTGAAATGACTGACGGGGAAAAAGTGATATGGAAGGCTACTTATTGCACAGCAGGGATCGGAACCGCAGAGGAGAGACTGTGCAATTGACCTTGTCTTGCTGTATGCTTCGTGCATGATTGAATAGGCCACAGAAGCTGTTTTTCACGTTTCCAAGGTCGCGACGATTCGTGGTTGGCCGCTTCAAAATTGATAGACCACTTGTAGGCAACCACGGCCAAGTAAGATGGAGCATTTTTCTACATAATGCACACTCAAGAGGCACAATTTAGAGTCTTTTGAATGGTGTAAACTCCAGTTGTGGTCTCGATGTCACATCGGAATTCACCATTATCCAAATTGACGTGAGAAAGAGACCAAATTAAATACAAAGCAAAGGTCCTAAACCTCAGAGACATCAGCTATAATACAAGTCGAGCCAGAAGAAATAGGCTAAGCTTTGTTTCTCGATCTTGAGTATGTAGTAATGTTATATCAGTGACATAGATCACGTGATAAGTCTTAAAATAACATTTACCGCATGCCAAACGACGTCAGGGAGCATTCATAAAACAGATAGGAGCAAGCACCAGTTCCCGCTAGCTCTTCACATATCGAACTCAACTAAATAGTCGCTTACTTACGATTTCTCGTCCGGCCAACAAATCACCACACACGACATACTTAACCAGAAAGCTCAAAATTTTCGAGATCAAAGTTAACTTTAATAGACAGTTCAGTTCAGTGGATTCTCTTTAGCTCGACAACTAGATCCAGGAAAACGATACGCCCTTTTAGCGTGGGTACCTCACAGTTCATATCGAAATTATGATCGGGGTTTTTGGCCGTCTGGCAGCCAATGTGCTAAAGCCACGCGTCTCAACCACGATCGGTAGATCTACAGTGCACACATTTCAAGGCCACAGGCTTTCGACGCAGTCAGCAATGCCTCTTATAACACTGCTGAAGCCTATACTGCCAATGGAACCAAACACAGCAACAGAGGAGATGTTCACAGATAGTGTAATGCGGAAAAGACGACTAAAGATGAAGAAACACAAGCTGCGGAAGAGAAGAAAGAGACAAAAGGCTGAGAAGAGAAAACAATCGCAAGGTAAATGAGCGAAATAACTACAGACTAGTTTACTTTATAGCGTCTCCTTGTACATAGAATTCGGGCTTGGCCAAAACAGTGAGAGACGCCCAGCACATCGCGAGTCGTGCCCGATTTAACATAGCGTTCATTTTTCTCTATTGATTAATTCTGAATGACTTTATCTATTATCATCGAGATATTTCATTCAAAAAACTACCGTTCTATACATTCGGCAGCACCGAAAACAACTGCTCAAAAGAATTTGCGTAGCACCCACCACATTGCCAGAATTTGAATCATAACGCCCATGGCCAGCACGAGACTTTTTTGCTCGCGACTCAACTTCTCCGTGTGTTTCCATTCGTCGATCGCGAATGTGACAAGCTTGAAGCTTAGCTTCCCCATGAGATCCTTGCGGTTGATCTCGCCCAGCTCGGAGATCACACGGGTGTTCCATTCGAAAATTGCGTTCGAAACGTCGATGATTTGTAGTTTTTGGTCTTCAGTGAGGCCCTGGCGCGTCGCCAGTTCGTATCCTCTCTTGTAGTCTTTGCGCAGTTTGTTTTCAGCCAGAACACCTTCCGAACTGAAAGTGAAGAAATTGGTACCACGACGGACCACTTCGTCAGGCTTGAGATCGGGAAACCTTGGGAAAAGCCCCGTTGACCTGTACACTGTAGATCTCATCACACGACCGCCTGCAAATAGCGCCAGATACAGGACATGGCAGTAGGCCAGCACCGTTGTCGGACTGGTTTGAATGCCCTGGTGCACGTAGTCCACGAACCCTTGTTGTTCTGCAGGCAGCACGTTGTGCTGCACAAACTCCAGGAGCTGCGTCCTACTGGGACACTCTTTAGCATAAAGAAGCTCCAAATCCTGCAAAATCTTGTCTGAGCGACGAAAATCGTCGACCCAGAACTGTTTCAAAATGTTCCGTGTCTGCACTTCCTCCTCGGTGTGTGCTTGCGCCAAGATTCGATCGATTTCCTGCTCGATGGCTTGGAATATGTAAAAAAACGCTAGAATGCCCTGGCGGTAAATGAACCCGTGTTTCATGGCAAACGCGAACTTGACGCTCATCTGTCCGTCGATTTTGTTGTGCTGGTCTCGGGTGTGGAAATTGATACGATTGGCCAAAGCACCCACGTCCGTGGGTGCAGGAATAGTGTTTGTCATGTCGCGATGGTTTTCTCAAGAACGAATAAAGCGATGAGTCTCGTTCGAATTCGGCGAAAGAGAGAAAACGTCCCAGATGTACGATTTTCCAATAATCTTAGAGGAAAATTGGTGATTATTTGAGGTCAATTGTCTTCAACTCTAGGTCAATCTTAATCCAGGGTTTTTATACAATGCTAGGTGGGCTGAATGTGGTGTCATTTTGTATGATTTTGGGTGCCGTCCGATAAATCCACCCAAATCACGTGGCCAAACGGAACCACTGACGTAATCGAAAGATGACATAATCATGTCTGAGAAAACGGAGTTTGGTCTCGTGATCAAGCCGGTGATATAGGCACCGCTCTTGGACACCCAGGAACAACTCAGCCAGATGGATAGCTTTGATAGCTGTAGACTGCTGCTTTGGGTGCACTTTTTTGTTCAGCCCATATGAGGCTGACTCTCGTAGAATTCTATCACTTGTTCGGAGGAAGTGGCATCTTCCACATTCTTATCGTCTCGTATGCGAATAAATCTTGGAAACCGCAGCGAAACACCTTTGTCGTGAGAGCTGCTGCCGGCCTTGTACACCGGTGACAGCGACAAATCAGCGGTGAGGACCTCGAAAAGCATCGAGGGCTCGAACCAAACGTCGGGCGGCGCCGACTCGCTGTACACGTAGAAAGCCTTGGGTGTGGCAATTTCCGTGGGCTTCAGTTCGTCGTAAAGCTTCTGTAGCATCTCATCTGAAAACCCAGTGCCGATCTTACAGCAGGTCTCAAACTCGCCGCTGTCCTGGTTGTAGCACCCCAGCAAAAAGCCTCCGTATGTGCCTGTACGTTTTCCGCGCCCGTAATATGCACCCAACACACATAGGTCCAATGAGTCTCCGACACCTTGTAAATAGTCCTTTTTCAGCTTTAGCCAATTCCGCGACCGCTTGCTGGGCTCGTATTGCGATTCTTCGCCGTCCAGCGATTTCACCATCAGACCCTCGCACGAGTCCTTGACCGACTGGTCCAGATATTGCTGCATTTCGTCCAGGCTTACGGTCGTCATCTCGCTGGCAAACTGTAGCTCGCCTGGAACGGGCTTCAGCACACGGTGCAAGTATTCACGACGTTCTGCAAATGACCGGTTTATCAGGGGCTCATCGTTGTAGCACAGAATGTCAAACGCAAATAAGCACACTCGCACCTTGACATCCTCAGCCACAACACCTTTCCGTTTCCGCGTGCTCAATACTTGGAAAGGCAAAATGGTGTTTCTATCTTTGTCCCACGCGACCGCCTCGCAATCAAGAATTAACGTATGTGTTGCGTCCTTGTCAGCAATAAAATCGGCTATTTTGATCTCAGGATATCTCTCCGTCATGCTTTCGCCATTTCTGGAATAAATATGCATTGTTCCATCTGGTAACAGGTGTACTTGTGCTCTTTCACCGTCGTACTTGTATTCGCAGGTAAACCTGTGTCCCTGGAAGCGATCCAACACTTCCGAGACAGATTTGGACGGCTTGGCCAACATAGGTTTCAGTGGAATGCCTGGGGTCAACACACAGTGTTTATCGAGGTTCATGATACCGTGCTCAAGGGCGGTTTTGATCACTATTTCATAATTTGGAACTTGGCAGAACGCGTCACGAATCTTTTCCTCAGCCGCATCTATCAAATCGCTGGATGGCTCTTTACCGTCGTGTTCCTGCATTAGGATAGCTTTCGAAAGAGCAATCAAGACGGACTTTTCTGCAAGCCCAATTCTGAGTTTGGATTCCAGAGATCTAATCAAAAACTTGGCCTCTACTCCTTGACAAGCTGTCAACATTTTCTTGATTAGTTGAACTTTCCGTAGCTGAGAGTCCTTGCCCTGAGACTTGGCAATTGCCTGCAAGTTCGAAAACACTTCACCCGTAGTCAAAGGTTTTGGTTTGAACATTGTGGGCTGAACAGATCGCGCCTCCTGTGCTATGCGGCCCAAGTCCCCGAGTTCTCGATAACGAGCTTTCACCTGGGCCAGGGATTTGCCGCAACTTTCGCTGATCGTCCTCATCAGCAGACCCTCTCCAAGCCCGAGCTCGAGGCCGGGCTGGTAATCGGGTCCTAGCCTGTTGATAAGTAAGTAGGTAATAGGCACAAGGTCGTTTTGAGTCTTGGACAAAACCGAGTATAAAAAGTCGCTGCACAGCTTGACAATTTGTAGTCTCGACGAGGTACCTTCGACCTCGTTGAAGAGATTGCAGATCGCCGAGTACAAGATTTTAGACTCTTTTGGGGCGACAGGCTGAATTTTGGGCGCATTAGCGATGTCGTTTTTAACAACAGGTTTGCTTGGCCTCAAAGACGTGAGGGGGGAAACTTCCAACTCGGTTTCCACAGCTTTGGAAACTGAGTCTTGTGTGTCTGCAAGACTACTCGGCTGTTCAATGGCTTTATCGAGCTTTGGTCTTTTGGCCAAATCCTCTAGTTTGGCTGGCTCATCGCCGTTTCTCTTCTTGGAGCTAAAAAACTTTGCCAAAGTAGCTTGTTTCTTACCCGATGACATTCCAATGCGAGAAAATCGTATCATAAACTAGTAAAAATCGAGCTAAGTTTGAAATCGAACCAGTAGATCAATCAAAACCGTTTGTTTCCGTCTGTTCTTACTATAACCAATACTTCACCAAAATGGACGGTGAATTGCGTATTTTTTTATCAAAATAAGATGCCAAATGAAAGGGCAACACAATAGCTCAGCCCACTCGAAGTATCTACCTCAGAACAACAACAGGTCGTGTCAATTGGCTGTTTGACGAGGCCATTGAACTACTCATTGAGATAATATATAGAAACGAGCATCTAAAGCAGCGACACAGACGTCTAAAGTGATCTCATGCTTAATATTCAATTACAATATTTTTGAGCAAGGCATAACTAGAGAGTGGGAAAGCCCCAGAAAAGGCGACATATGAAATGACCACCGAACGCTTTGTCGTTACGGATGTCCTTCGATTTCCGGATACTGTCATACCAAGATTTATATATTATTTGATAATTAGCATATACATACCTTTGTACGAAGGCGAGATTGGTGAAAAATTGACCAGTAGGCGTAAAAGGGGGTCTACCATCTACGAACACCAACGGATACCAACAACAGGCTAGGCATTGGTGTTATTGAGTATTGTGCTTTCGAACTTTACTAGTGAAGCTGTGTTGATACTTGTTTTCGAAAAGTCTGGGTGAAAATTGGTAGTTTCAAGCCTCTAATATGTCAAAATCTCTGATTCGTAAGGCCAAAAATGTGGTCAATGGCTACTCCAGCACACAGGTATTGTTGCGAGAGGCCACTTCTAATGACTCAGATGGTCCATCTGTGGAGCTTTTGGACGAAATCGCGGAGCGCTCGTGGGATAACGTAAGCTTTTTCGAGGTCATGGATATGCTGGACAAACGTTTGAACGACAAGGGCAAAAACTGGCGCCATGTGGCGAAATCGCTGACGGTTCTGGACTATTTGGTGCGTTGCGGCTCAGATCACTGCGTTCCCTGGGCCAAGGAGAATCTTTATATCATAAAAACGTTGCGAGAGTTCATCCACGAGGACGAAATGGGAGTTGACCAAGGGCAGATCGTGCGTGTGAAGGCCCGTGAGCTGACAGCGCTGTTGCTGGACGACGAGCGTTTGCAAGAAGAGAGATCGCTCCGGCGGCAAAATCGCCGCCCCAGACGGCGTAGAACTCGCGATGACCCCAATGACGACATGCAGCGTGCTTTGGAGGAAAGCAGACTTACCGCAGAACAAGAAGAAGAGGAGCGTCGCAGACGCTACGAGCTTTACGACAACAGCAATGACGACCTGCAAACCGCGTTGCAGCTCAGCAAAGAGGAGGAAGAACTCAGGCGTCTACGAGCTCTGCAATTGGAACAGCAAATGCAACAGGCTCAGAACCAAATGTTTGGCTACCAGCAGCCTCAGCAACAATCCATGTACTACGATGTGTTTGGAAACCCTATTACAGCAGAAGAATATCTCCAGTATCAGCAGCAAATGAACGAACAGCAGCTTGCACAACAGAAGTACCAACAGGCTGCGCAGCAGCAATATCTTGCTCAACAACAGTACCTAGCTCTCCAGCAGCAACAGCAACAAGATCTTGCTCATCAGCAATACTTTCAAACGCTTGCTCAGCAACAACAGCCTTTGGCAACAGGTTCCAACAATCCGTTCGCGAGAAACTCTCAAGCAGCCTCGGCAAACACTGGAGTTCAGTCTCCTCCATCAAGACCGATGGAATTGCCACAGCATCAGCCTGTACAACAAGCGCCTCCTCCTCAGCAGCAACCTCTCAAACAAACCAGGACTGGGAACCAGTCTGTATCTGATAAATTCAGTGACCTGAACAATCTTCTGGCCTCCGGTACTGGCCTAGATACATTTGGTAACACAGGCCAGACCCGTATTCCTGCCCAGCATACGAAGACAGGTACTTTTATCAATTCACAGGGCACTGGCTACAAGCAAGTCACCAGCAATGGGCCTCAGGGAAAGAAGAATCCTTTCCTAGCTCAACAATACACTGGGCTTCCAAGCACCTCTGTTGTGCCTTCGTATACAGGCTATGGTTTTGGTAATGGTAATCAGAACTACCAACCTCAACAACAGCATAACCAGAACTTTTCGAACGGGACTGCCGATCAGGGCGTCAGCCTGATAGATTTGTAGTCGACCTTTGATGTGAGAAGTTAGACTCAATTGGTGCCGCTCGGCTGTTGAGAAAGAAAATTCTCGAAGAATTGTTGCTGATGAGAATCGGCTGTTGCATTAATAGCGGTGGGTTTTCAACATGTGTTGGCATGTCAAGCGAAATTTCCTTTGGGCAATGATGTAACTTGGAAATTCTCTACACTGTCACTCACTGAGAGCTGAAGAGTTTGCTTTCTTTTGCTTCGTTAGCATTCCGATCAGCGTTGACAGGACTCTGATAGATGCACTGACAACTTTTCAAGCTCAAACTTTTGCCCTTAAGAGCAGCATCCCCTGAATTTTTGCCTTTCCATTGTTAGACTTGTTAGAGCATGGTGCACTGAGAAACCAAATCGTGACGTTTTATATCACGTCTCAGAAGGCATTTCCAGGAAGAAAATGATTCAGTTGAAGGCTCGGAGCTGGGTTTACAACTATGTATGTCCTATTAAGACAGTCTTGAAAATGACACAACAATTTTCAGCTGTCTGCCCAGGAAAACTGTTGATCCCATTTCAATGTTTGCCCACCGCGTTCTTCGTTTGGCAACGACAAAACCAAACGGTTTTAAGCATCTCAGTACTCGCCTGACTCAAGCCAGAATAGTTGATAGCTTCATTGATTGTTCTATATAGCCTGAATTATTTTGATATATCAACTTAGACTCATGCTTAGTGGCTTAAATGTAAGATAAAATTGCGCTATACACTACAGAATTCAATTACCGGGACTAACAAAATCGTCGCAAGTAGAGAGAGCGCTGTGTATTCGAAAAGCATTGATTATCGTGTTCTTTATGTAAAAGTTTACATATCCAGAAGCAAAAGGCCGGAAACACTTTCCAAATCTTTATGTGTCAAAACTAGATCGTCACTGAGTTGATCGCGGCCCTCTTCCTTTACGCGTTCTTTGTTTTCTATAGAGCGCAGCACAGCTTCGCGAACAAAGATTGTCAGATATTCGTCTATCAGTGTCAAAGAAGATTCTGTGATTCTTGTCGACTCATTGCTAAAGGAACAAGTCTGGAAAATGCGGGCTATAGTGTCTTTTGGAACTGCGTGGTTCATTTGGTACCACTAGTTCGGTTTAAGAAGGGAACATTAGACAAGAAGTGTTATTTTAGTATCAGATGACATGTTTAGCTGGCGGTCTATACATATAGAATTGTCTGAAATGTTACGTATGTTTCGTTCATGGACACCGTTAACTGCAGTTGATGGGTTTTTTGAGCTTCAAGAAGGTATAAGGGAACTATAGCCCATCCATTGCCTTTTTCTATAATCTCTGTAGGAGGACTTGGGTTTTCTGTAGACGGCGAGACAGTTTGCAACGGTTGAGCTTCTGGCAATCGATTGACTTGCTCGAGAGCAAAACTGCTGCGATTCAATTGATAAGTTGGAATACGTGCAGCAAACAATTGTATATCTTTTTTTGGGGCCTGTGCCCGCAAAGTGCCCTTCTCGATTTCCAGTGTAAATTCGCGGACAGGCAAATATGTGGTTGCTGATCCCAACAAAGAGACGTTCGTGCCACCACTTGCCGTTTCACTAGCTCTGAAAACAAGAGCAATATTTTGAGCGTTGAACGGCTGCGAAGGAATAACCGTGGCAAGTGGGACGGCTTTCAGACTGGGCAATTGCCGAGCAGCAAAAGACTCCAGCACCAATCTTGAGGATTTCGGGTCAGGGTGTACCTTCACTAAAAAATTTTCGCACTGGGGACACCGATAGTTGTATTTGGGCCTCAAACGACGTGCGCGCGGTAATGAAGAGAGCGTCTCGAGCGCTTTGTCCTCCGGCAACGACACCATCGGTATTGCCATCTCTTCATTTATCAGCTCGAACAGCTTTACAGATTGAAGTCTGCGAGCTAGGTCTCGAGACGTCATTTCATCCAAAGTATCCAGTATACCCTGCTCGCTACTATTTTGGATTTTCTCCAGCTTTCGCTTGGTGTTGTAAAAAGCCTGCAAGTTCCTGAACCTCATGGCTTTTGGGTCCAATTTTTCCCGCATGGATTCGAAATAGCAAGCCAGTCCCTGTGCTCTGGCCTCACTTATTTTATTCAGCTTATGGTTCCACCCACAGCCGTAGCATCTCAGTAGCAGATGCTGCTCGCTAGCATTTTGTCGTCGATCTGCTGACACCGATATTTGATTTTGGCATCTAGGACACTCGAGACAATTCTTTACGCATCTAGTTCGGTTCCCATCCTCGCTAACCGTGTGACAACCCGAACAAAACTTCACCACGAGTTCTGACTTTTGGCACCAATTGCAGGATATGCGATGGCATTTTCGACATAAGTTAAGATCGTGGATAGATTTTGTTTCTCGGGAACAACTGCAGAGCCATTTGATTTGCATTAGAATGGCGACGACGTCATCACTCTTTATGACTTTGAATTGAGGGATCTTTAAGCTGGAGAAAGCTGTGGTGGCCTCGATGAGCTTACTGAATAGCTCGGTATTTGGATCTAATGTATATCACATGATAATGTCGTTTTAAATACCAAAATGTTGTTGAGCAACACGAATATTCGTTCAGGGTTTGAAAGGCTGGCTTTGAGGTAGTAGTCTATTGCTGTTTCTTGGTATCTGTATATGGGATGAACGATTCTTCTAAGGCTGTTGGTGAAAGCTGAATAATTTAATTCTCCCAATTCATTGTCGAGCTTATTTTTAAAATCTATTGAGCTTGGCACTCACAGATTTCTTAACAACAGAAACGCTCGTGAAATAATTATCTGATGTCGGTGTCTGTCTGTTGACTCCCGAGTTTTAAAGTTTGGCTTCTTTAAAAGCTTTCAAATTGTCAATATCCATCATTGATAACAAACTAGAAGAAAAAAGCCTGAAACTTCGCACATCCTCGAAGAATGTCACTAAATAGTAGTACACCGCATTCAGAACACATTGATGACAGTGTATTGAAAGAGGTCGAACACTTTTAGTCAAACTCGCTTTTTCAAGATCACTTTGTACTTCTCAGTCACGGCGTCAGAGAAGCACTTTATGATCGCATAACAATCTGTGAGGGAATGGACGACCTCAAGAAAAAGAACCAGTCATAGACTCCCACAAAGAGATAGCTTCTCAGCGCTCAACTACGGTTGGTCAAATTCAGGATTTGAAATAAAAACTTACGTGTACAGGTAGCTTCTCCGCCACGATTTCGCTAAGACACCCATCGCGTTTAGCACATGATAGTTTCAGAAAGCTCCAATCTATTTATCAAACGTTAACATAAAAGCATTAGATACCGTTTTGAAATTATCGATACTGACTTTCTTGGTACTATTCTCTGGAAAACCTCTGATGCCATGTTAGCTCTGTTTCCCAGTAACTAGGAAATCAATTAAAAAGCTGAAATAAACATTTACACAGGATGTAAAATTATTATCGCGACAGCCGAGGCAGCGTTTACTCTCTATGTCGAGCCGCAAACCCTATGAAACGAACCCTATGTCCTTCATGCAAGACTCATGATATAATAACTCAATGTCCGTATTTTTACAATTCTTTTCAGACCACAATTTTTCAGTGACAGTAGTCTTGAAAAAAGCTCACAAGCATCTTAGTATGTAGAATATTCCTTGTTCTCATCCATCAGAGCTTTGCCGTTCACCATAATATTTCAGTGACTTGATTCTGGAAATCTGGCGCAGTTGATTGTTGCGAAGGATGAGTCGAGGCTCTACAGGAAACCCGTAAAATGATCAGCGCTCTCAAGCACACTCAACATTGATAACTGAGCCAACCAGCAGATACGAGGCGGGACTTACATCGTTCTAAACCTTAGCTATAAATTTACGTCATGTGACACCATTTTGACGTATAAGATCTAATTTAGGTGCTAGACGAATGACGATCTACTTTGGCAAGATGCTGAGTAGTTCAAAGGCCAGCTTCTTGACTGGCTCATCTTCCTTTGCCAAGATCAACTCATAGGAATTCATGAAAATACTTCTAGCTGTGGCTTTTTTGGTCAATTGTATTCATGTTCTCTGCTCGCAACAAGATCCATGGGATACCGTAGCGAAACATCTGGCATCGCTGCCGAAACATAAGGACTGTCTTATAAACTCTGCGCAAGAATGGGACCCGTTTCAAGGTGGAATCAACATTACTTTGCCAATAGATTACTACGAAGAAGAACAGGAGCTGAATTGGGCTGCGTTCCTCGCATCGGAGAGTAACGAAAACCGGCTGATGTTCACCGAGCTCGTACGTTCCAGCGAAGACTTTGATAATGTTGAGGCTACATACAGCCTTGCTCAGATGCTTTTGCTCCAGCAATACGGCGTTCCTCAAAATAAAACTTTGGCCTATCACTACATGTGTAAGTTTAACGAGCTCACAGACTACATGAATGGAACAGCGGTTTTTGAACTTGGTTTAATGCATATCACGGGCCTTTTTGGTACTATCCCGGTGGACGTAGCCCACGGTCTGATCTTATATGAAAGGGCAGCTGAATTGGGTGATCTAAGGGCCAGAATGGCATTAGCATACCGGCACTCACTCGGGCGTAATGTGCCTCTAGATCAAGAAAAATCTCTCTTCCTTTACAGATCACTTGCACATGAACTTCGCAAAAAGTACACCGATGTTGAATGGAACCTGTTTCATCCTTTGGTCGAGTCTTATCTTGTTAGCATTCCAGACTTCACAGGAGGGTTACTAGGCAGTGGATTAAGCTCTAGCCCCTCCACCGTTAGGAGACTAAGGGCCAGCAGACCTGACGTTACCTCATCTATACTGACTAACTTACACCCAGAGGGCGTCGTGCTCCACTTTGGTTCCGGATTCCACGATTTTATAGAAGATGACGAAGAGAACAGGGACAAACTCGTTGACATATACTACACCGCATTGGATAATTTCCGTGGGACGTACACTCAAAGACGTAATTCGAACGCTTCTGCGGAGATGTTAAATGTCACTATTGCAGAATACTCTTCTTATTTACAAAACATGGATACTCTGCAAAGATACTACTATGGTAAATGCTTGGAGCTTTGGGGGCACATTCTGTTCACGGGCGACGGTGTGTCACGACCAGATATTGACGCAGCAGAGAGAATCCTAACCAACGCCACGAATGTTCTGAAATCAAACTCTTACAGTGCTCATTTAGACCTGGGACTAATAAATCAATATTTTCACCGTAATGCAGCCGTTGCGCGGCAGCATTACAGATTTATTAGTTCTGGCGAAGTGTTTTTCCAAGTCTACCAGCTGGACAAATCCAACCTGTCCCGTCAACAATTTGTCGATAGCATTTATCTTGATTCGGCTTCGGAGATGGGACATCCACAAGCATGTTATGAGTTTGCCATGAAGAAAGAAGGGCTTGGTGGTGCTAGCGTTTATGACCTTCATCGAGCTTTCAAAGAATTTGTAGAAAGTCAGGAGAGTTTTGTCGCTCCGCACATGAAAGACGCATTTTTAGCACTATTGAGGGGCGACACAGAAGCTGCTCTTTGGTTGTATGTGCAAGCAGCTGAACAAGGAATCCAAACAGCTCAAACAAATGTTGCCTTTATACTGTATCAGCCCTCGTATGTCGTTGATGAGCCGCCCTTCACTTCAGACGAAAGGAAACTTCTCGCAGCGCAATACTACTCATTGGACTCCATGGGCTATAACAGAGACTCTGCTGTTGTCGCCGGTAACGTTTTTTTTGAAATGGGTGACTATGAGCAGGCGGCCGGGCTTTACCAATTTTGTTCTGGTTCGGCGTTGGGAAAATGGCACCTCGGCTACATGCACGAGTATGGCCTAGGCGTGGAACAAGACTTTGAGTTGGCAAAGCGCCACTACGAAAGTGCTCTTGAGCTCAACCCAGCGCTGTTTTTGGGAGTCAAGCTATCTCTTTTCAAGCTGGAACTCAAATCTTGGTTCCTCTGGCTTACGAGCTCGGCAGAAAGATTTAGCTGGTTTGCGCATGGGCAAGCGTACCAGAAGTCTAGTAAAGAGGCTTTCCACACGCGAATGCTGAAAAAGGTCCACAAAGCTCGTCATGAAAGACAGGAGAGGACTGGCTCCTCATCCAAGTATTATGGACTGCCGACTTTGAAAGACGCGGTCTTGATCATTGGCATATTCGCAATTTTCTTGATGATACAATTGGTGCAGTTGGTTCGGACTTTGTTAGCGCGGCCACGCGGGGATAACTTTGGTGGTATAAATTTCCATCTATGATGAGGATTGTGGAGCTCTCGGCGGAGAACTCTTCCATTGGGGGGGGGGGGGCTAAAGTTGGACCGGCTTGCGACTGTAAGTGTTTTTCTCAAGGTCCTTAGTTCAATTGTGCTTTGCAGGCCGCAAGTTTCGAAGGACTTACGGTTCGTCTTCAAGCTACTTTAGCATTTGAAACAAAGTGTTGGCCGCCGACTTGCTTGTGGGACCCTCATAATTGAGTTGAAAGGGTGTTTCAGGCTCCTAAATAGAGACAATCGATAGCTGTTGCCTTGTGAAAATCGTCACCCTGTGAAGGTTGTAGCCCTGCACAACATGCTTTCCGTCTCAATTAAGTGACAGTCCAAGCTAGAAGAAGCAGCTCATCAGGTGCGGGGGCGGAGACACTGACGGTAGCAACGGTGAACTCGAGAAATCACAGGAACAAAAACACAGAGCCCTATCAAATGCGTGTTTTAACGCTCTGGGGTTGGAATGTGCAATTTGAAAACCTTCGTTATTGCATGTTACCATGAATCTTGATGAAAGAGACCATTGGTCGCAACTAGGCGCATGGCAAGACGGTACGGCGAACAGTCTGGCAGCGGATCAGCCGTGAAGAAAGCATTTCTCAAAACTGTGGTCACAGAGAAGTAAAAAGTGATTTTACTCTGTCAAACATAGACAGATCGCACGCCTTAAAGAACTCGCCACGCCTAACTCTCATGGCGAAGTTCTTTGAATTCAATCAGTCGAAATGTCTATCATCATCGCCAATTTTCAGCTGGCGAACTATTTCGAATTTTTTTACCCTCAGAACTGGGCCAAATTTCACCGAAAAAAAAGGCGAATATAGCCTGTAAACATTACAATCAACTCCCACCACCACCATAACTTTCACTTTCATATCACCATGGATGACTGGAGTTGTTCTTTTTAAACTCTTGGAATAACTATATATTTCGTGTATAGCGATCCAAATAATCAATTCACCACCATCTTTAAATGTTCAAATTATAGAGTTTAAGCTGTTCAACCAATGTCAAAGCATATCTGAACATAATTATCTGTCAATAGCCAATTGGCAGCCGGTTGGTAGTGTGATTCGAAGCTTAAATATCGACAATATGGCCACGATCAGTAACGCGCATTCAGAGCTCATTCACGACGCAGTGCTGGACTATTACGGGAAACGTCTTGCGACATGTTCATCCGACAAGACGATCAAGATTTTCGAGATAGAGAACGACATTCACAAGCTAGTTGAGACGCTATACGGCCACGAGGGCCCGGTGTGGCAAGTGGACTGGGCCCACCCTAAGTTTGGGGTGATTTTGGCGTCGTGTTCCTACGACGGGAAAGTGTTGATCTGGAAAGAAGAAAACGGACGCTGGACTCAAATCGCAGTGCACGCTGCACACTCAGCATCAGTCAACTCTGTGAAGTGGGCCCCACATGAATACGGACCCTTTCTGCTTGCAGCGTCTTCCGATGGGAAAGTGTCGATCGTGGAGTTCAAAGAAAACGGCACTACAGCACCAGTGGTTCTGGACGCACATGCAATTGGTGTCAACACAGCTTCATGGGCATCCGCTGCCCTGCAAGATGGATCTTCGACCCTCCAGGAGCGTCGTTTCGTCACCGGTGGTGCCGACAACCTAGTCAAAGTTTGGAAATACAGCCCTGAGGCAAACACGTACTTGGTACAAGATACCCTCGAAGGCCACAGCGACTGGGTCAGAGACGTAGCATGGTCTCCTTCGGTGCTGCTACGCTCGTATTTGGCCAGTGTGTCACAAGATCGTACCTGCATTATCTGGACTCAAGAGAACAACCAAGGACCTTGGAAAAAGACATTACTGAAAGACGACAAGTTCCCAGACGTGTTGTGGAGAGCCAGCTGGTCGCTTTCGGGTAATATTCTGGCAATCTCCGGAGGCGACAACAAAGTAACCTTGTGGAAAGAAAACTTGGAAGGTAAATGGGAATCCGCCGGTGAGGTTGAGCAGTGAAGATTCAGAGGCAGATCGAATTCACCACCACCAAAAAAAGGGAAGAGCGCTCTTGTATTTCCGGTAGATCTAAGAGAATATAGATATAAATATCTGGAATTGAATCGAGAGACGCGCCATCAAAGGTCGGCGACGACTGCCTCCACCAGGCGCTCGACGTCCACAGAGGCGAGAAATCCAGCTTCCAAAACCTCCTCGTGGGTTGCTTTACCACGGTCAATTGGCACTGGGTTTTCATCCAGGGCGCTGGCTGGTGGATTAACAACAACTTGGTTGGTAACGAGACTTAATGCTAAGACTTTTAATCCGCAATGTCTAGCAACGATCACCTCCGGAACCGTGCTCATACCCACAACGTCGCCTCCAAGCATACGTATCATTCTGGCCTCGGCTCTGGTCTCGAAGGTGGGACCCGAGACATACGTGTATACACCTTCATGGAGAGGTCTTTGCAGGCCCAATTCATATCTCTTGGCGAAAAGCAGTTTTCTGAAAGCCAGATCGTACCCATCACTGAGAGACTGGAATCTGGGGCCATACTCTTCGAAATTTGGGCCTCGTAGCGGATGCTGACCTGCCAATCCTGGAAGGTTTATGTGGTCGTTCAAACACATCAGGTCGCCCACTCGATAGTTAGGGTTTACGGCCCCACACGCATTCGTCACAATCAGGTTCTTCACGAAACCCCATTCGTACATCACTCTGATTGGGAACACAGTCTCATGCAAAGAGTGGCCTTCGTAGGAATGAAGTCTACCACACATCAATACCACTGGACTTCCCTTTATGTAGCCAAACACCAATTTCCCTTGATGACCTGCGACCGTGCTGGATTTGAACCCCGGGATCTTGTTGTAAGGAATTGACAACGGTTTTGGCTTGGGCGACACTTTATCGACGATCCCACCCAATCCAGAACCGCAAATGATTAAGGTTCTTGGTTCGAAGCGAGTAAAATGCGAGAATATGGCATGTTTAATGTGTTCTACGGCGTAGCCGATTAGTAGACGTTGTTCGTCAAGGTCGAAAGAACTCATTTGGTACTTTCTTAAGAGTCTTGTCTTTGAGCTGGGTTTTTGGATGGTGATATAATTGTGACGATCTTTATGATCTTTATGATCTTTATATCGACTGCAAGTATCTGTAGTGAACTCAAGAGGTCGAGGGATGAGAAGCTCAGATAGTGAAAGTCAAAACATAGATAGGTAGGTCGAAGATAGTCAGAAGTGATATGAAAATGCTGAGATCTCAGGGCTTCCAACGAGCAATACTGTCATAGTAACTCGGGAAAAATCTGCGTGGGCGAGATGCTGTTCGAGGACAATGTAACTACTATGCGACTATACGTTTTACATGGTATGAATGGTGCCAGTCTATGTGTGCGTTGGCCGATGTTGATGATGTTTGATTAAAATTCGTTAACGTTTCGGCATCTCTCTTTTTTGAGATACTTATGTCATTCATTGTGAACGGTTTCCGTGGGTCGTGAAAGACACACCGCGCCGTCTTTGAAGGTGTCATTGTCATGGGAGAATAACAACGCGACGAAGCCAAAAACTAAAATAAGGCAGTCTTGCTGGGGCGCGAGCCCCTCTATTGGTAAATGCTCATGAGAAATTGCCACGAGTGTGTCGCCAAAAAATGGATAGTTTTCGCCCCGGAAAGAAAAAAAAAAAGCTTCTTGTTCTCTCGACAAAAGTGTTTAGAGAAACAAAAAGTGAAGGGCCATTTGCCAAAATCAATGCATGATAGTAATACAATTAATTGGAACGTTTTCCAACTTCAAATCGAGTGGTGAAATGGGCCTTTGGGTTGATTTTTTATGATGATGGTTGATTTTACAAAAAAAAAAAAAAAAAAAAAAAATAGGAATATGATCCAAATGCGCTACCACAGCGACTATCCTAATAGCCCTGTGGAGATGCTTGGCCCTGCAAAGAAGCTGGAGCGTTCATTGGCGATGCGCCGTTGAAATACTGCTGTGGAGCATACTGTTGCGGAGGATAATGTTGAGGTGGGTATTGTTGGGGAAGATACGCTTGCGGGTGCTGCTGCTGCTGTTGTTGCTGTTGTTGTTGTAGCAGTAGCTGCTGTTGTTGTGGTGGTAGTTGTTGCTGATGGGAACCTTGAGGCGGTTGACCACTGTGTTGTTGTTGAGGGGGATACTGCTGGGGCATTGCGTGGAATTGCGGTTGAGTTTGTTGAGGAGGCAATTGTTGACCCGCAACATTAGCCATCGTGTTTGGTAGAGACGACAATGGGAAAGGCACTGGGACCGCAGAGTTGTCTTCTGCCACGTAGAGCGACTTGTCGATCTGAGCAGGAATGGCAGCGATCTCGGTGCCTAGCTCTTGCTCGATTTTGTAGAGGTTGAACCGGTCGTTCCAGTTGATGAGGTTGATGGCCAAACCCAAGTGGCCGAATCTACCGGATCTACCAATACGGTGCAAATATGTTTCTGCTGTCTTGGGAAAATCGAAGTTAATAACAACGTTCACGGCTTGAATGTCGATACCACGAGTGAGCAAGTCCGAGCATACCAAAGTACGCACTTTCCCCTGGCGGAACTCGTGGAACACTTTATTTCTCTCTTGCTGTTTCATGCGAGCATGAGAGTAGTAGCACGAGTAGCCCAGATCCGTGATTTTCTTGGCCAGAAGTTCGACTCGGTTGGTTGAGTTGCAGAATATAATGGCCTGGTTGATTTGCAATTTGGAGAACAAAGTGTTGAGACAGTGTAGTTTTTGCTTTTCTTCCACAAACGCATAGTACTGCGTGATACCTTTTAAGGTCAATTCGTCCATAAGGTTGATTTCATAAGGTTTGTGCAGGTGCTTTACCATAAACTCTTTCACTGTGAGCGGGAACGTGGCACTGAACAGCAGAGACTGGTGCTGGGCAGGCAAAAACGTCAAGATTTGCTCGATAATGGTTTTGAAGTCGCGTGACAGCATTTTGTCGGCCTCATCCATGACAAAAAGCGGGCACTCGCTCAAATCGGCCACTTTACGCGACGCCAGATCTAGCACACGGCCCGGTGTGCCCACCAGGACGTGCACGTTGTCGTTGAGCCGCATGATATCGTCCCGAAGGTTGGTGCCTCCTGTGGTCACCATGCACGAGATTCCGCAGTGTTTCCCCAGTGTTCTCACCACCTGCGACGTTTGCAGCGCCAGTTCACGCGTGGGCACCATGATTAGGGCCTGGATCTTGTTGAGCTTGGGCTTGACGCGTTCCAGCGTGGGAATTACGAAAGCCGCGGTCTTCCCGGTCCCGTTCTTGGCACGCGCCAAAACGTCTCTTCCGGCCACTGCGATCGGGATGGCTTCTTCCTGGATGGGCGATGGTTTTTCGAACCCGGCCTCGAAGATGCCCATTAACAGCTCGCGCTTCAAAAAGAAATCCTCGAACGTGTTGCCCTTTGTGCCCAAAACATCGTCCGTTTGCGGCCTTGTGTCTTTTTTCGGGATGTTCAGAGCCGCTTTCCACTCAGAATCCATTGCCAACAGAGACTACAGTAGTGTTTTTACGGGTTGTGAGTCTTGTAAGTCTTGAAAGTCTTGAACGTGCACGGTATTTCGCGGTTGTTGACAGAAACGAGTCTTGTTTCGCTATTTAATAGGTTCCAAAAGCGCGATTTTCCCGCTAAAAAAAGTTTCCCAGGTAATTCAAACTAGCCTTTAACACTGGCGTGTAAACTCAAGCCAGAAAATTAGTCGATTCTTGGTTTATCGCTCGTCTATTGGTTCTTAACATTTCTTAAAAAGTGGTCCTTACAAGGCTAAGTTTGAATTTCATATTTCCCCCCTGGAAAATTTTTTTAAAATCTCGATTTTCGTCATCGTATATATATTTCTTTATGTCACTTTGAACGGCTTTGTCAATACAAGATTTAAGAAATATAAACTTTTAAGGATTCTTTCCGTCAAGATCTAGAGCTACAAATCACACCTGAATCATTGTATTTGCTCGCTTTATAGTGGCGGATGAGAGGATATTTAAGTGTTAACTGAGGGTTCTGCGATATTCTACGCGTTGCAGGAAGTGGTTTGCCCTTTTTTCCGGTTCAAAACGCGGGATCTAGCGTTTGTTAAAGTTACGAGACCACGGCAAACAAATCTTCATATATTAACCTAAGTTTATATCTACATATTTACCTCTACCACCGGCATGGAATTCAAAAAACAGGAAATTCGGTTCCGCCAGAACGGTGAGCAGACAGAATCGCGACTGTTCCAGCCGTCGTCGCTGAAACGGAAGAACCTGAAGCACCTGACGCTTGGGGCACGTTCAGATCTGGTGGAAATGCTGCATGTGCCCGTCGCTAACCGGGTTGTCAGCTCAGCAACATCGCCAGGTGCGCTGCTGCAACAGCCAAGCCCAAGCACATCGGAACTGTCGTCCGCAGGAGTCACTCCCACGGACGAGGTCGTTACAGAGCTGGGTGCAGACTTCGACAACCTCTCGCTGTTCAAAGACAGCACCATAGAGCTGCAAGACCTCGTGCAGCTGGGCAAAATCGGGTCCGGAAACTCCGGAACAGTGCTCAAAACGCTGCATGTGCCCGACTCACGCATCATAGCCAAAAAGTCCATTCCCGTGGAAAACAAACCGCTCATCAAAAGCCAGCTGATACGCGAACTCTCCATCATGCAGAACGTAAAGCCACACGAGAACATCGTCGGTTTCTTTGGTGCTTTCTACACGGCCTCCACGACCAACGAAATAGTCATTTTGATGGAGTACATGGACTGTGGGTCTCTGGATAAAATTATGTCCACTTATAAGTCGTTTGTGACGCGAGGGTCGCCGGAAGCGACTGAAAACTGGTTTTCTGAGCTGGTATTGACGAAGATCTCGTTTGCCGTTCTTAATGGACTGTTGTACCTGTACCGCGACTACAAAATCATCCATCGCGACATAAAACCGTCCAACGTTCTGATCAATAGCAAAGGGTGCGTCAAAATATGCGATTTCGGTGTTTCCAAAAAACTGATCAATTCCATTGCCGATACTTTCGTCGGAACTTCCACTTATATGTCGCCAGAACGTATCCAGGGAAGTGTTTACACAACGAAAGGCGACGTGTGGTCGTTGGGGCTGATGATCGTGGAGCTTGTCACTGGTGAGTTCCCTCTAGGCGGCCATTCTGACACTCCAGAGGGAATTCTCGATCTATTACAACGAATTGTCAACGAACCTCCTCCTAGGCTGCCGCAGAGCCCGCAACATTCTCGCGAAATGGTCGATTTTGTGAACAGGTGCTGCGTCAAAGATGAACGAGAAAGGTCATCGCTACAAGAACTACTTTGTCACGACTTCATTCAAAAAGGACAGTCCCACGGTGTTCGGGAATTCAGACACTGGTGCAAACGCATCAAAAAGAGATTAAAGGAGGACAAGATGTTACAACGCGAGGAAAATGAGCGCGCAAAACTGGTCAAGCGCCAGCTGGAAAGCGCCGCTAGTGCGGCCACGGCGGCCAGGAGTCGTTGAGAGAACTCGAAGAGTTTCCGTAACTGTAACAGTAAGCTAAATAGACGTTTATTTCGATAATTGTCAATATTGATCGTGCTCGTGCGTAAAACTCGTGTACATCATCATTATTTATCGCTGCTGCTGCTGCTGCTGCTGCTGCTGCTGTTGTTTGGTTTTTCTACGTTCCACAGCCATTTTTCGGTGCCTCGTATTATTCCAAATACTATCAAAGCACCACCGATACCTCTAAGACTAGTACGCCACCATTTTGGGTTGAGTTCTTGGAATTTTTCAGCAGAGATGCCCCGTTTTCTCTCTTTTTCGGAGTACTCAAATGGCTTCCCACTGGCAAGATATCCACCAAATCCCAAGCTGAACATTGTGCTCATGATCTGGCAAGGGATACAGTCTTTAGTCTCCTCTTCCGATAGCTCTCTTTGAGGAGGAGGATTGAACACCGAGAGGATATTGCTGGACATGGATATGAATCTGGTAGCGTGGAAAATGTTCATTTATATTCGCATGAGAAGAGATGGTTTAAATGTAATTCATTGAATTATATATATAATGAGATGAGCAATTGATAAACTACAAGTTTGCGAGCTCAAGGCCTCAACAATGGCCGAATTGAGCGAGTTCCAGAAGCGTCGGCTGGAGAATATCAAACGGAACAATGATCTGCTAAAAAAACTGAACTTAAATGGCGTTTCTGGACGTTTAAAGAGCGAAGCTGGTGTTAATGATAAGCCGAAGGCTAAAAAGTCTAATGGACACAAGAAAGTGATTAAAAAGGAGCCAAAAGTGGCTAAGATGCCGACGAGGAGATCCAGAAGGTTAATGGGCGAAACTTCGGACGGTAAAGAAGTCCCACATGTTAGTGATTACGAACTTTTGAAAAGGTCCGATTTCAACAAAACAGCAGCTGCTGACATGGAGGAATTAAAAAGCACAGCAGTTGTGGGCGACGTGAAACTGAGCGATCTGATCAAATCTGAGGATGAAAGCGAGCTTTTGGCTCGGTTTCAAAGCTACAACAATAAAAACTTCTCGTCGGGCGATTTTTTTAAAGAGATCCAAAAGCACAAGAAGGTTTCTGGGGATGTAGCTGCGCTACAGAAGGAATTTGACTTGCAAATATACGAAATCTTTGAGCCCAATGAGGTTAAAATTGTTAGCGATCGTATAAGTGCCATGTTCTTTCATCCTGCAGTGGACCGGAAATTAGTGGTTGCTGGCGACACAACTGGAAATCTTGGACTCTGGAATGTTCACTCAGAGGCTCCACAAGATGAAGTTGAGGCTCCGGACATTACAACAGTAAAACTGTTCAACAAAAATGTTGCCAAGATTGATGTATTCCCCCAAGATTCGAGCAAATTAATGACGGCGTCTTACGACGGAGTTCTGCGCTCAATTGATTTGAGTAGCTTGCAAAGTGACGAGGTTCTCACGCTTCGGGACGCGTACGAAGACCCTATGGGGATAAGTGAGTTTCAATTCAGCTACGAGGATCCAAACCAGGTGTTCATGACTACGTTGGGTGGAGAGTTTACGAGTTTCGACATCAGAACAAAGCCCACGCCGACAAATATACGGAGGCTGGCTGACAAGAAAATTGGATCTTTTAGCATCAACCCACGCAGACCCTACGAGATCGCTACGGGCTCCTTGGATAGAACGCTCAAGATATGGGATGTGCGTAAAACTGTGAAATCTGCAGAATGGTTGCAGAACGAAGATCACCCAAGTCTCGATTTGGTGGCCAGCTACGATTCAAGACTGAGTGTTTCTGCCGTTTCTTACGCTCCGATGGACGGGTCGCTAGTGTGCAATGGGTACGACGACACCATTCGCATTTTTGATGCGAAGGAAGTTCCACCGGTGGAATTGCAGCCAAAACTCACGCTCAAGCACAACTGTCAGAGCGGGAGATGGACGAGTATTTTGAAAGCGCGCTTTAAAGCCAACATGGACGTCTTTGCAATTGCCAACATGAGCCGGGCCATCGATATTTACCACAGTTCGGGTGAACAGTTGGCACATCTCAAAACCGCGACAGTACCGGCAGTTGTGAGCTGGCATCCGATGCAGAACTGGATCGTGGGAGGAAACTCCAGCGGCAAAGTATTTCTGTTCCAGGATTGAATGGCATCAATCACCACCAGTTAGTAGAATAATTAAAGTTTTTTTGTTATTCAAGTTGGGATCAAGTAGGTAGAAAAGAGAACGCCCTAGCGTCTGGTTAGTAGTTAGCAGGTGAGAAGAGAGCATCCATCACACACGCACACACACTCACAAGAGCACTGGAGGGCAGTCCTAGTGTAAATAAAGTTATCAAAGAAAAAACTTCGAAATGTTGGTATGATTTCCCTCCAATTCTATCAAAAAAAATGCAAACACCTTTTTTTGGGACCCACGGACACGCAGGCGTGGGAGTTGTTGTTGTTAGAGACTCAAGCCTTGAATTTCGCACGCAACTGTCAACACCCGCGCTTTAAATGTCCTTTGCACCTGGCAAGTCACCATTGTAATATAACATCAAATAACCCGTGAAACCTTCCCCGTTAGGGTCGGGGTTACCGTTGGAATCCACCTCACCCACACCGTAGTTGAAGGTGTAGTAGTTGTTAAAGCCAAAATACTCGTAAACGGATTTGGCATGCTCGTTGATGGCCTCCAGGACCAGAGCGACGCCCTCGGCGTCCGCTCTCTGTTTATAGTGTTCAAAAATGGCTCTGACGGACCCGCGAACGCCAGGTTGCGTGAGGTCTTTGCCAATGATGAACAGGTAGTAGCAGTCGATGTCCTGCAATAGCGCCTCGCGCTTGTCGTGCAGGTCATCGAAAAAGATCTTGTTGAAGACCGGGTCGTTGGTCAACTCTTGGTCGAAATGGCGACCGGGAGCAGTCCAGACAGCCACGGCGTCGAAATCGTTGGCCTCAACAATCTCCCCGCCCTTATCTGAATACTCCGTGTTGAAGTAGTGGAGGATTGCGTTAATACGCATTTTCGACACTGGTTCGTGCACCGACAGATTCACGAATTTTTTCATGAGGTAGTCGTTGGCCTTGGAGTCGTGGAACGCCTTGGCCAGCGTCAAAGTGGCCCGTTTGATGTCGGTGGTTCTATTTACTGGCACCACGGTTCTGGAGTGGCCTTTATTCAGTTTGGCCACAGGCTTGGACTTGGTATTTTCTAGAGGCGAAGCTGGAGGAGAGATGGGACCGGATATCATGATCAGCTGGGGGCAAGTAGCGTTTTGAGATTTTTTCAAAAGATTCTTAGGCTTGTAGTGAGGGTTCGAAATAAAATGTTCGATGGTTGTTGTTGTTGAGAGAGGAACGTCAAAACAAAAGAGAGAAGGAGAGAGACAACCCAAAACCAAAAACTCCAGAGACACTTCTCCCCCTCTTATACCTTATTTCTGCTCCCAGTCCGGTCCAGTCCAAAAATTCCTATCTTCACCAAAAACACGGTCTGACCCGTCCTGCGCTTCGCAATTAACCCCTGAAAGCCTCTGACCATCGATCCCGACGCTTCGTAGGCGATCCTAGAGTAAATGTCAATCTTAATGGCACACACACACACACACACACACACACACACACACACACGTTTTCAACGTCCCATGCCGTCTGTTCGCTTACGAGTTATCCATTCCTGGCTTCTTGGGCTCCGCTCTGGATAAGGGAATGCTTATCTTAGATAAGAAAGCCTCGAGAGTGAACAATGTGAAAAATGTGAAAAATGTGAAAAATGTGAAAAATGTGGAAAACGTCGAAAAACGTGAAAATTACACGTTGGAAAAGCCGATTTAGAGACGGGAAGTGAGCCTTAAACGGCGCGTGAGTCGAGGCAGCGAAGCGACGATTAAGCAAGCGCCAAAATGGTAAGGAAGATTAGGATTTTTCCCGGGAGTTTAGCGCGAACGAAGCGGGAAATGCGAGTGATGCGTGGAAGGAAACGGAGTTGGAGTGGCGAGGCGGCAGGGAGGCGAGAGGGTGGTGAGGAGACAGGGAAAAACTTAATCGGGAGGAGGAGGAGGAGGAGGAGGAGGAGGAGAGAGAAAGAACGAAGAGTATTTTTTGGGTCTCCAGTCACGTGGCGTGGCGCCAGGTTGAACGTCACGTATTCATCGTGTGTATTTCACGTGCTTCTGTGCCAGGTTCGGCGCACTTGCCTCTCACGTGCCTCAAATGATCACCTGACTGATGTTCTCGCGCACAAACAACAGGTTGATGTCGTCGCGATCCCACACCAATTGCAACAGCAAATTGATCTTCAACGCCCCATACGAGTGAATGGTCTCCGACGTGCTCTTCAAATACTCTTTGATCACCAAGCGGTCCTCTGCGTCCACCGTGAACGCTCCGATCACTAACAACGACCACAGCAAGATGCACAGCAGTGGGTTGCCCTTCTCGATGTCCTTCATGCTCTGGATCGTGTACTTGACCACGCCCTGTATTTGCGGGTCGCGCACGTCAAATTCCTCGAACCGCAGGATCTTGTTTAGTAGTAAGTAGCACGCCTTGCTGATGATCGACCCACACAGCAGTCCCGGCCGATAGATCTCGTATTTGCAAGCGTCGTTGCGCACCTGTTCGGGCAGCGTGGGCGGCGTATAGTAGAGACACTCCTGTAGCAGCGTCTGTGCCGTGGTCTGCCATTCCGTGTCCTGTAGTGGGAGCTGCATGCGGCTCAAAAACGACACTTTGGCTAGCATGCAAAACGCATCCACAGACGGTCCCAAAACCGGGTTGTTCATCCACTCCACGTCGCAGTCGTTGAAGATCGGCGACTTCAAAAGCACCGTCAGCTTGTAAAACACTTTCCCAAACGGATTCGGCAGTTTCGACAGGTCCTTGGCCACCAACAACGACACCGTATAATTGTACATGAAACTCTCGATCAGCATCCGGTCCGTAGGCGTCGAACCGTGTTTCTCGATGTCGTGGTACTTGCGTTTGATGATGTTGAACGAATGCACCAGATTGTCCACGCACCGGTCCACCATCGACTCGCCTTGGCCATTGTGCAGCTTGTTTGTCAAGCACAACAATTGGAAGCATGCGAAAACCCACGTTTCATCGCCTCGGATTCGAGTAGAGCTCAATTCGTCCTGCAAAAGCGACTTGCACGTTTGGTACAATTGCTCGGCAATATCCGAGTATTTCTGCGGCTGGCACCAAGCCAGAAAGGTAGCTCCACAGCACAAGAATACGTCTTTGACAATCGCGTGTTGCGCCAACAGAGGCACAAACGTCTCGGTCGTGGTCAGCTGCGGTAATGTGTGTTGTGGGCCCACTGCAGGCAGAAAATAGTAAATGCACGTATAGTACAGCAACAGCTCCTGTTGCGTGAATTGGTACTGCGACATTAGCTTGGCCACCGACGTTCTTTTGATCTCGTGGTTCGAAGTGGTCCAACTCACAAACTTCTGCATCAGCTTGTCGTAGAATTTCTCTGACAGTTCCTCGTCCAACCCGTACATATTGTAATCATCGTCATTATTGGCCAAAGCGAGAGCAGACCGCGTAGTCGTGGCAGCAATTTCATCTACCGATTGTAGCGCAGTCGTTGGTGAAAGGCCCAAAAAGCCAGGCGAAAAAATCGAATCTCGAGCATCCGTGTTCAGCAGCTTTTCCCAAAACGCCTGGAGTGTCGGTGTTCCCGGAATCGCTAGTGGACTTTTCAAATGCGAGATCCACTCCTCGCTCGGATCGTTTTCTATGCTGAGAACCAGTTGTTGTTCTTGTTGATGTTGCTGTTGTTTTTCATCATTGCTGGACCCCGATTCTTGCGTTTGGTCCAACAACGCCGCATCGCTCTGCCAAAAATTTTGTGCGTCTGCTGGAATGGCCTTTATGCGGTGTTCTGTGGCGGTCGAGTCGCGGCGGTCCAAGTCGTAGTCGTCAAGCTCGTCGTCCTCGCCCTGTTCGTCGCTGAAAGTCTCGAGCCCCGACCCGAGGCCCTGCACGTCGCTGCTTAGCAATACCAGCCCACGATTCTGGACGCCAAGAGTGTAATTGACGAAATACTGCGACTTGTTTTCCGGGCGCACGCCCTCACTTGAGCCGTCATCGTAAAAGTCGATTTTCTTCTTCATTTTCTCACGCATCTCTTTGGTCAATGGGCCCTGGCCCTTGCGTGGCCAGATGCATTTGAGCATATGTTTCGAGCACGGCCCACACTTGGGCTTGGCCTCGTCGCATTTCTTGCGTCGCAATCGACAAGTGTAACAGCCCGCCCGTGACCGGTTGTGTTTGGGCTTATCCTTGCTTTCTGAACCGCATTTGGCCTCTGAATGGCACTCCAACTCCACGTACGCCGCGTCTGCCCTTGCACAGTCGGCTGCGACGTCCAGGCCACGCCTGGCCTCTGCTTTGACGACTATTTTGTTGCGATCTGGAATTTGAGTTGCAGATGGAGTTAGAGCGCCCATGTTTATGCGAAAATATCATCAATTGGTGTGCTTGGAAAACTGAGAGTGGAGGCTTGAATCGGTGTGCTTGATTGACCTCAGAATTGTTAACGTTGATGAGCTTGAGGGCCAAACAAGACCGGTTCATCATTTGTCTTTCCATATCCATATCCATATCGATTAGATACAGGTTTTTGAGAAATTTTGTCACGTGGTACTGATGACAGCCCGCGATAAGCCTTACGATTGACAGAACCGCGCGCAATCTGATGTGTAGGAGGGTGGGTGGGTATAGCGTTGATGTTAGCCGCGAATTTTTGGTAATTCTTATGAGTTTCGGAGCCAAATTGCGACCCTGTGGGGTCAGTGCGAGAGTAGTGTACCAATATCACATATGTTGCTCGAGATAAGGCTTTTTGCAATGAAAGGAGACCGATGTCTGGGTAGTGTGGCTAGACGGGATTTTAAAGGCTTGATTCAGATTGATTTGAGATTATTAGGTGGGACTCTCGGAGACGAAAACTGGGTAAAATTACACTTTTTGTTTACATTAGGATCTGCAGATAATACAGGTGGTTGAGAAAGGGGGAAAAGAGCCAAAGAGATTGTACGAGAGCAAATGCTACAGAGAGGGAGATAGATGGTAGTGGTTTGCTGTGCTGATGGGCATTTGGTGTGGCAATGGACCTGATTCTTTCGTGAAGGCACTGATTAAATACATTAATTCATGATTTAAATATGAAAAACAAGCTGCTTTAATGATATATTCTGGGAGAATTGAAGCTTTTTGACCAATGACTAAAAAATGTGTAGCTCTAGCATTCGAGCATTTTGGCAGGAATAATATGGGGGAGAGGGGGATAATAACAGCAGCGGGGGGTAGTAATGGAGGGAAACGTTGGGTTTGTTTTCGAAAATGCTATCACGTAATATTACAATGATGCAAGTAAACCACAAAATGAGTGGGTGAGTGAGTAAGCCGTAATTTGTCCCTAGCGTGTTGAGAATCAGACGGTATTTCATGGTATTGGTTTGGATTTGAGTGCCAGTTGAGGTCGTGGATGTTTGTCACTTTGTACTTAGCTGGCATCTGTCATAAAGTCACGTGATCGACAGACAGACGTCGACTAATTGACGTATGCGTGTCCATTGAGTTCGAAAGTGGCAATTGGGCATGGTATTTATCAGTGTGATTGCCCTCTCTTTACTATCTTGCTTATATATGAGCTTTCTGTGTGGAGAGTGTGCAATTGTGTGAACGCCTCATCGTGAAATACTATGCCAGCTATCACAGCGAAATCTCGTAGACTTTGAAGACTTCTCGAAGGGGTCTTGAAGCCAATAAAAATGTGTGCATTTGTGCTCTTATAGAACCTTTTTTGCCAATATCACAGGGTGTGGGATTCGATCTAGGTTAGAAAAAGTAGACCTTCAGAACTAAAAATGTCAGGAATTCTCGCATTAATGTCCAGCTCTACCATAATTCCATCAAGGATGAGTAAGTATTTTCCAGAACCAAACACACGCTAGGGGCCTCTACGTGCTTCACTTGGTAGATTCCCTCTACCTCCATACGATCATGTGACACATCTAGATTTCATCACCAGCGTGTGTCAACACGGTCGTCTTGACGCTCTTCCTGCCGTATCACAGTTAAGAAGCCGTATTCCTCCGGTTATTCCTCAACATTGGCGAAAACCCGTTCTTCCAGGAGTTCTGCCGCCATTGTTAACGTGATACGACCCTATTCACTAAGTACAACTACAAAAAACTTGATTTTTTTGGTTCTTTCTGATCAAGACTGGCAATACTCCGAGCTTGCCTCGAGAATGCTTATTCTCTCTCGCGTAAACTTATTCTCCTTCGAGGACGCTCTTCTCAAACTGTAGATATCAATTGTATGACAGGAATGTACAAAGTGACAAGAAATCAACACTTCTAAAGAACATCAAACTACACATCCAACGATAGCTCGCACCGAACACTAGCAGTTACAAAGTTATTACGACGCCGTTCTCCACCTAATCCTCCTTCTCAACACAATTTCGAGACCCGTACGCTCGAACAAAAATGCAAAACAAAAACCCGAAAAAAAAGGTCCGTCTTTTCCTAACATAAATACCCAGAAATCAGCACAAACTACCAACTTGCTTACCACAACTCACTCTACCTAACGCAACAGCACAACGAAACACTAACAAAACGCCATACTCGTCTTCTCTTTAGATTTCAAAATGTACACCACGTGACCTTTTAAAAATGCCAAATCTGTATATTTTTTGTTTACACATCGTAGACATCTCAACTTCCTGTTTACACAAACATCGAAGAAGAACAACGAGTGTTGTGCGACTGTCTTGGTTCATTGTCGACCGATTGTGCTTGTCAAGAACAAATTGCGTTGTCACTTTGTTCACTGCGTGTTTCCCGCTTCCCGCTGCTGTTTTTACCGCGCTCGCTGTTCTCCAGTGGGTGTTTTTAGAGATCGCATCGTTTTGTTAGCTGCTTAGCAGCTTTTTCCCATTTGACTCAAGCTTATAGTTGGCTGAATCGATTCTAGGATGCCTGTTCTGCCGTCCACGGACGAAAATGCGGTGCCTCTGGACTCTGCATACCGCCATGATGCGGTGATGAGTGCCAAAACCGCAACAACGCGCACAGCGCAAAACGCACGACGTATCGCGCTTGGGGACGTCACAGCACGCTCCAACGTGCCGTCGGTGGCCGTTGCTGGCTCCCACAATGTCAAGAACCGAACAGGACTGTATTCACAGCCGCTAAAGACTCGAGATGAGCCGGACGTCGACCCAGTGCAAGAACCAACCGTGCAAGCACACTCTGATTACAATCATGAAGCTGCCAACAATTCAGACCCGGTCGATGCAGCGGACGAGGGTGACGCCTCGTCTGTTCTGTCAGATCGCGAGCCCTTGCTGTTGACGACCTCTGACGAGTCACAGCATGCAATTCAGCTTGCACACCAACAGCTTCACTCAGACGTCCCTGACCCACTCGATGAGGATACCTACGATCTGGTCATGGTCGTGGAATACACTCCGGAAATTTTCCGGTATCTGCACGAGCTGGAAAAAAAATGGCAACCGCATCCGCGCTACATGCTCTTCCAACCTGAGCTCAAGTGGTCGTACCGCTCCACTTTGATCGATTGGATCGTGCAAGTTCATGCTCGGTTCCAACTTTTGCCGGAAACTCTTTATCTTACCGTCAACATCATCGATAGATTCTTGTCACGCAAGACTGTTACTCTAAACCGGTTCCAGCTGGTTGGCGCTGCTGCTTTGTTCTTAGCGGCCAAGTTCGAAGAGATCAATTGCCCGACCATCAAAGAGATTCTGTACATGCTGGATAACTCATACACCAAAGATGAGCTCCTGAAAGCAGAGCGATATATGATAAACGCCCTGGAGTTCGAATTGGGTTGGCCCGGTCCCATGTCGTTTTTGCGCCGTGTCAGCAAAGCCGACGATTATGAATATGATATACGAACATTGGCCAAGTATCTGCTCGAGACTACCATCATGGACTCACGATTAGTTTCCGCACAACCAAGCTGGCTGGCCGCTGGCGCCTACTACCTAAGTCGAGTCATACTCGGTTTTAACGACTGGACACAGCATCACATTTTCTACTCCAATTACACTGCCGAACAGCTATTCCCGTTGGCAACAGTAGTATTGGAAAATTGTAGGCACGCTACTCAAAGGCATCAGGCAATATTCGAGAAATACTCCGAACGCCGTCACCGTCGTTCGTCCCAAGTTGTAGCCAGATGGATCGCCATGGCAGAACAGCGCGTAACGTGAAAAGCGGTAAACGAAGAGAGTATTTCAGGAACTCTGATACTCTCAACGACATTTTGATAATAATAGGCATGATCTCTACAGGTTTATGGATCAATAGTAATGTAATGTTAAGTATTTACATCAGGGAATGTAACACTTTTTAACAAAAATCTTTATAATCACACCCTTTCCATTGTATGCTATATCGTACTTAGTCCTTGAATCTAACGGATCTCGTGAGGTTCTTCTTAATACCGGTCTTTTCACCTTCGTAAGAACCATTTTGCCCACCGGAGTAAACTGCGCGAACAGACTTGAGTTTCTTTTGTGCTTTGTCGTACTTCTTTCTCTTCTTAACACGCGAGTTACGGTTGTCCTTCTTACGATGCGGCGTGAGACCTTTATTCTTCATTATCTGGTAACCAACAGCACGTTTCGTGTTGTCGTCCATTTCGCCTGCGAGTTCTGCCAATTTACCACTTCTATTCGCCAACACAGCGTTTCTATGGGCTTTTTTCCGGACCTCTTTCTTGTTCGCACCGACCTGTTTGATCGCACTGTAGTAATCGCTCGAAGAACCTTTATTGATGGCTTCAGCAGTCTTCTCATCTTCGGAATCGTACTCCTGAGCATCCAATTGAGCCCCACCAGGCGCAGCTTGACCTCTTTTACGTGCCTCTTCCAAAAGTCTCTGTTGTCTTTCGTATAACCTCTCCTTGTAAGGAATATCGTCGTCACCTTTGTATCGGTCGATTTTCTTATTCTCTTGTTGGTCAATCTTAGAGGTGTAGAACCGCAGGGTTTTCTTGCGTGCTTTCTTTTCCTGCGCATCGACATCTGCAGTCTCAGTTTCTGCAAAATCGTCAACCTCTGCACTTGGCAAAGCAGCTTTGTTGTTTTTGTTGACACGGGATTTGGTGATATCGATATCAAATGCATCGCCTGCCTCATCTTCGTTGACAGACTCGTGGTCGCTGGGCTCTGTGGATTCCGAATTCTTATGAGACTGCAATAGCTCTTCGTCCAAAGTTTCGAGGTCCGACACCGCTTCGTCTTCAGATTCTTGTTGCTGCTGGTCTTCCTCTAAGACGTTGTCCGGCAGTTCTTGTGCCTGTCTCCAGATTTCCTTGCACGTTAAGATGGATTCCATGATAGGATGATCCTTCATGCCCTTGAACTCATCGTTCGTTTGAACCTCATGCAACAGTATGGCGAAATAGGACGAGATGATACCCAAGTAGGACGAAAGAGCAGCAATCTTAAGACGAGTAGCATCTGAGGACTCTGGCTGGCTCTTCAGCTGGTCGAATTCGGGGGACCACCGAGCCAATTCTTTCGACAGAGGGAAAAACTCGGGACACCACGTCCGCAGAAGCTTTTCTTTGGCCTCAGAAGTCATGGTCAGAATATCGCTAGCTTTGGATGTGGTGTCGCTGGATTTTTGGGCATTCGTGGCATCTTGGAATTGACCCAGAGAATACTTCTTAGCGCTCTGAGCCCAGTCTTGCTCGACTTCTTCATCCAGATAGTCGTTCATGTCCAGATCGGCCAGATGCTTACGCTGCTGGCGCAAAGCTTCTTTCTCGATCTCCTTGGCGGTCTCGTCGTCGTCGAGGTCATCTGCGCCGTAGTACTCGCTTTTGGTCGACCCCCACGCCGTGTCGTTATCGATCATTGCATCACCGCCTTCTTCTGCGTCTTCGGCCGCGCCCACGTCCATTTTGCGGCCAAAGACTTGTCTGAACGCTGCTTCACCGTCCAACTGCTCCTCCTCTTCACTTTCTTTTTCTTGTTCACTCTCATCGCTTTCCACACCTAGCACTTCTTCCTCTTCGTCATCGTCCAGTAGATGCTCATCATCGTCTTCATCACTCTGATTGCTCAAACCAGCCCTGTCTAGCAGCACTTTCTCACGTTTTGCCGCGAAATCATCAACTTCGTTCAGTCCATGTGGATCCTGCTCGAATCTGGCTCTAGATTTGAGTCCTTTGCTCGATTTGCGCGCCATTTTTTCGCACCCTATACCTTCCGCACCCGGGAAATCTGTTAAGCTTTGTTTCAAGAGCTGAAAACTGATATTTGAGTATGCTTGGGGCCTTTAAAGTTTAGCGATGACCTATGCGATGAGCTTGAAATTTTGTCAATAATGTCAATTACTAGGTATAAAATTTTAAAGCTGGCGTATATAGTGATATTAATTTCGATAATTTAATGAAATTTCAAGCTCATGGCTGCGATGAGCTAGAGAGCTATCAGATCAAACGACAAAAGTGGACTAAATATCATTGAATTTACGCTTAAAACGGCTGATGGCTGGAACTGGACGACTGCCGGGACTGAATCAGGGAGCAGCCAAACCAGGGCTGAAATTTAAGCCCAAAGCGCTGGCTAGAAGGTCGAAAGAAGAGCGTGAAAAGGCGATCCCAAAAACTGCCACTGAAGAAGTGGCTAACAGCTACAATAACAAGAAGAAATACAGCAAGCGGGACCAGGGGAACCGGCAAAAACGGGTGCCCAAGTATTTGTTAAACACTAGGGTCGTAGGAGCCGGTTTCGGGGCGGAAAACTTTGCAGGCGGCGGGCTGAATGCCAGAACAGGATTCATCAAGAGCGAGGGCGGGCCTGCAGGCCACCCAGATCTCATGCAGCTTGGAATGAAGCAGATGAATGGCGGTGTCAAGGGCTTGGACGACGAGGAGGACTCGGACGGTGGAGACGGACACACCAGAATCAACATGGGACGCGAGTACCGCTCCAACGAGGTTTTCTCGTCCGACGACGAAAAACTCGACACACCAACCAACGAGGCTGGTGAGATAGACGAAGAGGCGCTGCGCTCCAAGCGACTAGCACATTTTTTCCCTGTCAGGGCCGTCAGAGTGCGCCACGAGGACATGGATGTCGTGCAGAAGGAACTGAAGGACTCGCTATCCGACAACACCACACGCGAGCCCACGCCAGGTACCGCTTTAAAACAGGAGGAAAGTGGTCTACCTAACGTTCTGCAGCAGCGTGACTTTGACCTCCAGGACAAACTCAACGCGTTGCAGTTGCAGAACGAATTTGCATCGGTCGATTCACAAGAAGGCTTAGACGAAGTTAAGCGTCTCAATCAGGACTATGTGCATATTGTAAAAAAACTCTCCAAGATCAACGACCAGCCTGGAAAATTCATGTTTTTCCAATTGCCAGCTGTGCTCCCAGATTTTGAAACCCCTCCAGCCCCAGCAGAGGAACCTTCTCATGCCACAGAAGCTGCCAAGGCTGTAGAAACAACTGATGAAGCAGAAGCGAAGATAGAGGCCGATTCTACGGTAAAAACAGATGATTCTCAGAATACCGATTCGAAGGAACAAGCACCAGTCGCCGAAGCGCCCGCTACTGAAGCACCCAAAGACAAGAAACTCAATGGCAAGAAAGAAGCTGTGTCACAGGATGATAAACCACTAGCGGGCAACATCGGGTCCCTAAGAGTCCATAAGTCTGGCAGACTTTCCGTAAAGATTGGTAACGTCATTATGGATATCAATAGAGGCGCCGAAAACACATTCATGCAAGAAGTTGTGGCTCTCGACGAGCGCGCCGAAGAGAGAACTGTAGAGCTTCTGGGTCAAATAATGGGCAAGGCGGTGGTGACACCAAAATTTTGAATCAAAAAAAAAAAAAATGCTGACAGGAGACTACAGCAAGTGTAACTCATATACATATCGCATCCGTGTATCATAAAAAAATATAAAAAGAGCTGTGCTGAAATATAATCGTGGCGATTCTCCACGCAACGACTTGTGTCTCGGTGATTTGAGATTTTGAAATTAACGTCGCGCCGGCCTTGTTACTATGTGAAAGAAGAGAATAAAGGAGAGGATTAGTATAGCTATTGTTCACACCCTAAATGTGGGTATGAGCTAGAACAAGGGAGTCTATAACTGGCTGGTTTGATGTTCCGTATCATAGTTCATAATTAAGCTGTCAAATGAGTAGATGAAAATGACAGGTTGTGTCAAAGTGATAAAGCATTTCAATTGCCATAACAGCTCTCAGACTAACCATTATGAGAGGAGGACTTGTGTTAAGGTTACTTCGTACCCATATATCGGGCCAACTGATTGATGATCCAATTTTACAGGACTCTTCACACAGAAGTCTCGCCCCGATCCGGGTTTGAAAGAGATGTTTTACTTTCTACGTGTATTGATCAATTTCTCACTAATTCAGAGGCCACAAACACTCTCATTTCTTCAAATTAATGGGAAATTTAAGATAGTATTACGATGATTCCAGAAGGGGTTACTGAACTAGAAGGGCACTTAACTCAAAAGAAAATGTCGACCCAAATGTGCTTGAATTTTGGCTATTTTGTAAACTGAGAATTCCATAAACAGAACCCATAAATTATCCATACACTGGCCAAATTTTCTCAAAAAAACCGACGACTGACTCAACTGGAGCCTTTCTCATCTTTCAAAGGTAGTTAAAGCATGCTGAAGCGTATAACGGTAAATCATAATGGACGACTATGACGCTGATAAATTAAGGTCCAAATATGTAAGTGATAGAAGATGGGCCTAACCAAATACACCAAACCAGCCAACTCTACACCAGAAGCTCAGACTTTGGTGGCTTGCGAGTAGCACTAATGGATAGCTCGGGCTCGAAATACAATGGTACCGAAAGAAACACATTCCTATCCCGAGTTTTCGGACCACATTCAACGGTGGGAAACTCTATGGGAAACACAGAGATTACACAGATAACTCCGACCAGTGAACGGTCCTCGTTGCCGCCTAATGACCTCAGAATCATTGAGTCAGACCAAGAAAGCTCGTCAGATGACGATGGACATAATTCGGAACGCGAGCAAAGTCGAGTTTGTGCTTTTGAGGGTATTCAGAGCGTCGTGTTGGATCAGGATTCGGGAATGGAAAGCTCTAGCGACAGTGACAGCCAGGGGAGTTCGATACCGAAAATAGGGCAAGGGGATGCAAGTGACGAGTTCGAGTTTCGAGAGTCCCGTAATGCGATTGAATCCAAGGGGAGAAACGAAGACGACGCTGACGGAGCTTCACCTCTCTATCGTCAGCACTTGCAGTCTGTGGATTTTAAAAGTAGGTCACCCGTACCGGCTGGCCCGTCAGCGGGGCCTACAAGCGAAAATCCAGACCTAAATATGTGGCAGAATACGTTTGCCGGCAATAGAAGGAACTTTCTTAAGTTCAAAGAAAGCAAACTAACAGATCAAGAGGAAAGCTTTCTGTTCCGCAAACCATCCACCTGGGGAGAACAAAGGCAGAATCGTCCCAAAAAGCAGTCAAATGTGCCACGTCTTTTTATCAATTTCGCGAACATCACGCAAACACCAACAAATCGACTGAACACTTTAAGCCCTCGCGAGAGAGCCTTGTGGAAATGGGCCAACGTTGAAAACCTGGATATCTTTCTACAAGAAGTTTATGAATATTACTTGGGAAACGGGTTTTACTGCATTTGTATTGAAAAGATTCTCAATATTTCAACGTTGCTGTTTGTCGTCCTTATTTCCACCTATTTTGGTTGCTGCATCGACTACTCCAAGCTGCCGAGTAGCCATAAAATATCCGAAGTTCAGATCTCCCAATGTTATACAACGCAAATCACGGGCGCTACCAAAGGCTTACTATGGCTATTTTATGTGTTCGTGGCGCTAAAAGTATTGCAATTCTACTTTGATGTCAAGTCTCTGCGAGATATCCGCAACTTCTACACATATCTGCTTGATATCCCTGATAAAGAACTGCAAACAATCGCTTGGCAAATTGTCATAAAACAGATAATTCTGCTAAAGGATCAGAACGCTGTCACTGCCAATGTTGTTGAAGTGAAAGCCAAGAACCGAATTGACGCACATGATGTGGCGAATCGAATTATGCGAAAAGAAAATTATCTGATCGCTTTGTTTAATAACGACGTCTTGGACTTATCTCTTCCGATACCTTTGTACAGGACGAGCACTTTGACCAAAACATTAGAGTGGAATTTGAATCTTTGCATAATAGGATTTGCCTTCAATGAGTCAGGTTATTTGAAGCAAAGTTTCCTGAAAGCTTCCCAGAGAGGATTTTTGGAAGAGGAGCTCCGTAAGAGATTTATGCTTGCAGGCTTTTTGAATATCATCCTATCCCCTTTTCTGGTAGCGTACTTTGTCTTATTGTACTTCTTCCGTTATTTCAATGAGTATAAGACTAGCCCTAGCGCCCTAAGCTCTCGGCAATATACTCCCATAGCAGAGTGGAAGTTTAGAGAGTACAATGAGCTTTATCATTTGTTTCAGAAAAGGCTAGGCCTTAGCGTCGAATTAGCCAATGAGTACATCGACCAGTTTCCAAAAGAGAAAACAAACTTGATTATGAAGTTTGTGGCTTTTGTTTCGGGATCTTTTGTTGCGGTTCTCGGTATTTTGACGGTATTCGATCCAGAAAATTTCCTCAACTTTGAGCTCACTCATGATAGGTCGGTGTTGTTTTACATAAGTGTCTTTGGGACCATTTGGGCTGTTTGCAGGAGCTCTGTATCGAATGAGTACAAGGTTTTCGATCCTGAAGTGACCCTAAAAGAAGTGGTGAGCTATCTTCATTTCAACCCGAAAGAGTGGGAGGAAAGATATCATACGGAGGAAGTCAAACAGGAGTTTTGCAAGCTCTTCAATTTGCGTGTTGTGCTTCTATTGCGAGAGCTTGCCAGTTTGATCATGACGCCCTTCATATTGTGGTTCTCCTTACCAAAATCTTCAGGGAAAATCGTGGATTTCATTCGCGACGTGTCAGTTTACGTGGACGGTTTAGGTTACGTTTGCAAGTATGCCACATTCGAGGTTCCGAAGCATCATCGCGATTTGACGAGACGTCCCTTGTCTCATGCCGCAAAGGGTCTAGGACAACCAAAGACGTCGTTGGCTTCAGATAAAGATGAAGACAGTACTGACTCAGAAAGTGAGGATGATAATAGTATGGGGAAGATGATGCGCTCATACATGTATTTTCTGGACAGCTACCGAAACAATGATAATGCCATTGGGAAACATCAGCTTCCCAAAAGCCATGCAATTGCCAACAACGTGGGCCAAACGACTTTGCCAAACACAAACTATTCCTGGAAAATACAGTTTCAGCCAGGCCAGCGGCCAGAAAAATATCGACTTGGACTTGAGAATAGAACAAGCCATAGCATATATCACAAACCTTCAGCTCAGTCTCGCCGGAATGGAAAGTTGAGGGCTGAGGATGGTGGTGTTGGAAGACCACGAGGAAAAGTCGACAGCGATTTGGGCGAGTCCTTCATTAATTCAATCCCTATCGGTGAATATAGCAATCCGGACGGGTCTGAAGATAGGGCGGGCAAAAATGGCGTCCTTGGTTTGCTAAACCAGTACTATAAGAAGTCAGACGTAGGTAGATAGGAAGGTGATGTATAAATCCAGATGCGATTAAAAGATACTTTTTTTAATATACACTCAATACTTGTATCTTACTTCTTGCTGTTACGCAGTCTCTTTTCTCTTTCGTACTTGCCCTTCTCGGCGCCTTCCTCTGTACTAATTTGATTAACGATCCGAGCCATCTTAGCATGGTAGTCGGAGTATTCCTTCTTCTTTTGGTCAATTTGCTGTCTAGCTTCGAACTTGGTATCCTTCCTAATTTCTTTCATGGTGAACTTGCGTTCTTTCTTTAGTTGAGCCTTCACCTTGTTGACCTCATTTCTTGTTCTGTCAGGATCGTTGGACTTTTTGTCGGGATTGAAGTTCTCTTCGAATTTGGGCGTATGCATCGGTATACTTAGAGGGCGGTGATTTTGCAAAGCAAGAGGAAAATGCTCACTGAAAGCCTCAAACCTTTCAATTTTCTCAACGATGACTCTTAGTGTTTCCAGGTTGGGATATTGCTCGCAGTATGCCATCAAGATTGGTTTAACAGTAACGGCAAGCTCAGGAAAACAAGACATATCTTTCCATATCTGTGTTATAGCTTCTTCCATAGACGTGAAGATATTGCACAGAAGAGCGATTTTGTCGCTGTCACTAACCTGTCGTTTTTGATCACTTATCAAGCGAAGGCTTAAAGTAGATTTCTCCATTGATTTGGCAGTAATTTTTGGCGGAGCCTTTAGGTCGTTAGTGTCACAAATGACTTTTGTGAGACCCTTCTCCAGCTTTGATGCTTCGCTTATGGGTAACAAAGTCGTCAACGACTTTTCGAAAAAATAGACAAGCTCTGGGACAAAGCGCTTTGCTAACCTTTGGTAGGTCAGGGATATTCTGGCTAGAACTGCACAAAACGCAATGTTCTGGAAGGTGTTTAGTTTTGTCTGTTCTAATAGCTCGCCCATGAGAACGTTACTCGGAGTGGCCACTAGATGGTAGTGGTCTGAAGTAGAAAAGATGTATCCAACCAAAGTGAAAAAGACCAGGTCTGATGCCAGCAATCCATGAGACCGCTGAGTTTTGAACCTGGTCTGAATTTCGTTTGATATTTCTCGACAGGTCAAAGACAAAGGCTCATTATATTTCTGAGCCATGGACCTCAATATGGCTATAAGCTCGTTTTGCATCTTACCAAGTTCCTTTGCATTGCTGTCATTGTAGTCGTTAGAGACATAAAGTATATGTCTCAAGAGCACACCAACAAATGTTCCGAGTAATTCTTTGTTGCCAGCCGCTAGTCTGGGTTGATAAGTTCTGATGATTTCCTTAACCAAGGAAGGGTGATCCTTAGCACTATGATTTTCGAGAATGTCCATCAGTTCGTCTTGACTCTGAGGACAAGCTAGAATCGCGACAGCTTTAGAACCTGAACTGCGGCCTTTCTCGCCTTTGTCACCTGGTAGCTGAACGTCGTCCATCGCGAAGCCATTGTCTATGTGTTCACCAAATTCTTCTTCCTCCTCTGAGTTGTCACCTTCCCAGAAATCGTCGCCCAGATCTTCCACTCCACGATCTTCGTCCACGTCTATCCCAGCCATACCGTTCATTCTATCGATTCTCGCTTGCTCCAGCTTCTCACGCTTCTCAGCGTTTTCTTGGTCGATCTCTTCTTGGGTTTTGGTACGATCTGCTGGAACTGCTCTTCTCTCTAGACCTAGTTCCCTGACCTTCGTATCGTACTGCTTATCGGATGCGCCACTTTCAGCAGGTAACTTAGGCTTTTGCTTGGAAATAGTGGATAGCTCCGACATAATGTCGTCGAATTCTTCATCGACATCTTCGATGTCTTCAACGAGTTTTTCCTGAGCCTTTTGACGCTCATGCTTATAGAATTTAGACTTGGCGATGACTTCCTTCATAACTTCCGCCTTGGTTTTCTTCTTAGCAGGTCTTGATTCATCATCCTCATCACCGTCGAAGGCCGATGCTGATCGCTTGGATTGTTCCAAGCCCAAGTCGTCGTCTTGAAAATCGTCTTCCAATGCCAGCGACTGACCGTAATGCGTCAAAGTACCGCCATACAGGTCTTCATCGCCAGCAGCTCCAAAATCATCTCCCTCGTCGTCATCCTCAAGATTGAACAACGATTTTTTAGACGAGGACTGAGCCTGTCTTTCCCGGGTGAAACGTTCCAACATCTTTTCTTCCTCGGTCAAATTTTTATTTCTTTCTCCGAATCTGCGGTCAGTGAGGCCTCCGAGTCTGTTTTTACGCCGCTGGTGAGCCTCATGAGCCACTAGACGCCGTTCCTCGCCGATTTGCTTGGAAATACCAGGTTTACCCACTGCTTTCAAAGACGCATTCTTACCAGTCTGTGTAGTTTTTTTGTCACGGTTCACTTTCAGCTCGAACGGATTGAACTGTTCCCGAATTTTGGCGATTCGCTGAGCTTTCTCCTCGCGGTCATACTCTTTGGCTTGTCTCTTGCTTCCCTTCTTCGAACCTTTCACATTCGTTTGTCCTGTAAAACCTTGCTCTTTGAGCGATTTTTTCAAATTTTTGAGCTGCGACCCAGCCATAACTAACAGAACTTAATCTACGGTGTAAAACTGGTAAGCAAGTAGCTCAACAAGACGTCGATGCTTTGGTCTTTTTGGGAGTCTTCTTTAGCTCATCTCATCTCATCGCATCGGCATCGCGCATTTCTTGAAATTTTTCAGAGGTCATGTGATCCCGTCTATGAGAAAGTCAATATAAAGAGTCACTATGGACGATATTTTATTTACGCTGCGTTTAGCCCGGTTCAGGACGAGCGAAGGTCGTTCCATCTTGTTGTTGTCATAGCTTAAGACTTCTGCGTCTTGATTTGATTGTGATCACAAATCTTTGTATATGGTTTCACGTCTACGCTCCGTTTTTGGACGAATTTTTACTTTCTTCTGCGACAACACACTGGACTTCATCAAAAGATGCTACGAAGAAAAGTTAAGAAAATACGGGTGACTTCATACACTAAAATACTCCATGATTTAACCTTCTCTTAAGCTCTCATAATTTAATTCATGTCTTTTCTTGATTTCTCTTACCGAGAATTATAGTTAGCTGTCATCCACTAGGAATTGAAATACTCAAGAATTGAAAGAAAAATGGCGGATGAGGAGCATAGGTGGCAAACGGCTCGTTAGATGTCAAAATGTAACTTAGAAGCTGAAAAGTACTCGCGAGCTTTCTCCAAGAGTACATGAATTTCATTCAGTCGTTTTTGAATGTACTCGAGTACTCTTGTTACCGTACACATTGACATTAATACAAACTGAAATTTAAAGGTGGCAAAGGATAAACTTGACCATGTTCAACCATCTTTTGTTGACCAATTGCGAGCACCTTTGGTGGCCTTAAAGACCTATACAACGCTATTCTACCATGTCCAGAGATGCCCCTTTGAAAGCGGAGAAAGACTATACCGAAATTCTGCAAGAAGAGCTGCCCAAGATCGAGATCTTGGCCAAAAATGACGTGCAAGGCGCCGTCGACCAATTGCTGGTCTTAGAGAAGAAAACGCGCCAGGCTTCGGATTTGACGTCTTCTAAGAAAGTGCTCGCTGAGCTGGTGGATTTACTGGCTTCAAATAGCCAATGGGAATTGTTAAATGAGCAGCTAGCGTTGTTGGCCAAGAAACATGGCCAATTGAAACTATCAGTGCAATTTATGATTCAGCGTATCATGGAGAAACTAGAAGGCGTAACGGACAGGGACACCAAGGTCGGCATTATCGAAGCCATTCGTGCCGTTACTGAAAACAAGATTTTCGTCGAAGTCGAGAGAGCACGTATAACGCGGATTTATTCCCAGATATGCAGATCCGAAGGTAATATAGACGAAGCCACAGATCTTCTCTGCTCTTTGCAAGTGGAGACGTTTGGTTCCATGGACATGCACGAGAAAATAGGTTTCATTCTTGAACAAATGGAGCTCAGTATTCTTAAGGGCGATTTTTCACAGGCAACTGTTCTTTCACGAAAGATCCTAAGGAGAACGTTCAAAAACGACAAGTATGAAGAATTGAAGCTCGAGTACTTCAATCTTCTGATCAAAATCGGTTTGCACAAATCGGATTATTTGCAGGTGGCCCAATATTATCAGGAAATATACAATACTGAGTCAATCCGGGCAGATGATACGAAATGGAAGTATGCATTGACTCATGTGGTGATGTTCTTGGTATTGACGCCATACGACAATCTCCAAAATGACCTCATCCACAAGATCCAACTGGACAACAACCTGAAAAAACTAGAGAAACCCGAGTCGTTTGTCAAACTGTTCACCACCGCTGAGTTGATGAGATGGCCTATTGTTAAAGAGAGTTACGAAGCGTTTTTGAACGCGGATGACGTCGCCTTCGGCTCCAACACCGTGCACTGGGAGGATCTTCGCAAGAGAGTTATCGAGCACAACCTGAGGGTTATTTCCAAATACTACACCCGCATCAACTTGTCGAGGCTGAACGAGCTTCTGGATCTCACGGAATCCGAAACGGAAAGGTTCGTTAGCGATCTGGTAAACCAGGGGATTATATACGCAAAGATCAACAGACCTGCCAAGATTGTAAATTTCGGCAAGCCTAAAAACTCGAGCTCTTTGCTTAACGAATGGTCATCCAACGTCGACCAGCTGCTGGAACAGATCGAGACCATCGGTCACCTTATCACCAAGGAGGAGATCATGCACGGATTGAAAGCCAACTAAAAGAAATACGTACGATGTGTTGAATTAAGCCAGTTACGTACTATTCCGCAATAAAAATGAAAGTGCTTCAAACCGTATCCTTCCCTCCCCACTCTACTCATGCTGCTGGTTCCGTTTCTGCCGTGCACTTTCGACCAAGCTGTCCCAGCGTTCCTTCAACCTGTGAATCTGCATTGTTAGCTGCTTGTTTTCGCCGCACAATTGTTCGATTTTCGCTTCGTACTCTTCGAATTTTTGCTGGTCTACCCACGACAGACCCTGCTGCAACCGTTTAGCCTCTTTGGCAATTGCAGTTTCTAAATCATAAAGCGGTATCCCTGGCTTCAAATCTGTCTTCGAGCGCACCAGACTCATGATGTTCGCTCGAAACGCCTGCAAGTCATTCGAGACAGTGGGCTTCGCAGCAGCTGCGTTTCCAGCTTTCACAGCAGGCGTTTTGGTCCGCATACTCAAATGCTTAACCTCTGTGATTTTGTTTTCAATATCTATCTTAAGCAGTCTAATGGCCTTTCTCACATCTTCGACCTCACCAAAGCCATTGTTTTTCGACTCCAGCTCCTCAATCAACTTCACGGTTTCTTGATACACGTTGATCGACTCCTCGAAGTTCTGTTCTCGCAATTTCAACTCAGCATTGGCAATAAGTTCGTAAACCTAAAGTATAGCCATGGGTATCGTTAGTTAGTGATTATTGTTAAAACTTAAAGAATCAAAAGCTCCAGTTCACAACGAACCTTTTCTAATCCTGGCATGTTTATTCATAAACGCTGCAGCGGTCCAAAAGATGGCACTTCGGCAACTTTTGGATTGTTTAGAGGTTAGGACCTTTGAAATCAAGAACTTTGACATCAAGTTGTGTTATTGAACAAATTCCAAGTATTCACGACTTTTTAACATATCTCGCACGAAGGTGGGGGAACCAAAACCACTGGTGTTGTGAGTCACCGAATCGTCTACCAAGCTCAATGGTCTCGAGACCGTTGCCTCCTGCCATCGCTTACAAGGTCGAGGATGAGAAAGACCTCACTCTGAGGGTCAACAAATCCAACTTTTGGGACTACATGGAAAGCCTGCTGGAGGTCCCTGGGGGAGAATGCGATGAGATGTCGGTCAACTCAGCGCTGGTAAAGTATGTTAAACACGCGGCTGATAATTATCACTCGTGTGTGCACTCAGAACGGGGTTTGTACCGGCTAGGACTCACTTTCACAGAGTCGCTTATGTTCCGGAGCAACCAGGGATTTTCGATCAGCAAACTGCTATCGTTGCTGAGTGTGGACATGCTAGAGTATAACTTGAAGTTTATTGTCAGCTACATCATGCTGTGCGCTGCGAAAGGCGACTCATCGGTTCTGGAACTGCTGTTGAAATTCCAGGGCTTCACAGTCATATACAACAACTTGTACAACACATTTGCATACCTCAACCAATATGGGGAGGATAAAGTTATGAATTCTAAGAGTGATGCTAGTTCAGGCGCATCAGACATTGAGTGGGATATCATTCACAATTTGCAGCAAGTTTCGACTATACTCATGGACATTCTTTTCCAGGTGTTCAAATATTCCAAGTGTGACATCTCCAACATCACCCTGGTGGACGATTTCTTTGTCTACTACTTGATGAGCACGATACAAGCCGAGACCACGGACGATAACTTCAACAATGCAAAATTCAAACTTTTGTTAGCTCTAAACGAACAGTACATGATATTTTCCTATCAATATGAGCTTGAAAACCGCGTTTACAACTACCTGGCTGACCACTCGGTATCCAAAAACTTTGTAGAACTTCTGCTTCTGAAGTTCAATCGCGCAACTAACCGATCGCTACAAATTATGCTTTGCAAAATGATATATCTGATACTAACGGTTGATAAAAACTCAGCAGAGGATTTCTTCTATCAAAACGACCTACACGTTATCGTAGACGTTTTGATTCGCGAGCTAACCAATATTCCCGAGGACGAAGAGCTTATCCGAAACACCTTCCTCAGAGTACTATTGCCCTTGTTGAGCAATACCGAGTTGGCGAAAACCAAATACCGTAGATCGGATTTGGCTGGCGTACTGGAATATTTGTCGTCACTCGATAACATATGCTCATCCGTGGTGCAACCTGTGCAGAAAACGACGGTGCGACTAGCGCAGAAATGTTTGCAGCAAGTAGAATGGCTAAGACCCAATGACATAAATGACCCTGATGATTTGGCTCGAGTTAATAGCGAGGATTCCAGGCAATCCAGTGTTAGTATAAACTCAGTGTGTTCAAGCCGTGTTTGGCCACCTCGCTTTTACCAGAATTCGAACGCTTCCTTATCCGCAGAATCCATAACGAAGCGTTCACAGCCACCACCACCTCCTCCAGCCAGAAAGCTCCCATCACGCCAAGGAAGCGGTCAGAAGGTAGCACAGTTTCAATTCAAATGAATGACAACGACGACAAAACATTAATGAGGTCAAGATTTATCACAAATAAATCGAAATCTGTACAACTCAAATAATATTATCACCATCGGCGTCCAAGCCATCCACATCACCCACCATATTTTCGTCTTCGATAAGAACATCGTCCAGAAAGTTCTCCTGCTCAGCGGCGAAATATTGATCAATGCAGGATTGGACAACCTCTCGAGATTCGACAAACTCATCGACGCCGTTTTGAAACATTTTGCCATTCTGGTACATGTGAATGAATGCACCTCTTTGGAACAGCACATCAAAGCTCGAACACGCATTCTGCAGTAGAGCGTTTACTGAGCTCGTATTCGCGAGCATCATGCCACTAACTCTGTCGGTATCCGGCGTCACGTTGTAAATGGACTTTCTTCCCACATTTACGTGTAGAGCAGTAGGCGACCATTGTGGGAATTTTATGCGTTGTTGTGACTTCAATATGGCTCTTGTTATATCAGTTTGGTCGACGGGTCCGATAATTGAATCGAAGATACTCAGATAGACAGGAGTATCATTGCTTCGCAGAGCCATTCCATTGTTCTTGTCAAACAAATCAAGCACAACATCATACGCTGAGCTTTTTTTGAAGTCTCTTACCCCGGGAATGAAATCTGCTGTGAATGGTGTGAAGCTGGGTACCAGGAAATGCAAATCTGCCGTCGGTACTACTGTAGAGAAAATGCTGGGAAGTGAGTTGTACATGTAGCTGGGAAACCTCAGACTGTTGGTGACGGAAGAAAGGACGCTAGCAATGAGCTGATTAGTCTGTTCGTAGCTTGTGTTGCGATCACGAAAGACCCTTGTGGCTAGATTTAGGAGTGCATTGTTGTCAAAAACCACGCAAGCGTCGCTATTTTCGATCAGCCGTCTCAGGGTTAGGATCGTGTTGTAAGGTTGAATGACCACTTCCGACTCGCTGCTGGGGAACACAGAGTATGTGGTGACAATTTTTTTGTGGTATCTGTCCGAAAGGGCCTCTAGAAAGTTGGAGCCCAGACCAGAGCCTGTTCCTCCTGCAACTGAATGGAGAAGTTGGAAACCCTCGAAATTCTCCGTCGCGTCTATTTCCTTGTCGATCATGTTTATGAACTCTTCTTGGTTTTCCAGCCCGTAATCGTAGCCTTTTGACCACGTATTTCCAGCTCCCAGCTCTTCTTTAGACACCCACACGTTTCTTTCGTTAAATAGCCCGGGAAACGTGTTTTGCACGCCTGCAATCGCGCTTGGTTCCAGATCAAACATCAATGCCCGTGGTGTAAAACGATGGCTATCATTTTGGCGGAAAAAAATTGTAGGATCATCTTCCCGGACACTCCCACCGTTAAATTTTTCATCTACCACACTTCGTCCGTCTTTGTCAATGCCATGTTCCTTGATAAGTTGCGACCAAAACTGCTTCCCAACTTGGTTGCCGCATTGCCCAATTTGAAGGGTAATTATCTCCCCAGTCATTTCAACAAAGCTATATGCTTCTAAAGATGTTATTAACGAGATAAGTGGCACCAGAAGAGCTCAATTGTGTCAATTGGCTCTTGATCAAAAGTTACCTAAACTTGAACACTCATCGTTAATATATATTATATCGACACGACTCTATTTACAGTACTTCTATACGAAGACAGCGACTCGTCTTCTGTCGTTATACACTTTTCAAAAGAATTTGTATCGATATCTATGTCACATTGAACACCTCGTGTAGCGTTGGCTCTGGTGTTCATTCATCGGGCTGAATTTCAGCTTTCTAGCAACGTTCTTTCTTTGAATTTTTAGATTTATTGTATTTTATAAGTTGTCAGAATTTATGCCAAAAGAATTCTGAGGCCTGAGGCAGGAGTGCCGATCTTGGACACGGAAGCAATGACATCTAGCTTACCCTTTTCGGAAGAATGATATTTGGCGCCTGTCAACGGATCAGTCACAGCTGGGGTATCGTTGTAAATGGGGGTGAAGGTGGAAGCACAAATGACGAACTCGGCGTAGGGATCGAAATCTACCTCTATGGCATCACTGGCCATCAACTCGGCTCTGTCCTTAACCTTCTGAGCCTGTTCTGAACGAGGACCCGTGGTCACGATCTTGAGGAACTCGCCCGCAAAGTAGGACGCTTGGATGAAATTCTTGTGCTTGAAAGACTGAGACATGGCAACTTGCAGAGCAGTGCTTCTGTGAGGCGGTAGTAGCTTGGCTGTAGTGAAGTATGAAGCCAGTTCGAGGTTGCGTTTCACGTCATCCGCAGGCAGAGACCGTCTGGCAAGCTCAATCGAGATGCCCAGAATATACTCGCGAGCTTTGGCCATGGCCTTGAGCGCAAGCGTTTCGTCCTCTTGGTTGTCTACAGCCAGCAGTGTGATGGTGTAGATCACGTCGCGGAAAACCTCGATGGCCAATTCAAGCTTGTTGGCCTTGAAAAGCCTGAAACCCTTGTTCATTTTATTCGTGACCACGTCACTTCCAGCAACAAATGGCAAAAGACTCTCAGGAGCATTGAGCTCAGTGTTGGCGCGAATCAGCCCTGTGATACTAGGCAGTTCTGTGGGCGTTGCAGACATGTATGTTCGGCAACTTTCGTAAATTTCATGAAAACGCGGTCTTAATGGCTCAAAGTTGATTAGGCCCGCCTGTTTGTTCAAAGCCTGCGCAGCAGCTTCAAATGCACCGGCAGCGATAAGAACGTATGGCAATTTCGAGTTTTTGGTCCACTGTGTCATCTCGTTTTCGTCGGCAGGAGCCTTTGTTACTTGTTGCTCCTCGACCTCGGTTTCTGGGACATCAACTTCTAGACCAAGGTCTTCCTCGCCCATATCCCAGCCTCCATCATCCTCGGCAACAAACTCTTCGTCTGAAAAGGCAGTCTGTTGTGCTTCGAAAGTATTGGAAGGTGATTGTATGTCATCCTCAGCTTCTTCCTGAATATCCAGCTTCTCCATTCCACCTGCTAGCGCTTTCTCGAAGAAAGATGGCTCAGGTTTTTCTAGTGGCCATTCTTTTACTGGTTCAGGTACTAATGGAGATTTGTAATGGGTCGCAAAAGATATGCCCTCTGGTAGTGTGACATCGTTCTCGCTTACACCAGCAGCTTCCAGGATTTTGGCAGCATTGCTATCTTGATTATTAGCCTTAGCAATTGCATAAGCTAATGGCAATGAGCCGCCTTGAGCGAAAATCTCTCCTCTCTTCTCGTTGGATTTGTTGTAGATAGTGTTGAGAATGACGCTGGAAATATCTCCTCTTTGTTCCGCAATACTTTCCATTTTTGCCAACTTGGTCAGATCACCACTTATCAAGTAAAGGAATGAAAGCTTGTCAAATTGCTTCTGATTTTGGTAGACTGCCTCGGCCAGTTCAATGTTTCCCTGTTGTAATGCGGCCTGTCCCAGCTGCTCCCAGGCAGCGCTGTTGTCAAGTTTTTGGGCCTCTTCATGAGCAACACTCAAGTCGCCATGCTCAAGGGCAAGATCAAATCTTGTCTGTGGTTCTTGTACAAATTGAAGGGCAATGTCTGGAAACCCAGATTTTTGCAAGTACGAGATGATGTTCTGACCAACCAGATTGGAGTTTTGAATAATCCGCAAGACCTCTGGGAAATTTCTGTTGACCAGGGCCTTTTTGAAACAATATTCGGTGGGATCAATCGTAAGAATCTCCACCTCGCCCTCACGGTTCAAGGCATAGACAAATTTGCCATGGACTTTGTTGATGTAGAGAGTGTTCTCCAATGTTTTTATGATTCCGTTGTCTCCGTTGAGGAGAGTGTACTTGATGTGGTTCAAAGTAGAGTAAATCAAAACACCACTTTCGTCCCACGCTGCACTCTTGATACGAATCGTTTCATGCATCGATGTAATGACTTCAAGGTTTTTCGTTACTATCGTAATGGTATGCTTGCTCATAAGAGCAATGTATTGACTGTCGAGAGACCAGCTCACATACTTCACATTTTTTAGGGCAACTTCCGCCACCTTTCTGGCCTGCTGAACATCGAACAAAACGACCGATTTCGATTTCAACACCAGCACAGAACCGGGACCTCCGTAAACAACATCTTTGACGGTGCTGTCGTTTTCAATCTTGATCGTCTTGGTGATTTTGTTATCCAAGCCGCGCACTTCCAAAACTGAACTAGAGCTGTTGTAAACAACAAATCTATTACGGGCTACGAATGTTGGGAAAGATCCGGTGTCTTCAATGATAGAAGTAGGCTCCACCGCACCTGTGGGTTGCTTGGGCAAGACGCACAATGCGAACTTCTCACTTTGGTTGTCCGAGCAATTGACCAAAACCGAGTGCTGAGATGGACTGTAGGATATGCTTCTGAAAGCATTCCAAGTGTGGCCAATCTTCTTCAGGGATGCGTATGGTAAAGACACGATTTTTTTGTGGTAATCGAAGGTCTGTACTTGCTTCTCCTTGTTGACAAAAATCAATTGGTTCTGATAAATGACGCTACAAGGTCTTTCACGGTCCAATTTGAAAACCATGATACCGGAGTCATGGGCAGCACCGAAGAGGTTGATGTTTGGATGAGCTCTAGCTAGCCAAAAGCGGTCGTGCTCCCGCTTGAATTGCTTCACGGGAGTTCTTTTGTCAAGGTCCCAAACCCGAATTGTCTTATCTTCGCCCACAGAAATGATGAGATTCTGATGAGGGTGGAAAATGACACTATCGACGTTATTGGTGTGACCCCTGCAAGTGTCGACCTCCCAGGCCTTGGTGGAGCTCATCCTCCATAGTTTCACTTGACGGTCGTCCCCACCAGATACAATTAGCGGCAATGTGGGGTGAAAACTGGCCCAGTTGACACCTCTAGTGTGACCTTCAAGGATAAATTTGACCACACAGTCCCCAAATCCGCCTTCGAGCAGATTTTGCTGCGCAACCATTTGTTCTTCGAGCGAGTACGAGCTAGGAGCCGAGTGTCTTTTACGTAGGCCAGAGATGTCCCAAACCCTCACGGTTTCATCCAGGGACGCTGACACTACCAAGTCTTCCTTGGGGTGGAAATCCGCGCACATCACGAAATGACTGTGCCCAGCCAAGCACGCGATTTCCTTACGGTTCTGCCAGTTCCAGATACGGATTGTGTTATCGTCTGAGGCCGAAATGATCCATGGAAGCTCACGATGGAAAAACACGGTTCTGACGTAGTCTAAATGTCCATTCAAAGTGAACAGGCACTTTTTGGTGTCGAGCGACCACACTTTGATGGTATAGTCGTCGCCGGCAGACACGAAAAGAGGCTGCGTTGGATGGAAGTCGATGCCTCGCACCGGTCCCTCGTGATCCTCGAACTTATGCAAAAGTGTCCCCATGCGATAGTCCCATAACTGAATTGACGACGAAAAAAGCGCCACCAAAACCCACGGCCTCGACGGGTGGAATGCAAGGCCCTTCGCCCTGGTGGACTTAGATTCGAACTTTGTAAGCATTTTCATTTTTCCAAAACTGCTGCTATCTCGATAAAAAGGACACGCTAAACCAAGCTCGATTGGCTTTCAAAACACGCTTGAAAAAGCCACAAATAGCTGCTATTTAGTATTTAGCAGAAACTGAGTTCAATGACGCCCGCGAAAGTGAGATTCCTACACTTCTTTAAGCCAAATGACAGGCTGTTGATCTGGAGCGTAAAGGGGAATTGAACAGATTCTCTAAACACATATATAAAAACTTTTCTGAGCGTATGAAGTCATTGTATACGACACACAGCTAAGCACCAATTGATCAACCAGCGACAGTTTTCTCCAGGAGAAGACTTAGAAGGTTTGTGATTGTAGCAGCTGTTGTTTCTAGCTCATTGATTGCAGTAGCTATTTGTGGGATCTTTCAGCACAAATTTGCGGTTCTCAGCAAATTTATCCGAGCAGAATGCGACTTTTTTTGACCAGGTCGACAATTGCTGGTCTATGCGGTGCGAGAAACGCGGTATTAGCGTAGTATCCAGCTTGTAAGCCAGGTCTGGATTCTCATGAATATATTGTAATATCTTGTGGGGACAGCCAGGTTTTTATGAGATGTGACGTTAACCTTTGTTGACGACACGAAACTCGTTTCGTTTCTTGCAGGGCTGCCAGTCGTGGTGCTGGAAGCAAACACCGTAGAGATCACCTGTGGAAGGCTTCGTGTCGTCGTGGACGTGGTCGTGACGTCGACGGTTTCTCCCTTTTGGTGGATTTTCTGGTCATTTTTTGCCGGCAAGTCCCAACGACTGCGCACGCACCCTTCACATTTAGGATCGTAGAAATAGTAAAACTTGTCGCTTGACGTGTCGCTTAGTCCCACGCCTCCGCTCAAAATTCCCAATGGCACAAACGCATTCACGTAGGGACTTATTTGGACACTTTTGACAGATATCTGAAACTGGCCCTTCTCCACGATGTCGGCAGCATTGTCCCAATCAATGAGCCCACCCGCCCACATGACGGTGCCAGGATTGTTGCTTTTCACGCCCCCGGGCCATAAAGCAATCTCGAGCCGCATGGGCGTTGCAGGGTATTTGTAAATATTTTGGATCGAGTCGTAGGTGTCGTCGCGATGCAAAGTGCGCACCACAGAGCCATCAATCAACCATTGGATCCGATCCTCGTCCCAATCAAACTCGTAGGTGTGATACTCCTCGTAACTGTTGGGCTGGATCGGTGATTTCAACATGCGTGTATGAACGAGTTCGCCGCGATAGTAGTAATTCGACTGCGCATTGTCAAGATCTCCGCCCAGAAATTCAAAATCAACCTCGTCTTTTACTGCAGACATCAGCACCATGGCTGACACAACGCCGTTGCCCCTGGCCGTCTTCATAGTAACGGCAACCCTGCCGTACAGAAAAGATTTTGAGGAAGATATCAGACTACCTGTAGTGTCGGGTGGCATAGCCAGGACAAGTCCAGCATCTCCTCCGACGCGGCTTAGCTCCAAGAATCCGCTGTACGTGAAATCAAAGTCGTCCATCTTTACATCAGCATTGGCAGACTTTGAGTAGTGCACCAGACCGCGTCCGCTCAATGCTATCTCGAGATCTTCAGGTTCGCTCTGTGCATAGATTGTGTCTTCTGGACCGTCGAAGAACAGATTGACTGCAAGCAAAGGTCCGAAGATTTTCTCTTGTGAGTCGGTCGATGCGTGGCCCAGCGCTTCATATGATGAACTTTCTTGTGGATACATAGCAGGTATAACGGCGCAGCTTTCGTAGCTAAAAGAGTACCGCGGGTCACAGCCTCCCATGCAAAGAGGACCATACCCACATTGGCCGTATTGCGAGCAGCATGGCCATTCTTCTGGGCAGTGCTCGTCCGAGGAACAGGCAACAAAAGGATCTGACTTGAAGAATTCGAGACCTGTGGCCACAAAACTGGAAGCTAGGATTGTTAAGATCAACCCACTACTTGTCATTGCAGAATTATACTTGTTTCGCAAAAGCAACCGCCAAAGGATGTTTGTAAGAGTTTTGTGAAATTGTTGCCTTGAAGTTGATTGTTGTCTATCATGAAGCATTAAGATATCTCTTTGACACATCCGCGTCACAAAAACACTAAGATCAAAATTTCCCTGACGGAATAGCCAGTACTTTCCTTGATTGCGAGAAAATTCGATAGCATAGTCGCGCTCTTTTTTGAGTAGCACATTAAGAATTCTTTCAAATCTTATTCTAGTACGCTCTCGACTTTGATGGTTTTTTCATTGAAGCGGATTATGCCCTGACGTTCTTTGATTTTTCCTTGTAGGATAGTCATCAAATGGTAGATAACGAACAAGGTGGGTGCTGAGACGCCATTCTTTCGAGCAATTCTCAAGGGGTTACCTAGAATGACCTCAAGTTCCATCAATTGACCTTTTTCATAATCAATGCACATAGATGGTTTATAGACAAAAGTTTTCGCGAGGACCAGGAAAAACTCCATCTCCTTCGGATCAATTGTGACACCTTCGCTGGCTGCAATGGCTATGACTTCCTTCATGGCTGGAATCCACAGGCAATTCTCGGTGCTATTGCTTTCTCTTGAAAGCATCTGACATCTTGCAGAGTCCACCTGAGTGAGCGCTGTGGTAGTGTTGATCACAGCATTGTAAAGCAGTTTCCTCCAACGGATATACTTGACATTGTTCTCATACTTCACCTCGTTGTGACCCTCGTTGTTGTACATTGTAGCGAAAAGTTTGGTGCGCTCGATGGCGATCTCGTCAACGGCATCGAACGGCGCCACACTTAGCCTGTCCGCGCTAATTTGAACCACTTTCCCAGGTCCAACTTTGGTGGACCCGATCAACTGAACGCCCGACAAAAGTGCGAGTTTGTAGCAGTTTTGGTCAAAATGCTCCAACAGCTCTTTTTCGATGTCTAGTCCATTCTGTATCAGCATGATACTAGTGATGCGCGAAGCGTCTATTTGATGGTTGGACTCGACCACGGGACGAACAATTTCGTGCACAGTTCCACTCTTGGGACCGTCTGGAATGTTTTTGACCGTTACCACGATATAGTCGAAGAAACGACCAGATTGCGCGGCATCATGGGCAGTTTTGAACAAATGGTGTGGTCTCCAGTTGCTGATGGACCCGTAATCGCAGGACTCGATTGAGTAGCCATTTTGCTTAACGTGTTCGTAGTCGGAACGTACTACGAGCGAGACTTCGCTTAACCCAGCGTTAAAAAGCGAGTATGTTGTAATTACACCTACTCCGCCGGCGCCAATGACCAGACAAGAGGGTTTTGAAGATTCATTAATTATGGTAGACATAGTGTGAATTGATCACTAGTAATAAAAGGAATATAGAGCTTATTTTCAGCTGTATATGATATACAATTTCTGTATTTCTGATCTTGACGGTTGGTTGACTATGAATTTTCTTATATGGTATTAATCAATTATCATATTACTGTTATCTACCAGCTGATAAAAATGCGAACACTACCATTATCAAGAGTGCTGGGGGAAAAAATAGTTTTACGGCTTGAATTGAATTCCACTGGCGATTCCAGGACGAGCCCGGCCAACTGTTCCGGTGTGAGAAGAGCTTAGCAGTGTCATTGATAACTGGGGCGATGGCGATCATGTGACACTCATAGCGAAGGACCCACGACTACGACACAATTCAGTGTCAGCGAGCAGTTGTGCTGAGAGGTACATTGAGGTAAGTACCTTTTGTTTACAATTTAAACGAACGGAGACGTCTCAATGCGTTGACAGCATTTCTTATTTCCAATTTTGCAAAACTTTGAACAATAAAAATCGAAGAAAGCTGCGACTTTTCCTGTGGAGTCTGGTTTCCTATATGCCTGGATATGTGGGATGATTTCTAAGAGGGAGTAAAATATCCCAAGAGGACAGAAAACACTCAAAAGGAGCTTTTCTCACCACTAATGCCAACTCGAACGCGATGTACGCACAATCTTCGCGTTTCAACCTGAAACACAAAATACCCGGTAAATCCCTGGACCCACAGAGAATTGCAATCGCGCTATTACTTGAATGGTTCTCTGTCCCTAAGCCTGTAGTCCCAGTTTGCCTCTACAGACGTGCTATCTCTTGGTCCTCTATATCACTTTGTCCCCAGTTGGCACTGGAAAAAATACGACTGAAAAGAACGTAAACACCCCGGAATGACACACTCGCCAGCAGGCAAGTAGGAGTGCCAGATTAGTCCGAATGCCATCGATTTACCACATTCGTTAAGAAACTCAATTAAAACAAGCCTGAAGGTCCTTACGGAATTAAGCATTTTTCCACAGTGGTTCCAATTTTTTTCAATTGGAAATGCATTTTATAGGTTGGCCATAACCCAGAATATCTACACTAATTCCTAAAATTCATTGATCGACAACCCTTAACACTTCATCAATTGTGTGTCGCTGCCACGGTTGTATAACCTCCCGACTACTGACACTCGTCTGTTTCGTTCGCCAGAACGAATATCACGACGAGGAAAAAAGAAACAAAAAAATGCTCGATGATTATTATGTGCTCGCAGGGTCCAAGTAACAAGGTGGATCTGGAGCATTTTACCGAAAAATGCTCGAGACGTTGGACAATACGAAATATCAAGTATATGTATAGGCCTAAATCGAAACAATCGAGCGTTTTACTGATGTCTTTTTATCGGGTTTTTAAATTATTTAATTTCATCGACGCTTTCTCTACGGTGCTTCTTGCCTGGTGATAATTGATTCCTCAGTGTATAATGAAAATCAACAGAATACCATTTTTGGTATGGGCCATTTTCGCGGGCATCTCGTCGGGTTTGGTTCTGGTTGACTCGTCGCTGGCTTCGGGATGTATTTATTATGAAGCAAGCTTCGATTGGGGCTGCGGCTCGCATAGCAATGGCAAACGTGCCTACAAATGTCGGTGCGCCAATGTCAACTGGCTTGGCACTGTCACAAATTGTATCGCTAACAATACCGACAGTAAAAGGCTAAGAGACCACGCATTTAGACATGTCATTGGCAGGTGTCAGTCAAAATACAAGTTCAATTACACAATGGAAGACATGTACGGATTTTGGCAAAACGGTACCCAGTATCTCAGAGACCCAACAATGGCAGACATGTCAACGCCTGTAAACACCACTTTGCGGGTGGACCAGGCTGAATTTGACTGGTATTACCAAAAATTCAAGGACTACACATTTAGTGTCACCAGAAGTCAGTGGTTCGGCTGGGGCCAGATTTTCTACTGGGCTGCCATCATCATCGTCGCCACAATCTACAATCTAAATGAGAAATTCATCGGCGTCAAGCTCACGAATAAGTGGCTCACGCGAAAGCTGGTCGTGCCATCGATTTTCAAAAACACTGTCCAAAAGTACCCTATTTTGCAGTCGATCTTTTCAGGACCTTGTGCAACCCGCATGCAGGCCTTGATAGTGTTCGTTTTCATCATCCAGGTAATCATCACAACCGGTGTCGGGTACGAGTTGAAGTTGCCACATCCATATCTGTCGAACCAGTGGTTTATGAACCTTACTTTGCTGAGCTACAGAACCGATTTGATGTGCATTTCTCTATTCCCAGTCATGTACTTCTTCGGCATTCGCAACAACCCATTCATCCCGTTAACCGGAATGTCATATGCAACCTTCTCCTATTTCCACAAGTGGGTCGCATACGTCGCCACCTCTCAGGCTTTCATTCATACCATTATATGGACAGCATATTACGTTCACTATAATAGTTACAAACAGTCTGTCAAGGCGGAATACTTGCAGTACGGAATCGCCGCCATGATTTTGATGGCATTGCTAGTCTTCCACAGCCAAAAGTTCATCAGAGACTTTGCTTATGAGGTTTTCCTCTTTTTCCACCAATTTATGAGTATCTTCTTCATCGTTTGCATGTACTACCACTGCAACACTTTGGGGTGGCTTGGGTGGATCTGGGCAATGGCTGGTATTCTCTGCTTTGACAGGTTTCTAAGGATTGGCCGTATAGTTTTGAGCGGTGGCTTGCAAAAGTCCGTTTTGACAGATTGTGGAAACGGTATCATTAAAATGACACTCAAGAAGCCAAAATATCTAACCTACACCCCTGGCACATTTGCATTTATTTATTTCCTAAGCTGGGATAATCCTTGGTACTACCAGTGGCAGTCTCATCCTTTCACCTTGTTGAGCACCTCGAACCACGGCGACAACATGGTCATTATTTTCAAGGCTCACAAAGGTGTCACTCAACAGTTGCTTTACAGATTACTAAAATCGGGCACGGATTCTATTCAAATGAGAGTGATGGTCGAGGGTCCATATGGTGACGTGCTGCCTCAAAAGGTCAAAGTGGAAAGAAAGCTAGTGGGCGTGGCTGCGGGCTTGGGTGTCACTGCCGTTTACGCTCAATTGGCACACCTTTTGGATGCACAAGTGGCTGAAATAGGCTCCAAAATGTACTGGGTCGTCAATGACCTGGCTCACGTCTCATGGTTCAATGACGAAATTAATTGGCTTTTGTCCAAAAACTGCGACGTCACGATTTTGTGTACAACTCGAAAAGACGTGGATGAATCCAAACCTTCCTCGCTTTGTTGCTCAGCTACTGGTGTACTAGAGAAGGTCAGAGTAGAATCCCTGTATGGCAGACCAGACTTGGCAGCCTTGATAGAGGACGAAATTCGTGAGGCCACAGAGCAGTCCAGAGATCTCACTTTCATTAGTTGTGGACCAACTGCTTTCAATTTGGATTTCAGAGCATCGGTATCAACATCACTGAACCAACAGCATAGCATCGATGTAGCGCTCCAAGAGGAGAGTTTCGAGTGGTAAAATGGTGTAGAAGTCTCTGTCACCATTTCATGTCATTGTGTCCACCTCTGACACTGAAAATCATTTTAGAGAAAAATACATGTAAATACCAAAATCTACAAAGTCAACGTTTATCTCAGGAATATCAGTCTAATTCGACAGCAGATGTTCTTGAGAATGCTCTAAAATCCATCAAAACCACCGCAGTAAATCGTCAAGTTTCATTCTCCATGTCGCTCGAGTTCAATCTTTAAGATACTCTATGTACTGTGTGGGTTAGCATACCCAAAACATCTATAAAATATCTTACAGTCCGTTGAAGGATGAGTTAACTTTTGCGTCGTTCAAACCGCGGCATTACCTCATCGATCACAGACATTAAGGTACCTCTTAGCGTCTCGGGATCGATAATCGCGAGAGAAAAGGGGGAAAATAATGCACTCCATTTAAAAGTACACACAGGGTGCAAGTCACCGCCTGGGTCGCGCTAGTTCACTGCGTTTACGGTAAAAATGTTAGAGGTTGTCGACATTAGAAAATTTCAAGTATATGAGCTGGCTCAAAAGTGAGACAATGGGGGTCATGTCGACCTCTTTTTGTATCTGGCACCAAGATTTGAATTGAATCTCATCGGAGCTTTTATACAGTTTTCAGAGAAATACTGATGAAAATTGAGAAAGCAGTATTTTTGGTGTTGGCTATTTTGGTTGGCATCTCCTCGGGGTTGATTTTAGTGGACTCGTCGTTGGCCTCTGCTTGTATCTATTATGAGCGAATGTTCGATTGGGGCTGCGACTCGCACGGCATGGGTTTAAAAGCCTATAAGTGCCGTTGTGCCGATGTCAACTGGCTTGGCACCATGGCCAATTGTATTGGTAACAACACACAAAGCAAACGAGTGAGAGACCACGCTTTCAAGCACGTTGTTGTAAAATGTCAGTCAAAATATAAATTTGACTATACCGTTGATGACATGTACCAATACTGGAAGAATGGTACCCAATACCTCAGAGATCCAACACCAGCAGACCTGACAAACCCTGTGAACACAACACTTCGAGTGGACCAGCCTGAATTTGACTGGTATTACAAAAAATTCTCAGAGTACACTGCTTATGCAGAGAAGTGTCAGTGGTTCGGTTGGGGCCTCGTTTTCTACTGGGTTACCATAATAGTAGTGACCACTATTTACAACTTCAATAACAAATTCATTGGCATCAATTTGACAAACAAGTGGATTACAAGGACGCTAGTCATACCGTCGATTTTCAAAAACACATTTCAAAGATTTCCTGTATTGCATACGATATTTCCCGGGCCTTATGCATCTCGTTTGCAGGGTCTTGTGGTGACGGTTTTCATTGTCCAAGTCATCATTACTACCGGTGTGGGTTATGACATGCAGTTGCCTCATCCATACCTGACGACCCGGTGGTTCATGAATCTCACGTTGCTGAGCTACAGGACCGATTTGATGTGTATGTCCTTATTTCCAGTGATATTTTTATTCGGTATTCGCAACAATCCATTTATTCCGCTAACTGGAATGTCATATGCGGCTTTCTCTTACTTCCACAAATGGGTTGCCTACGTTGCGACGGTCCTGGCTTTTATCCATTCAATTATTTGGACCGCTTACAACGTTAAAACTCACGAATACGCAAGCTCTGTTAGGGACCTCTATTGGCAGTATGGAATCGCTGCCATGATTTTGATGGCACTTCTTGTTTCTCATAGCACGAAACTTTTGAGAGATATGGCTTATGAGGTTTTCCTTTTCGTCCATCAGTTCATGAGCATTTTCTTCATTGTCTGCATGTACTACCACTGCAACACTTTGGGGTGGCTTGGGTGGATCTGGGCAATGGCTGGTATTCTCTGCTTTGACAGGTTTCTAAGGATTGGCCGTATAGTTTTGAGCGGTGGCTTGCAAAAGTCCGTTTTGACAGATTGTGGAAACGGTATCATTAAAATGACACTCAAGAAGCCAAAATATCTAACCTACACCCCTGGAACGTTCGCATTCGTCTATTTCTTGAACTGGAAGGCCTCGTGGTACTACCAGTGTCAGTCTCATCCTTTCACCTTACTGAGCACCTCGACCCACGGCGACCAACTGGTCGTTATATTTAAGGCACACAAAGGTGTCACTAAACAGCTGCTCCACAGATTGCTAAAATCGGGCACAGACTCAATCGAAATAAAAATAATGATAGAGGGTCCATATGGTGACGTGCTGCCTCAAAAGGTCAAAGTGGAAAGAAAGCTAGTGGGCGTGGCCGCGGGCTTAGGTGTCACCGCCGTTTACGCTCAATTGGCACACCTGCTGGATGTACAAGTACCTATAATGGGTTCCAAAATGTACTGGGTGGTCAATGACCTGGCTCACGTCTCATGGTTTAACGACGAGATTAATTGGCTAATATCCAAAAACTGCGACGTCACAATATTGTGCACTACTCGAAGGGACGAGAACGACTCAAAGAGCCCATCTTTATACTGTTCTGTTGATGATTTCTCCGCAAACGTCACAGTAGAATCTTTGCACGGCAGGCCTGATCTGACTACTTTGGTAGAAGAAGAGGTTCGTGAGGCGTCGGAACATTCGAGAGATTTGACCTTCATCAATTGTGGGCCCGCCACTTTCAACGTCGACTTTAGAGCTTCGGTAGCAACGTCACTTAATCAACCGAAAAGCATCGACATAGCGCTCTGCGAGGAGACTTTTACATGGTAAAGGTCCACTATGTGAAATTGTTTATAAAGTTATACGTCCGCATTTAAAATCTGAGCTTTCATTCTATTCCTCTTCACTGGAGTCCTCGGCTTGCTGCATTTTCAAGAGCTCCGACCATTTGGAGGCCAGCTCTTTAATGGCATCCGGATTCGTAATGGCATCTGCCACGTCTTTAGGGACCTGACTCTCCGAGTGTTCCTTCCCAGCGAAACGGGCCACGTTATTTTCTTTCACTAACCGCATCTCGTAGTCGTCCTCTATATCGTTCTCATTGGCAGTAATAAGTTCGTGCCATGAAAACATGAGAGAGTCGGTCTTCCTGCAAAACGGATTGAAATCGATGAGCCAGACTTTTTGGAAGGGGCGCGGTATGTAAACGTCGCAGACGTACGATGGGTCCGGAAATTTCTGGCTCACCTGCTCGTGGATGAACTCGTCGATGAGCTCCTTGAATGTGTCGACTAGGGGCAAGAGGTAGTCGTAGAAGTTGAGATCTCTTTGGGAGACGCCTATGATCTTTGAATTCTTGACGAAAACCCTGAACTCGAGCGCTGGGTTGATGTCAAACCATTTCCGCAAAATCAACTCGTGGCCAAACGTTTGGGGAGTCTCTTTCAGCGTCTCGCGGTCAAAACATTCATCGAAGGCCCGGTCTAGATCGTGCGTTATGTGGCTTGAAGCCTTGAGGAGCAAGTACACATCGTTGACCTCGTGGCATTTCAGAGTGTTATTTGCAAGGATCCAGGTCGCGTCTTTGGGACTCGACCACGTCAGCTTCGGCGTCAGAGGTCCCATTTCCTGGAAAAGACCTTTCAGCTTCTGGTGTAAGTCGGGAAACATCGATGTCACCTCGGTTTTCGTGTCGTGCTGCGATGCCATCACCTCGCCGCCGTTTTCGTTTTCGTTTTCGTTTTCTTCTTGTTCCCAGTCGCTATACTCATTGTCCTCCGTTTCTTGGACGTCCTGGAAGTACGATGACTGTTTGAAATTGCTATCATTGGGCAATCGAATGCCATCTTGCTCTAGATACTCCATAAAACCCGCTGGCACTGGTTTGATGATTTCCGCCTTGGGCGTCGATCCATGGAAAAGATGGTACCATCGGGAGAACGCGCAGTTTTCTATCTGTTGCACGCTCACTGAGAGGTTGCTAAGTTCCGCGTAGCGGCTCATGGGTTCACGACTGGTGCAACTTCTGTATTATATTCTATGTATGGTATTCGAATTCATCTCACCTATCTGATAGCTGACAAAAAGTTATCTAGTCAATTTATCTAGCTGATTCTCTGGTCCTTTCTCTTGTCATTTCTCTTGCCAATGTTCTGCTCATTTCTCTATTCATTGCTCTACTCATCACCTCGCAAAAGTCACGTTTCTGGTGATATTTTAAATTTAATTGACCATTATCACTCTTCACGGAAGTGATTCTCAAAATCTGAAAAATTTGCCACTTTTAACAGATCAAAACCCTCCTCTCAAACACGAACTTTATCGTCCCAAAGTGCCCTTTTACAAAGCCATTCACCTTCTGAACGTCTTCAATTGGCTCTAAAATAGACTGCATTGTCCACATTGTGATTTTGAAATGCCTCCCAAAAGCTCTCCCAACTCTACGTTCAAAAACCGTGAAAAACCGCAAGAGGTACGCAAGGCGAACATCATAGCGGCCCGTGCCGTGGCAGACGCTATCCGCACGTCTTTGGGGCCCAAAGGTATGGACAAGATGATCAAAACGTCGCGTGGAGAGGTTATCATCTCCAATGACGGCCACACCATCCTTAAACAGATGGCCATTTTGCATCCCGTGGCGAAAATGCTAGTAGAAGTCTCGGCCGCCCAGGACACAGAGGCAGGCGACGGCACAACCTCGGTGGTAATACTGACGGGTGCGCTGCTGGGTGCAGCGGAAAAACTGCTCAACAAGGGCGTTCATCCAACTATCATCGCAGAATCGTTCCAAACTGCCGCGAAAAGATGCGTGGAAATCCTTTTGGATATGTCCCAGAAAATCTCGCTTTCTGACAAACAGGCGCTGGTGCGTGCTGCTGCGACGTCGCTGAGCTCCAAGATCGTGTCACAACACTCGTCATTTTTGGCTCCGCTCGCCGTGGATTGCGTGTTGAGCATCGTGAATGAATCGAGCACGAACGTGGATCTTTCCGATATACGTCTAATCAAAAAAGTAGGTGGCACCATCGATGACACAGAGATGGTCGACGGTGTGGTGTTAACTCAAAACGTGGTGAAAACTGCCGGCGGTCCCACCAGAATCGAGAAGGCTCGCATAGGTTTGGTCCAATTTCAAATTTCGCCCCCCAAGCCAGATACCGAAAACAACATTGTGGTCAACGACTACAGACAAATGGACAAGATCTTGAAAGAAGAACGTGCATATTTGCTGAATATCTGCAAGAAGATCAAAAAGGCCAAATGTAATGTGCTGCTGATTCAAAAATCCATTCTAAGAGACGCAGTCAACGATCTCGCACTTCATTTCCTGGCTAAGCTGGGCATTATGGTCATTAAAGATGTGGAGAGAGACGAGATTGAGTTCTTGTCAAAGAGTCTAAACTGCAAGCCTATTTCAGACCCAGAGTTTTTCACTGAGGACCGTCTTGGCTCAGCAGATCTTGTCGAAGAAATCGACAGCGATGGTTCCAAGATCGTCAAAATCACTGGTGTCAAATCAAGCACTGCCAGCCCAACAGTCTCCGTGGTCATTCGGGGCGCAAACAACGTGATCCTAGATGAAACTGAAAGATCTCTGCACGACGCTCTTTGTGTCATCCGTTGTTTGGTGAAAGAGAGAGCACTAATTGCTGGTGGTGGTGCGCCTGAAATCGAGGCCTCGCGTAGACTTACGAAAGAAGCAAGAGCTCTAGAAGGTGTGGAAGCTTTCGTGTGGCAAGAGTTTGCCTCTGCTCTGGAGGTTATTCCAACCACGCTGGCAGAAAATGCCGGTCTTTACAGCATCAAAGTTGTCACAGAGCTTCGTACGTTGCATGAAAATGGTGAAAAGAACGCCGGTATCTCGATTCGCAGATCTGGTACCACAAATACTTTTGACGAGCATGTTTTGCAGCCAGTCTTGGTGAGCACAAGCGCAATTACCCTGGCATCCGAATGTGTCAAGTCCATCCTGAGAATTGATGACATAACCTTCAGCCGTTGATTAACGAGGTAGTTCGAACGGTATTTAAGCTAATTTTGTACATAAATCCAACTCCTCGCGGATTCATTCTCGACTAAAAAGTGTATATTATATGTCTATGAGGAGATGCTATAAAATGCTAAAAGGCTGTTCGGGGCCGCAAAGAACGAATTTTGGAAGCTCCTTTACATAAAGTTGATTCAAAAGAGTCAAGTCCATTCTCCGGTTTCATTTTGACTCAGGAGGTATGGTTGTGGATGCTAACGTCAAGGGACTTCTTACTTCACTTTTTGGAGATACTTTACGGCGTTCTTGTTGAAAATATACGACGTGCCACTTAGGATGGTTGTGGTGCCTACCAAATAACCCATATACTCAAAAGCCCGCCACAAAATGCTTGTATTTTTTTCAGCTTCCGTCTCTTCTTCAGAGGTCTTTTGGTATATCATCATTGTGACAGCCCAGCCCAGGTAAATCATCTGCAAGAAAGTGTTCCATTTAGAAATTTGAGTAGGTCTCACTTCAGCGCTGGGAAACTTGAAAACGTCCCAAAACGAATTCCAGGTAACTTTCCCGTATGCGTGTTTTAAAGATGCTATTCGGAAATAAATGGCGCTCAGACCAAGTGTGACGTCGCGACCAATTATAAGACCTGCCAGCGGGGCTGGTATAATCTGTGGTCCCGGAGGAAATGCTAATGACGCTGTGGTGACGAGCATCAATATTTTGTCTGCCATAGGATCCAGAACGGTTCCAGCGACAGATTTCATGTTATATCTTCTTGCCAAATATCCATCCAGAAAGTCCGTTAGGCACGAATACGTAAAAAGTCCCAGCGCGGAAACGAGGTTGTTGGATATTATGCAATGGCCAATTAAAGGCGCTGCAGCGATTCGGCTCATTGTAAGCAAATTCGGAATCGTACAGATCGAGGAAATATTCGGACGTATCGCTCTGGGCTTGTAAGAGTCGTTCGAAACCCGACGTAGAAGTGACCATTGTGGCGACTTCAACAGCGATCGACGGCTCACTAGAGAGCCTGAGTTTAGCAGAAACGGTACGGGCCTTAGCATGGCTACACTTCCACGGGAAAAGGCGGGTTTTCCAGGATTTTAGCGTAAATTATTGACTATTTCTTGCTGATTTAGACAAGTTGGCTCATTTAAATGATAGACATGGAATTTTCCCATCTTATGATTACATCGACCTTATAATTCATCATAATACCAAAACGAAAACCGAGAACTGACAGGCAAAGAGAGCTCATATTGGACGCTTTTCCTGGCAATTGAATTACGCATAAATTTTTGGTATTTTTGACGTTCTCATCTTGTAAAAAGCTCTCCTCCGAGACCAGTTTGGGCTAGAAATTCGTATTTATCTGATTGTATCTGGAACGACAGATCATTAAGCTCAGTGGCTCGAAAAGATGAATGTTCTTGTGTATAATGGACCAGGAGCGTCTCCAGACTCTGTTAAACATACACTCGTGTCGTTGAGACGCTTATTGGAGCCATTTTACGCCGTTAGCACCGTTAATGCCAAAATCCTAAAAACGGAACCCTGGGCAGGCAAGACATCGGCAGTGGTCTTCCCCGGCGGTGCTGATCTGCCATACACCAAGGAATGTGCTTCCGTTATGCCACAGATCAAAAAATTTGTTTCCAAGCAGGGTGGGTCGTTCATTGGCTTCTGTGCAGGTGGATATTTCGCCACAGATCGGGTTGAATTCGCACTTCGAGACCCCCAGCTCGAGGTTGTCGGTACTAGGGACTTGAAGTTTTTTCCTGGGGTTGGCAGAGGCCCAGCGTTCCACGGCTTCAAGTATAACAGCGAGGCAGGAGCCCGTGCAGCTAATCTGAAGATTCCCAACGGTGAGGAATTCAAAACTTATTATAATGGTGGGTGTGTTTTCGCAGATGCAGAGAAATTTGATAATGTTGAGGTTCTCGCACGCTACTCTGAACCGTTGGACGTTCCGTTTTCGCAAAATGGTGAAGGATTGGGTGCAGCCGTAGTTTTATGTCATGTTGGCAAAGGAAAAGCGCTCTTAACAGGCCCACATCCCGAATATGTTCCAATTTTACTGCAAAAAATGCACGATCGTGATTACAACTCCTCGGTGGCTGATGTCCTGATGGAACATGAGACCAGCAGGCTGAAGTTCATGAAAGATATGCTAACTAAGCTAGGTTTACACTGCAACAATGATTTTGCAGAAAGAACAGCGCCCAGTCTAACTCCACTACTCGTGGTGTCTCCCAACAAGACACAATTACTTGGAGAGCTCGAGAAAAACCTGGCAGAGAGCGATGCGGTTGTTGAGAATGATGTCACCATCCTAAAAGGGGAAACCGACACATTTCGCATTTACAGAGGCTTTGACAGATACGGCGTTGCAAGCCGTGAATTGCTTGATCGAGAGCCGGACGAGGTTGTAAAAACTATTATACTCTCTTCGGCTGAAGAGCCCAACGCTCCACCTGGCCTCACTCCAAATTTTGACACTGAAAAATACTTCCAGCATTTGAACCCATCGACATCGGTGGGGTCGTTGTTGATGTATGGCGAGATCATAACTTCGTCAAGTGCGTTGCTGAACAACAACAAAAAGCTTTTGAGTCTTTTTCCCGCCACGTCGACTCTGCATGTAGGCACAATTCAGGTTTCGGGCCGTGGGCGTGGTGGAAATGTGTGGATTAATCCCAAAGGCGTTTCTGCCTCCACAGCGTGCGTCAATCTTCCTTTGAAATCACCAACAACTGGTCGGCCAATATCTATAGTCTTTGTCCAGTACCTCGCGATGCTAGCGTACTGCAAAGCTATCTTGGGATATGCATCAGGTTTTGAAGACCTACCGGTAAAAATAAAATGGCCAAACGACTTGTACGCAATGAAACCAGACTACTACCGCTCCAAAAATACTAAGTTGACTGGCAAGGGTATGGAAGGAAGCAAGGTACCGTTAAGTGAGCTAGAGCCAGCTTACGCCAAGATATCGGGTCTGCTAGTGAACACGAACTTCATTAATAACCAATATTCTTTGCTACTTGGCTGTGGTTTGAATGTATCGCACGATGGACCAACCACCTCGCTCAATTCGTGGGTCAAGATTTTAAATCAAGAGCGGGAGAGTTCTCACATGCCTTTACTACCTGAAGTCGAGGTAGAAAAATTACAAGCACTGTACATGAACAACTTGGACCTGCTAATCAAAGAATTCATCAACTATGGGGTTGACCGCATGCTACCTGAATATTACAAGCTATGGCTGCACACAGACCAAATTGTGACTCTCACCGACCATCAAAATATCCGTGCCCAATTGGTGGGCATTACGAAGGATTACGGGCTGCTCATCGCTAAAGAATTAGCCTCCGGTTCCAATACGCAGTTTACCGGTAACGTATACCATTTGCAGCCTGATGGAAACACATTTGACATTTTTAAGGGCTTAATATCCAAGAAAGTTATTTGAGTTTATCGGAATGGATTTCGTCTCAAAAACATTATAATATTTACATTTAGGTATGATTATGGCTCTCTGTAAAACTGTGATCTTTCAACCACTTTAATACAACGAAAGTTGTTGATAAATAACCAGTTTCTAGATATCGAGTTATTTTGCCAATCGAATAAACATGAGCGTCTACCAAAAAACCTGTGATGGCTTGCTCAACGAGAGTTGTTGTTGTTATTGTTGTTATTGTTGTTATTGTTGCTGTTATTGTCATCGCGCTTTGGGGAGTTAGGCGAGTATGATGGTGAGCCTGGGCTATAGCTAGGTGATGTAGGAGAATAGGATGGTGAAGTAGGCGAGTAAGAGGGTGAAGTCGGGCTGTAGCTTGGCGATGTGGGTGAATATGATGGAGATGTTGGGGAATAGGAGGGGGATGTTGGTGAGTATGACGGAGACGTTGGGCTGTAGCTAGGAGATGTGGGTGAATAAGAAGGCGATGTCGGACTGTAACTTGGAGAAGTTGGCGAGTACGATGGTGAAGTCGGGCTGTAGCTTGGAGAAGTAGGCGAATACGATGGTGAAGTCGGACTGTAACTTGGCGACGTTGGACTGTAGCTTGGAGACGTAGGCGAGTATGATGGCGAAGTAGGCGAGTAGGATGGTGATGTAGGACTGTAGCTTGGCGAAGTTGGGGAATATGATGGCGAGGTTGGGGAATAAGATGGTGAGGTTGGACTATAACTTGGCGAAGTTGGGCTGTAACTTGGCGAAGTTGGGCTGTAACTTGGCGACGTAGGAGAATAAGCTGGAGAGGAAGGAGAAAAGCCTGGCGAGGCAACCCCTCCGAATCCTGGTGACGAGGGCCCATCACCGTAGCCACTGAAAGGAGATGATGCACCACCATAGTCTGCACCACCGTATGCTGTGAAACCACCCGACATGGCATCGGTAGAGCCGGAATCAACCATAGGCGAGAACATGAGTTCGTCCTTTACATCAATATCAGCATTTACTAGGCCGCTTTCATTGTTGTAAGGAGTCCTAGAGCCATCCTGGCCGTCGGCGATCTCGCTGACTTTCTGTTCAGGCATGAACTTGACAAGCGACTCTTCGTCGATCATAACATCAAAAGCACCGGTACCAATAGGAGCAACTTGACCCAAGAGCACATTTTCGGAAACACCGCGACAATCATCAAGCTCAGCTGCAGCACCTGCTTCGAACAGAATTTCTACTGTCTCTTCGAAAGAACATCTCATAAGAGCACCAGTGTCAGACCGATTGAACCCGTGACGGGTTACCGACATCAAGAAACCTTGAGAAGTCATTACGTCAACCAGCAAAGCCATATGGCGGTAATTGACATAAGAACCATCGGATGCAATAACGTTGTAAACTTCCTTGTAAAGGGCTGCACGACCTGCCTCAATACCCAACACGTTCATGATATCAATGAACGAATTTGTGTAAATACGGGCTGGATCGACTCCGGGTACACTCATGACCTCAGCAAGGTTAACACCATCAGTTTCCAGAACCCATTCAGGGACCTTGTGATATTCACCCGTGGGGCTAGGCACTTTGCGATCGTATTTCATCATAACGACACGAGTAATGTCTTCGACGCCACGCAGAGTAATACTCTCCAACATCGTGTTTTCAATCCTTTTCAACATATGATCTTCTTCAGCTTCTGCTTCAACATCCAAAGTCTTGGGGTCACGAACGACACGGCACCGAATTACCAGTTTTTCAGCATTATCTTCGGACCATATGACGAAAAGATCGTTCTTGAAAGTTTCTTTGATTTTCTCACCAACTTGACCCATAGTCAAGTCTTTGTCATTCATGGCAGCGCGATCTAGTTCCAGGCGCAACAACCATGGCGATTGGTGGTCAAGAGATTGCTCAGTTTCTTCGTCCATCAAAGAAAAGTGCAGTTGAATAATTTCTTCATCATCTTCGATGACAGTGGAACGAGGGTCAGGGTCGTAGTAAATTTCAGATGCGACTGTAACACTTTTCAATGTTGTGTGCTCGATGGCAGATCTGATAAGCTTAGCCTTCTCTTGATCTGCGGCGTAGTCTTCTTCGAGGTACACCGTAAGTGAAGGGGTCTTCATGTTTTTGGCAACGTTCAAAATTTCCTTTAAACGAGGAACACCCGAAGTGACTTTCTTCGATGCAACACCAGCAAAATGGAAAGTATTCAATGTCATTTGAGTGGCAGGTTCACCAATGGATTGAGCGGCAAGGACACCAACCATTTCACCAGGGTGAACAATGGACCTCAAAAATTGAGCCTCAACATTGTCCATTACCCAGTCAAAGGTCTGCTTTGTTAGTCTGTATTCTTGAATAACTCTGCGAGAAGCCAAACGAGACCGCAATAGACAACAGAACAATGTAACAGCATTCTTTTGAGCCTCTTGCAATAGCTGACTTTTGCCGCGCAAAACGAGAAGCCTTTCTTGTAGGTCCTTAACTCCAAATAGAACGTCCCTGATAGTCAAATCAGTGGCTTTGGAGTGCTCGATCCGGAAAGTCTGCTGTGCGTTTTGAATAATACGTCTAATGTTCACTGGTAGAGGCCAGTTCTGTTCACCGTCGACAAAGATCTTTCTCAAAAATGCGCGATCCTCGAGAAGTTGCTTGTATTCTTCATCCAAAAGCGCTTGCAACTTTAGGTCACCCACGATCTCTGATCCGGATTCTAACAGGGAGGGATCGAGAGCGTGCTTAGGATTTAGTAGATCAATTCTGTACCTGCGCTCAAAGGCAGCATCGGATGCGGCAATACTATCGATTGATTGCTTTTCAATATGAGCAGCATCCATACCGTCTTCACCATAGATAAATTGAATTACGTTTCCCAAAGAGTTTCTCGTTGTACCGTCGTAATGAACCATAATATCCTCAAGAGCCTTCACCAGACGACGCTGGATGTAACCAGTCTCGGCTGTTTTGACAGCAGTATCAATCAGACCCTCACGACCACCCATTGCGTGGAAAAAGAATTCTTGTGGAGTTAATCCTCTCAAGTATGAATTTTCCACGAAACCTTTTGACTCCGGAGAGTAATCGTCCTTAGAGAAATGTGGCAACGTACGATCCGCAAAACCAAACGCGATACGTTTACCCTCAACAGATTGCTGACCCACACAAGCAGACATTTGAGCAATATTAATAAATGAACCTTTAGAACCCGCACTCACCATTTGTTTGACGTTATTCAAATCCTTCAAATTCACTTCTGCAGACCGACCAGCTTTGTCTCTGGCTTCATTCAGGTAACGCACAACATTATCTTCAAACGACTCACGTAGAGTCATACCGTGTTTCGCTGTCAGCAGGTTTGCCTGAGCCTCTTTCGTAACTTCTTCGACCTTTTTCTTTGCTACCATGATCGCATCAGTAATTTCTCTCATGGACTTCTCATCAGCAATTGTATCACCAATACCGATAGAGAAACCATTGTGAAGCAGCCAAAAGTTGACGACTTTTTGCAGATTGCTAAAAAGCCTTGCACATATTTTTGGACCCTTTTCTCTCGTTACGACGTGAATTAAACCACCACTGGAAGATCCTACTGTCTTTTTGTCCACCACTCCGAAAATGATCTGACCATCAATGATCAGCATACCATTGTCTTTAGGAGACAGAAGTGTTGTGCCTTCGTCAAATCTTTGCAAGTGGATACCGGTTGGAATTGCGATAGACAATATTTGCTTACCAGACCATAGTGGTTTAGGTTTTAAGATTGTAGGAGTGGGGATCACGCCGTCCCAGTCCGGGATCCAGTAAAGCATGTTAAGAACTTGATCCAGCTCGATGAAAGTATCTCTCAAAGTCATTTTACGAACACCACACAAGGTATCTTGAACGATACCCATACATGGCTTGTTCGACTGAGCAGATACGATTTGCTGCGGCACTGCGCAAAGTTGCGAAAGTTCCGCTCTAGTCTCTTCCGACTGAGGCACGTGTAAATTCATTTCATCACCATCGAAATCGGCATTATATGGCGAAGTGACGGACAAGTTCAATCTGAATGTAGAATAAGGCATAACTTTAACTCTGTGAGCCATCATCGACATTTTGTGCAGCGAGGGTTGACGGTTGAATAGAACGGGGTCATCATCTATAATGTGCCGTTCTACCTTCCAACCATATTGGAGCTGGATGTCACCTGCCCTTTTACTGTACCTCAGATCTATACGATCACCATTGTCACGAATGACATATTTAGCACCGGGGTGCTCATTGGGCCCGTTCCGCACCAATTGTGTTAAGCGGTCGATATTGTACGGAGTCACAACTTCGGGGTAAGTCAAAGTTCTGGCAATGGACTTTGGTACACCTACCTGATCCAGATCTAGGTTTGGATCACCTGAAATAACAGTACGTGCTGAGAAATCAACACGCTTACCCATAAGGTTACCTCTGATGCGCCCTTCTTTACCCTTTAAACGGGCACGAATAGATTTGATTGGACGGCCGGACTTTTGCAAAGCCTGAGGCTGTCCAGCAATATCGTTGTCCATGTAGGTGGCAATGTGAAACTGCAGCAAGGACTCCGATTCCTGAATAACGTGCTGTGGGGACCCGTTGATCTCGAGTCTTTGAACATTGATATTGGCTTTTAAAATGTCACCGAGCTTGTAAGTCAAATCATCTTCACCTCTTTGAGTCTCATTGAAGGAAATCGAAGGACGCACTGGAGGTGGAGGCACTGGCAAAACAGTCAATATCATCCATTCTGGACGCGCAAAATCTTCGTTAAATCCGAGGCGTACTGAGTCTTCTGGTGAAATGTGCTTGAAAACGTTGAGAACTTCGTCAGCGGAAATGATACGTCTTTCAGGTTGATCGGCATCGTCGGCTCCTTTGTCCTTCTTCCATGTACCCACTAGCGAAAGGCCGTCTTTCCTTATGCTCGGTTGAGTGTTCCCACAACCGCCTCTGGATACGTACTGAGTGGGATCGTCATCGGAAGGAACCTCGGTCTCGCAAACCATTTTGGCTTTGCAAAGAGACCAAACGGCATTGAACCTCCGCTTGGGGTCCTTTATTTTGATTGCTTGTCTCATCAGCTCGCTGTGTTCATCTAGTAAAAGTTTGCCGCAGTGCATGCACACACACTCGCAAACCTTCTTGATTTTGGATATGTAACCGATGTGGAAAACGGGTTTCGCCAGCTCGATGTGTCCGAAATGACCGGGACAGTCGTTCATGCCTTCACCACAGGTTTGACACTTGAAGTTACGGTCGATGGAGCCCAGACGAGGATCGTTCAACCCACCGATTTTGGCTCTCATTTGCGTTTCGTCCATGGTCTCTGGAAATTCTACTTTGGCCACACTGATGGCACGCACTTCTTCCGGCGAGAAAATGCCGAATTGCACTTCTTTAACCGTCCGCAAGGGAGCACTAGAATATGGGAAATCGACCATTATTAGTATGCAGCAATTGGAAAGTTCGTTTGGGAGTCGTCTCTGAAAGCGAAAACTCGAGGATTTTGATTATTTTTTTGGTTGGCGCGGAACGCTTTTCGGCTTTCTGAATGATATTCTACTTTTTTTAGTGTGTGTATTTGTCGCGCAGCTCGATAATTTAATGCCTGAGCTGGGTGGATGCTGTTATGTGAATCGAGCTGTGGAGTTTGTTTTGACAGACAAAGCTCGTGGATCTCGGTGACTTTTGTTTGTTGGTATGAGCGAACGTTTTTTTACGTTGTTTCTTAGTCGCTGTTCTTGTTTTTGACTGAGTTCACTGGTAGACAAACCTGGAGACTAATCGACCCTAAATCAACACACAAAGATTGCACTTCTTAGAGCAACAGGATGTTCGTTCTCGATACAAAACTGTAGTTAAAACTGCCGCTTGAAGCCCTCTGGAAGTTTGTTTCGCTCGAAACCTGTCGAATCTATAAACCCCGGAAACAATCCCTCAAAACAAGTGGGGAAAAGGCTGTGACCAGCTAATTTAAATGCAGTGGTGGTGAAAAAGGACCCGCGTGTGATTAACACAAGTTTATGGGGCTCCTAGCTCAGGCGTGAAGTGTGCAATGCCTCGAATTTAAGTATATTCAAGTGAATTTACGAGTTTTGTCTATATCTTTCAGTTATTTTGCCACCATAAAATTTTTTAGATAGTGTTGACACTAAGTAGGGTAACGTTTGACTCAGCTCTCAAGATTCAAAGACTTGATTCAGCGAGTGTCAGAGGCTTTGGAACAGCAGCGTTGGCGTTCGGGAAGGGTTTGAGAGTTTTAAAGCCTTGGCGTGTGTGCTCCTGCTTATTCTGATTTTTATAAAATTTGAACGGGCATTAGGCGAACATTTTAGACAGAGCTTTCTTCTGTTTAGCCACCTGGTCTTTTTTCAGTTTCCTAGCATCGGCAATGGCTCTGAGAATAGCAGCATCGTTCTGTTGGTAGGTAGTAGCAAATTCGAGATCTGTGAGAGCCATTTCTGCATCCTTCAAATTGTAGTAGGTGAGGCCACGACGGTACAGGGCCTTGGCCTTGCTCTTGTCGTCAGCAGCAGCGTCGTGAACAACCTCGGTGGTGGCTGTGAGGGCCTTCTGGTGCTCACCGCACTTCAAAGCACACAATGCGATGTTCAGGAAAAGCGACGTGCGAAGCTGGTCAACGGCCTGCGTTTTCTCGGGGGTCAAGTCGTCGGGGAAATACTGTTTGAGCATGGAAGAGGCTTTCTCGTACTTGAGCAGTGCGTTTTTGTAGTCTTGGGCCTTGAACAAAGTCGTTCCGATGTCTTTCACGGCGCCAACGGCGTTCAAAACGGAGTCCACGTCTGCCAGGTCGACCTTTGAGTCGTCGGCCAAAACGTCGTCGTAGTTGTCTCCAAACTGGTCCGTAGGCGTCTGTTCTGCGTCTGCAGGAACGACGTAGTCAGAGGGCAAGACCCCGCAGTCGTCGATTTTCACGTCGGCTTCGGGCTTGTCACCAGAGTCGGTTGGCAGGTTCTCAATTGTGCGTGCGATTCTCTTGCCCTGGATCAACTCGCCAAAGACGACGTGCTTGCCGTCCAAGTGGGGCGTGGGAACACATGTTAGGAAGGCTTGCGAGCCATTAGTGTTGGGGCCCGCATTGGCCATGGACAAAAGGAAGGGACGGTCGTGTTTGAGTGAAAAATCCTCGTCCTCGAACTTTTCGCCGTAAATGGACTCACCACCAGTGCCGTTGAAGTTGGTAAAATCCCCAAATTGCAGCATGAACCCTTTGATCACACGGTGGAACAAAGAGCCCTTGTAGCTCAATGGCACGTCGGGCTTGCTTTTGCAGAAGCCAGATTTGCCCTCGCACAGTTTGTAGAAGTTCTCAGCGGTCTTGGGCACCACATCGTTGAAAAGTTCGAATACCATGCGTCCCTTGGCAACACCGCCAATGGACACGTCTAGAAACACCTTAGTTCTGGACATTTTGAAAGTGAATCAAGAAGCTAATAAAGTTCTTGGAAATTGATCCTGAGAGCAGTGAGTATGTCCCAACCAGATATCTCACTGTTCCTTCCATTCAAGTCCAGGTTTTAAATATTTTTCAGATCGTCCTGGATCCTGTTGGCATCTTGGCTGTTGAAAAATTCTAGAAAATACGGATTTTGAAACTTTCAAAAAAAAGACAGCGTTATTTAGCCCGGTTCTGTAGTTTGTGAAGTTTTCGCAGCCGTATCTCTATCGCTATCGCTTTCACTTCCACTCTCGCTCTCACTCTCGTTGTCGCTCTCGTTGTCGCTCTCTTTCCATATGTTGGTAGTGGTTTTATCGATCTCGATAAGGTCACTTAGTACGCTGACGTAGTTTGGATCGCTGGAGCAGGAGCCAGGGCCATCGCGTCCGCTTAGGCTTCTGACGTGGCCGTTATCCTCTATTATTTCGCCCGTGGTTAGATCCACCACGTCGCCCTGATCCTGCAGAGCCTCGTATTTCTGGATCAGATGAGACCAGGCGCGACGCATGTTTTCGTCAGCTCGTTTGTGCCGCTCCAAGACCTGTTCGTCGGTGAGTTTGGGGATCAGTTGCGCCTCTTTGGACATGACATACACTATTCCTGCCGACTCTGGAAGTGACGGGGAATCAGCTTCTTCCGATGGCTGCTGTTGTTTAACATTGGTGTCTGGAGTTTTGGTTTGTCGCTGCACGGGCACTGTGCTGGCACTGGAAGGTCTGTTCGGGGCCTGTAAAAGCCCCTGTAGTGCGCATTTCAGATTTTGCAGTGTTTTCTGCTTAGACTTCTTCTTTCTGATCCCACTCATGAGCTTTGGGTGCTGCTCATGGGATATGTTCGTGGTGTTATTTCCAAAAGCTATGTTACGCTTCATAAATTTAAACAATACGGGAAATGTAACAAAAAATAGTTCTGTAAAAGCGCATGACGGGGCCCTTACGGACGCGTCACTTTCTATCTACGGTTGAAACACGGTCTCTGTTGCCCTTGTTTTGCCAGCACTCGCGGAACTGGGCCATCTCGCCCAAACACTGACGCCAGTCGTTGGTCTCGGCGTGACACAGCTGGAGAGCCATGTTTTCTACATAACAGCCGGTTTTGTCTATGCGGGAGTCCCAAGCATCCTCGTCTTCTTTGCAGAGCTCGTTGTACTCTTCCAGAGCCTGCAGATAGTACTTGGACTCGGTCTTTTGCATCATTTTGTTATGGGTGCTTGATGGTGTCTTGGAGAGAGAGAGATGTAGATATTAAATTGGGTAGAACTTAAGACGACAGTGACAGAAAAAGGGAAAAATTGGTAAAGAACAGGGGAACGGGTGAGCAGAAGGAAGTGGTGGAAGAAGAGGGAGAAGAGGAAACACAACAGTAGTGAATTTGAGAACGGAAACGGGTGAGATCGCAGGGACGAGGGAGGTGTCACGTGACTAAAGACATTTCAGAACACGCATACGCGCGCACACACACACACACACACACACACACACACACATGCACTTGAGTTCACAGTCACATTCCCAACAATGGCACCCCACGACCACCGTGCTTCCCTCCACCTTCGATTCCTCACTTTCCTCATCACTTTATAGTATTCTGTCGCAATTTCTTGATCTCAGCTATAACATAAAGAACCGTAGTAGTTGTCGTTTCCTGAAGCCAAACTGAGAACAAATTGCGGTGGTCTGAACGCGAGACCTTGTATCAAGCTCATTGCGTTATTTATAACCACCAAACACTCCAACAAAAACAGCATTTTTGACACCTCACAGACTCACAATTAAAACCAAAAAAACCAGCCACCACCTTAAAATTCACAGTCTCGAATAACCAGACACCAGACACCGTTCTCGCTCTCGACAACGTCCTGCCTTCGCTCTGCTTCTCGACCACCAACATCACCACACACGAAAGTACTCGTCGCAGCCGTACTCGTCTCACTTTTGAAGCCCAAGGCATTCTTCAATTTCCCCTTTTATAAAAATCTTTCGTCCTGTACTAGATTTAACCATTTCATGTGTATATGTGTCCAACTTAACCAAACGACAAGTTTAAAGGTCGACCCTCTACAAACTAGACAATTCCGCATGGTGAAACTAGCGGAATACCCAAGAACCGCGACGTTTGCGTGGTCGCACGATCGGTCGCCTTTGCTGGCAACCGGGACGGCTTCTGGCACAATTGATGCGGACTTCTCGAGCGATTCGAAACTGGAGATCTGGTCGCTGTTGTCGGCAGATGCGAGCGCTCCACAGGCGTCTGTCGTGGCCGAAGCCAAGTTCAACGACCTGGACTGGTCGCACGACAACCAGGTGGTGGCAGGGGCGCTGGAAAACGGAACAGTGGAGTTTTTCTCGCCCCAGCATCTCAAGTCCATTGCAAAGGTCGCATCGCACACCACGCCCGTGAAAACGGTCCGTTTCAACGCCAAACAGCACAATGTGATGTGCTCCGGCGGTGGCAACCGCGAGATCTTTATCTGGGACGTCTCCAAGGTCGGACAGGCCGGGTACGCGCCCGTCACACCGGGCACGGCCATGACGCCAATGGACGAGATCCACTCGCTGGCCTGGAACCAGAGCCAGTCGCATGTGTTTGCGTCGGCCGGGTCGTCAGGGTTCGCGTCGATCTGGGATCTCAAAGCCAAAAAAGAAGTCTTGCATCTCAGCCACGCGTCCCAGGTCACAGGCCAAAAAACCCAGCTCTCCATCGTCGAGTGGCACCCCAGCAACTCCACCCGGATCGCCACAGCCAGCGGAAGTGACTCTGATTCCTCGATCTTGGTCTGGGATCTCAGAAACGCCAATGTGCCCCTCAGCATACTTTCAGGATCCCATAGCGCCGGAATACTGTCGCTCGACTGGTGCAAACAAGATGAAAAATTGATGCTTTCAAGCGGTCGCGATAACACCTGCGTGCTGTGGAACCCCGAGGAAGCTCAAAAATTGACTCAATTCCCCACTCGCGGCAATTGGTGTTTCAAAACCAAGTTTGCTCCACAAGCACCAGACCTATTTGCGTCTGCATCTTTCGACAACAAGATCGAAGTCCAAACACTACAAAACTTGACCTGCGACTTAGACGAGAATGTCTCTGCCAACAAACAGCAAGAGTCCGAGGCCGAATTCTGGAATAACGTTTCAGAGCAAGACAGTAACGAAAAACCGGTTGTCAGCAAATTACAGGCTCCAGCATGGTACGGAAACAAGTCGCCAGCGGCTCAGTGGGCCTTTGGCGGTAAACTTGTCTTCATCACCAATGATAAAAAGGGCGTCAGAATCGTCAAACCCACCATTCCCGGTGTCGAGAAGAATGTTATGCTGGACGAGGCACTTCAATCCAAGAACTTCAAGCCAATTATCAACAAAAGATTGGTTCAAAGCATCGACGAGACCAATGAGGAAGATTGGAATATGTTGGAAAGGCTGTCTTTGGATGGCAAAGAAGCCTTCCTCAAAGAGGCTCTTGCCTTTGACGACGAAGACACCGATGCCTCCAGCGAGAAACCCGCTTCCGCTGACGATAACGACGACTTCTTCACCAACTTGAACCAGAGCTATACTCCCGAGGGCTCGTTCAAGCTTGAAACGACTGGTGATTCAGACGAGCTGATCAAAAGTCTCATCCAGGGCGACAAGAAGAAAGCTATAACGCAAGCTTTAGACCAAGAGCTCTTGTTAGAGTCACTCATTATCGCACTGGAATGTGACGATCAAAACTTGAAGCAAAAAGTGAAAAACGCTTACTTCTCAAAGCATGGAGGCAAGTCTTCACTTGCGAGGGTTTTACACAGTGTGTCCGAAAGTAATGTTGACGATTTGGTCGATAATTTGGATGTGACGCAGTGGAAATACGCCCTCAAGGCTATCAATGCTTACACTCCAGATCTTGCCATGAGAAATGAGCTTTTGATAAAGCTCGGTGACAGGGTTTCTGAATCGAAGAACAGACAAGACGCACTATTGTTATACTTGAGCGCCCAATCACTCGACAAGGTTGCCGAAATCTGGCTCAAAGAATTCATGGTCTTGGAGAGCAAGCTAAAGTCTAAGAAAGAAACAATTTACGAAGCTCATTTAGAGTGTCTCACCGAGTTCGTGGAAAGGTTCACCGTTTTTATCAGTCTAATAAGTGATGAGCAGCATCAGAAAATAGCCAATGAGGGCTTGATTTCTAAATTTTTGGAATTCGTCAACTTGACGTCTGCGAACGGAGATTTCGATCTGGCTCTCAAGTTCTTGGACATTTTACCTGGTGACAATGAGGAAGTTATTACAGAGAAGCAAAGAGTTATGATCGCGTCAGGCAAGGTTCCTTCTGCGACCAAAAACGTTTCCACTGCTGCACCAAAAATCCCTAAATCCAGGTACGCTGCGAGCAGCACTATTCCAGCTGGAAATGCTGTCGGTCTAGGCGTGTCTCAGACCCAGCCTCCTGCCGGTGGCCCACAGCAAATTGGCAACAACTTTGCGCCTGGCCCCTCATATTCCCAGGCCGCTCCTCTGACCCCACGCGCCGCGTCTATGACCGCTCCAATTACGACTGCTCTTAAATCAAGCAGCTATATGCCTGCGATGAATGCACAAGTGCCAGCTGCGAGCAAGTACGGTCTTCCCACAGCGGCTTCTCCAAGTGGAATTACGCGCGTTCCTACAGCTGTCGTGCCACCTCAACCACTGAACAATGTGGCTGCTGTTAATCCTTACACGCCCGCCGGAATGCAAGCACCTGTAGCAAATGCTCCTGTGAATCCATACGCCAATCGCTACGGTAGTGTCGGTACTCAACCGACTTATACACAGCCTCTCAAGCCTGTAGCAAATGTCATTGGCGCAGGATCACCGGGCTTCAACAATGGGATGCAAAATATACCTCCACCACCCATAACAGGCGTAAGTTCGGGTCAGACTCCACATCTTAACAGGAAAGCCAATGACGGCTGGAACGACTTGCCATTGAAGAACGTTCAAGACAAGCCTACTCGCGCAAAAGCTGTTTCAGTAGCCCCAGCCAGTGTGGTCACTTCCCCAGGTCCAACTGGCCCGCAGTCCAATTTTGGATCCATTCCCCCACCTCCACTATCGAGAGTAACATCTTCGGCGACAATTCAGACTCCTGTTCCTCATAGAATACCTTCCAAGACATACGCTCCTTCTAACAGCAGCGCTTCCCCTACCGCGGCTGCTGTTTCATCGCCAGCGCCATCGCTTGTGCCTGGGTTTGCACCTCCAAGCAACCCATATGCTCCTCCTCCGGCTACCAACTTCCCTCTAACCCCATATGCTTCGTCGCCTAAGATGGGTCCAGCATCGACACACGCTGCGTACGCTCCCTCAAACAGCATGCCGCTAGGCGGAGGGCCTGTACTCAACGGGCAAAATAGCCAACCTCCTGCTTCCCAAAAAACGCCAGTCGCGCCTCCTCCAAAGAACATGAGGAGGAAGACACATGCGACCCAAGATGTAAACTCAGCTAACGCTTTACTACAGTCGGTACAGGGTAAACCAGAAACATCAGTTCCTCAAGCCACCAGTCTTCAGACTGACGGATCTGCACTCGGCTCTGCTGTCGCCAACGGTACACAAACACCAGATCATGCACAGACTGGTGCTGCAGCTGTCGCGGTTCCTGCCGAGTCCCAGGAAATTCCTTTGGAACAACAACCAATTGTTGATTTCCTGACAAGTGAGCTGGCGCGCGTTACGCCCTTGATTCCACAGGAGTACACTAAACAGCTGAAAGACTGCAACAAAAGACTACACATTCTTTTCGGACATTTGAAGAGACAAGACCTACTCACACAGCCTACCATCGACAGACTACACCAGATAGTAGCCCTGATGCAGGAGCACCGCTACGCTGAGGCAATGCAAGTTCATGTGGATATTGCAACGAACTACGCTCAGGATGCTGGGAACTGGCTCACAGGTATGAAGAGACTAATAGGGATTGCTGAAGTCACCTCCTCGTGATAGATCTCAAATTCACCAAAGGCCACATATACTTGATGTAATTCATAATGCGAAGTGATCAAAACTCGGGCGGGCCGAAGTTGTATCTGCCTAGCTTCCTCTTCCAAACGACAAAACCATCGACTAGAGAAATGACTAGATGACGCGACAAATTGAAATTATATTACGTCAAGTGAATTCCAGAGCACATCGAATGACGCATAACTTGACAACTGGATAACGCACAACGCCGCCAAAAGTGGCCCCATAAGAATTAAAGCTAGTAGGAACACCCCAAGTCTTTTAATCTGTATACGCAGCTTTTTCATATTACCATCAAGAAATCAGAGCTGCTCAAAAGATGGAAAGTTTATGTGAAAGAGCCTTAAGAGAGCGTCGAAAGTACAATTCCAGACCACCATAGCGATTTGATTCTGTTATGATTGCAGTTTGACCATAACAAATAACAGCATACTGGATAGATCGAGTACATATATCATAATCTAGCCTCTTCAATAAAGTATCATGCCTAACGACTATTTTTAATTTATATCATACCAGATATATAGACCATTACTACATATCAATCACTGCCAACTTGTAGTTTAAGCTGGGACTTGTCATCAATAGTGCACTATTACTGAGCTCAGAGCTTTGAATCTATCGGGTGACTGGTTACTTGCGTCGCAAGCAAAGAAGTTTTCGTTTTGCATAAACCTCTTTTTTAGCGGCGTTGACTATTCATGAATGATCCAGTTCAGATCACATCGAGGCAAGATGAGGAAGCCTCTAAGATGGATAACGGTAGTTTTTTAAATCAAGCGGTGCGTGGAATCAATAACAGACTGGCTCTGCGATGGAGGCGAAGGATCGTGCGGAATACCCTTCCCACTGCGGAAACAGGAATTACTATGGGTGAAAACGGTGAAGCAGACGAAGGCGACAACAGAAGTCGCGAGGTTTACTACGAAAATGCCGAAACGCATTTGAACTTGACAAACTTGAATTCAAGGGCCTTTTTGCAACCGGCACGCCCACAATCTCAACTCATGTCTATCCTGGTGGGCGTGTTCGTGGCTGTGGGGGGATTTCTTTACGGCTACGATACAGGCCTAATTAACAATGTATCAGAGATGCAATACGTGAAGACCCATTTTGCGAGCAACGGAGAGCAATTTACAGCCAAGGAGATGTCAATTTTGGTATCCTTTTTATCTCTAGGTACCTTTTTCGGCGCGCTGGCCGCGCCATTCATCTCGGATTCGTATGGTAGGAAAACCACGATTATCATTAGCACATTTTTTGTGTTTATGGTGGGAAACTCGCTTCAAGTAGCGGCATCTAACATGACCCTCCTTGTTCTAGGAAGAGTTTTCTCGGGTATCGGAGTGGGGTTCATATCTGCAGTTGTTCCGCTGTATCAAAGTGAGGCAGCTCAGAAACAGGTGAGGGGCGCCATTATTTGTACGTACCAGTGGGCAATAACGTGGGGACTTTTGGTGTCCAGTGCCGTGTCACAAGCCACACACAACCGGGATAATGCGTCTTCCTATAGAATTCCCATCGGGCTCCAGTATCTATGGTCGTGCATCCTTGGGTTCGGTATGTTATTTCTCCCAGAAAGTCCTCGATACTACGTTCTTAAAGATAACCTTGACCTGGCAGCGAAATCTTTGTCCTTCCTGAGAGGCGTTCCCGAAGACGACTCAGGGTTACTTGAGGAGCTAGTTGAAATCAAGGCAAACTATGATTACGAAATGTCTTTTGGGAAGTTCTCCTATTTAGACTGCTTCAGATCAAGTAAAAGCAGAACTAAGCAAGGGCTCAGGATGCTTACTGGCATTTCGATTCAGGCGTTTCAACAATTTTCTGGCATCAATTTCATCTTTTACTATGGCGTCAATTTTTTCAGCAAAACGGGTATCGGGAGAAGCTATTTGATTTCATTCATCACTTACGCTGTTAATGTTGGCTTTAACATACCTGGGTTGTTCTTGGTGGAATACTTGGGAAGAAGGAAGGTCTTGTTATTTGGAGGGATATTAATGACAATGTCGAACTTTATCATAGCAATCGTTGGATGTGTTGAAAAATCTGTGGTTGTCGACAAAGTCTTAATAGCATTTGTTTGTCTGTTCATTGCATCTTTCTCTGCTACATGGGGTGGTTGCGTATGGGCAATATCGGCAGAACTCTATCCTTTAGGTGTACGATCTAAATGCACTGCCATCTGTGCAGCATCCAACTGGCTTATCAACTTTATATGTGCATTGATCACACCTTATCTGGTAGATACTGGGAGGCACACGTCATCACTTGGAACCAAAATATTTTTCATATGGGGCAGTTTGAACGCAGTTGGCGTTGTAATGGTGTACCTGATGGTATACGAGACGCGGGGTCTGACATTGGAAGAAATCGATCTTCTGTATCGACTTTCCCCCAACAGTGTTGCTTCGACGGCGTGGAACGATCAGATCAGACATTCTCCAGGCTCAATCCAAGAAATTAGAGTAGGTTCTCAACCCAAGGAAAAACCTGCTCATCCTTCGGGTTCAAACTTTAGCATTTCCAATTCCAGTTACGAGGACCCTACGTCATCAAAGCAAGCCGAAAGCCTTGCTCATAATTACGTTGACCTTGGAAATGGTCTGGGATTGAATACTTACAACCGGGGCCCTCCTTCGCTGCTCATGAACTCTTCTGAAGAGGAAGAAGAGCAAGAAGAGGAAGACGGCAGCGAAGCTGTGAATGATCTTGCAAATGCTTACAAGGCAAATAATTTCAATGGATACGGTAATGTACATCAACACGACCGAGATCAAGGGTCTCACAGTCGTGAACCCAGCACCGAGGGCGGGTCCTTCAACACGGAAAGTAGTGCTGGCTTCAACGAGTACGTTGTCCGTTGGATGAATAGTTACAGCGAACACAGCACAGATACTGGGGCAGAATAAGCATCATTGAGTTTAGATGACGATTTTAGTGAACCATAGAATTGAAGGCGTTGGCCTCTGGATAGCGGCCTGAAGCAGCGGGAGCTACAGATTACGATATTCTGTGCGACTCATCTGGCTGTCGACAGGGTCCTTTTTGAATCGAGTGTTGATCACCGAACCCAGTTGAAACTGCGGGAAACGAAATGGGAAAAGGGCGTGCACCAGGGTGTGCCGCAAGTTGCAGCAATTCACTTCTCTCTTAGAACCTAGAGGACTTCATTGAGAAAAGGGACACAACAGAAATAGGCGTAAATAGGAATCTTTGGTGTGTGACCACGTATCAAATGCAGATTCGCGTAAGCGGGCGCTATGGGAGGATGCGATTCGCTAACATGTTTTATGATATGTGGATTTTTACAAAAACCTGGCCTATCGGAGTTGACCGGAAACCAGCAATGACTATTTCATGTCTTTACCATCGAGTCATAGCAAGCGTCGTTCTGTCATGTCCATGACATCTCATCATGATTTTTGAGAAAAGGGTAGAATGTTGGCAAACGTTGTTTTGAGTGGAGAAAGACCCCAACGGAATCATTTTGTAGATGAAAGAACCCGTTGCAAAGCTTCGGCTTTTTACCAACCACTCAGGTACACGGATTGGGCCTCCGTCTTGGCATTTAAAGAGTCGCTCTAAATATACCACGTGATGTAATGACAGATGACAGATGACAAAATAGTACAAAGTGATCTTGTTCAAGTCAGAGCATTTTGAGCTGCATCATGGAACGCGATTCTCAACGGGATTGAAAATAGTGCTCGCGATTATCTTAAGAGCTTTTGAGTATTCCGCTTAGCAAGAAGTATTCGAATTTCAATTTTTGATTACGGGCAAAGAAAAAAGGAAATGAATTGAATTCACCATATCGCTGGTTGGACTACGAAACGCTTTCAAACTAAAAAATACACTAGCCATCAAATGCAATAGTGGTATAATTTTCCTCGCCCTCGCGAAATTCGCAGAACAGGAATTCAAACTTCAAAAATGTTCAAACTTCAAAAATGTTCAAACTACGTGAAAGGTGACCCAGGGTTTGGCCAAATCTGTATAAATTCCTATATAAAATGAGATGAACTTATAACTAGTTAGACAGATGTTTGATATAAAACTCCGTTGACAAGACCTCAAAAACACGTCAACTGAAGCGCTTTGATCGTCCACCAAGTGTAAACGCAGTGTTTTAGGCGATGTCCAAAATTCAGGATACCGTTCTGAAGCGACAGGACGACAATTGGCGCGAAAACGAGCAAGATCATAAACGAGTTCCAGCGATCACCAATGGCTTCAAAAACCCGGGAAAACCAAGCGTTGGCAACGTTAAGAAGGTGCTGGAGACAGCCGTATTAGTGCCACCTAATAGCGAGGAAGTGCGGAGAAAATTGGCCCAGCGCAACAAGACTGGCATGTGGGGCCAGAGTGGCGGGAGACTTGAGTACGCGATGTATAAGACGCTGCTAAGTGTGCTGCTGGTGATCTACGCGTGCGTTCGATACGCGCAATACGAGTACAACCGCGTGAAGATATTGGTGCTGAATCTGGCATACAGCCCCTCGAACACGCCGCAATTGATCCGACAGGACGTGCTGAAATTGCAGAAGCTGCCCAGGCGGTTAGCGGCGATTTTGGAGAAAAAACGCGAGGGAGACGTCGGAGGCGGTGTTAGCGGTGTGCTGAACGACGGCAGCGAACTGGTAGCATGGTCAGTGTCCGCAGGAATCAAGCATCTGATCCTGTACGATCACGACGGGCATTTGAAGCGCAATGTGGACGATTTCCGTAATAACGTTTCTCACAAACTAAGCAAATTCTACGACCCTTCAAACGTGCCCAGATTTGCAGTGCGCGTTCCCCAGTGGAATAAAGTGTACTTTAACACGCCAGGCGCGGAGGTTGGCGCGGCGAAAAAAGTGGCCATCGAGATCTCTTTGCTGTCCAATCGCGACGGCCGCGAAACCATCATTGATCTCACCAGAACCATGGCGGAACTTTGTGCCCAAAATGAGATGAAGCTGTCGGACATAACCATGAAACTGATCGATTCCGAGCTTACGCAGCTCGTGGGACATGAACCTGACCTGCTGCTGTATTTTGGACCCAGTCTCGACCTACAAGGTTTCCCACCCTGGCATATTCGTCTCACTGAGTTCTATTGGGAGCAGGACAACGATCAGGTCACGTATTCCGTGTTTATTCGGGGCCTGAAGAAATTCGCTTCCTGTAAGATGAACGTGGGAAAGTGAAAAGAAAACCGAACAAACCCTTTCAACTCGCTTGGCTCTCAATTCGCATAATTAAACCCATTGCTCGTTTTTGGTGTGTGTCTTACCATCACATCCGCCAACGCGAGCGTTCAGCTTCTTCATCTTCACATTTGCATACTTAATCATATCTCAACAGAGAACTCTATTTAGGAATAATCAATCATCCAATTGTTGGTACCGCAATTGGAACTTGAGCATTGAGTAAAGGCGATCTCAGCGAGGCATTTGCGGGAATGCAAATTAATTAGTGAGCAGGACTCAAGACTGGTAGAAGTGAATGCTGACAAGATAATCATGTACTCAAGGAATAGAGATTCAAGGACAAGGCTGCTGAACTAAAAAAAACCTGCGGCTGAAAACTTTATAGTCAGAAGATAGACGTGTTCGATGCGAGCACAAGTATCTCTTTCCAAAGGAGATGCGAAGGTCGATTTTTTTTTTTTTGATTTACTTTGTCTCACATCAAATCACTTCGCCCAAGCATATCGAAGTTTGCCTTGGATTGTTACACCCTCACTAAAGTTCATTCTTGTGCCAAAGTGCTCCTGTCAGCCTCCCAACATTACGAGGTTCCCTTTTTCAGTTGAGGTCGGAAGCTACAAGAAAAGGCAACCCACCATAAGAGCCTGGGAGTTCGAAGGCAATGATAAAATAATCTGTTCGATTGCGAAAGTATTCAAAATCGATTGGTTCTAATTTGAGCTAATGCCCGCTTCATTGTTGTTAATGTGCAGGTGATTTTTATTTAATTTAGTAGGTTTATGCATATCTGGGCATCTACGCTACGAATTTGTCTCAAATCTGTTAATATACCTACCTTTTCATAGCATTCTGAGCATGTGAGACTGCAGCTGTGGGATGTTCTAGCTTACCACCAAAGTATCGTGCTGCGGACACCTTTCGCTAATTACATTCCATATGTCTCATCTTTGAGAAAACATTTCGGGTTGAGATTGAGATATTCGAAAAATTGAAGAAACATGTAACACTCGTGCGTTTTACTCCAGGTTTATCTGCTCTCGATGCATGAATAAACTGTCCATTTATGTCTCTATTTGCCCGCTAGTCTAAATCCAGTCTATTATATTGTCACTTTGTACCGGCTTGTCATCTGTCATTCGATCACGTGACGGGATGACGACGAGTCAACCGAGACACTATTGCACCACGCCCATTAGCCAGGACTCCTCACCAGTGTGCACCCCATCTGCGACGCTGGAAGCACACAAAACCAGCTGTAGAAGTTTACGATTAGAAAAATTATGTATAAATATCCGTTTATCATGCTGGATTAAGGTTTCTCACAAAATTCCAAATGTTCCGACCCCACAAAGAACGCTGATAAAACCAATTTAAATAAACAACTTATGCGTAGGTCGTGGCGTTCCTATTGATGGCCTTCACAAAATTCAAAAATACTGCAACAAAATTCACTTCCGCGCCTTTACAAAGGAATCGCGAATTTCAAGCACAAATGCTTCCTCCGTTTAACTCAAATAATTCAAACCTCGATTCTTCACACCAGCGACAGAAACTGCCAAGTTGTAGAGCTCCAGAATCAGCTTCAAAACATTATCTTACAAATATGCAAAAATCTCAAAAAAAGTCGCACTCACAGAATCACCAGTAAAGCTTACCATGGCAGTTTCTGTCAAGCAGCTCTGACCCCATTTATTGCGACCCAAAACCACCAAATAACCCTGTTTTCACTGTTAGAACAATGTAGTATCACTGTCCACGAAATATCTAACTTTCCAGACTTCATTTAGGAGAGATCGCACATTTACGTGTTTAGCAGTTCGCGCACTACTTTTCTACAGCGACAAGTTTTAACGAAACTAGTACGTTTACGCACCAGACAAGTGTTTTAACTATTGCAAGTATGTTCTTCAACGAATAAGCGAGTGTCAAAACCAAAATTCGACCGAAGAGCGCGGTCAATGGCTGTGTTTTTTCGCGAAACTGAATGGTTGAACTTGTAAGGTTATTCATGCTCGATACTAACTGATTTGGACCAGAATCTTTGAAGCATAATGGGTATCTATATTTCGAAGCTTTTCAACAGTCTTGTTGGCTCCAAGGAGATGCGTATCCTGATGGTGGGTCTAGACGGTGCTGGTAAGACCACCGTGTTGTACAAATTGAAATTGGGCGAAGTGGTCACGACGATACCAACGATCGGATTCAACGTCGAAACTGTGGAATACAAGAACATTTCCTTTACCGTTTGGGACGTGGGTGGACAGGACAAGATTAGACCATTGTGGAGACACTACTTCAGAAACACGGAGGGTATTATTTTCGTGGTCGACTCCAACGACAGATCGCGTATCTCGGAGGCCAGAGAGGTTTTACAGAGAATGTTGAACGAAGACGAGATCAGAAACGCCGCCTTGCTGGTGTTCGCCAACAAACAGGATTTGCCAGAGGCCATGTCTGCTGCGGAAATCACCGAGAAGTTGGGTCTACATTCCATCAGACAGCGTCCATGGTTCATCCAGGCCACTTGTGCTACCTCCGGAGAGGGTCTTTACGAAGGTTTAGAATGGTTGAGCAACTGCTTGAAAAACCAGAACTGAACAGGGTGCGAAAATCCAGCGCCCAGTATTCCAATTTTTTTGAAAAGAGAGCTCTGAAAAAAAGCATAAAGTTGTCATACTAGAGTCCCCAATACGAACGCCAAATGCCAAACGCTTCTCAGCCGCGCCAGCTTGTGATATATAGGTATAGAGCTCGTAATGTTGGCGTTCAGCCTGTACTGACGTAAAAAGTGATCTTGATTTTTCACGACAGAGACATCAATTCTCAGCGTATGAAAGACTTAAACACACTTTTGCAAATGCGACTAAATCAGCGGGATCTTTTAATTATCCATGTCGAGACTCGTCGACACCAATTTAACGTTTACTATGGTTTAATCTGACATATCTTGAAATTTAGTTACCCTGTGCGTATATCGCAGGCCGATTTTGAAATATTCAAAAAAATTTGATTATGGAATATGGAAGTGCTGTCAGTTAGATCCGATACGTAACACCAAGCACCTAAAAACTAAACAAATAGTATGTTACAAGCGCGTTTGATAGGTAAATAGGGTCAATTAGTGACTAGGAAGGCTACGGAAAGTGTATAATGGTATTTTCCGCGTTCAAAACGGCCAAGTTTTGAGTGTTTTAGGCGAACTTTTGACGTCCTGGGGGGGGGGGGGGCAAGTCTTGCAAAACATGGTAGATCCCGAAAATAAAGCTGACTGTTCCGAGTGATTAGGATCTGAACGGCAGGTTTTGACGACGAGGGTTTGGACTCGAGACCGCAGCTCTGCAAGAATCGCCCCTGTCCCGTAAATTACGGGTTTTCCGGATACTCCATTTGCCACACCTGATTTCGACCTTTGTCGTTTTTGACACTATTTTTCATTCCATCTAGGGTTCACTGTGCTAACGATATTTCCAGCAATCATGGGTTCCTCGTTTTCGAAGCTGTTCAGCAGTCTTTTCGGCCACAAAGAAATGCGTATTTTGATGGTGGGTCTTGACGGTGCTGGTAAGACCACCGTGTTGTACAAATTGAAATTGGGTGAAGTGGTCACAACAATTCCTACCATTGGGTTCAACGTTGAGACCGTGGAATACAAGAACATTTCGTTCACCGTTTGGGATGTCGGTGGACAAGACAAAATCAGACCATTGTGGAGACACTACTTCAGAAACACGGAGGGTATTATTTTCGTGGTCGACTCCAACGACAGATCGCGTATCTCGGAGGCCAGAGAGGTTTTACAGAGAATGTTGAACGAAGACGAGATCAGAAACGCCGTTCTTTTGGTTTTCGCCAACAAACAAGATTTGCCAGAGGCCATGTCCGCTGCGGAAATCACCGAAAAGCTAGGTCTACATTCCATCAGACAGCGTCCATGGTTCATCCAGGCCACTTGTGCCACCTCCGGAGAAGGTCTTTACGAGGGTCTAGAATGGTTGAGCAACAACTTGAAAAACCAATCTTAAGTTGTCGGAGACTGAGTTAGGGTGCGAACCACTCCGGGTCAAACTACACGAAAAGCGGGAACTCACTCAAGGTACTGGTGACAGGTGATTTCGCGCGCTCCAATTTTTGCAATGTACGTACTTATCAATCGAAATCGAATGAAACAGCGAACTCTTTTTGCCGAGTTGCGAAAAGCTCTTACACGAATTTAGGACGAATAATAAGTACTTTAAATTGAACTCGCTGAATTTATGTAGTGGCTTTTGGGATAGGCCGGGGTCAAAGGTTGCCTTTGCAAGCATTTTTTTCACTGTTCAGCTGGACGGTTTGTGCTCGGGTACTAAGAGAGAATGGAGGGAAGTGTGTTGAGGAGAACGAACCAACTGATCAACAATTAGGAATGCACACTGCTGGGGTGCTAAAATCGATGTTTGATTCCAGTAGTCACGTGACCAAAGACCATTTTCGTCATTTTCTTTGAGTCAGCTACCCATTTTCTCTATTTGTTTATCCATCCGCTCGGGTGGATGTCGCCTCGCGACACGAATAAGATGGGAACTCCGAGTACAATTTAACGAAACGAGAGCGTTGGGAATTGTCATTGTAAGTCGAGAGGAGGCGGCTGCATCGAAGCGACACGGCGTTTCGTCTCTGTGTGAAAGACATTTACCTATATAAAATGGCAATTGCAATGGATGCAAGCCTTTGCCAGTGATGAAAACGTTTCCACGGCGATTAATGTGAACTTCAAGGTGGTGTGGTATTGAGACGAATATTTGCCATAATTCCAACCGATCAAATCATTGCAGTAGAAAAAAAGCACCATTTTTGTGACTCTTTTAGCGAGCCAGTGTTGAATGCCATCTCTTGCTCGTCACATCATCTTGACTATCTTTTTTGAATTTCACCCGTACACCATCCTAAAACAACATCCTTACACCCTTGTAACTTTTTTCAATTTTTTTGGGAAATGGAAAAATTCGTAAAAATTCGAAAAACGACTCAAAAAAACCCAAACAATTTTTTTGAAAAACGATGGATATCGAATCACTATATACGCCGAGAGCTGAGAGGCCTTCCAATGTCACTAGGTACGTAAAACGTGTAATTTTTCACTCTACTGAAAAACTTGAAGCTCTGCTGAACTCTGAGTCCTTTCATTCACCCAAAAATCCTAGCAAGATCAACGACAAAAATGGTATGTTACATGGTGTGCTTCATTTGCGGAAGATGGTACTGCGTGGGGGAATCGTAGTTGAGAAGTGGTGGTCGCCGAAAGCGCGATTTCAACGCCGTTCGAACCAGGAAAAACGGTCCATTTTTGGACGAGTTGGGAAAACTTGAAAGATTGAACAACACCGTTTACCATGGGCGGTTGTTCACGTTCACGTCGACGTGGCACTGGCCACGTCTGGCATGCGGTCAGGAACAAGCCGTCGTCGTAGTCCAACGACCCGAGACGTCAAACCAACGCATCGCATTTCGCATTTCGCATTTCGCATTCTTTGTTACTAACATTCTCTCTCCCAGGCCGGTGTTAAAGCTTACGAACTTAGAACCAAGTCCAAGGAGCAATTGGAGTCCCAATTGGTCGACTTGAAGAAGGAGTTGGCCACTTTGAAGGTCCAAAAATTGTCTAGACCTTCCTTGCCAAAGATCCACACTGTCAGAAAGGACATCGCTCGTGTCTTGACCATCATCAACGAAAACCAGAGACAAGCCGTCAAAGAGTTGTACAAGGGCGCCAAGTACCAGCCAAAGGACATGAGAGCCAAGAAGACCAGAGCTTTGAGAAGAGCTTTGACCAAGTTCGAGGCTTCCAGAGTCACCCCAAAGCAAAGAAAGAAGCAAATCGCTTTCCCTCAAAGAAAGTTTGCCATCAAGGCTTAAGAAGTGCGGAATTCCAAACGAAAGGATCCTTTAATTCCCATCTTCTATCTCGGTCTCCATCTATTTTGTCGGGTTTTTATTTGCATATATAAAGACTTCAACAAGGAACTAGTGTTAAATTAATTTAGTGTCAACTTCGATTCTTTACTTCGACCAGTTACGTATGCCATTTCGTATATTAGGTACTACGCTATATCTACGGAACGCAACAGAGAACTTGCGTTGAAACGAAATCGGTCCTGTGAACATCACACTCTAATGCGCTCGCTGTCTTTGTTTTTAAAAAATACGTCGTACCGACTGCTATGCGCATGCTTCAGTAAATTTTCCTCCCAGGGACTCTATCCCGCTCTACCCTTGCGTCTAAACGCTTCGATCTCTTGACGCAAGCTCTCATTTGGGATAACGTCCTCTAGTTTTAGCGGCATTCTGTTAAAGGGATCCGTTGAATCACTTAACAGATGTGCCTTGATCGTACTGCGGTCAATCGTCACCTTCGAGGCTGGTAATGTGACTGGGTCCTTCATTAATGTAAACATCAATGGATCCAGATACTCATCAGGCACCTCGCCCATCTCTAAGTCTTCTTCTTCTTCTGCAATTTTTTGGTCCTGAGCGTCGCGCGCAAATTGCAGTAATTTGGTGCAGAACTCATCGTTGGCAAGTCCTGTTTTGGTCCCTAGGATATGTACAGCACGATCAAACATCTCTCTGCCAAATGACCTACCATCTCTAGCAACAGCACATATGAACTCTGGTTGGTCCGATAAGTTTGTGAACACGGTGCAAACCGATTTCAGTAGAGATTTGGCATCAAAACTGTATTTCCTAGGATCTTTCACTCTCAATTCTCGGCACTTGGGCCCCACCAAAGATGCCAAATTATAGTCCAGCATTCCTGCCAATCTGTCGACAATCTCTGGCGTACAGAAAGCACCAGGAATATCTTTTGAAAAGATGTTAAACAAGGTTATCGATTTCTCTGCCAGTCCACAGCTTGACTTTGCCTGTCTTTCTGATGAAGCGAGCTTTGATTGCAGTTCTTGATCATTTTCTTCCATTTTTGGAGCCGCGCCCCGCATTCTGTTGTCTAGCTCTATCTGGATATTGTGAACCTCGGCCAAGCTGCTCAACCCTTCATCCAACAAAAAGGTCAGGTCATTGAGCATCCGTGCAACGAAGCGAACAAAAAAGTCCGCATTGTTCTGAGACTGCCAAACAATCTTTTGACGATAGTTTGGTATCTTGTAAAGCTCTTCCAAAAGAACAGAAATGCTGTATCTACTATTGAACTTGTCATAGAACTGAGAAGAAGAACCAGTTTTCTCCACTATGACATAGAAATCCAGCAAAGCGTACAGCAAGTGATCACTTACCAAGTCATTGTTTTCGAAGATATCCATCATGAAACCCTGTGCACCTTCTCGCACAGGCATTGCGCCCAAACTTAAAACATGCACCAGTTTGCCTTTCAGATGAGGATTCGAAACAATTTCAGGACACCTCAAAACAACGGTCGCTAACTCAACAAAGGAATGCAGCCGCGGATTTCCAAAAAGCGGGGACATCACGAATTTTGAGATATGCTGTGTGTAATTTATAATTCCTTCGATCACAAACTCTGGGTAGTACTTGAATGGAATGGGGGCGTTCTGCCGCAGGTAATCTGCATGGTCAACATTTTCGACACCGACCTGATCAGGAATTAGCGGTAGGCTGATGTTTGTGAAGGGATAATTATGATTTGGGTCAATTACTCTTACTAGAAAAGTAGAAGCACCACTGATGAAATCGAAAATTTCGAGTTGTAGGCTTTTGTTCGAGAAGAATCCTTGCAAGGCATGTTTGATCGATTGCATAGTTTGCAGGGATTTTTCCAAAGCGGGCAATTGCATAGATGCAAAGCGGGCAAACATGTCTTGAGACTCCGCAGCCCTTTTAATCCTTGCTAGTTCTTCTCTCATCCGCCTCACCTGAGGTGTGACTTTTTCCTCGTAGAGGATAGCACCTCCTATACCGTAATGCAAATATGATAGAGTAAGAAAGAAACAGTCTGAAATGAAGTTAGGCTTGTTTTCCTCGCTTTTCTTATTCTTGTCATAAAACTCATCTGCCTCTTTGAAGTCTGAGTTCATGCGTGTCTCGCTTGAGAGATCAAGAATAAGGTTGAGATTGTTGAAGTAGTTGACGTCAATCTTATCGACTTTCTTGAAAGAGACGTCCAAAAACGGCTGTGAGAACCGCACTAGCAAAAGCGCGATGTTTGTGACGAAGGCATTGGAAGCCAGCTTGTTAGCATTTGCATGATCGCCTCTCCTCAAGTGGTTTTTATTGATAATTTGTGCGAAATACGTCAGCAAGTCTGTACGGGAGTCACTGGAGCCTCTTACGATTTTGTCTATGATGTAGAAGAGACGGTCTAGGATCATCTTATGCTCGGTTTGCAGTGACTCGTGAATGAAATTGGTTTGCTGTTGGGATCGCTCCAGGTTGTCGCCGTAATTGTGTAGAGCCACGCTAGCGTTAAGGGGTGAGAGGGTTAGAATGGGTCCCAAGATTGTAACTTTTTCAAACTGGTTCGGTTTCACGTTATAGTCAGCAAAGAAGCCGCTCACCTTAGTAACGATGGCTGCAACAGGCTTGAACGAGACAAAGAGCTCGAAAAGGGTCAACACTGCCGATACCACCTGCGAATCGTTGAGGTTGAACAGCTTGAGGGAGTCGATGTAGGCCTTCAAAGAAACCAAAAAGCACTCAGTAAACTCCAGCAGCGTCTCCTCTTGCATGGCACGCTGGATCAACTGGGATAGAAAATCGGTGTATTGGTCCACCTGGCCGATGATCTGGGACATATACCTCAAAAAGTTGTCTTCGCCGGGGGAAAACTCTTCGATTTGGAACAAGACCAGCCCGTACCCGAGAACCAACCTGTCAATCTCGAACAGGGCCCCGCTGGGCTCTTGCTGTGATTTTTTGGCGATTCGTTTCTGCTGCTGCACACGGTAGAAACAGTCTTTCAAATACGCGAACTGCCGTGCTTCGAGCTCCAGATTCTCCGTTAGCTGGTACAGCAGAATCGAGTCGACTTGTTCCACGTCCAAGGGTGTGACAAATTCGTCTGGTAAAACGTGAAAGCCGTTCGAATTCGCTGGATCTTTCGAGACCTGCAAGATTTCTTCCAAAACAGACATTTTTCAACAAAACTAACACTCAAATATTCCTTAAACGCACTGGAATCAGCGATTCAAGCACAGTTGGTTTTTCTGTTCGTCTCTGATTCGCCTTATCGAAACGTTTCCAAAAAGCTCAAAAATGGTCCAAATAATCCCGGAAAAGCAGCGGAAAACTCGCAATTGAACCACTCACACACAAACTATAATTGTGAATCAGTTCAGAGTTATAAAACTAGTCGGAACTCGCTGGTTTTATACCTTTATCCCTCTTTCGAATGTGTTTGTAAGAAGTTCAACAAATCTAATAATGTTATATTACCTATATATGAGCCAACCTTATATATATATATACCAAAGAAAGGGATCTTCACTAGCGCTTCAATCAGGCTCGAAAGACGCTACAATTCAGATTTGAATTGCAGTCGGCAGCGATTGTAATCATGGGAGATGTGCAGCTAACGAAGGCTATGTCAATTGCCCTCTTTGAGAGGTCTTACGACAGACAATTTGTAGTGGATTTGGAAAACTCGATAGTCTCATTCATGGACTCCGGACTCAGTTCGTACCAGCTAGTACCAATGAACTCATACTACAGGCTCCTGGCTCACCAGATAGCGGAATACCACGGTCTCAGACATGCGCTGGCCAAAAATAACGACGCATGTGTGGTCGTTTTCAAGGGAGAGTCGTTTGTGCGGGCCACAGACCGACCTCTGCTGCAAAAACTTGATCCGCGACAGGTTTCACGAAGCTATAAGACGCGTGAGTCGGATTTTTCGAGCAATATGGGACCGGGGCGCTCTAGAACTCACTCTAATCCAAACATTGTCGCTCCAGGCCAAAATGAGGAAGTTTATGAAGTAGGCGAAGAAGCGAGCTCTGGCCTTCCAACGACGCCCCGAAAGTCGCAACTCGCTGCAATGGATGACGACTCGCCTCAGCCGCATCAGTTTCAAACTTCCAGATACAGGTTTGAGCAGTATGCGGAAAAACCTCGCCAGAAAAAACGGTTCCACAAACGGTCAGTCTCGCAAATGTCCCTTCCGGCGTATTACCAGCCACCGGCGCTAGCGCCCCCTTTCAATTTGCCTGTTCCATATATGATGTACAGCCCTTACCCCATGATGTACATCCCGCCAGAGCACCAGTTTCCGGCTTTTCCCCAAGGCCCTCATCCTTTCCACATGAGTCAGTACGCAAATCACTATCCTCCTGCAGGATCGCAGATAACTGAGTCGTCTGGAAGTGGTAGCAGCGTTTTCTCTGGCAGGAAATCCGAATCCACAACGGAAAATAATATGTTGCCCGAGTAAGCCCACCGTAACATAATATGGTCCACTTAGGGTACCAGAACGATTAAGAAGTCAGCAAGAGGTGCGTCACGCAGGAACCAGTCGGCTGGCTGGAAAGCATTAGGATAAAAAGAGCAATTCGCTTGAAATAAGTAATTTGAAAGGAATCTTTATAATCCGTGCTCAAAAGAAGAGAGTCTTCTATCATTGTGATAAGCCGAGAGTGAGGCTACTTGCTACAAACACGGCTACTGTTCATTGCCTTATTTTCCGAGGCACGATATCATAAAATCCATAGTGTTCGCGTGTATACGGGTGTACGTGCTGATGTTATCTCTTCCCTTGGCTCTTACCTCCTACCTTCTACCTCCTCGTTATGCAAGACGCGCACGTTTTTGCCGCGGCGCCAAAAAAAACCTCCCACGAACACGTCTATTTTTTGACGATCTCGACACCCCAGTGCAGAGTCAAATGGTTGGTCTTGTCGTCGTCGATGAACTTGGACACTGCACTGTAGTTGCCTCTGACGAGAAACCCACTGGGGGCCTCGCTTTCGGGCAGTTCCACTTCGTAGAATGGCTTCGTGACGGTGTTTGGAGCGTACGAGCCCAAATGGTCGTCGATGCTATCCACGGCAATGCCTGCTTTCCGGATGTTTTGCACGTACCTCAGCCCGGTGATGATTTCGTGCTGAACCTTGAAGGTGATTCTAAGCTTGTAGACGGATTTTTCCTTGATTTTGTGCCGCACAGACTTGAGTTGCTTGATGGTTTCCTCGTTGGTCAGGTCGAACGCGATGGGCTCTTTTTCCGAATCCACCAACAGTTCGATCTTCAGAATCACCACTTTCCGCTTGTCTCCTGCAAACTCCAGTGGCAGAGTGTCTGCACTCAGACCCAGACTTGCCTTCCACTTTGCTAACGATTCGTCCTCTGCATCCAGTTTTTGGTATTCTGCCAATGTTTTCTTGGCTGAAACCTTGTAAGCGTCCTCGTTTTCCTCTTGAAACTCCTGGAAATCCTTGTCGTCACTCATTGCGCACTAAACACACTTCAATTGACCTCTTTATCGACCGCTACCGATGCCTTGTGCGAGATCTTTGATCCTTTGAGTCGTGATGAGCTTACTGGCCAGAAAGTCAACTGTTGGAATTATAATATATTTCGTGATGTCACGGTTCACGAAATATCGGACTTATCCGACCTAATTGAAAGTAATGAGATAGATAAATAGATAGACAACTAGCCACACTTGACATCAGTCAAAGATATAAGAAGACGGAGGCCTAAGGCCTTGATTCAGTTTCTTGAAGAGCATATAAATACTTTGCATAGTTTGTTGACTTTTTCAGCTGTGTTTATTTGTAGCTGTTGTACCCATTTATACCTGTTAGCAGCGCCAGTTATAATATTCGAAAGAACCTGGCATGAGTTTGTTAAATTTCGAAGCGTTCAGAAATGGCAACTTTGAGACGCAGTCGCAGCAATTAGAATATCTGTTTGAACGGAGCAAATCACTAGAAATATTCACCATCGGAGACCCACTGTTCGTGAAGGATCTGGGGTCGAGCTATGACGAGTTTGTCGAAAAAGTGAGAGCCAGACTAATAAAATTATGTAGAACGACGGGTTGTGACGCTGAAAAGCATTTGAGCGATGTCATTGCCGCGCACCCGAGGTTGGGACAGACCAAAAAAGTGCTCTCAGCCCATTCTGCGCTCGAACAGCGAAACCTGGGCAGCTCTGACTCTAAGGAAACCCAAGAGATTCTGCAACGTCTGAACGAACAATACGAAGCTGTTTACCTTGGTCTTCGTTTCGTCGTTTTCGTCAATGGAAGGTCCAGACCAGAGATAATTCGGGTGATGCAAAGTAGGATAAACTCCGGGAACTCTTGGCTCCAAGAAGCGCAGCTCGCATGCAACGAAATGTGCGACATCGCCCTGGACAGAATTAAAAAAGACACACTGACATCGCAATCGCACAACAAATTGTAAGACGTCAGCATGCAGACGCTTTTTATCATAAGCAAATACAGATACAGAGCAAGGTGGAAAGAGTACAAGACAGTTTACTTTATATTCTGTTCCGGAACCAAAGGTGCGGGGACAACAGGCGACAGAGCTAGCTTTTCGACCGACCAGGGACGTTTGTTGGCTTCATCAACAGCATCTGCCATCGTATTTGTACGCTCAATCGGCTATTCATCTGCATTTTTTTATTTTTTATTTTGGTTTTCAGAAGTAGAGAGGTGGGAGCCTTTTCTTGAGATTAACGACGCTGTTTGTAATTTGTTGACGTCGCGACAACACTTTACTCCCACCCTCACCATCCCACCCTGGTACCATTAATATGATATGTGCCACCGTGTATAAGTGTGCGAGTTTGTGCATTTGTGCATTGTGCATTTGTGCGTTTGTGTGTGTGTGTGTGTGTGTGTGTGTGTGTGTGTTTGCGTTTCATTATTCCCTAAATCTACAGTTGCGCCCATCCCATCTCATAAGAAGTAGTCTGGCGTCTTCCTACTTACCGTAGGCTCTCCAGGCCTCATGGACGGATCATACTGTAAGAATTGGCGATTGTGGTTCTCATCAAACTCCATGATCGCAGCTTGGTTACCGCATCTGTAGCAGTAGTTGGGCGCGCTAAAGATGGTAACAACGCTTTGCTGATGCGACCATGCGTACCCCTCCATGACCAGTTGGTGAGCTCTTGCAATAAGCGACAGATCGTTGGTGTGGTTGAACTGTTCGCTGATGTCTTGGCCAAAAGTGAAACCGGCTCCTCTTGGACTGATGCCCCATCCGCCTCTGTCGTCTGGATCTGACCAAAGTAGATCGCACATGGGTCCTTCGTGTGGGACTTCCTGTATTCTGTTGAGCTCGCGGACCTGGTCCACGGTCTCGATCATCGGCGAAAGCCCGCCGTGCAAACAAAACACCTTATTGTCGACCAATGCAGTTATCGGGAAGTAATCGAACAAATCTGTGAACATCTTCCACACGTTTGCGCTACCATATTTGCGCAGACACTCGTCGTAAAACCCATACACCTGTGTGATTTGCCGCGACTCGTGGTTGCCTCTCAGAATCGTGATTCTTTTGGGATATCTCACTTTCATGGCCACCAAATATGACACGGTTTCGACCGAGTAGTAGCCTCTATCAACGTAGTCGCCCATGAACAGATAGTTGGTATCTGGACAGGGCCCTCCGATCTTGAACAGCTCCATCAAGTCGTGGAACTGGCCGTGCACGTCACCGCATATTGTTACGGGCACGTTGACCGGCTGCACGTTTTCTTCGAACTGCAGAACGTCGACGGCCATTTTGCACAGCCGTCCCACGTCTTCTTCCGACAGCACTTGACACTGGCTGAGATGTTCGATCCACTGATCCAGTTGTCCGATGTTGCCCGAGTCCAGTTGCAGCGGTTTCGACGACCTGTGATCTGCTATGCCCGACGCATTGGACCCTTCGGGAGTCTTGCTCGCCCCGGGGGCTACCGTGGACGCGTCCTCGTCCAATGTGGGATCCAGAGGCTCCTCTGTTGCGTCCTGCATGGCCACGTCGTTGTCTATCTCCATTTTTCCTGAAAAGCTAGGAGAGCTGCCAAAAAGTCAAAAATGAAAAGTCCCAGACTGAACACCACCGCTTAAAAAATGATTCCAAAGCCACTTCCACTGTCAGTGTCTTGTGAACGTGTCTATTGAAGCTTTCCTTGTCGAAACCTACCAAAATTCCAAACCCTTCTAAAAGCACGCTAAAATTCGCCAGCCAAGATCTTTCACTCCGCCAGATTCTGTCACTAGGTCAATTCACGCGTACTGGATCGCTGAATCAAAAGCTTGGTACGTTAAAGATCGATATAACACGTCTTTTGCGGCAAAGGGGTTGGATATCTTTAAAGCTGTTTTAGACGTGGGAAACTCCTAACTTGTCAATTTCTGAAATTTTTCTCCCTTGTGTGTTACCCTACTTTGGTCTTTTTGAAGAAAAGCTAGGAAGTTGGTCACGTGTAAGAGAAAGATTGGTCGCTGATTTTTTCCCTGCTCGGTTTTTCGGTTAAAAACAGACGTAAGATGGGGCCATTTTTTAGTTTAAAGGACGGCAATGGTTATTTGAGATTGAAGTTTGGGTTATGGGAAACCGTTCAGGCAAACCCGAAAGGGTTTTATCATAATCTCTGTTTTTAGTCTATTTATTTAAAAATTGTGAAATGTTATAATTATAATTATATATATAATTTTTGGACTGGGTTTATTTATTCAAGAACGGGCGCTGTCTACTGCTGGAAAATATGGTGGAGCAGTAGTAAGAAATATTGTAGTACCACGTTCACCGGGGTTTGGACTCAGGACGACGATCTATAGTCTATCTAGATCGGATTCGTTAATAATGACCGATTTCAACGCTCATACGATACGCCGTCAGGATAGACGTGGAGCCACCTTGTAGGCGGTAGGTAGCGTGAGAACGTAAATGGACGAGAAGAACCATCCATTTTTATGTGCACGGCGGTTATTCTCGAGCCTTGCGACAAGCCTGCTTTTTTTTTATGAATCTTGGGACTTTCTTCCTAATGCCACAATAGTACAAAGTGATCAAATTTAATTTTTATATGACACTATAATGTCAAAATATAAAGAACTGTATATGTAAATGTATAGATGTATTCAGGAGATGTCTCAGTTCTCCAGGATTCGGGAAGCGCTGACGTCTTTGCGATTTCTGCGGTTTTGTTTCTTGGTTCTTGATATGATGTTGTAGAGCGGTGCCAGATTGTAATTTTTGCGTCGTCTCACACTGTCTTTGTCTTATTTTGGAGAGCTCGAAGTCTGCAGTCGCGGGCTTTGCATTACACATCAAGTGTTTGGCACCAGCTTTCTTCAGCCAGTTGCGTGGCTTGATTGTGAGACCTTACGAACGGCTCTCACCATGTGTGTCCGTCAGTCGCGGTTTTCGTCAAGTCACGAAACCACGTCTGACGCTGACACTTTCACCAATGAGACTTGTAACAAACAGCACAGTATACAGAAAAAATGCAGGCTCGTGTTTAGACCACTTCTTTCCACTCACACCTTCTAATTCACCTAAACTCAAACGCAAAATGGAAAGTTTTGGTATTCTCGACAGACCCCTCACACACGGCTTCCCAAGTCTTGATCCAGATTCCCCGGATTATGCCTTGCGTGCACACACCCTTCCAAGCAATATCACCGGAGTTCGGCAATTGGTGATCAACAAACAAAATGGACGTGTCGTGGCGGCAAAAAGTCAACTGGTGGGTCGTATGGAAGACGCCCTGATACGTTGGCGCCCTCCCGTGTCGTGCCATGCAGGATCCACAGCGGCCCTCAAGGGCAAACACCCGTACCAGCTGGAAGTGGACACAACGGCTTTGCGTAACTCACAAGCGCATACGTCACTGGACTCCATACGACAGTGTTTCGAAGCTCTAAGCAATGCAGTATCGAGACCGCGAACCGAAAAAAGCGACATGCACAACCATCCCGAGGCCACCAGTCTCTTTCATTCCGTCAATTTGGGTGACTCCGCTAATTCGTCCCAGTCTTCGTCCGCTAGCGGAATGCTACAAGAGATTCGACAGAGTTTACAAAGCGCTGAAACACGAGGACTGACTCCGCGTGCTATTGTGTGCGAGCAAGAACTAGAGACGCATTCTATCGAGCCAATTTCCTACAGTTTCCCGATCCCAGCGTATTATCTCCCGCAGCAGGTGCCACGGCCAGTGGAGGAGTCCACCAGAGATAACGTAAACGAGAATGAAGGCGAGGGTGAGGGCCCAGTCCAAACGTACTGGGGCAATTTTTGGAACCAGTTTTGTCGCGAGTGCAAGCTTTTATGTGCATGTGTATAAGTCGAAAATGACAATTGTAACGCTACAGTAGGAGTGTAAGATACGGTCATTATTTCTGTAATTTTCCAGGAACGTTTTACGAGTGAATTTGGTTGTAGTCGAATTTCAATACCTCGAGAATTGAGCAAATCGTGTACCAGTGATTAAATGACATTCGTTCATGAATTGACTTTCCAATTCCGACCACGACGCAACAACGTCTTTCGATATCATCTGATACAGTACAAGGATGTGCCTCGAGGAAATATCAGCAACCTCAAAATGTCATTCGGTCACTGAATAAACGCTCTCAGGACTCTCAGAAACCCATCGACAACCTCTTGACACCTTTCGATGTCGCTTATAGTGGTTCTCTTAGGCATCGACGACACTGTAGTACAAAGTGATATGTTATAAAAATGCACAGTCTTTTAAAGCCCAGTTCGCGCCAGACATTTGAAGCCGGTTTAATCAACTACAAACTATCCAGACCAACTCTTTTCAAGTGCTTTCCTGTGATGTGTTCTTCAAAGGTGTCAGCCGGACGGAGTCTGGAGCGTCACACAACGTCAATCTAGTTACCCGCACAGGCAAATAATTGATAAAATAGTGGTTCAACCCATAAACTATGCGGTAGTTCAGAGTTAGTAGAGAGCTCAGCAACTGCCGCTACTCCCGTTCCCAAATATCTGGCCCATCCCTACCACTTTCTTGAATTAAAACATCGATACTAGCGTTGACCTCGCGTGATGCGACGTAGGTCTGTGTCACTCTCTACGAAATCTAATTTTCGGCAAACCACGAATCGGTGCATTTTACTCATTGTGAGTCCATAGAACCATCCCAATTGCAGGCCCTCGATAGATGCTCTTGTACCAAACTAAGCCCATACCCCAGCGCCGTGTTCGCATCTTCGCATCTCGAATCTCGAATCTGGAGTTTTATAAATGTCTTTTCCGTCCACAATGACATCGCCATCGTATATAACTCACCGTCCCAGGGGCCAATATATTTCGAACTTAACTCTCGGCCCTATTTGAAAAGACCTAACTCTCGTCAAGAGATAACAAACACTCAAGAGGCAAAGGATCGGGACATACCAGGCTTCACTTAATATTACACCAGTAGATTGATACCTATCTGGAGACTATCTTGTGAAAGTAAGAATCCGCTTTGTGTGCAAAAAAAAAAAACTAGGCAAAAAAGACTGTATTTAAGAGCTCTTTTCTGTAAAAGTTCGAACAGTTTTTAGTATTCTATTTTAGAAAAAGGGTTTGGAGATCTCGCGTGTGTGACTCTATTGGCTGCTGAAAGATGGCAGGTGCTATGGAAAATGCTCGCAAGGAGATTAAGCGCATCTCGTTAGAAGACCACGCCGAATCGGAGTATGGGTCCATTTACTCGGTCTCAGGTCCGGTGGTGGTGGCCGAAAACATGATTGGCTGTGCCATGTACGAGTTAGTCAAGGTCGGCCACGACAACCTGGTGGGCGAAGTCATCCGTATCGAGGCCGACAAGGCCACAATTCAGGTGTACGAGGAAACAGCCGGTGTCACGGTCGGTGACCCCGTTCTCCGTACTGGTAAGCCTTTGTCCGTGGAATTGGGTCCAGGTCTGATGGAAACCATCTACGACGGTATTCAGAGACCCTTGAAGGCCATCAAGGACAAAGCCCAGTCGATTTACATTCCAAGAGGAATTAACGCCCCAGCTCTGTCACGTGAGGTCAAATGGCAATTCAAGCCTGCAAAGGACAAGACCGTTGGTGACCACATCGCAGGCGGTGACATCTTTGGTTCGATCTTTGAAAACTCTCTGTTGGAGGACCACAAAATCTTGCTGCCTCCCAGAGCCAGAGGTACCATCACTTGGATCGCTCCAGCGGGCGACTACACTGTGGACGAAAAAGTGTTGGAAGTTGAATACGACGGCGTGAAGTATGACTACTCCATGTACCACACTTGGCCCGTGCGTGTGCCTCGTCCTGTGACGGAAAAGCTGTCTGCGGACTATCCTCTTTTGACCGGTCAAAGAGTCCTGGATTCGCTTTTCCCCTGTGTTCAAGGTGGTACTACCTGTATTCCCGGTGCTTTTGGTTGCGGTAAAACCGTTATTTCTCAATCGCTATCCAAGTACTCCAACTCGGACGCCATTATCTATGTGGGTTGCGGAGAGCGTGGTAACGAAATGGCTGAAGTCCTGATGGAATTCCCTGAGCTGTTCACCGAAAAGAACGGTAAGAAGGAGCCTATCATGAAGCGTACCACTTTGGTGGCCAACACCTCCAATATGCCTGTCGCAGCTAGAGAAGCTTCCATTTACACTGGTATTACTCTTGCAGAATACTTCAGAGACCAAGGTAAAGACATTGCTATGATTGCTGACTCTTCTTCTAGATGGGCTGAAGCTTTGAGAGAAATTTCTGGTCGTTTGGGTGAAATGCCTGCTGATCAAGGTTTCCCTGCTTATTTGGGTGCTAAACTGGCCTCCTTCTACGAGAGAGCCGGTAAGGCCGTGGCGCTGGGCTCGCCAAACCGTGTAGGATCCGTTTCTATTGTTGCAGCCGTCTCCCCTGCTGGTGGTGACTTTTCTGATCCAGTTACCACCTCTACTTTGGGTATCACTCAGGTTTTCTGGGGTTTGGATAAGAAGCTGGCTCAAAGAAAGCATTTCCCATCTATCAATACATCTGTTTCCTACTCCAAGTACACCAACGTGTTGAACAAGTATTACGACGGCAACTACCCTGAATTCCCTCAATTGAGAGACCGTATTCGTGAGATCTTATCGAACGCTGAAGAACTTGAACAAGTGGTGCAGTTGGTTGGTAAGTCGGCCTTGTCGGATAGCGACAAGATCACTTTGGATGTTGCCACTTTGATCAAGGAAGATTTCTTGCAACAAAACGGTTACTCGTCCTACGATGCCTTCTGCCCAATCTGGAAGACATTCGACATGATGAAGGCCTTCATCTCTTACCATGACGAAGCGCAAAAGAGCATTTCCAATGGCGGCCACTGGGCGAAATTGGCCGAAGCCACCAGTGACGTTAAGCACGCTGTTTCGTCCTCCAAGTTTTTCGAGCCAAGCAGAGGCGAGGAGGAAGTGCACGGTGAATTTGAGAAGCTTTTCAGCAAGATTCAAGAGAGGTTTGCTGAGTCGTCCGATTGATTCAACCACGAAGACACTTAACGAGTTTCTGAAGAACGAAACGATAACGTACCCCCAAGATAGAAAAAGAAAATACTCATATAATGTTTAGCAAGAGAACAGTCGTTTTGGTACTCAACTGGGAGCTTACTGGTGCCGTTCAGTGGTCTATCCACGCATTTTTTCAATTCCTACCTACAATCAATTTCTGACAATTTCTGACAATTTCACCACTTTGGACACTCAATTGTGCACATCAAGAACAAAACCGCTGTCTGGCGATCAAACCCTCACCTGTTTTTTAGCTGAAGTCATGCATTGACTATATAGTGAAAGCACCTAGATACATAGAAGAATCGGGGATCGCCCCTACACGGCCAATGAGTAGAGATCGCCAAGATGAGATAATAGAATACTTCCGAATCAAAACCAAAGGGCAGATAATGCGAAAAAAAGCCCTCAGGTAACCTGGAAGCCCGCCTTCACCTTATTTGGCCTGCCAATGGTGTTTGACTCATACGCAACTATCGATCCGATTATTTGGATCTAGCTCTCACCTTCCGTCTCTTTCTCTTAAGTCTTCTAACTCTCTTCTTTCTCCACTTAGCACGCATTTCGAGTTAGTGAAATTTGTGTTGTAGTGTTCTGGGGAAGGGGAACAAAAGAGAGAGTTAAGAAAGGTAGAATTGATTGACAACTCAAGTGCATCCTTTCAACTCTTTTCAACCTTTCCCTGGCCAGCAGAGTTGGCCAAAGTTTGAGTCGGTGGCCCAAGCCTGAGACGTGAGGGTAACTCCCCTCCGGTAAGCAAATGTATAAGGCTAGGGTTTGACAATTAAATCAGAGACAGCGAATGCTTCTGGGGCGCCAGTTTACATGGCAGATGAGCAGTCACAAATGTGACTTGAACAGATTAACAGAAAAAAGGACACAAATGTATGGGGCATCTCAGAGCTAAATTCAAGGCTGATAATGGCCTTGATCGATATATCTAAGAATCTGAACAGCCAAAATTGGGTCCTTTTTGCCCTACTATAGCTACGTCAGTGTCCAATATTTCAGGTCTTTATATCACTATGTACTAATGTGACATTTTATTAGCCCTGACGACAGAATTATTGAATTAGGAAAGAGGTGAAAAATTTTGGAATCGACAGAGAAACCGTTCCGTGACGGAGCGTGGCATCTATGAGTGTATGGGTGAACTGGTTTGAGCAGTCATACGTGAATTGCTTGTGGCGGAGAAGCTCTGGTGTCTGTTGTAATTTGAATTCTGTAGGAGTAATAGTAATAATCAAAAGGCATTTTAAATTTGGGCAACGTAAATGCGATGTTGAAAAGAGTTTGTTCATGGCTCATTTAATATTTGCTGGACTTGGTAGCGCTTGAAGAATTCTGCTGAACTTCTAGCGCTCGCTCTTGTCCATTTTGTCCAACCTTTTTTTTTTGGCCGTATTTGTATTTATTATGTTTTTATCAAGTAGATGAATATTCAGGCAACTTCGACATTAGACTGTGCCCACTGAGGTCCAAACTCACTTACACTAAACAAACACCCTGTTTGAGATGCAGATAATTGTCCTTATGAATTGTGCCCGTACTTTCTATTTATGAGTGCCTAGTCGTAAATTTTCTTGCTTCAGAGCTTTCAGCAGAGAGCTGCGAATCTCGTGGATCTCCAGCGTGTCAAGTATCCTGTCGAGACTCTTTTCGTCCAAGAGGACGCGCTCGGGCCCTTCGCTGCTGTTGCTCATACCCGCCAAGCCGCCCGCGTGGTCGTTCTGCAGAATGGTTGAGTACTGGAGTAGATCAGTGAACACCAGGCTATGGCTTTCGTTTTCCACCAGTGACTTCAAATGCTTGGCGCCGTTGTAGGCCTTGAAATTGCGGTAGGCCCGGTAAAGGAGATAGAAACCGGGAACGTTGGGCACCACGGGCACCAGAACCAGCGGTAGAGTTAACGGGATGCCCAGCAGGCTCAGCCACGTGTGTTTTTTATGGTACTGCAGGCCCTGAGTCCACAACGCTTGCAATTGCCCGCGCAGTTGGGTCTCAGAGCACACGCTTTCAGGGTAGTACAGATGTACGGGCCTGGCGTTCAGTTTGTCGGCGTTTTTGAACCATTCTTCGAACGTCAGCAGCCTTTCTTCGTCGTTTTCCTTGACTCTTTTCATGATGTAGTTTTCAGACGGCACCGTGTTGAGCGAGTCCTCTGTCCACGGCGTCTGGTTCAGCAGCGAGCTGACTGATGCCACAATCTTGCGATTGAACTTGCGAGGCGATTTTTCCAGCTTGTTCCAAGTCTGAGAAACCTTATCGATGAGTTTTGTCTCGTATTTGACCATTTTGGACCTCACATTCAAAATACTGGGCGAGTGTTTGTGGTAAACAAACACTCTGTGGGTGGTAATTGGAATGGCTATCAGTTTGATCGGATCTTTCACGTATAGCTGTTGACTGGAACTACTCTGAACAGAAACAGAATTGTGACTGAGCCACCGACACCCAAGTCTCCAGGAAATTTTGGTGCTCATTTAGAATTCACTATCAGAATATAGGAGCTCACTTACTTCCTCTTTAGCGACCCAGAGCAATGAACGAGTCAGCAATCAAATGTTAATGTAAGTTCCTCTAAAAACTACCAAAAGAGACGTATAAAAAGGTACCAGTTTACCCTATTTATACAAACCAAGTATCCAGATCTTATGAACTTTAAAAAGTGTCTCAAACGTCCATCTAGTCTTTAAATGTGTCAAACCTTTATAAATATATGTAATATTTAAATAGTTGTCAATTATCAAATTGTACACCTTTTTTTACTTAACTTCTTAAACTTTTAAACCAAAAGCTTTTTGGACAACAAGAGGGGTCAAAACAATCCCAGCTAAGTCCCCGAGTAGCTTGTAATGAGCTCCAGTCGAATACAAGATGGTAGGGAGGTCGAGAGGAAAAAAAAGTCCGAAGCAGAGCTTCAAATGCACGATTTTGGACAACAGACGTCGCACAGCTCGTCATCGCCAGAAAGATCGAGCAGTCGACCCAAGAGCAGTCGCAAAAGCACGGAAGGCACCAGAAAAAAGATGCTAAATCCTTATGGACTCACGCCTTCGACGATTCCGCCTTTTGCGCTGGACGAACAACTCAAGGCGCAAAGACGTCAAGGCACACAAAACCAGGGTCGGTCGTCACAGACTGCCGAAAACACTTACGAACAGCCCCAACAACAACAAAAACCGACAGACCGCTCTTGCAAAGATCCGTTTCTGGTGTATCACAACGATAACTGGGACCAGTTCGTAGAAAACGTGGGCTCAAACGTCGCATACCTGCACAAGGCGGTCGATGCCCCAGATGCGAGCATTGCTGGCCACGAAAGAGCGGAAATAGCAGGCCAAACCTCCAGTACAGCGTCAGAGACGGATAAGTCGTCTTCGAGCGAGGATTTGCGAGACAAGAAGGCCCCTGCGGCCAAGGCACACTCGCAGACCAACGAAAAACTGCCACCTCCATTTCCTGCCGCCCCCAAAAACGTTTTTGCAGACCTTGACGGGTCGTGGGGCGGCAGCGAGAGGCTCAATGCGATTTTCAACGGCCCGCTGCTCGACAGCAACAAGTTTACGAACAACCAAGACCGGCAGGACTGGTCAGAATACCTGGAGTCTGTAAAGGCGTTCTACTATTGCGAGGAACCGCTGAATCCGGACCTGGAGGCTGGCCTGCAGCGCGAGGGAGAGGCATCGAACGGCGAGGGCGGCGAAAACAACAGATTGCAGGCGTTTTTGGAGAAACAGAAGCTGGACTTCAAGCAGAAGCGGAAGCACTGGAGACAACTAGAGCGACAGAAGAAACAGAAGTGGCTCCCCACGCTCCGCAAGCTGATGCTGGACAATCAGTACTTGCCACTCGGGTTCCGCATGTTTATCGTGATTCTCAGCATTATAGCGCTGGGCCTGGCAATTCGGATCTACCAAAATTCAAGCTCGCGAGTCGAGGAAATAGGCGAATCGATTCCCCAGCAGGCCAGCACTGTGATGGCGATTTCGGTCAACTCAATTGCCGTATTCTACCTGTTCTACATCTCGTACGACGAGTTTTCGGGCAAACCTCTGGGACTGCGAAATCCGTTTGGAAAGCTGCGGCTCATTCTGCTGGATCTGCTGTTCATCATTTTCTCCAGTGCCAACCTAGCATTGACCTTCAACACCTTGTACGACGGGCAATGGGTGTGCACCACAGGTGAATACACCAAGGAGCAGCTCCCTAAGATCGATTACATCTGCAGGAAGCAAAGAGCGTTGGCGTCGTTCCTGTTTGTCATGTTGTTCCTATGGGTCGCGACCTTTTCCCTAAGCATTCTAAGAGTGGTCGAAAAAATGAATTCTGGTTCGCCCAGATAATAAGTGTTCATGGCTGACCGCTGTGTACTACAACAATGACGTGAATAGGTGCCTGAGATACAATCACATTCCAGTATCATCTAACAGACTATCAAAATGGCATCAGTATTGTAGACATTTCCCATACATTCTGTTACTTGGCGATGAGCCGTATATAGTGAATTTTCAATAACACATTTCAAATAGTGGCGATCGTCACAGACCTGGTAACTTGAATGTAAAGGTCAAAAGGGCTTTGATTCAAGCATATAAGCCTTAGTTGAACCACTTAAATCAGTCAAATCAATATGGCTGAAACGCTGCCCAGGCCGGATGACTTGGAAGCCACTTGGAACTTTGTAGAGCCCGGAATTCACCAGATTTTGGGTCGCGACGGAACACCTTCTTCTGCACTGAAAAGGGTGGATAAAGTGCTCTCTCCAGCTATGTACATGGAAGTATACACGGCAATCTACAATTACTGCGTCAACAAATCGAGCTCTGCGGGCCAGTTCAACGCTGACAACAATAAACAGAGCCAATCGTCTTTGTTGGTGGGAGGAGAGATCTACCAGAAACTGCAAACGTGCTTGAAGGAATACCTGTCTAAGTTGGAAAGAGAAACGAACGAAAGCTTTCTGCACTTCTACGTGAGACGCTGGAAACGGTTCACGGTGGGCGCGATTTTCCTGAACCATGCTTTTGACTACATGAACCGCTACTGGGTGCAGAAGGAGCGCAGCGATGGGAAACGACACATTTTCGACATCAACACGCTGTGTTTGATGACGTGGAAAGAGGTGATGTTCGACAAAAACGTAGACCAGCTCGTCCAAGAGGTCATGCAGGTTATTACTTTGCAGCGCGACGGATGCGCAATCTCGCACACCGACACCAACGTGGCCATACGGTCGTTTGTGGCCCTGGGGATCGATCCTCAGGACCTAAAGAAGCTCAATCTGAACGTGTACATACAGCACTTCGAAAAGCCCTTTTTGGAGTACACACGAGCCTACTACAAACGGTTTTCGGAGCAATTCTTGGAAAATCGAACCGTTGCCGAGTACATCTTCGCCGCCCAGGAAAAGATCAAAGACGAGGAAACCAGAATCGTTCTCTACTTGGATGAGCACACCAAAAAGCTTCTTTCCGAGGCATTGAACACCGTTCTGATCACCGACCATTCGCAAGCTCTCGAGGGCGAGTTTGTGGCTCTATTGGACTCCAGAGACGAGCACAAGATCTCGACGCTGTACGGACTCATGCAGAGAGACATTTTGTTGCTACCTAAGCTGGCGCAAGCGTATGAGGGCTACGTGAAGAAAACAGGAGAACAAGAGATCTCCCGTTTGCTTGCTGAGTCCAGGGCTAAAATCAATGAGTCCGCTGACGAGCAGGCTCCACAGAAAAAAACGGCTGCCAATTTTGCACTTGCGCCGAATGAGTATGTGAAGAAACTGATTGAGGTTTACGAAACTTTCATCAAGATCACTAGGGACTGTTTCCAAAACGGCCCACTTTTCACCAAGGCGCTCGACAATGCTTGTCGTGCTTTCATCAACGTCAACGAGCTTGCCATCCCACCGGGTTCGCCAAAATCTGCCACTTCGAAGACTCCAGAGATGCTGGCCAAGTACAGTGATCTGCTGCTCAAGAGATCGAATAAAGCCACTGAAACCAATTCTACGCTCTCTGCCGACGACATAATGACCATCTTCAAATTCCTCACGGACAAGGATGCCTTTGAGACTCACTACAGACGCTTGTTTGCCAAGCGATTGATACACGGGACGTCCACGTCCGAGGAAGACGAAGAAATGGTCATCCAGCGTCTTCAGAGCGAAAACAGCATGGAATACACTGGCAAAATCACCAAGATGCTCCAAGACATCCGGTTGTCCAAACAGCTGGATAAGGAGTTCGAGAGTGCTATCAAGATTACTCCAGACTACAGCAAAAAAAGGTTTCCTGAGTTCCAGCCATTTGTGTTAGCCGAAACCATGTGGCCCTTCTCTTACCAAGAGGTGGACTTCAACTTGCCGCAAGAACTGGCCCCCTCTCACAGCGGCCTGGAGAAACTCTACACCAACAAGCACAGCGGACGGGTGCTGAAATGGCTGTGGCCGCTTTGTCGAGGCGAGATGGTCGCAGACATCGGGAAACCGGGCAGACCGCCCTTTGTCTTTACGGTGACGCTGTTCCAGATGACCATTCTGCTTTTGTTTAACGAGCGTTTGAGTTTGACTCTGGAGGAGATCCAAGAACACACCAATCTGAGCACCGCGAACATTGCGTCGTCGCTGATTCCGTTCATCAGATGGAAGCTGGTGCAGCAGACTCCGGTGGGTCTGGATTCTCTTTCGAAGCCCGACACTGTTTTTAAGCTTGCGACGCCCTACAAGGCGCTCAAGACCAAGATCAACTTTGCAGCCGGAGTGAAAAGCGAGGTTCCCGGGCTTGGGCTTGCGAACGGCAACGGCAACGGCAATGGAAACGGCAATGGCAACGGCGCTGGCAGTTCCAGATCTGCAGAGATGTCCGAGGCCCAGAAAATCGAAAAAGAGCTCAACACGGAGCGCCAGATTTTCCTGGAGGCCTGCATTGTGCGGATCATGAAGGCGAGACGTAAAATTCCCCATGCCACGCTGGTGAACGAATGTATTGCGCAATCGCATCAACGTTTCAATGCTAAAGTTTCGCTCATCAAGAGGGCTATAGACAACCTAATTGCCAAGGAATATCTACAAAGATGCGGAGACGGTGAATGCTACGAATATCTGGCCTGAGATACGCGGGCAGACAGTTAGACTTCCCGCAACAATGGCCAAAAAATGTCCAAAAGTGTCGAAAGTTCCACTCAAAATTGGAAAACTTTATGTTCGACTTTTCCCCAGCTCGCTAGCCGCCAACGAACGCCCACCAGCTTGCCAGTCACACTCGTCAATTTAACGACCACCACATCCGGCTTTTCCCATACCAAATTTTTTTTTTCGCTGTACTTTCGTCATGGCGACGTTATGGCTTTCTACGAGTGAAGTTGATGATATGACGGACCGGTGACTGATGCTAAAAAATTTTTAGAAATCCCACTGGAAATCCCACAAGTCATCGAATGACTAAGAGTTCACAGCGGAGCACACTGTTGATGGTTGAATGAGTAACATTTGCAGTCCGGAAACTTTTGAATAATTATTGAGCATTCTAGGCTTTTTGGAAAATTGAGTGGGCTATAAAGGAAGCTTGAAAAATTTCGAATATTTGGAAATTCCCAAAAATTCAAAGATCAGCATCGTTGAACGACGTTGAGCATCGCTGAGCACCGAGTAGTGGCTATTTAATATGAGCAATTCTGAATTTCAACAAGTGACTGAGTCGGCCACCGAAACCGTGAATTCTCACAACCCCTACGGGCCTAATCCTGCGGATTATCTATCAAACGTCAACAGCTTCCAGCTGATAGACTCGACGCTAAGAGAAGGTGAACAATTCGCCAATGCGTTTTTTGACACGGAGAAGAAAATCGAGATTGCCAAGGCGTTGGACGACTTTGGTGTGGACTACATCGAGCTCACCTCGCCAGTAGCAAGCGAGCAGAGTCGTAGCGACTGCGAAGCCATCTGCAAATTGGGTTTGAAAGCCAAGATTCTCACACACATCAGATGCCACATGGACGACGCCAAAGTGGCGGTCGAGACCGGAGTGGACGGTGTGGACGTGGTGATCGGCACGTCGAAGTTCCTAAGGCAGTACTCACACGGTAAGGACATGAACTACATCGCCAAGAGTGCCATCGAGGTGATCGAGTTTGTCAAATCCAAGGGCATCGAAATCAGATTCTCGTCCGAAGACTCGTTCAGATCCGACCTTGTCGACCTCCTGAACATCTACAAAACCGTCGACAAAATCGGTGTCAACAGAGTCGGTATCGCAGACACGGTTGGTTGCGCCAACCCTAGACAAGTATACGAGCTCATGAGAACATTAAAGACCGTTGTGTCGTGCGACGTGGAGTGCCATTTCCACAACGATACCGGATGTGCCATTGCCAACGCCTACACCGCTCTAGAGGGTGGTGCCAAACTCATCGACGTGGCCGTTCTCGGTATCGGTGAAAGAAACGGTATCACTCCGCTTGGTGGGTTGATGGCCAGAATGATCGTGGCCGCTCCCGAATACGTCAAGTCCAAGTACAAGCTGCATAAGATCAGGGATATCGAAAACTTGGTAGCCGAGGCTGTTGAAGTCAACATCCCATTCAACAACCCAATCACCGGGTTCTGTGCATTCACCCACAAGGCAGGCATCCACGCCAAAGCCATTTTGGCCAACCCATCCACTTACGAGATTCTGGATCCTCACGATTTCGGTTTGAAAAGATATATCCATTTCGCCAATAGGCTGACTGGCTGGAACGCCATCAAATCGAGAGTCGACCAACTGAATTTGAATATGTCTGACAACCAGATCAAGGAGGTCACCAACAAGATCAAGAAACTAGGTGACATCAGACCGCTAAACATCGATGATGTGGACTCTATCATCAAGGATTTCCACAGCGAGATCACCACTCCTCAATTGCAGAGTTTGAGAAACAGCGGCGTCGACGACGACGTCACTGCTTTTGACATTGCTCAACCTCCTGTCAAAAAGGCTAAGACTGATCAGTAAAGCACGACGGGCGCCGGCGTCAGCATTTTATCTACATCATATACCTTCCTGAATAAAAATTCTTTAGTTTTCACTTGACCAACTTGGTTTTCCAACGCATGGCAATATTTCGGTCCTCGTCTCTTCCACTCTTTCACAGTTGATATACATAAAGGTTACCATTCTCAGAGCTCATCAACACTTTATTAGATTCTTGGTCGTAATCCGTGTCAATCACGGCGGCTCTTGTTTTCAGTACTGAAAGGAAATCAACTAGATGCTCTTTTGTAGTAACATCAAATAAGCTACCTCCAGATATAACATGTCGCTCTTGATTTGTAAACCGATTTCTGACCAAAAACTTGTTGGTATTATCATTGGAACTGGCATCTATGATGCCCAAGAATCTCGAGTCTCGCATTGGTCTTTGTTTGGCATCTTGAATATGTATCTCATTGTCGAATGCAAGGCTGCACATCTTGTGCGTAGAATTGACATCAATCGATGTGATGGAATCGGCATGATCACTTGTCCAGCTAAACAATTCTTGACCGCTGGTTTGCCTGATATCATAGGCTCGAATTGTAGGCTCGAGTCCAGAGATGTAAAGTGTGTAATTATCTTGATGAGCTGAAGCAATTGTAGCAGTGAATAGCGGATACGGTGTTGATGCTTCCCAAACTGGTTTCTTCTGATGCAAATCCCAGAGCTTGGCGCTGCCGTCGTCGCTCACAGAAACAAATGTGTCATTGGAAATGGTATGTATCTGATTTACAGCCTTGGTGTGGCCGGAGTAACTTCGCAGTTTTTGACCAGTTTCGATGTCTACTAAGGCAATCTGCGAGCTAGAGGCTCCAGCGGCAACAAGTGGACCACCAAGCGTCCCCAATGAGGTGATGGCAGGATTTTGGCGGAACAAGTGGTCTATCACAAAATTTCTCGAGTTTGTCAAGTCCCATACACATAGGTGTGCATCGAGACCGGAAGAGACCGCAGTAGCACCAGAATTCAAGAATTTGCAAGTCAAGACTGCACTTTCATGGCCTCTAGAAAGCTCTAGCAATGGGGATGAATTGGATAAAATGACAGACATGAGAGAGCCCGGTTTACTGTGGTGTTTTCTACATTTGAAGATTTTAAGATGAGATGAGATGAGATCAAGATATGATGATTATTTATGATGGATGTTATGAAATGTGAATTTAAGGAACTTTGGGAGAGAGAAATAGTAGTAATTTGGTGCAGCCCGAGAGGGATAGGATTGTTATATAAGCAGCAAACAGAGGTGAGCCAAGAGTAGCTCAGTGGAGCTTTTTTGGCGGACAGTGGGTCATGGGAAAGAAAATTAAAGATCACTTTGTACTAATGTGACACTGGTGAGTGGTGTTCATTTCAGAGAGATTCCAACTGGTCAGGAGATTGGGATATTGATTTGGAGGTCTCGTGAGCCGTTTGTTGAATTACTGGCTAGCAACAGTCCATCGCTGAGACAAAATTGTAAGTTCGATATAAGAACTTCGGTGCAGGAAGCGGTACGAAATGTTTCGATAGATGATTAATTTCCGATTGTCAAAGATACTTTCGGGGAGTATGGGGTACGGCTGGTTATCACGGGAGATGGTCACACTTTTTGAATTGACATTTGTATGACACGCAACGAGCGTTTGGCCAGCCAGGCCTGGTAAAGACGAAAAAATAGTACTCGATGGTAGAAAAGCAGGGAGCGAACAAAGCATCGAACGATAGAAAGCATCCCTCGAACATTGTGAATTCTATTGACAACTTCGAGGCGAAGATCACTATGTACTAATGTGTCATGCCACTAAAATTGCACAACTAACTACAATCGCTACAAAAACGAACAACAACGAGCCAGTCATTCCCTCAACTCAAAAACATTAAAACAGAGTCCACAAAATAACACAAACGGGCTCTTTGATTACCTCAAAACCCTCTCTTATTGAACTATTCCTTACTTCCTGGCACATACATCACTACACACGAATCTCAATTTTGGACATTAAAAATTTCCTATCGGAATACACGCCCGAGAAGGCCACCAAACCGTCTATCACAGTGCCTGAACAAGCCCAGCACCCATCGGCGTCTTTAAATTCCAATCTTCTTCCCCTTTTGGGACCTATTCTCCACGTCAAAAATACACACCACGTGACCACCGATTCTTGCCAATTTTGGTGTCATTTAATTGGTCCACCTTCCTTTTAAAGGGACAAACTTATAAAATAACAAGCTCAAACCATCCATTTCAACCAACACTTGCCTCAACGAAACCCGTGCTTTTCCACACATTCACAAGCTTCAAAACATGCTAGCTTTGACCACACGCAACACTCTCAGACAATCGCTCAAGCTTCAGTGCGGTATGGCTTCCAGATGCTACACCGAGGGCTCGACTGGCTCTCCAAGAGGCGAAAGCGCAGAAGACGCTTTTGTCAAAAGAGAGCGTGCCCAGGAAGACTATTACATCAGAAAACATGAAAAGGACCAGTTGGCGCAACTGAGGCAGAAAATCACCGAGCAGCAGAAGAAAATCGACCATTTGGAGGACCAACTGAACGGGAAGAAATGAATGAGCAGGACTTCGAAAAGAGCGGGGTCTCTGCCACCAGTATATATTCTTGTTTAAAAACACACTTATTTCGCTTTTTTGGTTTGGTTTGGGTCTTGCTGTCGCACAACGCTGTCGCGAATTTTTGGCTTCTCCACACATTCACCAGAGGAAAACAGCATTTACTAGAAACAAAGCTTAGTACATCCAGGGCATACACTGGGCTCATCGATGAAAGAGCTAGCCGATAGATGGTCGTTCTTCGTTGAGTTGATGATGTCGACTGCCAAACCAAACAAGTCACGTTACACGATTAGAGTATCCAATTCAATTCTACGTATATAAGAGGGAAGAGCCAAGTGGTCAAGAGAATAGTACGGTAAGAATTGCTCCTCTCGATCACATTCAGCTTCTAAATCCAAGCTCATTTCTCAAATGACCGACCCCTGCAAGCCCCAGGCCTGTGCCATTCAAAGTAAGCCAAAAAAAAATGAAATATTCTGTGAAAACTCGACAAAGTTGCCCAGCAATACTAACACGAACCAGGCTGCTTGACGAAAACGGGATTCGACGAAAGCAAGTGCACGCAGTTCATAGACCAGCTGTACGAGTGCTGCACCAAGTTTTACCAGGAAAAAGGACCCGACGCAAGAACGCCGTGTTGTCCCGTCCCGCACCTGCTTAGCCTCAAGCTAGAGCAACGCAACAAGGAGCCTCTCGACGCTCGACTGGTGTGAAAACACACAGACATTACGTTACTGGCAAGAATAATGAATGAAATATACATTTAGAACCGCGTAGCCTGTTCACTTGGGACGCAAGTCCCGAACAAGGCACGACATTGAAAGGTTGGTCAAAACGCGGTGGGTCCATTGAATCCCACCATTTTAATTACTATAAGACTACCGCGAGCACGAAGATGCAGGCCTTGGAGCATCCTGCATACGCAACATTCATGGAAGAGATCGAACGTACCGTGACTCTGGGTGTCTAAAAAGACATTGTATTGGTTTTTTAAGACTAAGAGAAGTGTGGGTCGGAAGAGAGTAATGAGGACGATCCGTGTCCTTTTTATACTAGTGACCTAAGGACGGGTAACCTTTATAAGATGATTATATATTAATGTCATAGGGCCGGACAAGAGAGTATTCTTGACAAGCTGGCGCGGTAGTCTCAACGGCTAGCTATTCGGTTGTGAGTCGAGTATTGTGTTGGGTGATGCCTGTCGCCTGGAGATATTTGGTTGTTTCGGGTTAGTAGTGCAATTTGGCGGGTGTCACAGAAAGGTACAGAGTGATGTGCGAAGAATGTGATTGTGTGACGTTTTCGGTAGCATTGGAAGTTGGTTTATTCATTAGTTGATTCGATCACTCTGTATTTTATTTTATTTGCTCGATCTTCGAAGTTTGTTCAACAATGAGAGATGTGTCGTGCGTTTAAAAGAGCTCTTTTGATCTCGCATGGATGACAAACAAGTGTATAAGACACATTTCAGACGTAGAAATGTCATCAGTGCGACTCAAGAAAAAGCTTCTATTTGGAAGCTTTGATATGTGGCTGTCGTATGTCGAAAGGAGTCTACCATAAAAATGGTATCGAGTTGTTGCGCCCAAACTGTAGCTCAAACCCCGATGGCGAATGTAAATACAGCTTACTGAACTCACACAGAGAAAGTTCATATGAATCAAAAGAACGGAGTGGGGTGCTAGTATATCAGTATTCACGTCGGTATCACGACGATGGTCTCCGGTATGTCAGAGTAGTACAAAGTGATAACACACACTCGCGCAAGAATGTGCTTGCAGAGTCCGGGAGCTGGGATTCCTACACCTATGATGCTATTGCTTCCTCAATTCCAAGTCTTACGGCAGCGGAAACGCGAATAAATGTCGAATAGTTATTGTGTCTTTACTTGAATGAGAGTTTCTAGTGACAGAAATTTAAACATTTCATGACTTATGACGTATGACTAGACAAGGACAATCTGTTCCACGTTGATCGCCTTTTTTATATCGCCTGCCTCCACGGGTGCCCCCCAACTTAGTCGTATTCGCGAATGTCCGAAACGTAGCTCTTACAATCACTATTCTCGGTAACCCACAAACGAGTTCCACTAACGTTTTCAATGCTGTTTTCCATTTTGGCGTTTTTGTCAAATTCCTCCAGTGCCCGCTGGATGGTAGCTGGTGTGATTCCTGCGTCTACTAATTGTTTCCGAAGCAAGGCGACGTGCAGGGCAACTTTCATTTCGCGCATCTGGACACGTCTGCGCTCGTTCAGGACCTGAAGCTCGCGTTTCTTGCGGTTGGCCTTAAATTCTCTGGTTATCAGATCCTGAGTCTGTTTGAATTGTTCCGCTTCCTGTTCCAGTTTTGCCTCCAGGCTCAATCGAACGCGATAGCTGTCCAAAGCAAGCAAAGACAATGCCAAAACGGAAATAACCGTGGCCAATCCCAAAAGTGGTTTGCGAGCTGGTTCTCGCATCGTAACAGCAGGCACAGACAACACAGGCCTTGGAGCGGAGCCTCCGAAATACGTGGGCGGTTTATTATAATAGCGGCATCGAGGTAATACGCGAGACCAAAATTCCAATCGTTTCATTGGAGCTTCCTGAGAAGGTGATTGTTTAGATCTTGAATTTGATGTCAAAATATATTTAATATTGAACCCAACAGAGTGGTAATTTTCCATGTCACCTCACGACTATCGTGACGCTGATGCGAGTGATCAATTCAAAGAGGAGACAGCTAGCTAGCGTCAATTGAAGGCAGGAATGGCTCTCCATCCTGTCGCGCTTTCGATAACGTTTAAACGGAGGCTAAGTTACAAAATGTATTTTTACTTATACGAATACGTCTTATGGACCCAGATGAGATATTATCCACTCAGTGACGACGAGAGGAGGTGATGATGTCGTTCATCTCTTCGACCTTAGCCTTGGCTCTGCCGAAGGTACCCAATCTCTTCTTGGCCACCTTTCTGGCTCTCTTTTCACCGGCGTTTCTGATCAAGTCGATCAATCTTCTCTCGTATGGGGCCAAACCGGCAACTTCCTTGACCAAAGATCTGACGAACTTGGTTCTGTTGGAGGAAGCACCCTTTCTGTAGGAGATCTTTGGGGTTGGGGTCATGGCGTTGACCTTCTTACCCTTGTTCAAACCAGTAGCGATACCTGGAGGGGAGAGTTAGTAAGGGGGGACTTTTAAAGCCGAGGAGTGGCGGTTGGGAGTGTGCTCAGCAGTAGAAAAACAGTAAGTTGAGGGCTAACTCGAAGATCAGGGAACACTTCGCATCCCAGGGTTATAATTCAAGCCCAGATTTCACACTCCAAACATCGTAGTATTACTTTCACTTCTATCGTATTATCACCTTCACTTTCACTTCTATCGTAGTATCATCTTCACTTTCACTTCTATCGTAGTATCACCTTCACTTTCACCTTCAACTTCATTTTCAACTTCGCGAATTCCATGCAAAATGCTCACATCAAGACAGTAATCTGAATCAATCGTTCCGCATCTTTCGATAGTTTCTCGTACACTCACAAAATTCGTCACTGTCTCTAAGTTTCTCGTTTCACCCACCATAAGTTCATCAACTTGCACACTTTCCCACAGGTTTCCCACAGGTTTCCAACCTCGCATACCGCACTCTCGCGATCCATCATTGAATTCCCAAATCGTCACATACCAGACTTAACGGCCATTGTTACTCTTTTATCAGTGCTTGATCTACTTCAAAAAGCCTGTTAGAAAGAAGCCCTTCTATATCTTGAACTAGTTTTATTCAGACGATGCTATTCCTTCCAGCCTAGAAAATTTTCCAGCCTGGGCGGGAATTCGACTAGAGGGAAAGTACCGTTGTACGAGCAGGGCCTCCAGTCTCAGGCTGGAAAATTTGGTAGTGCCGCGAGCCTAAGATTCTAGGCAGAGGCTGTCCGGAGTACTCTGCCTGAGGAATGGAGGGTTCCCACGCAAAAACTGGGTTTGGCCTGCCTAGAGCTGGGAGCGCTAGGCAGGGAATGAGCCTGCGTAGGCAGAGATTGAAACAGGATGCGTGGACAGAAAAATGGCGATGGAAACTCAATAGACGCAAAATGATTTTTTCGAGAATGGAAAATTTAAAAATGGAAAAATGGAAAAATGGGTGTGTGGGTGGTGAAATAGCAGTCACAAGAGATGTTTGACGGTAGGTGAGAGGATATATATATATTACTACAGAGTAGCAGATAGCGTCAACGTCAGAAATGAAATATGGATCCTGCTGATTAGTCTCGTTGAGTTCAGTGCACTCCCACATCCCGATTGTCATAAAGTCAGAGGATGCCATTTGGTACAGTTCATAAGGCTAAGTTCACCTCCTGTCCACTGTCCTTCGCGGTCGTATCTTGCTAATCTTACTTCGACCCTCCACGTATCAACAGGTTCCGTACGCATGCAAAATGCTGTCTTATCGAGATGCTGATCAGCTATGGTTGTCATCAGTGCTGACCAACTAACCATGGGTACGGGTGTGGTGTCACATTTTCCCGTAGTCTTAATGTGAAATCACGGGTACCATACGCTCGCAGCGCCTATGTGGAGTGGAATTAGTTTGTACGACTCGCAATACGTATCCATTGCAAGTTTGAACTTCAACCTGGTCACTGTGTCTTTGATACACCGCTTTATTTTAGATAATACATTTGCTGATACGACCACGATCCGGTTCGCCTTTGTTTTACGCCCGAACTGCTTGGATTTTACGTCTTGTACGTCTTGACCCTCGAATTTCTCCGTCCCTTTGAATCAATTGACCGTCTGCTAGTGTAGATATTATTCCACTCTCGACCACTAGCTACAGTAAAGTTGTTTTGCTAAGTTAAGTGCGCAGTTTTCCCATTCCAGCAGTCTACCGCTACTAGCATTTGCTACTACTGTCCAAGCATTGTCAAAGAACTCGGACTCTATGGGTTAGAATCAACACTTTGAGCTGGACTTTGACCATATTCTTCGCTCCAGGTCCCGATCTCAGATCCCAAATGACTCTTTTGGACCGTGAATACCATATCATGTACCAACATTTTCAATAACATCCGATGTAGTGTAATGGCTATCACATCACGCTCTCACCGTGGAGATCGGGGTTCGATTCCCCGCTTCGGAGTAATTCTTTATTTTTTTCAAGTAGTAGAGGTTTGAGCTAGTGCTCTATGGGATATTCTTCTCAGCGCCAGCAACGAAAGTAGCTGTACGTCCCGGTCCACACTCCTCAAACACACACGCAAAACCTTAACTTTTCACGTTTCAGTATTCGCTTCTATATACACGCTTATACACTCCTGCCACTACATTACACGCTCACGGTCTTCAAATCGAACCCGTGGCCGTGCAACGCTTCCAGCACCTGAACACCACTGGCGTCCGCATACTTGTCCAGGAATTGTCGGTAGCTCAAGTCCAGCCCGTCCGCACGGTGTTCCAGCTTTTGCAGCGGATACAAGTACTGCATGAGCTTGCGACGCCCGCATGTGACGCGCACGGTTTCGTCTCCCACAATGGCCTCGAAGTAGACCCGGTGCTTGGCACCGTCCACGCCGTCCACGTCGTATGCGTGCTGATGTGGCGGATTTTCCTGGAGCTGCTGCTTTTGAAGCACCCGGTAGCGCAGTTTCCAGCCCGTAGGCCCCAGTTCCTTGATTCGCGCAGACTTGTCTTTTGTCAAGTAGTTGTCGATACCACCTTCTTTGGTGATGGTTCTCAGCACTTTCGCAGTCATGCGTATGCTGATGTTACGATCCAAACTCTCACTCCACAACCCCTTTCTGACAATATTTGGCAACCATCTTCTGCGGGTTTTGGTTTTCGATTCCGCAACATTGTTACCGTACTGAACGAAAGATCCACCGTAAAGACCTTTGTTGCTCTGTTTGAAAATCTGTGACTCGCCAAACTTGTAATCTGGGAACGTCTTGCGCTGTTTAGGCACGTATATTGGCCGATTGTCTCCGATTTTGAACTCGGGTTGTTTGGCGACACTTCTGCTCTCAACCAGCCTCCACTCTCTCAAGAGCGTAGGAAGAGTTGAAAATCCTCTCTTAGCACTCGTCCCTTGGAACAACATTACGCCGAATGAGACACCCTGGTGTATCAGTCGCTTCGTTTGATTTCAACCTTTTACGCTTAAATCTTTTCGATTGGAATTTTTGAAATTTCACATCAAATTTAAATTACAACTGTGAATACAGCTTGGGCGCTAACATGACTAGTTTAGCTCAAACTGTTGAACTCGTCCTGTATTCTATTTCCAAACTTTCCGTAGAGTTTTCCAATTTGCAGGATTTCTATTTTCTTTAGATATCTGGCGTTTCGCATTCAAAAGCTCTCGTTCAAGTTCAACAGTTCTCTCTTGCAATTCTTGATTGGCACTCATGACTTCTAGATTGCGCGCCATAGTTTCCTTCAAATCCGCACGTATATCTGTAGGAATTTGTGAATCCGGGTTGGGAAGCGATTGCTTCCGTATTTCATCCTGTAGCTGAACCTTTAGTTGTTGGACCTCGGATTGTAGGTCTCGGTTCTGATCTTGAAGTGTTTCTAGCGCTAACCGATTCTCGATAAGCTCATTGGCGATGTTAATATGCTCTCGGTTCAGCACTGTATGGTCCCGCTCTAGTTTCCGGACTTCATTATGAAGTTGTTTGTTCTTAATGCGAAGAGAGTCCATTTGCGCTTCCTTCTGAGACTCCAAGAGATGGATTTCCTCATACTCCGCAATGTACCTTCTTAAGGATATGGGTGTGATTTTCACCTCATGCATAGCATCTTTCACAAACACGTCCACTGCATAAGCCTCGTTAGAACCCTGAGATGTCCCTGAACCATCATTCTCGAGAGAAGGGGTCTTATACATGAGCGGGAAAGTAGACCTAGAATCATCCCTGGAAACCTCAGAGCTCTTGAGATAATGTGCGAAAAGACCGTTCTTCAAAAACTCCAGTAATTGGTCAAATTGCAGAGTTATCAAAGTCTTCTCGTTTTTAATCATCAGCACTAACGCGAACTTCAATATCGCCTCCAACCCCTCTACAAACACAACGTCGAGAATCCGAAGAACAAAGCATAGCGGGAACCTGTATGCGAAGCACGTCAAAAACCACTGTGAAGCATACATTGATGACCGTACGCCTTGTCTCGCCAAATGATTGTACAAAGAAGGTGAGTTCTCCTCGATCAGCCGGTCAAATTGGTGTAGTTTGATATGCAGTCCTGGCATGTTCGGCAAAAAGAGCTCCCTCAAGCCATACCCCTTCATCAAACTTATGAGCAGTCCAAAGGCCTCTGAGTCGGTTTCCACGTTCAGTAGTAACGCCGTGGCTACAAACGCCATTCCCTGCGTATATCCCACATCCGGATCATGTAGGGAATAAGCCTTGAGAACTTGGAAAAGCGACATCACTTTTTCCTTGGGTATGAATGACGTTCTTGAAAGGTCTCGCTCGATAGCTTTTTCATGCGGAGACTCCAGATCTTTAAGTCTTGCGTACTCATCGTCTATCTCTTTAGACTTCGAAGACGATAGAAGCTGCCAGATAATCCCGCGAACTTGAGGTGGTATACCACGCGCAATTTCTTGCTCCAGTTTGACAGAGTCTTTCTTGGCAACTTCTGCATAATTGCTCACAAGTCGAGTCCAGAACGGCCAGTCAACGGTCATAAGTTCCCTGTCGTCTTCATCATCTTGGGTGGTCTCATGCACTTCTTTGGAAGGCCCAATGGTCTCCAGAAAGGCAGTGTAGCTGGATTTCAATACTCGCGCCCCCTCTTGTAGATTTTCTTGCGTCACATCATCTTTCGACATGTACTCGTCTTCATTATCTTGGAACCGGCTTATGACTAGATCAAAGTCCGCGCTTACCGATCGATTGTGACTTGTTCTTGGTGGCACCGGTGGTGGTGTTTTTGAATTCACGTTCAGTGCAGCAATCGATTTCCGAAACGATTCCGACTTCAGTTCCTCTGCCAATGGTGGAGGCACAGCATGAACTGGCGTGGGTTGTGGTGTTGTGCTCTTCAATTTTCCCTTGAGGTCGCGAGACGGCAAAGGTGGGGGACCATCTTGAAGATTCGCATGCAGGGGGGCGTGAGCCGTATGTTGTTCTATTTCGTTTGGACTGTCTGCAGCTTCAAGTTTTGCGATGCTTACTGGGGGTGAACCTGGAGCCGGTTCGAGTGCTGCATTTTCCTCACTCTGCTCCCCATAAGCCGACAAACTTACGTCAGAGTCCGCTTCCTCTTCGGAATCAGCTGTGGGATCAATTTTAGAGCTAGTTATAGGAATAGTTTTGTAGTTAGTAGTGGGATCAATCTTGGCGTCAGTGGTGTCAGTTATAGGATCAATTTTAGATTTAGTTGTGGGATCACTCTTGGAGCCGGTGGTGTCAGTTGTGGGATCACTCTTGAGGTCAGCTGTGGGATCGACTCTGGAGTCAGCTATGGGATCAGCACTCGAATCAGTTAGGGGATCAGCACTAGGATCAGCACTTGGATCAGCCTCTGTTTCAACCTCGGGATCAATCGTGGAAACAATCTTGGAATCAATTTCAGGATCAGCCTTGGTCTCAGTCTTTAGACCAGTGTCGATCTCGGGATCAGCCTCAAGCGCCTGCATAGGTTGGTTTGCAATCAAGGAGGACTTGGCAGAATCGTGTTTAGTAACTTCCACCCCTGGTTCTACCTCTTCATGCCCAGAGGCTCCAACTACCTTGTCTTCGCTGGTCTGAGATGGTTGAAGACCATTTGTGGCTGTGTCTGGTCGGACTGATTCTTCGTACACCGAGTAGAAATCGGCTTCCAATTTATCCTCATTCGATTCCAAAGGCCTGGAAGTCCGCAAATTATCGCTTGTAGTGCTTTCAGACATCTTAAACACTTCAATTTATGGCCAGATGCCTCACTTTCAATTGTGTCTTCGGTTTTGATTTTCCCGACTACCTTAGCTTCCCTGAGTTTTAGCTCAAACAATTAATTCTCGACTAACAGGTAAGAGTTGAAAAGCATATGAGCAGAGTTATACGACAAATCACGGCTTTCTCATGGTAAAGCGTTTCTCGAAAATCACAACAAGATTCAAAATCATGCCAATGTCCCAACAAAGTAAGGAGTTAGTGAACGGAGACCAAGTTTTGCATAAAGTTCAATTTCCTTCTATTTTAATCCGTAGCGACCACAGTAGGAACGAAGTTGTAAAGCTGTAGATTGAACTGTGCCAATGTGATAATCACTATTTCTCATTGAAACATGAAAGTTTAGTTATCATTTGTGCCTTCTCAAGCAAGATTTCGAGATAATCGAACACAATTTGTAATATAAAACATGTTTCACCCGGGAAATCGAGACCTTGACCTTTCAGTCATTTAATCGTCCACAGGAACTAGCCACGGGGCCAGAGCACCGACTAGCAAGTAATATGGGACCTTTTCCTGTCTGTATTTCGACGTTTCTCTCAATGGTGAAGTGTCTTGTGGTGTTGGCAAACCGCGAGTTTTCCTACTCCAAAACCACCTGTCGGACTCGACTTAAGTTGAGTAGACCAAAGCTAGACTGCTCACTATGCCATACACTAGCTAACGATTGCCTTTCAGTTCTCGATTCACAATCATGTTTGGAATCATTATATGTTAGATCAATGAATATATATACAGTAGCGAATATGCTGAGCGGCTAATTCGTACAAAGGTACATCTAATCCACCAAAAATCGTAATAAAATTGAATATAAATCTGGACTATAAAAGAAAACCGTTGAAAAATAAAGAGACCCCACCAAAAGGGCATCATCCATAAGCACTAGCACTGAACCCTTCTCGCCATACCCACCCACGCTACTGTTCACATACCTCGTAATTTTCATTCATACTTGTAAGCTTTTTTGAGTTGTAGTACGGTCACTTGACTGTTCCCTCCCTCACGCCTGAGACGACAGTATTGAGAAGTCGCCAGAAAGCTGCGACTCTGAGGGCGACGAGGACGAGGGCGACAGTACCGGGTCGAAATCAGACATCGGAAATCCCTTTTTGTGCATTTCGTTCGGATTGGCATGCCACGCTTTCTGGTCCAAATCGCTGGCGAAAGTTGGTTCTGGAAGAACGAGACCCAGCGTCAGTCCCAGGTCTCGCATCAGAAGCTCGGCCTCGGCCATCGTAAGGTTCGGAAATCGGACCCGTACAAAGGACTCGCCAAACTCCAAGGGCAACGCACCGTAGTTCTTGTAGATGGTTCGAACGCTCTCCTCGATTTTTCGCATCATGGCGTGGCATTCCACTAGCTCGTCGCGCCACTTGTCTAGCGCTTCGTCGCATGCAAACACCATAGAAGGCATTTGCGACACGTCGAGTCGTGGCAGTTGGAAGTCGACCACACACCCCAAGGCTTCGCTCCCGGTTTCGTTTCCTCCATCCAACATCAGCTCCTGTCTGTGATCTTGGATCATACGGCACACCTCCATAGCACGCATCACGGAGATTTCCTCGGCACATAGACGTTTCCTGCCGTTACCTGTCTCGCGAAGAGCAAGTCTAGCGCTCTCGCCATGATTATGAGAGGGGACAAAGCTGTCCCAGAGGTTGAAAAAGCATCGCAAAGAGATCGCCATGTTTTGAGCTGCATCATGAGTGATTCTGATGGCAGCAGTTGAGTATGCTCGTCCGGACGCAAAACGCATCGTATACATGTTCCAGTTAGTATAGAGACCACGAGGTACACCTCTAGGGGCTCTGTAGGCGCCGTTGAACTGTGAAAATACGCCCCGTCCGCTAGATGTGGCGAACCTAGGTGCAGAATTGTTACACGATTTTTGAGCTCTTTGCCCGGCTTGGGCGGAGTTCCGTGAAGTCGTGTGTAAGTAACGAGTCCCGTTTCCCAACGAAACCCCCCGTCTGACGGGTACGGGCACTCTGACTAGAGATTTTTGAGGTCTAAGGATGTTCCTCTCCAGAACATTTTGTAGTTCATCGTCCAGTGTTTGACGGAGCTGTTTGACCTGTTTTCGCGCGACCTTCAGCCACTGTCGCAAGGAGTTGGCTGACATTTGAAACTAGGTTATCAAGGTAGAGGTTCGCTGTCTTCCAGGTGTAGGTGAAGAGGGGTGAGAAAGATAGTAAATGACTTTAACCTTTTTAAGGATTTATATATCATCTTGTACTATACTGACATATAAGATATTCGACCAGCGTCACGAAAATATGGCAGATAAAAGAGCTTTGGAAATCAGGTTTGAACTGCCTGAATAGACGAAGTTGGGTGCTATTAGCATCCGGCACACGGTCATCAAAGATCTTTGAGAAAAGAAAACTTTTTGCTGACTGCAACAGGGAACCAGAGCAGGGTTTCTGCCTCTTTACGAATCGCCATCATTGAAAATATGCCTGAGAATATCATCCATTGTTGTTGTATTGAACGCATTTGTTCCATTTGTGTTGATGTTGAATAGTGTTTGAACGCTCTGATCATTCCAATCGGGAAACATAGTGTTATCTTGTCTATTTGCAGGGAAAGGCGAGGTATTAGACGGAGGTGTCTCCATTTGGAACATGTCAGTATCTGACGAGAGTCGTGATTTGGCCGCGGCCGCTGGAGACAGAACATTCATGAATTCCATGAGATTAGCCGAGGCGGGAGTAGCCGTAGAAAATTGCGGGTTTTCACTCTGTAGGATGTTGGCAATAGTCGGTGAGCGCGGGAACCGATGATCCAAGTCACTTAGCAAATAACCACACATGTTGTTTATCACTTTGATGAATTTTTCAGCGGTGGCGTTTCTGCTGCTCAACTTTTCGAAACAGTTTCTGGCCTGAATGATCTCCTGTCTCCAATTCCCGCCATGAGGTGCAATCGGCTCTATTAGCAATCCTACCGCGGGTATTATTGCAGCATTCATCAAGTAATATGTGATATACCAAGCTGAGATAGTTGTAAGCTCGTATTGCTCAATGAAGTCAGAAATCGATCTAATAGTTTGGCTCGCAGCGTTGAGACAAACAGATAAACACTGAACGGAGTCCTTGTGGTCTATACCCGCTGTTTGTCCGCTTAGCATATTCAAAAAGAATGGCCGAAATAGCGTCGTGGTAAGATTTTGGTACATCCATAGAATTCGAAACTTGCACAAAGGAAACCAAGTGCCTTGGGGATCAACTTTAGCTTGCCATTGCTGAAATTGGGCTCCGAAAAGATTTGGCAGGGAGTCAACGTTTGACTTGACTTTTTCTTCAAGTTTGAGAACGCTTGAAATTAAAAAGGGCTTCTTTTCCCCGTTAGAAATAGCCGTCTCGTCTGAGAATTCTAGTGAAAGCTTAACGAGTTTTGCGTTTTCAACGAGACAGGAAAACACGACGGCTGATTTATCAGTCATCTGCTGATCCACATCTACACCAGCTGGTAATGAAATGTCGATGTCCTTCAGGCCCGGAAACTGACGCGGTCTTCCAAAAGCTAGTGCAATATCAAAGTCATACGTGTACAGCGTCCAAAACATTCGTCTTCGAATTTCTAATGTTGCGCGGTCGACTTGAACAACTTCGTTTGCCTCCCGATGCAGGCCTAGAGAGACTGCCATGCTAGCAGCAAATCCCATGTAATTCCAACAAGCGTTAGGCTTATTCCGTTTGCGGGCACATTTAGATAGCAGGGCAAGTGAAGCTAAAAGTGAGTGTGAGCCAGTTTCGAACATGGTACTGCTTAGGTAGGACTTCGCTTTTTTGTAGAAGTGTACGTCGGCGTAGGAATTTTCTCCGTCGACGCACCAGGAGCCTATAGCTAAGATCGCATTCAACAGAATCTGCCACGCATCTGTCGCAGATGTAGCAGCCTGGATAGAGAACCATCTGCGAAACGAGGGTTCATCGACAATGGGGAAAGTGGGGTGAAAATAGGTAAAATACGCGTCCACGTAAGTTGCCGTCGCAATTTCGGAGCCGAGTGAATTGAGATCGTGAGTCCTCAGCGGTTCTCGTCGCACTTCGATCAATGAGTCAGTGGCATATAGAGCTCGTAGAATCGCAGAGTTGGAGCCTGCTCCAAAGAATCCTTTGTGGTTTATGCTTACGTTCATTGTGCCCATTCCATCGTCTTTAAAAACGTCCGAATCGTTTTCCTCACTCCATTCGTACCCATTGAGCGGATCTTTGGGTAGCTGGTTGGGAGGAGGCTGTTGCGAGAGCGGAGATTTCAAAGTGGAGATTTTCTGCACTTTAAACACAGATAGTTGTGCCTTCGAGCTCTCAGCTAATTGCCGCAGCTTGGAACGCTTCGGGTTATCAAGGACATCCTTAAGATTGGAATCGGGGAATAATTCCTCGAACAGCGTTTCCATTTGGGAAAGTCTATTTTCAACATCTGTCAAATGCGCACGCGTCAAAGGCGACCTCACCTGACGTGGTGAGTAGTGGCATTCCCACTTATTGTGGGCGCATTTCGAGCATTTTGGGAATTCTCGTGAACATTTCAGCTTTTTCTTCCTACAAGAATCGCACGCCAGCTCCATAATTCTCCCTGTCAGGGTTTTATAATTGACAATTTTCACAACAGCAGGTCCACTGTTTAAGAAGCAGTCTTCTAAATCTTGTTTCTATTCAGCAGCCGCCAGAACTCCCACTGTCAGCACAGCATTTAAAGACCGCGACAAACGCAGTCGTTAGAAGCTCAAAACTCTTCTGAAAACCCGGAAAGAGAGCCGGGAAAAAAGGTACCAAAATCCCTTTAAATGCTCGAGCAGCTACAACACTCACTGGCGTTGATTATCGAGACACTTTACGCTATCACACATCGAGATCTCTGTTTTTGACATTGACCTTTTATGATTAATCATTTCTTGAATTTCAGGATATCCGCAATTGAATGATCTGATCGCTATGTACGAAGACATGGGGCATCGAAAAACAAGAAAGTAAACATATCAGACGCCAGTAAAACAATGTCTCGAGAAGCAAGGAAAGCATCACATGGAGCGCGTTTTAGGGGGATGCAAGACAATCTCAAAGCGCAGATTGGATGGCTAAAGCAAGAGCGTGCTTTTGAGCCAAAAAAGGAGCTTCTGACGCGCATTTTAAGCCTAGAAACAAGCGACAAAAGACAGAAAGTGGCGGTTCAGTCGCAAGAGTCAAGATGGACACAAATGTCGGTGATCGACCTCACAGCCGAGGCAAGAGGCAACTCCATGGGCTCAGGCGTCAAAGAAGCTTCAGTTCAGCCCAACTACAGCGCGGTGGTAAGCACAGTGGAAGAGAACATCACTCCGCGTTCAGGAATTTCTTTTTCACATCCAACCGCGATCCGAGCGTCTAAGGGCGTCACAGAGTCCACACAGCTTTCACAGAAACCCACATCGCTTCCAGCAACTTCATATGTCGAGTCTGGAAGTCCAACAACCAACCAAACCATTTCGAGCGACTTCCACAGCAGAATACGAAAAAGCTCTCTTCAGTCGGCATCTTCCGCTAACACTGAGATAATAATGATACAAGACAAAATCATACAGCTTTTGGAGAAACAGACTGCAATTTTGGGCCAAAAATGCTCGATAATCGAATCGACATCGCTATCAGAAGACACCAAAAAAGTTCAAATTCAAGGGCTCAGCCCCAATCTATCGAAGCTAGAAAAAGATCTGGTAAGTCTGCGAAAGACGTTAGAGTCAGCAAAACTCGGCCAACATGTACCGCAAACCATCATAAATGAAGTCTCGCATGCTGCAGTCTCCTCAAGTGTGCTAGCAAGCCGTTCCATTGCCAGTCTGTCCGCCCCTGCCATCCAGACGCAATTGAATCAGCCTCCTCAGTTAGCGGCTCCCAAAACTTTCATAGATAAAGATCTGATAACGGTCTTGGATGATGAGGATGACGATAATGACGATGATGACAGGAAAGACGAGGATAATGAACCTCGGCTTTTAGCCCAGGTAAGTACGTCAGGTGTACCTCCAGTGGTACACGAGGCTGTGGATAGCGTGCGTGCACGGTCATTGCGCAAACACAAAAATATCAACTATAGAATTCCGGAACTGGAAGACAGTCTGAACTACAACATGAGACCGTCCTTTTCGGGAACTCAGCCCTCAGAAAGAGACGAGGAGGACGTAACCATGGAAGCTGAAGACGAAGACTCGCAGTTTCTACTCACCGCGGAGGAAGAGCACGACGACGTTCGGACCAGCGATCGTGAGTTTGTGGAGGACGGTTTGGACAACTTTCTAGACGAAAGTGTCGATCATGAATATCATGGAACTGTAAACCCCAGTGAGCCACATCAATCCAAGGAGTGCTGCGAGCAATCGTCCGAGGTGAATCGAAGTGCAAACATACAGATTATAGGCTCCTCTCCTATTCGACGCAGTTCACAGACAGGTGCTGTATCTCAGTCCGGCACGCCTGAGCTTGACCTGACAGGAGCCGACTTTACAGATGACATTGAATTCGATACCATCAGTGAAAGCATACAGCAGACCTTTTCGAATAACCCTCACAGCAATTGGCAACCGTCAACGCTGGCTCAACCATTACAAAAACCTCGCAAAGATGAAAATGTTCTGGACGATACTTTCACACATAGTGACTCTGAAGATTTCGACGATTTCGATGCGGAACGGGAAAATTTGAGCCAAGGTGCGAATGTTCGAGAGGTTGACGACGATTTGAAAATTATCTCTGAACAGAGGATAGAAAACGCAAACGGGCTGGCGCGTAATGTGAAACAGGAGATCATTGATGTTGATTCAGTTCTCGATCACGACCATGGTCAGTCGTACCAAGCTGTGGGGAGTGATATCAACGCTAGAAATGTTAGTCCAGCTAGGAAAGCATCACACACTCAACATGAATGGACCCCTGAGGTTTTTCATCGTCTTCGCCATGTTTTTAAGTTGCCAGGGTTTCGCTTTAATCAACTGGAGGCTGTCAATGCGACTTTGGACGGAAAAGACGTATTCGTTCTGATGCCAACAGGCGGTGGTAAATCCTTGTGCTATCAGCTGCCAGCGATTGTGAATTCAGGAAGAACGAGGGGCACTACTGTTGTTATATCTCCGCTGATCTCTCTGATGCAAGATCAAGTCGCGCACTTGCTGACAAAGAATATCAAAGCATGTATGTTCAGCTCTAAAGGGACTGCCGATCAGAGACGTCAAACGTTCAACTTGTTCATTAACGGCTTGCTGGATCTCATTTACATTTCCCCAGAAATGATCAGCGCCTCCGAGCAATGTAAGAAAGCAATCGGAAGACTTTATAGAGACGGCAAGTTAGCGAGAATTGTCGTCGACGAGGCTCACTGTGTGTCAAACTGGGGTCATGACTTCAGACCAGACTACAAGGAACTAAAGTATTTCAAGGAACAGTACCCTGATATACCTATGATTGCGCTTACAGCTACCGCGAGCGAACAAGTGCGACTCGATGTTGTACACAATTTACGTCTGAAAAGCCCAGTTTTTCTTAAGCAAAGCTTTAACAGGACCAATTTGTATTATGAGGTACTCAAGAAGGGCAAAAATGCAGCTCTCTCAATATGCGATGCTGTCAAATCCCGTTTCAAGAATCAAACGGGAATCATATATTGCCACTCGAAGAACTCTTGCGAGCAAACCGCTTCACTTATGCAAAAAAATGGTATCAACTCTGCTTATTACCATGCGGGCATGGAACCAGATGAAAGAAATCAAGTGCAGCAGGCGTGGCAGGCGAACAGAATACGCGTCATCTGTGCAACGGTGGCATTTGGGATGGGTATCGACAAGCCAGATGTTCGCTTCGTTTACCACCTGACGGTACCGAGAACTTTAGAAGGCTATTACCAGGAAACCGGGCGTGCAGGAAGAGACGGGAACTACTCATACTGCATAATGTACTATACTTTTCGAGATGTGCGCACTATGCAGACCATGATCCAAAAGGACAAGACCCTGGACAGGGAAAACAAGGAAAAACACCTCACGAAACTGCAGCAAGTTATGCAGTACTGTGAAAATGTTACTGACTGTCGACGGCAACTTGTGCTGTCATACTTCAACGAAAAGTTTGAATCTTCTCTTTGCCAAAAGAATTGTGACAACTGTAAGAATAGTGTTAACACTACCACGGAAGAGCGAGACGTCACCACCGATACTATAAACATATTGAGGTTGGTTTCTGAAATTCAAGATGAGAAAGTGACCTTAATCCATTGCCAAGACATATACAAAGGATCACGAAATTCGAAAATCGTTCAAGCCGGACACGACAAACTAAGACATCATGGGCAGGGAAGAAACTTGTCAAAATCAGAGATCGAGAGAATATTTTTCCATCTTGTTACGAATCAGGTTCTTCAAGAATATTCTGTGATGACAGGTCGAGGATTTGCATCAAACTACGTAAGGACGGGAATCAAGGCCAGACAGGTACTGAATGGTAAAATGAAAGTTTCCATGCAATTTGTCACTTCTTCTGACGAAGGCTCGAGACAATCGTCAATGCCACCAATGCCCGTAGGTACTGTAAGTGGAAGAACCTCTGCTGGCTCGAGAGGCATTCAATCTACAACGAATGTTACCGGTGTGCCATCCTCCGATCGCCCGGTCCTTAATCAGTTTGCTTACGAGAGTGTGACCTCATATGAGTCAATTGGTTCTAAGCGCTCTGCATCGCCCATTTTAATGGGGAATAATACGAGCAATTTGTCTCCAGAAGAACAGCTAAGTGTGACTCATGCTTACCAGGAGCTAAAGCGAAGGGCAATTGAGGTGGCAAACAAAAATAGCTATACAAGTTTCATGGGCATTATCTCCGAGCAAGCTTTGAGAAAAGCTGCAATTTCATTGCCAGCTTCTCTGGAGCAGTTCCGATTGTTGCCAAATCTAACCACTCCCCAGCAACAGAATTACAGTCACTTTAAAGACCTATTTTCAGCGTTACGCACAAAACGTCAGTCTCTGTGCAACCGAGTAACATCGCAGCAAGTCTCCCAGTCTTTAGATGTCTCACCTTTTTTCCAAAGCTCTCAGTTCAGAGAGGACGAAGAGACGAAGAGGCGCAATGATGAAATATTGCAGCAGATACGGATGTCTGCGTCGGTCGATATAAACACCAATGTTCTGAGTCAGAAACCAAAAAGTAGCCAAGTGAAGCCAAAGCGAGGCAAAAAAACCAAGTGGCCTGCTAAAAGCTGGACAAGGAAATAGTTCTGGTGCAAGTGAGAGGAAATTACAAGACGAAATCGACAGGTTGGAATTAAAAATTATGTAGTCATATTAAAAACTATAGTATAGTATTAGAAGCTAAGCTTCTTGCTTATCTAGCGGAGGGGCAGCTCCGTCTTTCGAGTTGTAGAGCACAATACCGTTGGCCCTAGCGTTTTGTCTTTCCTCGCGTTTATAAAGCCATAAAACGAGAATGGTCCATATGGATAGACAGACTGCAGACACTGCAGTCCATGTATAACCCTTCAAAAACCTTGGTGCTTCCGTTGTTTTCCACACAAGCACTGACATGAAGGCTGTAGTTGTTTGAGCCAGCATGTTCATAATAACCAGAATGATAGACCTTGCTTGAGCATCACGGCGACAAATGTCGTTCTGCCAAGAATACAAGACAGGCGCCATGGCCCAACCGAAATACTGCAGAGCGTATGCAAACCATTTTGCACCTTGAGGAACGTTCCACGCAGCAAGAATGACATTACCGGTGAAATTGAAAACCTGAGTTAAAACAATGGCCCCCCATCTGCTATGAAGCTTGTCGGCAAAAATGCCGGTAACGAGGAGATAGATCATACCCAAGGCAGGTGTAATCATACTGAGCTTGTTGATTTCGGGAATGGAGTATTTTTTGAGAGATTTTAACCACAATAGGTAGGCACCGGACGAACCATTGTTGTTGTTCCAGCAGAAGATATTCCATAGCGTAAGGACATATATCTTCCAATCGGAAAAGATGCGAATCCACACCTTCTTGTCGAATATCTTGGTAGAGAAGTCCGATTTCTCCGTGTTGTTTTCGTCAAGCCTCTTACGAGCCAACCTGATCTCATCATCGGTTAGAAAGATGGAGTAGCAGTTGTAAGGGTCTCCTGGCAAGGAATAGTATCCGATGATGCCTACAACGACGGAAATGATCCCGTCAACGATGAAATTCCATCTCCAGCCAGAAAGACCACCTCTACCGTTGAGGGCTGCGTATACTGCCGACTGAATACCACCGGCAGACATAATGCCTGCGTATTGGCCAAGGTAGTAGAAGGCGGAACGACGCACCATTTCGTCATGCTTGTAGAAAGACCCAAAGAGGTACTGGTATGCCAAGTACGAGGGGGCTTCGAAAACTCCGATGAAGAAACGGATGGCCTTCAAGTGTGGTACGGAGTTGACTTTGGAGCATCCAAGAGTCAAAATCGACCAGCAGATGTCGAGGGTTGGCAGAAAAAAGTTCAACGGAATCTTGTCGAGCAAAAAGATCATTGGCAGCTGGAACACAATGTTTCCGACCGTGTACATTACCTGAGTCTCCACCAGTTGGTTTCCTTTGAAATTCAGCTCTTCGCGCATACCCGAAACGTACGCATTGTTAAGATTTGACGAATCCAGGTATTTGACCCAGTATGCCATGCACGAATAGAACGCCAAGAGAATATCCAGTTTCAACAGCAGCTTCTTTTCCTGCTTCGAAACTCCGCTGCCAAACCACTGCCACCACTTGGCGCGGCCTGCCTGTTTTTCGTTCACACGGTACTCCTGTTCGTTAAAAAAAGCCCACCATTTACGGTTTGCCTCGTCTCTGTATTCCAAGTTCGAGTCTGTCACCGACTCTTTTTCCGAGCTGTGTTGATCGACTTTGACATTTGACGATTTTCCTTCCAAAATTTCCGAATCGCCCTCCACATCTGCTTCTGCCTCTGTCTCTGCCTCTGCCTCTACCTCTGCACTCTCGATATTTCCCATCAAATCCGTTTCGTCTACTATTCTTCTGGTAGGAATAAACCCCCATTTTAGCCTACGAAATGGGTCCACTACCCATTCGCTAGCCAAATCTTGAGCCAGCCCTCTAGCCCGAGTAGTCATATTTGCTTGCTAAATAAACTCAAATATTAGTCCAAGGATTATCCGATTGTTTCCTCTCCCACTCGACTTTTTGCCCAGCCTTTAAGTAAGGCACAGTTCGATGCGACAAACCCGCTCATCGCATTCAATCAATCTCACATAACCTCTACAATTAATTTACATCGTAAGCCACAGTAACTTTCCCATCGCATTGTTCGACTGAACAGGGTCCTATCAGTGCCTGGGAAAGCCACACAGATATTTTTGCAAGTCGAGCAAGAGAACTCAAATTTAAAGCGATGACTAACTGACTAAACTTCACCGGAAATTCCACCTCTCAGATTTGACAGACTCAGATTTGACAGAAGCATTGTCAGTAAAAATCATTCAAAGGTTATGATGCCATCGAAAATCGGGCAAATTTTTATTTTTTTTACCGGTCTTTTACGCCGTAAGCCACAGAGACCGAGTGACGTTTACCCGCGTTAGAGACGTCTAAAAATTCGAAATAATTCTGCTGGGCGCCACCGCGCCTGCAACTGGGTCTGGCATTGTGTGCCAAGCAGTTATGTCTTGGCTTTTACTTCAAGAGATAAGATAGATGTCAGATCACTTTGTACTAATGTGACATTAATTTAAGCATGTGAAAAGAAAGACGGACGACACAGGCGTATGAAACGATAATGAATGAGAGAGAGAAAATGGGAATATCACTTTGTTCCCCAGTGACATCAAACCGTGAGCCAGAAGCGTTATGCCTTACTCTTCCTTCAACAGTAATGCTTGAAATGCTAATTATTCAGTCTATATTCCTCGCTATTCTACAGCAGCTATTCCAGCCCTAGCTCTCGCACGCCAAGCTGCGATCTTGATCTCAGTCTTGCTTGGCAACGGTCTCTTCAACCGATGGACACGTGCACATAAGGTTCAGGTCACCGTAAGTGTCGTCCAGACGAGCCACTGGAGGCCAGAACTTGTTGTCTCTCAGGTAGGGCAGTGGGTATGCCGCCTGTTCTCTGGTGTATCCTCTGGCGTCCCAATCGGAACTCGAAATTATATCCTCCAACGAGTGAGGCGCGTTTTTGAGCACCGAGCCCTTGGGGTCGCCAGCGACTTGTAGATCGATCTCGCCCTTGATGGCAATCATGGCATCGACAAAGCGATCTAATTCTTCCAAATTTTCTGACTCTGTGGGCTCCACCATCAGAGTGCCTGGAACTGGGAACGCCAACGTAGGCGCATGGAAACCGTAATCTTGCAGACGTTTGGCCACATCAATGGCTTCGACGCCCTGGGCCTTGTATTTCCTCAGGTCGATAATAAACTCGTGGCCGCAGTGCTTGGTGCTCGACATCTCGTTGACAAACATAATGTCGTAGTGGGACTTCAAGCGGGTCATCATGTAGTTGGCGTTGATCATAGCCACAACAGAGGAGAAGGGCAAGCCCTTGGACCCCATCATCTTGATGTAGGCGTACGAAATTGGCAAAATAGAGGCACTGCCATAGGGAGCACTCGATACTGAGCTGATGCGGTTTTCTTTTGGAGCGCCTGTCATCATCTCTACCACGTCGTGGCCAGGCAAGTATGGGCCCAAGTGCGCCTTCACGCAGATGGGGCCCACACCAGGACCACCGCCACCGTGAGGAATTGCAAAAGTCTTGTGTAAGTTCAAATGACAAACATCTGCGCCCAAATCACCGGGGGAGGTCAAACCTACCTGTGCATTCATGTTGGCACCATCCAAGTACACCTGACCACCATGACTGTGAACAATGTCGATGGCTGTTCTGATACCGGGACCAAACAAACCGTATGTCGATGGGTATGTGATCATGATGGCAGCCAAGTCGTCTGCGTGTTTTTCGGCCTTAGCCTGCAAATCTTTGAGATCCAAGGAACCGTCAGGTAGACAGTTGACTGGAACCACTTTCAAGCCACACATAACAGCGGAGGCAGGGTTGGTACCATGGGCCGATACAGGGATCAGGCAGATTTTACGGTGCGATTCGCCCTTGGACTCCAAGTAGGCTTTAATAACTCTTAGACCAGTGTATTCACCTTGAGCGCCCGAGTTTGGTTGCAAAGAGACAGCGTCGAACCCAGTGATGTCAGCCAAGTCAGACTCCAATGATTTGATGAGCTCACGGTAACCTTCTGCTTGTTCAACGGGCTGGAATGGATGCATGTTTGCGAACTGAGGCCATGTAACTGGCATCATCTCCACCGTAGAGTTCAGTTTCATTGTGCAGGAACCTAGTGGGATCATGGAGTTAGCAAGCGACAAATCGCGGCTTTGTAGACGATGCAGGTATCTTAGCATGGCAGTTTCGCTGTGGTGTTGGTTGAAGACCTCGTTAGATAGGATGGCATCAGTACGCAAAAGCTCGGTTGGGAATTCAGGCAAACTTTCAGGAAGGTCTGCAGAGCTTCCAAACAATTGACACAAGTTGAGCAGATCTTCTTTAGTGACGATTTCATCCAACGAAAGAGAGATGGTATCTTCGTTAACTGCAAACAAATTGATCGAATACTTGTCGAGGGCCTCTTTCAAAAATTCTTGAGAAGTGGTACCATTGGCCAATTTTACGGTCAAAGTGTCAAACCAAGTGTCGTTTACCAACGTGTGGGGAGACTCTTTCGAAATCTTTTGAGCCAAGACTGTAGTAAACCCGTAGATTCTGCGAGCGATGTCTTTTAGTCCCTCGGAACCGTGGTAAACGCAGTAGTTGGCGGCAATGTTGGCCAAGAGAGCTTGGGCGGTACAGATGTTGGAAGTAGCCTTGTCACGCTTGATGTGTTGTTCTCTGGTTTGCAAAGCCAAACGCAAAGCCGGTTTGCCCAGACGATCTTTCGAAACACCGACGATTCTACCGGGAATCTTACGGTTGAGTTTTTCGGGGACCGAAAGGAACGCAGCGTGGGGGCCTCCGAATCCAAGAGGGACACCAAATCTTTGCGAAGATCCGAAAACCACATCCGCGCCAAATTCAGAAGGAGGCTTCAAAAGCGTTAGAGCCATCAAATCAGATGCTACAATCAACAGAGAGCTGTTGGCATGCAAGACATCGGCAAACGACTTCATAACCTGTCCAGAAAGAAGGGAACCGTCTGTGGCTGGGTATTGAACCAATCCACCGAAAACCGATTTGCCGCCTAGAGCCTTTTTGCAAGCATCCACGTCGTTAACATCGACCTCCACGAGCTCAATACCGAAAGGTTCGGCACGAGTGGTCAATACTGCTTTAGTTTGAGGGTGCACACGAGAATCGACAACAAAAGTAGATTTCTTGCGTCTAGCGGCACCGAAGGCGAGTAGCATGGACTCACCAGCTGCGGTTCCTTCGTCGAGAAGCGAAGCGTTTGCCACTGGCAAGCCTGTGAGATCGGCGACCGCAGTTTGGAAGTTCAAAAGCGACTCCAAACGGCCTTGCGAGATTTCAGGCTGGTAAGGTGTGTATGAAGTGTACCACTCAGGGCATTCTAGAAGATTTCTCTGGATCACAGGTGGCAGGGTAGTGCCGTAGTAGCCCTTTCCGATCAGGTTTCTCACTTTATGCAAGTTTTTATCCGCGATTTGTTGCAGATGTTGCAACATTTGCTGTTCGGTGAAGCCCTTGGCAGGAGCGTCTAGTTGCAAAGCTCTCTTTTCCAGCACTTGTGGAGGGATCAGCTTCGAGACGAAATTGTCGAGATCGTCATAACCCATTGTTTTCAACATATTTTGAACATTCTGTGGGTTGGGACCTAAATGGCGTCTTTGGAAGTTGTCCAAGGGCTCGTATGAGCCCTTGGCAGGCTGGTATATCTTTTCATACTGCTGTGACGACACGTTCGCAAGCCTGGCGGCCTGTTGTGACGCAAAACGGCTGCTGTGCAGCGATCTCGCGACGAATAGCCTGGATCTGGCTAGTCCGACTCTTGATCTGAGCATGTGGCAAACACTTGATGGTTATTTTAACAAAGTTGATCACACAGAGGCGGCAAAGTCTGTCAACAAACAAAAAATCGGCGATGTAAGGGCTAGTTCGTACTGAAACCACACAGGCTTGTGCAAAATCTCAAATTTGTGATTTTAACGAGTTGGAAAGCACCGATTGGTCCAAAACTTGTGGTCAGTAGAACTCTTTCCTTCCGATCTCTAAATCGAACGTTTTACGGGATTTCTTGATTTTTGAACCTGGTAAAAACACTTGTCTCAACCGAGCGAAACTGTAATGGTCGAAACGCTTTGCTTCTTATACTCTGAAAACTCAAGCGAGTGTTATCGAGGTTTCAATTAGGCTCATCGCCTTCATCACCGATCACTGTGTAAGGTGGTGGTTCTACCATTCTGGTAATCCGGTGATGAGGGGAGGAGTCAAGCGGTGTTATCGCGAGTTTCTGACTTCTGACGCGATACGAGAAAACGGAGTCGTTTTTTTTTCTAGGACAGCTGGAAATTTTTGACTTCTTTTTTTGACCCGGCAAAAATTAATATCACGTGAAATAGGCGTGATATAAGTATTTTACATGGTTTTAACGTGATGTGATTATCGAGTTCAGTCACGTGTTTTTCACGAGACTTTTCTCGTCTGGCCAACAGCAACGCTCCTAGACCCTCACGGCCTGGAACTGACGTCCCATGTTGCATCCAAACCAGTCGCCCTCGGGTCGCCACACTAGGTTGTTGATCTCGTAGTTTGTGTCGTCGTAGGCTTGCTGTGGAATTTCGATGGAGTGTGCGCTCGTTTTGCCGTTGTTCCATCGCGTTGAAGCTGTCGACGCTGTAGCAGCACTGGACGAGGCTTGCTGTGTGTTTATATCCCACACCAGCGCTTGGCAATCGTCTCCACCTGAAATTAACACGTTGTGACGAGAAGGATGCCATTGAATTTGATTAACGGCTGCAGAATGTCCGTCCAGCGTCCAAACCGGAGCCCCAGGATACCGCATGTCCAAGATCAACACGCTGGTCGAATCTTGTGCGAAAGTCGCCACCACATTAGGATCGAAAGGCGAAGGTTCCAGTCTTAGAAGGGCATTTCGTCCTGGATCCGCACTTGAGCCTGCCGAACCGCTGCCGTGGGCACTGCCACTGCCGCTGCCACTGATGCTGCCACTCCCACTCCCACGGCCATTTTCACTGGCAATGCCAGTTCCGTGTTCACGGGAATGCGACCTGGTGCTACTAGCTGGTTCGTAAATGATGGTGCTGTGGGCCAGAGATCTCAGATCAAACACCCGCACACTTCCATCGCCCCCGCAGCTTGCAAACAGCTGTGTGGACTGCGTCAAAAACTTGACGTCAAAAACCTCGCTGTCGTGAGCAATTAGTTGGGTCTTGACGTAGTTGCTCGATTGCAAGTCCCACACAGTGCATGTAGTGTCGATGGAGCTCGAAATAATTAAATTAGGGTCTGTAGAGTTCCAATGGAAAGATGACACCGGAGGTAGTTGTCCCAGCGCTGCTGTGGAGCCTTGATTGCCTGCACAGGCGCTTCCGCTCCCATTTCCGTTGGTTTTGTTGTAACGTTGGAGCGATAAATTCAATTGTTCTTCAAGCACAAAGTCCGAGAAAGTCCACAGGCGAAGCGAGTCCGAGCTTGTTGCTAGCTGTTGTGAAATTCCATTAGGGCACCATTGGACTTTCGAAACGGGGAAAATGGTACCGGCTTCCCCTACTTTGTCCCACGAAATCACATCTGAGGAGTGCAAGATTTGTAACTTGTTGTAGCTGTCCTCTCTGTACGATCCAACCGCGACGTAGTCCTCGGGACTCCAGTCTAATGCGTAGAGTGGGAAAGCAGTTTCGTAACGACATGGGTAAAATGCCATGGGTGTTTGTTGGACTGGCGGTTGCTGCGCTGCGTACATTTGTCGTGGTGAGTAGTATGATAGATCATTTTGACTGAAGTTCACCATAGGTCTTTGGAAGCTTCCAAACGAGATAGAACTGCGCTTCCCAGCTCTGTAGTTGTCCATTTTGGCTGCTCAAACGTGCGAATCCGGTTTATAACTCTGACAACAAGAAACCTGTCAGAAAACCGGCTAAAGTGGCTCTTCAAACCTGCTGAAAAAGCCAATTGATATATTGAAAGGGCTGTTGACACCTTGAGACCAGATATACGCGCCTGAACTGCTCTTGAAGCTCTTAAAGGAGTATCTGAAAACGCATTTGACGTCACATAGGATGGTCGAAATTAATTTAGAAGATTAGTACAAAGTGATGGGTTGAATTCAACAATATTAGCTATGGCAAGCAGGAACAACTCGAGCCAAAGGCTCAACCGCGAAGCTGATAGTCAACCTTATATATAGACAGAGAATGTCAATCTCAGCAGTCTAACCCATAGCTCGCCGGCCGTGTCAAGAGGAAAACTGAGCAATTGAAATAAAAAAATAGAGTAAAAAAACTTGACATAGCTGATATTGGAGCGGGACCGCTGGATGAAAATTTCTGGGCAGTAAGGTTCGATTGTTGCGGCTAAGTAACTGTGCTTCAGACTAACTATGGGAAGAGCCTTTGGCTTCTATCTCTCTTAACACTCTTTCAAAATAAATTGTTCATATTATATCACGTGGTTAAATGACAGGTTTGAACCAGGTAATAGCAAGAGATTCAAAGGGCCATGTAGAACACAGCTTACCGTAGATGGATCTTTTCTTCGGCACTCATAAACCAATTGGGTAGTTTCACGGTGAGCCTCCCCCCCTCTCTCTCTCGGAGCTTTGTTCACCCTGGGGAAGCGGTTTCGATCATGAAATATAGTATATCGCATGATATCATCAGCGGCATGTTGATAAATTTTCGCATTATCATATTTTTCCTCTCATTTGGTAGAGAAAGGTCTTTAAAGATCATTGATCAGGATAAGCAATTCTATTTAATTTTTTTGCTTGTCGGTACGTTTGTAGACAGGTCATTGTGGTTTCAAATTCCCAAAAAGGTGATTTTGCACACTTAATTCTGCTCTCCAGTAGGTACCCATTCAGTCGAGTCTCTCTTCCAGGTGCTACGGTTGTCAGATATTATTGATACTATTCTTATCACTTTGTACTAATTTGTCAACAAAGCGAGATGAGATCTCACAGATTTCCAAAACCATGCATCTTGGGAATCCCCATAAAATAACAAGCATGATTTGAGCCTGCTCATCACGATACATCCTATCTCTGCGCTCAAAGATATCGGGAAAAAGTGTGGGGAAATCAAATCACCAAACCAGCTCAGATATTCAATTTTTTGCGTCCAAAAGAGAGCGGAGAAATTACGGAGAAATGCACCTAGCCTTTGACTGACTATATCATTGGTTATTGGAAACTATAGCTCATAGCTAAGCCTTCGTTTGATGTCGGTAAACGCTTCACCCAGTTAAAAGTCACGTGACCAGAAATCTCTACTCGTCAATTATTGAAAATGCCCATGTTAACAAGATGCCCATTCAAGAACATCTTAATATCCACGAGATCGGACTAGAATAGAGCCCTTGGGTCCCAGGTCTTATACTACAGTCTTTTCGGCGTCATCACTTTTGGTGAAGAAGCTCATATCAACAATTTATCATGGCTCGTCAAAACTTTGTGGGACTGGTAGTCTCGCAGGGCAAGATGCTCAAGACGGTAAAGGTTCGTGTGGAGACCAAAGTATTCAATAAACGCATCAACAAGGAGCTTTTCAGCAGGAAGGACTATTTGGTGCATGACGAGGAGGGTGTTTCTCGTGAAGGCGATTTGGTGCGTATTGAGGCGACCAGGCCACTGTCCAAGCGTAAGTTCTTTAGTATAGCAGAGATTCTCAAAAACAAAGGTCAACAGTTCGCACTGTTTGAGTCTGAAGCCAAACAACAAGTTTCGCAAGAAGAAGCGCAGAAAACACGAGAATTTTTGAGCAGACGTGAGGCTGTTGAGTCCAACGATAGCGTCCTGCTCAGAGACATCCACACGATTCAAAAAGCATTGGCACAGGGCCAGGATGCTCAGGAACTGGCAGAGATCAAAGCCCGCTACGGCATTGAAAACTTCACACCCGAAACCTTGCGTCAGCTGCTGCATTTGGACGTGTCGGCCCTCGAACAGCAGGTACAGACGCAGATGGCCAAGATCGATTCCGTGCAGGAGCGCGTGCGTGAATTGCTGCAGAACAGTGAGGATTGCAACCTGTGGCTGGCACAGCGCGGTGTTCAGAACCCGGAGGCTTTGAAGGCCAACATCAAGCGAAATCTGCTCCGCAAGCACATTTTGCAAGAGTTATAGTTATAGATTGACCAGGCTACCGTTTGCCAAGTCATCATTTCCTCTGTATATATAAATGTATGCATATGTATATGTATATATATATATATATGTACATATAGATATAATATTATCACAAGTTCAGATCCTAGCCAACTCTGGTTAAGCTCAAACGCCCAAAGGACGTCCCTCGCCTTGAAAAGCGGTGTTCAATGGGGTTGAGTGCAGCGGAAGAACACTGTCCTCGCCAAAAAGAGAAGTATACGAATCTGCTCTGTTAGCTTCAGCTTCTCTGTAGAACTTGACACCCAAGGGGATTGCCGCAATAGCACGGTCCAGTTTGCCCTCAATCTTTTGGATCAATGAGCTTGGCGGGAGCAACTTGGCTGCATGCACCTCCTGCGACCCCAGCACGTAGCCCCAGCACAGACCAATGGAGTGACCCCAGAAACTAGACCCGGGGAAAAAAATTGTCACCAACAGCAGTATCGCTAGCGGGACGTAGCGAGTTGGAAGCGAGTAGTTGTTGAAAATCTGTTGCCTAGGGCGTATTATCGATTCCTTGAAGCTGAAATACGCCAGCAGCGAAAAACACCACCCACTACTTCCGATGACTTCCGTTTTCGAGAAGAAAAGTGAGCCCAGTAGGCAATATGGGATCGCAGTGAAAACCGCCAAAAGATTGAGAATAACGCCGGTGTGAACGGTACCGTGGCTTCTCTCGAAGATCGTTAGAGGTCCATATAGCGAGATCGAGTTCATCAAAAGATGCACGAACGACAGATGGCCTAACGGGTACAAGGAAATGCTGTTTACTTCGCAATCCGTGAGTTAATATCGGTCTTCGGCATGGGAGACACGGTAGACATGAAAAAACATACAGTTGAGCTTGAATAAAGCGTCCGGTCTGAGACTTATGTGCCCATTGATGTTGAACACGAAATTGGCAACGTACAACAGGAACATAAAGATCATCAGGCCCGTGCTTAAAGCAGCTGCTGGCTTGCCATCAGGCATTTTCAATTGAGGCAAGTTACTCACGCTCATAACAACTCTAAAGAATGGGAGCTGAGTGATGAAGTAGGGCTTGGTGTTCTTCCATTTGACAATGAAGTTGGCGATGTAGAGATGCCCTTGAAATATTTCGAGATGGGATGTTTCGTGTATCATGATATTGAAATTTATATGTAATAAATCGGCGTGAAAAAAGCTAGTATTTCGCTAGACTTAAGTAGCTGAAGTTAGAGTCTATGTGAGGTCTTTCAAGCTCGTTGAACGCTGGTGTTTTGGTTGTTGACTAGTTATTCCCCCTCTTTTTCTGGGGAGAAACCTTGTATTTTAATATTAATAATAGTCACGTGACTCAGGTGTCAATCAACCGACACCGTACAACCTTCTTTAGATTCGTGTAGCCTTTCTGGGAGCCGTAACGTCGCCATATGCTGGTACCTGGATCAAGATTTCTACCAGAGACTTACTGTTTTTATTTTTTTTCTCTGAGATCTGCCTTCTCTACATATACAATTAGCGTCAATTTTATTAACTTGGCTCCAGAAACCCACTACATAGCAGCTTAAGCCCTCGACAAATTCCAGCCTACATCTAGTCACGAAAAGCTCTATTCGAGCTCGAGTGCGACGTATACTTAGGATCCCACTGCGACTCGAAAATCAAATCAAAAAAAAAAAAAAAAACTACTATCTCTATCTCTATCTCATTATTGTGTCGTCGTAGTGCAGACATTCAATCATTCGACTTTCCGCGCGTTCGCCGCTACCGAGGCTTGTCGCTTGATCAACGCTTCGCTCGTAATTCCTGCAAAAACAATGCTGATCCCCAACCATTGTAATTTCGTGACGCGGTGGCCATACACCATGATGCTAAGAATCATAGATATCATCTTCCTAGTGACGGTAACCATCACCAAGACCAGTGAGCCGTAGTTTTGCAGCGTGTAAAAAATGCATATTTGGCCCAAGGCCCCGCATGCCGCATACGTCAGCAAATAAATCCCAATTGATGGATCCTGAAAAATCATATCTTTGGTTCTGATGGCTTGCTGTGGGTCCACTACCGTCAAATACAGCAAATTCCAGAGAACTATGCATAGATTGAGTCCCAGCATCAAATGGCCACCTGTGATGCACTTTTGGGTCTTTTGGGCCCGATTGCGCCTTAACAGGGTATCCTGCGTGGCATTAGTGAACCCATCTAGTAGCAGACTAACCGTAAGGGGCAAAAAGCCGTGCACAAGACTCATGTTCTTCCCGTTATTTTTGCCAGCCGGTTTTTGAGATCCCAAGTTGAACAGAACGACTCCGAAAGTGACCGCAAGTGCAACCATTTTCTTGTCGTTCGGGACCCGAGTATGGTACAAAATCAAATGCACAGCCAGGATGGGGAGTAGTTTGCAGCTTTTGGCCAGCATGTAAGTTAAAAAATCCACGTACTGCAGCGAGTACGTGGCCAGTGGACTCGAAACGCTCTGTGTCAGCGAAATCGCCAGCAAATCGCGGTAAAACTCGCGCAAAAAATCCCGTGCTCTGTACCCCGTATGTTCTCGGTGTAAGTACAATATTCCGGTCATCCCGGCGACCGCAGCCTGCACCAATGCCACGATGCATGGTGCCTGAAATTTAGCTTGCGAATTTGGCCAAACTCGTGTCGTCAAGGGCTCATAAACCAAAGACCACGTCAGAAACGCTGCGTATATGCCCGAGACACACGCTACAAGTCTCAATTGCGCTCCCATGACCGCTCAGTTCAAGTTTACAAACTATATCTGTAATGGACCTAATCGACCTAATAGACTGCTTAAAATGACCAAAAAACACAGCTTTTAACCGCTGAAAGAACGTAACTGGTATTTCTTGACTCACTAAACTCAATTGAGTACACTTGATTGGCAGAAATGGCGTATTTATACGTGGTTTTCGCCATTCCTCTCGAGTGAAGTTCATGATGAATAGATCTTAGATTCGATATTGAAAAATTTTGAAATTATCATCAGTACATCTTTACATCAACAGAATCAGACCAGAAAACCACCAGTATTCACCATGACTGAAACTTCAACAAGTCACTACTCGCCGCTAGGCGCTACGTATGGGGTCAGGATTGACCAATTCCTCGAAACAGCCGAAGATTTCGACAAATATCACGCTAAATTGAACCGGAAATTGCAGAAGTTGAGACACCACTGCCAGTTGACCACCAAGGACACCAAACGGTATTCTGCCAAGGAGAAGTACTCGAAAGTGACACACGAGGATTACGACACCAAGAATAAACTTTTTGGAACACTTGTGCTTCTACACGCGGAACGAGACCTCGCGCTGGCAGAGACCTTGCGCTTACGCTCTCATCAGAGAGGATCGTTGAAAAAGTCAGAAGCTAAAGTGATCGCTACTAGACTAAAAAAGACATGCCAGACATGTACCAAGCTTTTGGAACTGACTCAAAATGAACAAAACCCTTACACGCGTGCTGAGTACCTTATCTACCACAAATTGGCAATTGTTAGTCATCTCAGTTTTGGCAAGCACTCGAAGACCAAACGCTTGGCCACGGCATCACAAGTGGCCAAGGAGCTCAGTCTAGTGTTCTCAGCTCTTCAATTTTTGCAGAAAAAGGAAATTTTGAGCGCAGTAATCGTGGATTCCATCACGGCCCAATTCGACTACCTCTTGAGGCAAAGTGCAAGCAGTGAGGCGTCATCGTCTAAAGAATTGCGTCATTTCGTTGCAAAACAGGTCAACGACAACGCTGATGAACCGCTAATCTCTTTACTGTCTCAAAACGGCCTTGAAATGCCCTCTCTAGCTCAAGAAGGCGAATCTGCGGCAGCTGCCGTACCTAGGGTCCAGTGGCGGAGATTTTCTGCTGAGATTGGAGACTCAAAGGTGGCAGAAGTTATCTCAGAGGCCCAAACCATTCAGCCTCAGGATTTGTCCCAATACAGTGAAAAACTTGCTAAGTGGCACCAGGCCCTCGACTTGCAACAGACCGTAATGGAACAAAAGCGGAATGATGACAGCACCGAAAATACCGGCGAAGACGATGAGATTCTACTGACCTACATTCAGTACAACTCGCACTTTACCACGATCGAGCGCGACGACATATTGTTTCACAAGCTGTGGTCGCAGTGGACGTCCTCTTCCAACAAATCTAAAAATCTGAAAATCACCAAGTACAAAGAGATCGAGCGAATTGTGCATAACCTTGCCACCTACTTGCAACAGGTGATGGATCTGCCGGGTGTTTACTCCGACGACACTCTTATGGCCAATTTAAAACTGGCTACCGTCTACTACCAATTGCATCTTTCCGCGGGCTGTTTAGCGTCTTTCTACCAGGGCCAGCAGAAATACTTGGAGGCCCTTGCGCTTTATTCGGACGGCCAAAAAGTTCTAGCGTCTGCTGCCCAAGACACATCTTTGGAAGACCCGCTGCCTGGTGACATTATTAATGCGAAGAAGCTTCATGAACTCGAGGATTTCATCTGGAGCTCGTTGAAAAGTGTGATCTCGCTGGCCGAATATGAGAAAATTGCTTCTTCTGCTAGACAATCCTCGCTAGAATTGTCGGTTGTGGAGAAGTTGGACAAACATATCGCTCCCAAAGATGTTTCTCTTTCGAACTTATTCCCATTGAGACCTATAATAAGGCCAATTAGTGCCAAACCGACCCTTTTTGATCTCGCTTTCAATTATATCACCTACGATGGCCATTCCGAAGAGCCCGAACTAGATGAGCCGGAGATGGAAGCCACTCAACCTGACCAGCAAGCTCAAGCTCAAGCTCAGGTGCCAAAGAAGAAGGGACTTTTCGGTCTTTTTGGCCTTTAAACGACCCTCTGGATCAAGTGTAATGTATATGTAATGAAGAACTGGCTAAAGCTCTCCGAGTCCAACGTTTTGAATCGACATTAATGGCCATCATGCTCTGCGAGCCCACATCAGCCATGAAGCCATTTGTCACTTTAAGCTTTACCTGACACTTTTCTCATCAGATAATTCATTCCTTACGCTAGTTTTAAAAGGTGTCACCATTACCTCTGAGCTGAGCTGAATCGCACGCTTCATATGCGTTGGATAGCTCACTAGTGCACATTCATACTTTTAATCAAGGTTTGACTTCTACTGGTGCTTTTCCAAGAGATGGTGGAGGAAGAAACGAAGTGCTGGATATGTCTTTGTTCTGGAGATGAATGCCCACCTATGGGCTCTCTTAACGACGCCCACGACTGGGTGCACCCGTGCAGGTGTTCTTTAGTGGCCCATCGCAAGTGCCTCTTAGAGTGGGTGTCTCGAAACCATCTCGACTATAAGAACGAAGTGCTGAATAATTTCAGTAATGAGGGTCTGAACATATGGTTTGAATCTATAAATATTTCTGACGCTTATTCGTGGCTTCACTTGGCTGCAGGTAATCTCCAGCCTTTGAGTTGGTTTGGAGTGCGCAATCTGAGATCGGATGCTTTTCCCAATGAACTCAGATCTTTTGATCCCATTGAAATCAGTCAAGTCTTCTTGGGTGAAATTGACGAATCTGTGGTCAGAAACGTTGCTGAGGCCATGGCTGCGGGTGCTCGAGAAGTTTCCTTTGCTGAGGACTTGTCACTTCGGAAATCACGCAAGTTGGTGATTAATACAGTTTGTCCGCAATGTAACGCTCCGATCTTACTCAAGACTAGTCGTGGGATCATAGTTCCAACATCGGTTCTGATCTCTAAGACCTTAAACTGGTTTTCCAAAACTATAACTCAAACAACCATACTAGGAACCGTGGGAGGCTCTCTTCTTTTCAGTTTTGGTGGTCTTCTAACGTCATGGGGGCTGCGCATACTCACCACTCTAGCTCCCGAGAGCACACTTCTGAAACTTCTAGATTTACAAACGGCCTCTTCCTTGTACCAGGCTTTCCAGAAGAATCAAATAGGTATCAGACAGATTATGTTACTGGGCTTGGCACCCATCTACTTGCTAAGCTTTAGATTTGAGAATAGGTTTATGAGCTGGCCTAAACGACTGTATCCACTCCTGTTTCTCAAGCCAGGCGAAGCTTTGGGAATGAACGTAAAGAGGTTTCTGTTGCTACAATACCCAGCATCGGTACTCAATGATTCCTTCAAGGCCCTTGTATACAACCCAATTTACTTCAGCTGGGTCCACCGGGTGAAGCCCTACTTCGTATGTGACAGGATGTCTTTGCAGCAACTAAAGCTTTACGAGGCAGAGCAGCAATACCTTGAAACCCAACGCGACCTTGAAGAGCGCAATCACAATTCACAGGGTATACTGGCAAAAATGCTAAATCCATTCAGATCAGGTACTGAAGAACCCATCGCACAAGGCATCAGCGCCCGTCGTCTTACTATGCTAACGAGATTTGACTACTCTCAGGCTCTTATAGAGACAACGTTCTGGGAGAAAATCGGTAGCACCATTTTATGGCCTGCGGCTGGTAAACTAATACACGATGCGGTTCTCTCGAAATCTGCCTGGTTCAAGAGTTTTCTGTCACAATGCACATCGACTCCAAATGACGGTTTGTACCTCGGAAATTTGATCGGATGTTGTGCAGTGGTACTCTTGAAAGATTTGGTCCATTTCTTCATCACTTGGCGCAGGGTGAGGCAACTGGAGAGTATGGAAGTCATGGAGTACATGTCCACAGAATGGGAATATATTCTGAACAGGAAAATCGGCCAAATTCTCAATCACTTAACTGCCTTGGGCGAAGACGAGGAATCACAATCGATTCTCAACGAACATGTAAACAGCATGCTAGCGGGCCCATACCGCGATCAGTGGGTGGATATTTCGGCAAATATACCGACGCTAGCTGGCAAGGTCAACTTCTTCAGGTACCTAGCAATGAAAATGGGTATCGAGCGTTCTGCCGCTTTCAGAAAGACAAAGACTGGAATAATGTCTCATTTAGGTCACCGATAGACTCTTCGGAATTACGTGATGGAGCGGCTTAACGTGCGACACAGGTGGACGCTGGTGACCTCAAACATCACTAATAGCATGTACTTTATCACAATTGCAAAAGCATCATATAGCATTACTGGAACTCCGGAGTAAGCGGTTTGGAAAGGTTTCGGAAGACTCCATGAAGAGCTCAGGGTCACTTGTACTAATGTTTATGCCTGGTGGTATAAATTGCCAGTTTGAATTACTGTTTTTGACGCATGGTTGCGTTTTTAACATAACATGGTATAAACAGTCGACAAAAATACTTAAATTGTAGAAACTACTGAGTCCTCTTGATGAAGGAGGTGATGATCAGCTCAAGTAAGGGATCCAGTTTGACATCCGCGGTGCCCGAAAAAAATTTCAGCATCGCGTTTTTATTTTTTGCCAGCTGATCCAGCAACTTTGATATCTGAAAGTTGTCGGTGCTAGACTTGGATCTCTTATCGGCTTTCCTCTCGTCAATAAGCTCAACTGCAAAGTACTCTCCATCTGAAGTTGAGAATCTGAATGTCACATCCGGAAATTTGGGACCACTAGAACCAAAAAAACTTACTGCCGCTTTCCCTAAGTTCTCGCCTGCAAGATCCTTCAAAACATCCAGCTCGAAGAGGCGCCGTGTATTCCACTCAAAACTCAAGCAGTCTTTGGTGTTCGCGTTTTTATTGTTCACTTTGTGATAGACGTCTTTTATTTTCCGGCTCAAGCCGTGCTTTTTGACAGGCGTATAGCTGGTAGACATCTGCGCCTTATTCAAAGCTCGTTTTTGAGCTTGTTCAAGGGTACGAGAGCGCTCTTCTAATTGAGCGTTGGTCGCTTGAATTGTTTTCAGGGTATGTTCAGCGGTTTTTATCTCATTCGTAGTTGACTCCACTACATATTCCCTGGATTTAATCGTGTTGGCAATATCGTTGAGAATGGTCTGAAGTTTATCGTCGATGCTCAAGTTTCCCATCTGTCTGAGCTCGTAGGCTCGCTCTAACACATGCTGCTTTAGATTGAAGTAACTCACAGGCTCGAGGTTATTAAGTAGAGGATCATTTTGAATAGCCGCGGTCTCGTGAAGCAATTTTTGAAAAGTAGGTTCATCAGTGTCAATGATGCTGCCAGTCATCAGGTCATACAAGTTCGTTTCCACGTCCTCAACTTGCATCATGTACACAAGTCCCCGCTTGATCTCATTGTAAATGGAGGTCAGCCTATCGTCACTTGATGATAATTGGTAGGCACTTGGGTTCAAGCGAAGTTCTATAATGTTAATATTGGTGGCCTGGAGGAGCTTTTTCTCACCTGTTCGAATTCTTTTTACCAGAGGGTTTATGGCGTCATCATGAGGGAAGGCATCCAGGTTGGAATCGAGTTTTTGACTGATTTCAACCAAGTACTGCTTGGGGATACTGAGCGTGGGTCTCTCGTCTTGACACATGTCAATGTATAACAGTCTATCACAGAATGCCTCAAATGAAGGTAATGTCAGCATCTTCTTGAGCGACAAAGCCAAATCATCCTTTATCTGGCTTGTATACTGGTTGAGAGGTGTTAGGTATCCCTCAAACTCTAAAAAACAGAACACTGTGTTAACTGCCTCAAGTAAAATCTTCGCTTTGCTGGCAAAACCAGAAGATGGCTTTGACAAGCCAAATTTAGCGGGAAACTCCAAAACTGGAGCAACTACCGCCTCTATCAGTAGCCTTGAGATTGCAATCAAAGCATCACTTTCATATGGACTATGATTCGCCACAACTTTGAATCCAGTGGTGCACAGAAACTTTATTTCCTCGGGTATGAGGTGTGCGTTCTTCAACAAAGTCTCACTGACAAGTTCCACAGCTGTCCACAAATTGGTAAGATTGGTAACGAAACTGTTTTTGGTCTTTTCATCCTCGATTGCATCACTTGAGGAGCGTTCGGCGTCATGGGGATGGTTTCTTCTATAAATTGCAGCCGGTGTCGACTCAAAATCCACGGAGTCCAGAGATAAAAAGTCGAGCAGAGGGGAGAGCATCTGGATGATGAGGTCAGACATTTGGCGGCTGACGTAGAAGAAAAGTAATTCTTTCCAGTAGCCCGAGCCTCGAGCGGTCAGAAATTGCTGAGGGTCACCAGAGCTTTCGATATCAGTAGCTAAAAACTCGGCCACGAGTTTGATGAAGAATACAGCTTCTCTGCGGCCCATGGCATTGTTGGTGGAAACAAATGTTTTCGAAAGATGTTTTACAGCAAATTTCGGATCGAGGCGGTGCAGTGTGACCCAGTAAAAGGGATCTGTTTGAAGCAGATACAGCAACTTTTCGTACTCTGGGAAATTTGAGCATACACCGGACTGAGAAGTGCTTCCTGGAAAGCTGTGGGACACAAAAATGTTGTAGTCACTCAAAATAGCGTTCTTTCTCTTCAAAAGTTCAAACTTTTCCTCTAATCGATCCCTGTCACCATTGAATTGATCAATTTGAGACTTAAGAAACTCCAATTTGTTACGGGATTCATGATTAGCATGTATTTTGCTGAGAAGGTGAACAAATTTCTTCACGGCCCGGACGCTCGGATTCGCCGCAGACATGAACTCCAAATATGCTCTTCGTAACAAAAAGCGTCGAATCGAGGCCTGTATTTTAATAACTCCCGATTTGTGAGTTTCGTAATGCAAAGACAGCTGTATGTTGCGATCTCGGATGATAGAGCCTCTTGCCAACGCTTGAAGATTACACAAATGGCTTGCCTCCACAATATCGGCAATCAGCTCCAAGGTAAACCTAACGAGAATGCCCCTTGAAAGAGCTTGCAGGGAAGCAACCGGATCTTTACTGTCACGCACTGCTGCGGCTAAAGATTTAATACCGCGCCTTTGAAGAGAGCCCTTTAGAGCTGCTGCCAGACCCATTATGGCAGCATTGTGAGCTTGAAGCTCAGTTTCAACACTATAAATTGCAGCCCGCCCCAAAGATCCTTTTGAGTAGGCTTGTAGAGCGATGACGGCACTGTATTGCTCATTGAGGGAGAAATATATCGATTTTCGGTGTTTCCTCAAATGATGGGCGCGAAGCAAGGCTTGTAAATTCTCTATCAGTGGGCGACAGGCCTGAAGCCCTTTTTGTGAGCCCCGGTATTTACTTCTCTGTAGGCGTCCTTTAATGTGAGCTTGCAGCTTCCGTAGAGGCTGTCGTATGAGCGTATGGCTTTCGAGTGCGCTCTTACTGCGCAGCCTAACCACACTAGACCGGCATAGGTGTTGAAAGCAACTTATTTCATCTTCGATAGTTATAAGACGTAAGCGAAGCTTGAAAATTGTCTCTCGCAAGGCTTTGGCTTTGAGAATGGACTGAAGATTACAAATTAACAACTCTTCAGACTGTAGAGAACTGAAGTCTGTCCTAGCCTCTATCCCTTTTCTCTTCACCCGAGCTCTCGCTTGAGCTTGAAAGAGTGTTATTTTTCCGATGACAATGTCAACCTTTCTTTGCATCATTATGATGCCAAACCTCGTGTTTACTCCTCTACATATAGCCTGGAGAGTAGACACAGAGTCTAAGAACTGAACTTCAGTCATGCGTTGTTTCCTAACGGGAGAATACTCGGGAGCTTTGTATTGGTAGGTGTCATACCGGTCGAGGTCGTAGGCATCTTCTGCAAACCTGAAGGAAGGTAAATTAGATCGATAGGACAGATGGCGGTATATTCTAGGCGAGTAGTAGGAAAGTGATTTCGCTGGACTTCTGTTCGAGTCGAAAGTCAACAGAGGTGTATTGTCCGTTATTAATAATCGAGTAGAAGCTTTCTGGGTGGATTCATGGGCCTTATTTTCTGAAAATTCCACACTAATGGGAGAAACTAAATGGGACCGCTGATCTAGAGGAGACTCTGGGCGGGAATTTTTGGGAGTCTCCAAGTGCTGCAAAGGACTTTGGGTTTTCTCTGGGGTGGTTTGCCCGATACTTTGTAGCAAGGAGTTATCGGAATTCTGTTGAAGTTCATGAAAGTCCTCAGTCTTACCAGTGGACGTTACTTTGAATGACCGGAAGTTGTGAATTGTAGGTATTTTACGTTGACAAAGTTTGATCTCGTCGTCTGAAAAGGTAGTCATACCGCTGAGATTCTGGATTTCAGGCAATTTACCAGGCCACTTGCTGTTTATAACGTTTATGAGAGCATGCAGGGTTTCAAAAACTTTTGGAATGTTCTTCTTTTCGTAAAGATCGGTGAGTTCGAATCTAAACAGATCCGGAACGCCGACTTTTTCTACTAGATGGAAAAAGGCGTTAATGTTCTGGGTGTGCGTGAACTGGAGTGATTTCCCCGCTGGCACAATTTTCTTGACCAGACTGGAATCGACTTTTTGCGTGACTTTAGCCAGGTAAACGCCGTCTCGAAGACCGTTACCAGCTACCAGCTCCAGCTCTGAAGGGAGAGTTTCTTCTATAACCTCTTCAATCCATTCTTTGGCCTCTCTGGCGCGGCAAAGAAATTCATAATATTTGGCATCTTTCCCCGACAGCTTTGAGATGTCAAAGGTCTCGCGTTCACGGTTAGAGTTCGTTTTTTTAGAGATTTTCGGCTCGAGATCCCGTAATGAAGATCTGCTATTTTGTTTGGAAGGTGATAGCTGACTCAAGGGGCTGAAAGAGGTCTTTTTTTTTGGCGAATTCGCAAGTTTGGCAGAATAGGTAAGGTCGTTTTCCTTGCCAAGCGTCGCTGCTACATTTCTTGAGCGCACAGGAGAAGAGACTGGAGTGATAGGGGGTGCTGATTCCGGGGCGACATCAGAGTTACTCCCCAAATTTGCCATATACCGTTCGATAAAAGGGTTTTTACCTCTGCTGGGCGAGCCAGTTAGCGACGTCATACCTGATGTCAATGCCGTTTTCCCACAGAAAAGAGCGGCTAACGAACGTTTTGACTAAAACCAAATCTTTTTTGAGCGATTGATTCCTGGTTCATGTGAGTTGATCTAACAATGCTGTTGTAGCGTACTCGAATTCTTAAAAGTGAGCCCTTCGCTAGCTGTAGTTCTGTTTGGCGCTTTCCCGATTCGGCAAATAGGTCAACATCCCAATGCGGCAAGCAGGTGCGTATAGAGTGACCTCAGTTCTCAACTCCCATCACGTGACATAGGCGGCTAGGTGCATGTGTCCGTGGGGCAGCGCCAGTTGACGAACTTTCAACGACAAGCCTTGTCATTCATTAGTCTATCAGTATCAAAGTCACACAGGTCGAACGATTCGTACGGAAACCATGTCTTTTCATTCGGGAAGACCTTTCCAATGCTGCTAAAATCTTGGATATTCGTGGTATCACGCATCTCGCTATGGAAGCGAAGCTCAGAACAGCGTTCAAGGACAACAGACTGGGGTTCCAAGCCAACACGCGTGATGTAAATCTTGCAGTTCTGTAAACCGTTAAGACGGACTTGGATCTGCGACTGCAATGGCAGCCGCAAGATAATGAAACAGTCTTGAGCATTTTCAATGTAGAAACTGCCGTGCTGGAACGGTGTACCCTTGAAGTTGATAACACTGCGTTTTAGAGACCGTAAATGTATCGCAGATGAGGAGTTATCGCTCGCGGGGTCATTTTGTAATGTCGCATCGAATGTCAGCGAGCTGTCCTGTAGATTTTCGTAAACTCCTCCTCGCTCATACCGTAGAGACTTGCCAACACACTCTGGGGAGTTCATTGATTTCGAGTCTTCGCCAGCTACATTTTGGACCGCATCATCGTTTTTGGATTGGCTCGATTTCGGCTTGTTCTTGAATCGAAACTTTTTTGTTGTAGAGGGGGCATCAATCGTGATTTGTTTGAGCAGCTTCATCAGCCTTGTATTGTGCTTCTCCAAGTCGTAAGCAGGAATCGTGTCTGCCACAGATGCAAGAGCGGTAGACAATGCTATCACTTCTCTTTTCAAATCTAAGGTGTCGCGCCCCTGACGTGATTTTTGTTCGATTTCTGCTGTTGTGTTAGTGTAAAGTCGCTTTAACGTTCTAATAATCTTATTTTTCGGTAACATACCACTACAAGCGGCCTCGAAGACTTTTAGAAACTCTAAAGAGCCCACATTTGATAGGCTTGGCGCGTTCATCTGTCGCTTTGAGGTAAAGAAGATGCGTTAGTGCTCATCATTTTTAGAGACGATCATATCATTATGAAAATGAACGATCAACACATACAAGGTCAAAAAGGACATTCAAGGAATGATATAGCTGGCAAGTCAGATTCGCTTTCCCAAAAGACGTGAACATGAGGCATAATTGATCCTTCAATTAACTTGATGCTTTACTTTATACAAAATTTTTTTACTAGAATTAGAGGTACGGAAACTTAAATGTTTCACATAGGTGACTGACAGAAAGTAGCTTAATCCACTTCTTCCATTTCGGTTTCAGCGGTGTTGTCGGCAGCAGGGGCTTCGGTTGCGGCCTCTGGGGCGGCTTCCTCTTCCTCCTCTTCGTCGATGTTCAAACCTAAAGAAATCAATCTGTTGATTCTGGAGGCGAAAGAGGCTGGCTCTTCCAAAGTGAAACCGGAGGTCAACAAGGCGGTTTCGTACAACAAATTGGTCAAGTCCTTGACAGTTCTGTCTTGAGCGCCGTTTTCCTCGACTCTCTTCTTCAATTCCTTGATGATAGAGGACTTTGGAGAAATTTCGAAAATCTTCTTGGAAGACATGTAGGAAGACATAGAAGAGTCTCTCAAGGCTTGAGCCTTCATGATTCTCTCCATGTTAGCGGACCAGCCGAATTGACCAGTTCTGATAGCAGCTGGAGCGTCGATGAGCTTGTGAGAGACAACGACCTTCTCGACCTGGTCACCCAAGACTTCCTTTAGAGCGGTGGCCAATTGTTCGAATTGCTTGGCTTCCTCTTCTCTCTGAGCCTTTTCTTCTTCGGTTTCTTCTAGTTCGAAGTCCTTGGTAATGTCGACCAAAGTCTTACCTTCGAATTCCTTCAATTGAGTGAAGGCGTATTCGTCAATAGGGTCAACCAAAAATAGAACCTCGAAGTTCTTGGCCTTCAAAGCGTCCAAGAATGGAGACTTCTCAACAGCCTTCATAGACTCACCAGTAATGAAGTAAATGTTCTTTTGGTGTTCTGGCATTCTGGTGATGTAGTCTGTTAGAGAGGTTAGCTCGTCCACAGACTTGGTGGAGTTGTAACGTAGAAGCTTGGCCAAAGCAGTTCTGTTTTGGGTGTCTTCGTGGATACCAAGCTTCAAGTTCTTGGCGAAAGCGGAGTAGAACTTCTCGAACTGCTCGGAGTCCTCGGCGATCTCGTTGAAAGTCTCGATCAACTTCTTGACGATGTTCTTTCTGATGACCTTCATGATCTTGTTCTGTTGTAGCATTTCTCTGGACAAGTTCAATGGCAAGTCCTCGGAGTCGACAACACCTCTAACGAAGCTCAACCATTCTGGAATCAATTCTTCGGCTTCGTCGGTGATGAAAACACGACGAACGTATAGCTTGATGTTGTTCTTCTTCTTCTTAGATTCGAACAAGTCCATAGGAGCTCTCTTTGGAACGAACAAGATAGCTCTGAACTCTAGCTGACCTTCAACCGAGAAGTGCTTGACGGCCAATGGGTCTTCCCAGTCGTTGGAGATAGACTTGTAGAAAGCGTTGTATTCCTCTTGAGAAACGTCAGATGGGTTTCTGGTCCACAATGGCTTGGTCTTGTTTAGCTCTTCTAGTTCCTCAACGTTTTCCTTGATCTTCTTGGTTTCAGGCTTCTTTTCAGAGTCCTCGTCCTCGTCGACTTCTTCCAATTTTGGCTTCTTGTCGTCGGCGTCAGACTTTTCCTCGTCCTGCTTTTCTTCTTCAGCCACTGGGATCTCCTTCTCGACCTCCTTGGTGACCAAAAGCTGGATTGGGTAGGCGACAAACTCTGAGTGTCTCTTGACGACTTCCTTAATTCTCTTCTCTTCCAAGTATTCGAGTTGGTCTTCCTTTAGGAAAAGTCTCAAAACGGAACCTCTTCCTAGTCTTTCGTTGTGTTCGTCCAAAGTAACGGTGAAAGAACCACCGGCGTTAGACTCCCAGATGTACTGTTCGTCGTCGTTGTGCTTGGAGATGACTTGGACCTTGTCGGCGACCAAAAATAGCGAGTAGAAACCGACACCGAACTGACCGATCATGGACACATCGGCACCAGCGGAGAGAGCCTCCATGAAAGCCTTAGTACCAGACTTCGCGATCGTACCCAAGTTGTTGATCAACTCTGCCTTGGTCATACCGATACCAGAGTCTCTGATTTCTAGAACCTTTTCCTCTGGTTTTGGGGTTAGTCTGATGAAAAGCTCTGGCTCAGTTTCTAGCTGCTTTGGGTCTGACAAAGCCTGGTATCTGATTTTGTCCAATGCATCCGAAGCGTTGGAGATCAATTCTCTCAAAAAGATCTCTTTGTTGGAGTACACGGTGTTGATGATCAAACTCATCAACTGAGTGATCTCAGCTTGAAATTCATAAGTTTCCTGAGACATGTTGGCGGCAGAAGTATGGTATTTTTTTGACGATAACAAGTTCTGGTGGATGTGAATTAAATCAAAACTTTAATCCAGGTCCTCAAGATTTTGAAACCGACGTCCTTTAAATACTCGAAATCCAGGGAAATTTTGTGGGATGGCGAACTTTCTAGAAAAAACCATCTAGTGCGACTCATTAGTACAGAGTGATATCCAAGAACCTAACAGGTTCTAGTAAGTTCTAGGATCGCGAAGATGGACGAGATGGTAATAATGGGTGTTCTGGTACAATGGATCGAGTAGTGTAAGTTGTTGGTCTTAATTTTTCACAAGGTGGGTGTTTTTTCTGTAGTTACAGGTGAAGTTTGGCGACCGATTCTGAGTCGGGATTGATATGCTGACGCTCTTGAATTAACTGCAATAAGGCACCAGCCTGCTCGTAGACCAAGTAGTCTGGGTCGTTAGACCTCACATAGCTCAACAAGCTGGCAATTTGCGGCAGGGAGTAGTTTTCTGGCAAAGATTCGGGTCCTACTTGCACCATCAACGTGTGTAGAAGGTGCAAGGCGCCACGTCTAAGCAATTTGGAAATATCCTCAGGATCTTCAGATTTTTCAAACCTTAAAACTCCTACAGCACAGTCTAGAATGTCCAGCAGATCGCTTTGAATCGCTTGGCAGTTGGTCTCCACACAAACTCCGAGAAGCGACATGGCTGACGTTCTTGCACGTGCATCGAGAGAGTTGTGTTGCTGAAGGTTCGACAAACACACAGCCACAAGCCGGTGTGCCACCAGACCGCCAAACAGCTCATTTTGAGTCTCGACGTAGTTGACTAAAACTTCGCCAATTTTCAATATGTCGTCCAAAGTTCTGGTCTTTTTCGAGGCGGTTTCCCGACCCGAATAGATTTCCAGTAGATAATCTAGGGTATGCGTGGGATCTAATTCGCAAAGCGCAGAGAGACCCTTGATGGCATTGAGATAGACGAAGGGTTCTTTGTCATGCAATTGACGAGCATGCATTTCTATGGCGTGCTTTAAATCTATCACCGGAGACTTCCGTTCAATGAGTCGCCGCAACTCATAGAGACCATTCGCACGTATAGGTGGCAGTGCATCCTCGACACTCAGCATGGCCCTTTGTAGGGTTTCCTGGTCTGCATCAAATTCATCAAAACTTCGACTCATTTCGGAATCAACTTTGCTCGCATCGTTGTTTTCCAGAAAGTTTCGCAGCCTCAACACCAAAGATTGTGCATTTTCATCATTTGGACGTCTCTCTAGTGACTGCTTAATCGATTTCAGCACATCGTGGGAATGTAAAAGATCTCTTTTAGAAGTTGTCGATAAAATTGTCGAGAGCAATTTGAGTAACGTCAAGTAGACGCTCGTGGCTCTCGGGTCCTGAAGAATGTCATCTTCTTCATTAGTTTGTTCATCTTCGCTATCATCATCATCATTGTCATCAGAGTCGCTGTCCTCGTCGTCAGAGTCAGCTGTATTGTCTTTGAGTTCGCTCCGCTCCTCTGGCAACTCAAACAGCTCCTGGATCATGGTTAAAATATCTCTAGGCTTCCTTATAATGTCATTTTTGAAAGCCTGGTCTAGTTTTTCCATTAATTTCAGGTCCACCAAAACCAGTAAACTGCTTTGAACGTCCTCGGCTAAGATGGACTGGGAAGTGCGATCCGTTTTTGTGCTGCTAATCCAGCGGTTCATCACGGAAAGGAAAGTGTTCTTTACGACCTCAGGTTCATTCAACAACTTCAAGAGGTCCGCGAATAGTTCCACAGCAAGGTCAATGTCCAGAAACACTTGCTGCACTTTTTGAAGTCTATCCGTGTCTCCTGAACTCGTAATATTGAGATCTTTGCTGAAACGGCTTTGATCGAGGAGCTTGACATAGGGTAGCTGAGTTTCCGGGTCAATTTTGTATCCCCAATCGCCATGGTCGAAATTGACCAGATTCATAACGATAGATTCCAGTGCATCATAAGCATGATTTATAGTAATGTAGCTTTTCAATAGAGATAACATCACGGTATAGTATGGAGCATCAATCTCTTTTGCTCCGCTGCGAGGCTGTAATTTTTGGTCCCTTCGCAGAAACATACAGTAAGTCCACAGAGTAAGATAGAAGTTCTTGAAGTGGAAGGTGGCGAGGTCATTCGTCAGTTCCTCGTGTGGATTTTTGGAGATGGACAACAGCACATTCATGGTGTCGTTGAGCGTCTTGGACGAGAACTCTTGCCGGACGTCGTTGTATAGCACAGTGGAAATCTTTTTGAACAAAAAGTCATGGATAATCCTTTTGTTTTTGAAATATAGCTCGCTCACTAGATTGTTCAAGCAACTCACGAGAATGGGTTTGTTCACGAATGTAAGTCCCTCATATATCTGATCGAAAAGTTGCGTAAAATATTGTTTACTAGTCATGGCTCTTGGTTTCGTGGTGAGAATCTGAGTGACTCTGCTATACTTGCTGATGTCAATTTCTTCGTCTTCACGAACTCCGACTATGAAATCAATCAAGCTTATCACGCCGTTGTTTCGTCTGACGGGCAGGGTTGCGAGCTGGGATAACACGAATTCCCGATATTTCAATTTGGAAGTGGTATGAACCAGCAATGTGTACAGAGAGAACAGTTGGTAGGTTTCTTGCAAGTTTTCAAGCTCACCAAACATCTTGCAATACGATTGTTTGTGGGCTATTTCTGTGTCGACACTAAACTGCAGTGCGATCAGAGCCGTCATCAAGTCGGTAAATCCTGCTCCCTTGAGCAGCAAGCTTCCAACTGTATTCCACTTGACGGGTGCTGAAAGAAGCGTCGTGTAGAGAACGTCAGCGACGCGACCCAAAGTGCTGAGGTTGGGCTTATGGCTTCTGGGAACCACGAATTTTTTGTCTGTCTTGCGGAAACTATCAATTCTCCGTTGTTCTAGCGGGATACCAATGCCAGCGGGCAAGTTAGCGTACACACCATGGACCACAATTAAATTTATCAAAAGATCAAAGTATTTCATGTCGTGCAGCGAAATCGGCACTAGACGTGCTGTTGATTCGTCACAACGGGTGATTTCCAACGTTATAGAGCTTAGCTCCGCGAGCTTCTTGAGAAGATAAGCTACAAACTCATCATTTTTCGGTAGACCTGCTTCTTCATACAGGGGAACGCTAGAATCATCGGTTAGTTTAGAAAAGAGTTGGGACTGCAGGGAATCGAAAAACTGGTCTAAAGGAGTATCATTAGTGAAGTCTGGTTTCCGATCTAAAACTTGCTGCAGATTCTTCTGCGATGTCGAGTCTGTTGACATTTGCCAAGCTTACCGTGCGACTTTGGAACTTCACGACTTTAGTTTGTTTCTTGATGTCTAACGGTGTAGTTTAACCGCTATAATTATATGTAGTGTGTTGATTATAGAGCGAAGACGGTGTTTTAGATCACGTAAGACGACTGGAGGAATCTCGGCGATGTCCATTTCACGCGGCGTGGGAAGATTGAGCGATTGTCGAGCTTGATTGAGGATCTCCTTCGAGCTTCTGAAGATCTCCTTAGAGGTAGGGTTATTTTGATTTTAGGTCTGTGATAATTTTTGTTTTCGTGTCATTGCTTCGAAAGGCAATATTTGAACGATTAACAACATACACGTTGGAACACAACCCAATGTTACCTCTAGAGTTGAATTAAAATCACGGACGTGTACAATCGATTTTTGTAAAATCCAGGGTGCCATGCAAGAAAACAGAGAATTTTCTAACACTGACGATAGATAATTGAAATCTGCCAACGAATTTTCTTTCCGCACCATGAAAGGGCCGTTTTCGCTCCCAAAATTTCTCCGCCATCCTTAAAATGCTAAAGCAAATTATAGAGACCACCGAGCCTATCCCTTTGTGAATATCGGGTCTACATCATTTTAAACCTGTTGACACATTTAAATATGACGCTCAGGAATAAAGTGATATCGAGAAAACAATACAGATGACAGATAAAAATGAGTGTGCCGAGATGACAGGACATAGACCAACAACGAATGAAGAATGAAGACATAGACCTGTTGTTTGGTCCTGAAAATTGTATTGCAGTGATACCATGACCTCACAGCCATCAGACAATGATTACAAAAAAAAAACCCTTTGTACGCGCCAGCCGAGAATTGTGGGTCGCCGCTAAAAGCTATTACTTGTTCAAATTAACTCTTAGGGTCGAGAGTCAGTAGAAATACCCTGGAGTCCAAAGAAGCAAACATTTGTTGGCTGTAAGCGCTGCTAGACATTTCACCAGGGGTGTGAAGTTATGCATCAAATCGACGTATTTTTGGACCCACAAAAATGATTTAAATTCAAATCCATTGAGCACTGTAGGGTTCCCAGCTCCTGGACAAAGAGGTAGGCAATCGAACTTGGCGAGCTGGTTGATTTTACATAGCTATTCAAACGAAAGCCCCCAGATCACCATACACGAGACCGTACTGTAAATATCAAATTTTATAGCATTCAAGCAGTGCATGCTTAATCTTGAGCTCATCGCTTGCGCGAAGAGACTAAAATACGCTACCAAACAACACACATACCACACTTGCCATGGGCCTTCACAGCGAACCACTGGACCAAGAAGACCAGGATGCAATTATTCTGGACGCCAGAAGCGGAGATCTCGAGTCTCTGCAAGACATTTTCACAAACTTGGTTGATCCAAAGCTCGTGCTGACCTGCAGCGACGCCGAGACCAAATGCACACCACTGCACATGGCAGCTGCCAACGGCCATACCGCTGTCATCGAATACCTTGCTTCGCTGGTAGAGAGCTCCGAGGAGCGTCAGAAGTGGGTCAACGCCCGCAATGCGACTGGAAACACTGCGCTGCACTGGGCGTCGCTCAACGGGAAGCTGGAGTGCGTGCAGCTACTGTGCGACAAGCTGGGTGCCGATCCGTTTGTGAGAAACGATTTCGACCACGATGCCATCTTCGAGGCCGAGCGCAATTCGCACGAAGACGTCGAGACCTACTACCTGCAAAAATACGATGTCGAGCCGGAGTCCGAGCCTCAGGGCGAAGGCTCCACTTCCGACACCGTGCAGTTCAAAGAGGGCACGGAGATTGAGCAGATCACCAACGAAGCCGCCGAGGTTCTCAGCCAAAAGACCCAGGACTTGAGTCTCAAAGACGGAGCATAAAGCCGTGGGCCACGGGGAAGCACACGCGGCACACCTTGACAACACTGCCGGCTCCCCTCTTGGTCCTGCCATACACACCATCTGTACATTAACAAGAAACGATTGATCCACACTCACTGCCTGTAAGTACGGGAGTAGTAGTACCCATCCATTTAGGAAGCTTTCCGGAAGTACTCGAGTACTTTCTCACAGAGTTACCCTGCCCATCCATAATTTCGAGGTTTTCCCTCAAACTCAGCATCACTCGCGACGAAGACTACGCTCACATAAGAAAAATTTTTGAACCTACAAACAACATCTACTACAGCCTAGAAAGTCCCAACTACAAGCTCAAGATCAACCAGTAACTCTTCAACAAAGCGTTGTTGGCCAACACACATAAACATGTCAGAGGTAGCAAACGAGCTGGGATTCGACCCTACACTAAAAAAGAAGAAGAAGTCCAAGAAGGTTGTAGACGTACCAGATGCCAATGGAGCTAGCACGGTAGCAGCAGTCACCGGAGAGGAAGACCTTTTCTCGGGACTGAAAAAGAAGAAAAAGAAGTCCAAAGAGTCGAGCAAAGAGTCTGGCGATATACAGCAAGCTGTGGACGAGGTGGACGCGGCTCTGGGAGAATTGAAGCTCAAGAAAAAGAAGAAGAAGAGCAAGGAAAGCAGTGTGGACGATTTCGAAAAGGAACTGGCAAAGGCCGGTGTGGCCACGCCGACCGACCGCGAGGGCAGCGCCGGCGCGAGCCGTGAGGGCTCGCTGGTACCAGGTGAGGACTCTGCCCTGCAGCAGGACGCAGGCTTGCCATACCAGGCTCTGCTGTCGAGGTTTTTCGAAACGCTCAGAACCAACAACCCAGAGCTTGCAGGCGACAGAAGCGGCCCCAAGTTCAGAATCCCTCCTCCCGTGTGTCAGCGTGATGGTAAAAAGACCATTTTCTGCAACATCCAAGAGATTTCCGAAAAACTGCAGAGAAACCCAGAGCATCTCATCCAGTATCTGTTTGCCGAATTGGGTACGTCCGGTTCCGTGGACGGTCAGAAAAGACTGGTCATGAAGGGTAAATTCATGCCCAAACAAATGGAAAATGTGTTGAGAAGATACATTCTGGAATACGTTACGTGCAAGACCTGTAAGAGCATTAATACCGATTTGCGCAAGGAACAGTCCAACAGACTGTTCTTCTTGGTCTGCAAGAGCTGTGGCTCTACGAGATCGGTCTCCTCCATCAAGACTGGTTTCCAAGCCATTGTCGGCAAAAGAAAGCGGATGTGATTTGGATCACACCCTTTTCCAATCCCACCTCACCCTTCGTCACCAAAGAAAGGACTGTAGACGCTGCATTACCCAAATACATGTACAGATTATCCAGAGATGTTTTATTGTTTTTTGGTCTCTATCTCTCTCTCTCTCTCTCTCTCTCTCTCTCTCTCTCTCTCTTCCACGCACAGGTTACCACCGTTTGCGCACACCACACACATCATTTAATCGAATATCGAGAACGAACAATTCAAAACTTATTTTTGCCCTGAACCACTTGTTTGCGTTGCGTAGTCTATGTAATTCTGGTTTCTATACTGCGTTGTTTTGCACGTTGCTCACGATCTTGCGGAACGACGGACACCATTTACTTGTCGAGGTGTCGGACATCATCCATTGCGTGAGAGCCTTATTGATTTTGGATTCGTCGTACAGCAACTCCAGCACTCCACTCATGAGTTGTCGTCCATGTTCGTGGTCCAGTGTTTGACCAAAATTCGCCAGGAATTTACTGCGGTGGTACTCAAGCTCCGCAAGCGGTAGCTTGGACTCCATTGTCAAGACACTGTCAATTTCCTGCATGATCTCGCCTTTTTCCTTATAGGGTGCTTTTGTAGAACTGGAAAGTTCAGTTGTACTTGAATTTCGGCCGCTCACACGCGATCTGATAGGTGGAGGCGGTGCAGACGCCTTTTTCGTGCTTCCAAACGTATCTACCTGTCCACCCACGATTGTCTGTTGAGAGCCGGTGCCTCGCTTCACAGAGTATACGAAACTTGGACAGTCATTGTAGCCAGGAATGTCCGTCTCCCTGCAATTTTGGAAACTCTTAGTACGATCCAGCATCAAAGTTACCAACCCTAAGCTTTTATTCTTGACTTTACCAACTGTTCAAGACGAACGCATCTCGCATTAAGTGGTACATGCCAGCGAGGCTCGAGAAACCCAGTGTCATGTTTCACGACACAAGCTCACCTTGTAAGTCCATCAAAAGCGTCAAGAGCTCACCGCTCGAGGGTCTCTCAGTGGGATCCACCTTCAGGCATTTGTGTATAATATCGATGAGTTTCGGGCTGCGATTTGTACCGGGCGGTGTTGTGTATTTCCCTGTTGTAATAGCGTAAGTGATGGACGCACCGCTGATTTGTTCTTCCCGTTCGAACGGCGAGATTCCAAAGCACATGGCGTAGATTGTGCAGCCCAGAGACCATATATCACACTTCTCGGTGATAACAGACTTGAGTTGCACGTCGACTATTTCGGGAGCCGTGAAAGCAGACGTGCAGTGTTCCGAACGCCATTCTTGGAGCTGGAGGAGCGCCTGACGGGAACTGATCTCCACAAGCGCACGAGTGCAGGACCCCAGATCGCTTATTATCGGCATTCCCTCGGGTGATACCATGACGTTTGCCGGTTTTAAATCGCGATGAGCATACGACTGCTGAGACTCCCCGAACGTGTCTAGTTCCAAATCGTTCAGCAGCGAAGCATCTTCGTAGTATGGAGCAGACACGATGCTGTAGGTAACGTCAGCGTCGTCGTTCACGTTTGCCTCGTGGATGCACAGCAAACCCCGTGCCATTCCCACTGACAGTCGTACGATGTCCAGCTCGGGCATTTCCGTACAGTTCAATAGGTGTCTGTTGATCTCGTCTTGAAGTGAGCCCTTCGAGAAGTACGGGAGCAGAATGTACACCGTCTTAGACCCATCCTTCTCCTGGCAGACTTGAAAGTCCACAAGCTGCACAATGTAAGGGCTCTGGAACCGTTTGTAGTTGTTAACCTCTTTCATGGCTGGCGATATCGACCCAATGCTGCCAAAGGGACATCGGGTCTTTTTGAGCGCTAGTAGCTCGTTTCCTGGGGTTTCCACGAGATATACAAACGAAGAGCCACCTTCACCCAGTAGTCTTTGGAGTTTGTATTTCTGACCATTTACAACGACTATCGAGGGCTGAAAAGCGGCACAGCAGCAAAGTCTGGCTAAAATTGACATTTCTGAGAGTGGGAGAGAGAGACACCCAATCGACCAGGATCCAGAAAGACCGGCTATGCTTGTCTTTGGTCATTTTAAGGTTTTGGCACTTGTAGATGGCTTACTAGATTTCTAGTTCGATGAGGTCTCCTTCGTGAGAGATGATATACAATGGCAACTAGACTAAATTCCCAATAGCGAGAGTGAAAGCGGCGGTCTGAGGACATGGGAAACTACGAGTTGGATACCACATCTCATGTCGACCGTATGCTCAGTTTTGCTGCAATTTTTTAGCAACGTTTTGCTGCGACTTTTCCAAAAACTTCCGACAAAATTGGTAAAAGAAGACCTGCAGTAGCGAGGTCGTTAGAGGGTTAGGGCTTTAAGCAATTCAACGCTTGAGACGGTTCTCATTTGCGAGCCGAAATGTCTCCCTCAGAACCATGCGATATCTGAGATGTCACCTATCACCATACACGAATGTGTCGTTCTTGAAATCTAAATAAACGTCTTCAGAGAGCGATTTCGGTCAAATGAAAGCTCATCTTCGAGCTTAACCAAACTCAAGCTCCATGGGTTGCAAATTCAACCTTATACTATGTCTCTTGTCACCACCATTGAAACTTGTTTGAGTACTATGAAAAATCATCTTACACGTAGAAACAGGCTCTCTAAACCTAATAATGTAAAAAATGCTAGCAGGCTCTATGATCAATAACTCATCGAGAACATCGAGTTCGAAACGAATAAGAACGTATTTCGTGGCTGCGTCAACGCTTTCGAATTCGATACAATGTCCATTCAAACCAGCGACTCTAACTCCAATGACTACGGCAAAGCGTTATCGCTGATCGCCGCCCATTCCCACATCTCGGGACTTGGTCTTGATGAACATCTACAGCCAAAGGCGACCTCGCAAGGTATGGTGGGGCAAACACAAGCTAGAAGAGCAGCTGGAGTCATTTTGAAGATGGTTCAAAATGGTACAATTGCCGGTCGTGCCGTTCTTCTGGCGGGTCCTCCTTCTACAGGTAAAACAGCGCTTGCGATGGGTTTGTCGCAATCGCTTGGCCAGGACGTCCCATTCACAGCGATTGCTGGGTCTGAGATCTTTTCGCTCGAGCTGAGCAAAACAGAGGCGCTTACCCAGGCATTCCGTAAATCCATTGGCGTCAAAATCAAGGAGGAAACAGAGATGATAGAGGGTGAAGTGGTTGAAATCCAAATCGACAAGTCCATCACCGGTGGCCACAAACAGGGTAAACTGACCATCAAAACCACGGACATGGAGACAATATACGAACTGGGAAGCAAAATGATCGAGGGATTGACCAAGGAAAAAGTGTTGGCAGGCGATGTCATTTCCATCGACAAAGCCAGCGTCAAAATTACCAAGTTGGGCAGGTCATTTGCCAGATCTAGAGACTATGATGCCATGGGTGCGGACACTAGATTCGTGCAGTGTCCAGAGGGTGAACTGCAGAAAAGAAAGTCCGTCGTCCACACCGTCTCACTACACGAAATCGACGTTATCAACTCCAGAACGCAAGGGTTTCTGGCCCTATTCACCGGTGATACTGGTGAAATTAGATCGGAAGTAAGAGACCAGATTAACACAAAAGTAGCCGAATGGAAAGAAGAGGGTAAAGCGGACATTGTTCCCGGTGTTCTTTTCATCGACGAAGTGCATATGTTGGACATCGAGTGCTTTTCATTCATCAATCGCGCTTTGGAAGATGAATTTGCTCCAATAGTGGTGATGGCCACTAACAGAGGTATCTCTAAGACCAGAGGTACGAATTACAAGTCTCCTCATGGTCTACCGCTAGATTTGCTAGACAGGTCGATCATCATAACGACCCAGAACTACAACGAACAGGAAATTAAGACCATTTTGTCTATTAGGGCTCAAGAAGAGGAAGTCGAACTTGCTACAGAGGCACTAGATTTGCTGACCAAAATCGGAACGGAAACCAGCTTGCGTTACGCCAGCAATCTAATCTCTGTTTCGCAACAGATTGCTCAAAAGCGTAAGAGTAACAGTATCGAAGTGGTTGACATAAAGAGGGCCTATCTATTGTTTTTGGACAGTTCGAGGTCTGTGAAATTTCTGCAAGAATATCAACCTCAGTACATTGATGATCAAGGAAATGTTCAGATTGCCAGCGGTGAAAATAACGCTGACGCCATGGACACTGCGGCCTAAATAGAACAATAAATAGGGCAAAAGTATAAAAAAAGAAGCGAAGACTTGTCACAGACGTTAAAGTTGTAGTAAAATTTTGTGCTACTTATAAATCTTTAATAGTTCATTTCTATACGGTTGGTTAGATTTTGTGCTTTTCCCGAAATATTGACTGTTCTGGCGTTCAAAACTGCGGTTTGCTTAACCAGAGCTTCTGGTGTTGAGGATAAGCGCGATAATCATGCCGTAAAGACCCAGCACTTCGGCAAAAATCAAAACCAGCACGATACCCACGAAAAGCCTGGGCTGATGCATGTACTTACGAACTCCGACATCGCCAACAATTCCAATGGCATACCCACTACTCAAGCATGCGAATCCAACACATAGACCGCAGCTCAGGTGCATGAACCCGTTAAAAAGCGTGTAGTCCTCTGTGGGAGACAAACCTCCCGCAATCAAAACTGCCACCACCAGTCCGTAAACGGCCAAGATACCACTCATAACGACTGGAATCAACGATTTCATGATCAGTTCCGGCTTGAAAGTACCGATACCAGCGATACCGATACCGGACTTGGCGGTCCCAATTGCTGCTCCCAGACAGGACAAAGTCATGGCAAAAGCACAGCCTGCAAAACCGAAAAAGGGTGACGAAAAAAGGAGCATATTCATCTGTAGCTACTAGTTGAGACATTTCGAAAGTCACAAATCTCTTTAAAAAGCCCCCGCTATAGAAATGTCAAGTAAACTTTTACCTTAAATTCGACGGGTTGTGATGAATGTAGAACATTAACCGAATTTAATGTTACTGTTTCAGACATCACACTATACGAGAACTTACACCACCTGAGTCGGTTTTGATAGAGATAATATTGGTGACAGTTCTACGAGCCTGAACAAGAAGTCAAGAGTAGTGGAAATGTTGTTTTAATTTCTCCAGCTTAGAACACCGCGAAAGCGGCCGAACACTTGTATAAACCTTGTTTTCCAACAACATCATTTAGCACGGTAAGGTTTTTCAGATAGTCATAGTCTACTTGTGTAAAGGCTTGAGAGTGATTGTAGGGCCAAGTCACCGCATTGATATGGTTTGGGAATAGGCTCACAATTCCTTAGAGTAGACGATCTTTTTCTAAGCTTCGATTTTGAGACTTGTAAAAAAAGTCCGAGATGAAAATATTTATATTCGAGAGGAATATGGGAAACGAAGCCATGTTCAGAATATGTCCGAAAATGAGTGGACACCAAAAGTTATTCTCTGTGCCTGATTGAGAGCTTATCTTTCTGAAAAGCGAGAAGATCGAGGGACAAATATGCATTTCAGTTTCAGATGTCGGAATCAATGACTGTAATTTCTCAAAAAAAAAGCCGTATCCTCGAATTAGTAGTTTCGATGCCAGAACTGTATAGAATTTATCATTATTTCTGGTTAATTTCATGCAATTGTTCCAATAACAACTGCCAGTATAATGGTTTGAATTGTATCTAGCGGAAAAATCAATTTAGTGGTATAGTGATCTTGCGATTTTTCTCCAAACTTTACAAGCGCTAGTATAACCACACACTCACTCAATATTCTAGTTTGAAGTTGGAAGTTGAAGAGGAGAAGAGGTCAAGAGCCAACGAGTTTGATCCTGGTTGGGAGAGTATCATTTTCAACGATTAAATAGAACTCGAAATTAAGACTATATTGTACACATATATATGACAATGATTTAAGCTTCTACAAGCTAAACATTGTTCAGTCGGGTTTGATAGTACGTCTAGCACTCTTTTTGTCCATTGACCACTGTTAAGCAAGAGTACGAGTCGTTTAATCCGGAGGCTTTACTCTAAGAAATGTCTACCCAGCCGTCAAAGCTCGATATCACAGCAGAACAACTGCGATCCATCTATACCCAATTCCAAACCATATTCGATGAAAAAGTGTCTTTGCATTTACCCCAAGAGCACGACTCTGTTAAGGGCGAGGTTTTGCTTGAACTGCAAAAATTTCTGTTCGAGGGGATGGACGCGGCATCGAGTTCGCTCAGTATTATAAACGCTAATGAAAGCGCATCAATATCAGACGTGCTGGCACAATCACGAGAACAATTCGTGGAGTCGTTTGATTTGGGTTTGAATGAACGAGTACGAAAAAAATACCAAGAATGGGAGGATCAAACTGTCAAAGTTGCACAGCTGCGACGCGAAGCCCCACGTAAGCTGTCTGAAGTCTACGAATCAGAAGCGAACGAAGTTTTGAGAGAGGTCGATACTTTGATAGAAGAGTTTTCTCATGAAAAAAGCTCCTCCGACTCCGCTGCTGATGCTGTCGACCCTGAAGTGGACTGGTCGGACCTTCAAAACGATTATATGGAAGTGCTCTCTCGATTGGCGCAGGTAAGGGACGATCTGCCGAAAAATCGTTCCAAATTACAGAAACTGCAGCAATTGATATCATTTCTGGAGTCGGAGCTGGAATCCGAACGTAAGAATGATGATTGAAATGATAAGGACCATTGTACACGACAAAGCTGGACTCAGTGAGTGAGAATCGGTTATCGACAGGCCATGCCAAGATGTGCACATCACTGACAACGAAGAACATTTTCTAGTCCCTCAGATGAGCGATCTTCTCACAATCGGGGACTAGTGTCTCAGCAGCAAGCATTGACACAAAAGCGTCCTCTTCGGCTTGATATGTCTGATTTTTAGGCCTTTACTACCGCGAACGCAACCGAACAGGATGTAAAGTGACTTTTTGCCGTAGGGACGCAAACTAGTAAATCCAAGGCCGTATTAGACTCTCAGTACACATAAAGCAAATAGAATCATTCCATCAATGCTTCATTTAACGTCCGTTGCTTGAAGCCATAGCATCACTACGCGTCGCACCGCGTCGTGTACGAGTACTCTACTAACTTAACGAGTACTCTACTAACTTAACGAGTACTCGCGTATTTAATGATATACACGGCCTCAACCAAGTGGCTCAAATTTCGTTCAAACATCCTGTAGCGTTCGAGCAGACACAAACTGAGCAAGCTCCTGTCATAACTTCAAGTTCCAACACCACAAGCTTTCAGTCTACGTCTCTTAAACCAACACTGAATCCTCACGATGAGTTACAACAATCCTTACCAGCAGAGTAATCCGTACGCGGAAACGTACGACATGCAAGATAATGTGGGTTCTACTCAACACAATGGCGGTGACTTCTTGACATTTATGAATGAAATCAACCAGATTAATTTGGAGCTTGATCACTACTCGCAGCTTGTGGACCAGATTGACTCGAACCAGAAGAGATTGCTCACGGAGGTCAACGAGGACCAAGAACTAGCGTTGAGACAACATTTGGACGCTCTTGTTTCCAAGGCTTCGGATCTGCAGTACCAGCTCAGAAACAGTATAAAGTCGGCTCAACAGCAAGGCCTTTCAGACTCTAGCAAGCAAGCGCAAGCAGAAAACTCCAGACAACGGTTTTTGAAACTTATCCAGGACTACAGGATTATCGAGGCCAACTACAAAGACCAGAACAAGGAGCAAGCTAAAAGACAATACCAGATCATCCAGCCGGAAGCCACCGAAGACGAAGTCGAAGCCGCCATCAGCGATGTCGGTGGACAGCAGATCTTCTCACAGGCCCTTTTGAACGCGAACAGAAGGGGCGAAGCCAAGACCGCCTTGGCAGAGGTTCAAGCCAGACACCAGGAGCTGTTGAAGCTCGAGAAGACCATGGCCGAGTTGACGCAGCTGTTCAACGACATGGAACAGCTGGTCATCGAGCAGCAGGAGAATATCGAGGTGATTGACAAAAACGTCGAGGAAGCCCAGCAGGACGTGGAGCAGGGTGTGGGCCACACCAACAAGGCTGTTAAGAGTGCCAGAAGGGCGCGCAGAAACAAAATAAGATGTATCTTGATTCTGGTGGCCGTCCTGGTCGTCATCATCGTGGTGTGTGTGGCTGTTCCTTTGGCCACCAAAAACTGAAAAGCACGGGGTGCTCTTGCAGATAGAGAGTCCTTGAGCCTTGGGAACCTTCCATTTAAGAATCACTGACGCAAGGAAGTGCCGCCTAGGCGAGGTCTTTATAACTTGTCATGTAGTATAACATTACCGATTTTAAGAAGTGGAGGATGGGACACCACGTAAAAAAAATGATTGAAAAGCGAGAATTGTACCGAATCGACGGAGAACGACGACTCGGAGCTCAAACAGTCTGTCTCGGCTACAAGGTCAATAATATCACCCTGATATTTTAGTCCCGACCAGCAATATCGAACATTATCTCTTGCGAGACATATTCCTGCAGTTCAGGGTGGAAAAAGGGTATATAGATTTCCCAGTGAAACCAGTTTTCCACGCACCGTGGGGCTGCAGACCCACTGGTTTAGTCGCAACTAAGGTAGTGGGTCTCAAAGAAGTCGCGAAGACTCCCAGTGCATGAAAAGGCTTTTGATAGTTTCTGGGACGAAAAAGAACGAGTTTCGTACGGCGAAAAATTCGGTGAGCTCGCCAGTTCTACGTCTGTAGAGCCAGGGCACCCAAACATTACCGCACCAGAGCGATCTCAGGCTAGTTTACAAGATTTATGGTGGTTGTTTTGTTTGTAGTTTGGTAATTTCTAGTGAGACTTCTAATACAATCTCGCTTTTTATATATGAAGAAAAATATCACTAAATACGAAACATCAATCTCAAATAGTTTAGGGCAGTAATATAGTAACTTGCCGCTGAGCTATACCCATAAAAGACATCAAAAACACCAGAACCGCGCAAAAAGAGGCCAGAAAACGTATGATTATCTTCAATGCTGAGGTCCAATTGAGAGCATTACGTGTGGGGGCGATTGTTTCGTCTTGCTCCCGTCTTTCTGGACTTTTTCAGCGGCAAAACAGAGGGTGTTTGATCTCGTTGACGCCCCTCGTTGCAAAGCGCGAGTAATCGACATCTCCAGCCTTCGAAAACAGATTTAGCACACCGCTAGATGTTGAGTGACACCACCCAGCTGTCAATGCTGGAAATTCATTCTCGAATTCCAGGTTAGCCGTTTTTGTGCACAATTCAAGCTAATCGCAGACGGAGGCTTACACATAAGCAACAAAAAGGCCCCTATGGAGCTCTGGCATCACTCCCCAATGCTTAATGTAACTGTCCCAGCCCCCGAAGACGGTCACAAGCGCTCTTGAACTGGCAACGACATCGCTGGTTTCGAGCCAAGAGCCCATCTCAAGTGGCCCTCCGAGCTAAAACAACAAACCGCACTGTGATCACTGCGCGTGCACTGCGTGCACGGCATCGACCGATACATCCATAGCCTATCGAGCTGGCACGGCGTCCCAGTTTGGTTTGAACCAACATCACGAATTACGACACCCAACGGAACCTGTATCGTGGTCCAACAAACCAACAAATCAGTTTTTCCAACGTCAGTATATAAATGCTGGCATCCCGTGCAAGGGTTTAGAGATGAGCTAGGATAAACGTCACTACCTTCTACCAGTACTTGGATTTTGCTAGCTCTGACAGGCTAAGTGATTGAAAGCTACACCAGTATTGATAATTTAAGCTGCACAATGGTTATGAAACCTGAAGTTGAGCAGGAATTGGCTCACGTTCTGTTGACAGAACTGTTGGCGTACCAGTTTGCATCTCCCGTTAGATGGATTGAGACACAAGATGTGTTTTTGAAGGACTTCAACACCGAAAGAGTTGTCGAAATCGGTCCTTCGCCAACTCTAGCCGGTATGGCCCAGAGAACCATTAAGAACAAGTACGAGTCTTACGACGCAGCCTTGTCTTTGCAGAGAGACGTGTTGTGCTACTCCAAGGACGCCAGAGAGATCTATTACACTCCAGACCCAGCGGACTTGGCTGCCAAGGAAGAGACCACTGAGTCTGCAGGCGCTGCTCCCGCCTCTTCTGCTGCTCCTGCCGCCGCCGCTGCTGCTCCTGCTGCTGCCGCCGCTGCCCCAGTTGCCGCGCCAGCTGGTCCAGTGGCTGAGATTCCCGACGAGGCCGTGAAAGCTGGTCTTCTATTGCACGTTCTCGTCGCTCACAAGCTTAAGAAAAGCTTGGACCAGATTCCACTCGCCAAGACTATCAAAGACTTGGTTGGCGGTAAGTCTACAGTCCAAAACGAAATTTTGGGTGATCTCGGCAAAGAATTTGGCTCCACCCCTGAAAAGCCAGAAGAAACTCCATTGGAGGAATTGGCTGAGTCATTCCAAGACACTTTCAGCGGCCAATTGGGTAAGCAATCCACTTCTTTGATTGCTAGACTGATGTCTTCTAAAATGCCTGGTGGTTTCACCATCACCACTGCCAGAAAGTACTTGCAAACCCGCTGGGGGTTGGCTGCTGGCAGACAAGATTCCGTCTTGTTGATCGCTTTGTCGCAAGAACCCGCTGCCCGTTTGGGATCTGAGGGTGATGCCAAACAATTCTTGGACGTTTCTGCCCAGAAATACGCTTCCATGAGCGGAATCGACCTTTCTGCCGCCACCTCATCTGCTGCAGGTGGCGCTTCCGGTGGAGCCGGCGGTGCCACTATCGATGCTGCCGCTTTCGAAGAATTGACCAAGGACCAGAAGGTTTTGGCCCGTCAGCAATTGGAAGTCCTGGCTCGCTACTTGAAAATGGACTTGAACAGTGGAGAGAAGAAGTACTTGCAAGAGAAGAATACTACCGAGCAATTGCAAGCTCAACTAGATTTCCTAACCAACGAATTGGGCGATTACTTCGTTCAAGGTATTTCAACCTCTTTCTCCAGAAAGAAAGCTAGAGTTTTCGATTCCTCTTGGAACTGGGCTAAGCAATCGCTACTCTCGTTGTACTTCGAAATCATTCACGGTGTTTTGAAGAATGTTGATCGCGAGCTAGTTGCCCAGGCCATCAACATCATGAATAGATCCAACGAAACCTTGATCAAGTTCATGGAATACCACATTTCGCAAACAAAGGTTGACGAGGGTGACAACTACAAGCTTGCCAAAAGTCTAGGTGAACAGCTGATCGAGAACTGCAAGCAAGTTCTTGACTTGGACCCTGTTTACAAGGACGTCACAAAGCCAACTGCTCCTCAAACTATTGTTGACAAAAATGGTAACATCAACTACGACGAGGTTCCAAGACCTGCTGTTAGAAAGCTATCGCAGTACGTCGAAGAAATGGCTCTTGGTGGTGCTTTGACTAAGGTCAAGCAGCCAACTCTACAAGAAGACTTGACCCGCGTTTACCAAAGCATCAATGCGCAGGCTGCTGAGCACAACATTTCAGACTCGACCAAAATTCAGTTTGAAAAACTGTACGGTGAGCTCTTGAAGTTCTTGGAAACTTCGAACGAAATCGATGCATCTGCCTCCACCAGATTGGCTGGTGTGGTTGATGATGCGTTGGACAAAGATGCCACCAAAGAAGTTGCCTCTTTGCCTAACAAGTCGCAACTTGCCAAACAAGTTGCTTCCACAATTCCAAGGGAGACCGTGCCATTCTTGCACTTGAAGAAGAAGCTGGCTAGCGGTGACTGGGTTTACGACCGTCAACTATCTTCTCTATTCTTGAATGGCTTGGAAAGTGCTGCCATCAACGGGGTTACGTTTAAGGACAAGTATGTTTTGATCACTGGTGCTGGTGAAGGCTCTATCGGAGCCGAGGTGCTACAAGGGTTGATCCAAGGTGGTGCTAAGGTCATTGTCACTACTTCTCGTTTCTCCAAGAAGGTCACTGACTACTACCAAAGCGTCTACGCTAAGTTCGGTGCCAAGGGCTCCACTTTGGTGGTCGTTCCTTTCAACCAAGGTTCGAAGCAAGACGTTGAAGAGTTGGTTGGATACATCTACGATGACGAGAAGAACGGCGGTCTAGGATGGGATCTAGACGCCATCATTCCATTTGCTGCTATTCCAGAAAATGGTATTGAGCTTGACAACATTGACTCCAAGTCCGAATTTGCCCACAGAATCATGCTAACCAACATCTTGAGAATGTTGGGTAACGTTAAGAAGCAAAAGTCTGTCCAAGGCATTGAGACAAGACCTGCTCAAGTTATTCTACCAATGTCTCCAAATCACGGTACATTTGGTGGTGACGGTATGTACGCGGAATCGAAGCTATCCCTGGAGACTTTGTTCAACAGGTGGCACTCCGAGTCTTGGTCTAGCCAGTTGACCATCTGTGGTGCTATTATTGGTTGGACCAGAGGTACCGGGTTGATGTCTGCCAACAACATCATTGCAGAAGGCATTGAAAAGTTGGGTGTTCGCACCTTTTCTCAAAAGGAAATGGCCTTCAACTTGCTGGGTCTTTTGACTCCAGAGGTTGTTCAACTATGTCAGACTTCCCCTGTTATGGCAGACTTGAACGGTGGTTTCCAATTCTTGCCTGACTTGAAGGAATTCACCGCCAAGTTGCGTAAAGAGTTGACCGAAACCTCGGAGGTTAGAAAGGCTGTCTCCATCGAGACCGCTATCGAACACAAGATCGTCAATGGTAACAACGCCGACGCAGCTTATGCTAAGGCCGAAGTTCAACCAAGAGCGAACATCAAACTAGATTTCCCAACTTTGAAACCATACGAACAGATCAAAAAGCTCGCTCCTCAAGAGCTACAAGGAATGCTGGACTTGGAAAAAGTTATCGTGGTTACTGGTTTCTCCGAAGTCGGCCCATGGGGTTCTGCTAGAACAAGATGGGAAATGGAAGCCTTCGGTGAATTCTCTTTGGAAGGTTGCGTCGAAATGGCCTGGATCATGGGTCTCATCAAATACCATAATGGTAACTTGAAGGGTCGTCCTTACACTGGATGGGTGGATGCCAAGACCAACGAGCCTGTCGACGATAAGGACATCAAGTCCAAGTACGAAAGTCACATCCTAGACCATGCTGGTATTAGATTAATTGAGCCAGAGCTCTTCAATGGCTACGACCCTAAGAAGAAGCAAATGATTCAAGAAGTTGTCCTCAGTGAGGATCTTGAACCTTTTGAGGCCTCTAAAGAGTCTGCTCTCCAGTTCAAGCACGAACATGGCGACAAGGCCGACATTTTCGAGATCCCAGAGTCTGGTGAATACACCGTTAAGTTGTTGAAGGGTGCCACTCTCTACATTCCTAAGGCTCTCAGATTTGACCGTCTAGTCGCCGGCCAAGTTCCTACTGGCTGGAACGCCAAAACTTATGGTATCTCCGATGATACCATTTCGCAAGTTGACCCTATTACCCTATATGTTCTCGTTTCGGTGGTCGAATGTTTCATCTCTTCCGGTATCACGGACCCTTACGAGATGTACCAGTATGTCCACGTTTCCGAAGTTGGTAACTGTTCTGGTTCCGGTATGGGTGGTGTGTCTGCTTTGCGTGGTATGTTCAAGGACCGTTACAAGGATCAACCAGTTCAAAACGACATCTTGCAAGAATCTTTCATCAACACTATGTCTGCCTGGGTTAACATGTTGTTGATCTCCTCCTCTGGTCCTATCAAAACCCCAGTCGGAGCTTGTGCCACTGCTGTGGAGTCTTTGGACGTTGGTGTTGAGACCATTCTATCTGGTAAAGCCAAGATCTGTATTGTCGGTGGTTACGATGACTTCCAGGAAGAAGGCTCCTACGAGTTCGGTAACATGGGTGCTACTTCCAACTCTTTGGAAGAGTTTGACCACGGCCGTACTCCAGCTGAGATGTCGAGACCTGCCACTACTTCTCGTAACGGTTTCATGGAATCTCAAGGTTCCGGTATCCAAGTTATCATGGGTGCTGGCCTAGCCATGAAGATGGGTTTGCCTATCTACGGTATCTTGGCTCTTACTGCCACTGCTACTGATAAGATTGGTAGATCTGTTCCTGCTCCAGGTAAGGGTATTCTAACCACTGCTAGAGAACATCAAAGCGACTTGAAGTTCCCATCGCCTTTGTTGAACATCAAGTACAGAAGACGTCAACTTGACAACCGTATTTCCCAGATTAAGGGATGGGTTGAGAGCGAGCTAGACATGTTGAAGTACGAGGCTGAGGAAGTGCCACAAGAGGACCAGTCTGCCTTCTACGCCGAGCGTACCGAAGAATTGCAACGCGAGGCTGAAAGACAGCTCAAGGCCGCGCAATCTCAATGGGGTAACGAGTTCTTCAAGAACGACCCACGTATTGCACCATTGAGAGGAGCATTGGCTACTTTCGGTCTAACAATTGATGACTTGGGTGTCGCTTCTTTCCACGGTACTTCCACCAAGGCCAATGACAAGAACGAATCGGCCACCATTAACAAGATGATGCAACACTTGGGCAGATCTGAAGGTAACCCTGTTTTTGGTGTTTTCCAAAAGTACTTGACCGGTCATCCAAAGGGTGCAGCTGGTGCCTGGATGATGAACGGTGCCCTACAGATCTTGAACTCTGGTATTGTTCCTGGTAACCGCAATGCGGACAATGTCGACAAGATCTTAGAGCAATTCGAGTACATCTTGTACCCATCCAGAAGCATCAAGACTGATGGTATCAAGGCTGTCTCGGTAACCTCTTTTGGTTTCGGCCAGAAGGGTGCTCAAGCCATTGCTGTGCACCCTGACTACTTGTATGCTGCTGTTGACGAGTCAACTTACCTTGCTTACGCTGCCAAGGTTTCTGCCAGAGAGCAAGCTGCTCACCAGTACTTCCACAACGGTATGATCAACAACTCGTTGTTCGTGGCCAAGGAGAACCCTCCATACGTGGATGAACTTGAGCAACCAGTCTACTTGGACCCATTAGCCCGTGTTAGCGCCGACAAGAAGACTGGTCTGTTGACTTACAACCAGAAAAGCTTGAGTGGCCCTTCGACTTACGTCTCCGATGCAAACTTGAAAACCTCTGAAGTTGTGAGTCAACTGGCCAAAGCTGCTTCTGCCGAGGGCAACGTGGGCGTTGGTGTCGACGTGGAGTTGATCAAGTCTGTGAATGTGGAAAACGACACTTTTATCGAGCGTAACTTCACCGCTGATGAGATCGCCTACTGCAAGAAACAGCCATGCGTGCAGAGCTCTTTCGCCGGCACGTGGTCTGCCAAAGAGGCCGTCTTCAAATCTCTAGGTGTGAAGTCCCAAGGTGGTGGCGCTGCGTTGAAGGACATTGAAATTGTTCGTGCCAACGGCAGTGGTCCACAGGTGTCGCTCCACGGTGATGCTTCTTCTGCCGCTACTGCCGCTGGCGTCAAGACTGTATCTGTGTCGATTTCTCACGACGACTTCCAAGCTGTTGCCGTTGCTTACTCGCAGAAATGAATTAGTATCTCATTTGCCATCGTATACTGTATAGACTAATTGCAATAAGACTTTAGATTAATAGCTGGGAGCGAAATGTGCTCCATTATCTTTTCTTCGATAAGTTAGTTCGCTCTCAAGAAGGTTGAGAAGACAGGCATTGTGGCGAGAGATACGTAAGTTCCTCAATGTCAACTCAAACACAGGACGAGGAGCTGCGATTGTTAGAGACTCTCAACAACTGCACGCTCACCAAACGATCGATCAACTAAAAGGCCAGCAAAATACAAGAAATATACGAAATCTGAACTACAATTAAATCGAGACACGCATAGCACACAACACACTAAACGTTCACTTCAGACTACATCGTCACCAGTTTCAATCAACATCATCTCTCTTTGTTAGAAAGATGTTAGAAGTAAGGGAATCTCTTCAGGTCCGCCGCCCTTTTATATATATAGAAATCCATCACTTTGAACGAATGGGGTGATGATTAGATTGGTATATTTGGAGGGGAGCACAATTAACTTAAAGTTCTCCTAGATACAATAACAACAAACACAACACATTTTAGCCTGATAACGAAAAATTCAAGACTTGTGCTCAAGAAAACTAGTATTGAAATATACAAGGTGCCAAGATTCACAAGTTTAGAGACAAAAACGAGAAAAAAAGAACCATTTTCAAGTCTTCTACAATATATACGAGGACATTTTACAAGTTATGTCATTTCTGACCCCGCCCAACTCCGTGGCAGGACTGAATAAGGGCTCTGGGGCGCAGAACTTTGTCCTGGACACTCCTGGCTCGCAGCTGATGCCTATGGAAGGGCCCGACATGTCGTTGAAAAAAAAGAATAACATCTGCAAGTCGTTCGAAGACGACGTGTTTTTCTGTCCGAGAGGCCTGTTGTCGACGCAAGAGCAGTCGACGTGTCAGCAGATGGACCTGTTTTTGCTAGACCAGATGCGCGAAATCGGCAATGCCCGAATTCAGGGGCCCAAGCACCTCGAGAACATGAACATGAACATGAGCATGAACATGAACATGCAGATGCAGCCACAGCTCAAAAAGTTCAATCCCTACACGTCACAGAGTTTCAGCCCTGCACCACCTCCTTTCGAGCACCAAACACATATACAGGACTCCAACAATCTTTGATAAGAACTGGGTGTGGTAATTGAGGTTTCGAAGATCTCTATTAGGGTCTAACGTCCTTTACAGAGAATTTTCGAAGTAGGTTCACAGGATATTCATGAACGGTTACTATAAAGAGAGACAGGCGCAAAGGGAAAATTATATGGGCAAAGGGAAAAAAAATAAGAGATTTAAGGCGCCTCGACCGGCGCGTACCGTAGCATCAGCCGCAAACTGTAGATACCGAGTTACTCACCGATGTAGTTTTGGCCAGTGCCATTACATATACGAAGAAACATCAGACTTGGAAAACTACAGTAAACAATGTGTATTGGTTGTGGTGTGAACTTATTTTGACAATGCAGTGAATGAGTGCGACTACTACACTCTGTGTCAGACAATTGGAGCTCTCATATCTGCCGGGGACGAGTTGTTTCCCCTTAGGCTCTATGGAGTTGGAAGATCACACTAATATGTCAGAATTTAACACCAAAATCTTAGTAAAGGAGCTGGGATCTTACGCTCAATAATGAGACAACACAGAGCGAGCCCAAGCTAACCACATCGACCAATATCGTGCTATGAATCGGGCTTAGTCACTGGTATCATCATCATCATCGTCATATTGTAAACGTCACACTGGGAAAAAGTGATCAACAACTTTCAATTATATAGCATCCATAACGATAGTTGACAACCTCTTAAACGTCAAACTCGGACAGGTTCATCGCTTTCTGTTGAGGGAGTGCTCCAGCCAATTTGCTAGCCATTTGCAATTCTGCATTTCAACCTTTAACTTGAAATGAGTGGTTCAAAACCCGAGTTTAGTCGTGGTCTTTCTTTAGAAGATTTGGTCAATCACGATGACGGTCCCGACTCCAAAGCTGAGGCTAGACGGAGAAGCTCTCAGACTTTAAACCCTATTCCAGCCGAAGAAATTAGAAAGAGACTCAGTGTGGATGGTTCTGGAAGTGAAAGTAAATCAGGTACCAAGAACTCAAAACCCTCTGGCAAATCAGAAACTGGGAATGATGAAGAGACCGACACGGATGATGAGGTAGGTGGTTCTGGCGATATCGTGTTTGAAACAGGGGACTTCAAGTTCGATTATGAGAAGCAGGAAAGCCATGAAATCTCCAACGACAACGCAAGTAAAGAAGGGAAAAGCTCAAAAACTGAGAAACCTGTTAGCACGGAAAATCCTAAGAAACAAAATGAAGCGGCTGAGGCTGGTGTAGAACCTTCAAACGGGTCCAAGAAACCCAAGCCAAGAAGAGATTCTGAGATGAAGGATATTTTCCAGGAAAAGTCGTCCCTCGAGTCCAAGAGAAATGCTATAAAAAAAGATCTTAAGGTTCTGAACGAAATTGCAGCGACTTCCAAGCCTAGCCGATACAATATCGCACCTGTTTGGGCTCAGAAATGGAAGCCCACAGTCAAAGCCCTCGAAAGCATTGATACGAAAGATCTTCATATCGACGCTTCTTTCACCAATATCATTCCCGATGATGACTTGACAAAGTCAGTGCAGGACTGGGTTTATGCTACTCTGGTATCAATACCGCCTGATCAACGACAGTTTGTCGAAATGGAGATGAAATTTGGTATTATCGTGGACGGAAACGATACCAACAGAGTAAGTCCGCCGGTTTCGTCTCAAACAGTATATACCGAAATGGACGCGCATTTAACTCCAGACGTTGACGAGAGGGTATTCATGGAGCTAAACAAATACATTAAAGGTATCTCTGAGCTGAGTGAGTACACGGGTAAGTTTAATACAATTGAGTCTCACACCACCGACTCACTGTATCGAGTGGGGGTTTCTACACAGAGACCGCGTTTTTTGCGAATGAGTAGAGACGTGAAGACCGGGCGTGTGGGTCAGTTTATTGAAAAGCGACACATCAGTCAGCTTCTTCTGCTATCGCCTAAGGATAGCTACGACGTGAAGATCTCCATAAACCTGGAACTGCCAGTACCCGACAACGACCCACCTGAGAAGTACAAGGATAACACTCCTGTAAATATCAGAACTAAACAGCGGGTGAGTTATATTCATAATGATTCCTGTACCCGTATGGATATAACGAAGGTGTCATCTCATAACCGAGGAGTGAAACAAAAACACACGGAAGATACTCACGAAATTGAACTGGAAGTCAACACAGCGGCGTTGCTGAGCGCTTTTGACAACATTACGCAGAATAGCAAAGAGTATGCGTCTATTCTCAGAACATTTTTGAACAACGGCACTATCATAAGGAGAAAGCTTACAGGCCTTTCTTTGGAAATCTTCGAAGGCCAAAAGAAAGTCTGAGAGTGACAGGGTGCAACTCTCGTGCGTCAATAATGAAAGTGGTAGCTTTGTATATAATTGTACACTAATTTTCTGTCTTCTTAAGTGCGAGATGAGATACACTTTAGTCTTTCAGCACTCGTTTTTGTCGCTGTAAATGCCCATGATGTAGGCTAGTCTTATGATTACCAGATCTTTTGCCATGTTAATGCTGTCTCTAGCAAGCTCCATTTTTGAACCATCAATCTCGTGCCATGAAATGGCCACTTCTTGGATTTCTATCTGCTTTCTTAACGCCAGGATCAAAATCTCCACATCAAAGATCCAACCTTCGGTGCGTAAGTAAGGGAAGACCTGACCAATAGCGGATCTGTTAAAAAGTTTGAATCCACACTGCGTGTCCTTGATCGAGCGAATGCCAAAAATGAAAACGAGCGTATGCAATCCGTACATGAGGAAATTTCTGATGAACGATCTTTTGACGACAGCATCGGTATTCACCATGTGTGCGCGGGATCCGATGGCTATAGCACGCTTGCCGCTGTCGTCGTATTTTTTGATGGCACTCAGCAGTTTTTCGCAGTCTGCAAATTTACTGGCCCCGTCTGCATCTGCAAAAAGACCGAATCTACCTCTAATGTGCAGCATTCCATGTCTGACGGCGCCGCCTTTGCCTCGGTTTTTGGTCAATTCAATTACTCTCAGTTGTCCAGGTTGCAGCTTGAAAGTGGTGTGAGCCAGGTCCAAGCAATATTCTGATGTTCCATCTTTCGAGCCGTCATCGACAATTAAGATTTCCCATTTGTTGGCCATTTTCTCTTGCAGGTATTCAATTGCATCTTTTAGCATTACCAAAATACGTCCAATTTCATTGTAGCTGGGAACAACCACAGAAAGCTCAATTCCGTCCACCTCTTTTTCCGATTCCTTTACGGACACCAGACTACCACTAATAACCTCTTCATCAAGACCGTTAGTCTTGTATAAAAGTTCCTCTTCGAAAGGTTTTCTCGGCGAATGTGACAATAGGAAGACTATTAGGTACAGAGAGCTAAAAATGACCACCAAAAAGGTGAGACTTAGCACGGCCAAATCGGCCTCTCGTATCTTAGAGCAGTATGATTCCCACATAGCGCTTTTGAGTTGCCCTGGTGCTAGTTAGTTCGAGGTCAACTTCGTGTTGAAGTTAGCACAAGTATGCACTATAAAAATGCCAATAAATGATCAGCATTTATAGTCACGTGACACAGATGTCAGAGTGTATTTACAGGCATCCACTGTTGCCCGTTGAACATCAAGCGACTTTTTTAATCATTAGAGATATATTTCCGGTCAATTGGTTTTGATAATTGGAATTGAAGTTCAGATTCCAGTGTTTTTCCGTCCGAGAATGAATATGTGTCATTTTTTTTTATTCAACGTATGAGTAGCGCTTTAATGCCCTGAAAGAAGCCTGTCAATGCGATAAAATATGAGTTTTGAATCGCTAACAGATAGTTTTATGTCGAACTCTTAAATGGGCCTGACTGTGCGAAGTATATTCTTGGTTTAAAACCAGATGGTTTATATAACCATCATGATTAATATACATGCAAATAATTGATGACACTTTGAAAAAAAGTGATAAGCAGATGCCAGGGTCCTCGTCCCTCTGCGACAAACTGTTTGAGCGTCTGTCCTTGAGCCCCGTTCTATTAATCCATCCATTCACCTGTTTAATTCTATATATGCGAAAATCTACGTCCATTGGGCGAGGCGTGTTCCTCTTTATGCTTTGTATCCTCCCCATCGCTTGAGCGGTATTGCGTCGCCGGCGTCGAATCGATACCAGTACGCCCCGGACCCTCGTGTATCGAAAATTCCTCGCTGATCACTGTGCTATCGTTGAGAGCTGCAATATCTGCATCCTCGTCTGTACCCGAATATGGGAACATTGATGTGGGGGAAGAAGGCATGGTCTTACGCTTTCTGCAGTTTTCTTGCATATAATCGTCGTCGACGTAATCCTCGTGTCCAACAGGCGACGACGGTACCGGAGCAGGTCTTTTCGCACCGCTGATTTTTCTGCCGCCTACGGCTTTCGCGAGAGGCGAAGTATTTAGACACAGCGGAGCATCATCCTCGATATCGTGAAGGGTAGCGTCGTTGTGCGTTTTGGCAAGCAAAGGAATCCTTTGCAATTGGTCTTTGCACGATGGTGCAGCTTTGCTAGCCATTTGTTCTTTCCTTTGTTCTAGCTCATACAATGGCATCGATAGCGTGTCCATAGGAGAAGTTCTATCCAGGTCGCTAGTTGGTGCTCTGAGAGCATCGTGCTCTTCGTCTTCAATGGGAAGCGTATTGCAAGTTAAAGGATCCTTGATCGGCGTTGCGCCCTTTTGGCTCAAGACCGGAGAACCGAAAAGATCGTTGAACCATTCCATAGGGTCGTCGCTTCTGGGGTTATTAAGCGCTTTTTCAACGTCGCTTGGAGTTTTAGAGGACGGGAGATCCATGCCTAGTAGGTCTTCAAAACGAGAACTGGCCGGTGTCATGCGAGGTGGAATGTTTTCTTTATTTTCGCATTCGTCGCTTTTGTCTGGCTGCTCAGCTTCAAAATAATCGATAGGTTTCAACTTTTGCTTTCCTAGCAGCTGTTGAACCAAGTCTTCGTCTCTCAGAAGCTTAAAATCGTCGATTTCATCGTTTTTAATGCTGGTCAATGATTCGGCTGCGACTGGTGTGCTTATATTAGTGTTCGGTATGCTGTCTCTTCTGACCTTTTTATTCGCAGTAGATTTGAGCTTTGCAACGGGCTTTTTAATGCTAGGTTTGCCCATTTTGCCCTTCTTCTTGGTGATAAAATCAAATCTCTTGCTGACGGAGTCATCGATTTTCGTCTTTTGGACGGTGTTGTCGTGTTGTAAACTACTGATCTGGAAAACGGGTCTTTTGGAATCCTGAGTCTGCCGAGGAGCCAGGTCAGCCTCTTTAGCTGCTCTATCAGCGAGGTAAATTTTATGTGCGATTGAGTTTGTGGGTAATGCAAATTGGTTGTTTTTAGTTTGATCCCATATGGGCAGTGACTGAGTGCGTACAGCTTTTGGTGCAGGTTTGGGATTGGTTTGACGTTTTCCTGTGAGTGGGGCTGTGTGTTCATGCGGTTTGCACAGTTCTGTGGTTTTACTCAGCCTTTTGGCAAGTGTGTTGCTGTTTGCACTATTCGCAGAAGATGGCATCCTGGCCATGGGTAGAGGAATATGCTTACCGGAAATGCTGGATCTGCGGGACGAGTTGGCCGTGGCTACTTTGGAAAATCGCATTTTGATTTCAAGAGTTCGTTGGGATGCAGAGTCTGCGTCTTGGTTTTGGAAACGAAGCATAGCCGAAAAGTTGGAGCAAACGCGCCCGATGACCAGAGGCCAGTCTGTGTGCTGTTCGGAGGCAGAAGTGCTGCGTGTTTGCGGGTCTCTTCGCAGTTTTGATAGCAGCCCGAAACTAACCAATGGCTCGTCCACTTCGCAGATATCTTTGCAGTAGACGTTGTAGTCGACGTTAGCGTCCATCCCGATGCTAAATAGCTCGGGCGAAGATGCACAGATTTCGTCCAGAACGTCGTTCAGCTCGACCATTCCGATTTTTATTTGCGAGCCATCGTTGTTGGGACTAGAGATGTTCTCCACGCGCACGTCGACTGCTGTCTTGCTCCTTGTCAAGTACGAGCTTGCTTCGTTGTCAACGGTGTATAGCACCTTCAAAGACATGCTCATGGTCATTGATGCGAGCTCAGCGATGCGTTGAGGGCGATGCGTGAGGGCGATGTGAGAGGGGTTTTGGGAGACGGTAAAAGGTAGGAAGAACCCAGAGTGAGATATAGTTTGAATTTCGAGATGCCAAAGCTGTCCGTCTAGCATTCCATCTTTTTCAAGTCTCCGTTGCGCTATTGGTGTGTGTGCGTTGCCGTGATGCTTATACGCGACGCGTAAAGCTCGAGCTATTACCACGCGTTTTTTTCGCGTCGCAGAAAAAAACGCGTAAAGGTGACGCGTAAAGGCTGGCGCGTTGGATCGCGTTGGATCGCGTTAGCGTAATTACGCGCCACAAGCTCGTGTTTCCAGCTCGAAATGACAAAGAATAATAGTGTCTGCTACCAGCAGGGGTAAGAGTAGAACCGTGTTTTTACGCTTGTTGTAAGTCAACAGAGAATCAACGGACGACAATTTTGTCAAACACGAGATCAAAAATCTCGATTTTAGCGTCTAATCTTGAACCCAGATTTGGAGCGTCCAGAGCTAGTGAATGGATGTCTGCAATATAGTCAGCTAAGTGTTGTGATGTGTATGGCACTTGGTTCATAGAAAGTACACTGCCGATCGAGTACTTTCTACAGATCGTTTTGATATTATCGTGTCGTCGTCTCTCGATTACATAATCACCATATCGCTTTGTCATTATCGTGTCGTTTTTATTTCTTGAAAAGAAAATGTCCGAGAAAGCCGTACAAAGTGCTTCATTAATTTATTGAAAATTTTTTAAAACAGGTGAATCTCGATCTCATCTCATCTCATCTCATCTCACCTCATCTCATCTCGATTAGAACGCTTTATAAGTAAGATCCTAAAGCGGACTAGTAAGTTAAATTGGATAAGCTTGTGTAACTATCCTTCAAGAGTAGCTGAACTTCCAAATTTTGTGAGCTTTTTCCGGATCTAAAAACACAACTTTTCCCGTAAATATGCCTCCCAAGAAATTCGTGTCGCTCGACGACTTTATGGGCGAGGAAAAACCCAAGAAAAACCAGGTTCCTTCGCCTTTCGGTGGATTTTACACGAAACAAGCTGACAGCAACGCCAGTGGTGCCAGTAACCAGTCGCAGAAGAAAACTCTGAACCAACAGTCGTCGTACCAGGCGCAACGGAACTGGAACGACGGTGGTCAGTACCACAACTCTCAGAGCTATCAGAACTATCAGAGCTATCAGAACTATCAGACGCCTCAGACGCCTCAGAACTATCAAAACTACCAAACTCCTCAAAACTACCAGAACTACCAGAACTACCAATCTCCCGCATACTCGGCAACGTCCACACCTGCCACCAGCAACACCCCTACACCAACAACGTCTACCGCGTCTCTCACTTCTCTGACCACATCTTTGGCCAATTTGGGTGTCACTCCCATCTCCGGTCCTCTATCATGCCTTCCACAGTGCGCGTCTCTGGCAGACTGCAAGCAACAAATCCAGCTGGCCGTGGCAGAATTCAACAAAGAGGGCCATTCGGCCCAGGATATCACCAACTGGGATGTTCCAAGCATTATCAGCAAGCTTCTGAAGCCCAAGAACGCCCCCTTGGTGCAAGAATCGGCTATGGTGTTGATATCGCAACTGGCCAGCAATTTTGCCGGCAATTCTCCTCAGGAAATCTACCTGCTCCCATTACTGCCATCTGCTTTGGACGCTATTGCTAGCAAAGAAAACTCGGTTAGACGCGCGGCTCAACATGCCACTGACTCGATATTTGGTCTTTTCCCCATTGAAGCTCAAACTTGCGTCGTGCTACCCAAACTGCTTGAGTATTTGAGCTCAGGTGTTAAATGGCAGTGCAAGTGCGCAGCGCTAAAGCTTGTCGACCGCATTAGGGAGGAATCGCCTAACGATTTGCTCGAACTAACGTTCAAGGATGCTGTTCCAGTCCTAACTGACGTGGCCACCGATTTCAAGCCTGAATTGGCAAAACAGGGACACAAAACATTGCTAGACTTTGTGTCTATTTTGGACAACTTGGATCTTTCACCTCGTTTCGAGCTTATTGTCAACACCTTGCAGGACCCGGCCAAGGTCCCAAGCTCTGTCAAGTCGCTTTCCAGCGTCACTTTTGTTGCTGAGGTCACCGAACCCGCTCTAAGTATCCTGGTACCAATCTTGAACAGATCGTTAAATCTTTCATCATCTTCTCAAGAGCAGCTCAGACAGACTGTCATTGTCGTCGAAAATTTGACCAGACTGGTCAACAACAGGTCTGAAATTCAACATTTCATTCCTCAACTAATGCCTGGGATTCAAAAGGTCCTAGATACCGCCTCTCTGCCTGAAGTTCGTGAACTGGCTGAAAAGGCATTACAAGTTTTGCAAGACGACTCTCAAGACAACGGGAAATTCCCCGGCAAAATCTCTTTCGAAGAAGGTCTAAATTTCTTGAATGAAAGATTAGTTCATCTTACCGACAAGGCTTTGAGTACTGACATTGTTTCCTATTTGTCCAAGATTTTGACTGTTGATGCCAATGTCAACGACTGGAAGAGACTAAAGGAATACCTAGTCATGGTTTTCGGGGAAGAGAAAGCTGAACAAATCGATTCTCATTTCATTCATGAATTGAGACAAATTTTCCACCAGGAAAAAGCTCAATACGACGATGAAGGTATTGAAATTGTCAATGCCGATTTTTCTCTTGCTTACGGTTCCAGAATGCTTTTGAACAAGACTACCCTCCGTTTGTTGAAGGGTCACCGTTACGGTCTATGCGGCAGAAACGGTGCTGGTAAATCTACGCTGATGAGGTCCATTGATAACGGTCAACTTGAAGGTTTCCCTGATAAGGAGACGTTGAGAACGTGTTTCGTGGAGCACAAACTTCAAGGCGAAGAAGGTGATCTTGATCTCGCTTCTTTCATTGCATTGGATCCTATCTTGAAAGATGTTTCTCGCGAGGAAATTTCGAAAGCTTTAAAAACTGTTGGATTCGATGAAGAGAGAAGAGCACAGACCGTCGGATCTCTATCCGGTGGTTGGAAGATGAAGCTGGAATTGGCCAGGGCGATGCTACAAAAAGCAGATGTCCTATTGCTAGATGAGCCTACCAATCATTTAGATGTGGCAAATGTCAAGTGGCTACAAGATTACTTGCTGGAGCACACTGAAATCACATCCTTGATTGTGTCGCACGACACCGGCTTTCTTGATGCGGTATGTACCGACATCATTCACTATGAAAACAAAAAGCTCGCATACTACAAGGGTAACTTGGCCGCATTTGTCGAACAGAAACCAGAAGCTAAGTCTTACTACACGCTTACCGACAGCAATGCCCAAATGCGCTTCCCACCTCCTGGTATCTTGACGGGTGTAAAATCTAACACAAGAGCGGTTGCCAAGATGACCGGTGTCACTTTCGCTTACCCAGGTGCTCCAAAACCTTCATTGACTAACACATCATGTGCGCTTTCTTTGAGCTCGAGAGTCGCTGTGCTTGGACCTAATGGTGCAGGTAAGTCCACTCTTATCAAAATTCTTACCGGTGAGCTCGTTCCTCAGGAAGGAAAAGTGGAAAAGCATCCTAACCTTCGTATTGGGTACATCGCACAGCATGCACTACAGCACGTAAATCTGCACAAGGAGAAGACAGCTAATCAGTACTTACAATGGCGTTACCAGTTTGGTGATGATAGAGAAGTGCTACTGAAGGAGTCCAGAAAAATTTCGGAACAGGAGAAAGACATGATGGCCAAAGAGATCGACATCGGTGATGGTAGAGGTAGTCGTGCCATTGAAGCAATTGTTGGTCGGTCGAAGCTAAGAAAGTCGTTTCAGTATGAGGTGAAGTGGAAATTTTGGCTTCCAAAATACAACTCTTGGGTTCCTAAAGAAGTGCTTCTAGAGAATGGCTTTGACAAGTTGGTTCAAAAATTCGACGATCATGAAGCTTCCAGAGAGGGTTTGGGTTACCGTGAATTAACTCCAGCCGTGATCACAAAGCACTTCGATGATGTCGGACTTGATGCTGAAATTGCCAACCACACACCCTTGGGCTCACTTTCAGGTGGTCAATTGGTTAAAGTTGTTATCGCTGGTGCAATGTGGAACAATCCACATTTGCTAGTCTTGGATGAACCTACTAATTACTTGGACAGAGACTCATTGGGTGCTCTAGCTGTTGCAATTCGTGACTGGTCTGGTGGTGTTGTGATGATTTCGCATAACAACGAGTTCGTTGGTGCCTTGTGTCCCGAACAATGGATTGTTGAAAACGGTAAGATGGTTCAAAAGGGCATCAATGCCATCGACCAAAGCAGATTTGAAGACGGTGGGAACGCTAATGCCGTTGGATTGACGCCAAAAGCCTCTCCTTCGGTTGATGATGACGACTCTCCAGCTAATATCAAGGTCAAGCAGAGAAAAAAGAGGTTGACTAGAAATGAGAAGAAATTGCAAGTCGAAAGACGCCGTCTACGTTACATTGAATGGTTGAACTCTCCTAAGGGTACACCTAAACCTGTTGACACCGACGATGAAGACGAGTAGTTGATAGCCGGAATTATGTAAAATAATAATTGTTGAAGATAGAGAGTTCAATTGTAATTGATATGTTTGCAAAGATATATGCTCGGAGATGTTCATTTGACGTGGCGAGAATCGTGACGACGAGTGTAAAAGGGGAGTCGGTGCGTCGTTCGGAAGTCCAACCGTGTTGCTTCAAGCAAGATCCCATTGTTAATTTTTCCTCGTTGACAAAGGAGGTGCAGTTGGCATGGCGCTCAAGAAGCAGGTAAGATGTCTGGCATCTTACACTAAATGTTTTTCAACTCACCTGGAATCAGAATTTTTTTTTCCTCTTCTGCAGTTATAGGAGTGCCTTCAAGCTTTTGGATCGATTCCTTTACCAGTTCTACGAGAAAAAGGTGGTGTTCCTTGAGACCAAGGATACTCACAGTGTTGAAATTCATCCCATAATGAGGGTACGAGCCAATTTTAATTTCCTCAGAGACGGCCACACACCGCGACTGCAATTGACGTAGAAACGCCGAGATTTCAGATTCTGACTTTCGGGTTTTGATGAAATAGCGCTCGTAGAGGTGCGGGTTTCTGTCGTCGACATCGTAAAGCTGTTTCAACGTGGGTTCGAACGCATTAAGCAATTTTTCGAACAATTGCGGGATGCCCGGCAGAATGTACACTTTTTTACTGATTCCAACGATGGGCACCCACAGCTCGTCGACGACGTAGAAGCTGCGCACCTCAGGACCACTGGGTAGTGTTGCCATCCGGTAAAAATCTTTGAGTGCTTCGGCGTCGTGTCTTTGCTCTGGTTTAGAGATTCTTCGCATGCGGTCTTGGCATTGTTTGTCGAGTTTGCAGCGCAAATTGAAAGCATTTGCGATAGATTCGTACGTGATATCGTCGTGGGTGGGTCCGATGCCTCCTGAGGTGATAACAAAGTCATTTTCCGCGCTTAATCGCTTGATAGAACTGGAAATCTGGTCTTTTTGGTCCCCAATGGTCGCGATTTCTCGGAGTTGAATACCCAAACGGTAGCAGTATTGGGCGAAGAACCGGGAATTTGTGTCGGTGATCTTACCGTTGAGAACTTCGTCGCCAATTATCAGACAAGCGGCTTTGACGAGTGGCATTCTGGGAGTAAGTATGGGGATTGGGCTGTGTAATAGCCTGGTGAGCATTCAGGCTAGAAAGAGAAGATGGATGAGATCTAGAGATGTGTGTGAGTGTGAGTATATATAGTCTGAGAGAAAGAGAGATTGAATTTCCGGAGGTTATCGTATGTAGTGATCGATATTTAATTAATTTTCGAAGAATTAAGGGTACCAATGTCGTTAGTGGTGATAATAAATTTCTATTGATTATATAATCAAAAGTTTTCGTATCAAAGTATATCAAATGACACAGATGACATAATCATTAAGATTATGTAATCTAGATGTTTCAGTGGATCACGTGAACAGATGTCACGGCCCTCAGCGTCAGTAAATTGAGTTTCCCGTACACGGCACAACGTCAAGGGTCTTTTTTAATCTCTCATAAACTACTTTCCGAGACTGAGTGGTGCTATTTGGGTGTATAAAACAAATTACTTGTCGGTTAATTATCGATATAACTGACACCCTCAGCGTCTCGTAATTTTAATTAATATGCTAACTTGTCAAACAGCTGGCGCTCTTGAGTTCCTCAGTAGTATTTCGAGTCCCTAGTTTATTGTTTAATCGTGCCTGTAGCCATACCATGGTCGACCACTACTTTGTATATGTACCTGCTTTCAATTGCCTGGTGGTACTCATGATGCTCCTCGTACTCGTACTCGTGCTCTTTTTCATTAATTAGCATCACTCCACACGGATCTTCGAACTTTTCATATACTGGAAATTTTCCAGAGGCCTCCAGTTCTTTCACCAACTCGCTCTCCATCTTGTGACTCCAACTCAAAGGACTTTGCTTCCAGTCTTAGCTACTTGCTATTCTAGTATTTATATTGGCTGGTCGGCTCACAGAATTGAAATCCTGAAGTTTACAGATCTTTAGAGCTCTAACTCATCGAGTAATCATCACTACCACCTTCACCACCACCAACTGATAAATAATGTCCACTTTCAGCGCGGAAACCGCTGAAAACTTGGAAGATTTGGAAAAACAATTTGCCGTTGTTGCCGTTGAACAGGCTGAAACTTACTGGAACTTGATCACCAAGGTTCCCGGCTCCAAGCTTCGTTTGACCAAGCACGATGATGAGATCTACGAGAAATTCCAAGAGCACTTCCCCGAATACAAAGACCTCAATAGACTCAGCAAATTCACCGAGGACGAACTCAAGACAAAAGAGGCCAAGGAAAGATGGAGAAACTACATCAAACTTTTCGAGAAAAAAATAGATGATTTCAACTTCGGCACCTTGCTCAGAACCGACTCGTCGCAAGAGTACGGTCAGTTTTCCACCTGTTTTGTCGTCAGACTGCAATTTTACGCCTTCGAGGTTGCCAGAAACAAGAATAAACTCAATGACTGGGCCGTGGGTCACCAGTGAGATATTTTTTGGGTTCTTGCTCTGAAAAGCACTCACATTCCGCCCCCCGCTGCATGCCTGCGTCTATATTCAAATAGTTTTCGTATGCACCAAACATCATTAACGCTATCATATAATGTATCAAATCTTAATTTCTAATGCTTATGGCCGTGGCCGTGGTCGTGGTCGTGGTCGTGGTCGTGGCCCAGTTCGCCCAGCCCGCCGAAATGCGAATGTGTGTGCGAGCCTGCCAAGAGCGCAGGATCCTCGCTGGCTTCGGTTCTGGGAAGCGGCGGCGTGCCCATCTTTCTTTGTCTTTCAAGCTCTTGCTCTTGTTCGAGACTCAAGGCCGGTTTCTCCTCCACAAACTCTACGTTAAGGTCCACCAAACTTGGCATGTTGGCAATCAGGGTGCTCCGAACATGGTGGGTGACATTTTCCAATTCCTTGACTGTCAGCAGGTTTTCCCATCTCTGTATTGGGACTTCAAGAACCATTTTGGCATGAACACTAGGACCAGACGCCAATACGACCAGGTCTTTCAATTTGTAGGGCTTACCAGCGTTGTTATTCGACACCATCTTGGCCAGAATCTCAGTCAGGTTCTTCTCGACGCCTATGTAGCGAACGTCAGTCTTTGAGACAGACTTGTCCATCAGCTCGGTTACTGCCACTATCAGACCATCGGCTCCAGCTTTGACCACCAATCCCGAAACCAACAGTCCACCCACGGCGTCTAGTGATTGGATGTTGAAGAAGTATCCCGACGAAATGGTCACCAAGGCTACTAGAGACGTCAGGGAATCTACTCTGTGATGCCAAGCATTCGCCAGTAGCACGTTAGACTTCGTTTCTTTAGCAACTTTTTTTGTAGCGTTAAAAATCCATTCCTTCACCGCAATTGAGCCTGCTGCAATCCATGCAGCGTTTATGTTGGTAACGTCGTCTGGCGATCCGTGAACGTGCGAATGCGAGTGCGACGCCAAATAGTGCATCACCGTGTCAGGAAGAAAGGGAGCGGCAATCGCACACAGCGATCCCCATCCAATTGAGAGCCCTGCAACAGCTAGAATCGCTGAGACCGACAAGGTTCCCAGGGTTTGTATCTTACCGTATCCAAGAGGGTACTGTTTTGTTGGCAGCTTCGAAGACCAGCCTATGGAAAATAACGTTAGAAAGTCAGAAACCAGATCTGACAAAGCGTGCACGGCATCTGCAGTCAGAGCTTGAGAATGGAACACGATACCACCAGCAAATTTACCTGCTGCCATTCCCACGTTTATCAGCAGACCTATCCAAGTGATTCTGACGCCTGGATTAGTTTTTATTTGGGATTTGCTGAGTACCAGCATAGTGTTGTTTTGGGAGGCTGGAGATTTGCGTTCAAAACGCCTGTGATGGTCACTTTCTCGGTACAGACCCGTTCCCAATTGATACAAATCATTTTCCAGCGTTTCCGACTCTGACATATGAATGTGCTGGTGGTTCGAGTCTTCGAACGCCCCGGAGAGTTTCTGAAATTCTGGGTTCTTTTCTAGTCTCTTTTCGGCATCATTCAGGCCTGAAGAGACGAACAATGGCTTTTTCTGAGTCTCATTGACCAGTAATCTACAATAGCTATGAAGGGTGCGTCTATCAATCTCGATCCTTCGGGAAAACATTGTATTTTTAATGGACTGTCGATACCCCCTCCATACAACATTTACTGCTTCCGCTCCGCACTTCATCTTGCTACTTTGGCCTTCGTGTCTAATTTTAGTGAAGTTCGATGGGTATGTTATGTTATTCATACCAGTATAGTACTTTATAAATGACACCCAACTTTGCTGGTTCTCTATAAAATTGAAAAGTCGATTTAGGATACAGGCTTTAGGGTTGTTGAAGCCCTAGATCAACTTTCAAATCATTTCTAGAGCATATGTATATACTTCTTGGAATATATGGGCAATGGGCGGAATCATGGGTTTTGTATATACGGTTGTGAGCTTGGTTCTGAAGTGGGTGCATAAATTGATTTAGAAGTCTCGCTCATTAGTTCGCTTTTCTCAGCCTTCGCAGTTTCTTCGACCTTATCATCGTTCCCATTTGATTTGTGTTGCTCGATAAATTTTGTTGGTGCCTTCTCAGACGCTGCTGCTGCTGGACTGGACACTTTCTGATCAGTAACTTCAAAACCTGTAACAACGTTTATCTTGCCTAGCAAAAAAGCTTGTATTCTCAGGGCGTCGTGCTCGCGGCAAGCACTTCGCAGGGCCTCCTCTTCTTGAATCATTTTAACACCGCTTCCCGTGAGCTTGCGAACATAGTATTTGACCTTTGACAGAGGAACATCCAGTTTCAATCTTCCATCGGACTCGAACATTGACTCTCTGAGCTCTCTTCGGAATGCTGCAGCTATCTTGAACACCTGGAAAACCTCAGAAAGTAGCTGGCGGTCTGGTATGATCTTCAGACGACTAGACTCCAAAATCAGTTTTTGCAGATCGTCGTAGCGCACAGCATTAATGTTCGGGACATCACGGGCACAGCAGATCGGACACACAAAGACACTGCTTTCGCTACTTCCCAAGGACCATTTGCCCTTATTAATGCACGTCATATGATACCATTCTCCACATATCTCACAAGCGACCATAGTGCTACCGAAGTCACCGCGACGGCAAAAACAATAGAATCCTTCTTTTTCATCATGAACGGACGTAGGAGCATTCCAAGTGTCAGCTTTATTTCCCATGCATTGCTCTGTCGACAGAAGAATTTTGGCCCACGACTGTTTTTTCGGAACAATGGTGAGAAGTACGTGGAGCCACGCTCTGCAATCTTTAATGTGCTTGGAGAAAATGGACTTGTTGGGAACCTCTTGCAGCGTCAAACGGTGATCGCTGGTAGAGCCATCAAATTTGTCAAGCAGATTCAGCTCGCATAAAGTTTCGGCCGTAGCGTCAGCTCCAAGTTGAATCAAAAATTGATCGTTCGTGCTAAGCTTTGTGAAGGAAGAAGCGAAGCTTTGCTTGCTAGAGTCGAAAGCTTTCAGAATGGCCTCGAGAGCATCACTTAATCGCGCATCAATCAGATGAGGATGCTTGTTGATTGTAGTGAAAAGTTCCTGGAGTTTCTCGGCAGGTATTCTGCTGGTTTTCTTTTTGAAGAGACCTTTTAACTCAGATAGAACGTTTTGGGAGACCAGGATAGCTCTTCGAACTTCATGAAATTTATCTGAATGATTTTTCCCCCTCACGTACCGCAGCCCATAATTCAGAAAAACCGGCAAGTCTTTTATATTATAGCTTTTGGCATCCTGAGAGCTGAGGTCAAGATTGTTTGAGAAAACTTTCTCATACTCTTTAAGCCACAATTTCTCTCCAATAGTTCTCGCGAGTAGCTTATGATACTTGGAGCTTATTCCAAGTGATAGGCCTCTCATGTATGCGTTTTGGAGAAGGTCGAGGTCTTCCTTCTGAAGCGCGTCTTTACAAAAATTTTGATATTCCTTTACTCTCCGACAGAGGTCAAAAATATCATGCATCTCTGTGAATTCCACTGAGAGGTGCTGTAGCTCGTTCTGCAACTTGAAGAGCTCTGCTGCCGAATGTTGAAAGCGCGGCACTGATATTTCATGGAGAGCAAATCCTGAGTTAACTTCTGGCAGCCACAACTCTTGTTGTACACCATTGACACTTTTTAAGAATTGCACACATTTTGATCTTATAGCTCTGACTTCTGATATGATTTGATTGAAAGGCTTCGATAAAGAAGCCTGAACTTCGGATAAAGCTTCGGTGTACATGTTAATTTCGTCAAGCCGTATTCTGCTCTCACCACCGTTTCTCCCTACTAGTTTTGTATAAGACTGGATTATTTCGGCCTTAGTATCTTCTTCTCGATTAATTTCATGTGTGTAGAAAGTTGCTGCAGCTTTCAAGCGAGCCTGATCTTCTTGCAGTAAAAATTCCAGATTTTCACTGGGGTAAAGTAAATGCAGGGAAAGGCTTATCTGTTCGCTCTCAAGATCGCGACCAAAGACATGTAACGTCCCGTTTTCGATTCGTGAATTGTCCAAAAATTGTCTCAGAGATAGAGTTATGCAATCGCTTTCGTTTGTTAAAAGTACTTTTGAGGCCCCAGTCGACGCGAAGTTAAGATCGGAGATATAATCAAAAGTATTCGTGTATACTTTGATGTCACTCGTCATGCGGTTGAATTCATTCCTAGCTTTTAATTCATCGGCTACTAGAGGCAGAAATATTTCGCGAGCTTTCGAAACTAAGCTTTTGCTTTTACATTGAGAAATGATGTTGTATGAAAGCTGGAAAGGATTGATAGCCGGTAATATTCCATGATTAGAAAGCCACGCTTCACTGTCAAGAACCACCTTCAGCCAAGAAGCAGGTGCAAAATGGACATTTTCTGAAACGTTAAATCCGGAATGCAAATTCATTGTGTATGTCTTCGGAAACTTGAAAAGGTAGGACCTCGGGTTTTGAACTACTTTGAGAACTTCAATATTATGCTCCTCAAAAACCTCCGGAGGGAACTGTATGTCGCTCGAAAGATGCTCGAACGTTATGTTCACCGGGTGTATTGAATGTGTATTGATTCTTGTGGGCCTGCCGGAAGGCAGACTGTCCGGAGTGGTATCGCTGAAGCATTGATACAAAACGGATTCTTGAAAATTTCCATCATTTATCGTGTCAGTCTTGGCTTTTGAAGAATTTATATTTCCTTTTGAATTCGAGATTAGTTGTTCAAACTTCTCTAGATCATGGGGAGGAATAATGTACCACAATTTTGAAGAACCCACATGATGATAATCTACAGCGGGCAAGAAGTTGTCCTCGACGGCCCAGCCTTTAACCGAAAACAACATTCCCACGTCCAGGTGGGAATACACCTGATCACCGTAGTCAGCATTCAGAAAACACAGGGCAGACTTCTCTGACACGGAGATGTTTTTCAATGCCCACGAGTTAGCGTTATGCATATCGTCACCGTTGTGAGATACACTGGTGAAGCCTGACCCATGTATGCGAGCAGGAAGATTGATGGCAGTATCGACATCGCAAGAAACACCTATATCTGATAACACCTGAAAGAAAAGTCTTTCGAAGCTGTCCACGTTAAACCGATGATAGTCCGATATAGCAACGGGTAGTCTTTCTGCGCACCTTTCGAAAAACTGTTTTGAATGCAAATGAGATTTCTCACAAAACTGGGTCAGAGTATAAATCGGGGAGTCACTCGTTTCGTAAAGGGACTTGTCGTAAATCTCGGTAGTGTTTTTCCAAAACGAAAAATCGTAGCTCGGTAATGTAGAGGTGGAGGGCCTCGTGATGTGCTTTCGACGATCGGTCAGAGTTTCGAATTTGGTGACACAGCCCTTATACTGCAAAACATCTCGCAGTCTTGGATATTCGATACCGGTCCCTATCAGCTCGAACACTTTAGGCGTCACAAATTTCCGTTTTTTCGCGCGGTTGTCGCAGACAATTGTGGTACCTACCGAGCCTCTCTTCTTGGACTTACTATTTGCAGCTTCATTGGTTATAGAAGAGGGAAGTACGATGTGTAGTTTGGAAGACATATCTTGCTGAGCAATGCTCCCGGTCAAGTCGTTCTTCAAGCTGTACTCATCAAAGTCGGCTAGTATTTTTGTATATGCCGATCGTAGAGTTGTCAACAAAGAATTTGACGCTCTTTCCGAGTATCCCAGCTCTCTGCTGATCTGAGCCCAAAGTTTCTTGGCACACACCGCTTGGTATCCTCCCCGGAGAAGTACGCACTCGCGTAAACGGTACAAATCCAACGGTCTTCTGTCGATGCTGGGTATTTTGTGCAGATTGGAAAGTAAGTTTTTGTCGCCACGCATAGTGTGGAAATGGTGCAGTTTTCGATAAAAATCCAGCTTTCTTCGAGTTTCGATTTGAAAAGGTCTCAACGACTGCTTTCTGGCCTTGAAGCGAAAAAGATCAGGATTCAAGGCAATAGCCGGTGGTTCTGATGTCACCTGAGGGTCCTCTATGATTTCCAGAATGACAGCTCCGTAACGGCTCCCGACAGATTCTACTTGTTCATAAAAAGTCAGTGGATCTGGGAGTTGCGATCTGGGAATCTTGAAACACGGTACAGAGCCCTTTTTCAAGACGTAGTGCCATCCAGACTCGGAAGTAAAGTTCTGGTCAGGTTCAGAGCTTTTAGACCATTCCAATTTCCTCGCCTCGACTTGAGAGATTTGGTATTGATTTAGAGGTTTTGACTTTGGTAAGCCGCCTGTGGCAGATCTAAATTTTGCTGAGCCCGGAAAAAGCGATGAGGAGCCTCGCAGTTCTCTAAAACGACTCGTTTTCGGCAGATTTAGCGAGGGGTGAGACACAGGTGTCGATGGCACTTGTGATGGAACGTTCCACTTGCCCAGAGGCGGTAATTTAGGAGCATCGGCACCGTCGCAGGGCGGATCCTTTCGACTCTCAAATGGTTCTGGAAGTTTTTCTAGTGTCATATCCCGATCCAGATGGTTCTATTCCATTGGAATGTTGATGTTCATGATGGAAGGCATGCCGATCTTGAAGTTTCAAGTATTAAAATGGCGAGACGATGAGAGGTAATTAGACGTCTGGTCGTTATATACGAGGTTGAAAATGACAATTGGTTTAAGAAAAGAGAGAGATTAGTTTAAAGATATTAACGGAGATGAACTCAGACTTGTGAGTTGAAGGGGAAGGTAGTTACAATGCTTTTAATACTGGAAGGTCGACGGGAAACGAAGCTGATTTTGTCAAAAAAGAAGCCTGTTATTTTGAAGGAGGTCACGTGACCAGATTGTTATAATGACAGCGTTGGTCCCGCGACGGTGAAGACGTTACAGAATAAAAGCGTCTTTGAAGAGAGCATTTATAGCCTCCAATGTGCTTTATGTTTTTGAGTACTCGTTTTGAGAATTTGAGACATTCAAAATGCTGTTTTATTTTTAAAAAAGAGGTTATATAGCATTTAGTGCTGTAATATCTATATAAGAACTGTCCGGTCTACAATTATATCGGGGCCTCCAGGGCCCAGGAATCAACCTCCTCTCGCATAATTTTGTAGATTTGTTCATTATTCTAAACTAACATAGATCATCATAAATTATCATCGATATTTCATCTCGCTAACTAGATGCGAGCCTCAGCTCACATTCATTCCGTCAGGAACGAAAACAAATCACCAGTAGCGTTTTTGGAATTCGTCGGCGTACTCATCTCTACGACGAGTGTAGTCGTCCTTGCGACGAGTGCCTCTTCCCTCATCGTCTGCTTCGTCTTCTCCTTCGTCCCAGTTTTCACCAACGTCCTGGCCGCCGCCCATCATGGGCCCTGGCATCTGCTGCTGATGCATGGGATCGGAGCGGTTACTGGAGAATTGCGAAGTGTCTCCGCCCAAATCGTGCTGCTGTTGGCGAAACCCACCGCGCTTGCCTTGCATGGCGTGGCCAGAGGTGCCAGATTCGGTTGAACCCATATGTTGCGAGGGCAAAGGCATGCGATCATCATCACGCTGCTGTTGCTGCTGCTCGTAACCGGTGTTTCTGTCTTGAGATTCACGCTCTTCGTCGTCGTGGCCGTGGCCAGTAATTTTGTCGGACATTTTATGAATGATATTGGACATGTTTGGCGATTGTTGTGTGTTGGAATATGCTATTTGATTGCAATGATGGAATAAAGATGTATAAAGAGAGTGGTAGTGGTGCCAGTGGTACTACTGTTTATATACATAATTTGACGGTGAAAGCAAACGAACGTTAGGGATACGGGTAGTTGTTGCGACCAAACGCTGACATTAAGGTTAAGGGATACTTGATGGCAGGGCTGTGCGATGTGAAAGTTTATTGCTAGTGCGACGAAAAGGGATCCAAATCGTTGCTGAAAGATTAAAGAGGTTCCAGACCAATATTGGGTGGTCAGGCTGAGCTGGGTTTGGAGTTGGAGAGGAGGGCCGATGGGTATTTTCTTCTTTTTGCTAGGCTTTGGCACGTACGACACACGTACCCTAGGATTTTGGAAGCTTCCTCTGGGCGATTTTCTAGTCGTCGAGGAGAAGAATGGGGGGATGATCGGCTGGATGGCACCGGTGTCGGGAAAGACGGGGAGACCGGTGAAAGACGGGGAGACCGGTGAAAGGCGGGGAGATCATATCGAGAACCCGACGCGGGGTGGCCGCTTTCTACACGTCAAGTAAACCCACGAAAATCGCAGACTACACACAGCACGCTGCAAGCGTTATTATTATCGGGGAAAAGCGCGAATTGAAAGGAAATTGAGCTACAGCACAAGATAGGTTATCTAAGGGTCCTGGCTGGTCCTGGCTGGTCCTGGCTGGTCCTTTCTCGCAGATCAATGACCATAGACACACTACATCTTGGGCTACTTACAAGGGAGGGCCCAAATCCTTTTTGGGTTCAGAGATACCGTCACATGATCGATGTCACTCTCTACGTAATTGTACCCCTTTCTTTTTCTTTCCTTTCTTCTCCTTTCTTTTCTCCCTTCCCTTCTCGTTTCTTTTCCTCGCGTCCCGCCTCCCCTTTTTTCTTTCTTTTTTTTCTCTCTCTCCTTCAGGTCACCTGACACATTGCGTCATTACGTCATTTATCTCTCTCGCTCACAAATTAACACGCCCTGCGATCAGTTCGTCTTTTGCCGTTCGCAAAACTTTAGCACAATTCCACCAAAATCTACCCGGTACGACTCAGTTTGCCTCGTTACTCACCAAACCCCCATCTCAAGGCCCCAAAGACTATATAAAGCCAAACCTGAACCCAAGTGAGTCGGATATCAGGTATTCTTAAGCTTACATTTTTCTAAAACCACCACCATTCCACGTGTCTCCTCAGTTTTGTCGTTATTCGCTACGTCTACTGGGGCTTACACGTCTGATCTGATCTGGCTGGGTTTTTTTCTCGATTATATTCTCTGACTAGATACTTGACTGGAGAAACAACTCAAGTATCTGATATCGAAACCACTTTTTAACCACCACCTTTGTCGGCGATGTCGAACTTGTTCGAAGAGGCTCGCCAGCGTCTCAACGGAACACCCAGTGTGATTCCAGAGCGCTTGCGGTCGTTTTCGGGCCAGATTCCCACGCTTGGCGGCGGACACGATGCTGGCGACAGCGGAGGTGGGAGCAGAGGAGGAGACAAAGCTTTCAGTCGTAATGGGAGCTATCCGTCCAGCGAACTGGACTCCACGGACGCCAACCAGCCCTCTTCAGGCGGCAGCAGTGGGTCCGAAGAGTCCGAGTCGTTGCTGATGATGGGATCGTCGAAGCACGGTCACGTGCACGGCCATGGCCACCACCACCACCACGCCAAGCGTGGCCAAACAGACTCTGAAGCTGCCACCAACACCTCGGCACCCGGGTCGGCCAGCGCCGCGTCCGTCAGAGACTCCTTTACTGTCAGACTCAACGGGTCCACGCTGAACTCTGACGCTGTAGCTGGCGGCGCCAGTATGGGCGCTGAGGCCGCAGAAAGAGCGGTTTCCGCTCTAAAATTGGAATCCACTGCTTCCAAATAGGAGGTTTTTTTTGCAGGAATCTCTAACGAGGGAAAACGCGCATTTTAACGTTTCTCCTCGGCCATTTCCTGTATTTTATCCTCAATCGCTCACACTAAAAAATCTAAAAATCGTGACACTCTTCTGTCTTCTGACATTCGTAGGTCCTTCGGCGCACATGCATACCTGCGGTGTGAATGGAAGACAGGAAGCTATTGCGCTAAGGGTCTAATCGACGAAATCGATAAAACTTTTGTAGTTACAGGTTTTCCCGAAATTGGCCAGCATTCTTTGGCCAATATTCTTCTCTAAATAATTATAAACACCGCACCGTGAGTTTTAACTTAAAAGGCCATACTGGTGGTGATTCTAAATCCCGTATTGCCTTGAGATATGTGCTTTTAACAGCGGTTTCTTTAATTTGAAGCTGCCTGGTGACAGTGATGTAAAAAATGATCTCGTATCTTCTCGACGACAGTATGGTCAATTAAATCTGTACTTGAGTTTCGCCAGGATATAATGTTTACTCAACTTAAGCGGCGCGAGAGTCGCCACATTTACTTATAAAGATTCAGTTATAGTAAGAGGAATTGGCACCGCCGTAGGATTTCGAGTTGTTGTTGTTGTTGTTGTTGTTGTTGTTGCCGTAAGAGCTTTGACCGTACGAATCGTTCTTTCTTGAATTGTTGCCATAAGAGCTCTGGCCGTAGGAGTCAGAGTTAGTGTTGTCGTTGCCGTAAGAGCTCTCACCGTAGTTGTTGTTTTTTCTGTCGTTGTTTCCGTAAGAGCTCTGGCCGTAAGAATCCGAATCGTTATTTCCATAAGCGTTTTGGCCATAAGAACTGTTTTTCTTGTTGTCACTTCCATAGGAGCTCTGGCCATAGGTATCATTGGATGTTTGTCCATAAGTGTCGCTCCTGGTACCGTATGAACTTTGTCCGTAGGAGTTGGTGTTTTGTCCATAGGAATCATTGTTCTTTTTACTGCCGTAGGAGTCGTCATCGTAGGAGCTTTGCCCGTAGGAATCGTTCTTCTTCTTGCTGCCGTAGGAGTCGTTGTTCGAAGAGCTTAATCCGTAGGAGTCGTTGTTCTTCTTACTGCCGTAAGAAGAGTCGTTGTCGTAGGAACCCTGTCCGTAGGAGTCATTGTTCTTCTTATTGCCGTAAGAGTCGTTGTTTGAAGAGCTTTGTCCGTAGGAGTCGTCATTCTTCTTACTGCCATAGAAGTCGTTGTTCTTCTTGCTGCTGTAGGAGTCATTGTCGTAGGAACCCTGACCATAAGAATCGTGTTTTTTCTTCCTGTCGTGCTTCTTTGAGTCTTGGCCGTAGGAGTCGTTGTTCTTCTTGTTGCCGTAGGAATCATTATTGTAGGAACCCTGTCCGTAGGAACTGCTGTTCTTCTTGCTGTCTCCGTAGGTGTCGTTGTCATAAGAGCTTTGTCCGTAGGAGTCGTTTTTCTTCTGACTGCCGTAGGTATCATTATTCGAGAAGTTTTGTCCGTAAGAGTTGCTGTCCTTTCCGTAGGAGTCATCGTTGTAAGAACTCTGACCGTAAGAATCGTTTTGTTTCTTCTTGTCGTCTTTCTTTGAGTTCTTACCGTAGGATTCGTTGTCGTAAGAACCCTGTCCGTAAGAGCTGCTGTTCTTCTTGCTGTCTCCATAGGAGTCGTCGTTCTTCTTACTGCCGTAGGAATCATTGTCGTAAGAGCTTTGCCCGTACGAGTAGTCATTCTTCTTGCTACCGTAGGTGTTGTTGTCGTAAGAACCCTGTCCGTACGACTCGTTATTCTTCTTGCTACCGTAAGTATCATTGCTCGAAGAGTCTTTTCCGTAAGAGCTGCTACTGTTTCCGTAGGAATCGTCATTGTAGGAGCTTTGTCCATAAGAATCGTTTTTCTTCTTCTTGTCGTCCTTTTTTGAGCCTTTACCGTAGGAGTCGTTGTTCTTCTTACTGTCCCCGTAAGATCCCTGGCCGTATGAATCGTTGTTGTTGTTGTTGTTGTTGTTGTTGTTGTTCTTCTTCTTACTGTCCCCATAGGAATCGTTGTTGTAAGATCCCTGTCCGTACGAATCATTATTGCTAGATCCCTGGCCGTAAGAGTTGCTGCTCGTGTCGTTTCCATAAGAGTTGTAGTTATCCGAATTGTCGTTGCTGTCATCTTTGATCGAGGTCTTGGAGAACTGATTTCTCACCCCGGACTCAAGCTTGTCATAGTTGTCGCTGCCGATCTTGTTCTTGATCTGGCTCACACGTTCTTGACCCAACATATTCTCAGCTTTGGAAAAAAAATCATTATTTCCTTGAGAACTATTGTTGTTGTTGCTGCTGTTGCTGTTGCTGTTGCTGTTGCTGTTGCTGTCGCCACCACTGCTGGCGAAATCCTTAACTTTGTCTAGGAATCCCATTTTCAAGGTGCTTGATGTTAGCTTTCGACCAAGATCGTTCCTTACCTTCCCCTAACCACCCTTCATCCCTATTCCCCTTTTATATGTCTCTTAAAAGCCACCAACGTGGCACCTTCTCGATTGAGTGTCGTCACCTTGCTTTCTAGTTCTAGCATCGTTTCGTTGCGCCTTCAGAAGCTCAGATCTACTGGCAACCGGGACATCAACACGAAAAAGTCCGCAACGAAAACGACCACATTGGAAGTCATTGAGCAAAGACTTTGCACTCACAAATGTGTGTGTGGCACGCGTGGCCTCGTTGACTATTCTTGTGCGAAACGGAATGCTCAAAAATTCCTTCTGGTTGTCTCCGTTGCCCAGCCCTTCCTTCACATTGCAGATGACGTCGGTGAATGCATGTATAACATGCTTTACGGACGGTTCGAAAATGTAAGTAGTAAACTTAGAAGTATCTAACTCAGAGAAGGCTATGTACATTTCGGAATGTTCTGGCTGCGGTAGCTTGTTGAATAAAGAAGCTCAAGGTCAAAAACGGAGGCAAAAGGTACCTGTTAAGCTGGACGGACCTTGTTTTTATGATCTAGTATTCCTGGGGCGGAAGTGGGACTTGTGACCACAATCCCTTCTCGAAAAAACTATTTATTATTGTCTACACCGTTGTGCCGTCATTATGATAGCTCTCGGTATGCTTGAACTGTCTCGCTGACCGCGAGTTTTCGGTTTACGATGGAGTTTTGTAAATAATTGTATTTCGAATACAATACAATGTTCAATCTAGATTTTGATTGAATATATGTGATAATGAATATTAAAACTATGAGTGGTGTTCAGTGAAAAGCAAGGTCTTTTGAGGTGTTTTAAGGTGTTTAAATACCGCTCAGACTTTGTTGCAACCATCCAATGGTACGTTTCTTCACCTCTCCATGCTCGTTCTTGTAAATCCTTCTTTTTTCCAGCACGTCGATCATCTCGTCAGCGGTGTGGCCTCGCTTCAAACCATTCAGGATAAACTTGTAGAGCCGTTTGCGTCGCGCAAAAGTCTTGACGTTTTTCTTGAGACGCCATCTGTTCCCGTAAACATCTTCCAGAAACTTGACGGACGGATTGCCGTCAATGCCCTCTATGTACTCCTGCCATATGGCCCTGACGTTTGCAGGAGCCTTTAGGAGCGTGTAATTTAGATCGCGTTCTTGACTGCTCGAGTTCCCCCTCCGCGAGCCCTTTCCACTTGAATCGCGGGTTATGTGTGCATGCGTGTTCGCAACTGCAACTGCATCTCGCTGCGTTTTGTGACTGCTGGATCGCGACAGGCTGTGACCGCTAGACCCGAAAAAATCGGCGTACGAGGCCTCGAAGCCCATTTCTTGAGCCCTATTGGACCCCCCACGCTGGTGCTGACGAAGACTAAACTGCGGTCCGAACGCGTCGCTGTTGTGATCCTCGTCCTCTTCCTGGTACCCGTCCTCCTCGTCTGACGAGTCAGAACTGGATGCGCTTTCGGACCCAACTTGTATGTCGATTGCGCGGCTGCGAGGCTTGCTGCTCGTGCTCACGTTGTCCAGAATTGAGGGATAGGAGCCGGTGTTGGAATTTGAGCCATATTTCCGTGCCATATTTTCCAGAGTTATGTTTGGAAGACTCATTGACCCCAGTCCATTAGAAGAAGCGGCAAAGTCTTGATTTATTTGGGCCGCTATCGGTGTGTTGTTCGTGGCCGTGGTGTTGGCTCTTCTGCGTTTGATGCCGTTCGGATTCAAAGTAAAAGATCGTTGCGTGAGATAGTGCGGCAAAGCCATATTGGTGGAGTTTGTATCTTGTGCGATGGGGACCGGTGGTCTTCCATCTGCTGTAGCTGCTGCCGCCGCTGGCGGCTGTTGTTGCAGGTTTGGGATGGCCTGAGTGGGGTTTTTGTCACCGACATTCACAGAGTTATGTGCTGAAGACGGCGGATTTGTCTGCTTGGGTTGATTGCCCTCGGGCTCACTCAACGAAGATCGCTGGCGTTTGTATTTCTGGGTGTGTTTGGAGTTAACTTTCTTCAAATAATTAGAGCTGACGTTTGTGATGGAGTTCAAAAGATCCGTGACGAACCCGTCCTTCTCATTGTCGTCTGGGTTATCGAGCACAGGAATACTGTGGTTGACTTGACGAATTTCTGTTAAAATGCAGCTCAGAAATTGCTCGCTTTGCTGTCTCAAATGCTGGATTGTCATTTCCTGATCACTGATCTTGCAGCAAAGCTTGTTAAACATCTCTTCCATCGCAATCATGCGAGCACTGACCTCGTCCATGCGTTGGCAGATCTGCACGCTGGTGGTGGTCGAGTTAGTAGCTCCAGAGGCCAGCTCCGGGCCGCCAGAGATATGCGAGAGCACTCCAAAATGCGCTGGAGAGTGTGAATCGGCACCATTTCCAGTCCCATTGCCAGACCCAGTCCCGTTCCCGTTCCCGTTCCCGTTCCCAGTGTGTCTGGTGGTAGAGCTGTTGTGCGTGGTTGCCGTACAAGATGCTCTGTCATTGGAAAGTGGTGTTGCGTGGCTTCCAACTGTGGGATGACTGCTGTTGCTAGAACTCGCATGCGGAGGAGTTTCAGTGGCCCCCAGGATGTCTGCCAAACTGGGCCCGCCCACGCTTGGATTACTGGTTCCTCCAGAAGTGTTCTTGATTCCGCCGTGCGAAGCGATCGAATTTGTACTGTTCAGAGACGCTGGATGATGAGTAGTAGTACCGGTATCGGGCGGCATGGCCAGCCCGCTCAAACCCATGTGAAGCGTCTGGTTGTTTGACAAAGCGGCCCGTACGTTTTCAGAGGGACCAGTCTTTGTCGTCACCGGTATGGAGTTCGACATGGCGAGTGAGCTATGATCAGCGTGTTGAACGCTGCATTATAGTTGCATAGTTAGTGTACAGTTAATTTGGCACATTTGAAAATATTGTGACGTTGATAGTGATTTGTTTTTCATGACGATTATGACATTTCCTCTCTCTCATCGAAATGCCAGCGTTTGGAGAATGGAGAGTATTGTTGTAGGATAGATTTGACGCTCGTGTTTTGAAACCCGAGAACTGGCGATCTTTTTCCGGCTTTTTTTGAAGTTTTTACGTATCGGATACGTGGAAGAATTTTTGAGAAGTTCAAAATCAGTTGGAATCAGACAACTAGACAGTTTTTGGTGCGCGTGTTGGTTGACGCTGTTCCGCCCTCTCTCCCTGGCTCGGTCAACGATATTTTATTGACGTAAAATGGCTTTAAAAGAATGTAAATCACTTTTTACTAATGTGACGTCCGGAAATTGTCGATCACAGAATAGCTCACGCAAATATGACTATGGAGTCCGATATTCCCAAAGCATGGGTTCCCCACTATTTCGGCGTGCTATTCGTTCTTCTCTCTCTCCCTCTTCTCTCTCTCTCTCATCGTGCCGGTTAAGGACAAAATGACATGTCTTCCATTCAATAAATTACTTGAATATCTCAGAAAACCCTAAAGGTAAAAACTGTCTGTCTGACTTTAACCTACCAAGAGACTCTATTCTCCCTCTGGCACTCACTGCTTAAGTTGTGGCATATACGCAGTTATATGGAACACTGATTCTGCAAGAATCCGTGGCATTTTTGGCCCTCTCCACGTAAACCTTTTCCACTTTAGTAGTCTAGCAGCTATGAGCGAAGCCAGAACAATTCTGGGAGCTCTTAAAGACTCTGTGACCACTAGGTTTGCGCAGTCACTCAAAGCAGATAGTTTAGTTCCTAGTGTCACCAAAGCCATCGAGCTCAACGACAACGGAGAGGAAAACGAGCTTCGAAAATGCTTCCACACTCCAAGAATGGTTTCTGCAGGTGCCCACTTCGCATATACTGTGCCCGAACAGCGTCCTCATTACAAACCTTTGCTTACGTCGCAGAAGGCCTTGGCTGATCTCAACTTGATTATGGATACAGAGCTCATGGACTTGGTCAATGGTGCCAAAACCCATGTTGACGATCGCAGGGAAATTTTCCCGTACAGCATGGCATACGCGGGGTTCCAGTTTGGGCAATTCGCAGGTCAGCTTGGTGACGGTCGTGTTGTGAACATTTTCGACCTCCCAGACAAAAATAACGTCTCACAGACATTTCAGCTCAAGGGTGCCGGAATGACGCCTTTCTCGCGTTTTGCTGACGGTAAAGCAGTTCTGAGATCCAGCATTCGCGAGTTCGTCGTTTCCGAAGCACTTCATTACATTGGAATCCCGTCGACTAGGGCGCTCCAGCTTACCAGCCTACCAAAAACTAATGCCATGCGTTCTGCTTATGAGCCCTGTGCTGTTTACTGTAGATTTGCTCCAACTTGGGTCCGCCTGGGAAATTTCGATCTTTGTCGCTACCGACAAGATCATAAGAGCTTGGTGCAATTGGCAGATTTTTGCATTCGTGACGTTTTCAAGAATGGAGCAGAGTTTCCGACAGAAGTTGATCCAGAAGCGTTTAAGCACGATTACTTCCCCGACGAAGATGAGAAATTCTCGTCATCGGACAAGCCAAACCTCTCTAGTCTTCAAGATGCAACCAAGTATGAGCTCTTTTTCCGCCATGTGGTGAACTTGAATGCAGAGGCCGTCGCCTACTGGCAATCGTACGGGTTTTTGAATGGAGTCCTCAATACAGACAATACTTCGATTATGGGCTTGGCCATGGACTTTGGGCCTTTTAGCTTTCTGGATAAATTCCAGCCACAATACACGCCCAATCATGATGACGTGGAGCTGCGTTACTCGTTCAAAAACCAACCAACAGCAGTATGGTGGAATTTGACTAAGTTCGCACAAGCGCTAACTACATTGATTGGCGCAGGACCAAAACATATTGACAATATTGTTGCCAACGGCCTTGAAGCGATAAGCTATGAAGCTGAACAGGACATCGTTGACAGAGCTAATGCGGTCATATTCTCAGCTGGCAATGAGTATAAATTCAGGTTCACAGTTAACTACGCCCGAATCATGTCTCAGAGGTTGGGTCTTGATCTGGGGATACCGCGCTACATAACAGACAAAAACTTGAAACAAACAGCCGAGAAAGCTGAAGAGTTCAACAAAGCAATTTTGGAACCTCTGCTGCACATCCTGTACGTCACACAAACCGATTACAACAATTTCTTCGTTATGTTTCAAGGCTACCAAGGTGACTTCAAGACCGGAGAAGGGAAAGGTTTCCAAACCATTGACCCAGAACTTCTGAAGGTTTTTTTCACTGATGTACAAGTGTTGAAACTAAACAAGCACGCTTCTGGGACTCCAGACTCTGACTCGGGGGAAACTAGGTTACTAGTTGAATGTGCCGAAACGCTTGAATCTTGGATTCACGACTACACAACTTTAATGCCACTCGAACAAAGTGTCAGGTTTAACTTGGCCAAGCAGGTTAACCCGCTATTCACCCCGAGAGCGTACATTTTTGAACAAGTCATCAACAGCATCACTGAGCAGCAGAAAGCGAAGCTGCATGATCCAGACGCTGAAATCGATATCTCGTACCTGCAAAAGCTCTACAACATGAGTGTTAACCCGTACGATCCAGAAAAATGGGACGACAACTTACATCCAGAAGTGGTCGCTGATTGGACCACCCATGGCGATGACGACACTAAGTTTATGAAACAACTCACATGCTCAAGTTAAAGAACATTACCTTTCGATTGTTTTTCTAGAAAGGAAGCATTAGAAGAGAAAGATCTACCTATGCTACATAAAAGAATCCTGGCTCACGCCATTAGCTAAAGCGAAGAACTTTTTTCGATGACGTCGTTGTTTTTAGTAAATATAGCTAATTTCTCTCTCTCTCTCTCTAGAAAGAAAACACCTTCAATCATTTAAAGCTTTACTCTGATTACCTACGTTCAACCTTTCTTGCAGCTTAATCTCTTTTGCTTTACTTTGCAGCGCTCATTGTCAAGATTCTTGTCATAATCTTATAATGGTGGCAGAGTTTATATAGCCTTAAAATTAACATTTTAAACCCCAGAACGAAATTCTTCGACAACGATCGGTCAAAGATGCCATTCCAGACGTCGTTTCCTTGTCTACGCCCAGATACTACACCCCACATAGTCCCTCTGCCTGGTGTATCTTACCAGTTCAATGTTCCCAAACCAGATGGTCTCAAAGCTTTACAATTACTGAAATACCCAGGAATTGAGGGATTGGACGAGGCCCTCGACAGTGAAATCAAGGAGCGGACGAGTAGTTCTGATGTATTTCATTTGTTTGCAAAATTTGAGGCAGAGTTCCTTCTTCCAGAGCAGGGAAATAACGTATACACATGCTTAGTGCCCACTAGCGACACAGCTTGTTCAAGAGGATGTATTGCGAAGTTGCAAAGCTTTAAAACGGAGAAAGAGATGATGATACTCAATTTTAAGGGAATTAGAAGGGCGACAATCATAAACCCGGAGCTGAACCTTCACAATGAGATTTGGATTGGTACCCTAATTATCCATAAGGATGCTGAACTCATGAGTGGTTTGAACGCGAAGGCACGTACTCAAGCTGTGAGAGATGTCCAGCGGTGCTTTCGAAAAATGACTACCTGCTTCAAGGTGTTTAAGTCCCGTTACAGAAAGGCTTTGGGAGATAAAGATAACGATTTTGGCCGCGTTTTGCTGATCTCTCCACTAGCTAACATGCTCTTTCTTCAACTCAATAGAGAATCGTTCCTCAAGTCATGGGACTCTCTTGCTCGTGCTTGCAAACTGTTTGAAGCCATGATCGCAGAGGTTCAAGAAGTTGAGGCACTTTTGTTGCTGTTAGATATGGCAGTTTCTATTTTACCTCTGACACATTCTCAACGGTTGCGATTTTTGTCACTGGACAAAGCCAGTGAGAGGCTGGCAGAATTTATCACCATAGAGCAAAAGCTTACCGCCCTCCTAACGGAACTTTACAACTCTGTCAAAGCTTTTGAAGGTCAGCTCCAAGAACTAACAGCTCAAGAGAAGGCCAATTTTGTCGCGTTGCATCTTAGTGCTTTGCGCAGCTTCTTGGGAATTTCGCGCAAAGCTCGCAACAGAATTGACAGTGCTGGTGTCAAGGGCTCAAGAGAAGCAGTAGCGCGATCAGGCGGTAATGCTCAAGATGATGATGACGATGATGGCTCCATACTGGAGAGATTTTTGGATGGTTTAAGCGAGAACGAAATTCATCCAGATGGGCGCAAAATGCTACGTAAAGACCTGAGAAGGCTCAAAAAAATGCACCCGCAAAACTCCGAATATCAGGTTCTCAAGAACTATTTTGATGTGATAATGGACATTCCCTTCAAAACCAGTGAAGCAAAAATTAACCCAGTGGATCTTCAGCAGTCTAAAGAAAAACTGGACGCCGACCATTTTGGTTTACGTGATGTCAAGAAGAGACTCGTCGAATATTTATCCGTTTTGAAGTTAAATGAGAGTTTTGCAGCCTCGGAATTACAAGCCAAACCTCCCATACTGCTCTTAGTTGGACCTCCCGGAGTTGGAAAGACCTCTATTGCCAAGTCCATCGCCGACGTTTTGGGCCGCAAATTTCACAGAATATCACTGGGTGGGATATATAATGAAGCAGAGATCAGAGGGCACCGCAGAACTTATGTGGGTGCCATGTGCGGGTTGATTATCAATGCATTGCGCAAGAGCGGCTCAATGAAACCACTGATTTTGCTGGACGAAATCGACAAGGCCTTAAGTTTAACTGGCAGTGGTCGGGGTGGTCGTGGTGCTAGTTTAAATGGGGATCCAGGCGCAGCGCTGCTGGAGGTATTGGATCCAGAGCAGAACTCTACATTCACCGACCACTACGTTGGGTTCCCGGTTGACTTGTCTAATGTTCTATTTTTCTGTACTGCAAATGACACTGCAGAGATTTCAGCGCCCTTGCTGAATCGAATGGAAGTCATAGAAATACCAGGATATACTCTTGAGGAAAAGATCGAGATTGGTTCCAAGTTCCTACTCCCTAAGCAAATGAGACTCAATGGCCTGGACAAGGTTGGATCCTCCGTGGAGCTTACCAGAGACGCATGGAATGAACTAGTCTCCGAGTACACGAGAGAGCCTGGTGTCCGCAGCCTGGAACGGAAACTAGCAGGTTTAGTACGAGGCAAGATCGTCGATTATGTGAATGGGACGGAGAAAAGCCAACCTAAGGTAATTACGTCTAGCGAGCTTGTCAAATACTTGGGATTTCCACTACACCCTGTGTCGAAAGATTTGGTCAAAAACGTCAGGTTCGCAGAAAAAAGTGGCGTGGTCAAGGGACTTGCTTATAGTTCTGATGGTGTTGGCGGGGTGCTGGTTTTTGAGATTGTACGAACAGGGACATTGAATGGGGACCAAAGCGGGCCTAAGGTTCGCACAACAGGAAATTTGGGGAACCTGCTTAATGAGTCGATTGAGATTGCCACTGCGTTGGTGAAATCGTTGCGAGAGCGAAAAGTCGTGGAGGGGATGTCCCAAGATCCTTTCGAAGAGTTTTTACACTCGGAGCTGCACTTGCATGTGCCAATGGGCGCTGTATCGAAAGACGGACCCAGTGCAGGCCTTGCTATAACACTGGCGTTGCTATCCACTGCGTTTAAAATGCCCGTTAGTCCCGATTTGTGCATGACCGGGGAGATAACTTCGCGGGGCAAAGTGCTGCCCATTGGCGGCGTCAAAGAAAAACTGCTGGGAGCTCGGCTTTTTGGCATGAAGCGCGTCATGGTACCTCTATCGAATCGCTCTGACGTGATCGAATCTGTGATGGAGTCTGAATTCTTCGAGCAGTGTTTGCGTTCGAGCGGATTTCCAGAGGTCGCCGCTGTTCAAGAGAAATGGCATTTGGAGCTACATTACGTCGATGACTTATTTGATGCTATTGGAATTTGTTGGCCGCAGAACTTCCATGTAAAAGATACCACCTTGTTCATGTTACCCACCAGCAAACCCATGAGGGCATCGTTGTGATGACATGTACGTATTCGTCTCTCAGTGGTTCAAATTAACGACAAGTTTAGTGCTGAAGGAAACCACTGATTCTGATTGATACTGGCTAATACCGGCTAGTTGGATCTTACTGACTTACTGACACTGGATTTTACTGACGCTGACGCTGGCACCTGCTTACTCTTTACAGAAACCAAAAAAAGATCACACGTGACTAAAACCACTGCTTGGGATTTTCGTGGATTCCCCGTAAGAAGTGATTCGGAGAAATGAAAAAATCGAGAAGAGGTAGTCTAACTTTAAGTTTGACTAAACCAAAGCATCAATCCGAATCAACTCTTTAAAAAGTTCAGCTGGCTAACCAGAAAATCGATCAGTATTTACAAGTACGATCACATTTTGCTCTTCGACAACTGTCGTTTCAGACTATCGTTAAATAACGGTTTTTTCAAAACGGGATTTGGAGTAGTTGCAGGCCAACATAGTGGTGAAACTTTATAGAGGGTTGATACGTGGATCTGATCAAGACGGCCCCCCAGCACGCCTGAATTTGTGACTCCAGGATACCTCGCTTTCTCATTGCTAATTCAAGCAAGTTGCGCGGACTTTGAACTGTTTCTCACCGAGTAAATCCAAAAAAGTTGCTATATTGAAAAATATCAGAGATGCGTCTCTTCGTTGCAGTGCTGTTCATGCTGAACTTGGTTCACCAGGTCACTGCCAAGAGAAAACTGAGCGCTTCCTCTTTGGTGACGTGCATGGAAAACTCGCAACTAGCTGCCACTTCTTTCTCGGTGACCTTTGATCCCGATAGCCGAGCCCTCCACTACTCATTGGACATGACCACCGAAATCAGCTCGTATATTAATGCAGAGGTCGAGGTATGGGCGTACGGTTTCAAGATCATCACCAGGTCCTTGGATCTGTGCTCGCTGAGCTGGAAGCAGTTCTGCCCCCTCAATCCCGGAAACGTGCAGGTTGAATCCATCGAGTACATTTCCGCCGATTTGGTCAAACAGATTCCCGGAATTGCCTATCAAGTTCCGGATATCGACGCTTTTGTTCGTGTGAAGATTTACCCCCGTGGAAACAGTCAAGATACTTTGGCTTGTATCCAGGCCTTTTTCTCAAACGGTAAAACCGTCGCGCAAACCGGAGTCAAGTGGGCCACCGCAGTCATCGCTGGTATCGGTCTTTTGTGTTCTGCCGTCTTGTCAACATTTGGAAACTCAAACGCCGCGTCTCACATCTCGGCTAACACCATGTCGCTTTTCTTGTATTTCCAGTCTGTCGTTGTTGTGTCCATGCAACACGTCCACCGGGTTCCGCCAATTGCTGCGGCGTGGTCCGAAAATCTAATTTGGTCAATGGGTTTGATCCATATCAACTTCATGCAGAAGATCTTTAGATGGTTTGTTCAGTCGACAGGTGGCACCCCGTCTCTGTACTTGACTTCGAAAACCATCTCTGTTTTGGTTCAAAGAAGTTATGATGTTCTTGATAACTATCCTTTGTTGAAGCGCGCGGCGGATGTGCTGTACGGCAACTCGACCGTGATGATCCAGAGAGGGATTAAAAGACTCGCTTTCCAGTCTCATATCGAAAATACCTCCGTGGTTTGCACCGGTTTTACTTTTTTCGTTCTCTGTGGTTATTTCCTTGCTGGGTTTATAATAGCCTCCAAGTATGCCATTGATCTTTGCATAAAAGCTGGCTGGATGAACAACAGTAGGTTTACGGCGTTTAGACAAAATTGGAGAGTCGTTTTGAAGGGATCGTTGTTGCGTTACACCTACATTGGATTTACGCAACTAACATTGTTGAGTTTTTGGGAGTTCACGCAAAACGACTCACCTGCTGTCATCGTCATTGCCGTCTTGTTTTTGATCCAGGCTTTGGGTTTGATGATTTGGGCAGCGTACAGAACCATATCTTTCGCCAAGCTCTCTGTTCAGCAAAGAAAAAATCCAGCCGCATTGTTGTACGGAGATCAGCGTATTTTGGACAAATACGGATTCTTTTACACGATGTTCAGTGCTAAACACTACTGGTGGAACTGTGTCATATTGACCTACATTCTTCTGAAGACCATTTTCATATCCTTTTGCCAGGCTTCAGGGAAAACGCAGGCATTGGCCATTTTCATCTTTGACTTGGCTTACATGATTGTTCTCATTGTCTTCCAGCCCTACTTCGATCGTCCCACAAATATTGTGAACATTTTGATAACTACAGTGACAACGGTCAATTCATTTTTGTTCTTATTCTTTTCTGATTTGTTTGGACAGCCTGGTAGAGTGTCGTCGATTATGGGATGGATCTTCTTTATTATGAACGCCGCATTCTCCTTGATTCTTTTGGTGCTGATTCTCATCTTCGTTATCATGGTAGTGTGCTCTAACAATCCTGACTTGAGGTTCAAACCAGCCAAAGACGATAGAACGTCATTTCAGAGAGCTTCCGGTAGCCACGGAAAAATCAATAAATCCGTCGCTGCAGAATTAATGGCACTGGGAAATACTGCCAAGAATCATGATGAAAACTGGGAAGATGAGCTTTATACTCAGCAGAAACTTCAAAAAGACCGTAGTTTATCAGGGTTGGATATTGCAGACGAAAAGCTAAATGGCACACAATCTTCACCGGAAGATAATGAGGAAGTATACCCATCACTGGCAGAACGTTTGAAGCGCAAATTTTCCTTTAAGAGAACAAAATCAACCTCGAGGGCTAGAGCGGAGCAAGAGGAAGAATTCATCAATTCAGACAATGCCGTCACGTCTCTTTCCCGTGAGCCTTCAGACTCTTCTAATCCTGTAATAAAGAGAGATTACCCCGGGATCCATAGTCGTCAAGAGTCAGATTCAAATAACGGCCTCATGCATTCCTATAAAGTTGCTGAGAATGAAAAATTAGCAACCCAGCCCGAGGACGACCATCCTCTAGTTATGGCCAACTTGGACCAGGCACCGGACATCAGCAGGAAAGAAGAGCTTGCCAGAGATGAGAGCATGGACTCTGTCAATGCAGCCACACAGCCAAATGCCACGTCGTCAACTGATCTTTTTACGCACAATAACGATTCTTACTATGGAAGGTTATGAAGGAAAAAGTTAACGAGCTTGACATTAAAGCTCCGATACTATAAGAATAGTGTTCGACTCCGCTCAAAATTTGATGTCAACGCAGTGCTGAATGCAGATCAGTAGATATTATTGGTACAACTCGAATATCAAGGGCATACCTAAAGTTGTGAGTTTCAGGAAACTGTCTTAGAGACTAAGAAATGAAGCAAAAGAAAACGGGAACCTTAGAGTCCATCAAAACAAGAGCATATCCCATGTAGCGAGCTGGTCCCGTGGGTCAAGTGAACCCCGTAAGGTTGAGGGAAGAATTATGTAATTTAGACCTAAGTGTTGAGATCTTGATATTTTGTATATTATCTTTCGCCCGTCTCTTATCGAGTAGCCATCGAAATAGCACAACTAACTATGGTCTCAATCGAAGCTAGTATTGGATATCAACGTGCGCTGACAACTGTACATCCTATGTTGCTTTGTTTCATTTTAATCAAAGAAGCGGCTTCGAAAGCATACTTAAAGTAACAGCATCTCGACAAACTTGTCCACTGAGGAAGTGCTTTAGATGTTACACCAGTTCGCACACCCCGGTGGAGCATCCTAAGGGCTGACTATGTTGGGTGATAAAATATTGATGTGTTTCAAAAGGCTTTCAAATAGAGCAGACATTCTGCGCATAGTCGAAGAAACATACAGACAAGTATTATAAAAAGGTACTATTTTTCTAAGCACGTCTGGGATAATATCAAGAAAGCTGTCTTTGAGAACCGAAGATGGCATGACCTTTTACAATATTAGCACCACGCAAGTTTGCTCGACCTAAAAAGTTTTCAAACTTCCGTAGCGAGTTTTCTAATTGGGATTTCCTAGTCTTTGCGTGATCAGTATCTTCAGAGTTATAACTCTCTTCTGGATCGAGGTCGAAAAACCATTGTTTGTTTGCTTGCTTGTTGGTTGCCCGCCAACTAAAATAATTCGCCAGAGAGAATAGCTGTCCTGCTGGTGCCGATTCATTCGTGGATGTTCTGGATTCTACACTGAAGTTTCCGGAACGTGAACTGAAAAGCGGAGTATGTAAAAAGGGCACAATTTTTCTCATGCGAGTTCTCGATATTCTTCGCAGAACAGGTAATTTTGACTTAGGATGCACTTCTGTCCAATGCTTTGAATATCCATCAGATATAAGTGGTTCCAATGGGATGAAATTGGTCGCATCGCATGTAATGGAGTCATCAAGGTTTTCCAGACTGAGATCCTCGCTCATATTATTCAAGATATTCTTCTTAGCGTCACTGTCCATATTACAGTAAAACAGACCACCGACCCATTTGTTAGGCAGATAGATGGAAGTATTGCGATGATAATATTTTTCCCGACGTGCTAATTTGAAGCAGTGAAGATTATCGAGATCTTCACTGGCTAGCTGCTTGTGGCTCACTGGTGGTTGTGCCTTGGACTTCTGCTTTGTCTTGAATATTTTCCAGAACCGGTTGGTCTCGACCGTGGATGGGACCGAAGTCGGGGTGTAAACGCATATGGGAATATTCCAATCTAGTCCTTGAGGATATTTCTGCTCTGCTTGCCACTGGACTTTGCCCTGGTTGCAGTATGTCATTTTAATCGAGGGCTGCATTTTATCAAAGAGACTTCCAAAATTGTAGACTCTATGGAATTTGAAGCCTGTATATATTTTCTTGCTCTTTCCCAAAATTCCCAAATCGAGACCTGCCAGAGTACTCACCAATTGTCGGTAACTACCCTGACCGCTAATATGATCCACTGAACAAATTTGGTCCTGGGTCTGAAAAGCGTCGTTAAGAGTTTTCATATGACTTTTAACCGGGGTGGCAGCAACTGGACTCGGAAAAAGAGTAACCGAGAATGAAAATATGATATAGACAAACCACAAGTAACGAACAGTGTCTAGAAAATTGCCAAAAGGTGAACGACAGCGAATTATCGTAGCCTGACGTGGCCATCGATTTTCCATGTTCCTCGTTATGTCTCGACAAATCCTTGAGTATTCAAACAACTCAAAATCCAATTTTGCAAACTGATGGAAAACCAATACAAAGAAGCAATAAGCCGTTAAACTTTGAACCAGACTGGGTTTAATCTTCGTTGTTGCCATTAAACTGACACTAAAATCACTATACTTGAACTCTGACGTCTGACATCTTGACACCTGACACATTACGTTCAAAACGATAAGTTGAATCAAAAGCCAAATTAGAATATCTGTAAAGGACACACATTTCAGCGTTGATGTTCAACTGAGTTCAGCGAACTAAACACGTCTATAACCGCTTCTTGTTGTCCAAGTGAGGATGAAGCTGGATATAAAAGTATGATAAAAGTAAAATTTCCGTTTTCGCTCTGCCAATTGCATTTTCAAGCTCCGGAATCGAAGTATTCTAGCATTTGTTTTCCGGCCTTTGAACGAGATGTTCTCGCGTCTTGGCGTTTCATGGTGCGATGAGTCTGTTTCAATGCAGTTTACTAACTCTTAAACTTACTAGAAAGCGTTTGCAAACCGCTCTGACCGTGTAAAGGGTATCGATTTCCATCCAACGGAACCATGGGTCTTGACAACACTTTACTCGGGTAGAGTGGAGATCTGGAATTTCGAAACGCAAACGGAGGTTAAGTCCATTGCGGTCACCGATACTCCTGTGAGAGCGGGTAGATTCATAGCCAGAAAGAACTGGATCGTGGTGGGCTCCGATGATTTCAAGATCAGAGTGTTCAATTACAACACTGGGGAGAAGGTGGCAGACTTCGAGGCCCATCCTGACTACATCAGATCGTTGGCAGTGCATCCAACAAGACCTTATGTGCTGTCGGGGTCTGACGACACGACGATCAGATTCTGGAATTGGGAGAAAAACTGGTCTCTAGAGCAAACTTTTGAAGGCCACCAGCATTTTGTTATGAGCGTGGCTTTCAATCCTAAAGATCCTAGCACGTTTGCGTCGGCAAGTCAGGATCTCACAGTTAAGGTCTGGTCTTTGGGCCAGGCAACGGCTAACTTTACTCTCCACGCTCACGAAACTAGGGGAGTCAATTACGTCGACTACTATCCGCTGCAAGACAAACCATACTTGATCACTAGTTCAGATGATCGCACTGCGAAAATCTGGGATTATCAGACCAAATCCTGCGTTGCTACTCTGGAGGGACACATGGCCAATGTTTCTTTCGCAGTCTTCCATCCTTCTCTGCCAATTATCGTGACTGGCTCTGAGGACAGCACCTTGAAGATTTGGAACTCAAACACATACAAGCTGGAAAAGACTTTGAACCTTGGGTTGGAAAGGAGTTGGTGCATTGCCACTCATCCAACAGGAAAACGCAATTTAATTGCTTCTGGTTTCGACAGTGGCTTCACGGTCTTATCGCTGGGCAATGACGAGCCTAAGCTCTCCTTGGACCCCGTCGGAAAACTTGTGTGGTGCGGAGGCAAGAACGCTTCTGCAACTGACGTTTTCACTGCCGCCATCAGGGGTGGCATGGAAGGGGTGGATGGAGAACCCTTGCCCTTGCAAACTAAGGAGCTGGGTACGGTTGATGTCTTTCCTCAGTCTATGAAACACTCTCCAAACGGCAGATTTGTTACGGTTGTCGGCGATGGTGAATATATCGTTTACACCGCCCTGGCATGGAGAAATAAAGCATTTGGAAAGTGTCACGACTTCGTTTGGGGCCCTGACTCCAACAGCTATGCATTGATAGACGAAACGGGTCATGTCAAATTTTACAAGAACTTCAAAGAAACCACTTCATGGTCGTTGCCTTTGGAATTTGGTATTGAGAAGCTTTACTCTGGTGCGTTTCTCGGAGTCAAAGCTGATGGATTTGTCTATTTCTTTGATTGGGACTCAGGCTCCCTTGTCAGAAGAATTGATGTCGACGCTCGCGACATCGTTTGGTCTGAAAATGGCGAGCTTGTCATGATCATCAACAACACAGATGAAAGCAACACAGATGAAAGTTCGGCTTATGTTTTGGACTTCAACAGGGAAATCTATGAAAACTTTTTGGCCAGTGAGGAGGAAATTTCTGAAGACGGCGTTGAAGAGGCATTCGAAGTCTTGTATGAAGTGAACGACACCATCAGCTCAGGAAAATGGGTCGGTGACGTTTTCATTTACACGACAACAACTAACAGACTCAACTACTTCGTCGGTGGTAAATCGTACAACCTTGCTCATTTCGACAAAGAGATGTACATGCTAGGATACCTCCCACGGGATAATAAGGTCTACTTGGCTGATCACGATATTCACATTTACGGCTATGAAATATCTATCGAAGTGTTGGAGTTTCAAACACTCGTTTTGAGAGGTGACTTGGAACAAGCCAAGTCTGATGTGCTTCCCAACATTCAGGGTAAAGAGAATCTGCTCAAGATATCCAGATTCCTCGAAGGTCAGAATTACCACGAAGACGCTCTAGAGGTTAGTCCCGACAACGACCAAAAGTTTGATTTAGCGCTCAAACTGGGGAAACTTTCCTTGGCTCAGACCATAGTGACTGAGAATGAAAACGAGTTCAAATGGAGACAGCTTGGGGACAAGGCACTTCAATGCTTTGACTTTAAATTGGCTTTGGAGTCATACGAAAAAGCCTCTGACCTTGAGTCTCTCTTCTTACTTCACTCTACCTTCAACAACAAATCTGCGCTGGTGGATCTAGGTCAAAAAGCACAGAAAGCTGGTAAGTACAATTTGGCGTTCAATTCATTCTGGGTTGCAGGAGATATAGATGGAGCAAGAGAACTGCTGGCATCGAGCGAAAGGTATTCCGAGGCTGCCATTTTATCCAAGACTTACAGTGACGATGTTAACGCCACAAATGACATGATCACAAAGTGGAAGGACAGCCTGAATCTAGCCGGCAAATCTACGATAGCGTCCAGAATTTTGAGACTTACCGAAGGCGACAAGAATGCGATCAAGGAATCATTAGTCGACATGGATACAAAAGATGTTGAGCAGCCAGAAGTATCGGAGGATGACACACCTTTTCCAGCCGCATCGAAGCAATCCGATGAAGTTGAGGCTTTGACACAAGGTGATGAAGAATCTCAGGACTAATCGCTGTGTCTGATATAAAATTGAAGTGTAAGATAAAGCCACCGTGCATCTCCGGGTTCCAGAGCGAGCACGGCCTTCGCTGGCGGTTTCTGTATGTATTAAATTAGAATTTATGTGCAGTTCAGATAGTGTCTGTCAACTTAGGAAAACTTCGAATTTGTTGACACCTTTCTTCTTTTTCAGCCCGATGAAGTATATTTCTTTCGATTCGTTTCTGCAAGCCGATGGTTTAAAACGCTGAACATCCTTGAATACCCGCTTCAGTCTGTTTTCCAGCAATTTGTCTTCTTCACCTGTATATAACTTGCAAACGAATGAACCACCCGGTTTAAGCAGATCAATGGCTGCGACCAGCGCGGCATCACAAAGGTCCATAGACATCGAGTGGTCTTTTACGGCAATACCGGAAGTATTAGCCATCCTGTCATAAGCCGAATTAGTAAAATTGTTCCAAAAACCGTCAGTTTGAGGCCAAGGTTCATACATGTCACTGATAATCACGTCAATCGGTGTGCTATCTACGCTGGTCTTAGAGTTATTGAGCGCATTGTTTTCTTTGAGAAGCAAAAGTTCCTCTTCCAACATGTGCTGAAAGTAGCCATGGTCTTTATGCAATTGGTCCTCTTGGTACAGTTGAAAGTGTCTGGAGAAGAACAACCGTATCAGCTCGTGAGTTTTTTTAGCCAGAATGTTTGCTTGAATTGAATTGACACCACGAGGAGGCAAGCATGGCAGAATATCTACTCCTAATATGACACCATTGGGACCAGTTCTGTCAAATGCAACTTGGGACCACGCACCTGGTGCGTACCCTAAGTCTAGTACCTTTTGGTTGGCATTTTTCCGAAACAGCTGAACTTTATCATCAATTTGCTGCAACTTGAAAGCTGCCCTTGATCGCAGCCCTAGAATCTTTGCCTCTCTTGTGAATGAGTCTACTCGTTGTCGGTCGAGCCATCTAGATTTGGCAGAAGAATTCCACCGCACCGACTGTATACACTTAGAAAGCCAAAGTTTTGACGTTGTGCTGAATAGTGAAGTAGAATAATTCATTTTCTAAGCACAAAGGAGGAACGTAGGAGTCAGAACCGATACTTAACGTGGTATTCATCGACATCAATGTGATGATTATAGATGTCAAATAATTTTTGTTGAATGAAATCTATAAAATCAGTGAAGTTAATTTAGAAAAGTTGAAATATAGGGTGGTATGAGAGGTTAGGGAGCTGAATGAGGGTCTAAATACAAGAACTGCTGGTATGCAAGTCGTGCTAGAGGGTTCCGGGGTTGTTAAATCGAACGGTGGTGATGAGACGTGGATCACGTGACTCTTTAGATGACAGGAAGGTACGAAGCGATCTAAAATTGTTGGGGCCCAAACCGTGTCCATTTTGTTATAGCTGTGGTACAGAGACTAGCAGAGTGACGACTGGATATGGGGAGCTGTGTGTGAAGGATCTAACGTGCTGTTCGTAGGGGGAAGGGGATGAACAGTTTTTATTATGTCACGTGACAAAGTGACAGATGACGAATAACTTTTGGAGGTTTTGCTGTGATACCCCTGGAATTCTGTGACGAATAGGTGTGTTAATATTGTTAGTGATTTGCCAAGCCCAGCCTGACGAAAGGTATCAAGCTGGGATGAATTGCACTTTGGCATGTTACAGGGCACGGGCACTTTTGCTCCTCGTACTCGAACAAACGTGAGAATAGAGTTGCCAGTGTCGCATATCAACAAAAAACCAGAATCAATAGTCGTGTCGGACTAGGACTCTTTTCTGTGCTCTCTTGTCGTTGAGCTATAAAGCAGTGCTGTGTACGAATCGCGAATCTACCGTGCGTAGCGATTAGACAATAATGAACATTCTGGGCTGTTCACAATCGATCGCTAGCGCTCTCAATGGTTGATTTGTGCTTGTAACCATATCAGTAGTGCTTGTAGCCACAATACATTCACAATTGATCGCTAACGCTCTCAATTGTCCAGTTGTGCTTCGGGTCTCTGGGAGCCTGGGCTTGCAAACTGACAAAATGGAATGGATTCTTAGAGCTGCTATAATCTATGGAGGCTATCCGCACTGCAATCAACAATGCTCCAAGGCTTCGGAGTGCGCCAGATTCGCGCACAGTAGATGATGTGCTAGTATCACTTTGTACTAACGTGGCATTCAATCACGTGACGTAATATACGTGACACACCTAATAGATGCAGTACAAGATATGAAGAAGTGGAACTGACACCTCGAGGACGTGCAGCAAGTCATCGGTGGCGTTTAGAACCATTGACAAATATCAGAAGTGGTACTAAGTCCTGTAAAAAAGACCACGTACGTACAAAGTGACACATGTACATACACATTCAATTGTCCTCCAGCTCGCAGCGTCCTCGAGATTGGCATATGCCATACTTAAATGCCCTCGCTAACGAACACAATCTGCACCACTCAACTAGCCCATTAACCACTACACATTGACACTACTTTTATATCATCTTTTTTTTCGTGACGCAGGTGCCGTAATTAACCACGTGACCAAACCTACATTTTTTCAAAACTAAAAAAGTTTTCTACCACCCACACACCAGCAGCAGTCACAACTCAACCGACCCACGCACAAATTTCGTCTCTGGAAAAGTTTCAGACGTAGCTGTTTTTCAGTAAAGCTGGGGCATCGACCCATCTCTCTCTCTCCTCACTCCCACTTTGATATAAAACTCCATCAGTCGCAAGCCTCTCTCGGAACACCAATTACTATTGGAAGACTAATCAATCAGGATCAGCAATGTCTAAGATCAGCTCTGCCCAAATCAGAGAGAACGTCAAGGAAGTCTTGAAGTTCTCGAACGAGACCAAGAAGAGAAACTTCTTGGAGACCGTTGAACTTCAAGTCGGTCTAAAGAACTACGACCCTCAAAGAGACAAGCGTTTCTCCGGTACTTTGAAGCTTCCTCAGTGCCCAAGACCAAACTTGTCGATCTGTGTGTTCGGTGACGCCTTCGACGTCGACAGAGCCAAGTCGTGCGGTGTCGACGCCATGTCTGTGGACGACTTGAAGAAGTTGAACAAGAACAAGAAGCTCATCAAGAAGCTAGCCAAGAAGTACAGCGCCTTCGTTGCCTCGGAAGTGTTGATCAAGCAGGTTCCTAGACTCTTGGGTCCTCAGTTGTCCAAGGCCGGTAAGTTCCCTACCCCAGTCTCTCACAACGAAGACCTCTACGCCAAGGTCACCGACGTCAAGTCCACCATCAAGTTCCAGTTGAAGAAGGTGTTGTGTCTTGCCGTCGCTGTCGGTAACATCGAAATGGACGAAGACACTTTGGTCAACCAGATTTTGATGGCTGTCAACTTCTTGGTCTCTTTGTTGAAGAAGAACTGGCAAAACGTCGGCTCTTTGGTCATCAAGTCCACCATGGGCCCACCTTTCAGACTATACTAAGCGGATCTGGCGTGTGGGGGTGCTAGCTGGCCGTGTGGCCGAGTAGTTGGATCGTCGAATTGACCCAGCTTCATAAGGCCAGAAGCACTCGTACATAGTTATATAATTCAATCCAATTTAGTCACATGTTCTCTTTCGTACAGAGCGACCTCTAATCTTGAAATTATCATTCAAAATGACAGTACATATATGTATCTGTCAAGAAGAGCATCTATAAAGATGTCCAAGATTCAGCCTAAACTGACAGTGATTGGGACCACTGTTTGCGGCCCCAAATAGCACCAGTTGCTCCCTATATTATTGCCAACGTCTTTTTGGGTCGTTCAAGTCCCGCAAAAACCGTCTTTTTAGGCGTTTTCGGCTTCTAAAAAGACCTCCACAATGTCCCAATTACCTGTCCACATCATCGAGCCATCGCTGGGTGCGGTGAGTTCGAAATCCCGGCAGGTTTCTATCTCTTCACCCACCGACTGTGCTGACAGCGACGCAGACTACGATCTGGACGATGAAACGTTCGAACTGCCGCTCAAAACGCGGTCCACGACTCACCAGCCAGTCAACTTCCCAGACCTGGCGCCAGTGGGCAGTCTCGACAAGAAAGTCAGATTTCAAAGCCAGACCGCATCGCCCTGGGACCCACTCACGGCAGACAAGATCAACACGATGGGCGTCCTGGATACGCTGCAGTCATTGGACTCGCACTATCTCGTGGGCTCCGCTCCCAGAACTCCCAGGGGCGGTCGCAAACCGCACATAGAAGACGTTATCCAGGACGCACACCAGCTAAACCAATATCTCGACCAAAATTTCGACAAAATTCAATCGTTTCAGTCCGAATTTTTGGACCAGGATCATGAAAGCTCCTTCCCCATGAGCAACAATTTCGCCAGCAACGTGGCCACTGCCCCCACAACTCCGTCCGGTTCGGTCTCGAATTTCCAACTCAGTGAAATCGACATCAGCGACGCACCAGACGACTCGCATTCAGACTTTGACCGAGTGTCAGGCGCGATACTACAAAGCGACAACGAACAGGAAGATCGCAAAATCAAACAGATCCTCTCCAAGCATCAGACAGCGACGTATCCGCTCTCGGAGAACCCCTCCATTGTGAGTCTTGTTAGGAGCGACCAAAACACCCGATTTGGCGCTCTGCAACACGATTCGTCGTGTACGTCGCTTGGTTCCTTGGCCAACGGCATACATACCATCCAGAGCTCACCTTTGATACGTGACAAGAACTTTGAAAGACCTACAGAACTAATCCAGAGGCCCTCTGAAGCTATGACGACACATCTGGAACCTGACGCCAAACCGCCCGATATGGACTTAGACGTAGCGCTGGCGCTATACACCAAAACAATCTCACAATTGCTCGTTTTCAGCAAAAAAATTGAAAATATTCCAGATTTTTGTCCACCGTCATTTTCCACCTTCCGCATGAAATCTGCCCCGACACTGGGGTATGAACAATACCTGCAACGGCTGTATGGGAAGTTCTCATTTTCTCCCATTGTCTACCTTACAGCTGCTCACCTTTTGCAGAAGTTGTTGTTGCAGAGAAACACTGCTAATGAACAGTTGGAATGCCGGTTTAAAATTGAGCTGCAACATGTTCACAGATTGATCATTGCCAGCATAAGGCTGGCAACCAAACTACTAGAAGACTGTGTCCATTCGCATACATATTTCAGTCGAATATGTGGGATCTCTAAGAAACTACTCACGCGACTGGAAGTCGCTCTGCTGGAGTGTTTGAATTTTCAAGGGCTGAAAATCACCAACAGAACTTTACTAGACGCAACACAGGTTCACCAAGAACTGTGCAATGCCGTCTGATAGCATATTCCAAAAATATTGAACTTGAAGAGCTAACCATTATTCTCACGTACGGAGAATAGATACCTTGAAGTGGCGGATGCCGGTTCATCATGCCCTGATGTGAAGTCAGTTTCCTACCTTTATGACGAAATAATCCCGAAGGTTCGAAATTTGCCCTCTTCACCCCTAAGTATCTGCTCGCTTAACAAAAGGACGATCGGCCAAAAAAACACCGATTTTATCTCGTTCTGTGATCTACGCTGAGTGTCTACAAGAAACGAGTGAGATCCTCAATTCCACATAGTATCATCATTATTATTGTGACTTCTTTGATTTCGTCACAACTTCTCCGTTTGGGCCCCAAATTGCACCGTTCAACTTCTCTTTAACACCATAATCACGCGAATAGCTCATAACGACCCCAAACCAATCAATACCTCTCGTCCAGCTCTTGATATCTCAGGTGTCAGTGCATTGTTCTCTTTAAAATTAACGATGATTCGTTTTAATATCATTATGTACGGATCTTTAATCTAAATGAACTTGGAAAATCTACAGAGCAGTCTCTAAAACTACAACTATCACAACAGCTTTCCTCAAAGGAATAAGAAGTTTAGGAGCTATTCTCTCTATACAATTTCAACTGCAAATTAAAGATGTGGGACTTATTCGGATGGTGTATGTAGCTCAAGCCGGGAGTGATTGTGGAAGCTTTTTGGGTACAAACAATGTGTGTATCAATACTAACGTTTCTTGAATGATTTCGCTACAGTCAGAGATATTCTATCGTCTCTTGGTCTATGGAATAAACACGGTAAACTGTTGTTTCTAGGTCTAGACAACGCCGGTAAAACTACTTTGCTGCACATGCTGAAAAATGACAGACTGGCTACTTTGCAACCAACCTGGCATCCTACCTCGGAGGAGTTGGCAATCGGAAACATCAAATTCACTACTTTCGATCTTGGTGGTCACATCCAGGCCCGTCGTTTGTGGAAGGACTACTTCCCAGAGGTCAACGGAATTGTCTTTTTGGTGGACGCTGCCGATCCAGAAAGACTCAACGAAGCACGCGTGGAGTTGGATGCGTTGTTCAACATCGCTGAACTCAAAGACGTTCCTTTCGTCATTCTAGGTAACAAGATCGACTCGCCAAACGCGGTTTCCGAGACCGAATTGAGATCTGCTTTGGGTCTCTTGAACACCACTGGTGGTGCTAGAATCGAGGGCCAAAGACCAGTGGAGGTGTTCATGTGCTCTGTTGTTATGAAGAACGGATATCTAGAGGCCTTCCAATGGCTGTCACAGTACATCTAAAAATGTTTGCGTATGAGCTGTTTTAACCGTATCAGCGCTTTCAGGTTTTATTCTATATAAAGCAAACTTACCAATATTGGTGTATTACAAAAGGATTTAAACTGCTACTTAAGTAACCACTCCTATCTACGTTTGTTCGAGCCCGAATCAGCACCGGAATCGGCATGCTGCCTCTTTCTACCGTTTTCGGAAAAGTATCTCTTCTTACGCTCTTTGTCTTTCTCGATTTTAATCTCTTCCAATTTGGCCAATTTCTTGAGTCTTTCCTTCCGAGCATCTTGATTCTTGGCTTTCTTCTTCTCATCCTTGGCATTCGATATCGTGAAGACCTTCTGCATGAATGACCGAGCTTTCTTCTCCTCACCGCCCAATACAACGGCTCTTTTGGCCATATAGGTTTTCTTTTTCTGAGGCTTCATTTGATGTACTTGCGATTTGAATGGCAGAGCCTTCTGAATAGAGGTTGGGATCTTCAAACCGTTGAAACGTCTTTCCGGACGCTCCACCTTTGTGTAGGCACTATCAGGGTTCATTGGCGTTTCAATATCCATGGCGGCTCTGATCTGACCCGTGAGTCTCAAACCTTTCCATTCTGTCTTGTTCTGCAACAACAACGAGGTAACCGGGTTGTAAAACTTCTTTATGTGAACTGGGTACCAACTTCTCAAGACAATGACATCACTCAAAAGAATCTTGTCCTCAAACGTTGCTCTGAAATGCCCTTCCGGTTTCGACAGGGCTCTTTTGATTTCACCTCTAATACCCGATACGGTCTTGATCTGCGCACCTTCGAATCTTGCGACTTCCATGGCACTCGAGAACATATCTTTGATGAAAGCAGTATTTCTGAAAATTTTGTAAGGATATCCCACGAGCTTCAATTTTTTGACAATTTCGACGCTGGCATCAATCTCTTCCACAATACCAGTGGCGGCAATTCTAAAATTCCCGGTCGTGTCACTATTTGCTACAACCTGGATACCACAAAATGTGGTATTTGGAGAGCATAAAGGTCCATAGAAACTGGCAAAACAATAAGAATGCTCCGGAGTATATTTGAGCATTCTATTTCTTGTCCGCGAATCACTTGTGGTGTATATGGGTAGCGTTTGGAATCTTCTCCAGCCCAATGACAGCACGAGCGGGTCGTTGGTTTTTAGAATCTTTTTGTGCCAACGATGTCTTCTTATTCTGGCTTTTATGATACCGAATTTCATCTCTGCAGGCAGCAAACCACCCATGATGATAGGATACTTGGGGTTGAAGTTTTCAACGAATTCCATTGGCAGGTTTTCGAAGACGATCCGCACATAAGAACCAGCTCTAAACCCTTCTATCTTTTGACGCTGTTCTGGTGTCATTGATTCAAGTTCGGCGTTGTTGATTTCGTTTTGCTTGGCCATCTTTGCCTTTTGCAACTCGTACCATGTATCGTACTCGTTGTTTGGATCGTCCTCTTTGAAATTATCGCCCTCTTCCATTTCAAACTGCAAGCGCAAGCTTTCCTTTTTAGCAGCGTTGCGTTCTCTTTCCTGTTCGGTGGTGAGATCCTTTTTCTCTTCTTGTTCAAAGTCAGCAAATGAACCGTCGCTTCCATTGTCGTCCGAATCATTGTGTGATGATTGAGCACTATCATTCTCACCTTCGGACTCTTGGCCCTCATATGCCTCTAAATCTTCAAAGTCACCATAGGCTTCATCCTCGTCGGCGCCGTCGGCGTCGTCGTCGTCGTTACCTTGCTTTTCAGAGCGCAAAGTCGACGAACCCACAAATCTGTTCTTGATTTGTTCCATGTCGGGCCATTTGGCAATCAATTTTTTAAACGTTTCGAAATGGGGTTTGAATTTTTCTAGATCGTCATCCACTCCGGATGTTGTACCTGCCGATCTGTCCTTTTGCTGGAAAAACTCTTCATCCTCTTCGGCATCGCTACGATTTTCATCTTCATCCTCTTCTTCACCTCTCCACCTTTTCAGACAGTCTGATGGAGTGATGTTATCCATGTAGATTAGCTTTCCAATATCCCACTTTCTACGTCTAGCCTTCGAGCCTTCGAGCTTGGAGGCTGTGCTCCTAGTCCATATATCGTTCTCGTGATCTGACAGTTCAAACTCAGAGTCAGTTTGAGCCTCGACTAAGTCGCCGTTTTCAGCAGGAAAGTCGACCTCAACCATGCGCCTTTGGTGGTCACCCTCGCCGTCAAAATCTTCAAATTCTTCATCGTCATCAGATACTAAACCATCAACGTCCGCATCCGCCTCTTGAACAGACTTGCCATAAATTCTGGGTTTCCTTAAATTTTGTCTACCTCCATTGGCGCTTTGATCGCTGACGTCACCATCACTTGAGAAACTTTCGGCCTCTTCATCTCCGGCATGCAATTCTTGCCCATTGCTGAAAAGTTGCAATCCTACGCCATCGAAACTTTCGGCAATGCTTCTTTCAGCTGACTGCAAACTGGTCACTAGCTTTTCGCCTTCACCTTTTTCCTGACCGGGCACGAAACTGGCGCCTTCACCGTTTTTAGTACCAACGTCAATGAATACTGCGTCTTTATCCATAAGTACACCTCCCACATCGGACATGGGAGCATAGATTAGCTTTTGCTTGTCGTCTAGCCTCTTACGTCTACGAGGAGCACCAGTGCTAGCAGCTCCTTCTTCCTTCATCTTTTCTCGCTCGTATTCATCTTGTTTTTGCTGAAAGTAAGGAGTAGGGCAAGGATCAGGCAGTTTTTCAACATGCGATATGGAGTAATCACCCACACCTGCCAGGTGAACGCGGGCTCCAGCTACGGAGGGCAAAGCAGAACCATGCAAATATCCGTATAAGGCAACCTTTCTGTCAATGTGTTTGCCCTTGCTTTCCAACAATTGCGGGTGCGTAATGTCGGTCAACCGGTCGGCAAGCAGGTACGGATGTTCGTTTCTCCATTTCAATGGTCTGAATTTCATAACGGAGATAAAACGCGATAAATTCAGGATTTCACGGTCTGGATAACGACCATTTATGACACCTGAAAGATAAAACAGCTTGGCACCTTGGTATACTTCGGTCCAGAATCTGTGTTTTAGCCTTTTCTTGGAAGCCCTTAGAGTGGACTGAGACTTGAATAGATCAAGATGCGTGGCCACACCTAGGACACGCGGCATACCGTGGTGCTGGGCCAGATTTAGAAATTCCATGGTCTCCATTTCGAAACCGAAGTTACCGTCCATCATCAAGAGCACCAAGTCTGCCACTTTGGCCACATCGACCATGGCGTTGAGGTCATCGGCAGGACACTCAAGAAAGGTGAGTCTTCTTCTCTTACCAGAAACCACCGTAATAGGTCCGTTGACCTCGGTAAGCGACGATTTGGTCATTCTTCTCACAAGGGACTTGATGAGGGTTGTTTTACCGGTCCCGGGAGGCCCCACTACGGCGACAATCACGGGTGGAGGATCATCTTCTGGTGTCCGATCTACCATGGGGACGTGGAGCTTACGCTCGTTCACGTCGCTCGAACGCTGCATGGTCCTGGCCATTTTTCCTGGAGCTGCCACTGCGAACGCCTTGGCATTGTGGCCCTGCGTGTGCAGTTTTTTCTTGGCCGTAGCCTTTTCGCTCTTCTTCCTGTGCTCCTTGTTGGACTGTTCCATGGATTGGTGGCACTGGAGCGTGGGGGGACGAGACGGTTTGCGATGAGTCGAAATGAGTGAAGATGAGATGAGATGAGATGAGATGAGATGAGATGAGATGAGATGAGATGGAGACTGGGGCCTTAACAATTCAAATTTTTCTACTACGACACAACACGGGCCCACATCCATTTTCTTTTTTTCTTGCCCAGGGCAGATAAAAAAAACATATCACGTCACGTGTAACCAAAAGTCACATGAGTGTCACGTTGTCTAGCCGCGATCGCAATTATTTCGTTAAAAGTGACAATTTCTTGATCTCGCGGCCGCCGTCCGCTGGCGGCCACAAAAGCGAAACCTGCTCCACCCCTTGCGCGAAGTTTAAAGCGGCAAAAAGGGCCCAAAATATGCGATTGAGGGCCAGTTAAACATTCATTCGATAGCTTTCAATGCGCTCGTTCGAATGCCACCACTTTTAGTGCTGTAGCGGCTCTTTCAGGGCCATTTATTGCCCAAGTATCGGACCGCACTTCTGAAACTCGCTCTGTGGTCAAAAAATGTCGATCCGGTGCCGCTGAAACGAACGGTTTTCACATCTCACACTGTCACAGCTCCCATTAACCTCGCTAGCACTTTTTAGACGCCATTTGGATTAGATTTCGCCACCTTTTATGCCATACCTTTCTGCTCAAAGTGGTCAATAAAGGTCTAAGTACACAAATTTATGGCCTATTTTTTATATGCGTATTTATGTACATAGTATATATATATATATTATGTATATAATATTGATTTTTCACCATAAAAACAAGACTGTTGAAGATACTCCAAGAAAACATACTTTACTCCAGATTTGGCTCAAAAACAGACAGTGTACTGAGTTTCGAGGGGGCGACCAGGAGACCTTGAAACTTTTACGTATACAACATGGTGTTCTGCAGACGTAAACCACTGGTTCTGCCGGCTCCTAGACCCTTACCTGCGAACATCAACGTTAGAGTATGGCACATCAACGAGACAGGAGAATGGTTTCTGAAATATACAGAGTATCTGGAACGTATGGATTTCTACATGAGACGGCAGTTCAGCTGCGAAATCACCGGATCGTCGTTTCTGACGTTTTTCGAGGCGCTGAACAGCGAGGAAACCGAGTTTCGACTCGTGGAGGAGAGGTTTCCTCTCAAGTTGCGTGAACCAGTGGCCAAATTCATGCATTTTAATGAAATCGGCAGGGTAGATTTGCTGGTAGAACGTGCATATTCGCGGTTTAAGGCGGATTTTTATCCTGGAGAGAGAGTGTTTCTGAGACGCAAAAGCGATAAGGTGGCAGAGGACTCGGCTCCAAACGCTCACAAGTCGTATATCGTGAAAGAGAAGGCCAGCTTCAACGCGGTTTTTGATCTCACGGGGTCTCAGGTCATCAAACCGGCTTTTTCCAAGTACATGATCACCGAAGAATTTGGCGCCAATTCGCTGATGGTGGACCAACATGAAATCTACCGGGACCGTACGTCGTTCACAAAGCATCTGATCAAGTGCTTCTGCAAAATTACGTTGAGACGTGCCTCTGCCAAAAGCGGGGCGCCGCTTTGCGTCAAGGACGAGTACCTCGCCATGTATGGGCTCACCCTGGACTGGCCTGTTTCGATGTTGAAATACAAGGAGGAAGTACCAGAGCCTCGCCTTCCGCGGCCCAACAGCCAGCTTGCGCAAAACGGCTCCAAACCTCTCCCGTGCCCGCCACATAATCAGAACAATGCCAAGAGATCAATTGACAACCCAAATAATGATACCGAAAACAAGAAGCAGAAAAGCACTGCAGAACCAACCACATGTCCTTCACCAGCAGCCTCTGCAGTCGAAGACAGTACTCGTCCTTACAACGGACCCAACAGAGCGCTTAAAAATGCTTTCTACTACAACAAAGACCTGGACCATGTGCCTGTCACTCAACCAGGTCAAAGATTCGAACATATGTACAAGCTTCTGGAAGTGTTTCAATTCTGTCAAACCTTCAGCAAGGTGCTGCTTTTGTCACCATTCAGTTTGGACAATTTCATCAGGAGCTTGAAATCTACAGGTCCCAAAGCGACGGCTCTCTTTACTATTAAAGGTCGAGTAAACTCACCGCTCTTTGAGCAAAAAAGCTCGACAAAAACGGTAGACCTCGATGGCGATGAAAATTTGCAAGATACGCTCGACCGCGCCGAAAAGCGCTGTCCAGGCATTCGAGATCTCGTCGAAAACCAAAGCTCTTCACTTGTCAGCTTTGAAGTCTCCGCAGTGGATGAGAATGAAAGTGTCACCTTCGATAATGTCGAGTCCAGCGGGACATCACTGATAATTGAGTGCTTTGTGGCTCTAGAACGATTATTCGTCAACGAAAGCGGTGATTGGAACTGTATGGTTATGGACAAGTGGTATGATGAGGACGAAATGGCAGACTTGCCCGCAAAGCCTGAAAGTGTCGACGCCGAACGCGATGTTGAAGACTCCAAAGATGATACCAAACAAGATGATGATACATTTACTGACCCTGAAATTGATGTCCTGCTGGAACGGTGCCTCAATTTCCGTAAGGTTTCATGGACGGAACGTTTGTCAAAAAGGCAATTTAAGAACGGTTTTTGGATTATAGTCTTACTGGGGATTTTTCAAGACTGTATGCATATACCAATGTACACCAGTTTTGCACACAGATTTATCAGGGCTGTCGTGCCGTCTGAAGGATCCGCTACTCATCTGAACAAAATTCTGTGGCAGAACTTTTGTGAGAATCTGAGCTTGGAAGACAAACTTTACGCCTTATGGATATTGGTGGATATAGCTTCCAACTTTTCTCAGGACATCAAAACGTATGTTGAAGACACCTTAGACGTTTGCACCCAAATTCGTAGCGAAAAGCTAAAACTGTCCAAGCGCCTAAAATCCGAAATGCAAAGCATCTCACAACTATCAAATGATCAAGATCAGTCAAATGAAATCCAATCACAAATCGATAATCATCAAGCAGCTATCAATAAGATCAATCACGATAGAGAATATTTGACCCAAAAATTGATTGAAAATGATGTGAGAAGACTAAGACCCCTGGGCAGCGACCGAAATGGTAACAAATACTATTGGCAAGAGCTGAGCGGTGTTCCACGAATTTCCAAAGATGATAATCACGAGATTGGATCTGGCAGAATATGGGTGCGAGGAATCAGCGTAAGAGATGCTGAAAGGCTTCTGGAACTTCCCTCTGATAAACTAACATCGTGGAAAAAGCTGGCCAGTGAAAGCTCAATCTTCGAGGCCACCGCGAAAACTTTCCAGATCGCAAGGACTAACAATGCGGCTCTTGTTTGTGAGACTAATGCTGAAGATCCCATTCTAGTCTTCCCTGACGGCAGCGTCAACACCTCTCTAATTGACTCATCACCTCTCTACAGAAAGATTGTGGACGAAACACCTGAAAACATTTTATTGAGCGAGTCTCTTTGGGTCTCAATCGAGAATCTGGAGGATGTAAATGAGCTGATGCAGTGGGCTGCTGATGATGTAGCAAACGATCAAGTCCTATCCAAACAGATGAGAGCAATTAAGGAACCTCTAATGGAAAGCTTGAAGCGGAGAAGGGGGATATCGGATGCTTCGATCAAGTCTACTGAAATGCAGCGTCTCGAGCATGCGATTGCAGTGAACTCAATTTCTGAAAGCGAAATAAACCAGTGCCAGATTGACAACGAAGAAAAGCAGATAGTCGATGACGATGAGGAGCTTGAAAAGATCGCGACTGAAATTATGGAATTAGACGATGGACGTCAAACCAAAACGTCCCTCAACAGAATAAGAGAGCTGGAGGAACGTCGCGATTACTTGCTTAACGCACGTACTTTCAAAGAGCATACCGAAAGGCAACAGTCTAGAGCACTTCGTAAAAAGGCGATCTCTGCTATAGAGGAGAAGGTAAGAAACCAGGAAGCTGCTTTGAGCTTCTACATGAACAAGGTAACCCAAATTTCGAATCCGTCAGAAAAGCTCTGGACAAACGAGCTTGCCAGAAAACTCTGGAACACCTCTCTGTATCTAGGTGCCAGCGGAAAACCTGTCACCAGAAACAAGTTGTCAGTTAAAGAGAGGATGACTGAAATTTTCGATGGAATGACGAGCACTCATCAGAAAAGGACTTGATCGAACATCAAAAATGCAAGAAAAATTGGACCAAGAAGCGTAAACCAAACAATTAAGAGACAAAAAAATATACAATCAACAGTGCCACTCCAACCAAATCATAACGATCCTGTTAGCGAGAATCGCAGTTTGTTGTTGATTCTGATCGTCACTTCTCAGGTTTACTGACACTTTTTCGTGGAGCGTGATCCTACAAATTTTTCCGATATAATCAGAATTATCAACTTCAAGCTCAGTGATGAGCAGAACAACTCCACGAAAGAGTGTCTTCAAAGCTCAGATATGCTTAATTATTCAACCACACAGGGTCTCAAAAATGCATTGCGTACTTTTGGTAATATAAAGAACTCAACTGCGCTTCGGAGTGCGAAATACAGCACTAACGTCAACCGTTCCAATGAATCTAAGGATATTGAATCCCCGGAAGAATCAACCCTTAGGTCGCATTTAGATGTCAAACCAATCGATTATACGAATAATGCGCCTGTTAATCCCAAGAAAAAAAGACCTCTGCTTTCGGACTCCAAGTACGAATCGAAGCTATATCAGCTCCCCAAATGGAAAGAAGCTCTTGGTGAAATTGTTATCAAAAGCTTCAACCTCGATATGGATAAAGTCAGAGCTGGCCCTGTAGCTGGATCCTATTACTATGCATTGTGCAAAGAGCAAGGTCTTCAATTCGAAAACGAACCGCTTTCGTCGACGGCCAAGTTTTTTTACGAAGATCTAAAATTACCTCGTACCTTTTCTCAGTGGTTTCAGGTTACAATTCTGCACGAATGGATCCTTTTCGTGAGGATGCGTGCTATGCCTTTCAAATATGGTAAGAACTATCAGCAAAAACTGGTGGACAGAACGTTTTCGGATATAGAATTGAGGCTGTTTGATGAGATGAACGTCAACTCGGGCCGTATAGCGGACCAATACCTAAAAGACTTCAACTCACAGCTTCGTGGTGCTGTGTTCGCATATGACGAAGGCTTTTTCACCGATGACGCTACCCTGGCAGCTGCCATTTGGAGAAATCTGTTTGGTGGCAGAAAAAACGTAGACATGGTCCATCTCGAGGCAATGGTGAGGTACGTTCGTGCACAACTGTATGTCTTGAGTAAAATGTCAGACAGGGAATTTGCCATGGGTGGCTTCAAATTCGTTCCACCTGATGAAACAGTTCACCAATTGAGTCCTCAACAGGAAGCGGAAATGAGAAATGCTGTGATCGAGAAGTATCAAGCTATGGACAAAAAGCCTGATTTGCTACCTAGTGAGCGTAGCAAATTATCTTTTGAGAACTAGGTTTCTTATGAACAAATTTTATGACGAGGCATAATATCTTTGTAAATAGTATTACATTTGGAGTTAAATCGAAGAGACGGTTGCTTTCCACAGACTGGGCTGGTTTTTTGTAAGCAGGCTGTCAAGAGCGTCTATCAATTTGACCTGGAAGCTACCACTCCCTTCACAAGCCGAAGCGGCAGCATAACCCGCTGACTTATACAACCGAACTGCTGTCAGCACCGCAGAGAATACATTCTGTTGATCAGTAATACCGCCCACCAAACAAGCTATCGTTGTTCCTAAAGAGCAGCCACTAGCAGTAATCTTTTCCATTACGGCGATGTCCCCGCATTCCACCTTGTAAGCCGGAAGTTGAGAAGGAACCATGGCGCAACCATTACTTAACTTGAATTTTCCCAAGTTCAGCCCATTGGCCACAACGTCGATTTTGCCTGTGCATACGGCAACACAGCGGTATCTGAAGGCAACGAGCCTCGTAGCTGCTACAATAATTGAAATATCGGATCCTGCATCGCCGGAATCCACACCTCTCATTTTACCCAGATTCATATCTGCCAGCGATAGTATTTCACCAGCGTTTCCCTTGATACAGGCAAACTGACCTTGTGCCAGCAAATAGCTGTTCAATTCCAAACGAGTAGACGTCGCACTGAAACCCACAGGGTCCAATACGATGGGCCTTTGAGCTGTATTGTATGCACGGACGGCGCTGCTCAAAGTTTCCAAAGGAGCAACCGAACCCGTATTCAACAATAGGGTAGCGTGGGGCACTTGGGACAGCTCGACAAATTCGGGCTCGACTTCCGACATGATAGGTGAGGAACCAAGAGCTAGTGCTACGTTTGCACCGAAATTTTGGTGCACTTTGTTGGTGATGTGGTGAATCAAGGGCGAATTCAATTTGGTGGACTCAATACAGGCCTCGTCGACTGTGCTGGTGCAGGCTTCGACATTCGTGCCAACACCGTCAACAAAAGAGTAGCATTCTGCGTCGATCAAATTGCGGAGTCTTCTTGTAGCTTCTCCTGCTTGTGGAGAGGCCATAATGTCGCTGACCACAGAGATGCCGTCTACACTTCTTTTCCCATCTTCAGAGCACATTTGATACAAGACGCGAGGAATGTTGTTTGGGTGCAGACCACCTATCGCCACAGTCCTGCACCAGGTAGCTTTCGTATTCTGCAAAGCGTCCAGTAGCTTGGAGACGCCTCTGGGACCCATGGGAGTTTTCTTGGGATTTTTTTTGGTATTGGTGGGGAAAACCATTCCCAAACCCACGTAATCAACAGCTTGAGGTCCCATATCTGCCAGTTGCTGCACTTCGTGCTCGTAGCCCACACTCCAGCCTATGATTTTGTCAGGGCCAAGCAACTGACGAACCATTGGGATGGGCATATCGCCCTGGCCAACATGGACACCGTCAGCTTCAATTGCAAGTGCCACATCCACCCGGTCATTAATGATCAAAGGAACATTGAACTCACGACACAATTTCTGAACTTGCAGAGCTTGTTGGACAAAAACCTTGGTATCGGTTTCCTTTTCACGCAATTGCACCAAAGTGACACCATTTTGCAACGCAGCATGTACTTGCGACACCAGTGTCGTGCCGGGCGGCAACATGGTCGAATCCGTTACCAAATACAGCGAATAATCCACTTTCGACTTGTCGAACATTGAGTAGTCAAAGCGAGCTTGCAAAACAGGGAATCGAGGCCAAAGAATGTCTGAACCAGACTTCGAACTGCTCTAATCAATCGGAAGACCTGAATAAGATCATTTAAAGGTTACAACTAGCTTGTACGTTGTGGTTTTTATATCGATGGGTTGTAGACGTGTCGATGCTAAAGGTTTCCTTATTTTAGAGTAGGCTATATCCGAGCATAAATTAGAAATACGAAATACGATAGTCACGTGACTAAGATCACACTCAGTTTAACGTTTAAGTCGGTGAAGTGTCCAGGTTTTGCCCTATTTAAATGGCCAGTGTTATGGTGAGTGGTGGTTTTGAGGTATGCGCAAAGCAAACCGGGATTCGTTCGATGCGTTCGAGGATTTCATGTCAATTTCGTAATTGCGGATATGTTTAGTATTAGGACTGGTCTATTTTGCGAAGTGCAGGGGAAATGCATTAAGCTTTACGAGATATTGTGATATCAAATACCTGCTAGTTATGAAGGTGTGAGTTTTAGTGACACGCAAAATAGATAAATAATCTATTGAAAAATTATGCATGGCCTGATTCAAAATTTTATAACTTCGAGAGCTTTGCAATTCTTATTTGCACTGGCCCAAACTTGAACCCTCGTTGTGGCATTGGCCCTTTCACCTGATAGAAAACTCACTGCCATTCGAAACCATTATTTAAATCTTATCTATTTTTTATGGCATTTTTTTTCTGAAGGTAACGATGCTCTAAGTAGCACGCCAGGCCGTAGCTCAGACATTAATCAACATAGTGGTCATAACAATGTAATCTGGACCTTAAACGTACCGTTTATGCCACGCTCGTTGCGTAGGTCCTGGAACGATATCACTTTGTACACTTGCGTCACTTTCGTATATCAGTCATCATGTACGAGTGTGACACCTGTAACGAGGAGAATAGGGCTATAGATGTTCAAAACTCGTGTTCTAGTGATGTTCTGTAGATAATTCAGAGTCCTTCTCTCTTTCTCATTATTCTAACTAATCCAAACCTACATAAAAGATTGCATAAACAATGAGTTATACAAACACAACGAAAAAAATAATTGTAAGCTAACAGATAACGCATCAATCGGTCCCATGTTTACCTGATTAACAAAACAGCATTCAACACGTCGTATCTATTCTTCTGCTTCAATTAGTTTTGAGTTTTTGACTCTCTGGCAAAACCGCATGTCACGTGAAAAAACCTTAACTCTCATTACATAATCAATTTCCTATGTTATTTAATTAGCTACCATGTATTATATGAACTAACACTTTCAACTTCTAGGAATCCAAATCCTATATACACCGCTCCCAATATGAAATTAACTCCTGGAGCCCTGTTGGATGCTCCCAAGTATTATAATGACATTGGAAACGGACTCTACAATACTGAATTGACTGTTGTGCTGCGAGATTTGCAGCTAGAAAATGATAATGATGCGATGCCAGCTGTATTGGCAAAATATTTACCGACTGCCACGCACATTTTGGATTTTACCAACAATGAACTGAGTGCAATCCCAGATTTACGGACTCAGGCAAGTATCAGCACGCTTTTACTGTCCAGAAATCGAATTTTCAAAGTCGATGGTTACTGCTTGCCGTGTCATCTGCGCAGTCTGACACTGGCTAATAATGGAATCGCGAAACTGGAAGATTTACAAGGACTTAGCAATAGTCCCAAAACTCTACAAAACTTGGTGCTTCGAGGAAATCAGGCTTGCTACCTCGAGGACTATCGGCTCTGCATAATATCGCTAGTTCCACAATTACAAGCTTTAGACTTCACCAAGATAAGCGATGAGGAGCGTCAAAAAGCACGTCTATTCAGGCTATCTGATGCCAATAATAAAAAAGAACCCAAACAGCACGATGACCATAAGGATACCCTTGATAAGGAAACGGAGATCATGAATATCGTCGTCAACAAAATGGACACAGACGTGCGGGCAAATTTGAAAAAACAACTCGCCAATGCAACAACACTGGATGAAATGGAGCGAATTGAAAAACTCCTGTCGGGAGGCGTATAATAATTAAAAGCAAATGCAGGTCTATAAAGCTAATGTTTTGATGTTGTTTTGATGTTGTTTTTTTCTTTGCATAATCGGACATCGATGGTACAATAGTGATGATGTATTTAGGTAATTTTCGTAATCTGCCCGCTTTTTTCAAGAGGGCTCTGCACCACAACAGATGTATTTTCCGGAAGCAGCACTGGTCCTTCTTCCTTTAAGTTTTTGGTCTTTTTTCGCCCTTTGGACGGGCCAGAGGCTCGAGGCCTTTTTACACGAGACGGTGTCGCACTTCGCACACTTGATGGCTCAACAATAATGTCCTTCAAAAACTCTTCTTCAAGTTTCAGCACTCTAAGTCTTTCAAATTCATGGTTTTCGTTGTCATGTTCTTCCTCCTCCGAAAGTAAACCGGCGTCGAGACTTGGTATGTTATTGTGACACGAGTGGCACACGTCGCCATACCAAAAGATAGAAATCCGACAGTTGCAATGCACGCACTGTTTTTCTTGAGCAACAATCGACTCCGCGAAAGCTTTTTCAATTCCGTCCTCGCGCCCTGACATGTCGGACGGCTTGGGGGTTCTCGCCCTCATTTCAGCCACGGCCATTTTAACGGGTCCAACCTCCAGCTCTTTCGCAGTTTTGTAGTTTTTGCAGTAAAACTCAAGTAGTGTTATGCCACGCTTGGTTCTGTGATCCAACGGTAAATGGCTGCCCATTGACATCTCGACATGATCTGGACAGACCAAGATTGGCTTAATTTCGAAAAGGCCGCCGTCAATCTCCAAAATCTTTGCCTTTTCTGATTTGTGGGTTGCTGGTGTTTTGAGAAATCTGAACTTGTAGGCTTCTGAGTCTTGTGCACAAGTTACATGGCATTGCACGGGGCAGAATGCACACTTGACAAGCCCGCCCCCAATTCCATCGCATAATGCACAAACCATCTTTTCATTTTTAAGTAGTGTGTCGGTGATATTGCTAGCACATTGAAGCTTTGCAGGTGCGTTGTAAACGATACTGTCGTTCAAGAGAGAACAACTCGCATGGCACCACTGTTCAGTGGATGTGACCTTCAACGCATCTGGTGTCGATTTCCTCAATTGCATTCGAGCACCCTCATGATCAACTTCTCGCGCGTTACACAGACAGCATTGATAGTCGTCTGTAAAAATAGGGTTCAGGTTATTAGTACAAGGATCGCACAGCCACTGGAAGTTTTTTAACGAACCTCGCTCTTTTTGCGTCCTGCTTCGATCTGGTACGTCTACTCCATAGCAGAAGTAATGAACATTTAGGCCACAGTTTCTGCAATTAATTTCCTCATCCCGATCTTCTCGGAATTTTTGCAAGCAGACACAGCAAAAGTCCCGCCGCTCCGCAGTTTCATCTTCTTCAATTGCATTCGTGGCTGGAAAGGGTGACTTTGCACGCCGCCCTATGTGATTTGACACTACAACATTTTTGCTCGTTGTTATTCTCATGAGCTGATCGTAATTAAATTTGGGAAGTCTACCCTGGGACCACTCGTGGTACAACGGATTGTGAGAATGGTAAGCATCCAAAATTGCAGCGAAATTGTGATCGCTGATGACTGGAATATTTGAAGCATTTGTGATTTGCAGCGTAGAGTAGTCCGGAGATTTCGACAGTTCATTCGGCATCGATGGTTTCAACTTATCTTGCCGTTTTTTTTCTTCAGTAGCTCTTTGTTGATGCTGCACAATGGGGCTTTCTGACTGTTGATCAAGCTTGAAGACGTACATGTACAGATCCTCGGAAAGACGCAAAGTCTCAAAATTTTCGTCCACTTTAATTTGGCCGATCATATTCTTTCCTCCGCCAACAAAAACGTCAACTACTTTATCACCGGTAGGAACCCAAAGTTCTTGCTTTATACGTGCTTCTGCTTTCTTTTCCTTTGGCAGCGGTTCTTTCACGATACCATTTTTGAGAGTCTCGCCGGTGGGTAGTATTTTATTATCCGTTTGAGAATGGTTCACAGCAGTTTTCGGAGAACCCTGTGCTGTAAGTTTTATTCGTTTTTGCGCAGCTTGCTCTCTGATCTTTTTTAGTTTTGCCTTCTTCTCCTCTTTTTGGGCCTCCGATACCAGCCCACCGATGAAATTCTCCAGTTTCTGCATCATCCTTTCTTCAGAGTGGCCGTCTTTTTCAACAAGGCGCTTAACCACTTTGTTTAGCTGCGCATGCACCGAAAGACAATTACGTTTCATTTTCGCGAATCGGTCGGGATCCTGAATTATATGTAAACGTTGTTTAATGATCAGTTCCGCGTCTTGGACTAGTTCCCATTCCACGCATTTTTCAGATAAAACGCCTGGAGGAACTTTGATTGTTGTGTCGTTGCTTTCGGACAATAACAGATCCAGTGCGGCTCGTACACTGGAAGAGTATTTTCCATTCAGTTTTTTTACCACATCCATTGGGCTGAGCCATTTGACGGCATATCTTCGCCAGAGACGAGCACATCTGATGCAAAGTGCCTCGAGCTGTGGGCTGGAGTCACTGTGGTGAGCGCGGCGTGGAAGCTTGTCGGATGTTGACGTTTTTTCATTGACGCCTGTGATCATTCTTGTTTTAATATGATCATCGTCGCAACCACCCGTTACACGATACCACAGTGGCGAATAATCTACTTCGCAAAACATGCACTTGAAGTAAGTTTTCAGAGTTGAGATCTTTTCGGAGTCGAAAGAAGAGTCGTCAATATGTTTCCATTCCTTGCTTTTGGCAGTTTCAATTTCTTTAGATATTTTGGAGGGTTTGCGAACTCTCGGCAGCTTGTTGATGTCTTCCGTCTTCTTTTTAGATCCCATCAGGCCCTTGTTTTGGTTCTTTTTCCTACCTTCAAAGTTCCCCCAGATTCGTCTCCCATTGGGGGTTTTCTTCCAGTAGTAGTAAAAGCGCACAATCATACCCATTGATTGAGTGCCGACGTGCTTGCACACGGGGTGCAGTTCACTTCCGTGCTTGGCAATTCCCTCTTCAAACTTGATTATCTCTTTTTCACTGAAAGTGGGCTCTCGCAGCGATTCTCGTGAGAGCTTTCTTGCGCAGACTTTCAGTGAAGCAGCAGCATTGTAGTCATTCAACATCAGGGTGTTCAGAATCATATCCCAAAAATTACAAGCCTGGGGCAAAATCTGAAGCTTTTCTGGGAATTTTTTTTGACACTTATCAACGTATTTGTCAAGTTCGCTCTCGCTTATTTTATTGTCGTTACTTCTCCATAAGAGCCCCGCTTCGTCATCGGCTCCCCGACCACTGTCTATCTCCTCGTAAGGCATTGGTTTCCAGGATTCTCTTTCACACCCATTCCACTGATATTTTGAGCCAGTTCTTAACTTTTTAATCGGATATGCAAGTAAGAGCTCCGGAGACAATACATCTATGAGATTGTCCACAATCTTTGAGCCTAGATAATGAAACCAGATATTTTCTGTTAGTTTTGCTAGGCATGCAGACTGGCTGAAGTTCGTAAGCTTGTCATCAATTGGCTCCCAATTATTATTCCCTTGGTCGTTATTACTATGACTGAGGCATTTGGAGCAGACCCAAATGACACCTTTCGCTGGCCGACGCTCAAGAGGTGGGTCTAAACAATAGAGATGCACCGTGAGATGGCATTCGTCGCATTGCACGCACTGATTCTTTTCGCACCAGCCACCGCACTCGGCGCACTTTAAGTCCCAATTCCTCTCGTTAGGCACCTTTTTCCCCAATACGTATTTCTGGATGACTTGTTGCAAAGGATACTGTTCCTCAACAAAAACGAAGGGATAGAGTTTAGCTAAAGTGGAAATATAAGTGGAATTGGGTGCCAACGGCAGAAGTTGCTTCTTAGTATTCCACACATCGTAGTATTGCAGCGTGTATCTATCAAAAAGCTGTTCATAAAAGAACGTGTTAGGTTTCATGAGGGTTTCGTATTGAGCTTCATCCGGTAGGTCGAGCGTTGTCTTGTGAACCACGGTACATTTTCCGCGGTAGGAATGTAGCGGACACAAGTCCATATGTAGCGATGCGTAGACTAGTCTGGGGTTTACATTCAGGGCCTTCTCCTGCACATCACGCGGCCTGTAGTACCAGTTCATCTTTGCCTGGAAATATCGTGCGGGAAACGAGGTTGTATATTTCTTGCCTTCTTCAATCAGCTGGCTGTACTCTGCCTTGGGCACAAACTGTACTATCCTACCAATATAGTAAGGCTCACCAGGAGGCTCAGAGACCATATAAATGTGGTCATCTCGCTTTAGAAGTACAGATGGGCCATTGCTCAAAATGTCATTCTTGACATCCACCTCTGCGTTCTCCAGATCCAGGATGTTAGAAAAACGGCTGTGTTTTCTAAAAGTAGTGGGAAGGGTTGGAATAAAGTTCCAGGCTATGCTTTTATTGTTCAGATACTCCTGGTGCTTACCTTTCGGTACTTTGACTTTGTTTGCAGCGGATACTGTGCTCGCCTCTCTATTCTTTTCCATCAGCTGAATTCGCCGAACAACATCTTCATCAGCATCCCTTTCATTGTAATTGACCTTTCGAATAGCCCTTCTTCGATTAGGAGCCGTGGCATCTTTTGTCATGACTAGTATGGCCTATTGGTGCTGTAGTTGTTGTGGATATTTGAATTTGATGTTAACAAGATGATCATATATGATGATGAGCATGGGAATAAATATTATATTGTAGATATCCAAAGATTATATATTAGAGATAGTGATCGACATCAACTCTCGAGTATTTGGATAAACTGAGGGGGTGTCATCATGAATTTGGGAAATCTATCCCGTTGAGTTGAATGATTTTGGTTGATGGGCGTAATTCGCAAAGCTGAGTGACAGTTTTAGGCTTATGGAGGTAGCTTGTATAGCTGGATATCACAACCCAAGTGAAGATAGACATTCTAAATAACTACAGGAAACCACGGAAAATTAACAAGAGGCGTGGAATCATTCTCTTGAATCCTCTATGCATCATTGCGAAGCGTCAGCATTCAGGACAGAGGTATTTAATTAATACGATATGTAACTCAAAACTTTGACAGCCTGTAATTACTGTCAGAATCTTTAGTATTTCTCGAAACATTTACTATTTACGTGACGAAGAAACCCTCAAATGGTCAGTCTATCTAGAGCAGTTTGATAGATGTCTGGCAATAAAATGATTCAATCCAAGGAAGATAGAATATCGCTTTGATTACAAGAATCCAAAAACAGTGAAAATAGTAAAATTCTGTTTCAACAATTCCAGAGTCGTGGTTAACGAATGAACGCTCAAATACCTCAAAGGCCATATCCAAAACAAGCGTCGCTGCCATCGAGGAAACCTATTTAATTCGCAGACTGCATTTCGATGCGCCCCTTCTAGTCGAGATTGATGGTTGATTGTGCTCAGAAAATACCTGCTATGCGAATTCTACATTTGCCGTGTCTGTCGCACAGTTGAGTTTTGCCACGAACGGCTTGCGAATAAGAAATGTGTACATGCCTGTACAATTATTTTTCGTCAGATCGCAATAAGGCTTGGTCCAGAGTTCATAATCAGTGCTACGGCAGTATTTACGATCTTTGTACTTGAGATTTGAGGGCTAGCATTTTCAAATAAAGTTTTGCCTATCTTGCCTGTCTTTTCAAAGTGAAAAATGTGTGGTTGCAAGATCTTTAGATCAGAGGGCTTTGAGCCTCTCAAAATGTAGCTTAGATATCCATACCAGGAAGCGTATTTTGCACCACTATTGATGACTTATTACTATGAAAAGCGGGCTAAGAAAATACGGCTCTTTGCTTATGTGTAAATGAGCATTCTCGAAGACAGAGAACAATAAATTAGCCTCATTTTGTAAAATGGCGCCGTCAAGTTTCTGCTTAGCGAACGGCATTTTAACTGAATCAAGGCCTGCTGGCGGAAAACCTGAGGATATTTAGTGTAATCTTTGGTGAACCTTATGCTCAAAATCCTTGAGAATCGATTGAGGCCCAAGCGTTTACTGCCAGAATCGACAGGAAAATAATAGAAAGCTCTTCTGACCCTGAACTCAACATGCGATATTCTTTAGTTGAGTTTAATTCGTAGCTCTCTTGGTGCAAATGCATAAACTTCTTAATATCCCAAGTATGATCCATTTTGTTGGCTGTTGTTTTTCATACTGGCCAGGATGAACTGTAAGAGCTTAAAAATGATGTCAAAAATTGGCATTTTCATGCCATATCTTCACCGTACAAAAAAAATATCTACCCATTGATTTGACTGAGACCATGAATTTCGTTTGAGCTGTCCCTCATATGCTCTCGATGATTTCTGGCGACGTAGATCGCCAAGATTACAATTCATTTTTGTTGGTGACTTTTTTCGACATAATCAAATAATCGAGACCACTTTAAAAATTAAACATCAGTTTGATGTTTAATCACAATAATAAGAGCATTCAACAGCTTATAGAACTGGTGGGATCTTGACTGAGTGCTGACGTCGCCCGTACTTCGTTCGAAAAGTAATAGTCTCATGTGATCAAAAGACAGGTTTATGCAAAATGATACCATATATCAAATGACACTTGTAAGTAAAATCAGTCATCTTCAAGACACCAAAGGAGAGCGTTCTGACAGCTGAAAGTCTTGATGAATATTCACCGAAACTCTGGACAGCTAGGATATCTCTTTTGGAGTGTGAAATCTCAGGTGTTTGTGCTTGGTAAGTTTGGTATTGAAACGGCAGACAAAATATCATTTAAGCATTCTCAACATGTGAACATCAAGCACCAGGAAGTTTTGTTTCTGAGATCTCATATTGGGTTATCGATTTCCTGAAACAACTACCATTTAGATATCTTAAAGCGATGGATGACTGTTTGGTATAAAGTGACTACAACGGTGGATAGTATGAACTGGAACGTGAACTTGGCACGGCTTTGCCCGTGAAAGATCAACAGCGCACTTAAAGGAGATGTGCCGTCAGTAGAATAAAATCGGGGTTTTTTGGAGTGACCATTATCCATTTAGACAACGCGAAAAGCTCTGATCTAATGATCAGATCCAATTTTGGGTTTAATAGGTAAACCAGAATTTATGCATAACTTTTCATCCTAACAGACAGATGTATGGGCTTTTTTATACTTGATTGTTTAAGTAACGACAGAATTGAAATCAATTGATGCTCTATGACGCTTTTTTTTTATTTCAGGAGGGCCAGGTAATTTTCGAGAAACACAGAGGCAGTCTCACTTCAGCTCTGGTCGAGAATCTCAAAAAATTCCTACATTACCGTTTAAGCAAGCCCTACAACGATCGAAAAGTTTGGACTATAAAACGTTTTCGCCTTTTCCCTTTCGTTTTCTTTTCGACTCTGGCCCGACATGCACAACGAATCCCGCTGATCGTAATTCTGATACACATGCATTATCACGTCGGACACCTTGTAAAACATAAATAAACCTTTGAAACAAGATCTCTTCATACCCACTGACTTGCTTATGCCATATGGGACCAGTCCGACGACACGATAGTACGAAGTGATCTTACCAAAATCTCACAACGTCATTTCTGTCATTTGCACTGAGGATCGGACAACCATCACGATCCTTGCCCACATACCATTGGAAACGGCTCAAACACACACTAAACAATAACTCAAGATATAATAACACCTCTTGGTTCAAGCTACAATTATTATTATTTTTAAATATGTGCTTTTCCAAATCAATCGAAAATCTCTAAAAAACAGAACCATTAAGGTTTGCCTAATTATTCCACCAACATCTCCGTCGCAAGCTCTAAACGCCCGGATAATCATCTTCATCATTCAAACGACCATGGTCGAGAAGTCTCATTTAGCGGTTTATATATCATATGACACGAAAGCTCTAGACCAGTATTAACGAGAACTATCAACATATTCTACTTCTCAAGAAGACTCTCCAGGACCTACCGCCCGTTCAAGCTGGTCAGATAACTCCCAAATAGCGTGGATCGTGTTCACACACTAAGAAAATGGATAGTAGGGCTGCCCCGGAGATTCCAGGTATCAGGCTTCCGGCCAATGTGATGCAAGACATCCGCATGCTGGTGTGCAAGCTGCTGAACAGTCCTAAACCAACCAAGACATTTCCTGGTGCACAGCCAGTGAGTTTCCACCATTCTGATATAGAGGAAAAACTGCTGGCGCAGGATTACTACGTTTGCGAAAAAACAGATGGTCTAAGAGGTCTGATGCTAGTGATAATAAACCCAGTAACCAAAGAGCAGGGTTGCTTCATTATCGACCGTGAAAATAACTATTTCCAAGTGTCGGGTTTCCGGTTTCCACGTTTGCCTAAACAGTCTCGCAAAGAGCTTCTCGAGACGTTCCAGGATGGTACGCTGATCGACGGAGAACTAGTGCTGCAGACCAACCCTGTGACTAAACTAAAGGAGCTGCGATACCTCATGTTCGATTGTCTGGCCATCAATGGCCGCTGTATAGCTCAGTCGCCAACCAGCTCGCGACTGGCACATTTGGGCAAAGAATTCTTCAAGCCTTACTACGATCTGCGCTCATTGTTCCCTGCACAGTGTGCCACTTTTCCTTTCAAAATCTCCATGAAAGTTATGAATTTCAGCACTGACCTTGTCAAGGTCGCCAAATCGCTCGATAAACTTCCACACGTCTCTGACGGTCTCATTTTCACACCTGTCAACGCACCTTACAACATAGGCGGGAAGGATTCGCTATTGCTGAAATGGAAGCCCGAAGAAGAGAACTCTGTTGATTTCAAAATGCTTCTTGAGATTCCGATGGCCGAGGATGCTTCATTGCCCAAAAATGATCCCAATCGGTTTTACCACAATTACGATGTCAAACCGTCATTTCATCTATACACATGGCAGGGAGGAGCAGACGTCAACGCAAGGCTAGAAAACTTTGATCAACCGTTTTCTAAGAAGGAACTTGATCTCCTTGACCGAACGTATAAGAAGTTCGCAGAGTTGGAGATCAGTAATGAAAAGTGGCAAGAGTTAAAGGCGTTCGACGAACCTCTAAACGGTAGGATCGTAGAATGCACGAAGGACCAAGAAACCGGCGTTTGGCATATGTTGCGTTTCAGAGATGATAAACTGAACGGCAATCACGTCTCTGTCGTCAAGAAGGTTTTGGAAAGTATTAGCGACTCGGTTAAAATAGAGGATCTGGAAGAAGCCACCAAACAAATGCGGGAGAATTGGCAGTTGCGACATTCAGACCGAAAGCGCGGCTATCAAGAAGCTAACTGTCCGCCCCCGCCAGCGGAGGCGGAACCTCAAGCTGTCAATGGCGATCAGGGCTTCAACCAACCCAACTATGTTGATGATGACGACGATGATGACATGCTGTGGTCTGGGAATGATGAGGACTCCGAGCCTGAGACAAAGAAACCAAAGCTGTGAAGCGCACAGTTGAAGAGGTTGCTTAACATGTGAATATTCACAGGTGAGTCTTTATGATATATATATACAGGTCTTAATGCTCATGAAAAATGTAAAACTAGACTTCTCAAAAGTTCCTTGGGGTTACCGTTGCCACTCAAAAAGTATTTCTCGTCGACAAGCTGCTCGATGTTTTGCCCCTCGGTGTCCTTTGACAAAACGATTTCGGACTTGATGTAAAAGTCGATTAGGTTTCTAACCTCAGCCTTAGTTAGCTTTTCCACAGGGAACTCTTGTAAGCCTCCCTTTATCAACATGGTCGATAGCTCATGGTCATAATGCTTCTTGCTGACATACGGATCGTGCGGTAGTTTTTGTAATCCAACTGGCAAGGTTTTGTTAGTGTCATCAGAGCCAGAAGTAGCCATAATCACGCAGCTTGACTTGTTGGCGAACGAAATGTTGCCACTAACAATGTCCATTACAGTTTTTCCCAGTTGTAACTCCAAAACGTGAATGTTTTTATTATCCGTGCTCTTGTAGGCGGTCTCGGGCTCACTTAGAATACGAGAGAAGTTGTCGACACAGAAAAATACTGGAAGTTTATCTTGATGAGAGATTTCCGTGATGAATGCACGGAAAACCTCCCCACGGTTGCGAGGTGTGGTCTTGACCGATAGAAGGTCAAGGAGAGTGCTTTGCGTAGCGTTCAACTGAATAAATTTCTTACTAGCAGCGTCTTTGGGGTCTGCGTTAGCGAATTTGTAACTGTTTTTTAGAGAGACCGATGATAACAGGCTGCGATCGTTAGCTTTCAGTATTTTTGTAAGCAGACGCTTGAGATACATGGGTTGCACGTAAGAAGAACCATCATGGAAGAAATCGTTTGTACCATTTAGAAACAGCTCTGGATGTGATATGTTGATGGTCAAAGCTTTGGAATCGCATGCAAGAGCATGAACTTGCGCTAATAGGGTACTTTTACCCACACCTGGTTCCCCCGTTAGAACGTATTTCGCGGTGCCTGGCGAGTTTTTCAACAGATCAAAAAGACCCATGGTTGTGCTACGCCTGATGAGGCTAACAGGACACGGGAAAAGTTCGTTGAATTGATTCTGTTTGAACGAGCCATTGGTATAGAGACTCTTGTACTGAGCATTGGAAAAAGCGACGACCTGATCGAGATTCTTCGATATATCTAATGGTTTGAAAACCTCAGTTTCCGCAGGAATGGCGTTTTTGTTGAAGTTTGCGGTCGCTACGGTTTGCTGCCATGGTTTGTAAAGCGACCCTGCGCTTACCTTCTTAGCAGTTGTTTTCCCGGTTACAACTTTCTTGGCAAATCCTTGGGCCTTACCTCGAGCTGGTGCGGCAAACCTGGCACAGCTAGTACTGAGGCTTCTAACGCCAATACGCAACATAATTAGGCTAGATTGAGCGCCGTTCCGAGCAGTTACAATGGATTTAAATGCTAGCGTTGTCAACTGGCTGCCCATCGATTTTTGTCAGTCGCTAGTACTTTAGAAAATTTTACGAATTATATCACTTTCTACTATTCTGACATCATATAAACATTGAGACTTGACTAACGGCTTGAACCGTAAGACTACGTGCTAGCCATTAGTAGAGTAACCGCTGCATGTACTTTTATTTCACAAGCTTATACAAGTGTTCTATTTTGGGATAGGTCTGTTCTCACATATTTGAACTGACGTTATGTTTTTGAAATACAAATTATGTTTAGGGTCGCAAACAGCTCCAGTGACGTGTCGATCATCCTTCCTCGGCAGACATGTAGCATCAGTGCATCTAATTGTACGTGGTTTGTGTGGCGATTTGTGTTGTTTTAGGAACTGAGAACAGGATGTGAGTCTTTCAAATCATCAGCATATTACGACAATGTGGTAAAAAGTGATAAGTAATAAGAGATGTGTCTGGGAACAGTCACCGACAGCGAATGAAAGATGCACTGTACCACTGTTTTAAAGGCCAGCCAGTATATGAGTTCTGCCATACTTATTCGTTAGTCAGCTCGATCCCCTCAAATAGTTTTTTTTCTTGACCGTCATCGGTAGGGCGCACAGATTGATGATTCGAAGGTAAGTAAAATGAAACAAGTTAGATCGTTCAAAATTTGTAGAGAAACAAACACACCGAGCTGCCCTATATCGCGAGCGTCTTTTGAATTCGCTGAATTGGTTCATTGGAAAAATAACAGAACTTCAAATTTGATTTTTATTGCCGTAATTTCTCGCTTCTTCGTTACTTTGGACAGCTCATTTTATTCGAGTTCATACTTTTTGAATACGAGCTTTGACCAGCTTACAGCAGGGGCCTCGAGAGTCTATGATATCTTTACCTAAAGAATTAAACTATTCTACAATGGGTGTACTTTCGGGAAGACCGGAATCAGGCTCAGGCAACTCTACGCTCGCTTTACTGCCCTTCTCAGTCTTCTCGGCGTCTCCAGTGATTCCCCTGGCGGTGAGAAAATCAAAAACACTTCTCCGCACACCATCAGTGTTTTTTGTTTCTGTAGTGGGCTGCTCTGCGGTCTGCTCAGTGGCACCTTGGGCACCGGTGACTTGGTTGAAATTGTCAATGTAACTGAAGAATGCATTAAACACGTTCTCCCCAACTTCTTCCTCGTAGATTTTGTTGTAAATGTACTTCATCTTGAAGGCATCCATCTTTTCCTGGTAGTTGCTGAATTCAATAGCATTGTAACCAAACTCTTGCAATCTTTTGTTGTAACCCTCGTAAACAGGACATTCTAGCAACAATCCCAGGGCAGGAGCCTTTGGGATGTTGATTCGTTGAGGCTTGTATGCGTCAAGAATGCGGTCTGTTGGACAACAACATCTGGTGACGAGAGTCGCCATCGAAATCATTTTACGAATCTGATGAAGCATGAAGGACTGACCATGAATCTTGATAGAAACCCACTCCGTGTCCTTTTCTCCGATGACAAAAGGATCTGAGACTTTCAATTCCTTCATGAATCTGACGGCGCTCGCATCTTTAAAGTCTTTACCCAAGGTGAAATTGAAAAAGTTGTGAGGACCGACGTACTGCTTCATCGCGTCACGGAAGTATTCTAGCTTGGCGGAGGAGATACGGTAGGCTCTTCTGTGCTTATTTTCAAGCTGCTTATAAGACTTCACCAACTGATACCCTGGGTCGGAGTCGTCAAACTCGTCTCTTGGTGGAGCGACATAGTTTTTAATAGTTTCTAATTCCTGCGAGGTAAAAGTGTTCTCGGCCTCTCTAAAGAATTCCGCCCAAAAATCTTTGCTTTCTTGATCCTCGGCAATTACATCAGCCACCTCTATCTTGCTGTCCTCGATATCGTTATAAAGAGCGCTGCCAGGTTTGGGTCCGATCAAAGAGTAGGTCGGCAGCAAGTACTCATACCAACGAGAGCTGCACATCTTTCTGCAGTCGAAGGCCTTGTTGACACGTTCGATGTCCCAGATACGAATACCGTCTGGCAGCTTGGAGTTGATCTTGGAGATAATATCGGGATCTTCTATGATAAGTTTCAGAGAAATGACATTGCCTCCTGCGTGTACGCCTTTGTCGGTTCTGGCTGCCCTCATAAAACCGCTTTTTTTCAGATCTGTGGAATTGGCGTGGGAAATGGCCCCTGCCTCAACAAATGCTTTGAATAACTCTGCTTCAATTGTGGGTGTTGGAGGATTGTATTGCATACCGTGGTAGCCGGTTCCACAGTACCCGAGCATAACGGCCACTTTCCGTTTTGGTAGCCTTTTTTCTTTCGTAGCAGAGTCGCCAGCGTCTGTAGCGCCTGTTGCGTTTACAGCGTCTCTAGTAGTGGACGAACGTCTATCTATTTTACTGCAATATATTGTTAGTGTGTGAGCCGAATTTTGTCATTTAAAGTCGTCGAGCGACATCCCATAACATACGTACGGTTTTTTATTTGTACTGTTTGCATCAGCTTTTGAATCGTCATAATCGGCCTTGCGAGCTTTGGTCCACTTGTACTGATTACCTCTTTTATAAGTGTCCTCACCAGGTTGATCATCTTCGTAGGCAGGTCTCAAGTTTTCGTTCTCAGACATTTCTAATAAAACAAACAAGAAAGGTGTATCTTTTGGAGTCCTGTCGGTCACCAACAGCTATGTTTTGTCTTATTTGAGATGAGAGATGAGCTATGAACGATGAGCATCACCATTTTTTTCAGTTGGGTTAATTTAGAGTGGAAAATCTGCCAAAAACGAAAATAAAGCGAATCGAAGACAAGAACGACAGAAAGAATAGCGATAATTTGCCAGTTGGGGTGTGGTAAGATAAGAGGATTATATTGGTGTGGTAAGATAAGAGGATTATATTGGTGTTGCAATGTTTGAAATTCGGGCAGAAAAGTAGTCCTTTAATTTGACACCTCGCGAATATTTTTTTATTTTATTTATCTTCGAACCAGCTCGTGTTTTATGTAGTAAAAAGGACTATGCCTCGACGAAGCATTTCTTGTGTCCTTCTTAAATATTATTTGATCGTCGCAATCCGTACTTATTCGTTATCCCGTGCAGTAGCTTGTGAAGCGGTTTCCATAAATGAAATGTGACAAGTTATTAAAAAGTGACCATTTTAAAATGACACTGACATTTTTGTCGATCAAACGAAATAAACCGATGACAGCAGCAAGCTTTTGGTTGTTGTGACAAGCTGGCATTTATTCATCGCGTCTGGAGCTAACGAGTTCGATTTATTCCTTTATAGTTTTGGGGCACGAAGCATCGGATACTTCTTTCATGACTTTCAATCGAGTTTGGCATCGCCCAATTAATATGACTCGCGCCATTTTTCCTCTGTGACGGCACTACCTCAACTTGGATTAAGAGTACCAAATAAGCCCGTTAATCGATGCTCCTCAACGACCTACCTCCAGAGCAAAGTATTTCCTAGAGGACAAAAAAGACGTTCAAAATAATCGAAACAATCACGCAAAAAAAGCCAGAAATTAACTGAATTTTACTCAACTATCCATAATAATCCAAGTGGGAGGCTCTGTCGCTGAGTGCTCCACACACTTGAGCTTCAGGCCCTGTTCGATATTTTGACATTATGTATTTATCACATATAACGATGCGTAAAATTTTTCCAGCGCCTTAACCTGGTAATGCGATGAGCTCCATGCTTTTAAAGATGCGATGAGCTCGATGTCCATCTCAGTTCCATAGCACATAGACCATTTTAGAGACTCTAGCGCACCGATCAAGATGCGTCAATTAACAGAGGACGAAACTCGTGTTGTTTTTGAAAAATTGGCTGGCTATATCGGCAGAAATATCAAACTTCTCGTGGACAATAAGACTCAACCATTTGTCTTCAGACTCCAGAAAGACAGAGTGTATTATGTTCCTGAACACATTGCTAAACTGGCCACGTCAGTTGCCAGACCAAATTTGATGTCTGTGGGTCTCTGTTTAGGTAAATTCACCAAAACTGGTAAATTCAGACTTCATATCACCGCTCTCACAGTGCTGGCAGAACATGCCAAATACAAGATATGGATCAAGCCAAACGGAGAAATGCCATTTTTGTACGGAAACCACGTTTTGAAGGCCCATGTCGGCAAAATGTCAGAAGATATTCCTGAACACGCCGGTGTAATAGTATTTTCCATGCACGATGTACCGCTAGGATTTGGTGTAAGCTCCAAGAGCACTTCCGAATCGAGAAACTTGCAGCCCACCGGTATCGTTGCGTTCAGACAAGCAGACATTGGGGAATACCTCAGAGATGAAGACACACTTTTCACCTAAGTGGGTGCTCTCAACGCGCCCGTGTGTCAATAGAACTGGCTCAGCTGGTATATGTAACATAGAAAATTCAAAATATTAGAAATACGTTGACTTTACACATTAGCTCGTCACGAGTTAGATCATAGTCTCGTCATTGAGATGCAGTTCATTTGCCTTTCTTGGCCTTGGACTTCTTGGAAATATCTAGGCTTTGATCTCCTTTGCGGCTCACACCGCCACCTTGGGTCTGTTTGGCGGTCACTTTCTTGTTGGGTTTGAAGTCTGAACGATCCTTGGTAGGCAGCCACCTCTCAGGGTTGGGCTGTTTTGCCGGATCGTAATTTTTTGGCAGTTTCCGATTCTTGTGAACTCTTCTTTTCTTAAGAACTTTGCCAAGGGCTCTGTTGCCTTTGTGCTTACCAGTGCCTTCAAAAGGAGAGATTCCTTGTTCCTTTGTGTGGTCTACGTCAATAGAATTGATGAGGGAGTCCAAGTCTTCGCTTATGCGAATGTGCTCTTCCGCACCAGGACTAATAAGAGACAAATCCGGACACAGTCGTTGCAGTGTACTGAAGATATTATTTGACTTGTCAGAGGATGACCGTGCCAACAACTTAAACGCCACAAACCTCCAGAATTGAGGGTCTTCTTCCACATTTTCGTCACTCACCGAATCATAAATCTTATCGAGCAAAATGCTTGCAGAGTTTGCTCTGCCACTTTTTTGATAGAGCTCGAACAAAACGTAGCAGACAATCCGGTATGAGGCTCCGACACCTGCAGAGCACTTGTTTAAAAATGTTTCGCATAGCAGAACCGCCCGTTCGTACTGTTTTTCGGCAACCTGTAGTTGAACGGCCAGCAGCATAAGGCCTACTACACTGCCGTCGACACCACATGAGATGGCGGACATTGCGAAGTGATACATCTTTTTGGCTTGGGTGTAATAAGGTTCCAAGACGACGTTATCCACCACTTTCTGGTATTTGGCCAGGGTTTTGGAGAGTATGGATTTCTTGGCTTGGATGCTGGAGTTGCTGAAAAGATTCAGAAATAGCAAATTGCCGACTACGCGCTGCTGTTGTTCAAGGCCCAGAGTACCGACGATGCCGCTCAATTCCCGGACGTTCATCTCACGCAATAATAAGGGGATGTTCGAAGTGTACTTGGAAATATCTTGCAGCGATTTAAGGTTGTTGAAGGCCAGCAAGTAGTTGACGGAGCCAGTCTTGTTTTTCTCCAGTAAAGCATTAAGGATCGCTTTTGACTTTTGCAACTCGCCTATTCTATGCAAGACGTAAGCTTTTTGAAGTTCGATAGCGAATATGTCATCGGCTAAGCCATCTTGGGCTGTCATTGCAGATGCTTTTTCGAGATGCTCAAGACTCAATTGTGGCAGATCCTGAGCAAGAGCGATCAGGGATTCGTTGAAAAGCAAGTCATACGAGTCTTCGTGGAGCGCCGTGTAGGTTTTGGTCTCTTTGACAAGGCTAGAAGACGCCATGGCTGCTCGTTCGTTACAGGCCAACTCGGTCTCGTTGTCAAGCTGGTGTTCGTTGTTCTGGGCCAAGACCCTATAAATCTCCATTGCCTCGTCGTATTTCCCGTTCTTGAAGCAGAATTGAGCACGGACATGCAGAAGTCCTCTGTTCTGTGGGTTTTTTTCGTGCACAGCACTTTTGACCTCCTGGTACAGTTTCTCGAATTCTTTGGCATAGCCAAGTTTATAAAGCACATATAGTCTCTCCAGATAAAATTCATCACTCAATTCTGCACTATATTGGGTTAAAAGGTCCCACGATTGTTTGTACTGGTCGCTTTTTACCAATGCAATGAGCCAATGTCTCAAAACCGCTTTTCTGTCCTCTACACCTCCATCAATCAATCTTTTGCATGTTTTGGCCACTTCCGCATGTTTATTGTTGCTGTAGAGCACATTCAAGTCTGAAAACAACGATGTTAGATCTTTCATTGTCAGTTCGACCACAGATCGGAGTGTAAACGTGCTTATAAGTCCTGTCCTTTGACGTCAAGATGTCTTTTGAGTTGGTAGAATCGTTAAATTTGAAAATTTTTGGTTATTTAAAAAGTTCACAGTTTTAACGCTATGGAAGACATAGCTTGACAGGCGATGAGCTACAATTCTGACAAATATTTAAGGTGATATGGATAGCTTAAAGTACCGATCAAATGCTGTATTAATTTGCCGAGTATTTAGTCAAGCTATCAGAAACTATTCTCAGAAATCGGGCAAAAAGGACTTGACCAAAGGGTTTGTCAGACATAAACTGAAAAATGATCTTGTGGGGACCAAAAAACATGTTAAGACGGGCAAGAGCTCTTCAGATAACAATGAGGTGTTCCACTATGGTAGTTTTGGAGGGCTCAAGGAAATAGATCCTTCTGAAAATCAGAAAACAATAGGAGCTCTGAAAAAAATCACTGAATTCGAACAACTGAAGATCTTACCAGAGGTACGAAGTGCATTGCAACAAGTTATCGCAGACGAATCCATTGCCGTACGAAAATCAAAAAGCGAACCTTTGGATGTAAGGCCTTCCCCAATTCAGGTTGCTGTCGCCCAGAGACTGTCCCGGACACTAATGGACAAACAGCTTCAGATCACTACAATAGCAGCAGAAACGGGCTCGGGAAAAACCATGGCGTACTTGGTGCCTCTATTCGATTACCTCAAGCGCGTCGAGCAGGAAACGCCTGAAAACTGGGATCTCATCAAGGACAAAGCCATCGTCCGATCCGTTATTCTGGTACCCACGCACGAGCTCGTCGAGCAGGTTTACAGGACCGTAAGTCGCAGTGCTGAAAAACTGGGACTCAACGCATTTCGCTGGAATATGAACACATCTTACAGTGACTTTATAGACGCTGTCAAAAACCGCATAGATGTCATGGTCACGACGCCGGGGAAAATTCTGAACATGTTCAAAGTTCGGATCATCAATAGGCCCGATCGACTACTGTCGGGGGTCAAATTTGCAGTATTAGACGAAGCCGACACGCTAATGGATAGATCGTGGCTCGAAGAAACCCACTGCGCAATCCAGACGTTCCCAAACGTAAATCACTTAATGTTTTGCTCCGCTACGATTCCGAACGAATTCAGCAAGACCATGGAACGGCTCTTCCCAACTCGCAAGTCAATAACAACCCCCAAGCTGCACAAAATATCGCAAAAAATTGATTTCAAACTGGTCGACGCAAGTCTCAACCCTTACAAGGGTTCCAAAATGAAGGTATTGGCTCAGATTCTTTATGCGATTATGAAGGACGGTACGGAAGAAGGGTTCGAAAAGCGATGCGTAGTTTTCGTTAACGAGAAAAAGGACGCCAAGAAAGTGGAAGAACAATTGAGCGCCAAATATGGCCACGATTGCGTTAGCTTGACGGGTGAAGACACCGTGGAAGAACGGCTGGAAAAGATAGAAGTTTTTGTGAGACCTGCGAGGCCTCTAGAGTCTCTCGAGCCTAAGACGACACTTGCAGAGCCCTCTAACGAAAAGGAAGTGTTTTTGCCCAACTCGAACATAAGAATGAATAACACGAAACCAGCCTCTAGTAGCCCTAGGAAGGTTTCTCTCAAAATTTTGGTGACAACTGATCTCATGGCAAGAGGATTAAACTTTCATGGCATTAGAAACATTATCCTTTACGACGTGCCCAAAACATCGATTGATTTAGTCCATAGGGCAGGAAGGACCGGCAGAATGATGCAAGGCGGTAGGGTCTTTATGATCACGGACAAAAAAACCAAATCTTGGGCGAAGGCGATACCGAAAATCGTTAGGAATAATAAAGCTTTATCATAACTCTTTGTAAATAATGATAGCTCCGTAATGCAGTGATGAGAAACTCACCAAAATGGACGATTTTTCTCAATCCAAGGATGGTTTTTCACGTCCTTCAGAGGTATTCTAGAATTTGGCTCGTACGCCAGTAAGCGGCTAATAAGATCTCGAGCTGGCACTGAAACATGATCGGGGAACAACAAGTCTCGTTTCAAGATGCGCCGGTAAGTGAGCTCCTTGGAACTCTCTTCAAATGGGGGATTGCCAACCAAGAGTTCAAACGCCAAGACACCCAGAGCCCAGACGTCAGCTCTATTGTCGTACTCTCGCCATTTAATCAGTTCTGGAGACAAATAATCCATCGTACCGCAGAGTGTTTTCCTTTTAGCACTACCCACGTTGGTGACGCTCCATCCGAAATCTGTGAGTTTGAGGGTATTTTGGAACCCAAGCAAAACATTCTCTGGTTTGATATCTCTGTGTAGAATGTGTCGACTATGCATGTAATCGAGAGCATCTGCCATCTGAGATACAAAGTGAGAGGCCACAATATCGTTGAAGGGGCCGTGGGACCTCAAGTGCTTGTATAGCTCACCATTAACAGGATATTCCATCAGCAGATACACGCGTTTATCGTCGTGGAAGTAGCCGTACAGTTTGGTGAGATTGGGATGTTTAAGCGCTGCTTGTATCTCGACTTCCCTTCTAAATTGTTTTTGAACATTGTACTGAACTATCTCGCTTTTCTTCATGGCCTTCAATGCACAAATAAACCCTGTTGCTTTGTGCTTGACGCAGAAAACTTTACCGAATTTCCCTTTGCCCAGCTTTTTCCCTACTTCGAAGTCGTCCAGCGACAGTTCTTGGTATCTTGACGCAAAATTTCCGGCTGCGCCATTGGGTGCACTGTTGAACTCCTTTTTGGGTGATATCTGTGCAGTGTTGAGCTTGGATCTAGTGAGAGGTGATATTTTCACATTGGCTGTCGCATCTCTCGGTCGATGACCGAGTCCCGTTCCTACCAATGCTGCCGTCGTTTTTGTCTCGTGCGAGAGAGACATGCGCCACGGTTTCCGAGCCAAATTGGGACCAGATGATGTTCTTGCAGAGTTTCCAAAGCTTTTTCGGCCAGGACCATTATTCAATCGCATGCTCAGAAGCAAGTTCCGCTGATGAAGTGAATTGCGACGCAGTTCTGGTACCGTAGTCACATTTTCACCCATCTTGCACAAACAATATTAGTAAGATTTGCAATACTGAGTTCAAATGCAAGCCTGATCCAAGAAGAACGCCGTCTCTGGGGCCGATCTTACACCTTCTTGTCACAATAGTTCCTCGATCCAAGATTCTTGGCTTGAGATGAATGTTGTATATATCACTATGTACTAAATCTCTCGAAATCAAAACAATGAAATTGTTAACAATCGCTATTGACGAGAAAGTAAGCTCATCACATGTGTGTCAGCGTCACTGTTATGTGAGAGAGAGAAGGCCTGAGAATGACCGGGAAATATCAATGTTAGGTCAATGCTATTTGTTTAGCTTATTGTTGATATTTTGTAAGCTTTATTGCCAGTTTTGGGGTTACGAACAACTATTGCTGGTTAATTGTAATTCGTTTTGGTGGAGAACAGATTATTTCTTTGGGGAATCAAATGCAGTTAGGAGCTGTGAACTACTGTGGTGCGGACTCTCAAAAATTGGGACTTGACTAATGAACGTTGTATCTCACGGTCCAGGTTGTAAGAGTTTTTTGATTTGGTTAAACTTCGTCCTGCTAAAGAATTTTAAGAAGCTGTCATTAACGTATAACGCACTGGTGAAAGACGAATGGCTTTTTTCAAGCTTGGATAGATTGAGCGATGTGCCTGTTTCCTGAAAGATTAGATATTTCGGCAAATCGAAATACTATTTCTATGATTCAATATCAAACTGTCACAGCAAGCGTAATCACCAAATGAATTAATTGCCAACCAAGAGAAAGTTCAATGAGTAACACCCTGTACAATAAACAAAACCCTGGACAGGATTTAATGTCCTTCACATTTTCAAATTACGCACAAGACGAAAACTTGCTGTTCGCTACATGAGCTCACAATCTAAAATCGCGTATCGTGCAATTTTGTCGACTGAAAGCACGTCGACAAAAACTACTCAACGACTCACGGGAATTTTAACAACGGGAAAAAATTCATTGGACCAACATTGAAGACCTCAGATGTCCCTCTGTCTTCTCTCTTCTGTGATAATTTCAAATTTATCACATCTATCGTAAATTACATACAACTCATCTTGAAAAACTACTCGAGCATCGAAGCAAGATATTTGAAGTTCCCCAAAATGGTGTCTCAAGAACTCTCCTCGCTACTTACCTGGGGCTCCGAGAATGGCATTACATACCCTAGCGAAGTACAATTCCTCAAAACACCAGATAGAGGTATTTCTGCCATAGCTACAACTAATTTAGCGCAAGCTGTATTCCAGGTTCCAAAAGACGCTATAATCCACGGGAAGCTGGCCGAAGCATACTTTGGTTGCGAAGTCAACTCCAACACGTTGTTGAAATTACTACTCGCGAAATTGAAGTTCGATTCAAGTCCGACCGTTGTAGATTCAGAAGACTTGAAATCGAAATTCGGGCCATACATTAGCGCTCTTCCCAAAGACGTTTCTTCGCCATTGATATGGAACCCAAAAGAACTTGATCATCTGGGTAACACGAATGTGAGGACTTCAATTACAGCAAAACTGAAATCGATGTTCTTAGAATGGGAAAACGCAGTGCTCCAGCTCGACGACTTGAAGTCAAAAGTGCAAGAAGAGATTACTCATGTCCGCGACGTTTTGGCACAGGGTGAAGAGCAAATATATACGCAAATCACTTCGAAGCCTTTTGATATCGAACGGCAGTTCTCGTGGTGGTCGTTCCCAGCCTTTTTGTGGTCGAGTTTGATATTCTTATCGCGCGCCTTCCCAGAAATAGTGGTTGATGCTAATGTTGATCCGTCAAGAATTGTACTGTTGCCCATAATTGACCTGCTTAATCATAACACCAATTCCAGAGTGGAGTGGAGAAAAAGCGAGGGCTCTTTTTGCGTTGAGATACTTGAGGCTGTTGAAAAGGACTGTGAAATCTTCAATAATTACGGCGGCAAGGGTAATGAGGAGCTTTTATGTGGTTACGGATTTGTTTTGGAAAACAACGTGTGCGATACTGTTGCCTTGAAGATTAAACTGCCGCCCACCGCGTTGCTCCAAGTTGCGGATGAGAAGTCAATCAGACTGCCGACCATCGCGGACTACACCAGGTCGGCCTTTGATCCTCTGACCGCGAAGCCAGACTCGTCGCAGGACGAACCAATTACTTCAAAGTACAAAGATGGCATACTTTATCTGCTGAGTGCTACTAGCAATACGTGTCTGACTTGGTTGCTGGACTTGTTTGCGTTTTTGGAGAAAACTGACGGGGAATGTCTTATGAGCCTCAGACCTCGAATGCAGGGCCTTCAAAGTCTCAGGGCAGCTCTCGAGGCCAAATATCGTACCTACAAAGCCGGAACTACATATTCAAACGATGAAGACTACACCGTGAGTGAGTATAGGGCACATCTTGCTCGGGTCTACAAATCTGGTCAAATCAAAGTTGTGAAAAACTCCATTAGTGAGCTCAAACGCATAGAAAAAGATTGGACGCTGAAACACAAGGACAACACGCTGAGTGTCAACAAGCTGATGCGAATGGATTCGGGCTTCATGGAAACAGAACTCCCCGAATTTTTGCAATTGGATCAAGACTCGGATATCGCTTTGGACTCTTATGACACCCTCATGTGTTTGTGGATTCTTTGCAAATTAGAAAATCAAAGTGCACCCGAGCCGTTGCAATGGGCTGTGACGCAGTATACCGATTTTCTCAAAGCCCGTCAGGGCCAGTCTGTTCAAATTTCTGAGAATATTCAAACACTGCATCAAACATTATTTCCAAAAGACACACGGAAAACAAAGCTCAGAGAGCTCAAAACCGCAGTGGCATTCATCACAGCCAACTGCTACACTAGATACTCGAAAGATGAGCCAATCCTGGTCAAAATGGCCGATTTGTAATGAACCGGTCTCTGATTGGCTATGTGGAATGCTTTCACGTGATCTCAAATTAGCATCGAAAATATGGATATTTGATCGCTCATCTCATCGCATCTACAATGAACTATAAAATCAGACTTGTTAACACCACTATTGGACACTGGGACTTTCGCTTTAGCTCGTAACTATCAGCCGAGTTAGATTCAGCATCAAAAAAGACCCTATGGACTTGTCAAAGGATTTAAGTGACCATCTGGTGACGCTGTCCGTGGTAGCCGCTTATGTGTTGTCCGGAGGTCGGTTGACGGTGGGACTTGCCCTTACCGTGGTTTATGGACTCATCAAATATGACTCCGCTAAGAACAGGAAAGATGTTGTTTCACAGACTCTAGAGAGTGCCCCAAGCCCCAAGAAGAAGAAAACATGCTGCGGTGGAAAAGGCGGCGGATGTTGCTCGTCAAAGTCTGGTGGGAAAAAAGGCGGGTGCTGCGGTGGGAACTGCTCTTCAAAGAAAAAAGCGCGCGAGGAAGAAGCGACTAGCAACGATGTTAAAGACCCTGCGTTTGCTGATGTAGAGGACTTGGCCATGGACTTCACAGACGCGTTTAAACCAGTGAAAAAAACAAAGACGGTACGCAAAATCGTAAGTGCAGCCAAACCAGAGGCTAAAAATGAGCCCAGCTTTTTCAGGAAAGCACTCACAATTTCAAATGAAAAACTCATGAGCTCGCAAATATACATTTTTTACTCGTCGCTACAAGGCGCTGCAGAGAGATCCGCCAAGATAGTGAAAGAAGTTTTATCAGAAGTCAAGGATTTGAAGCATGTGCCCGAAATTTTGAACTTGGACGAACTGAGTGACTTCGACGACTACTTCGTCAACGTGCCGAAGAGTAATGCCCTTTACATCATGGTTTTGCCATCTTACGAGACTGACTCGCCCTTGGACTTTTTCTTACAGTCAATGGATGAAAATGCGAACGATTTCAGGATTGACAAACTCGCTCTGAGAAAGCTCGTCGGTTATTCGGTGCTTGGTATCGGTGACTCGGAATCTTGGCCAGAGAAGTTCTGCTACCAAGCCAAGCAGGCGGACCTCCTGCTAGCAAAGCAAGGTGGAAGAAGAGTTTTCCCCGTGGGAGAAGTCTGCATGAAGTTTGGCGGAGATCCCAGTGTTATGGAATGGGCCAAGCTTTTGGCAGATACTTTGCAAGACGACGAACCCATCCTTTATGAGTACGACGAAAGCTTAGAAACCGAAGAAGCGGAAGAACCAATTGATGATCCTCTCAAAGAGTCACTGGTGGACCTAGAAGATGTTGGGAAATCTTCCGAATTGCAGGACGTTACACAGGTCAAGGAAATGGTTGCCAAAAACAGTCCCACTTACAAGAACTTGACAAAGCAAGGATACACAATTGTTGGGTCTCACTCGGGTGTTAAAATCTGTCGTTGGACCAAAAATGATTTGCGTGGGAGAGGTTCGTGTTACAAACACTCGCTTTTTAATATTGTATCGAGTAGATGCATGGAATTGACTCCTTCTTTGGCATGTTCTTCCAAATGCGTGTTCTGTTGGAGGCACGGTACGAACCCGGTCTCGAAAAACTGGCGCTGGGAGGTGGACGATCCAAACTATATTTTGGAGAATGCACTAAAGGGACATTATGCCAAAATCAAACAAATGAGAGGCGTACCCGGCGTCATTGCCGAAAGATTTGCAAAAGCCTTTGAGGTGCGTCATTGCGCGCTGTCTCTGGTAGGAGAACCTATCATGTATCCTTTCATCAACAAATTTGTCAGTCTGTTACATGAAAAAAAGATTTCAAGCTTTTTGGTTTGCAATGCTCAGCACCCACAGCCTCTCAGAGACTTGGGCAAGGTAACGCAGTTATATGTATCAATTGATGCACCATCAAAAATTGAACTGAAGAAAGTCGACAGGCCTTTATACCGGGACTTCTGGGAAAGAATGTTGGAATGTCTCGAGATTCTGAAAACCTCTCAGTCTCATCAACGGACTGTTTTTAGAATGACGTTGGTCAAAGGTTTCAATATGGGCGAGGTCAACGCGTATGCTGATCTTGTTCAGAGAGGCTTGCCATGTTTTATTGAAGTCAAAGGTGCCACGTTTTGTGGGTCATCGGATGGTAATGGCAACCCATTGACCATGCAGAATATACCCTTCTATGAGGAATGTGCCAATTTTGTCAAAGCTCTTTCAGCAGAACTCCAAAGAAGAGGTCTAGGTTATGACGTTGCGGCGGAGCATGCTCACTCCAACTGTATTCTGATCGCTGACACTAAATTCAAAAAAGATGGCGAGTGGTGGACCCATATCGACTTTGAAAAATTCTTCGAGCTATTGGAATCGGGAAAGCTCTTCAATCATTTGGATTACACTGCCAAAACTCCAGAATGGGCGTTGTTTGGTAACGGAGGCTTCGCGCCTGGAAACACACGGTTTTATAAAAAAAGAGAACTACAGAAACAAGTGACGAGGACAGCAATGCGGTTCAAAGCCAAGTCAAACCTGGGCAAACCGTTGTTGCATGAAAAAAAAAAAGGTTCACCCATTAGCCTTTAATGTTAGAAATGTTTGTATACTATCCGTTGAGATTATTATTCTCTATTAACCTTACCAAAACTTGAAACGCACTGGCCACTTCAAGCTATAGTGTTCTGTTGAGGGCGATTCGCGAGAAATACGTTCTTTCCTTAGGTCAAGTTCTTTCCGGAATACTTCTGATGCGTTAGTGTCGTTGAAGACTCTGAGAAGCTCTTTTTCAACCCGCAAGTACAATTTTTGTGTTGGCAATGGCGCTTGCAAATTATAAGATCTTAAGGAGTTGTTGAGCGTATGGATTTGAGGTTCAGCAATACTCTTATAGCTAGGCTCCCATTTCTTAAACGCGGAGCTTTTCAAAGCATCTATTGACGTTTTGTTGTCAAGCAAGCTGCTGGTCTCAAAGAGTTTCTTGATGTCCATCTCAATGATGAGTTGTTGGTGAAAGCTCTTTGCGAGCTGACACCTTAAATGCGAAATTTCCTTCGTCACTGAGCCTTGCTTATTGATCCAGGGCGGGATTATCTTTTGACGGGCCATGATGTCATTCAAATGATGTTCTGTGGAGTCCACATAAGGATTTGGTGGCACAATGGGCAGTTTATGGCCATGTAGTTGTGTAGTAGACTTAAATTCACCTCTCTTCATGCTCTCTTCGATCCTGACGTCTGCAAGGGACCGAAGTTTTTCGAATGACCCGACCGGCGTGAACTTTTCAGCATACAACGTGCGAAATTCAGACGCTTCCTTGTCGTCATAGTCCTTATAATTCTTATCATTCTTTTCGTTTTTGTAGTCGATAATGCGGTCCTGAGCTTTTTCCAGACGCTCTCTAACTCTCATATTTTTAGGAACCACGCCCCTGAGTTCTTTTACAGTGTTGGTGGTAGATTTAAACGCCAAGTTTTCCAAGCTTTTACTAGTAACGCTGTTCCTGTTTTTAAGCGTGCCCGCTGACGTTCTAAGCAAAGTGTCAGTATAATGTTCATCGCCTGTCCACGGTTTCGACAGCGCCGTTTCTCGAATTTCTTTGCTCAAATGATCACTTAGCTTAACAGCCTCTATGTGCCTTCGAAACTGATGTTCAAACGTCTTCTGCGGCAAATTCTTGGCCAACTCATCGAGTTCTTCGCTCCTGGTGAGCTTTATCAATGGATCTTCTTTGTCGATCGAGTTTTCCTCCTCCAGTTGCTCCAAGCGTCTCCTAAAATAGCCATCGTCTGCCTTGAGACTTTTAGCACACGAGAATGCCCTTATAAAGTGTTTTTCGAGCACAATATGCTGTAACATTGCTAGAAATACGAAGTTTAGATCTGTTAGCTTGTAGATGAATAAATGAACATATTATTATGCTAACTTACCTACATAAAACTTAAAAACTCGGTTTACAAACTAGCATAAACCGCCAATAGAGAACCCATTGGAATGTCTGGTATGGCTCAAAGTGATCACAGAGAAATTAGGAAACTACGCATAGCATTTGTACATCCAGATTTGGGCATTGGAGGCGCAGAAAGACTGGTTGTTGATGCTGCTCTGGGATTACAAGAAAAGGGTCATGATGTTGTGATCTACACCAGTCATTGCGACAAGAGTCACTGTTTCGAAGAGGTGAAAAGTGGTTTGTTGAATGTTGAGGTTATGGGCGATTTTCTCCCCACAAATCTCGGTGGTAAACTGTTTATTTTGTTTGCCAATTTGCGTCAGATCTACCTGACTGGGAAACTAGCAGCGACTGCAAAAGTTTGGAGCCATGACCTGTACATCGTAGATCAGCTATCTACGTGTGTGCCGGTCTTGTCACTGTTGAGCCAGTCCAGTAGAGTTCTATTCTATTGCCATTTTCCCGACCAACTGCTGGCGCGACGCACCAGTCTGCTGAAAAAAGTCTATAGAGTTCCGTTTGACCTGCTGGAACAGCTCACCATGAATGCGGCGGATTGCATCGTTGTGAACTCGGAGTTTACAAAATCGGTTTTCGCCAAAACTTTCAAGCTGGCATCGAGAAAACCAAACGTCGTTCACCCATGCGTGGGGCTGGAGAACGGCGAAGCTCTCGCAACGGACCTCACGCGCTATAAATCCATTCTTTCAGATAAGACAAGGTTTTATCTTAGTGTCAATCGTTACGAGCGCAAAAAGAACATCGAGCTAGCTATCGAATCTTTCGCGTTGGCATCAGAAAGTAAAAATACGGAAACCAAGCTAGTCATTGCAGGTGGCTACGACGAAAGAGTGGTGGAAAACAAGGAATATCTTCTTGAGCTTCGAGCTCTGACGAAAAAATTGCAACTTGAATCCGTCACCATCCACTACCCGCAATGGGAAGAGCGCTCAGATTCATCCATGAAAGCCACATCTAGGGCCAAAATCATATTTCTGACCTCCATATCTACTTCATTGAAGGATTTACTCTTACAAAAAGCCGAAATGTTGCTGTACACGCCCTCCTACGAGCATTTCGGAATTGTGCCTTTAGAAGCTATGAAATTGGGCAAGCCTGTGCTCGCGGTCAATAACGGTGGCCCCTTAGAGACTGTGGTGACGTTATCTCCCAAATCAAATGAGGCCCAATCCACTGGCTGGCTAAGACAATGCGATCCCAGCGAATGGGCTGCTGCTATAGAAGAATCCGTTCCCTATTTGAAAGAGAGACCCACGATTTTTGAAAAGAACGGACCTCAGAGAGTCCGGAAATTGTTTTCTCGAGAGGCCATGACCGCGGAGTTTGAGAAGAATATATCAGAACTGTCTTGGGATGACAAAAATCGATCATATGAAAATCTGATATTTCTGTTTCTGCTGTGTCTTTCTTTGATCGCTCCTCTAGCCTATTTTTTGGGCGTGAGTAGCAAGCCATTTCTAATTGCTGTAGCCTGCCTTCTTTTCATCTCAAAAGAGCCCAAGTCAATTGCTTGTGTCGCAGCTGCCGTTCTGGTAACCATCATCGCCTTTCGAGAGTAGAGAGTTGGGGTTTTCTTATAACATTAATATTACATAGTTATTTAGCCAACTGGTTGTTGTTTCCAATTAGCGTTGATCGCTGCCAGGCGTCAAGTTCAAAGGATTGCTATTACTTGGACTATTGGCCATATTCACCGGCGAGCCGATGGCAGAGACATGGCCAGCATTCTGACTTATACCTTGATTTTTCGATCCGTTTTGCATAAGCTTGGTTGCCGTTGCTAAATGATACGCGGCTGCCTCGAATCTTTGCTGCTGAACCTGCTGTTGTCGAAGTCTTTGTTGCTGTTTCTGGATGCCTTGTGGAGTGAGGCCCGATTCAAGTTCGACTTGCGAAAAATTGTGCATTCGCGCATTTTGGGCGTGCTGCTGTTGATATTGTAGAAGACCAGGAGAGGGATTTGGCTGACCTTGTTGATTCATTCCTGAAACATGCTGTTGTGGATGCTGTAATTGTTGGTTGTGCTGTTGTTGTCGCTGTTGCATTTGTTGCATTTGATGCTGTTGTTGTACTTGCTGTTGTTGGTGTTGTTGTACTTGTTGTTGTTGCCGTTGTTGTCGTTGTTGCTGTTGCTGTTGCTGTTGCTGTTGCTGCTGGTGCTGGTGTTGTTGTTGTTGTTGTTGTTGTTGTTGTTGTAACTGCTGCTGCTGCTGCTGCTGATGTTGTTGCTGTTGTTGTTGCTGCTGTTGCTGCTGAGCTAACATTTGAGCCTGCATCATTCTCTGCTGTTGAAGTTTCTGCCTCTGTTGTGGAGTAAGGTTGTTTAAATTCATCTGATTGATAGGTTGAGGTGTGCGAATGCGGAAAGTATAGTCGGTGGTTCTATCCAGGTCGATACAGCCCACACGAGAATGGATAGCGCCATAGCCTGGGGCACTAAAACCTGGCCGGACAGAGAACGACGATGCAAACATTTCTCGCATTCTGAAATATTTGGTTCTTAGCCTTGATGATCCCAAGACGTTTGTCTCTAGCGGCAGCGGGAATGACCGCGAGACACCATTCAAAACCTGTGTTGTTTCTTCTTCGGGTGAGATTTCGACGGGCATGCTATCGCTGGTCTCGGTACCTTGCCCTTGTTGTGACTGCGGTAGCTGTATGCCTGTCTTGGATTTAGGCTTTGAGTTTGTATTAGTTTTTAGCTGATTCTTCTTCTGGTATTGACTCAGCAAGACGTCAAAGGGCTGAGATCTGCCTTCGACGGCTCTTTTGGTTCCCACAGAGTGTGATTTGCAGGTCAAGGAACGGCCACAGTACCCGCCCTCCGCTAGCTCCACACCACACTGTTTGTCGAAATCTATTAGATGTTTTTCTGTTGGATTTCTTTGCTTGATTCGCCTTTTCGCCTTGGATGGTGTCGGTGTTGAAACAGCCTTACGCTGTTTTTTCACGGCCGGGCTGCTTTCAGGCTTGGAATCAGGCTCGAAGGGCGTTGACCTTTTGGAGCCCGACGAATTGCCCTTTTTCCTGTCACCTGCCGTAGACATCTCGTTCGTAACTTCCACGTCTTCCACCTTAATATTGTTGGTTGGCTTTTCGACTTTACTCTGTGATATTCCTTTGCAATGGATCTGTAGATGGTCCACGAGAGCTGAATGGCTCACTGGTTTACCACAACGCTCGCAAACACGATATTCTAGAAGGCACCCCAAAGGGTTATCGAGAATTGATGCTGAATCGTTGAAAAATTGTCCACGGGCGTCCAGTGACTGATTTCTTGCACGATCGTCTTTCACAGTCGCGACCAGCCCTCTCCAATTTGGCGTAGAGCTCGTGTTGCTAAGCTCCAAGCCCTTCTGTATATCCTGACGTAGTCCTTTGATCTCAGAATGGATATCGGTCATACTACGTACCACTGTTCTCTCTTTCGATAAAAGAGCTCAACGCCCACAATTGGTGACAGCTCCAGTTTGTTTCTGAGATAGAGAATTGCACCTGCTAAAGAACCTCCACAACAAGTGTAAGTTCAAATTGCTGACTTTGCCAGAAAACGTACACGAGCTAACAAAACTAGTCCAAGTTCACGGGTGAGTTCGCCAACGTTTGAAAGAGGTCGAACTTTTGTTAGATTTTAAACTTTTGGTAGTTTTCGAAATAAGATAGATGAGATGTCTGAAAGTCGCATTTATTGTATAAACATCAGATACATTGATGTGTATAAAAAAGGCAGGAAAGCAAGGCAATCGGAGGAATTTTAAGGCCACAAGCACCGTGGGCACAGTTTAAACTATACGGGAGTCAGCAGGGCTGAAAACCAGTGAAAGAACGGTCAGATTCTGACGATATTTGACATTTTATTGGTTTGTCACGTGACTTTCTAAGTTGATATTGTCTATAATTGCCAAACAGCAGCGATGGCCGTAGATTACATGCATCCCAGGTCTACGGATTACCTGTGTAGTTGAAGGGAGACGCTTGTCGCAGTTTCCCGCTGTTTGTAAGTCGTTCTCACCCTTCTCCCATGAAAAGACCAACTTCAACGCTTGCGATGAGAAGTTTATTGATGTAGCGTTCTCGCTGTGCTTTCTCAAGATTGTGGTCGGGTTGGGAACAGCAGTAGAGACGAATGAGACAGCCTGGTCAATATTTGTGGAAAATTTCTGTTTCCCATATTTTTTTGACAGATCCCCCGAAAAGCTGGTGATTGTATGCGCGACTGCAGACTGGGCCACATTAAATCATCACCAATGGAGCGACGACGTTAGTTGACGTTATTTCCACGCAAGTTTACATGCTCACTGTGCCTTGATTGAGTCACGTGGTCTGGGCACACATCTCGCAACGGTGACGACGGTTGGCATGTTGGACTTTATTGGGACGATGATAGCCAGCGTTCAGCTCTCCTCTCGCCTGGGTGTGTTCTGACAAGCTTTACGTGAATTTTTTCTATCCTGTGACGGTATAATGGTAATTTCCGGTTCTCCCCACCACCAACACAATTCCACCGGGTCAAAACCTTAAATCTTGGCAACTAAAGGCTCATACAGCGTGGACCGCTTTCAGGAGCCTAGCCACAAGCATCGAGAGCGAGAACCCTGCAATTTTGTGCTGCGCCAAGGACGAAAATAATACCAGCACGGTAAGCTGATACAACAGGATAAACGCATAGAATCTAAGGCCTTTCCTCGTTAAAGGAAATGGACGTTTGAATTTTACCTGCGATGGCGTCTGCTTCGAGATTGTTTCGCGGGCCACGGTCGGAAAGTCCGTCACAAAGCCGGCAATTGGGAGCGCTGCACACTGCTTGAAATCCTGGGCCTTATTTACCGTCCACACGTACGTGTGAACGTTATTCTCGCTCAAATACGGAATTAACTCATTCCTAAAAGCTGAGGTCCATGTGGACACGAAATGAACGCTCACGCCGCTCAGCCGGAAATGTGGGTTTTTGATTTTTCGCGAGAATTCGACAAACCGTTTGGCCATTTCCAGCGACAGCGTGATGGCCACGACCTCGAAGTCCTTTATCACACCTGTATCCATGCCGTACTGGAACCAGTCTACGTCCCACAGGCCCCATATTATGTGTTCTCTCCAGAAGGGCAAGTGTTCTTGAACGCTCAGCATCCCGGCCACGCTTTTGAGCATGATCTCCTGGTCGTTTGTGTACTTGATGTCCAGCATCAATTTAACCTCTGGATGGTCCACCACCCATTTTAAAACGTCAATTAGCGTCAACATCTTCAAGTCCGTATAGCCAGAACTCGTGCAACGCAGAGTTTTCAGCTCGCTCCAATCAGTCTCTCCCACCTTGCACTGTCGATTCCAGCATCGCAGGGTCGATTGATCGTGGCTAATAATTACTACCCCGTCCCGGGACATTTGAAGGTCTGTTCCAATAACATCTACTCCGGCTTCCAATGCCTTTTCGAACGCAACTAAGCTGTTCTCTGGGTACTTCCCTCGATAGCCTCGATTGCCAATGATAATAGGTCTCGACATTTGATCCATCCAGCGCTGTTGAGACTGACTTGTGCTTCGATCAACAGAAGGTGTCAACCCTTTAGATGCTAAGTTTAAGAAAGTTCCTCAAGCGTACATACTATGTGCCATCGTCGAAAGTGTGCCAAAGGCCAAGTCAAGTGACCGGGAGCGATGGGCGATGAGCTTGGGCTCTTTCAGATGGTTCAACTTGGTCTGTTTGACATTGGCATTGGGTTAGCCGAATTTGCCGGACCGCATTGTGGGTATATATATGATTGTTCACTCGGTCAGTTTGGTTGTAAATTCGTTTTGGCTTTGCTCTTGTCGACAATGTAGCTCATCAGCATGTAGGCGACGGATTTGTTGTTAGGTAGGTTCAGACCTGTAGCTTCATCCTGGATGAAGCCAGAGCTTGATTCCTCCTGGCTCAAGATTGATTCGAGCACGGAACACGGAACCCACCGAACCTCGTCCAGTTCGCAGTCGTGGGTGAGATCGGGGATCTGGGCGTCGTCAGCAACGGCCACGCATCCGATCATGAGATTGTTCGGGAAGGGCCATGGCTGGCTCATCAAAATGTCGACTTTGTCGGTGTTGAGACCGGTCTCTTCCCAAATCTCGCGCGCAACGGCCACTTCCAGGGTCTCGCTCGGTTCCAAGAAGCCACTCACGCAGCTGTAAAGCTTGCGTTCCTTATTTCGCGGCGCGCCAGACTTGCATAGCAGGACTTTGGAGTTGTCGCGGTTCGTGATGGCGCTGATAACGACGGCATCGGTTCTGGGGAAGCACACGTTGGAAACGCGGTGGTTGGAGACGCAGTCGCCGTTCGAACACGTTAGTCTCGTGCCAGCATCCGCTGCAATGGTCTTGGACCCGCAGATCGAGCAGAACTTGTGTGTGTCAAGCCATTGCAGGTACATCCTGGCTTGCGACACAATGCTGGATTCCTCGAGCGTGAGACGGTTCAGGTCCTTGAAGGACTCCAGTTTCCGGTACGACTGCAACACCTCTAGTAATTGACTGGCTTCCAGGCCCCCCGTGTTGGACACGTTCAATGCAAAAGTTGGTGTGCCACGGTATCTTGCACTGTAGACGAAGTTGGACTTGGCAGACAGCGACAATCCCAGGAAAACCAAGTTGCGGGCCGAATTTTTGGGTTCAATCACGTCGCCGATTTCCTTGCGGTGCAAACGTGCCATGACGCCGTTGCGTTCGTCTACAAACGGCATGTAGTCATGGAATGGGATGAATACGGTTTCTGCATGTGTCAGGGCTTCTTCCAAGAACTGCGGGTCTTTTCTCAAGAACGAGACCCGATTCAGCACTTCTTGACTGTAGTGCAGCGAATGCGTGATAGGACGAGTGGCTAGCGTACTCATGGGGATGCTTGTGGGCGAAAACTTGTGTATTTGATGAATGTAGATTTTGGATTTGACTTGATCTAGATATTGATATATATATATATGTATATAGCAGCTGTTAAGCAATACCCATTGGCGGAGCGATTAACGTCATTTTCCAGAAAGTACGATGGGAGAACTCGATTCTGGGAAGTTGCAAGGGCGTGGGAATGGTGGTGCCGAACTCAGCGCGACGGAAGCTTACGTTCGAGGCATATTAATGGTCAAAATTCTAATAAATTATTTAAACATAAGTTTGGAGTTGAAATTGCGGCCAAAAATGATGAAGGTATTAAAAATAAGGAGAGAAGTGTTGTAGTAAAGCACGGAAATAGCCTAGGAATGTACTTATGGGATTTCTCTCCTTATTCTGTCATGTCTTTCCGGTGACGCTCTTCTATTTATGTTTTTCTCTTGGACGACTCCATTCAAAAAAACAAAGCATAAAGACACACTAACACTGAAAAGATATTCGTATGCATCGCGTCTAACTTGTCTGCGAGTCAGTAAAACACTACCAAAGCAGTATTACCTCAAAAACCTCTTCGAAAACGCTTCAGAAGCTTGTATTTGGTGACTTTTCGAGTCTCATCACTTTGTTCTATTCTGTCATCAGTTCTTTTAGAAAACACCCACGGACACCGTGCTTACCTTCCCTGAACCATGCGCCTGTATCTGTGGGCTTCTGGGTTCAGTGCCTACAGAATCACCACACATTACCGGTTTCAAATAGGAAATGATCAGATAATTAGCTATACATAAAGTAATCAAAGAAGAAAACCCTTTGGCAATTCCCTAGTTCAGACACTCGGCAGTGTCAAGTAAAGCATTTTGCTCGAGAGGTAATTGCAAACTGAATCATGATGTTTGATTCATTGGCACATAGCTTGGAATAATGTGCTGATTATGTGACGTACGTGGACAAGCATTTCAACACATATTGTTGTAATGAAAAAGTGAGATTTCAATACGTGGTGACGTTACGTGCTAAGGAATTGAAAATTTGAAATCTTAAATTGGCGTGGTTCACTTGACGCTGAAAAACCCACTGGCTGCTATTTCAAGGTGCTTCCATAATCTCTTCTCGTGTGTCTAGCTCTTCGGATGTCGTGGCATTTGAGGACAAGAAGAATTGGGATGCAGCGGATGACATTCGTGAAATAAAAACTGCACTCAGATGATAGAAATCCCAGTTCTCACACACACCATTTGAAGACAACCTGAAAGTTGGCTTTCTCTTTCTCGATCGGTTTCGGACGTCCAGATCGTTGTGTCAGTAAAATATATAGTTATAATGACATATAATATAATAAAATATACATATATAAAATAAAATAGACAAAACTTTAAGAACCCAAGCTGATCAACCGAATCAAGACACTTGCGCTTAGTCGTTTTTCTCAAATCTGCAAAATATAATCTGGTCAAATAGCTGTAGCGCAATTTTGTAGCTTTGTTTTTATACGCGATTGAAGGTCTTGGCTTTTAAAAATACAAAAATGCGCCGTTCAAAGACCCACAGGCAGCTTGAGATCGAGAAAACAAGACCACAAATCACCAGAAGACGATTGGCTCGAGCACAGAACCACCAACCACCCCCATGTAAACATTTTTCCTCAATTCAAAAAAAACTGCCAAATTTCCTGAATTTTCGAGCCTCTTTAAAAACCTAAAAAAAAACCTCCAGCAACTCAAACATAACAATCCACACCAAACAATAAACCCTACCACTCTCTATCAATTATTCGTTCTTTATACTCTCACACTGACGCTGACACTGGCATTCTACAAAGTCCCAACATCACCTCGAACGATTAGCGAAATGGGCTGAATATGCCACAAGCAAGAAAATTTTCAAGGAGTAGACGTTTATCAACAACATCAACTCTCTTCCAAACCAGGGCAAATACTCATTTTCCGCCTGTTTTGGGTTCAGTTTTGCCGAGTTAGCAAGTTCTCTAAGACGTTTGCCTTGTTTTGGGAAAAAAACGGTGTCAAACGCTCTATCCAGGACTATTCTACGACACGTTTTGGTGGTACAAGAACCGGGTTTCATAGGATAAAGTAACTGTTTTTGAGTGACAAATGGACCTCAGAGTTGGAAGAAAGTACCGAATCGGCAGGAAAATCGGCAGTGGGTCGTTCGGGGACATTTACCACGGTACAAACCTGATCAGCGGCGAAGAAGTGGCCATCAAGCTCGAGTCGATACGGTCTCGGCATCCACAACTGGACTATGAGTCGAGGGTGTACAAGTATTTGAGCGGCGGGATCGGGATCCCCTTCATCCGGTGGTTTGGCCGCGAGGGCGAGTACAACGCCATGGTGATCGACCTGCTGGGACCCTCGTTGGAGGACCTGTTCAACTACTGTCACCGCAAGTTCTCGTTTAAGACGGTGATGATGCTGGCGCTGCAGATGATATGTCGCATCCAGTACATCCACGGCCGTTCTTTCATCCACCGTGACATCAAGCCCGACAATTTCCTCATGGGCGTCGGTCGTCGCGGGTCCACCGTGCATGTCATCGATTTCGGGCTCTCCAAAAAATATCGCGATTTTTCCACGCACCACCACATCCCATACCGCGAAAACAAGAACTTGACCGGTACCGCACGTTATGCTTCTGTCAACACGCATCTGGGGATCGAACAATCCCGCAGAGACGATCTCGAGTCTCTGGGGTACGTTCTAATCTATTTTTGCAAAGGTTCCTTGCCCTGGCAGGGACTGAAAGCCACCACGAAACGTCAGAAATACGACCGCATCATGGAGAAGAAGCTATGCATCAGCGTCGAGCAACTGTGCGCCGGCTTACCTGTGGAATTTGTCGAGTACATGCGTTACTGTCGCAACCTGAGATTCGACGAGAGACCAGATTACCTGTATCTGGCGCGTCTATTCAAGGATCTCAGCATCAAGTTGGACTACCACAACGACCATCTCTTCGACTGGACCATGTTAAGATACACCAAGGCAATGATTGAGAAACAACGCGCTTTGGGCCAAGTTCCCATGCCAGAAGAGGGTAAGGACGATGAGTCGAAGCAGGACTCCTTCGACCGTGTAAAGCAACTGGCCATGAGAAAGTTTTCCACGCATTTCCACTACTGCAAGTCTGAAGACAAGCATCATCCATCTCCAGACGAAATCAAGCTACAAACTGCGCAAAATAATCAGGCCGCGCCATCCATTCCGCAGGATCTATTGAGCGCAATCGACAAAGACATGGACCATCTCAAGCAAAACGTTGCCCAGGCTCCGGAAGCCTCGGCACAACAACCACAACAACTGTTGCAACAACAACAACAACAACAACAAGTACAGCAACAAAAACAACTACAACAGCAATCTCAACATCCCCAACATTCTCCGCAGTACCAAAATCAAGCAGACTTTCAAAGCCGGATCCCCGTAGCGGAGCCTCTCTTGCAGACTCAAAAAGATGCGGATTACGACGACTTGAAGCGCACGTTGGACATGCTCAACAACGGCGGGAACACACAACTCGTTCCAACGCGCAAGCCCACCACTCAAACCACCATCACGCAGTATCCGCCTGCTAACAACAAACCTTCGGGCGCCGACATCTGGCTGTAAAAAACAGATGGCAGTGCGCGACAACCTGTCATCCCAACAATTTGCATTTGGCATCATTTTATACTCATTATAATTACACTTGGATAATGGTACAGAATATGAATCGTACACAGCACACTGAACCTGCAGGCCACTGGATCCTAATCCAACCCGAATCTCATCGGTGCTGTTCTCTATCGTCCTACCTGGTCAAAATGGCCGATTATCTCTTATATTATATACCGACGACACACACGTGGGTAGTGATCTATACTAGGGGTCAAATAAATCCAGCTAAATTCAAGAAGTTTAAGGTCAAGAACAACCCTTTCAACTACAAATCAGTGTTCAGTTTGGGCAAGACACGGTACAATCTAGAGCTTGCTAGACTCGATTTAAGGCATTCGTTGTCAACCCTAGGTCTGGGGATTTTCAGCTGACTTTTGGAGTGCAATTCCAACAAGAAACAGTGGTAAAATGGAGCATCAGAACAACGCTTACATGGCAGCCCATGAGTCAAGGTCTGGGTTGGGAGACCGTCAAAGGTCGCTTTTGCCGCAGAGATCGGCTATTTCCAAGGGAAAATACACGTTACACGACTTCCAAATTCTAAGAACTCTAGGAACAGGGTCCTTTGGAAGAGTTCATTTGGTACGCTCAGTGCATAATGGGCGTTATTACGCTATCAAGGTTTTGAAAAAACACCAGGTGATAAAAATGAAGCAAATTGAGCACACCAACGATGAGCGTCGGATGCTGAAGCTGGTGGACCATCCGTTTTTGATTCGCATGTGGGGTACTTTCCAGGACTCGCGCAATTTGTTTATGGTGATGGACTACATCGAGGGCGGTGAGCTTTTCTCGCTTCTCAGAAAATCGCAACGGTTCCCCAATCCAGTGGCCAAGTTCTTCGCCGCAGAAGTTATCCTCGCTTTGGAGTACCTTCACGCTCATGACATCATTTACCGGGACTTGAAGCCTGAAAACATCCTGCTGGACCGCAATGGACACATCAAGATCACAGACTTTGGATTTGCGAAAGAGGTAGATACCGTAACTTGGACTTTGTGCGGTACTCCCGACTATATTGCTCCAGAGGTAATTGCCACCAAACCATACAACAAATCCGTCGACTGGTGGTCCCTGGGCATCCTGATTTTCGAAATGCTGGCCGGTTACACGCCATTCTACGATACAACGCCAATGAAAACTTACGAAAAGATCTTACAGGGGAAAGTCACGTATCCACCTTTCTTCCATCCCGATGTGGTTGATCTATTAATAAGGCTAATCACTTCCGATTTGACTCGTAGACTGGGTAATTTGCAGAGTGGCGCGCAGGACGTGAAATCACATCCTTGGTTCAGTGAAGTCATATGGGAAAAGCTGTTGGCAAAAGATATCGAGACCCCTTACGAACCTCCCATTACAGCTGGCGTGGGCGATTCCTCTCTTTTCGACCAATACCCCGAAGAGCATTTGGACTATGGTTGTCAGGGCGAAGATCCATACGGGCAATACTTTCTTGAGTTTTAAGATTGCAGATCTTCTGCCAGAACGCCGCACAGACGCGATGCCTGGCCTTATATCTACAACGACTACAGATCTCTTTAATATTATAAGTCACGAAGCCTAATGAATTGTGCGTCTTTGTTTGTATGTACATGAGATGAGAGCTGGAATGGAGCAGTTGTGGTCGAAAAGAGTGTTTTTTTTACTCCAATGCGACCTTGGCACCAAGACCCTCCAAGGCGGCCTTGATCTTGTCGGCGTCCTCCTTAGCGACATTTTCCTTCAGCACCTTAGGAGCAGCCTCCACGAACTTCTTAGCTTCCACCAACGATAGTCCCAGTAGGTTTTTCACTTCCTTAATGACCTTTGGCTTGGATTTGGCATCGAACGACTCGAGTTTTATAGAGAAGATGGTCTTTTCTTCTTTGACCTCTTCTTCCTTGGCTTCTTCCACCGCAGCTGGGGCAGCACCACCAGCTGGCACAGCACCAGCAACAGGCATAGCAATGTCAGGAATGTTTAGTTGGGTTTTTAGCTCACTGATCAGCGAACTGGTCTCCAGAAGTGTCAATCTAGAGATATCTTCGACGATTTTGGCGATTTTGGGGTCCACAGGAGCAGAAGTAGAGACAGTGCTGTTCAAACGCACGCATGAAGCTCTGGCCACTGGCAATTGAGCTAGTCTGGCGACGTTTCTTCTAACGCCACGCACCAACATTATTCCGAATTTTTAGACGGTTCTGGAGGGATTTCAAGCGGGAAACTCGGGGAGAGAAGGCGAGCCGAATTTAAAAGGAGTTTATTGAAAGTTCCACAGTGGTTATACCCGGGTTCAACTCGGTTCAATGCCTTGTGGGATCGGTTGCGCTATCGCTGGTAAAGCTCGATTTTGAAGCTATGCAGTTAACCTTTCAATAGGAAAATTTTCAATTTGGAGGTTGTAAATATTCGTTGATGGTGATTATGATGAAGTTTAGATATCACGTGATTTAAGGCATATCATCATAATATACTAAATCATGTGATACCTTTCTTTTCTAGTTGAGGTAAGTAGAGAAACGAGTAGAGGAATGGGTAGATGGCCACCCTTCGAGGCCCCGATGCCTTAGTTTTAATTTGAACTGGACATATTTAAAAAAAGAAGATATGCTACAGCTACAGCTTCCACAAGGACGGCCAAACCTGCAATCAGCACTCGTGCACCAATCTGGCGTGTATTGCTTGGGTATTTCCCAGCGTATCGTGCATTCAGACGTCAGATTAGTAAGAAGTGATAAGTTAAAAATACTACGATATCAGGCTTAAAACTCTTGGAGGACTTCGACACTCATGTCACATACATTGAGACATATTTAGCACACGCACGAGACATTATTTTAGCTCCCGGACACCGTGCTTTCTTCTCCAGAAACTCTCAACGACAAATAAAATCAGGTGATCAAAAAAAAGTCGTTTTTGCCCGTTCTTTGACATTATAAAGTGTTGAGTCAAAGCCAGTCCATTTCAGTAAACTTGAGCCCCAAATCTTAGCGTTAAGTATCAACTAACACTGGTTAATTTCGATGAATAGAGTGATTTATTGGTCACGTGATTTTATATATAGTCCAATTTGTTAAATTTCGAACCTACCTGTGTAAATGTGATAACCATTTGGCTCTCTTTCGAACACTGAGATCTCGCAAAACCTGCGCTTGACGCCCTCAAACCGCAGTTCCCGATCTCCCTCACTCAACACTCGATATATTACAAGTCCACAAGAACCAATCACCGAGTTTCCCCGATCCAAAATGACCACTTTCAGATTTTGTCGAGACTGCAACAATATGCTGTATCCTAGAGAGGATAAGGACAACCAGAGACTTCTGTTCGAATGTCGTACGTGCGCGTATGCAGAAGAAGCAGGGACGCCCATGGTGTATCGTCACGAACTGATCACAAATATTGGTGAAACGGCCGGTGTAGTACAAGATATCGGATCAGATCCAACTCTTCCGCGTTCGGACAGAGAATGCCCGCGGTGCCACTCACATGAAAACGTGTTTTTCCAGTCGCAGCAACGGCGTAGTGACACCTCCATGGTACTTTTCTTCGTGTGCTTAGGATGCTCACACATCTTTACAAGTGACCAGAAAAATAAACGTACAGCGTTCAATTAGACAATTGCAGTTTCATCGAGAAGCTTTCCTTGAAGGAAAATGGCTTGATTGTAGCCTATAAAACATGGTTTCTTAAGTCTAGGGGGGAATATGTACTAGTATATAGCGTACATCTGCGAACACGGAAAACTTTAACATTGCACACTGCATTATAAAACATTTATACTTGTTCATGAGAATGAGTGCCGTTTGTTACATCCCATATTGGGTCCTGATACGGGCCCGTGGTATGCATGTGTGGGTTCGTGAGATGCAAGTTTTGCATGCCGGTGGAAAGATAGCCACCTACTGCAGAATGGTTGTGACGTTGAAGATTTGAGAGCTGGTTTGGAGATTGGATCTGTTCTTCGTAGGTAGCAGTATCGTTTCCAGCCTGAGATGCATTGAATGGAGTAGATGTAGATGACAGAGGAATGCAGTCGCAATGATTTGTGTGGTTTAGTTCACATATGGGTTCGGATGGTGTCAAGTGAAGTTCCTCCATAAAAGTCTTGCTGTCGACAGCCCATTGGTTCAACTCCGGAAGAAGCCCCCCGGTGCCTTGAAGCGTTTGTTTCCCCAGAGCGGATTCTTGCTTCACACGGGGTAACGGCTTCAGAAATAGGTCTGTGAAATCGACCTCTTCGGATGCTCCCATGAAATTGACTGGATCCCAGCTCGGAGCAGAAGACGAGACCGGTTGTGACGAGGCCACATCGTTTTCTACAGGAATTGAAACGCCTGGCTCATTACTTTGATCGTTACCCCCATCCTCTGTCACGGCAGCTCCAGAGTCCCAACCATGCGGCGTGGTATTTCGGCTCAACAGATGGGCGAGTTTTTGATTCTTTCGGGACCCCCGCGATTTATGAGCAGGTTTACTAACAGTTTTATCCACGGTCTTGGTCATGCTGTCAGAGGTTGGCAGAACTATGTCGAAACTCTTAATTTCTTGCGTAAGACCACAGTCGCACGGTATTGCTTGCGGCTCGATAGGCAAATTGAAGCGTGTTCGGCACTCCAGCTCGTCGAACTTGCGCACCGCGTCCCAGTCTTCCTGCTCTCGTAGAACTTCTTTGAATTTCTTGTATTCCTCACTGTCAGCATTGAACTTGAGTGGATGAGAATGGCCATTATTCATGACCACGATATTCCACTTCTTACGTTTCAGTGAATAGGTAGCCCTTACGCGGAACGGGCACGTATTGTACGGCGAGACGCATCTTTTCGTCTTCTTAGAGTTCTGAAGAATCCTCTTGGCCGCCTGCGGACTCTCTGGATTCTCATCGGGTGTGCTTCCGTCCGTCGCCGCAGGTGTACGGAATGTACGCCCACGTTTCGAAGCTTTACACTTGAAGACCACCTTGATTTTGTCGGAGCGCTCTATCACGATTTCTATGCCCTGGGGATAGAAGATCTTCTGCAGCCAGGTCTTGATTTCTTTGCGATCTTTGAAGTCAGGTATGGGGTCCAAATGGATCAGTTTGTTTTGGGCTCGCTGTCTCCTGATTGACTCTAGTGCATTTTCGCTGAGTAGGTTATTGAGACTTGCTGTGTCGCTCCAGGTAGGTGTTCCGTTACTTCCCGCGTTTACCATGTCCTGACAGCTGCTGCTCGCCGTTTGGATCGTAGTGACCGTCCCAACCGTGTCTGCCGTCGAGAGCGGCGACTCTTCCGCTAAGATAGACTCCCAAGACGGCGAAATCGCGGTCTGCTCGCCCGGAAACCTATCCAGCGGTGAAAAGTCCATTACTTCAGCCGCAGACTGTCACTGCCACTGTTCGCACGTAAACGTTATGGTTTTCGAATCTGAAAATTCGCTGAAACTGGGTATCTTGAAGAGGTTCAAATAACAAACTTTAGCGTTAATAATTCGATTCCTAAAGGCTGCTGTCTACCAAGCTGTTGTAACATCGATGAGCCTGTTAACTTGATGCTTTCCGGGTCAGTTAGCATTTTCTGCACCCATTTTTCTTCAATATCGAAAACTGTGGGAAGGTTTCACGGGAAATTTAGACGTCGGTTCGATTCTCGTGGGAAACTGTAAAAATCAATAACAATAGGCTTCTCAACTGGATGCTTGTAGCTAGCGAAACAAGTCAAACCGACAACATTGCAGTTGTTAATGATGGTCAAATAGTATACTTTTGTCTTCCCTTAACTCAATGAGAAGCTATTGTTTCACCGAAGGAAGTCGAAGAAGTGGGTAGCTCGTTTTCAGACGTTTTTGGTAGATTGCAATGGCTTTGTTGGACATGCCGTGGCTGGTTCAGGCGTCCGTGGCTGTTTCGAGCTGAAAACGGGTATGGTGACCCATGAATAGCAGTAGGCGAGAACGCAAGGCGTAGAATTTGCGAATGTCACGAATTCCAAATTGCGCTCTGATATCGGAATATCCGAGAGGAGCCCATCTTGCCGTAGTGTTGTCGAGGCCGAAACAGGCGATGTGCGTCCCGTATAAGTGCGTCTGCTCAACGACAATCTTGGAGTCGTTTTCGAAAAAATCGTAAAAGGCGTCTTCGCGGATGTTGCAGACCAGATCCGCGTTGGAAGCGAAATCGTAGATAAACAGCCTGCGCGACGTGGCGATCAAGAGCAGCAATTTGGTAGACGCGAACTTCAGAGAAACGATTTCCTCGCCTTCTTCAAGGTAGAGGCCACGAACGCCGTCGGGGCTGTTGGGCCAACGCAAACTCCACAAATACAACACTTTGCCGTCGTGCATGGCCACGGTCTCCACCTTATGGTCGACGTCTGCACTCACGCAGCGGAATTGCGATGAAAGCCGCAGGCTCATAGCCGTATTGGAGCCCGTGGACAGCGAGGTGACCGAGATACTGCAATCGAATCTGGAGAAAACCACCATTTTCCGCGACCGTCCCACGCGTCGCGTCCACACGTTGGTTACGGGTTTGAGCAACTGCGTGCTGGACAATTCTACAAGCCCGTTTGCCAGGTTGAAAGTCCCACTGTAGCCCTCCCTGGAACCGAACGCCACGATGTTGCGGTCCACCACGTCCATGGAGATGACGTTGTAGACCACTGGTGATGACAAGTCTGCAAGATTCAGTATGTCTCCCGATTCGTTCATTATAATCACGTCTGCTCCGGTTTCGAACCAAGAACACCAAAAAACACCGTCGCTCCGTTTATTCGTGCGTTTCCCGGTATGAGCCTCGTCTTGAACCTCTTCAATTTGGTGCAGACGCCAGCCTCTTGGGAACGGAACCAAAGTGCTGCAATCATCCGGTCTTGCTGGTTCGAGCTTCGAATTTTCCCCATCATTTTTTGGGCTGCTGCTCTCAACAGCTGCGTCGTACAGAATTTTTATCGATAGACCCATCCCTAACACTTGTTAAGAGCCTGTCCTTGGATTTTCAATTTTTATCCTGTTGTCGTGTAGATCTGCTAAATCCTGAAGCTATAATCTAGCACTTTTCGCGCTTCGAAATTCTTATTAAGTCCAGTAAAGTATAGGATAACTCGAGTATTGGCACTAACAAGCAGAAACCAGTTATTTGTAGTGAATTGTGAACTGTTTGAGATCAACTTTCTCAGTAGCTCATCGCCCTTTTTATATTCATCTTCACTTCTTGACACCACCGTTGTATCATCACATCATGAGGTTGTAATAAATCCGGAGAACAAACTGAAAGATGGCCGGTGTGGTCACGTTAAAGGCATGTGAAAACCAGGTGTATAACATGTGAATATCATGGGACGTCTCGCCTTCTTCAAAAGCCCACACCGCCAGTGACAAGACTGGTAATCAGCGCGACTGGGTCAGTGATATATATTGTAATTTTCCCCACAACGTGTGAGGATCAAATCAGAGAGTTTTCTGAAGTGGTTTTCTGTTTTTTGGCGGGGTTTTGCGGGTTGATTTCGTCAGGTTGTTGGATGTTGAAATCGCGTTTGCTAGACTGCTCTGATGTCGACTCTTGAATTAGTGGAGTGAGCCCTGCTGGATCGGCAGTGGCTAGATAGTCTTGGAGATCGAAATTAGAGGGCGTTGGTTGAGAACTTACAGGTGGGCCGCCGCCACCGGTCACGTGGTTCAACGACTCGGTGCTAGGTGCAGACGGTGTGACACTTTCTATCTCGTTGTGGTGAGAAGGCGACATCTTGGTGATCCAGTCCTCGAGCTCCTGGATCGACTCGCCTTGTTTTTTGATATTGGACTCCAGGTCGTCGAAAAAGTTCGGGTCGACAGATGCGGCCGAGTCGAAGGCCGGTCCGGACTGGCTGGCTCGCGAATTGCCCGTAACGTGGCCGTCCACATCACTCATCGAAGTGGGTTCAGCGCTCGGGACGCCGTTGTTGTTGATATACTGTCGGTCGATTTCCTGTATGGGAGAGGCCGCCGCTTGTACGGGATCGTGAACACCGCTGTCTCGTCCGTGTGTGGGCCCATTTGAATGGGTATGTCTCTGGCTATCCTTCAGCAGCAATCTTGGCCGAGCCAAAGAGCTGTTCATGCCGCCTAGATCCCAGAAACTGCGGTTTCCCGTAGGCATGTCGTTGAAATAAGCGTTTGACTGGGCCAGTTCGTTGGCCAGCTCGTTTCCCAGCAGTTTCTGGGCATTGGACCCCATTAGCGATGTCAGAAGATGAAGAATCTTATTAAGAGCCTGCTGTTGTGCTTGGTTTCTCTCGCGTGCCATCATATTCTCCTTCCACAGCAACTCGTTGTCCTTCGATATGCGCTTTAGGTCTTCGGCAATCGCCATCTGATTGAACTTTACGGACTCCAGCTCGTTCAGCAAAATTCCAAAGTCCATTTCCTCGCCGTTTTGGCCCACAAGTAGATCGTTCGAGTTGTTTGGGCTCGGCTTTTGCCTTACAATATTGTCAAGCAAGTCCTCAGCGCCCCGAACGAAGTTTTCGTTCTCAAACTGACATCTCTCATCGGAATTGGCCTGGATCGACCCCGATCGTACGTCTTGCACTTTATGCCAGCCGTACATGTTCAGTTGGCGCACAAACGATGCGAAATTCGAGTGCTTGAAATATTTGGGCAAAACTCCATGCACGAAGCCCTCGCGATTGGAGATAATAAAAGATTTCCCATCGGGGGCCCAATACATGAGCTCAGCATTCGCACTGTCGTTGACCATTGACCACAGTTTGTTTACGAAGGCCGGTCTTGTCTTGGCACTGGTGAGTTTCCGCTTGGGCAGCTGTTTCGGTGCAACAGAGGCTGCAGGCTTCGCAATGGGTTTCAGCAGCCTATTTCTATATGGCATGAGAATAGTGTCCGAGAGTAGAGATTCGTGAATAGGTGCACGACTAGCTTCTGGGCTCGCAGATCCAGGGTAAAAGCCGCTAGGTGTGCCACGTCTAATGATGTCTCCAGAATGGTCCATTGGTATTAGTGACGGGTGAGTTGTGAGCGGCGAAAACGGGCCAGGTCCAGGTCCAGCACTCTGTGCCGACTGCGGGCCCAAATTGCTAGGTGACATCACACCTGTGGGATCCCATGCGGGATTTACAATGTCCTCCACCACGGGCTGTGAGTTACGATGATCGCTGCCACCTGTCGATTCTCCAGGGTTGATTATACTTTCAATGTCATCATCATTGAGTACATGACTGTTGTTCTGATTGACCGAACGACCTTGCATTTTAGGCCTGCTGACGATTGTCGCGATGGTACTAACGGCTCCTTAATATGTAGCTCTTGGAACGTTTCCAACTGGTATACAAGCAACAACAGAGCACTGTATATTTCAATTCGTCCTTTTGAGCTCAAGCACGCTTGATTTCTGGTGATAATGGCCTGGATAGAGTTAGTTGACGCTCTCTGTTGTTCGTGATTGTCAATCTTTTTACCAGCTCATCGATTATTTTTCACGATTGGTAAATTAGAGAATCAATATACTTCTCTTATTTAGGTGGAAAGGAAGCATTAAAAGCAGTTTTGGTGATACAAGTCGCCAGCTGAATGTCTTGTTGGTTTGTAAAATATGTTTGAAGAGGAATTGTAGAAATTTGCGTATTTCATGGTGTTTAAAAACTCAAAGAAAGTGAATTATTGATCGACATAAGGGAATTGAGACTTGCGTAGATGGAAAATGATGTGAGGAGAAGGTACACAACTGGGGGTGTGGAATAGAAATGATAAATTAAATGCTTCGTGTAGGATAGATTGTTTGATGTTTTGAAAACTCAAAAGTCTTCTTACTTGATACAGACATTCTGGCATGGCATGAGGAAACGGGGTTTTGTTTCCTTGGCTTGACGACGTCAAAAACGGAGAAAATTTTGTCCAGATGCGATTGAATTTTTGAGTTGAAATGCTCAGTGTTGTTGTGTCTTGTCTTATTGCAAAGCCCTCAACCTCGGAAGTCATCACTTTTTGCCCTTCTGTCGCATTTTCCAACTCGACGTCAACCAAGTACAACGTGAGCTCAAATCCGAGCTGGAATTCTGTTTATCGAAATGCTGTGTCTTGTGCCTTTGTCGTTGCGAAGCACTGGACTTCGAATTTCATCACCTTTTCCTATTCTGTTGCATCGTAATTCGATTTGGTGTCGTTCTCATTACATTACAACGTCAATGTCATAACGTACTCGTCAACATATTCACTATCCAAGGAAGCAAGGTTAAGCTTCTAAGGACCTCTGTCCAGGATTGTTTACATCAAGGTGAGTGAATTCGACAATTCCGACATGAGAGCCGGTTTATGAAAATATTGAGGTACCCAGTGGTGCGTCTCTTCTCATTGCAAAGCAATAAACTTCGATCGTCATCGCATTTAATTATTCTGTTCCATTTCCAACTCACATTGATATCAGTATCAAAGCCTTAGCTTAATTTCGAGCCTACAGTCAATTTATCAAGGTATTGAAATGCTTTGTCTTACGTCCGTTCTCAATAAAAAACACTCGACTTCGAACGTTATCACTTTGGGACGCTGTGCAGCATCCATCAGTATCAAAATGTGAGATTATGAGAGTCAGCTTATTGCAATCTTGAGATGCTCAGTGTCGCGTCACGAGATAGTCAGTACCATTCGTTATTCTGTCACACCTCTAAATTCGTGTTGGTTGGGGAACAACACAATACAATGTGATCCCAAATCCGACACGATATCCAGTTCGTCACAATATTGAAGTGCGTTCTCTTGCGCTCTTGCGTCTCTTCCCATTGATAGTCATCACTTTCTACTATTCTGTCGCATCTTTCAATTCGTGTTGGTGTCAGTATCGACTCATTGCAACATGAGATTATCCCCAATTTCACAACAACACCCCAGCGCAGGTGAACTCTCACATACATTTGGCGACGATCTCACACTCCCTAATCAACCCAGAACCACCCTTCGTAAATGACAGCTGGAAAAGGCTCAAAAACAGCCCACGAATTGAAAAAAAAAAGAAGAACCAAGGCATAACACTAAAAACAATTTGATGACAATAACTAGAATAATTCAGGAATTACCAGCATCAAAACACATCCGTTAAACCATCAAAAACCAGTGACATTTGGATCAGTCTATTATCTATCACTTCTCACGAACGATCACCGCTACTATAAAACAATCATCATCAATAACACGTATAATAACTACAAATAGTATTAAACGCGCTACACGTACACGTAAACACTACAACAGCCGCTGAGAGACCAAAAGAATGAGCGATACAGACAAACCTACCAATCTCCTTTTGGACTCGGTGTGGCCGTCTATCGATGTCAAGGGCACTGGCTACATCTACGGCAAGGACTTCCCTTTGGCGGTTTCAAAGATGGAAGAACTACTCAGTAAGGGACAGGGCATTTCTGAAAGAACTTCACTGGTGTCCAAAACAGGCCAAGAGATTCTTAAAAAGTTCAGCAGCGACCAAGAGTTCTTCAAGGTGTACAAGGAGGATTTTGCAGAGCTTTTCAATGGGCTTCTAGGCACAAGTTTCAAAACAGCTGTCCAAACGTGCACGGAGGATAAATCCCTGGATTTTATAAGAGCAGCGCGCGAAATGGCTAGTTTTCACGAAAATGAGGACACTCCGGTCGACTCGGAGACGATACGAAGCGAAGTGGTCGGTTTAAAGGCCCAAATCGACGAACTACGGCGGCAAAACTTGGAAAAAGATCGAACTATCGCCGCCAAAGATGCTATACTGTTCGATTTGCAAAGCACGGGAGCTTCCGCTCCAGGAAGTCCGATCACGGAACGCGGCCTGCGGAACCTGCGAACGCGAATCGCAAATCTAACCGAAGACCTGCAAGGCAAAGACGACGTCATCCGAGACAAGGATCGCGAGCTATTGTCCTTGACCAAGAAGGTCGGGGAGTACCGAGATAAATACCAGTTTTTGGAGCGCGAGTTTCAGTTCTACAAGGACCACGGCGAGCTCCAAAAGCCGGAGTCCACGAAAGAGGCCACCAAACACGAATTCATAATCTCGGAACTCAGACGTAAAATCAATGACCAAGGCGACATGATCAACGCGATGCGAGCGCAAGTTGGGTCCAAGCAGATTTTTCTGCCAACCACGTCGAAAACCGGTCCGGAATCCAGTATACTGGACGCCATACCTGTGCGTAAAACACTAAAATGGATTGCAGTAGTAGTTATGGTGGTCTTGGGGGCAAACATCTTTTTGTTTTTCGTTGCTTCCATGAAATCAGCTTTCGGGACCGACTCCAGTTCGGCGATCAACCCTCAAATCCAACTGGAATGGTGGGAGCGAATGCCCGTGTTTAGTAAAATTGGCTGGTTTTTCTCGGAATATCTTGAACACGATTGGGCTTCAACCTCCGACGACGAAATCAGTTCTAATTACGATAAAATCTTCGGAGTATGATCTAACTAAATCTGCAGCTGGTGATAACCGGCGGTCGTCTGATTACATATTCTTGCGAACGCACATGCACAAGAATTTCAATAGTGAAGTAACAAGATCCTCATTCTTGTTGTTGTTCTGGTTTTGGTTCTGGTTCTGGTTGTGGTGCTGTGGCTGTTGCTGATACTGGGGTTGCTGCTGTTGAGTATAGTTGTGAGGGCCGTTTTGATGTTGTTGTGGCTTGGCGCCGCCCGAAGTGTTGTTGCGGGCAAAAGTCGAATAGTCCATGGAGGCCCAGTCGCTGGGGACCTGTGCGCCCTGTAGTTCGATGATCAATACGCCTGAATTTTTGGGGTCCACATAATTACGCAAGTTGGCCTGTTGGCACAGTTCCTCGACTGCGGGCTTAATTTTGGCAATACCATTTTGGGAATGGATACCCTTGCCCACAATCACCTCTAGTCTTTGCTCCTGATTGGCGATACCTGCCGCCATCCGTCTCTGCAAAATCCACTGCGCTTCCTTGGTGTACAGCCCGTGCAAGTCTATTTCGTTGCTGTCGCTATCGGCATTGTTCTGGGTGAAAACGTATTCCGCTGCCTGCATGTTGTATTTCTCGGCAATATGGAGCTGGTCTTTCGCCTTGTTGCTGAGGCTGTGAGCCTCGCCCTTGTCACCACTTTTGAACGCCTGTTGGGACTGCTGAGATAACGATTGACGTTTCTTGTACGCTTCGTCCGCCAAACCTCTCAGACGTTTGTACTCGGAGTCTGTGGCATGGTTGTAGTCCTTTTGCTGCGATAGAAGGGCTCCTCTATTAGCTACTGCAGCCGTGCTCATGGCTTGTTCGTTGTTGTTGTTGAAAGGTTGGTGTTCAATGGGCGTTGATATGAATTCTCGGTGTCGTGGTCGTGGTTATATTTTTCTTATGCGTGAAAGGCTTCGTCCAGCGGTATGGAAGGCTGTTTGGCAGACAGAGATGCGCTTCAAGACATGAACGCGATCAGCAGGGCGACCGCGACGTGTGTGAAATTGTTTTGGCGATACGATGATTATTTTTGGGCCAAAAATGAAAATTTCGTATTTTGACTTTGACGGAATGCTGTTGTACTGGTCAGAAATATTAAGAATATCATCCTGCGACCACGTCAAGAATTTGGCACTTCCACTCACCCTTTTGGTTCTAGCTGCGACAGACACTGATCGACCGGGCCTTTTTCCGTTGGTCTCAATGTTGTCCACCGACCGACCCTTTTCCCAAAACAACCCACGACGCGAACGGTTCGACTTAAGTCCACCACACGATAGCGAAGGATTTAAGCTGAGAAGCGCTAAACCGTTTAAGCGATATCCAAACTAATTTCCACCCCGATTCGCCATGTCAACAATTATATGGTCGCGCGTCGCGCATCACACAACGCAGGCGTGATATACGATAAATGACCTAAAAAACAGAAAAACACAGCAAAGCACAAAGAACGCAGAGACAGCAGGTGAAAGAGCCCCATGCGATCGACACCATCTAGGTTCTGGTACTCGCACCGTCGCACCGTCCTGACCTGGTTATCACATGCATAGTTGCAGTTGGGAGTTACGTACCAAGTGATCAACCTTTTCGAACGTCTCGGACTTTAGCCAAAGCACACGAGCGTTGCGTCACAGTGAGCTTTCTCCGATCTTTCCGTTATTTTGCTCGAATCGGGCTCCAAGCCCGCCGCCCGCCGCCCGCGTGTGCTGGTAAAACCCGGGTGCTTGAAACCATTACTCACCGTTTCGAAAAGAGTTAGTTTGCCATGGTTTTCAACCCGCACGCTCACACAAACACTCGCGATACCAGGTTTTCACCGTGAGACGCATTGCCGATCTTTCAGCCTAAAAAGCTGTTGGTGCCCTGTGCCTACCACTGCCAGAACCGGTGTGTGCGTTGATCTTTTTCTGTCGGTTTGCCAAGGCGTAAATGAAAGGCCCGATATAAAATTTAGACGGGCCGGGTTTAGTCTTGGCACCTCCGGCGAGACATTGTACCCTGTGCTTTAAAACCGGCCGCGCGAGCGACTTCCGCATTCGGCAAGCGCACTGCCCGATTGGGCGATCTGCAGATTGCGTTCATGCACGTCGACGAGAACAATGGAGAGATGGCTTAGTCAGCATGCCGGCTGCTGTTGGCATGGAGACAGGAATAGTGGGCTGTTGTTTTTTTTCCGCTTTTTCAGAGTTCATCATCACATTCGCATGCTGTCTAGCATTCTTGCTATGCATCCCTGTGGTGAGTCCACCGCCGCTCACCGCTCAGCGACAGATAGCGACGCAGGTAAAATCCTAGTTGCGTCTGGCTGGGAAACTATTGGAATCAATTGGAACCAGATCACCAAAACAAAAAAATATCACAATTTCACAATTTTGCCGCACCGCACACGGATAGTGGATTGGGAATTGTGGATCGTTAATTGTGTCTGCGATTCTGTGCTGCGGGTTGGAATGTGAAAGTATGGTGGCGTATCCCACCGCTGGAGTGAAGCACGCACGAATATTTTTTTTCGCTCTTTGCCAACTGGGATTTTTTTCAGTTTTTTACCTGCTTTTGCGCTTATAGGAAACCGCCATCTATATTGTGGATTCAACTTGCCTATTAAAGGGAAACTGATCGCACTTCAGGGCTCCGTTCTCGACTTGAAATTAGTACAATGAGTGCCGATCGCTATCCCATTATACTCATTGTGCACGCAGCGAGAGAAAAAATTCGCTTCGTTGCCGTGAAAAAGTACGACGGTGAACTGGCGTGCAGACGCCAATAGGAACACCGCCCTGAACGCCCTGAACGCACTTTTGGATCCCAATAGTCGATACCACGCGCGCTTCGAGGACTCGATCTGAATCTGGATCTGGATTTCGATTTACTTTTCGGTTTACAATTCAAATTCTGTCAATTTCTGTGCGACACACTCGAGCGATCCACCACGGCAGTTGTTCATTTTTTGGGATTTTTAGCATACACACCAATACGCGAGGGCAAACGATAGCACGCCAGACCCTCCAATTCATCATACTCACCGCATTGCACGGCAGAATCCAAACCTCGATCTGACCGCGTCCCCACGTACACACCCACACCGGATGCGGGAATCGCGACACCAGAAATTCGTGTGGACCATCCGCCACGATTGCGCGCTTGTAGACTCAGTGCTGGCGCTGGGCGACATGCTGGCAGACCCGATCCGCTCGTACCCACGAACCAAGTTTTGGGCCGCCGTGAGCGACGAGCTGCACGTGTCCCATGGTCTGGCGCGCAACAGTCGTCAATGTCGGGATCGCTTCAACTTGCTATTTTCACGAGCGCTCCTGGTGCCCGCGGGCATGCGTTCTACAATTGTAGCCCCCGCGGGCCTCCCAACAACATCGACAACTGCTACCTCAACTACAAATACTACAAGTGCAACAAGTACTACAACTACTAAAACACCGGCACCGCATCCGCGATCGCCGCCATTGTTCGCTACTGCATCTGCATCACGTGGCATCATGGCCTCGCCCACTCCCCACGACTACTCGTCCGACATCGCGCTGGAATCGCGGCTGCAGACGTGCGTGCGACGGTTTCGGTTTGGCAACGGACGAAGTTTGGAATTGAGCAATAACGGCGCGGAGTCCAGTGCCACCGCTGCCACGACTCCCGCGCCAGCAGCGAGCATTTCCGCGACCAACCCGATTTTGGAAAGCCCGCCGCCGCCCCCGCGAACAGGAGCGTTGCACGAGCTCATCCACCCACCGGACTCGCCCTCGCAAGCACTCGTGGTGCGACCAGAGGCCCGTTTTGCCGATCTGGCACTCATACACTCACAGCTGCGTCACGTGAACTCCGTCCTGGACGTCTTATCCACAGACGTGGCGCTGTTGAAGACCCAGGTCGCGCATTTACAGCAGTATCTCACGTTGCCCAGCGATGGTGCCAAGCAAGAATAGTCAAGTCATTGGAATGGCCCCAAGCAGGCCAGTTTGTAAAATTATCCTAACAGAAAAATACCAATGCACAAGAAAACTAGAACACTCACATTACAGCACACAGGCTTCGTGTTTGTAACAACAGCATACCGGTGAACAGAATGATTGTGAAGCTATCATCACTGTCAGCACGGAAGATAAGTCGCTCTCAAATTTTTCTTTTTCACTCGAGTTTCAGTTTTCCAGCTGCCTGAGCGGTCCTGTCACTCTGAATTTGCCTAAACACCGCCTGGGGTAGTCCGTACCTGCCCTTTACGGTTTGAAGTTCGCTTTGGATACGTGTGTGTACGTACAAGTATGTAAACGTAAACGTAAACGTAAACCCAAACGTAAACGTAAACGTAAATGTGAATATACATGTACATGTACATGTACATGTATATGCGTATGTGTATGTAAATGTGTGCGTGCCGGATTTAGCCCATTACCGCTGCATGCACCTGCTGAGTTCACCAACTCGAACAATGAGATCGTCGCCTGCATTGCATTGTGCTTGCGCAAATTGGAAACGAACCGTCCTGTCGAGTTAGCCAACACACATACGATATGCACGATGGCACATATGAAATTTGATGTTCTTTAGCCCTAAAGGTTTTAAGCGAGAGCATTTCCGTTGGGTGAAAAGCGTAACCCGCGCTGCTGGTGTTGGACGGATCTGCTAGCATAAAAAAAAGTTTGACATCGAAATTAACTCTCTCTTCTACTCAACACTTTTTTTTGGAAGAAAACAGAGCGAGCATTAAGAACAGCGTGAATACCTGAACTGGACTAGTGTAACGGGCCATGAGGACATGGCAATCACACAGTGGAAGTCCTGGGGTTTACGAGCGATTTATGCATGTGTCTTCTTTTGTAGAGCTGTGTGTGATGGGGTTTGAGTGATGACAAGTGTATCAACATTTTACAGTGGCTAGCTACGGCGATGTTGTCTACTACGTTAACCATCTTTCGGGACTGACCAACCTTAGTCACATAGGAGGTAGAGAAGAGGGTGGGTGTTTGTGGAAGAGAAGTAGAGAAGTGGATATTTTGTAGAAGAATCTTAGCTCGAGAGTCGAGAGTCGAGAGTCTAGAGTTTGGGACCCAGGAGGTCTATGTAGCTGTACGCGAGGACCACACTTTTCTATACTCTACGCACACTCTACCATCGTACTCTTCTCATCTCACCTTGTCTCATCTTGAACACTAGAGACGTTGTAACACCTCAGGGTAGATAATGGAAGAGTCAGGTTTTCCCATAATTTTCTCTTCATTGAGGTAAACATTTGGTAAACATCTGAGTGCCACCTCAATGAATGATTCTTCATCCAGGCGACATTCGTTTCTGCCTCGACCAAAACAAAATGTAATTAGATTCGTTGTGTGAACTGGGGAAATTTGGAAAACGCGTAAATTCCCAAATCATCAGGTAAACTGTCTTCGCTATGAACGACTACAAATCCCTTGGACGATGGGGTCGAATTTGAATTCAAATGGGACAATTCCACGACCTACTGATTTGAGATTCGTCAATTTTCAGGGTTCAGAGATGTCAAGACAGGCTTATCGTCATGCTGACTACCGGCCGAAGGACCTGGCAGTGAAGTTCGGTTTTACGACGTGATGCATAAAACACGGGCGGAATGAAAGCACCTGAGAGATGGCTGATGTTTCCTCATTGCATATTACTGGCCCCGATGCGAAGACAAATGTAAAAGGTTTATTCAAGCATGCAAAAATTCTGAGAAAGCTCTACCATCGGGCCATCTAACGCCAAAAGTCTGAGCAAGTGTACTCCAAATACGAATCTTCTCCAGCAAATTAGCGACGTCCGAATTTGAGCCTACGTTCCAAGGGCGCTGGATTGAACTGCATCAAAGCTTGACGGATCAAACACTGGATAGCGAATCGGATCTTCACGTTTACGCGATATGTCTTGACGCGTTACAAGGTGTTGGTTCGCGTCAATCAAGTAACGTGACATCCTGGAAATTGTTTATTTCTGGACCTTGAGGTGTTACCCTCACTTCCACGTGACCGTCCGAGAAATAGCAGTCACAAGCTAGCTCCTCTGATAAACCCAGACACCCAGTAATTTTTAGGAATCCCAGAAAAATTGGACATCATGGTTTACGACATTCTTGTCCATAAAAAGTCACGTTTTTTAAAAAAGGAGTCGTCACCCTACACGAGTTTCTCGACTCACGCGAACCCACGCAAACCCGAAATTTTTCACGGCTCAGCGGCTGCCATATTTTTTTTCACACGATTATATAAAGAGACACCAGATCGATACCATTACTGTTTTTTTCCATCCCTTTAGTAAACCATCTACAATCCAATCAAAAATGGCTGCTGAGTATGTTTAAAGATCTGAGCCTTTGGTGCTCACTCTCATAGTGAACTACAAGTCACATCAGACTCTAGACGTCTAAACTCGTCAATGAGCCTTTGTGCTTTCTTCCTGGCGTTCAAACCAGGAATGTTTATGACGAACACGTTGAATCTCTCAAGATATCTCAACGGGTTGTCATTCGTAGGGGACTTTTCGAACAAACCTTGGCATCTTTTTTTGCCAAGGTGTCTCGAAACAAAGACTCGGATAGCTGGAATGGGAGCGTTCTTGGATCTCACCATCGTATTACTCCCGTTTCTTCTACCGGTCTCTGCCTTTCCCCGTCATCGAATGAAACGTGGTGTGTTTCAGTTCGATGTGACTTTGTATTCTTTTGACACGCTCCTTTTTACCCCCTGTGCATCCGCTAACCGTTTGTTTTCTTTGTATAGAAAGGTCTTGGTCCCAGAATCCCAATTGAAGAAGTCTAAGGCTCAACAAAAATCGGCTGAGCAAATCGCCGCCGAGAGAGTCGCCCGTAAGGCTGTATGTTACGTTTGAACCCGCTGCGAATGCACGCAATAGCACGCTGTAGCACACGCACTCTGTGAGCTCACAGAATTTGCGCGCCGTTTTTGGCGGTTGTACCTTCTCGTCACTGCTGTCTTCTGTTTCTTTCAATGATGAAACTTTCCCAAATTACTATTTGATCGACTAGCTACGGCAATGTTGTCGAAACTTACACCATCTTTCGCCTGATTTGTGCAAGAAACAGAAACAGGAGCAGTGGAGCCGGTGCAGCTGTCTGCAGAGCGAAGTGCTGTGTGTCACCTCTCCCATGTCCAACTTTACTAACTTACGTTTTCAATAGGCCAACAAGGAAAAGAGAGCCGCCATTTTGGAGAGAAACGCTGCCTACCAGCAGGAATACGTTGACGCCCAAAGAGCTGTCATCGAGGCCAAGCGTGAAGCCAAGGCTAACGGTTCTTTCTACGTCGACGCCCAAGCCAAGTTGGTCTTCGTTATCAGAATCAAGGGTATCAACAAGATTGCTCCAAAGCCAAGAAAGATCATGCAGTTGTTGAGATTGAATCAGATCAACACCGGTGTTTTCGTCAAGGTCACCAAGGCCACTTCCGAGTTGTTGAAGTTGATCGAGCCATACGTTGCATACGGTTACCCATCTTACGCCACCGTCAGAAAGTTGGTTTACAAGAGAGGTTACGGTAAGATCAACAAGCAGAGAATCGCTTTGTCTGACAACGCCATCGTCGAAGCCAACTTGGGCAAGTTCGGTATTGTCTCCCTAGACGACTTGATCCACGAGATCGTCTCTGTTGGTCCTCACTTCAAGCAGGCCAACAACTTCTTGTGGCCATTCAAGTTGTCCAACCCATCTGGTGGCTGGGGTGTTCCAAGAAAGTTCAAGCACTTCATCCAAGGTGGTTCTTTCGGTAACCGTGAAGAATTCATCAACAAGTTGGTCAAGTCCATGAACTAAGCTGTTAACTCATAACTTTTTTCTCTGGGGTCTGCAACAAACAACTGCAGTATACGGCAAGAAACCCGCTGGTCTTTTACGAGTTCCAAATGAAGCTATAATTATCATTATATAGCTGTTTTTGAAATGAAATGTCCAGCTTGTCAAGGTAATGATTTTTCTGTAGGTATGATGTATGTATAGTAGTGGTTAGCCCTTTCCAAACTTAATGGACGGCTAAAATAAGAGGTTTAAGAAACGGAAACATATGAAAAATGCCCAGCGCCACACTGCGCTCGAGCCCGTTCACTCCCACACCGTGGCGACACTAATATCCATCCCGATTGCCAAGTATAATCGACATTTTCACATGCGATGCCGTTCGCACTGTCATCGTCGATAACACACGCTACAGCACTTCAAATTTCGCAGGAAAATTTCTACAAACGTTTGTGGCTCCCGGCGCTTGGATTAAGACGGTCTTTGGACCCTCGATGGGTCTGCAAACTCGTTTTAACAGAAGTTTCTTCCATTTGAATATACTTTTCATTGTTCCGACTCTCGAAAGAGATATATATTTTGAAAAAAGTACTTGAATTTAAAGCATTTCATATATCCATCCTGTCCGACAGATTCAAGTGAAAATTTCTTGGCAATACGTGTGTGATAGGTCTTGAATACATTTCATAGCGTTATTCGACAAGTGGTTCTTGAGATTTGGCAGTATCTAGCGAGAGAATCGGTTTGAAATTTTAAATTTCCTAGCAAGATATAAGAAGTTCGAGCTCTTGATCAACAAGTTGTACTGATCGCAGCATGGTGGGAGAAAGCACCTCTTTCAGAGGCAATTCTTCGTTTTCCAGCACCGAAGGCGAGGCCAATGCCGTCCGTGAACTGCACAAAGATGAGGAGGTTGTGATCTCGGAAAACGTGGCAAAAAGCTCGGAGGGCCAGCCAGAAGCGCAGCTGAGAAGACAATTCTCGGTGTGGTCGATCCTGGGGGTCGGTTTTGGGCTCACAAACTCGTGGTTTGGTATCTCGGCGTCTATGGTCACAGGTATTTCGTCCGGTGGACCCATGATGATCGTGTACGGTATTGTTATCGTCGCACTGATCTCAGTGTGCATTGGAGTGTCGCTCGGAGAGCTTTCGTCGGCTTACCCACATGCCGGTGGCCAGTTTTGGTGGTCGTTGAAACTGGCTCCTCCCAAATATAAGAGATTTGCAGCGTACATGTGCGGATCTCTCGCGTACGCGGGGTCTGTTTTCACCAGCGCCTCCACCACGCTTTCCGTGGCCACCGAACTGGTCGGGATGTATGCACTCGCTCACCCAAGTTTCACGCCAAAAAGATGGCACGTCTTCGTGTGCTTCGAAGGCTTGCACCTGTTTTTGATGCTGTTCAACTGTTACGGCAGGTCGCTGCCGTTCATTTCGTCCAGTGCGCTGTATATCTCGTTGTTCTCCTTTGTCACCATCACCATCACGGTGCTGGCCTGCTCCCACGGTAATTATAACGACGCCAAGTTTGTGTTTGCTACGTTTTTCAACGAGACCGGATGGAGAAGCAGCGGAATTGCCTTCATTGTAGGCCTGATCAATCCTGCGTGGTCCTTTTCCTGTCTGGATTGCGCCACGCACATGGCCTTCGAGGTGGAGAAGCCAGAACGTGTGATTCCGATTGCTATTCTAGGAACAGTTGCAATTGGTTTTGTCACGTCGTTCTGCTACGTTATTGCTATGTTCTTCTCTTTGCATAACCTCAGTGCGATCACTAGTTCCAACACTGGAGCGCCAATTCTAGACATTTATTATCAGGCTTTGGGCAACAAGGCAGGTGCGCTTGTTCTAGGCTCTCTCATCTTGCTAACATCGTTCGGATGTGTTATTGCATGCCACACTTGGCAAGCGAGACTGTGTTGGTCGTTTGCCAGAGACGAAGGTTTGCCATTTTCGAGGTTTTGGGCCAAGATCAACCCCGAGCTTGGCATTCCATTAAACGCGCATTTGATGTCCTGCTTTCTAATTACACTTTTGGGTGTGCTATACTTGGCTTCCACGACCGCTTTCAACTCTTTGATTACCGGTTGCATCATGTTTTTGCTGCTGTCATACATCGTGCCAGTGATCTGTCTGCTGCTGAAAAAACGCGATATCAAACATGGACCGTTTTGGCTGGGGAAATTCGGCCTATTCTGCAACATCGTCTTGCTAGGCTGGACTGTATTTTCCCTGGTGTTTTTCTGCTTCCCCTTCGTGATGCCTGTTGAGAAGGACAATATGAACTATCCTCTGTGTGCCTTGTCGGATATCTTTTGTTTTCGCTACTTTACTGGGTCTTTAAAGGCCGGAACGATTTCCATGTTGTCGAGGAAGAAGAATTTGGTGCGATGGATCCTTACCTTATGGAGTGAGTGGCTCACTCAAATTATACCATAGGTTCTCGATACTGCGAAACATCGATTTATGCCATAAGACAATACACTTGTAAATTATCAAATACTGGACTAACTATTTAAGTAGGAAAATAAGAGACTTTCATAATTAGTAAGCTTCAAGAGTTTGCGAACGTGTGAGTGTGGATGAGTGTCGGTGTGTCTGTTTCCCGACTTCAGCTGAGCTCATCGTCAGTTTAGTACAAGATGATCTAGATTTTCAAATCCTGTCATCGTTGCGATAGAGCAGCCCAAGGCCCGGGGAAAACCTATGTATGGTATTAAACGCTCATTCAGAACATATTCCAGTATCTAGGATCTTAAGATTCGACAATTTTGCACCCTTTAGTTTCCAAATTCCTTACAAAATCCAGCAGGAAAATTCAATAAAAGTTTCAATTACCAACTAAAGTACTGGCATTGTACTATGTGAGTTCCAGCATAATCATTCAAATTCATATAGGCTATTATGCTATATCATCTCATATTTGATCGCGTCAGTCTTTACCTGGGATCAACTCGCTGGAAAATTTTCAATATTATTATACGCTGAAAAAAAAACGAACCGAGATGCGATGAGATGAGATGAGCACAGCAACTCTCAAGAGACGTTACGATACAGAACTAGGACCAATACCCCCATTGAAGATGTCCACCGACGAGATAAAGCAGCGCAAGAGAAAGCAGGACGACACTGAGGCTGTTGTCCAAAAAAAAGTGAAGAAAGACAAGAAAGACAAGAAAGACAAGAAAGACAAGAAGGTGAAGAAGGAGAAAAAGGCTGAGAAGAAAGCCCAAGAAACTACAGTTATCCCGAAAGATGCTGAAGACGACTCCAGTGTCACTCTAAGTCCCGAAGAAGAAACTCCGGCTCAAGAACTAGGATATGTTCAAAGTGAACTATTGAGCAAAGTTGCACAGAGTGAAGTAGACGAGTTCTACGAGGAAAACGAGGTCAGCGTTGAAGACCCTAAGAAACTAAACTTCCGTCCTCTTCTATCTTTTGACCACATCGCGCTTTCGTCAGAGGTCCAGAAAGAAATCTCCAAATTTCCAAAACCTACGCCAATCCAAGCCGTTTCGTGGCCTTACTTGCTTCTGGGAAGAGACGTGATTGGTGTTGCCGAGACAGGTTCCGGTAAGACCTTTGCGTTTGGTGTTCCTGCCATCAACAACCTGCTCAAAGCGGGCTCGAAAAACAACGGTGTCCAAGTCTTGGTGATCTCACCCACTCGTGAACTTGCATCTCAAATTTACGACAACCTGATTTTGCTTGCCAAAAAGGCCGGTGTACACTGTTGCTGTCTGTACGGTGGTGTTCCCAAAGACGAGCAGAGAGCACAGCTGAAAAAGGCCCAAGTGGTGGTAGCCACGCCTGGAAGACTGCTCGATTTGATCGAAGAGGGCTCTGCCAGACTCTCCAACGTCGACTACTTGGTTCTGGACGAAGCAGACAGAATGCTTGAAAAGGGATTCGAGGAAGACATCAAGAGAATCATCGGGTCCACGAAAGCCACCGGAAGACAGACTCTGATGTTCACGGCCACCTGGCCAAAAGAGGTGCGCGAACTTGCCAGCACGTTCATGAAAGACCCTGTCAAGGTGTCGATCGGTAACAGAGACGAACTCTCGGCTAACAAGCGTATCACGCAGATCGTCGAAGTGGTCGAGCCTTTCAAGAAAGAGCGCAAACTATTGGAGCTTTTGAAGAAATACCAGTCCGGTTCCCGCAAGAACGACAAAGTGCTTATTTTCGCGCTGTATAAGAAGGAAGCGTCTCGTGTGGAGAGGAATTTGCAGTACAACGGCTACAAAGTCGCTGCTATCCACGGGGATTTGTCGCAACAACAGAGAACGCAAGCACTTGGCGAATTCAAGTCTGGCGAATCGAACCTATTGCTGGCCACAGATGTGGCTGCCAGAGGGCTCGACATTCCCAACGTGAAGACTGTGATCAATTTGACTTTCCCACTAACGGTCGAAGACTACGTGCACAGAATTGGGAGAACAGGCCGTGCCGGCCAGACCGGTACCGCACACACGTTGTTCACAGAGCAGGAGAAGCATCTCGCGGGTGCTTTGGTAAACGTTTTGAACGGTGCAGGCCAGCCAGTTCCTGAAGATCTCAAGAAGTTTGGTACGCACACCAAGAAGAAGGAACACAGTGCATACGGAGCGTTCTACAAAGACGTGGACACTACCAAGAAACCAAAGAAAATCACTTTTGATTGAATGGGGAGAGTGTTCTGTGTGTAGATAAATGTATACTAGGAAAGCCTTAAAGAAAACAGGTACTAAAGTGGAGTAATTGAGAGCGAAAGCGATCAATTGTGAATGGCAAAATGGCTACAGACACGATTGCCCAGGATGGGCTATGAAGAAATGGCATTTGTTCAAGCAGGGTGCTGTCTGGAGTTTGAACAGTAGTAATTAAGATCTCCTGATTGTTTACGAGTTTCAGTGTTTCGAGTGTGCTACAAGTTCGGTCAACTGGTAACAGACGCTCACAACTATTAAATCGTATTTATGGCCAATTTTCATTCGTTAGGTATCTCAACTTCGAAGTCTCGTAGCAAATTCTAGCGAAGATTATCTGTCACTGACACTTTTTCAACTGTTGGGGGAGTTACTTATTTGCTGGTGGCTATCTTCTTTGTACTGGTAAGTCTCTGTCATGATAGTCCTTTACATGCAAAGTGCAATTCTTTATACAAGTAGTGCACCACACTGGTGTTGTTTTACTTACCCACAATTGATCTCCAGAGCTCTCAGTTGAGCCTCAGGATGGAACAACTTCGATTTATTTTCTTTCGATCGCTGTCGCTGTGAACCATTCTACTACGTTTATGGCATTCCTAGGTTTAACAATTGAGAGCGTCAGTGATAGTATTGCAAGATCTCTCATTATATTAAACTATGTTCGGAAATATCATTTCATTCACAATCGCTCACTGACGCTCTCGATATTTCAGTGATGTTCGCACGCATCCTACTTGTTATTAAACTATGCTATGAATTCTCATTTAATTCATGATCGGTTGATTACGCTTTCGATAGCTCAAGGGTACTTGTAGCCATAAGTTATATTCACAATCGATATTTGAGGCTCTCAATTGTTCAATGATGTCCGTAGCCATCCTCTTTATTCACAATTGATCGCTGACGCTCTCAGTTGTTCAATTATATTCGTAACCACTCAATAATACTACGAGCTCTGTGCGTATTCATAGTCAATAGCTAACGATCTAAATAGCTCAATAAAGCTTGTAGTCCTCTACTTGATCACTGTTGGTCGCTAACGCTCTCAATTGTTCAACCATGCTTATAGCCACCATCTCTGGACCAAAATTCAACTTCTTTACACCATTGTGATCAGAAAATTCCCCACTTTCAACCAACCATTAAGACCAACCCACTGCTTCATATATCTATACCGAATTTTATCGGTTTTCGTCAAAACCTTCGACATTTATCGTAAATTCGTTATAAGCCATCAAGTTCATGATTCTTATTCTCTAAATCTTCAAACAACTTTAAAAAAAAACTGAGCCTTTATACTCCAAATATCACCTCTCAACTCTCTTTCAAACCTATGCTGATCTTTTGCATGCCATGAACAACTTCATACAAGCTTCCGAGATCAAAGAGCGGATTCGTAAGGGCCAAGCTATCGTGATATATCGCGGACACGCTTTGAGACTCGATAAATGGATAAAGTTTCATCCCGGCGGGGACAAGGCTATCCACCATATGATTGGCCGCGACGCGACAGACGAGATGAATGCATACCACTGTGACGAGACGGTCGCAGGTTTTTTGAAATGGAAAATCGGTAAAATCGATGGAGACTGGGTCAATTGTTTGCCTCCGATCCAGGGCGGAACGTACGCTGCCAAAGACGAAAATGATTCCAGCGAATCATCACACAAAAAAGATGTATCAGAAGCTGTAACGGGCCCAAAAATGTGTGGAGAACCCGCGGTCAAAGTGGTCCCCAAAATGCCCGAGGGCTTGGTTCCGTCGCTGAACATGACGCAGGCTTTCGAGCAGCACATCGTGGTGGACCGTGCTCTGTCGCACGCAGACCGCTACGACGACGCTCTTGTTCGTCGCGACCTGGAATCGTTGCCCAATCTCGACCCCGCAACGCAACATTGGCTTTCGCAAGAATACAACGAAATGCATCAAAAAGTGATCAACGCAGGACTGTACCAATGCGACTACACACGCTATTTTAAGGAAGCCACTCGAATTGCGCTGCTATTTGGACTCTCTTTGTACCTTTTGTTCGCACATAAACGCTGGTTTTGGAGCGCAGTGTGCATGGGAGCTGCATGGCAGCAATTGGTGTTCATAGCGCACGACGCGGGCCATATCAGTATCACACACAATTACCAAGTCGATAACATCATTGGGATGGTCGTGGCATCGTGGATCGGTGGACTATCGCTTGGATGGTGGAAGCGCAATCACAACGTACACCATTTGGTCACCAACGATCCAGTGCACGACCCGGACATCCAGCACTTGCCGTTCTTTGCTGTGAGCACACGTCTCTTCACAGACGTGTACTCCACGTACTACGAGCGTTTTCTGTGGTTCGACAAGCTAGCACGCAAGACAATCCCACTGCAGCGCTTTCTTTACTACCCGATCCTGAGTTTCGGTCGTTTCAATCTGTACCGGCTGAGCTGGATGCACGTCCTGCTTGGACAGGGTCCACGGCGCGGCAGCGCCGCGTGGTTCCGCTATTTTGAGCTTGCTGGGCTCGCCTTTTTTAATTATTGGTTTTTCTACTCGGTATGCGGATGTGGCCTGTCGACGACGCGGGAACGGGTCCAGTATGTGTTGGTTTCGCACATTGTCACCATGGTTGTGCACGTTCAAATCACACTATCGCATTTTGCCATGTCTACGTCAGATCTTGGTGTTGCTGAGGGGTTCGCGATGCGCCAGCTGCGCACTTCGATGGACGTTGACTGTCCCAGATGGCTAGACTTTTTCCACGGTGGACTACAGTTCCAAGTCGTGCACCATCTATTCCCACGGCTGCCACGGCACAACTTGCGGGCTGCGCAGCCGTTTGTGATCGAGTTCTGCAAGAAAGTGGGTTTGAAATATTCCATCTACGGCTTCAGCAAGGGCAACGAGGTGGTCTTGAGCAAGTTAGAGGAGATCGCTCAGCAGGCAAAGACCATGTTGGACTGTGCCAAGACGATGGAGCGCGATGCACACACCGCTGCGTCGACCAAGACACCAGAACGTCAAAATTGGGTCCAAACTCATCGCAGGCTCAATTGAAGCAGAATAACATATACAGAAGCATTACATACACAGCAGATAGCATTACAACAAGCACTACTGACCTGTCGAGAGCACTGGCGATCGATTGTGAATAAGAAGGTAACTCCAAAGCATATTTTGGACAAAACGGGAGTCGAGTCGTCAGAAACTGCCAGCGTAAGTCGACAAACGAGAGAACTAGAAGAGAACTCCGAGCGTAACTCAACAACTGAGAGCGTAAGTCGAAGTAAATCAACAACTGAGAGCGATATCGATCAATTGTGAGTAAGAAACGAACATCAAGCATATTTAAGTCAACAAGCGAGAGCGTTGGCGATCGATCGTGAACAGGAGACGAATATCAAAGTGTAAAGTCAACATACGAGAGCGTTAGCGATCGATTCTTGAGTGGAAGAGAACTCGAAGCTGTTAACCAGAGCGTTGAAAAGAGCTTGTAGCGCAGTCGAACTGATCATCAGAAGGAAGCATCAATCCAGCAACGTTAGCGATCGATTGTGAATAAAGGGAACTGTTATAAGAACCCAGAGAAGTCGACAAGAGCTCGTCCCACCATTGCTATACACCTAAACAACTAGAAAGCTCACCACTTGGAGACCCAAATACCCATGAAAGCGTTCAAAAACGGGTTTCCCAGCATCAAACGTGGTCGCGACAGCTCGCAGACCACTCACACCGGTCCCACCAACAATCAGCTCCAAGAAGATATCGATTCGCTGCCCCCAGTGACACTCCATGGCTACCGCGACACCACCAAGAGCCGACTCCTGTCCCCAGATATCTGCGACGAGCTACGCAGTCTGATGCCCACCCGTATACAGCTGTATTCCGACTGGCATCTGTTGTACAGTCTACAACAACATGGGGCATCGCTGCAATCGCTGTACAGTCGGACAGCGCCCGAGACCAAGCACCCGGCACGCGTGGGATACGTCGTGCTGGTCGAGGACCGCAAGGGAGGCCTCTTTGGAGGGTACTGCAACGAGCCACCGCGCGCTAAGGACAGCAAACGGTACTACGGGAACGGCGAGTGCTTCTTATGGCGTCTGGAGCGCGCTGCAAGCGTGTCGCTGGCCCAAAGAGAGGACGACGAGCCGTGTGCGCACGGCTGGCGATTCCGAGGGTACCCATACACCGGGCTGAACCAGTTTGTGATGCACAGCACGGGCCACTACTTTTCCATGGGCGCTGGGGACGGCCATTACGGGCTGTGGTGCGACCAGGCGCTCGAAACTGGGGTCACCAACCCGAGTTTGACGTTTGGCAACGAGACCTTGAGTCGTGAGGGCGCCAAGTTCCACATTGTGAACCTGGAGGTGTGGCGAGTGGGTGGGGGTCCCGAGATAAGTCCTCTGGGGCGACCTGGTTCACCTGGAGCCGGCTTTTGAAGACAATTCTCGCTTATTGTTCATTCTTCATTCTCCTCCCGCTCATACACCTCCTCCCGAGCCTGCTGGAACTCAATCGGGTGCTCGCGCTGGAACGCACGCCCCAGAAGCTCCACCACCTCGTTGCACCGCTCCAGACGACGCTTGATTTGACGTGCCACGCGGGCACCCTGGGCGAACCGCGTCTCCAGACGCGGCAGTCGTTGCTGCAGCGCTTCCACCAGTTGTTCAAGCTCTCTGCTGCGAGCGTTGATGAGTCCTGCGGTCCTGGTTTGGATCGCAGTCGCCTGTGCGAAGTCCGTGCTGTCGAGAGCGTGCGAGAGCGATTGGAACACAAATCGCGCCACGTCGAAGACCGGCGCGTCCAGCGGACGCGCCAATCGGTCCAGCACCAGTGGCGTGTCGTCGCCCTCGGCTCTCTCGTCCCCATCGTCCCCATCGTCCTCATCATCACTGTCGATGTCGCTGCTACTGCTAGAACTCATGGAAAGCGGCGATCCCGCGCCCGAAGGCGCCGGGATCGCGTACATTTGCGAGTCGATGCTCGCGGTACGCGAGCGGGACCCCAAATCGCTTGATCCAACGTCGCTCATGGCTCAATTGGCTCAACTGGCTTCAACTTTATGCCCTGTATAAATAAATTCAAATCTAGCTATCCAAACCTTTAACTCTACACTTCACTTTCCATAAAGACAAAAACGGGCAAAACGGTCAAAACGGGCACACCGTTTGCGTTTTAAAGTATCAGGGAGATGGCGTCGGGATATGCGCCGTCCGCAGAGGATGTGGTGCGAAGACTGCGTCCTTTTGGCATGCTTTTTGAGACATCTTTGAAGGATTTGATTAAAAGTATAAGAACCGCTGGCGAGGACGTGGAACAGCTGCAACAAGTGCTGGGACGAGCACTGGCAGAGTGTCGCGAGGAGGTGCGGGCGCCGGACGTAGAGCTCAAGGCCAACGCGGTGGTGAAACTCACGTATCTGGAGATGTACGGGTTTGACATGGCGTGGGCGAATTTCCACATTTTGGAGGTGATGAGCAGCAGCAAGCTACGGCACAAGCGAGTAGGGTATTTAGCCGCGTCGCAGTCGTTCTACAAGGATGTAGACGTGCTAATGCTGGCGACGAACCTGCTGAAAAAGGACCTGCGCTACGAGGGTCGTGGCGACGGACGCCACGACGTGCTGACCATGGGCGTGACGCTGAGCGGGCTGTCGACAATGGTGAGTGCAGCGCTAGCACGCGACATTTGCGAGGACCTGTTTGGGATGCTGGGCAGCACCCGGCCGTATATCCGTAAAAAGGCCGTGGCAGCGCTGTTCAAGGTGTTCTTGCAGTTTCCAGAGGCATTGCGCGACCATTTCGACCGGTTTGCCGCGCGACTGCGCGACGAGGATCTCTCGGTGGTGTCTGCGACTGTGAGCGTGGTGTGTGAGCTTTCCAAGAAAAATCCACGTCCATTCGTGGCGCTGTCGCCGCTGCTGTACGAAATGCTGTTCACAATCGACAACAATTGGATTATCATCCGGCTGCTCAAGCTTTTCACGAATCTGGCACAAGAGGAACCGAAACTGCGTGTAAAGATCTTGCCCAAGGTGCTAGAACTCATGCAGATGACATCGGCAACGTCGGTAATCTACGAGGCCATTAATTGCATTGTCCGAGGCCAAATGCTGCAAGAAGACGACTTTGACGCTGCGTCCTGCTGTTTGCAAGAGCTCAACAAGTTTTGCAACTCGAACGACCCCAACCTGCGGTACATTAGCGTCATTCTGTTTTACAAGATCGGCAAGATCAACGCGCAATTTATTGCCGAATTCGACGCTCTCGTCATTCGTTTGCTCAAGGACGTAGACGTGTCGATTCGGAGCCGCGCGCTGGAATTGCTAGAGGGCGCTACAGACGACAACAATCTGGCCACAGCGGTGCAGATTTTGATCCAGCAGTTTGTGGACAAGGACGTTGTTTCTGCAAGCAACCTTTTCCGACCAGTGGGGACAAACGGCATCGAAATTGAAATTCCAGCGTCTTACAAGACCAAAATGGTCAGTGTAATCTTGAAAATCTGCTCTTCCGAAAACTACGCCAAGATTTCAGACTTTGACTGGTATATCGCCGTACTCTCGGACCTGTGTGTGGTGTCGCAGGATCTCATCAGCACCAACAGCAGCATCGGGTACCAATTGGCAGATGAAATCAGAACCATAATGGTCAAAGTGCCCAGTTTGCGAGCCAAATTCATCAACACCATCGCGAACCTGGTTTTGAATGAGGATATAACTTTGCATATGCCTATGATTTTACGAGAGGGCTACTGGTGCATTGGAGAATACTCGGCTCTTTTGCAAGACGGGGACGTGTTCATTGAGAAATCTGTGATGCATAATAGAGTTTCTCCGGAGGTTCAGCAAATAATGGCTCAGGCTTTGTTAAAGGTCTTTAGCAACTGGTGCAACAATGATCCAACCAGACCTATTGTGCACGTCAAACAGGTTCTTGCGAAGCTGATAGGTTTCTATGAGTCTCTCACCACGTCGCAATCGTTCGAGGTTCAAGAAAGAAGCGTGGAGTTCCTCGAGTTTTGCAAGTTGTGCGATGAATCTCTGGAAGAAGATGACGATCAGGATTTGCCGCTTTTGATCACAGAGGTTCTGCCCGGGTTTTTCGATGCGTACGACCTCAACCCTATTTTGCATGGCACGCAAAAGAAAATCCAAAAGAACCTTACTCTCGACCTGGACACGCCTTTCCTCGACGATGACGAGCTAGAGAAGCTTTTACTTGAGGATTCTAGTAAAAAAGATTCAGAATCTTTGCTGCAATCGGATATGGAACTGGATTTCGAATCAGATGCAGAAAGTGTCACGGCACAGGATCCTCACGAATCCTTCTCGGTTCCAGAGGTGACTAAAGAATTGAGTGCAGCAGAGCGACACGCTTTAGAGCAGAAGCGCAAACAAGACAGAATGGACAATCCATTCTACCTGGAGGCCGATGACGACTCCTCGCAAACCAAAAACAGCAAGCTAATTGATTTCGGTGACGACGAAAACAACCAAACTTTAGCCCAGCCCAAGAGCAACAGTACGCTTCATTTGTCGCTCACTGGTACTGCGACAGACGATTCCACGCGGAAAAAAAAGAAGAAGAGTAAGAGAAAGGCCCAAGTTTTAGAGGAAGAAGGGGTGCCTGATTTGATAGATAATCCAGAGGTCTACGAGGATCCTCACAAAACTTTGGGCAGCGGTTCCAGCGTGAATTCAAGCGCGATTAATCTCAAGGTGCATTCTAAGCTCGAAAGTTTCGATTTCACCTCGCCACAGATTTCCCCAGACCCTACGCCAGACGCCGACACAGACGAGTCTGCAGACATCAGCAAACTGCGAGCTAAGTTTGCCTCCACGTCGGTCGACCAAGAAAACGATTCCAACGATGAAGTAGTCGTTGTGAAGAAGTCGAAGTCGAAGTCGAAGTCGAAATCCAAGAAAAAGGGCTTCAAAAAAAGCGCCAAGAAAAGCTCAGAAGAGTCCTTACCTCCAACGTAGTAATTCCCATAATTTCAAGTTCTCAAGCTCCTGCCAATGACTTCGTGGGGCTGATCTCTTCACAGAATTGTCATGTATATACTATACACACGTACTCGAGTCTTATTAACGATATCACGATATACGAAATTCTTAATACGTTTACCAGATTAAGATCCGATTCTGACATCTTCAACTCCACAACAGCGGCTAAATCCAACATCCTATCCTCCAGGACACTGCAATACCATGATCTTTAAGGCCAGTATTTCCAGTAATCAAAGCCATACTGTTTGGAGAAAAGTTATTCAAAATCTGAGCACTTTCCATGAAGATATCAGGTGCACCATAACGCCAAGGGAATTCATAATTTGGTCAATGAATAGCACTGACACGTCAATGAGCCAGGCGCGTTTCAAGTGTGGGTTCTTCGAAAGCTACGAATTTAGACCGGAAGAAACGGTATTTGGAGAGGACGGTCTTCAACAGGTGCAGGACCAACAGCTAAATGTGCATAAACTATATTCCTTCAAGATTAATGGCAAGCTTCTGGCGATCTTGTTTCGCAAGCCTGAAAGCGATAACATCACAACCCTGCATTTAGCCATTCACAATGGAGCAACGTGTCCTGAGTCTCTCGCAAACCGGTTTCAAATAACAATTCACACGGAAAGTCTGATGGTCAAGGAATATGGGCCCAACATTGTGCCTATCAAATACGATCCTATTGTGATAAATCTGCGATACAAGAAAAGGTTCTTAGACGTTTATGGTGGGTCGTGCGAAGACCAGGAGGAGCAGCTCGACCCGCGATTATTGGAAATGTTCAAAGCTTTCGACAGGGAATTGACACAATCGTATTTTAACAGTGACATATTATCCACCGGCAAGCGCAGTAATGCGCTCACACCCGAGGACGAGATCAATTACCTATGCTGCAATCACCAGCTTTTGAAAAACTTCATTGACAGCTGCAATACCAGCGCCACTGAGGAAGTCAAAGTCGAGGTCTCGATCTCCAAGCTCTGCCTCACAGCTTTCACAAAGGGCATATACAGCAAAAATAACGACGTGCTGCGTAACGCGATTCGCGCCACGAACATTGTCGGTACCAATGATTTGGAACATTACTGTTTATTCACTACGGCAGGCGATGAAAATAGCAAAAGACCGCTGGCCAAGGCCATCTCATTCGGTATGAAGGACTTCAAAAACTTTGTCAACATGGCGGCTTTTTGGAGAGGCGATCAAGATGTCAACATATGGTTTTGTCGCCCAGGAGACCCTATCTTCATGGAACTAGTCAAGGATGACCTACAACTGGAGCTCGTTCAAGTCACTGATAGTGGCGACGCCGTCCAGCCGATGGGAAGCAAAGTCACAGTCACAAGAAACAGCCCGCTTCGAAACTCGGTGGTGAAAGTCGCCAGTCCAAGGAAATCGCCGTTGAAGAATAAAGGTCCATTGACGCCAAACGTGGCGGATAACACGCACAGCCCTTTGAAGCCCAAGTCTCTTTTCACAACCGAGGACGATGAAATGCAGGAGCGACAACAGCAACGGTGGAAAAATCCCATCCGGGGTAAAAGACGACTTGACGATGAGGATCAAGAAACCCACCCAAGTGCCAATTATGAGCACCAGCAACATGCTGAGACCGCGGCTCACCGGACCCAAACGACCATCGAGTGGGGCGACGGTCGTCCGAATCTCACAAACGATGGCCCCGGCCCTGGAGCCGCTCTCGATCAAAGAGGTATGCTGAGGCAAGAAAAGAAGAAGTTTTTACGGGACCTCAGGGTTCAACGAGGGAAAGATCACCAGGCACAGACTGGAGCCGAAGACGAACAGTTTGGACCGACTCAGAAAGATCGGCCCAAGGGTCTTTTCGACTAGTCTTGACTCACTTTCGAGGCCAATTATAAACTGCTATCGATGATTCCACATTCACAAAGCGAATCCAGAATCGACATTCTCTGGAATATGAATTGACTATACATGCTAAACGGGTGAGTGAATGGGTGGGGAGCAGAAATGCACTCCGGTCAACCTTTCTCTTCACTCTTCTTTTGCAACGGGGATTAGGGCAGCTTCTTCCTTGGCCTTAGCTTCCTGACCACCTAGAAAATGGTAGTTGACATAACGGAACGCCTGGCCCGTCTGCGCCAACGAATTGACCACATGGCATCCGAATAACAGATAGTTTTTGGGCTGTACCGTTAGTGCGAATTTCATGAACACGCCAGAATACAGGATCAGAGCCGTTGTCATTGGGCCCGAGATTCTTTCAGGGTCCTTTTTGAGATCGTAAATCGCAGCTAATGGAATCCCAAAGTTGGATACAGGGCCCCAGAAATGTGTTGTGAGCATGTACTTCATTGTTTCCTTGTTCACGTACCGACGGAGGAAGGTTTGGGTCACCGCCTTTTGAGCAGACTGAGACATGTTGATGGATTGATACTAAAGTTCTGTTTTTATATTCTCAAGGATAACAACCAAAAGGTAAGTATAAAGATCCTGGGATAATTTTGGAGTGCAATTGACGAGATTGTTGCCGACTATCGTTGTCCGAAAGATGGTTTCGTTAAAGAAAGGGTCAAGTCACACCGGAAGATTTTTGATCATTGTTGAAGTTCGCCGTACCGAATGAAAGAAAAAAATCCGATGATGTGGGTCGAGGCGATAAGTGAGCTCAGCGATGGCATAGAGTTGGCATTTAAAGCCAGGTAAAATTGGCAGCGTTGGAATTGGGCTTATGGTAAATTCCAGGTTCTGTTCTCTGGAGATTTTATTCGAGATTTTTGATATCTTCGTTTTTGATTGACCAATCGTCCAAAAATTGACCTGGAAAAAGGCTGGTACTGCCGTGAGACAACTGGAAAGGATTTGGGGATTATAGTGTGGTTACAAGTGGGATCTTTGTTCCAAACTGACCGTGAAATCGGTGACGATGATGCTCGCCATCTTTGAAAACATTGCTCGTGCGAAACGACCTCGATTTTACTATCACTACTGCAAGAGCGAGTGAACTCATTGCCCATGCATTATTCAAGAAATGCGTGGTGGAAGGCCCAAGTTTCTCTCCCAAGACTCTCGACTATGAGCTACAACGGTAATCTGGGGTTTGATAGTCTGCATCAACACTCAAAGAACATCCCGAGACCTACTTCGTCGGGCCAGATTCTCGATCAAAATGCAAGAATAAATGGAAATGCAGATCCCGCCAGACAACTTTACTCGTCCAACAATCAGCAAGCTTACTATTCAAACTACGCCACGTATGGGTTTTCTCAAGGACAGCCTCAAATGTCTTATAACGCTTATCACCCATACCATAATAATCCAATGCAGCAGCAGCGTTCACAGGCATTTTATGGAGCTCCTCCATATTACAATCAGCCGGCGCCGGCGCCGGCGCCATATTTCCACGGGCTTCAAGGACATCAGCGTGAGCAGACTCCATTTTTCAATGCGCAGGTCAGTTACTCGACGGGTCATAACGAAACTCCTAAGAACGATCATACTGATGAGGAAAATCGTTTGGAAATGAAGGCCCCAGAAAAGACAAACATTGACACCAAAGAAACGGTGGCAGATTGTTTGTCGCAGAAGAAGAAAGAGGAGACGGAAAAGAAATCGGTCGCCATTCAAGGCACATCCATCACGTTAGAGTCGGAACATGACATCAAGCAATGGAGAGAAGAGCGTCGAAAGATGTGGCTTGTCAAAATTTCAAATCAACGAGAAAAGCATAAGGCAGATCTTGGAGTCGAAGAAGTGGAGCCCAATAACAATCTCTCTTTTCAAAGTGCTAGGAAAGACAAGCAATTCATTCAAAACATTCAGAATCAAATTAGCAGGTACAATCCCAGTCCCAATTTGAGTCTGAACTTGGTGCAAAGAACCATGGCAGAAGAGAATACAAGTCTTCTCAATTTCATCAAAGAGCTGGGGGATGCAAAATTGCTGGAATACGAATTAAACGAAGAGGAGAAGGAGAAGCTGTTTGGAAGCGGCAGAAGAGGCAGAAATAAGGTTGACCATAACAATAATTATAATGATAATAATACGAATAAACGGACTGCAAATTCTCGACATGGTCCTTCTCGTTACGAAGGAAATACCAAAAGGCAGCGCGTACAAGAACACAATAAAGGAAACTAAGGGCATTGGAACTAATCGATTTGCATCTTTCAGGGCATTAATTTTTTGAGAAGTAGCTTTATGGCTAAAGAGCTGAATGCAGAGCCTAGAAAGGAGCCACAAATCACACCGCGAAAGAAATCCCGTCTTCTGTCGGCCTCTGCCAGCTTGAGCTTGTTTTCTCTTTTTGCGAGTTGCAGTTCAAGCTTTGAGATTGACATTTTTCCTTCTTGAAGGCTCTTTTTGGCATGTCTGCTCCTTTTCTTGCGGTGTTTAGAGATACGGTGGGGCTTCCACGGTTTTTCTTTACGAGGCACCTGAATTTCACTCTCCACTCGAAGAGGCTTGATGACGAGCTGATTCTCTTGATTCTGCTCACCACTGGGCGTTATCATCGATGACTAGTGTTTTGACAAATTATATTTCCTTCTGAATGGAAGGACTGGTCTTGTGAGTAAAGCCCATCTTTCATCTGACTCTTTCACGTTTTACAAATGTCTTGATTTGTCCATATTTCAAGCGCTGGGTGCTGTTTCATTTCTGTCTCATATCTGTTTCAAGATGTAACTTACTCTTCGATCAGCAAACTCAGCTCAGCTTTGATCATATCATTGACAGTCTGAACATAATACAACTGGGTTTGCTCAACCTTTCATTCAATCCTAAGTGCATTCAATCTACCTTAAAAATAAATTGTACGTTTAAAAGTGCCATATAAAAATAATCCCCGAAGCCGGTTATCCCATGTTAGCGATCCCCACTAACAGTCCCAAAGTACCCACAGATCCTGCCAAAAAACCAATCATCCCACCGATGATAACTTTCTTTGTATCAACGGGCATAGCTTGTGGCTGATCACCTATAATAGGACCAACCTTCGCTCGCTTAAAATCATCGGTCATGACAGGGCGTGCTTCATCTTCGGTTTCCAACCTTCTCTTCCGAGACGATTGGCAGAAAACATTGATTGGTAAGGCGTCAGAGTTGTCCTCATCTGGAAGGTCAACAGCAGTAGCACAATCGTAGCACTGGGGCGTAACGTCGCGAGAAGCACTGATTTCCGCCACTGGTAAATCTTTGTAAGAAGGCGGTTCTTCAACAGAAATCACAGCTTCTGAGACTTTGAGCTCACTGTTCTCTCGCGCCACAAATAGCGTTGGACAAACGCTTTTTTCTGTGAGCAACTCTGTATCGTCTTCACTTTGTTCTTGACTTGAAACCTCTCCTCCGTACTCCTCAACGTCTTCGACCTCCATTTCCAGGTTTATTGAGCGTTCAGACTCGCCATTGTGGTTGGGTTCATCGTCCAGTAGCACAACCTTATGGTCAACGTCACAATTGCGTGGAGTGCTGTCTCGTTCGCAAGTGTCGAGTTCCAGACCGAACTCCTCGCTGAAGTTTAGATCGGATGACGAAGAAGAAGGGCTTGAAACGGCCTCGGTGCGGCCCATGGTGGGGGGTCTGCTAACGTAAGGGCTGTCCTCATATGTCACGTTACTTAGGAACAGATCCAAAGTACCAGAGTCGGGACGAGCTTCGTTTGTTTTGAGACTCACTTGGAACTTAAGTTTGGCCCCACGCGACTGACCGGCCGCCACGGGCTGGTAAAGCTTGATGAGGCCAAATCTCTCCCCGTTTTTCAAATCGATGATTTTGGCATCTGCATCCTGCGATTGCAAATCCACCAGGCCGTGCGTGGAGCCCAAGTCCTGCACTGAGATGCGGAACTGGTCCAACAATGGAACGTAGGGGTCTTTCTCCGCGGGTAATAACCGTTTGATGCACAATAAAGCGTGCTTCTTGCTAAGACTCTTTTCGTGAAACAAAAAGTTGTTTTCGCGGTCAAAACGTTCCGGATCCTTCAAACTGGCTCTTCCAATGGGAAACTGTAGCCCACCACCCTCTGCATCAGCGATATTGAAAGATACTTTCCGAAAGCCTCCCAAATCGGTGCAACTCATCGTTTCTTGAAACCAAAAATACCAGAAACTTCTCGCAAAAAAACGGCCAATTCAAGATTTCCTTGAATGATTATCAGATTTAACACAGAACCTTGGAACTCTCAACTCAATACCGTGTTGATTGAATACTGAAGCTGACTGTGTCGATTCGTGGTACTTGTGAGTTTGTAAATGTTACAAGTGTATTCTCACCCCTTGGTTTTATTAGTACTCCATGATGTCGTCATGTACGGGTGTGACGCGCAGCTGACGTCTGACGTCTGTCATTCAGAGAAATGGCTAAGTCATCGCGACCACTGGCACTGTAATTGGATACACCAGTGTTAGTTATTAGCAGTTGTACATTAACCAAGCGGTGTTTCTCTTATCGTTGCTTGTCGATAGAAATGGAATTTTTAAAATGGGCTTTTAGGCCGGTCCGAGCCCTGTTTCTAGTCAAGGCACAAGATTCAAAGTGACTTCACTTTTGAACGGATTCTAGCTCTGTTTCTAGTCACGGCACAGGATTTAAAATGGCTTCACCTTTGCGCAGATTTTCGTTAACATCACATCAAAATACAGCTTTTCTTCAATTTGTCGCGTTTGCGGGTCTTAGAACCATTCTTTTTGGAGTCAGGGCCCTTTCTAGAGGATCTTGCGTTCCCATTTCTTAGGTTACCAGCGGCTTCGTAGTTTCTTTGCATGTTTCTAGCCACACGCGCATCTTCCTGTTCTTGTAGTTGGCGAGCATATTGCTCGTCCGTCATGAAGTTGGAGTCATTCTCCGCAACGCTGGAGCCCGATCCGACGGGATCGGCAAATGGATTGTTTGTTCCGCCCCTTGGAACTGCAGCCATAGAACTGTCCAGTGTTGCAGAACGATCGGACATCGCAGGAAGAAAGTTGCCTGTAAAGAAAGTGTCCTGGGAACCATTTACCGATTTCAGTGATTGCCAAACAACATTTGCGTTTTCCTTGAACCCGAGATCTGTCACCAGTGTGTACAGCTGGTTATTGGACTTGCAGATCGTGGCAAAGTGGTCGTTGCGGAACATGACCGCGTACGAATTTTCCAGCAGCACTTCCTTCATGTGATCCAGGCCGCACTCCGTGAGCTGCGTGGCAGATCTCGCGAAGAAGGACTTGATGAAGCCGGCATCCTCAAGCACCGTGCGGTTATGTTCTGTCTCTGCAATGTTCCCATGCTGAATGTCGTAAGCTGCGATCAGTGCTTTCTGAGCTCCCTCGTATGAGTAGCGAGATACATGCTCGTACTGCATTGGATCACTGGCATAGTCTGCAAGCCATCCATGGACAAGGCTCACATTGAAAAGACGGAATAGAGCCATTTCGTCCCCATCTTCGAAAGAACCGTTGAACGTTGGGTTTATCGAAAGCCCCGTGTGCAGCTGTGGCATTAGTTGCAGAAGTCTATCTACATCTTGGTGTGCACCCCGTGGCGTTTGCATTCCGATGTTTGCCAGCGTGGTGATGATTTCATCAAGCCCCACTTCGTTCTTCCTCGAAACTAGCTCTAGCAATGGACCCGCTTGTTGCGACAACTGCGGTGAAAGCAGAAGCACATTGCACAGCGCTAGCAAAGCACATGGTCCATTTTCGTTCTGCAGAAGTATTTTATGTGCGTTACCATTGACACTAATATCTTTTATATCAAATGTTAGACTCATCTTGCAGAGAAATCGTCGTTTTAAGGCCTGATTTCGGGATATTTCGACACCTGCTATTCAATTGGGTACGGTGTGCACAGTTTGAGTACTTATAATGACTCAATTGATCTTTTAAGGTTCCAAAACGTACTCTTCAAACGTTAACGTTCGAGTTAGTTTTCTCGAGACTCTCTATTCCTATAGATTAGAGTAGGTATTTTCCAATGAAAAAGGGGTTGACACCAAATGTCATTTTAAACGTACAGTTTGATTATGTAATTTGGATTATGAAATCATGTTACGTAAGTTGATTATGTAAGTGTGAGCTCGGCGGCTATTTAAAAAGAAGAATAAATCTCAGCTTTGTAAGAGACAGGCAAAGTGGGCCTGAAAGATTCATAGAGTACAACTAAATCAGTATTCAAGAGTAGAGGATCTGCCAGGCTCTGCGAGAACTGAGAGTCCTGGCAATCCTTTATGTACACGAGAGATAGAGTTTACACCATGATGATAGAATACAGAGTTATAATGAAGAAAGTGTGCGTAAGTGAGAGGGCGCAGTGTGAAGACGAGGCAGAGAGAAAGAGCTTCAAGAAGTCAGATCAACAAGAGGTGGTCGAATGTAGAATAACAACACAGACGTGCCGTCGTTGGCTGAGAATCGCAAAACGACAACAAGCCCTAGTAAGTGTCAAAAAAGTGACGAGTGATGGACGTGATTTTATAGGACCCTCAACAAGTGCAAATTAAATGCTTCAATTTTTCCTCTACTACTGTAGGTCGAGCTCATTTACTTTTGCTGCAGTTGGGCCAAGCTGTCAAGAAGACTTTGGACGTTATTATTACCAGAGACGGATGGAGACTGCTGTTGTGGGACAGGGTTCTGAGCCGGGGAGTTCTTGGGAGCAGCTGTATAAGCCGGCTGCTGCTGTTGAGGTACCTGTGATGGGCGCTGTGGCTGGTGGTGTACCGGAGGAGTTCCCATAGGCATCTGCTGGAACCCACCATACGAGACAGGGGCAGGGGGAGACCCTTGAGCTTGGGCTTGCTGCGGTTGCATAGACTGGATTATCCCAAGCAGCTGTTGCTGTTGCTGGGGCTGTTGCTGTGCCATGGATAGTAGGTTGGAAACAACATTGGGAGGTAGGTTTTGAATGGCCGAGAACAATTGTTGTTGATCCATTTGAGGGGCAGAACCCATCACTGGTGCCATTGGAGGCGGAGAAATATGGGTAGGTGGGCCAGGGATTGGGTGGCCAGGATAGGAAGCGTAGTTCTGAGTCATAGAAGGACCAGGTGGAGGGGCACTGTACGCTTGTGGTGCCGGGGCCACAGTCCCGTATGCTTGCTGCATGTAGGCCTGTCCCTGTGGGACCGGACCTGGTGGAGCATTGTAGCCACCATAGTATTGCTGCTGAGGTACCGGCTGAGGGGGGATGTTCATCATGTTATGCCTCTTATTCTTGAGATTATTGAAAATTGCAATAGCATCCTCGCAAGATACACTTGCGTATTCATCGAATTTGGTCTCGCCCTGTGGGCCTTTGTAAAATGTCTGAATGTCCACGTTTCTAGTCTTGTTAACAAGCACCACACCCCATACGCCGTCGTAAGCGGCATCGTTCATCATTTTGCGCAGTTCCATACGTGGCTTCAAAAATATCATATCGGTCTCCAAACCGGTGCCTTGCCTAAATCTGCCAAAAATATCGTTAGCATACGATCTGTCTGCTGTTCTCTTGACGTAAATTTGGCATTCTGGAACGCGTCTCTTACCTCGTTTCTGGCTCTCGCTGTAGATGTCTTCCTCGTCTTCATCTTCGTCGAATGGACGTTTGGACGACGAGATAAACGTGGAACTGCTATTCGTCCCGTGGTCGCCGTGGTCATACTGTGGCCGGCTGTTGGACGACGAAATTTCAAGAATCAGTTTTTTGCCAAAATTCAATTCATTCGACTCACCCGCTATGGCAGCTCTTACTGACTGAGGATTATCGTATTGTATGAACCCAAATGCGTTTTTGATGTTGATCTGGTAGATATGTCCATATGGCGAGAATATGCGGAAGAGGTCATCCTTGGCGACATTCTTCAAGGGTAGGTTACCAATGAAAAGACGCGACTTAGGAGGAATATTCTGGATCTCTGTAATTCTGTTCTCGCCCCTCAGATACTCGTTGTAGCGTTTACGCTCCACTGCGGTCATAGGCTGGAGTAAATTGGGTCTACCCTCCCCTTCCTCCATGGCTGGTGTCTGGGAAGCTGCCATTTGGCGCTGTGGCAATGCGGTTTCAGGATTCGCATTGAGTAGCGTGACAACTGCACTAATTTTTTCTGCGTCTGATAGGCGTTGGAACTGAGGTCTGTCCAGTAATTGACTTTCTAAAACCGTGTTGGCCTGTCTTTGAAGTAAGCTGTAGTCCACACTTTCTAAGTCTGTACTGTAGTTGTTGACATCGAACGCCTGAGGTTCAGATGTCACGCCTTCGGTGTCTGCGACCGATGATTCCTCCTTTTCAAAATCTTGGGCTTCATCTGCCGAGGACGCTTCACTTTCCAGCTCGGCATTCTCGATTTCTGCTTCTTCGTCAACGTGTGGCTGTTCGGGTCTTGCGACCTCATCGGAGCCTTCACTGTCCTCAGAAATACTTGGATCTGCAAGCTCTTCATCATCCTGCTCGATTTCGGCTGCTGCTTTAGGCGACGCCTGTGCGCTTTCAAGCTCCTCTCCCACTTCGAGAGAAGTCGCTTCATGCGCTACTTCGACCGCTGAGGTCGGTTGACCACTGTAAGCGGCTGCGTCGCCAATTTCGCTTGCGTTGTCATTCATCACTTCGTTTACGGGTGGGTCCACTTTCGATGATTCCGCACCGACCAAACCTTCATTTTCGTCCTCGTTGGTAGCTGTTTGGATCTCAGGAGTGGCGCTGTCCTCTTTCTCGGCAACAAATCTCTCTTCGTCGTGAGAATAGAGGCTTTCCTCCTGTTCTGATTCACGTTCTTCTTCGTTAAGGGCATCTGCACCCGCGGCCGCGACACTAATTTCCTCCACTGGGGCACCGTCCAGAGCGGGAGGAGCGGAGGGAGCATTCCCACCAATTTCTAGCGGTTCAGGATTCTCGAAAGACATTAAAAATGGACTAGATGTCGGACTAAATCCCTATAGTTTTGGATTGGGAAGGTTCAAGATTATAAAGAAGACGAAGTAGTATAGAAATTCAATTTTCCATATATATTTATTCCGAGTTTGAGAGGGTAACCGATCGTCGGCGACACTAATTGAAATAACGATGATTGGGAAAGCGATAGTCGAGCAAGAGACCGGGTAGGGTTGTCTAACCCGTCTGATGCTTCATTTTTGCCTTATGGTACTCAGTATGTATTGGTAAGGCCTTCTATTGAATCGTGAGCCATGCTCTTCACTCCCGTCGAACCAGTGTTGATCAGAGTTCTGACGGTAAGAAAGCAGGGCGCTGAGTAGACAGGTTTAATTCGCTATTAGTTTAGTTGGTCCAGGCAATTCATTTTACATGGCACTTTCTTGGCTTCGCTCCCCACCCCCCTCTTACAAACCAACATCTGCGCGAGAAATGCATTTTTTAGCCGAAAAAAGGATTTAGGTCGGTCTTTAACGGTAGAATATTATAATTTACTATTTACAGCTCCATAATGTTAACGTGCGTTTCCAGGAAGATAAATAATTTGAATTGGAAGCGGACAGCTTGGCTGAATACAGCTTCGGAACCTGTTCCTAATATTTTCCTAGCCTTTTGATCCATCCAGCAGACAGCGGCCCTGGTTCGATGTAGGCCACTCGGTTGTTCAGAGACTCGGAAGGTACGGCGTTGTAGCGCCAAAAGTGCAAAAAAAGGCTTTGGTTCGGTGCTCTCGATTATTTTCCTTCTTATTCTTTTTTTTTTTTGGAATACAGACCTCTGTTACGTGTCTCTGCTCGACGGTGTTGAAACTGTCCTCAGTTCCTCAGCTTCCAGCTGTTTTTTCCGTTCCACAGCAGCTATAGGTGCGTCGGAATCCAGGGTATGTGCGGGACACGGTATCGCTGAGCTCAACGCTACCGAAGAAAAGGCTACCAGAAAAGTTGTCACAAACAACCGGTTTGTTACGTTTACCCTCGTAGATGCTCTCATTGTACCAAATCAATCAATAAATAAAGTTAAATGCCAAAGTGAATGACCAAGGTGCGCCAATAAATATCTCTCAGATGATGCCTTTTGCCTAGAGAAAAATCCTTGATCTAGTCTCGAAAATGCAGTTGAAAATGGCTTGGTGGTTGTTGCGCAGCTTTAATGCAGAATAAATATACAGGAAGGTACCTTGGAGGGTTAAATGAGAGGAGAAAGATTGGTTATATATCTTTTCAACTCGATACTCCCGTTCTATCCTTGGTATATCGGCAGTATTTTTAAAATACTACTGGTATAAGTATTTCTGTACGATAAAATATTTTATATCGGCTCAATCCATATAGTCACGTGGCTAAAAGAACAGAAAACATCGATCATTGTGATTACGTAAAGCAAAAAAAGACTGTTAAGTAAAAAGTGATAAATATCGGTATGTTCTCTGGACAAGGCAGAAGAAGCCTGGTCTGCACGAGCCTTTCCTCGTCGGTGGAACCCATGAATATTCGTATACTTGCGTTGTTAGTTTACAGCTTAGTTCTGACTTGATCCTTAACACATCTTCAGAGAAAGACATTCGTGATGCTCACTTTTAAATATAAACTAGAGACCATCTCATGCTAAAAAAACTGCGTGTTTAGCATTGTAGACCTTAAGTCTTGTTCAAAAGTTGATTGCCACACATTCTTATTTGAGATTTTGAAGGATACGAAGCCCAGTCCCACCTAAAGACCTATGATTTTTCACTTGAAGCTCTCTATATTAAAGATGTTGACTCGCCAGGAGCTACCGACGAGCTTTGACGGGCCATCGAGTTTTTCAGCGGTTGCATTGTCATTGAGAAGCCAGGTGGATATGCTGCTGTTGTGTTTGCTGAAGTAATCGCAGACGGAAGACTAGGCGTCGAGGGAATAGACGAAACAAAATCGTCGAAGTCGTCCACGTCTTCAGGTTCATGTCTCACAATGCTACTTCTCGAGTGAGAGGATGTGGGCCCGGATCTCGTTGTAAAGGAAGCCGAGCCTTTATTTAGCACCAGCGGCCTGGACGGAGGTTTGCTGTTTAATCGTGGCGTTGCTTTCATGGGTGGCAAGCTCTGCGCGCTGTTGTTCACCGACACGGTTGGTTTGGGTAACGGCTTTGACATTGCTTGTTGATTTGAGCCCTTCTGGCTTTTCGGGAGTATGGCAGGAACATCTATTTTATGAGACGCCTGTAAGTCTGGATCCTCCAACTTCGGAACATGTTTCTCTATTACATTATCGAAGTTAGCCTCTTTTCCAGTGGAAGCTCTGAGTTTGGCCAAATGAGCTTGCTGTATCTCAGCGCTGATTTTATTAATAGCGCTTGTGAATTGAGTATATTGCGTAGTTTTCAAATTTGGGGCCATAGAGAAGTCCCAGAGTAGAGGTAAAAGCTGATCGACCAACACTAGCTCTGTTTCGACCAACTTGGGCAGCAAAACAAGCAGCTCGAGAGACTTCATGAGGATACGAGGGTCTCGAGTCTTCATTAATTTGAACAAAGGAAGTAAATCGTCGATGCAAATAAACTTGTCAATTGCTTTCTGTTCAATCATGGTTCGAAAACTATCAACACATGCACTTTTAACGGTTAGACTTGTGGTCTTAACGAACAACTTTGACAGCAAATTGAACAAAAAGTTCTTCACGGTAGCGAAATCAAAAGCTTTCAACAGAACGTCCAGTTTGCCCATTAATGACTCTTGCAATGCCACAGCTGTTTCCCCAGTACTGTCACTGAAGACATGTGTGCACAGAGGCTTCAAAATTTCATTCGTGAACAGTTCACCCTTGATTTTCATTTGTAGCGTGGCCAGATTTTCGATCATACTAGCTGTTGCAATCTCTAATAGCCGTTTGAAGTTGTCTTTTGCAACAAGATGCGGATATATTTTCTCTTGAAACGACAGCTGTGACAAAGTTGCCCCGATTTTCGATATCAGTGTCACAAGCGTGTTGAGGCCCTTATAGTCTATTGTATCCGATGAGCAGACTTGGTCGAGCAGATGCAACAAAACAGGCAAAAACTTTCGCTGAAGTAACTGCGCTGGGAATTGCGGCAAGATGTCCAGTAGCCCGCTCAAGTAAATTCCTCTCTCTTGTAGATCTTTTGTTGGTAGATCATCTAGAAATGCTAAGGTCTTCACTAACGGGTCTTGAAAGAAATCAGTTTCGAGAAACTCATGTATATTATCAAACCTTGAAAAGACATCTCTGTTCATTAGCTTGGACATGCTAAATCTCAGCTTGTCAGGTACCTTGGAGAAGTATTTTTCTGGAGTCAATCGCAGCAGGTCTCTCTCATACCTCCCATACTCTTCTCTGTAGTCGCCAATATAATCCTTACAAGAAAACAAGTGCGCTTTGTAGTATAAGAAATATATCAGCAAACCGAGCGAAAAATAATCATTTCTTGGTGTAAGCATATTCTCCAGTATCAATTCTGGGGCACTATAGCTAAGGGGTATATGCATGAAAGCAGCATAGCGCGGGTCAAAGTCTGGGCTGTATTGACCTGAGTTGGCACCTGAAGGCAGTTTTGTAAGATGACCCAAGCCTGACAACTTCCAATCGGAGTTTTCGTTGATCAGCACGGATGTTGGTCTGAGGTCAAGCAGAACCGAGTTTGCACGGTTGTGAATAAAATCAAGGCCCTGAGATAGTTGTTGAATACCGCGTTGCGTTATCACGTCTCCTGATCCGGACAAACTCAGCATCTCGGCACCATCGCTAGAGTTAGCTTCCAGGACGGAAGACTCTAAACTGCCACTCACGTATTCGGACACAAACATGAAGTTTTTGGAGTGTTCTTCGAGAGGCTCGATAAGCGCAAGCACGTTTGGGTGCTTGAGTTTCGCCAGCTGACTTACCTGCGCTCGCAGTATATCGTAGGCATTTTGAATGAACTGCTTGTCTCTACTGGAGGAACGAGACTTTATCGCCCCTGTTGTCAGGAGGTTGTTCTCAAACTGTTTTTTGTCGAATATGAAAACCGAAACCTTGGAAGTGGTCGAAGAGGATCCGGAGCTCTTTGGCCTACCAGAATGTACGTTCCAAGGCTCTGAAGTGAAGGTAGGTGACGAGGAGTATGAATAATTAGAGCTGATGCTGGACTTCGAAGACCAAAACATCTTGCAGGAGCAGGAAGAAGATCGAGGTTCTATTATAACGTTGGGCCAAATCTCAAAAGTTTCCTTCTATCAATCCTTCGATTTTATTTCAAACTGTTTATATTAAAGTCCTACATCACATAATCTATGAGTATCGTTATTATAATAATAAATAACCAAAAAAGAATGCGCAAGCCCGGAATCGAACCGGGGGCCCAACGATGGCAACGTTGGATTTTACCACTAAACCACTTGCGCTTCGGATGAATGTCAAAAAGTTTTGGTAATTCATACCCAGTTTCTAGTATCATGCGCTAAGCAGCGACACATCATGGCATGCTGAAAGATGAGGTGAAAGAGACATGCTACTCACGTTCTCACTAGTGGCAGTTTTCATCTGCTCTATAGCTGACCTGCAATCTTACAATTCATCCTATGAAAACCTGTGACAAACCGTTGACAATACAAAATTTCCTGCAAGATGAATTTTGAAGCGGCCAATTTTAGGACAATGAGAGTTGTCGAGTACGCAGAAATCTGTATTCGAAGTAGTTTGAAACAAGTTATCATCCTTACCTCACGCGCACGGAAGCCATTACTCGAAATTGTCTCAAACTGCTGAGAATATACAAAATGAATTTTGGAAAGCAGGCAGAGTTTAACTATATAGAACTGAGATGTATGTGCAATTGATCGAATTTGCAGGGTTCAAGGTCGCTGCCTTGCATGGGAATCTCGGCCGATGTGAAGTAGTTAATTCCGTTCTCGTACGTGTAGTTTTATACTCCCGTACAAAAGTACTCTCACTATTCAGCCTTATTATATTCACTATTTAAATAAATACTCCGGTAAGATCTACTCTCAATGGAAAGATCTTGAACTCGAAGAGCTCTTTAGGATCAACCATATCTATACATCTTCGAGACAACCGTGCCGTTTTCATTCAGGTACTACAAAAGAAATGGGTCTAAAAAATCTAGGTTCATTCTTCTCCCTGAAGGCTCTCGATTCCAGGCTAGATCCAGGAACAGATCAAAAGCGCATACAGAAGGCCAATCTAGGAGCAACGAAAAGCCGGTGGAATACGCTAGAATTCAAACTATATTATGTTGCTTTCGCAGTCATTGTTCCGATGATGGTGAAAGCTGCAATGTCGGCTACAAACGAGCAGAACCCCAACTTTCCAAGAATTGAGCCATTGCTTAGCCAAGGTTGGATCGGGGGCCGTAAGGTGGACAACAGTGACTCGCAGTACAGGTTTTTCCGTGACAACCTTCCTCTTCTTCTTGGTCTCGCTGTGTTACATGTGCTTCTGAAGAAAATCGTGCTGCGAGCCTCGCAGTGTCGAAAAGTCACATTCGATTTGATTTTCGGGCTTATTTTTCTGTTCGCAGCGCATGGTGGCAACGCTCTGCGTGTTTTGGGACACTTGCTGATCAATTTCACGATTGCCAAGTGTCTTCGCAGAAGGCCGAGAGTGGCCAAATTCTTGACCTGGACTTACGGTATTGGGTCTTTATTTATTAACGACAACTACCGCAAGTACCCTTTCGGAAACGTTCTGTCCATTCTGTCCCCTCTAGATTCGTCCTTTACAGGCATAATTGAACGTTGGGATGTATTTTACAATTTCACATTGCTGAGAATGCTAAGTTTCGATATGGACTTCCTTGAGAAGTGGCAGGAAATTAAGAAAGTCAAAAAAAGTGCCACACCTTCGCCTTCACCACCAATCAAACCAGAGCTCAAAAGATCAGCATCTTCTGCTACGACCCTAGAGACCATTTGTGAAAACGGCAACAACAATTTACTTCTCGAAGAACGTGCAAGACTCAACGCTCCTCATCACATCCAAGATTACTCCTTGTCTCATTACCTCGCTTACATCACCTACACTCCACTATTTATCGCGGGGCCAATAATTACTTTCAATGACTATTTGTACCAGTCCCAACAAACCTTGCCATCTATTAACCGTAAGGCAATAGTCATTTACGCTTTACGATTTTCATTTTGCGTATTGACGATGGAAGTTGTCCTGCACTATATTTATGCCGTTGCGGTTTCTAAAACAAAAGCTTGGGAAGGCGACACGCCTTTTGAGATCTCAATGATTGGTCTTTTCAACCTCAATATCGTCTGGTTGAAGCTATTGATTCCTTGGAGACTTTTCAGACTGTGGTCTTTGGTTGATGGAATCGATCCACCTGAAAATATGCTTCGCTGCATGAATAATAATTTTAGTGCATTGGCGTTCTGGAGAGCATGGCACAGATCATTCAATAAATGGGTTGTGCGTTATATTTATATCCCATTGGGAGGTTCTAATAGTCGGATACTCACTTCCTTGGCTGTCTTCTCTTTTGTGGCGATCTGGCATGATATCGAGCTGAAACTTTTGCTATGGGGTTGGCTCATTGTTCTGTTTTTGTTGCCAGAAATAACTGCACAGCAGTACTTTTCAGGCTGTCATAAAAGGCCTTGGTACAGATACCTGCGCTCTGTAGGTGCTGTATTCAATATTTGGATGATGATGATCGCCAATTTGTTTGGGTTCTGTTTGGGTTACGATGGTACCGTCTATCTCATCAAAGGACTTTTCTTGACTTGGTCGGGTATCAAATTCCTGATATGTGCAAATGCGGCCCTCTTCGTAGCCACGCAAGTCATGTTTGAGCAAAGAGAGCATGAGAAACGGAAAGGAGTAAATGTAAAATGCTAGTAATTATAATTTAAATAAAAAGGTGCCGGAATTCTCAGCTCACTCTCTTTTTATAAGCGCCTGGGGTTTCCATTTTTCTCAAACTCCAGACGCCCTTGCGCTGCTTTTTGGCCGCGTTTTGATGGAAAAGGTAAATGTCTTCTTCTGAGTCGAACTCTGCCCCCGTCTTACCTTCATACACTATTGCTAGTCCATTTTTGACCATTTCCAGACTAACATTTTTGTAGCCAGTCCAAGTTAAATATTCTACTTTAGCGACGCAGCGACCATATTGATCGATAGCCAATGGTTTAACCCATACCCATCGCCCCAAAATGGTGTGTCGCAACCAAATCAGAGCTTCTTCACTGAATGGCTGGGCGGTGTTGCCAAAATGAGCCCTTTCTGGAGCGTCGACTCCACATACACGAATTGAGATTGTCGGCAGGCTTCTTTTGCCTTTTAGCGGTACGGGAAGAGCTAGAAATTTTTCCTTCTCCGTCATTTTTGCCTTGCGGAAAAAGCTCAGAGGCCATTTTCTGGCACCAGTCGTGTCTGGATCTGACTTATCCAGTTTGGGTACTTTTCGGATCCAGCCCCATCCACCACGTATTCCTCCCGGAGTGTGGAAAAAGCGAAAATTGTCACCATCTCCTACCGCTGTAACCTTGCCGTACAGCCATTTCTTCCGAAACACACTCAAAGGAATCTGGGTAGCTCTTGTGTACTGCCGGAGATGCTTATTGAACAATGCATAGCTCGTCAGAATTGAACCTGTCAACACAAACGAAAGTAAGAGAGCCCGTGTATAGACCGATTGCTGAAAAGTGAGCGACTCTCGCTGGCTACCTGGCATCGACGGTTTGCTAAACCGCGCTGGTTTTGTTCAAGTATTCATAGCGTCTGTAAGACGACTCATTCGTTATACTGATGAGGTCAATATATGAAGCTCGCTGGGCCCACCTCGTTCAACATGATATGTGTCTTGACCTCTCGGAATAAGCACATCAACAGTGGTATCCCGGGTCCAATTGATCATTTTCTATGCGACGATAGAGGATTCTCAGCTTTTGGTTCATCATTGTCTCAATGTTTGCTTTGATCTTCGAAATTAGAGAGAAACGTCCGGTTGATTTCCTGATTTTTACAAGACCAATTCTGAAATTGAAATTTAACGACAGTATGTATCGTCACTCCTGCTTAACTTCATCTCAAATTGTTGTGAAAAAAAGCTAGGAGATGTTGCTGAATTCTGGTAATAGTTCAAAAGTAGTGACAGCATAGATCACTTTGTACATTTCTGTCAGAGTGCCTTGCTGAAGAGAACCCATAACATCAATACGACTCATGAGCTGATGCCTTTCTTTGATTAGAGTCGACTTGTCCTATGAGCTGCTTCGGCACACCAAACCATACCGCTCCAAACCAGTCAAAATCGCAAGAACCCTGCATATCTATCACGTGATCTCATTTAAAGTGTAATTCGAGCGGATTACTCTCAGCACTCACACTGTCACCGAGATTTTGGTGGCGACTTTTGATTTCTTCAAGCTATTGCCTCTTTTCAGTCTAGCGTCTAAATTTTAGGTAGCAGTACGGCCTTCGAACGTATTGTTTTCTTAGTTCCGCCGCATTTACACATCTCATCGCCGATAAGTGCTAATCGGACTCAACAAGCAAGACAACTAGCGTTCAATTTCTTGGAAAATAACTTCTTGACGTCAACATCATATCTGATATATGGTGCGCTTTCACCAATCAGGCATGTTTCTGGATATATTTATAAAGCCTCCTCTTTTGTCTCTCACAAGAACTATAAAGAATCTGGGGCAATATAATTAATTTCAAGAAAGAGCTTATAAACTTCGATAAATTCAATCCACTGCCAACCTTTCGCGATTTTTAAAGTACATCACCAGTCGAGTCGTGGTCAATTGGAATCTTGGCACTTTTCAGACTGCTTCAGAACTTGTTCTCTACAAGACCACTCTTCCAATGTCTCGTAATAAGCAGGATGACGCAATCGAGCTCGAAGAGCTTTTGGCAAACGAAGAAGGCTCCAATAACATAGCTCCTCAGGAGGCAAATCAATTGCATGAATATCGAGGTGAAGTCATCAAGCTCTACCCACTGGACTACCAAAAAGTACCCATTGTGAGATGGCAAATGGCTGCAAGTCTTACGCTATTCCTTGTATTGGGTCTCAATGATGAGTGCAATGGTGCCCTCTTGCCAGCCTTGACAAAGCACTACAATGTCTCAAAAGTACAGGTTGCGAACCTGTTCATCGTCCAGTTTCTGGGCTACTGCACTGCTTCCTTGCTGACGCAAAAGATACACACTGTGGTTGGTGCCAGAGGCGCCATGATGATGGCAGCTGGACTGTGCGTGCTGCTATATACGGTCCTGCTCCTGAAACCACCCTGGTTTGTCCTCTACGTTGCATGTTTCCTGCCATTGGGACTGGCCATCGGAATCTTGGACTCCGTGTGTAACGTGCTGTTTGGGAACCTCGAGACTCATAAAAACGAATGGATGGGCGTGCTCCATGGTCTTTACGGTGCAGCTGCGATGGTGACAGCACCTGTGGTGTCTTATTTTGTCAAGTACAGTCAATGGAATCTGTTTTTCATCCTACCCTTGACCGTGTCTTTCGTGGGACTCACTATGGTGCCTTTTGCGTTCAAGGACGAAACTGCCAACAAATATAATTATTTGTGTGAAATAAGTCGCGAAGAAGGCGATGACGCCCACCCCAGCTTCTGGTCCCTTGTTCGGAGACCGGCGATCTACATGTATGCCATCTACATGTTTATATACCTTGGATCTGAGGTATCGACGGGAGCGTGGATCTTCATCTACCTATTAGAAGTAAAAAAAGGTGAAGTCATATCAATGTCGTATGTGACTGCTGCTTTCTGGATGGGCCTAACAACAGGTAGACTTGTTTTAGGGTTCGTTACGAAACGTTGGTTCAAGAATGAATACAGAGCCTCGGCTTTTTACACAAAGTTTTGCTGCCTCTTCTACACGGGTTTCCTTTTTGTCACATATTTCTCTGGCTCCTCTACTCTCTACTTCGTGGCCGTGTCACTAATGATTTTCCTTGGAGGAGTCTTCATTGGACCGCTCTTTCCCAATGCTAGTGTTGTCGCGCTGCAAGTTCTGCCCAAAAACATGCACGTTAGCGGAGTTGGAATTGCAGTGGCATTGGGAGGTTGTGGCTCCGCAATTTTGCCGTACTCTGTTGGAATCATCACACATTTGATAGGATTTGAGTGGTTTCCATTTTTGTGCTGGATTATGGTCGCAATGGTAGCACTAGTTTGGTTTTTATATCCCAAGGTGATAAAGGGCCACGAAGAATATTTGTAAGGTCCCGAACTTAAGATCCAAATTCTGTCATCTTATGAATGCCATCAGAGATCAGGATTGGCTTGATTAGGTGTTTGGCTGAAATTTCACAACTCGATCGAAAAATTCCACAATTGCAAGCCTAACGATTCATGATTCGTATGATAAACGAGTCCCAAGATCAGAACAGAGTCTTTGCTCATGAATGATGAGCCTATCTTCAAAATAAAGCTAGTCTGCAAAAAAAAGTGCGAGTTCATGAAAGATTATAATCTTGCCATCACAAGTCGACCGCCCAAACGTAATTAAATATTCATGAATTATGACAATCTCCAACGACACTGGCGAAGGCCTCGTAGACTGCTCGTTCAGTTGATGCCACTGTCTGATCTCTATCTTACGTATATAGTGCCAAACAATGCTGAATTAGTAGAATTGTCAAGATGTTAACTCATCGCATGCAAGTTCAAAATTATCAAGACCTATAGAAGCCCGATTGGACCTCTTTGAACTTCATGAACGGTACTAGCAACTATGATACCCAGCAAAATGACAAAAGATACGTTACACAGCGGCGTACTGTTGACATGAGCTCGCCTTACGACAAATTATACTATTTAAAAAGACACGGACTCCCGCTACCTTTTATTGAGCCCGAAACGAGCTATACCACGAACATACTACCTGCAGATGCGTACCTGCACAACAGACGGGTGATTAATGCACCCACCAAATTTACACATCTGAGCTCGAACAAAGTAAAACATGTTATTCCTGCGCTGGAATGGACACCCGAAGGTCGTCGATTGGTTGTTGCAACATATAGCGGTGAGTTTTCTCTTTGGAACGGATCGACTTTCAATTTTGAGAGCATCATGCAAGCTCACGATAGTGCAGTTGCTGTCATGAAATACTCTCACGCTGGGGATTGGCTGATCAGTGGTGACTCTAACGGCACAATTAAAATATGGCAGCCAAACTTTAATATGGTTAAAGTACTAGACGAAGCTCATACTCAGTGTATAAGGGGCATCTCCTTCAGTGGCACAGACTCTAAATTTGTGACATGCTCCGATGACAACATTCTGAAAATTTGGAACTTCAGTAATGGTCAACAAGAGAGCACGCTTTCAGGTCATCACTGGGACGTGCGTAGTTGTGATTGGCATCCCACCATGGGGCTCATTGCATCCGGGTCCAAGGACAATCTGATCAAGCTTTGGGATCCCAGGTCTGGCCAATGCATAAGCACCATTCTAGGTTGCAAACACACTATCATCAGTACCAAATTTCAGCCTGCCAAGGGAAACATGCTGGCCGTGATATCTAAGGATAAAAGTTGTCGAGTTTTTGACATTCGACAGAATATGAAAGAGATGGTGGTCTATCGAGATGACTCAGATTACATGTCTTTGACGTGGCATCCTGTTAATGAATCTGTCTTTACAGTGGGCTGCTATGATGGTTCTATGAAGCATTTCGACCTTCTTCAGGAGCCACAAGATTCAATGTCAGGATACTTTCACAACATTCCATACGCTCACGATAAATGTATTACGTCTTTGGCTTATAATCCAGTGGGGCATATCCTAGCCAGTGCATCAAAGGACCGAACAATACGCTTCTGGACAAGAGCTAGACCCGTTGACCCTAACGCATTCGACGATCCTACCTACAATAACAAGAAGGTTAACGCATGGTATTTCGGCATCAATAACAACATTAACGCAATCAGGCCAAAAACTGAAGACGGTATAGCATTGCCTCCGGCAGGCAACGATTTTATGGGCTCGGTGAATAATACCAACGTCAATCCCGGAATAAGGGTTCAATCACCAGCGTCTTCAGGTCTACCGGGCCTTAACTTTTGAATGAATAAATCGAAAACATAGATGAGTCGGCTCTATAGAAGAAGTTTATAAAAGTAACCGTAACTATTTATCCCAAACTGTTCCGGGTGACAATATTGAAGTGAAGTTTATCCTTGGTCGTTAATACATTAATTGTTAAGAGAGGTTTCTCGCTACACAGCGGTAGCTTTTCTGAGTTTGTTGAAGTAGTCGTCACTCACAATTCCGTTGAGAATAGAGGCGTACGGTACATCTGTGGTATCACGAATTGGCGTGGAAGCAGATGGAGCAGCAACACGAAGAGCAGGAGCTTGAGTAGAAGGGCTTTTGCCCTTCGCAAAATCTTGAACGTCTTGAATATACTGGCGAGCGTAAATCTGTGAGTAGCTTTCCATAAAGAGTTCGATAGATTTGATCAGCTCACCCAAATATTGGGTCGCTCCGAGCGGGAAATGCCTTTGCCATTCGGCTGAAGCGTCCGAGTATCCTGCGTTGATGATACTATACCAAAAAAGCCCGTTGTCCTCACTGACAAGTCTACCCTCCGCCACCTGATTGCCGAACTCCGCTTTGGTGAAAGGGATGTACTGGGAATGGTAGTGGGTAAGCCGTTTCGCGAAGTCACGGACTGCGAACTCGTAAGGCTTGTCAAAGTAGTCTTGATTAAAGGTCTTGTTGTGAATGTTGAAGCGAATGAACGCGCGTTCGGTACAGGAGACTTGGAGCACCACAGGAGTGATGTGGTAGCCACGCTTCATATCAGCGTTGTAGAGTCGTAATTGTTGAAAAATGAAAGCACGCCTTTGCTCTGTGGAATTGGTAGCGTCGAAAATGGCCACGTCGCAGGAGTCTTGGTCTAGGTCCGAAAACATCTGTTCGAGCGTGAGCCTAGCGTACTGTTCCTTTTTTTGAGAATTTTTTGGATTGAAAAGGTCTTCCGATGAGTTGTTCGCAAGCATCATAGGCCTGCCACGACAGCTCAGCTTACGTCTGACTTGACCCGCATTGAAGGTCTTGCAACGCAAATGGGCAGAGCGTGGATCACGGCTGAGATATTGCATTAAATGGTTGGAAACGGTCGATTTTCCACTAGCCGGCAGACCTACCAGTATAAAAACGAGCTTATCATCTCCGGCTTGCAGTTGTGAAGCAGCATGCGCAGAAACGGACGAAAAACGACGGCCACGACTCGAGTAATTCAGCGTGAGAGCCGAGGGTTCCTCTGCGGGACGCGACGAAAAGGCGTGTGGATCCTCATGGTCCTCTTCGTCCGTTAGATATTGATCTACGATGCTGGAGTAGCTATCGCGATTTCTGCTGAGCGAGAAAAGCGAGTTGGTCGAGTTGGATTTCGACCTACTATCGAGGTCATCTGATGGAAGCGGGACGACCATCGATCAAAAGAAGGCACTGGGACTTGCTTGCAAATTCAGACGTGTAAGAGTTCGTTTATTTTTCCCACGCGTATGGTATGCTTGGTCTAGGGCACGATCCAAATCAGAAATCACAGTAAAATGTCCACTTACGAGATATCACTTGTTCGAACGCGACCAAAAACCTAGCTCGAGCGTTTAAATGAGGGAAAGAAGCTTGATTAGAGTACGACAGTAATATTCCGTGTAAAGAAGATATCAACGAACGTTTTTCTATGTTTCTTGGGTTTTTCCGATATACATGAGTTAGTCAAAGTTCAAATGAGTCGCCACGAGTTCACTGATCTCTTCTCTGTACAGCCTTTACATTATTAACGCTCGAGAAAAGATGGGTTTTCATATATGATTGTACGAAGTGTAATTTAAGACTCGAAAAAAAAAAGAAGCAATTAAAAAAAGACTAATCCGGAAAAACTTTACTTTTCGTATAAGAGGATGTGATCTGATTTATCTGAAGAAACCGCTATGAGATGAGAAACGCTGGTAGTAGTGATTCGAGAGGAACTGGTCTTCGGTAGGGTTCATGATGCTTCGTTAAGGTAGTTAGTTTAGTGTAGTATTTTTTAGAATTATCAAAATCAGGTGTGTTGGGTTGTTCTCGTTTGTCTTTTCTTTTACACACCTTAATTTTTATCTAGTTAAAGGTATGACGCAATATCGGGTGGATTGGGAAATGACTACGTGCTCCCCACTCAGCTCAAAAAGCTGGTCTGAGGTGATGGCTCTCGAAGAGACAGAGCGTCGATTTGGATATTGGAAAAGTAGCACGTCGGATAAACTTCTACACCTCGAGGCCAAGTTTTTCCGAACGTGCAGCATTCATGCGTCTCGGAACAACTAATGCATGATTGATCCGGTTGTTGTTCCGGGAGGCCGTCCTCATGGTAGATAGGTGCACAGTGCAAGCCAGGATGTAGAAAACACGGTGAGAATGCCATATGGTCGCTGTGAGAGGCCAAGAACAGTAGTAGGTATTCTGTTTGGAATGGTGTGGTGGAGCAGTCGGAGGAGCCATTCTAGCCAAGTCCAAGCTAGCTCTTTCAAGCTCTGAAACTCGCAAAAAACACGGTGCTCCTAAGGACCAGCCTCATCCGCCATATCAACGTCTTGCGTCTCACCACTTTGGTCCCCGACCGCGGAATCCTCTCCCTCGGTTACCATCTTAACGAGCTTTTCCTTGACTTGCGCGCAAACCTGTTCAATTTTCTGTATTTCGCTCCTCTTGCTCTCCAACTGCTCTTCCAGCAGCATGATGAGAGACTCCCGCGACTGGTGCGGCCGATACTCGTTCAGCAGGTGATGTATGTTGACCAAAATGGTCTGTATGTGCTCAACTTTTTCCGGAAACTGCTCGGGATTTATGCTCAGGATTCCTGTCAACTCCAAAAAATTCAGCAGGAGCGATCGCAGCAGTTTGTGAAGCTCTTGTATCTTTTCCTGATAACTGGAACTTGCTCCCTCATTGCTCTCTTTGAACTGGTAGAGCTGTGTCATTCCCATGCTTGCCAAGTCTGGAAGCTCATCCTTGACCTGCCATATGCTTCCAAAAGCCCTGTAATGGCCCTCGGTGGGAATTGTAGGAGGAACTAGGTATTCCAAGTCATCTTCCAAATTTTCTAGAGTGTAGCCCGATCCTTTGAGCTCTTCGAATTTGGCCACGTTTTCGAGCGTAAAGTGCTTGATGTAAGGTGGTGGAGGCGGATAAAGCGCTGCAATTTCGTTTGTTCCGTTGGCTGACATTTTCGCCTGCAAGGTTTTGATCAATTGATGATAACAAAAGCTACGGATTCAGTGGCTGACTTCTTTATTTTATTTTCGTTACAGTAGGTCCATGAACCCCTTCTATAGTTCTTAATGGTAGGAAATGGCCCCTGGTAGATAGCTTGTATGCCAGTGAGACTGGTCTAAGAACTTGTTCATCTTTTGACAAAACTGTATAATATCACAGTATTAATTTAGAAGCGTGATATGTGTCACGTGCCTGGGCGTCAGTACCGTTGCTGTGCTCAAATTCAGGCCTCAGCGACACGCTATGATGATCAGATGTAGCGCCTAGAGCAGGACCGATCGGTGATTTTTGTATGATGGGATCTATATCCGTAAGAACCTCTTTTTTCTTCACTGTTGCTCTTTCATGATTGGAGAGCTGAAGGCTTCCTGATTGCTCAAATCGATTGTCCAATGGGCACCATCGAGAAAATAGTACTACGATCGGTGGTTGTGTGGCATGTTATAGATTAAAGTAGCATTAGTTTGAGTTTCTAGTTCAAAACCAAACAAAATGACACATGTGCAGCAATGGTTCCTTTGCCGTCACAGGCCAGATAGCAAATTTTAAGGCGATTTTTGGTGAGACGGCCGAATAATCATACTGGTCTATTGGATAAGGAAGCTTTGTTCTTTGACATCTCGTCTTTTCCAAAGTGGTGTCAATACCTTGAGATGCTCATATTTTTTAATGACACGATAGTACACAGTGATTTATCATGGATTATTTAATGTGATTGACCGACGATGACTAGAAACTATACCTAGTATCAGGTCTTCTCAAGTGGTAGGGCAAGTCAAGAAGCTAGCGATGAGACTCGGTTTCAGAAAAAAATAATCTATTGCCCCGCAGACAGCGCTAAGACCGCTCATTTATAGATCGTACTCAAAATACCGTTTTACAGATTACAAGCTTACAAGCTTACAAGCAGCCTCAATTCGAGTGGAAAATAGCATATCCGCAGCCCATAATCTTGCGAACCCTCAAACTAACGGATTCGAGCTTTCCAACAACGAACTAGGTGAGTCGAAATTGTGCGACACGTGATAAGTACTTGATACTATGCGAAGACATCTACTCAAAGATCCTATCACATCACCGAATCCAAGCTAGTTTAGCCCACCTCCGAGGACTTCATCCCATTCTCTGATATCACTACTTCCAAATTGACTATACGCGCTTTCTGCTTTGGCTTGCTGACGAAGTTGCCAAATTACCAGAACTTAACATACTCTTGCACGAACTATGGACGTAATTGAAATCAAAACCATCTCTCAGCTCAAGAACCATTACAGTATACATCCCCCTATAGAGCGGTGGATTTGCATTTAAAGAGCTCGCAAAGCCCTCCCACAACATCAACAACTGTCTAAAAACATGTCTGAAGATAAGATGGATCTAGACGAGCAACAGGTGGGCCAAGAAGAGGTTCAAGAAGACGCTGTGGGCACGGTGACAGAGAAAGAAGAGGAAGCTCGTCCTAAGAAACGGTTCGAAGTGAAGAAATGGACCGCGGTAGCATTCTGGTCGTGGGACATTGCTGTGGAAAATTGTGCGATCTGCAGAAATCATATAATGGAACCCTGCATTCAGTGCCAGCCTACGGCGATGACAGATTGCGAGACAGAGTGTGTGGCAGCGTGGGGTGTGTGCAACCACGCATTCCACCTGCATTGCATCAACAAATGGCTTCAGACTAGAAACGTTTGCCCACTGGATAACCAGCCCTGGCAGTTTGCCAAGTATGGAAGGTGAAGTAGCTAATTAAAATTGGGATTTTGCGTCTCGTCGTCTTCAAAACGAATCTTGGATCTCTTCAAGTCATGAAGTGTCCTGGTGAATGGCAAGAAGATTAAAGTCTCCCGGCCATTTGGTTCATGGCAGGGGTGGCGCAAGAAGTGCGGCAAAGAACTCGCACTTACAAATGATCAAAAGGAGCTTATACGTGCATCCAAATCATTTAGGTGTGCAGATTAGACATCAAAGTGGTATCAGCGTTATATAAAGTAAACTTTCAAAGGGGCTATGACCCGCCCTGCGGTGTGGAAATTATCTTTGTCATTGCGTAGTCTATGTCATCTCGTAGTAGCGACGGTTGCGGCTGAAAGTACCCCAGAAGCAGAATCTTAAAGATTTCGAGCTGAGTCCTGTGACAACAGGAGCCCAGTTAACTGCACTATCGTGGTTAACCTCTATGAAGAAAACGTACTGCCATTTGCGTCTCCGTGCCCCAGTACTTTCCCCTTGCAATCTGGTCTTACTATCATCAGGGTGGTGATACGGTCTCGAACTGATCGAGCACATATTAATTTGGTTCTCCTTCAGAACGTTCAATACGTCTACTAGACTTCCGGGCGCATCTTGTGTAACAACAAAAGTCAAAAGTGACACCTGCTGATCGCTGGTGGATGCCACAGATGGTTGTGCCAAAAGGGGGCCTCTTTGAGAATCGCTTCTCCGTAAAACAAGGAATCTCGTGGTATTTCCCTTCTTGTCGTTGATTGGGCTATCCAGTATGAAGGCACCGTGCATTTTAGCCGCCGTGCTGCTGGCAATGGCCAACCTTATCTCGTTTGGTGCATCTAAACCCTTCTTTTCGCAGCAGTATCGCACCGCCCCGGACGTCGAAGTGGTATCAATCATTTGAAGGGAGTGAACCCTCTGTCTCAAACGATCGAGATATCCCGTCGCCTGGCCCCAAACCTGAGGATGGGAGTAGATTTTTAAGCAAGTATCGTTTCCGAGCGCTTCGATGTCAAGAGCTTCAGAGGATATCAGGCACAAATCGATCGCAACGTACTGCTCAGCAACAATTTCGAGCTTTGGCAGCGCCTGATTTTGCATATGATCAGCACACTCATTCATCAGATCTCTCAAAATGTCGTAGGTGAAAACCACTTGTCCATTTGTCGAGTTTTCCAGAGGCACAACAGCGTAATCGAGCGCCAGGTCGTTCGTAAGCTCTTGAAAGCATTGTGGGATGGTTTTCAGAGCAGTGTATTGCGTATTACCGTCGTCAGGAAATTGTTGAAGGACTGCCTGGTGCGTATACGTACCAAGAGGACCCAAAAAAGCTACATTGATCATTTCAGGCTGTTTGAAAGTGACTTTTTAAAGGTTGTAATCTTTAGTCAAGGTATGCTAATTTAAAGATTTAGATATATTCTTGAGCCATGATATTAGTGGAATTTTATCATTTAAGAAGTAGAGCTTTTTGACGTCCTGAAATGGAATGTAAGCCATATCTATTTGATGAAGAAGTTGTAGTGATTATATACTTATGTACACGAACGTAAGCTTCGCTTAAGTGTCCATCGACTGAGCAAGACTGATGAGCTTTTCGACAGTAAAGTCGCTCGAGCCGCTAGCGAAGTCGTGCAGAAGCTTGATTCTCTGCTTGGAAGGCACCGTCTCCTCACCCGTGGCGCCGTAAAAACGCTGCACGTTCAAAAGCAGCAGCTGGGCGTCTTGAAGCGAGATATTGACGTCTTTTTCGACATGACCATTCATCAGCACGATTTGCTTGTCTTTAGCAAGCTCTGAGTGGAATTGGAAAGTGGTGTGTGGCTTGGCATATTCTTTGTGCAATTTGTACTCAGCCAAAGACGTCATGATGCAGTGGACAGTTTGGGGCCCTACAACTTGCCACTGAATGTAGTGGAGCTCGACACCCTGGCCGTCACCGCTGCCGTTTAGGTCGGACTCGTCGGCCTTGATGTCGCGGGGTAGGGGCAGCACGAATGTGGGTGCCGACTTGAAGTGCTTCGACATTTGGTCGAACACAGCCGTGGGCACTACGGCGTTCATAGCGTTTTCCTGGCTGGCCCAGCGCGCGCGCCAAAGAAACTCGACTTCCTGTCTGGACAGGTCTTGAATTTTCTCGAGCTTTAGGAACGAGTCGAGGGTCTTGAAGGGCGCGGGAGTGGCGTTTGCATCAACTGGACCCCTAGGTTCTGTCATTTTGGCGTTGTTGTTGGCCATTTTCATGCCTTGTTCGTATTCAACCAGCTCTTGCAAAGGATCGATTTTATTGAGTGCGCGTTTCTTGCCTTCGATGTCGGCTTTTAGGTTCTCTTTCAGGTGTTCCACAGATTCAAAGCCCTGTGCTCGGGCTTTCTGCAGTAGTTTTTCGTGGTATCTTTGCTCCAAAGCTTCTGTAGAGTAGTTCTTCGAACGCTGAAGCTGTTGTTGCTGCTGAATAAACTTTGTCAACGAAATCGCCGACGCTTTCCGGGTTTGCGTGCGAGTAAGTCGAGCGACGTTGCGGGCCAGAATACTCATCACACAACAGTTTGCAGGGTCTGATTTAGCGGTCGGTCTTGTCGTGTGATGGAAAAGTTTTAATTGTCGTAGTTGAAGGTTCTACTTACAGTGCTCTCTATAAATCATCAAAGAAAGCTTTTGATGGAAATTCGAGGCAGATTGTAGTGTGCTTGATTATCTTGCAAGGTAAGAAGAGAGGTTATGAAGAGAGGCAATAGTTTGCTACCACTACGGACTAGCTAGCGACTAGGACCAGACGTATGATATAAAATGCAGAATAACAAGATTTGATCGGAGGTAGGCAATCACTTGAAAGTACCAGACGAAAGATTTGAAGGGCGTCTCATAAATTCTAGTGGATCTCAAGAGCTACGAGAAGAAACCTGTTAAGCGATTCTGACTCTATGATCGACTCTGCTTGTTGTAGAGCTACGAGACGAGCTGTATTTGATTTTCGATATTTTGTCGTCTGAGACGAAGACGGGAATCAAAAAGAGAAGTATATCAGGTGATCTGGGTAAATGCACTCGAATTCTGTATGATTTGCTTCTATAGAGGACAGTTTAAGAGAACACAGGGCCATCAGGTCAATTTTGTTGGCATGAATGTCAAACGTATCCGAAACTGTAAATCGATCTTCATTTTAGCTCGCCAACAACGATGGAGCTGTCTGCTGGCCGACCGTAGTCAGAAAAATGACACAGCCATAGATAACTATAACATCGGACCGACTGGACAAATAACGCCGCACAAGGTGGAATCACCTGAGGTGACGAGTTCAAATAGCCCGTCAAGAGATCTCAATTGCAACAGCAATACTTGTTATTGATCAATAGTAGATTGTCTGGCTACCGCGAAGTGTCGAAACTGCCGTCGCTGGGGTAGTGTTTCAAATGAGTCATTATATACGTATTCGAACGTCAGATGCCAGCCCATTACAAAGTGACAATATAATCGATGCAAATCGAGCGGAACAGTACTCGGCTTCATGATCTGAGACACTTGATAGCGCCCGGTAAGCGCTCACACTGTCCCTCTCTCTATTTTGCGCAAAAGCAGTAGTATTTTTAGCTCGATTCAGACACTGTGGAATTTATTTAAATCAATTCAAGAAGCGCATTCCCTCTGGAAGTCAACATGCAGACGCAACATCATGCAGCTAATGAAAGACGGGATACTAAACGACGAAGACAACCCGTGAGCTTAAGTCGAGCGAGAACGTTAGCAGCTCCTCTACTGGAAAATAAAATGGAATTTTGCCAATTCGCAGCCTGGTTGTCTAAACTCTACTAAACTGATTACAGAAACGTCAAAACAAGTCTAAAGCTACAATAGAGAAGGTCTAACATCACATATAATATTCTTCAGGTTTTCTAAGTCCATTGTTTACCTCAAGGTGTCAAAGACATGAATTAGTGAAGTTATATGTTATTGACATACCAGAGTGTATTCTACTGCTACGTAAACAAATAGTCATTGGACGGCATCTCATACGAAACGAGCCTTCACCAATGCGTTCACGTCTTTCTTCTCTCCACACTCGCATCCCGCCACCTTTTAGCCTTCTCCATGCTACATAGTCTACTCCAAAACCTCACAAACTCACAACTCACTCAATTTCACGTAAAACCCGAACCAGTCATCTTTTAATGTACAAACTATATCAAAATTAGATACAACAATTTTAACCACCGAAACCGTACAAGGTTCTACCTTGTCTTTTCAAAGCATAAACAACGTCCAGCGAAGTGACGGTCTTTCTCTTGGCGTGTTCAGTGTAGGTGACAGCATCTCTGATGACGGACTCCAAGAACGATTTTAGCACGGCTCTGACTTCTTCGTAGATCAAACCGGAAATACGCTTGACACCACCTCTTCTGGCAAGTCTTCTGATAGCAGGCTTGGTGATACCTTGAATATTGTCTCTTAGAATCTTCCTGTGACGCTTGGCACCACCTTTACCTAGACCTTTACCACCTTTTCCTCTACCGGACATTTCTGATTATTGTTTGTGTGTGTGTGTGTGTGTGTACGTTGTTGAATATGACTATTCTTATCCTTTATTATCTTTGAGGTGACATTCATGCTCCTAATTTCTAGCCTACTTATATACGTTCCTGATTTTTTTGCACTCAAAGCCTCTAGCCCCAAATGCCACGCCCACTTCACTCGTTCAACTATCTTCTGGATTCCAAATTATTTAGATGGCCCCAAGTCTTCATCTTTAGTGCGCGAAAATCCTGGTCCCCCATCTGAATAGAGTAATTATCTCCAAGATAATTAATTACAGACCAGAATATACGCCATCAATAATATTTTGACCACTATTAAGTGCGAATATTCTGGGCCAAATATACTGAAATATATAATTTACAGCTTGTTACCCGGTAATAGACTTGTTTATACCATACCCGGACCTGTTTTTACGCGCAGAATAACTTTTTCTGAAAGCGTTTGGTTTTCAGCAGATAGTTGAAATCAGCATTTAGTATGGGCAAACGCATTCAAGGAGTAAAATAGGCTCATTGGCCGCAAAAACGGAAGATATCAGGAATTTCAGTATAAAAGGAGAAATCTTTCACAATCAAATTTTTCTCTCTCTTTAAACAAGTCTTTTCCTACAACTGAAATCAAATCAAACTCAACATCAAATATGGCTAGAACCAAGCAAACAGCAAGAAAATCCACTGGTGGTAAGGCACCAAGAAAGCAATTGGCCTCCAAGGCTGCCAGAAAGTCGGCCCCATCTACCGGTGGTGTCAAGAAGCCTCACAGATATAAGCCAGGTACCGTTGCTCTAAGAGAAATCAGAAGATTCCAGAAATCCACAGAACTTTTGATCAGAAAGCTACCTTTTCAAAGGCTTGTGCGTGAAATCGCCCAGGACTTCAAGACCGACCTGAGATTCCAGTCGTCTGCCATCGGGGCTCTTCAAGAATCCGTCGAAGCCTACTTGGTTTCGCTTTTCGAAGACACCAACTTGGCTGCCATCCACGCCAAGCGTGTTACCATCCAGAAGAAGGACATCAAGTTGGCCAGAAGATTGAGAGGTGAAAGATCCTAAGCCGTGGGTTAATGGTGTGTTTAGGATTCTTATAGCTCTTCGGGTATTTTCTACAACAAGACGAGTGGTCATGATACAGACGCTGACCCCTCTGTCATAAGGTTTTAATTAAGTTGTATAATAGGTTTTATTCAATGAATGTTTCATGAAACGATATTTACGAGATCATGGTTGGTCGAGCCATTCATGTGGTGCGGTAGAAACCTTGCTGTTCAGGACATATCCGTTTTCGAAGCTTGAGTCTTGCGCCCTTGTGAGGCATGAGATGGCCAAGCGAAGGAGTTACTTTGTCGATCATCACCATTCCTGCAAGTATATATTGATTGCATTTCTGTTTTAAGATGACTGATGACGCCCGATTCTCACGGCCCTGTGAATGCGTCCGGCTGTGTTAGTCTACGTTGTAGATCTATCACAAGAATCCACAAGACATGAGTAGTAGCTGTTTCCCCTTTCCCCGCAGTTTCAGCACTTCAGCTTTAATACTTTCGAGAAGACTGTATAATCAATCACTCTCCACTTCAACTCTTAAAATTTAAGCTTTGTAAGATAATTTAACTGTGAATAATAAACATAACTAGCGTCACTAAAGCGGCATGATAAGCACCCTAGACTCTTCACAATTTGTGACCAAGATATGCGGTCTTCAAAGTGCCGAGGCGGCTCAAGAAGCCATCGATGCTAATTCTATCCTGCTGGGTATTATCTGCGTGCCAAACCGAAAGCGGACAGTCGATCCCAGCGTGGCCAAAGAGATTTCTCAAAGAGTCAAATCTGCTCGCGAGGAGAGACAAAAAAGAGGCTTGCTGGGCCCTTTTCTGGTCGGGGTCTTCCGGAACCAAAGCGTAGAAGAAGTACAGAGAATTAAAAGTGATTACGGGATAGACATCGCCCAGCTCCATGGAAGCGAGAACTGGCAGCAGTACAAGGAAAAGTTTCAGGACACGCTGCTGATCAAACGGTTTGTGTTTCCAGAAGACTGTCCGCAAGTTGAGGAACTCTCTAAAATAGAAAATCCAGGATGTCTGGCGCTATTTGACTCTGAAGCTGGTGGCACTGGCGAGAAACTGGATTGGGACTCGATCTCCACTTGGAGTCAGAAAACAGGGGCGACATTCATCTTGGCAGGTGGCCTTACGCCTGAGAACGTCAAGGCTGCTAGTCAGCTCCACGGCGTACGAGGCGTTGATGTTAGCGGTGGAGTGGAAACAGAGGGCAGAAAAGACTACAGTAAAATAAAGCTTTTCCTTAGCGAATCAAGTGCCTAAATTGCACTTTTAAGGGTTAATCCTGGAAATATAACGTAGAGCGCTCGACTTGTATTCATGAACTTATATAGCAAAATACTTGTTGTTTCGCCAATCAAGCAGAACCGGAAATGAAGAACCACTTGTCAATCGACTTGTCAATTGGGGCGTCCTCCTTAGCCTCGCCGGCTGGAACAGCTTGGGCAGCAGCAGCAGAGAAGGTGGAAGTACCAGACAAAGTGGTGTTCGTCAATTCGATATCCTTGGCGTCAGCGGCCTTGCCCTGGATCAAGTTCTTCCAGGCCTCGCTGCACTCTCTGATGACGTCCAAAGCGTACTTCTTGTTCTTGGCTTCACCGGAGAAAGCAAACTGGTTTTCTGGCTTGCCGTCAGGGATTTTGTAGATTCTGAACCATTCGTTGGTGGCTCTCAAAAGACCTGGGAAGTACTTCTCAACATCCTCGATGTCGTTCAACTTGGCAGCCAATGGGTCGTTGATGTCGATGACAATGATCTTCCAGTCGGTTTCACCTTCGTCCAAAAGGGCCATAACACCCAAGACCTTGACTTGCTTGACTTGACCGGTGTATCCGATGGTTTCTCCGATTTCCAAAACATCCAAAGGATCGTTGTCACCAGCAGCCTTGGTTTCAGGGTGAACGGAGCTTGGGTCCTCCCATGTTTGAGGGAAGGCACCGTAGTTGTGGATGTAACCGTGGTGAGGGAAGCAGTTTCTGACGAATCTTAGCTTGCCCTTCTTGGTGTCCTGGATAATTGGGTTCAAGGTCTCCTCCTTGCTGATTTCTAGCTTGGCGTTGGTCCAACGTGGGATCTCAACGACCATGTTGAAAATTTGGTTGGCCTCGTCAGCGTATAGAGGAATGTCGTGGAAGGACGAGATTGGCTGGCCATCTTTCTCGATAAAGACCTTGTAGTCTAAGCTGTTCTTAGCACCGATTTGTCTTGCAGTGTAACCCATCTTTAATTTGGCAATTGATTCGCTAATTGAGCGTTGAGATTAAACATATGTGAAGGATATAGAAAGGTCAATATCAGAATGTTGGCTTGCACTTATATACCCAAAAAATTATGAAGTGATGAATCCAAGAGCACGTGACATTAGTTGATAGTCTTGTCTGACTGCGAATGGAGCATTGAACAAGCTCAAGCCGCTCAATTGTGCGTTCAAGGTGTATTCGAGAGCTATTTGGTGTCAACGCAGCGAATAATCTCTAGCAGCGAAGACTAACGCTCGCTCCGTTTTGTTCATTGTCACGTCATTCAGAATATTATTATGGGAAAATTATGAGTTAAAGTTCTTTCGTCCCGATTGAACTGAAGTGCACTGTCCTGCAGGCCTTTCAATGACAAAGCGCTAGCTCTATTGTCTGCCTCACCAGTTATAATGATGGAATGCTTTTCTGATTGTGAAACTTGGATGTCAACAAACGGGAGCAAGTGTCGGAGAACGCTAGCTTTAAACGTCCTAAAGGATTTAGCATGAATGAGGTACTATTACGCTTCTGGGGCATGTCCTTTTTTTCAATGTTTGAGAGTGTGCTCGGCTTAGAGCCATAATTTTTGGCGTGCTTCAAACGCGATGCACCCGGACCTCTTCGGGCTTTTTAGGAATCTGCTGCATTTCAATGGGAGAGGATGCGACATCCGCAGATGGATTTACGGAGGGCCTTGGCGCCTGATCATTATTGTTTTCGGGGCCAATTCCACTCGTCGATTGTTCTGCTGCGGTGCCTCGGTAGTAGTGATGAAAGTCCCGAGTAAAGTCCACAGAAAAGCGATCTGCACTTACATCGTCTCTAGTAACAGCCGAAGGTGGCTCCTGCGGGTATTCAAAGACCTCATCCGTGTCCAAAGGTGGCGGAGGACTCGTGTTTTCTGCTTTGGAGCTGAGATGGAAGGCGCCCTGATTATCGTAGTAGCCCAGATCGTTTTCGTTCGCAGTTTCTGTGTATGGAGGCACGTAGTCTTGCGTTCCACTCCGGTACTGCCTCTCGGATTGCCGATATGAAGGAGGTGTAAACCACGCTGTGCCAATGATGGGTCGTTGACCGAGCCTGACCCGTCTCCCGTTGATTTTAATAGCAGTCAAAGCGAGCGACGCTATTGCAACCAAAAAGAATACCAAAAGGACCCATCTGGCCCATACCCATTCGTTTCCACAGCTAAGTCCGTAACAATAGTCGCTGTCATCGGTTGAAGCGCGAACAGCCAGGACCGCTGCAGCGATTTTCTCCTCTCGAGCGTTCGACGGTGGGAAGTTGAGATACATTGCGGTAAGAAGGCAAACCACACCGATACTGTTAGACTTGAGATGTCTTAGCTTGAGCGCCAAGAGATATTCTGATTACTTATATATAAGAGGCTAATTACAGTTTATGGAACTCGTAACGAACGACCAACCTTAAAATTATATCAAAAATGATGTCAAATTGTCTACGCTTCAACATGCTTGCGAAAGGCGATGAGTATATTCAAAATCGCTTGTTTCTTTGCGGCTGTCAAATGCGTTCTGTATCTCATAGTATTCTTGGCACCTGCGATACAGTTTGATACATCGACGAATCTTTTCCTAGAGCGTTTTGCCAGTGAAGAAGACATCAATATATGGTGGAATGTTAGACTGTGGAATAAGCTAGTGTCGTGGGATGCCGTCTTTTTCTTGAAAAATGCTATGAGACATGATAGCAGACCAGAATATGAGCACGAGAATGCTTTCTCTTTACTATGGTGTGATTTGATCAGGAAAGCGTGTCGTGGCGATCTCAGCTTTTACCATGTGTTAAAGATGGCTGTCATACTCGAAAACTGCCTACACTTGGGTGCCACCATTGTTCTATATTTCGTAACACTCAGAACTTTCAGGGCCAACGCCTTCAGATTGCACCATCGTCATCTCCTAGCTCAAAAGACCGCTATGCTGTTTGTTGCAGGCAGTGCGTCAGGATTCTTTCTTGGGGTCTATTCCGAGCCACTGTCAGCACTCTTGACATTCTCAGGAATGCTCTGTCGTGAATACGCTACAGGATATGACGTCCGTGGTGCGTTGGTGATACCTTGGACGAAATGGCCGATCTATACCATACTCTCCACGTTCTGCTTCGCCGCCGCTTTTGCAGTGAGACCAAATTGCGTCCTGTTGGGTTTGTATTACGTTTTTGACCTTTGGAATCTTTTGAAGTCAAAGAACTACCGCAAAGCAACGTTCATGCCCCTGCTCAGTGGTCTCGGCATGTTTTGCTTTCTAGTCTACTATCAATACTACGCACCATATCAATACTACTGCCCCGAAAGAGGAGAGTGGTGCGCTAAAAAGATCTGGAATCTGCCGGTAAGCTATGAGTCGCTCTACAGCTTCATTCAAAGCCGCTACTGGAATGTGGGCTTATTACACTACTGGACTCTGAACAACATTCCCAATTTCATCATTGCTCTTCCAAATGCAATCATTTTATGGTTCTCTGCGATATACTTTTCGCATCAATACCCCTGCCCTAACCTGAGACCCTTGGTATTGATAGTGAGGGTGTTCTTGGTCGTAATGGTTTTTTTTGCACATGTTCAGATTATCAATAGAGTAGCCTCCTTTTTGCCGCTCCATCTGTGGTACATTGCAGATCGCCATAACAAGTTGAAGTTCACTAAAGATGAGAACATGAAGGGTGACGATAAATTAGTAAGATTCTACGTCATTTGGCTTGTCTTCTGGCTTCCACTTCAAACCTCGCTTTTCGCTTCGTTCCTTCCCCCGGCATAAAAAAGATGACCAAATTCTTATTTGAATGTGTACCCACGTCAAATAATACTACGAAGTGACTCAATTTACTATCATTGGTATAAACAAGCTGGCATTCACAGAGCTGGTAGAATTATTAACGATTCATTCCTGGTAGTAACTTACTTGAGATTTGAAGAAGCACTCAATTATTCCAGTTACAAAAATTCTGTTCTTGAATGTATCCCGTTTTTTTATACGTATTTACAAGTTATAGAAGCTCAAATCATTATCACTTTCTTCTGGTTAGGATGCTGTTGGTGAGAAACTCCAAAGCAGAGCGAGCATCTGATTCGGGCAAGGCATTGCGAAGATTGGATAGAGCACGGTCTCTATATTCATGTGCCAATTCTTGCGTCTTCTTCACACCATTATGGGCAGCGACCGCCTCTACTGTTCTCTCTACATCACCAGGTTGAGAGAAATTACGCTGAATTAATGGACCCAAGGAAGCATCCTCTTTCCAAGCATAAAGAACTGGTGCTGTAGCTATTCCGAGCTGCAAATCGGCGCCGGCGGGTTTTCCCAAGTCTTCGGCGGAGACCGAGAAATCCAGCATGTCATCGACCAATTGGAAACATATTCCTAGATTTTTACCGAAGTTATAACACTCTTCAACAACAGGGTCTTTGGCACCAGACAAAATAGCGGCTGCTCTGCATGATTTTGAGATCAAGGACGCTGTCTTGAGGTAAGTTTTGTGGAGGTAGTATTCAAATGCTGTGGTTACGATGGCTTGAGGCACCCCTTCGTTAGCATTGACGGGAACGCGATACTCATGCACATTGTTGATCAACTTTTGAGAGGGGGGAGGAATAGTTTGGCTTCCATTCGCAATGGTTGTTGGGTCACTGTCGATCGCAGTATTTTTCAATTGCATAAATTCGCCTTCAACTAAGTTAGCAATGCTATTGGAAACTAGCTCGACGACCTCCGGGTTTCGTAGCCTCGAAATGGAAACTGTGGCCCTCCCCAGTAAAAAATCGCCGGCCAAGACAGCCATCTTGTTAGTGAATGCCACATTCCCACTGGCGCGCCCTCTTCGGGTGTCAGAATAATCAATCACATCGTCATGCAAAAGGGATGCCGTATGAATCATCTCAACAATTTCAGCAAGTCTCCTTTGTTTCGGCAGGATTCCTCGCTCCTTGTCGAATTCCTCAGGCAAAGGTTCCGGGCCCTTAGTCAATGGATTCAAGGGTTTAATGCCATGTAAAATATGAAGTGGAGATAGATTTTTGGCAGGATGCTGGAATAGCAGTGATTGTGGGGGCTTGGAGTACACGGGGTCCTCTGGAACATCCGTGTAGTCCACTTTGATACGATTGCGTTGCTCCAGCGGAATCTCAGCTAGTGCTCGAGAAAGCAAAAGAACCAGCATCGGCCTAACCTTCTTACCCTCAGCTTCGAAGTAATAACCTGTAACTCTGTTCAAAGTTGGGTGACCAGAGCCCATTAAGGCCACAATGTTTTTTGCCAGTGTGTTCATTTCTTGTGACACCAATGACACGGGGTTGTTCAACAAGCTCCACGGCGTCACTAGCCTCGCAGCAGTAGCTAAAGCTGTGGCAAAAGAGGACTTGAGTCGCACATTCTGCAATGATCGTCTCTTAGAGCTCCAGATGGTGCGAACACGAAGCATTGTGCTCTTACTCTTCGGTTTGACCCTTCAATCAAAGTAATATATTCAATCAATTTTTTTTAAAGGTGACAAGACCTCATTGAGCTAGCCAATTCAACAAAATTTCAGGGAACCCGATGTCCGACACCAACTCGTTCCCTGGGCTGCCTCAGGTCTTCAACTTCTTCAAGAATCTGTTTTCGCATGTCCTTCGAACTTCGAATAATGTTCCTCAGCACATTGGTTTGATTATGGATGGTAATCGCCGGTGGGCTAAACGGAAGCATGTCGAGATCAAAGAGGGTCACAATGCAGGCTTTCATAGCATGAGCCGGGCTCTGGAGCTCTGCTACGAAGCTGGCGTAAGCACAGCGACGGTTTTTGCATTTTCGATTGAGAATTTCAAGAGAAGCGCTGCGGAGGTAGATTCGCTAATGAACTTGGCAAGAAGTGGGATTAGGCAGGTTGTCCAAAACGGTGAAATGGCTGAGAAATTTGGTGTCAAGATCAAGGTGATTGGTGATCGTCGTCTGCTACCGGACGATGTTTTGCAGGAAATTGAGACTGCGGAAGAGATCACCAAGAACAACACTAGGGCAGTGTTGAATATCTGTTTCCCTTACACAGGACGCGACGAACTCATACATAGCATCAAGGCGAACATAGACAGCATGAGTTCTGGACAGCTAGAAGCATCAGACATTGACGAAAACCAGATTGACAAATATCTCTACACGGCAGAGTCCCCGCCAGTAGATCTTCTGATTCGAACCAGTGGTGTGACCCGTCTGAGCGACTTCTTGCTGTGGCAAGCAAGCCGAAGAGGGGTTGTAATTGAGTTTCTTGACTGTTTGTGGCCCGACTTCGGTTCCCGGCAGATGGCATGGATTCTGCTCAAATTTGCATTCAATCGAAGCTACCGCGCGTCCGATCTGGACTTTGAAGAAGAGACCGACGGCGACGCAACGGCTAATCCAAACAAAAACCACATGTAGATTACTGACCTCTTCAGCGATACAAGCAAGAAAAACCGTAACTTTCGCGGTGCTGGCCGTGGCGCGAAGAGACGAGTGCGTTACTGTATAAAAGAAAAGGACACGATATAGAAATCAATCAGTGTAGCTTATTATTTACGTATTATGCGTGTAATTTGGAGCCGGCCGGGTGCAGCACTTAGAATCTCAAAGGTTTTTAGTTTTTGTTGATGCCTTGTGCCTTTTCGAACTCTGCCTTGAACTTGTCGGCGTTCTCCTTGTTGCCAAATCTGATCGCAAAAGTGAAAGCTTCAGGGCCTCCCTCGGCGACATCGGCAGTGCAGGTGTAGACCCACGATCTGTCAGAGCCCACATTGGGCTTCAAGACGTATTCTGGGGCAATGATGTGGTTGGCGCAAACCTTCAAAGTCTTGTCTCTTCTCATCAACAGTCTGACCTTCTTGGTCTCTTTGTTTTGCAAGAATTTCACGTCACCAGTGCCTCTTTCTTTCCATTCCTTGTTGTCAGGATCGAATCTGAAGAGCTTGGCTCTCACCTTGAATAGTACTTCCTCGTCTTCCTCCATAGTTTTGACGTCCACTTTTTCCAGAGTAACTACGGGTTCGAAATGCACATCTGGGGATTCAGGAGCTTCTTCTTCTTCCTTTCCGGTTTTCTTAACCTCCTTAGACTCCTCAGCTTCTTCCTTGTTATCTTCTGTGGCCTTAGCGCTTTCATCCTTCTTCTCGGCCTTTTTGCCCCCAAACATCGAGAAAACGGCGGCTGTGGGTGGCTGGGGAGCCGTTTCAGAACTAGTTTGAACCTTGCTATCCTCAGACATCCTTATTTGGTGATCTAACTTGACTCTTTTGGCTACTCTTAGAGCTTAAGAAACCGTAAGTAACATTGTGAAGTTCTATAATCTTGAAAATTTTCTTGTTATTGGGTCTAGTAATAATAAGATATATTTAAAAACTCGCACCATATGACTCATGAAATACATATTCCCTAATTTTTGGATTCTTTGAAGTGGGACAAAGTAGAGTCAGTGTTCACATTTAAGAGTCCTGGACATTGCTTGACGGCTAGCATCCCCAGTTTATCCTCCAAACTGGTTCTTCTTTGCCTTTAAAAAGCCTGCACAAGATGACGAACGACACACAGACGGAACACAGACACCATCAGCGCACCAACTCGTTAGATCAGTTCACCGACCCTTTTTCGACAGCAGAGATCTATTATGGACCGGCAACTGATCCTAGTAGGAGGAAAGCCAAGGGTTTTAATAGGACCAGAACGATGAGCGTGTTGGGTAATGCGTCGCAGTTCAAATTAAGTGATTTTACCTCGAATTTGCCTGTCACAAGACGCGGTTCTGAAGACGACAGCTACTTGAGCTCTAAGGGAAGAAGAAAATTCTTCATCGAGGACGTGGACGCCACTTTGGAACAGCTTCTTAGTGGGGAAGACACTGACCAAAACTATCAAATCACGATAGAGGACACTGGGCCCAAGACAATTCGTATCGGAACGGCCAATTCGAACGGCTACAAAAAACTCAGTATCAAGGGTACTTACATGCTCTCAAACTTGCTCCAGGAACTTACACTCGCCAAAAGCTTTGGGAGGAAACAGGTAGTGCTAGATGAAGCTAGATTGAACGAAAACCCGGTCAATCGGTTGGAGAGGCTAATTGTCACCCACTTTTGGAAGTCTTTAACCCGGAGAATTGACCTTTACAATGTCGCGAAGATTGCAGCGGACACCAAGATTGACACTCCTGCTGCCAAAGTTCCTCGCATTTACGTGCCCTACAATTGTCCCGATCAATACGAGTTTTACGTTCAAGCGTCTCAGATGAACCCAACTTCTAACCTGGATGTGGAGTACTTGCCAAAAGACATCACTCCGGAGTATGTCAAATCCATTAATGATCGGCCAGGGCTCTTGGCTCTGGCTATGGAAAAACACATGGACCCTTCCACGGGTGAAGAGGTGATGTTCAGCTACCCATACGCTGTACCAGGAGGCAGGTTCAATGAGTTGTACGGGTGGGACTCCTACATGATGGCACTTGGCCTTTTGGATAGCAGCAAGATAGAAGTTTCCAGAGGCATGGTGGAGCACTTCATCTTTGAGATCGAGCACTACGGTAAAATACTCAACGCTAATAGAAGCTACTATTTATGCAGGTCTCAGCCTCCATTTCTAACTGATATGGCATTGAAAGTATATGAGAAAATGGGTGGTAAAAGTAATCCGGACGCTGTTTCGCTGCTCAAACGTGCATTTGCTGCTGCAGTGAAGGAGTATAAGACTGTTTGGATGGCTTCTCCTAGAGTTGATGAGACCACAGGTTTGTCCTGCTATCATCCTGACGGTCTTGGAATACCACCTGAAACCGAACCTGGCCACTTCGATGCTGTATTAATGCCGTTTGCTAATAAGAATAATGTCACCATTGAAGAGTTCAGAAATCTCTATAACGATGGCGTGCTGGTCGAGCCTGAGCTGGATGAATACTTTCTGCACGACAGAGGTGTAAGAGAGTCAGGACATGACACCACTTATAGACTCGATGGCGTGTGCGGACATTTGGCAACTATTGATTTGAACGCCTTACTTTACAAGTACGAGGTGGATATTGCGGAGCACATCGAAAACTTTCATGACGGAGAATTCACTGATCTACTGGGTGAAAAGACAGAGGCTTCATATTGGAAGGAACAAGCCGAGAAAAGAAAGGAAAGGATTAATTATTATCTTTGGGACGAAGAAACAGGGTTCTTTTATGATTATCACATTAAGTTCAAGGAAAAAATGACATACGAGTCTGCCACAACTCTTTGGGCTTTGTGGGCGGGAGTAGCCACGAAAGAGCAAGCTGCCAAAATGATTAAACTTGCAGTACCTAAACTGGAAATGCTAGGCGGTCTCGTTTCTTGTAGCAAAAAATCTAGAGGCGAAGTTTCTATTGATAGACCAACCAGACAGTGGGATTTTCCCTTCGGTTGGGCTCCGCATCAAATTCTGGCGTGGGAAGGTCTCACAAAGTATGGATATGAGGGTGAAACTAGACGTTTAGCTTACAGGTGGTTGTTTTTGATGACCAAGGCTTTCGTCGATTATAACGGCATCGTTGTCGAGAAGTATGATGTAACCAAGGGCACCGATCCTCACAGGGTGGAGGCAGAGTACGGAAATCAAGGTGCTGATTTTAAAGGAGTCGCCACTGAGGGATTCGGCTGGGTGAATGCCAGTTTTGTGTTGGGCCTGAAATTTATGGACACACACGCAAGAAGAGCTCTTGCGTCTTGCATAAAACCGGACTCATTTTTCGACAATCTGAAAAGTGACCAGCGGAAACGATATGGCCTAAGTTAAATTCTGTATAATTCAAATTAAAGTCCGTTTTTGCAGTGAGCAGCAAGAAAATTGTAGCATACTGCTGAGAATATACATCCATATAGCGAGCGCTGTTAAGCTGGGTTTATTTTATCTTTTCAAGTGCAACTTCAAACAATAAATACATGAAATTATCTATAAAATAAAAAAACAATGCATCAGCTGACCCCTGTTTTATTTATGTTTTCTAACATTTATGTTTTATTTTTTAAAGTAAAATTTTATATTTAGCAAATGTTTTAAGAATGTATATAAAATTGTTTTTATTATTGTTTTTGTTTTCCGAACATTTTTGTACATTTTGTACTAGGTCATTAAAAAACATAGATAATATATGATTTCCAAAATGTTGGAAGGCAAGAACTAGGCCCTGGGGATAGAACGTCAAGAGCTATTCACTATATTAGCATACATCAAAGAAGACTCGGCTCATCTTTTTTAAGACAGGGCCTTATCAAATTCATTCCTTCAATTCATACGTTCAGACCGCTTGCTCTACAATATAGGCACTAATACTCGCAAGTAAAGCAGCATCGAGAATAAGTCTCTCACGACTAAACTGAAAGCAAATCGAGTCGTGAAGGTCTAGAGCCAGGAGACCATTTTATTCATTTCTTCATTATTTATTTTTATGTTTTAAGAGGAATTAAAACATTTGGCAAAATTACAAAAAACTAGTCATTTTCTGGAGAATGAGAAATACAAACACAGGACGATACCAACGCTGGTTGAGTAATCATAGGGAAAAATATGTGCCTTTATCAGAGCTGTTTCAAAAAAGAGATAGGACGTGTACAACCGCCAAGACTGGTGTCATCGTCCCGCTATTACCAAGTAAAAGGGCTAATCCAGAAGGCCACGTGACTTTATGATTTAGTGACTATCTTTTATTAAATAAAGCGAAAACCCTAACTGGAAGTAGACGTCATGTATTAACCAACTAGAGAGAGAGTAAGCATGGCTAAGATTTCTTGTTTGGCTGACGTGTGCATGGTCCCAGTAAGTTTGAGAAATATAACTGCCAGCTATAGATTTTGAGTTATCATTCAGAAGTAATGGAGAAGTTAGGGAGGTTTACTAACAAATCATCACAGTTGGGGACTGGATCTCCTAGTGTGTCTGACTTCGTCGCAGCGGTCGAGAAGAAAATTCGTGAAAGCCACTTGAATAGCACGCTGCACAGCGCGGGTACTACGATCGAGGGGCCATGGGACGAAGTCACCGGTTTGATTGGTGAGCTACATGAATACGCTCACGAGTTGGGCTACGTTAGAGTCCACACCGACATTAGAATTGGAACCAGAACCGACAAGCCACAGACGGCCCAAGACAAAGTGGACACGGTTCTGGCGAAACTCAACCAGTAGACCTTTGTAGAAGTCCCAAATATATATCTTCAATCAAAAATTCTGTTTGCAACGCATCTAATATACAAAACCCGAAATAATGTTACACTTAAAACAAATCAAAACCCGTTTTGATCATCCTTCTGTTTGAAAAGCGACTATTTTTAAGCTTGAGTGGAGGAGGAGTATTTGGTGACCGCTCTGGTACCTTCAGAGACAGCGTGCTTAGCCAATTCACCGGGCAAAATCAATCTGACGGCGGTTTGGATTTCTCTAGCAGAGATCGTCGACTTCTTGTTGTAAGCAGCTAGTTTAGAGGCTTCAGTGGCTATTCTCTCGAAAATATCGTTGACAAAAGAGTTCAAAATCGACATGGATTTCTGAGAGATACCAGTGTCAGGATGTGTCTGCTTCAAAACCTTGTAGATGTAAGAAGAGTAAGTTTCCTTTCTGACCTTGACTCTCTTTTTGCTGGCGTCCATGGAAGACGCAGTTTTCTTGGCAGCTGGCTTCTTCTCAGCTGGGGCCTTGGAGGCTGGCTTCTTTTCAGCTTTTGGAGACATTATGATGTTCAGATGTGTAGAATGATGGTGATTTAACGGTGAGACACACTCTAAAATTCAGAGGTATGCTCCCGACAACTTCAACATCTAAAATGCGGGCCCATTTATATATAAATATATTCAAATGCTTGTAGCAGCGTCGCTAGCACATCGTGTGGTTGTAGACCTGACGCGTGGTCGCTAACTTTACCCAAACGCCAAAAACTGGGTCAGTGAATATAAATGTAACTAAGGCGTGAAGATCTGGGTCCGCTTCGCGTTCTGTAATATACCTACGGGTACTATATAAAATCTCATAATTTCTTTCCTTACGAGGTGCGAAGAAACCAGTCCGGACTACGTACCATAATATTCGCTTATGTGAGGACTAAATTGCACGGCGGTATATAATATTCGCGCGTACTGCGAAGAACACAGTCCAGGCAACTTAAGCTTCGAAACGCCAAAGTTGAGCTCAAGTTGATTGTGGGTTGGCGGCCTCCATAATAGGGAGGTTCATCATCGGGTTTATTGACGCCCCGCGAGTATATAACGAGCAACAGAAACCATTGACATAACTTTGATGCTTTCTTATCCTCTTTTCTTGATCTTTAATCGTTTTAAGTCTAACGAAACATATAAATAACAATTGAATAATGTCCGGTGGTAAAGGTGGTAAAGCTGGTTCTGCTGCTAAAGCTTCTCAATCTAGATCGGCCAAAGCCGGTCTAACTTTCCCAGTTGGTAGAGTTCACAGACTTTTGAGAAGAGGTAACTACGCTCAAAGAGTTGGTTCTGGTGCCCCTGTATACATGACTGCCGTTTTGGAGTACCTAGCTGCTGAAATCTTGGAATTGGCTGGTAACGCTGCCAGAGACAACAAGAAGACCAGAATCATTCCTCGTCATTTGCAGTTGGCCATCAGAAACGATGACGAGTTGAACAAGCTTCTCGGAAACGTCACTATTGCCCAAGGTGGTGTTTTGCCAAACATTCACCAAAACTTGCTTCCAAAGAAGTCTTCCAAGCCAGACAAGGCTTCTCAAGAGTTGTAAGATTCGCTTTTTGTTACAAAAAACGTGATCTTTATGTTGGGGTCTGTGATGTCTGCTTGAGGAGCAGGGAATCACTTGTATTATAAATATTTGGATGTCAGGTTATTTCCATCATTTGTACATTAATTAGTCGGCCGTGTACTCAATTTAAATTTAGGTTCGTCATGAGAATTACTTTATCGTTATGGTTTTACTGTGTTTATGCTATTTGGCGTCGGACAGAAGGTCCACAATAATGTTCACAAGAGATACCAAAACTTCGACTCCGACCAAGACGATAATGATAAATTCCAAGTATTCCTCATGGGAGTGTCCAAGTTGCTCTTTGAGCATTTGCAGCAGATCTGATATGACTTCAAGCCTTTGGTTTAAGAGGGCAACTCTCTGATTGATTTCCAAATACCCTCTGGTGGCATGGTAAATAGGTTCCAGTTGGGGCTCCGACCACATAATTTCCGGTGAGTCTAGAACTGATCCATGCAGGTTGATGTTGATTCGCAGAATAAACAGCTCCCCAATGCTTTTCATGATATCCTCTTTGCTCATCGATACTTTACCGCTGGATGCTATTTGTTGAGGGATGTCTTGAGTATCTTCAATTGTATTGTCCACCAGTTCCTCGAATAGTGAGATTTTGACACTCTGTGCGATGGCGTGCGAGATGGAAAGTTTGATCATGTAGTTTGATCCGTCTCTCAACGTAATAAAGTCATTGTAAATTCTGGGCTGGTAGCTTTGTGTAATGTAATAGTTGAACTCTTCAATTTGAACATCTTCTTCGGCAAGTTTCTCCTTCTCAAATTTCTCAATATCGTTCAAGAAGGCCTTTTCTTCTCGCTCTGTAAACCCCCACATTACAATGACTCCATACTCGAAAATAAACAGATCCGGCTGCTTGTCGCTAACATTTATTTCTCCCCCCTGGTCGTCCAATCGTATAACATCTTCGTCGGCAAACCTTTTATCTCCTCTCCAGTCTGTGTAAATGAAGGGTGTAAACAGACACTCATCGAAAAGCTTAGGATGCGTGTGGTGTAGCTTTTTACAGTCTTTGAGCCATCGTATTATCTCTCTCATGTTGTAGGAGCTCGCAGTACAGTATCCGCTTACTCTTGGAAGTAAATGTCGCTGGCCCTTTCCCAGTTTTTCTGCATCTCGCCGAGCAGGTGTGTCTGTGATTCTGTTGACCTGAGAATACACATCTCTGTCAGTGGCGCCTAAATATTCATCTTCGGGACTGTTGAAGGGCTCCTCTGGCAGAAGCTTAAGCTTTTGAGCAGTCCTGGATGTCCTCTGAGCGCCGACTTTGGCGCCTTTGGCGCTCCCCGAGTTCTCATTACGACCTGGTGAAATCTCAGAACTCGACGAATTTTTGCCTGAGTTAAGCATTCTGTCCGATCTTGCCAGTAAAGGTTCTCGCTCTAACTGTGCCATCTTTACCCATGAAATATCTAGCACAAAACCACAGCTGGGGAAAGTGAAAGATGTGCTTGATTTTAGTACATTTCGGATTGTTTAAATTTCAAAATTCAATCTTTAATTTAAATACTCAAAGGTAATTCTTACAGCAGCGAAGAATATATTAATCTACAACAAACAGACATCTTGACGGCTCCAAAAAGTTAAACCATAAGAGGATAACAAGTAATGTCGGAGGACCATGATCGCAAAAGATCTTTAGAAGAACTACAGGAGAGTAATCAGGTTCTAGGACTGGCCGTGCAACGAACGAGGTTAGCCGTCAAAAGACTAAGGCTGGAGTATGGTGCGCTGTTGGAGCGCCTCGAAAGTCGGATAGATAAAGACCCAGAATTGTCCTATGAGGATCCGCTACCATCGCTAGAGAGTTTCAGGACGCAGATTTTAGAGGACACGCCTAAATCGAAGACGAAGAGGAAAAAGGGAAAGGAAAGAGACCCAAACTTGCCCAAGAGGCCGACAAACGCCTATCTGCTGTTCTGCGAGATGAACAAAGAATCAATGAAACAAAATTCCGGACCAAACGATGTTTCTAAGGCTTTGACAGATGCATGGAAGGCACTGGATGAGAATGGAAGAAAACCTTATTACAAGCTATACAGCGAAGACCGTGAGCGGTATCAGAGGGAAATGAAAGCGTATGCCAAAAACAAGACCACGAACGAGAAGCAGCCGAAGAAGGAAGAGGACGATGATGATGAAGAGGAGGTAGACGACGATGACGACACGGATGGAACTCAGCCTGACGTCGAAGCGTCAGTCGACATACCCATAAGGTAAGGCTGAGGCTGCGGACAGGGAAACAGAACGAAAAACAAAAACAAAACCGACCAGATAAAGACTCCGTTCGCTTTCAACCCAGTATTTACCAAGCATTAGCGCTCTTACTCATTTGGTAATGGAATGTACACTATATAATGCAAATCTAGCAAGTTAAATCCTTCTCTTTTTGTTTTTGGCACGATAGAAGCCATTGTCGTCTTTTTCATGACGTCTCTTTTCCTTTGACCTAGCATGCTTCTTGAACTTCCTTCTCGCCGCAGCTTCCGGTGCGGTGACCGCTAAAGCTGCCCTTTTCGCTCTTCTCTCATACCTGCGGCGAGTAATCTCTTGCTTGACATTAGAGTAAGCCGAACTGAAATCAGAGACAGATAGTTTGGTTTGTAACATTTCTAGGCACTCCTGCGACATTTGTTGCAGCTCCTGGACTTGTTCATCAACAACCCTTCTGTCATCTTCCAGGTACGTGAACAAGGGCAATATAATCGCTCCGGCAGCCAGCTTCAATTCAGTTTCATCCATCATCTCCGTGATAAGAGCAAACAACTGTACAGATGCCTTTTTGGAAACGAATGTTTCGCGAAAGTTTTCCTCATCTCTCAGAATCGAACCTATCCTGGCCAACGAAAAGCTGACTGCAGAATCATACCTCGCGTCTTCGCCTTCCTTCGGAATAAATGCAGTTTTCTCAGAGATCCATTTTCTCAAAATAGTGATCAAAGTTTTGACCGCGGTTGTCGCCAGGGACTCTGAAACGGAAGGTGCTCCCAGTTGGTGGAAAGTTCGATACGCAATATTCTGAATCATAGAGGCGGATAGCGGCTTCCCTGCATCTTCACGCTGTTGGATAAGCTTTCCAACCATCCTGCCGCTGACCACTCTGACCCAGGGTTGAGGATACAGCAGACAGTCTATGATGCTTGACCACATTTCACTGTCCCCACTCGTTAAACTTTCTTCTTGTGCATCCACGTAAGTGCTCAAAACATTAAGCGCTGTGTAAATCAAATTCCATTCAGCAGCAGAACCGAGAGAACTCTCAGAAATGATCTTTTTGGCTTTCGAAATGGCTAGGGTGTCCAAGGCGTTGTTGCTACCGAACGGTATAGCGCCCAGGTATATTTTGTATATTTTCAATCCAAGCTCGACGAACATTGGGTCGCTTTGCTTTAACCACGCTGTGATATATTTTTCAACAGAGCTGACATTGCGGTTTCCAAGCTTCATCAAAAGAGTCTTTAGCAAAGCAGTGCCCATCTCACGGCAGCGTGGAGAACCATCATTGGCAGCAACATTAGACAAAGACAAGAAAAATGACGAGGATACACGCAATAGCAGCTCCATGCCAGATTTGTTGACAATCAGATTTATGAGCTCCATCACAGACTGGCGGCCTTCTTGAGATGGATATTCGAGATTAGAGACTAAAAACTTGAATTGTTTCTCTAGTCTTCCTCGACTTTGATCATATTCCATCAAAAACTGATAGCAAACACTCCGAGACACGTCCCGAATTTCTTTCGAATGATTCGTTACCATTATTTCAGCGATAGCATCAATCACATCGTAGAGCTCGGGCAACACAATATGCTTGAAAACCAATGATTTGACGAAATTAAATGCCAAACCCTGTTTGTTGGGCTCGTTTAAATCTGGTCTAATCCGTCCCAATATGAAACTCAGTGCCGTATCCTTGAGCTCGATGTCTTTGTGACGAATGATAGACGAGAGAAATTTGAGACTCACTTGACAGAGCTCACTAGAAGTGGAGGGAGAGTCCCGTATCACGTTAAGGACTTTTCTTGCACAGTTTTTGAAAATGCCTTCATTCTCCTCCATGAACTCTAGTTTAACTAAAATGATCAGAACGCGCAATGCACTTATTAAGACTTCCTCCTCATCGGAATCCAGCGCTCCTTGCAAAAGAGGAACAAAGTTTTCGAGGTATGCTGCTTCGAGAAGGTTCGCATTTCTCGTTAAAATTGTCTTAAGGAGGTCCAGAGCAAACTTTCGCAAAACTGCACTGTTGGATTTGGTTTCATTTTGCACTCTGTCATTCCTCGCACTGAGATTGATGAGAAAGAAGGAATCCCCTTTTGGATGCGAGCCTCTTGCTTCTCTTCTTTCTTTACCTTCGAGAGTCGATTGTGTAAAGATTTCGTAGCAGAGAATCAAGGCGTCAGAGGAAGAGCTCTCGACATTGTGATTGAGACCGAGCGAATATCTTCGCATCAACTCGTCGAGCTTACGTTGATTTTTCAAACCCAAATTTTCTTTGAGTAGAGCCTTGATGGGGTGCAGTAAGTGTCCGAATGCAGCCAATGAAATGTTTGATGCAACAATTTCAGCTGTGTCGTAGCTTTTGTTGTATTTGAGCTCCTTTAACTTTGAGGTGTAGCCTTCGGCATCTTTTTCTTGACCAGCAGAGCCAAAAGTGTCCTCCATTATGACATTGACGATCATGCTCGCAGTCGTGTCTAGATCTTTGTGTTGCAGTTTGGAAGAGAGAACGACCAGAATGGAGTGAATTGTATAACTCAAGACGTGGATTTGAGACCCTCTCCTTAGCGCACTCCTCAGTTCCTTCAAAATGAAGCTCAAGTACTCAGGTCCAAGAATAACAGATATACTTGCGAGGTTTTTGCGGACTGCTTCGCGAAGTTCTTCAGAACGACTGCGCAATACCTGACAAACGCTGCTCAAAATTCCCGGTAGGTAGTTAGCCCTTTCAGTAATATCCAGACCCAAGATTGACTCGACCAATGCCTCGCAAAGTGGGATTCTGGCTACTATGGTTTCGTCGTTTCTAGTGTTGAGAATTTTCATGAGCTTGGGATACGTCTCTTGCTTTATAAACGTTTCAGGACCAGAGAGAGTAGCCGGAAGCTTTTTCATTTTCACAGCATCTGTGTCACTACTTCTAGTGGCATCCATGGAGGTCGCCAAAGCTTTCGAGCAGGCAACAACGAGGGACACAACTTCCTTCAGAAATTGAGGTTTAGATTCGAGCAAACCTGTGAACCTTCTCATGAGCGCCTTGTATTGACTCCAAGTGACAAAGTGAGAAAGGAGCCCGATGGTCGAAATCGTTTCGTTACAAATGTTTCTGTACCTCTCCTCCGTACAGTAGACGTAATGTTCGATCATCGGTATCAGAAAATGAGCAATACTGTCAGATGTCAAGCTGGAACCATTCTCGCCGAGCCTTTTGATAGCGCGCTGACGACGATGTAATTGAATATGGGCGACATTTGTAAAGAAATTTGCTTCTTGGTCGCCGTTGAATAACAACACCTTCATATCATCTAGCTCTGTGTAGTATTCAGAGCTGCCAACGACGTAAGCTGTGACGGATATAAACTCTGCCTGGATGTCAATATTCTTATGGCGTAGGCCATTTTTCAGATCCGGCAACAATTGTGATGTTATCAGATCGACGGATGGCTGGGCTGCCTCAAGAGATTCTTTTGAATTAACGTAGTCAATGAATCGCTTCAAGGTATGTGTGGCGTTTGTTCGAAGGGCAAGCTCTTCTTCATCTCTGATATAGAACAGACAGGTGTTTAGTACAGGAAGCCACTCAATTTCACTGAAAAGCATACAATCGCCATCATCTATTTTCTTGAACGCAGGTAAAACCGTCTCGAAGTCGTATGTTTCCATTCGCTTTGAGGCGAACGCGTTCAGGTCATTCAGCAAAGTGGCTATGCGCTCTAACGATTTGAAAATGCGCGCAAAACCTGAAAACACAGCATTGACTGAGAGTCTCAGCTCCTTTTCAGAACATGTTCGGTAAAGTTTCGAGCAAGCTTTGTAGAGAGTGTTGATGTCATCCCAATCACATTGATAGTCTTCTAGCAGGAAAGAAACGGACTGCACGACCTTAACTTTTTCCAAACTGCGAATCCCTTTCAGTTCTCCTTCGAGAATACACCCAAGGGAGTTCAAAAGATACTGTTTTGTCTCGATATCGCGGACATAGCCGGCCTCTATGAGGTTCAAAAGGAGGTCCACAGCCACGGCTGCAACGTCTTGGCTTTTCACTACATTTAGCACGCTTGGCAACGCCTTCAAACAGGAGGACGCCACAAGCGAAATGAGATCGAGGTATTCATCTTCTTCCGTAGGGTTCTTCACAATTTGGTTAGAAAAAGTCAAAACCATGCTCAGTACCTCCTCTTTGGCATTTTGCTTCGAAAGCAGCCGCATGAACGCCTCTGCCGCAGAGCATTGGTTGTGATACAGAAATTTGTAATAGCGAACATCTGTTGCCCAGAGAGATATCAGTAGCATAAGAGATGATGGTTTCTGCAAGTTCTCGTCTTCGAACTTTGCAAGCCTTGGTCCAACCATAAGTTTGTGAATTGTTGGAACATGGTCATCCCACTCGATCATATCGCCCACAGTAGAAAAGATGCTTAACATCAATTTCATTGACAGTTGTCTGACATTACCAGCTTGCTTCACCATATAATCTTCGTCCGTCTTGCGGTTGGCCACTTCATTCGAGACATATATCGCGTAAAGCACTGGATTGAGCAGCGTAGCTGTTGCTCTGGGATAGCGCGATCCTAAAGCACTTACAGCAGTTTGGGCAAGTGTAACAAAACCGGTCATCCTTCTTAACGACAAGCTGGTCACATCAGCGGATTCCATGTCAAACTCGTTGCAAAATAAGCTCTGATACTCAACGCCATGACTTGCAAGTTTCAAGAAATCGATGACATACTTTTCGGTCAAGTTTGGTAACAAAGTTATAGCTGCTGTCTTTCTGCTCTTTTTTAAACCACTAGTCACCGGTGTTTGAGCGCGGCCGAAAAGAATGCGCAGTATGACGGGCATGACAACGGCTTCATCGTGAACATCAATCACTGGCTCATCGCTGTACGATAGCAAATTCAGGCACTCATCTTTGAAGGCATTGTCATCTAGCAAATTCTTCAAGTTATCTCTGTACTTTATGACAGCTTTCTCCCTATAGGCTAAAATGCCGTCGAGTGCCATTTTCTGAATCTCAGTAGTTCTACTACCTAGAAGATCCATAAGCCTTTGATGAACATCTTCTGATCTGAAAATGGCTTTGATATTCTTGAATTTCCCAATGAGCTGCAATAACTGCTTTCGGTCACCTTCTGACCACGTACTAGGTGTACTTGATTTTTTTTCAAAGTCCTCTTCTGCAAATTCGCTATTCGCAGGGTGGGATTTAAGAAAGTATGGAACAATGTCCCTTGAATGGCGTTCGGCTAATTGAGGAATCAAGAGAAGACCTTTCAATGCCTGGTTCCTAATGAGACCGGGATAGGTCAAATCACTTCTCGATTGCTTAGAGTTCTCAATAATGGAAAAGTCCAAAAGAAAGTATGACTCGAAAACCTCTTTGCAACTCTGCAAAGAGTCATTTAATCTTGACACACTAACAGACCACCCAAACTCTTTTCCTATTTCCAAGAAGCTTGGCGAGTAGTACTGAAGCTTAAAATTATTGTCAAGGGCATCAATGAATTTCAAGAAAAGCTCCCATGTTAACTGCTGATCTTTCTCGAAAACATCTGGTAGAATTTGGTAGACACCTTCCCAAGCGGGTGAAAATCTCACCGTTAGACTGCCAAACAGGTAGTTAAAAAAAACACCACACAGCAACTCGTCCGGTGCACTCTTCGCGAACTCAGTTCCCATAGCTTTGAGGCGCATTGTGACATCACGGGCAGTCTGGAGATTACGGGGTATTTCTTCTATCAATCGGCAGTCACGGAAAATCTGAGGAACATCTTGTCCCAGTTGCTCCCTTATTACTATAATGAGTTTTAGAGTTTCATATCGAATTTTGTCATCGGGCAGGCTAAGGTTGCCAGCTATTTTAGCCATGACTTGTTGACTTGCCTCATATGGCATGGTATCACGCAGAGATGCTGACATAGCTACAATCCGATTCAGACCCTCGACACATGATCTGCTTTCCCCACATTTTTCAAATTTTGAAAAGATTAATGTTAATATCTTAGTTAGCTGGTCATCCTTTTTGACTGTCATAACTTCTAAAATTGTTCCAATGACGTCCTTTTCGAAATCGTCCAATGATTGTTTATTCAGTAGCAGTGTCAGGATAGGCGCCAAGATCGGCAGGTTGTAGCAATCGGTAGATCTCAAAACTTGCAGTCTCCAGAACACTTCGTAAAGAGATTCGTGGTCCGTTAATTCAACTCTCTCAATATCCGAAAGCAAGCTCTGGGCAAATTCCTCTGGAACTTTTGGTTCCAGATTCTGAAGGAGAGAAGGGTCCTTCCTCAGTTCCAGAAGAAACAGTGCTATTTTCTTTGAGTGCAATTGCCAAAACGAATTGATGAACTTTTGCAACGATCTAGCACCTCCGAAAGACAAAATTCGGCTTTTCTCGTACTTGAGAGCCAGTCCGAAAAATGGTAAAAAGTCCTCTGTGTATGTCTCCATATAAAAGGAGAAAAACAATCTGTGACATTGAGCGAGATCGGGCAGGGGTGCGTTCCTTAGAATGAAGCAGAAAAGAAGAGCAACATCTTCGGATATCATCGAATTTGATTTTGGATGCTTAATGGCTTTGTTGACGGTAGCGATTAGACTCGTCCAAGATGCAACTTTTTTGCCGCTCTCCGCAAACGACAATGCTGTCAGAATTCGAGCGGTTGCTGTCATATCCACAGATGGCTCTTCTAAATATGCGTCAATCGCCGTCAATGATGTGAGATAGACCTGAGAGGCGTGTTCGGAAGACGCATGCCTGACAATGTTCAGAATGATGTCGGCCATAAGAGAAATGCAGCGAGGGTTCTTGACAGTATGAAGTGTAGTATCGATTAGAACCTCCATCATTGAGCCAAACTTGGAATGCAAGGACTCGCTTTTAGATGTCAGGGCTTCGGTGTACAGTACGCGTAAGCCGTCGTAGACACTTTCGTCTGCAGCGTTTCGAAGCTGCTCGAGCGTGTGACTCACGAAACTTTGCAAGCTCTTGTGTTTTGCCTTTCTGACCAGAAATGAAAGCACTTCCGCGGAGAAACGCGAGAGATATTCCTTTCTATGCGATAATAAGGGGAAGAGGAGGTTGTAGGTAGGTAGGAGATCCTGTGCCAGGATGCGCGACAGGTACTTGTATATGTAAGCGACACAATTAAAGCCCCACTCAAACACGTTGGACGACTCGAAGTTGATCGCTGCATCAAGCAAATCCGTCAACATGCGCATCGCTTTCTCATAGAACTGCATGAAGTCGGGTCCTAGATCATGACAAAACTGCGACAAGAGATCTAGAAGCGGCTGAAGCGAGTTTTCGTCATGCTTGCTGATTTTGTCATGCAAGTTGTCGAAGATCTGTACCTCGTGAAAGAGAATCTGTGGAAGAGTCTGGACCAGAGGCCTCACAGTGTCTGCGAATTCCGTAAACCCGGCGCTCATGTTGATATCTTCCCAATGCTCGAGAGACGCCAAGAAATGCGAAGTCTCCACATGGTCATGTACTCTCTTGCTTAAGTCTCTAGCTGGCTCTATCCTGAGGTTGTCAATTTTATCCTTAAAGGAGGAGTATCTGTACCGTTTTGACGTCTTAGACGTCACTTTTTGCTTCACCATCTTGCTCACTTATAGCTCTCCAGATCTTTGATCGTGCAGAGATAAAGAAGTGGTAGAATCGAGGGACTGAGAGAAGTTTACTTTTTGTTTGAACTGATGCTTTCTAGCTCATCGCCTGCAGAAGAAGTAAGCTCAGCGGAAAATTTTCATAAAAATGGCAGAGTTATACGTAATAAGCGATGTTTTAGCCGCTGTTATTAAGATCCTCCCTCATCGCTGCTGAAGAGGTAGAGGAAGAGCTAAAACAAGTTGTCATCCTAAAAAGTTCATAAGATATATAAACAGTTCTCAATCTATGCTACCACAAATTTACTGTACAATGAGGATTTGCTGATAATGTCGATTTCGCCGAAATTAGTTTGTTGATCTAAGTCTACGCAGCCCATGTTGGCAAGCGAAAGAAGCTCGAAAAACGTTTTGCTTGCGTCTTTCTTCGACGGGGCGTCTCCTTCTTGACTAGCTCTTAGACAATCCGAAAAGTTGGTTGAGTCAACGTCGATGAAACGTGTCTTCAATCTCTCAGCCATCTGGCCAAGACCGCGTGAAACGTACTCCCCAGTGACAAGACGAGTATTTGTAGAATGTCTTTCTCTCTCTTGAAGTGTCCCTTGGAAACTTATATCCTGGCTCGTGTCTATGGAACTCCTGGTCCCGTTTACGATTTCGTCTTCCGGTTCGTCGTTGCCTATGTCGCGCTCGTCTTCCCAAAGTGTTGCGAGATCTTCTTCGTTCTCTTGATGAGGTTCGTGGGCATTTTCGAGACTGGAGCCAAGGTCGTTGCCCAGATCGAGAGAAACATCAAACTGAGGATCCTCGTCGACAGCTTGAGGCAACTCGGGCGAAACACGAGGTTTCTTCAGATTCTGGTACGACAGAAAAGTTCCCAAGATCGTTTCGGGTAGGTAATCGGTTTTGTCTGCAATTTGAACCCAAAGCCGCTTCTGAGCGTTTAGTCTTTCGCGTGGCCGTGCAGCGTGTTGCTCAATAATCTGAGAATCAGGGCTCAACTGAGAGATTCTGACTTCTTCATCTCGTAGTTCTGTATCTTTATCAGTAATCAGGCGCTTCAGCTGTGAGAGGTCTTGGTCAAGACCCTGAGTGTCTGGTGGTGAAGAAACGGGCGCCGCGAAATCGTCCTCTTCTGCACCGGAGTTCAGAGCTTCGTCATCAAGATCCTTTCCTAGACCCAAATCGAAGTCGAATTCTGTTTGATCTTGTGCGGACTCATCAACTGCGGCCCTTCTACCGAGTTCTAGGGACCTGTCCTCATCTTGACCGCCGGCATCAACCATTGATTGGTCCTGAATCCCTAGATCCCAATCCAGATGGTCATCGGCGGGGAAATCGTCTTCTTGAATTATGGCGCTGCCTGTCGTTTGATTGGATTTGTTTATGGTGGTGTTGGTACCTTCACCAACGGCTCTAGTGTCAGTATCGTCTATATCAAAATCCAGGTCCAGGACCGAGGACTGATTGTGGCCCAATTCTTCGCCGACCCTGGCATTTCTTCCAATTTCAATAGAAGAGTCCCATGGCGCTGCTCCCTGTACGTGTCTTTCCATGGATCTCTCATGTCCCATGAACCCACGCACGATGGGTTGCTCGTTCAAAAATTCCAGGCCCGGTACTTGCAAAACTTCTCGTTCTGTGACGGCGTCTTGCAAAAGGTACTGGCTCGGATGCGGGAGTGTAGTCCGTTCGATTTGAAGAGTTACGTTTGGAGGAGCGGATTTGAAAAGAGTCGTCATCCTAGTCAAGGTGTCTTTGATATCGTTCAGAAGAAGCGAGGTCTTTTTCGAGTAAACGCGAACTACACCATGCAGTAGTTCTCCGGAGGCTCGCAGCGTGATGGGTTCGACAATATCGCTGTCCAGAGAACATCCAGCAACACGGGCGATTTCTTCCACGGATTTGATAATGTCTGTATGCTGCGAAACGCTCTTAGACAACGAGTGCGACATGTTGGACGCCAGCCAGATCTGAGCTAGTGGGCCATTATTGGTGGTCAAGTGAATGAAGGCAGGGGCTTTGGTAACAGCATCGCTTACCATGGTTGGCCAGATAAAAAGCGACGGTGAAGTTTCGAGAAGTTATTAGCAAAAAAGTGTGCGGTAGCGAGATGCTTGGGTAATGGTCAAAGACCTCAAGTCTATATATTTGATCGATGGGAATCACCCAGTGCAAGATGGAAAACTTGGGGGCAGATGCTGAGTGCTGAGAAGAGTAAAAAGCAGGGTGGTTCGCGAAGATCTAGGGTCGGTTTTCGCGTTTTTTCGCACTTGTCAAAAAACCATCGGCCCGCTTTACGCGCTCGTCACATGACCAAAGATATATCAAAACTGTTCCTTTAGTCACATGATACGGTTACGTTTTCATTGCGTAACTTCATACGAATGAGAGCTACAGCGCTGAGAAGAGCTGGGCACCGGTGAAGAGGCGCACCTACTTAAAGCATGGAAGCGAATCCAATTGTTGCGATGCAAAACGTTGATCATGTATTGTGTTTCTCGAAAACTAGAATATGAATTGGCTTGGTCAGGATGGGGGCCTCGTTGTCCACTGGCCCGTGTTTTGGTCTGATGAGAAAAGTCCGCTTTTCTGTCGTGCTTTATCTAAGAGCGGCCTGCAAAACCTCCAATACCTCTAGCTGGATGGCAGCTTCGGCAGCGACTTTCTCGTCGGAAGACGAGGTGTTCTTGTTGGCTTCAGCAATAAGAGATTTAACATTTTCAGAAGAAAAGGAGTCCAAAGAAAAAGCCTCAACGGAGTTAATCGAAAGAGTGGAGTCCGGCTGCACAGTGGCGAATCCACCGGAAACGAAGAACTTCTTGGAAGAGCTGCCCTCGAACACCTCCACCACGCCTGGAGCTAGCTGTTCTACAGTTGGCACGTGATTTGCGAGGATACCGATTTGGCCCGACTGGGCTGGTAGGTTGACCTGGGTGACTTTGGAGCCCGCGAACAGGGTTTCGTGGGGGAGTGCGAACTTCAATTTAAGAAAGTCGCCGGTTGCTTCAGCGTAAGTACGCTTGGCCACCAAGTTGGCGGATCTTGTCAGAGTTCTGGCACTACTTAGACGGAGCATGGTCTGTTTGATATAACTTTGTTGGTTCAAAGGGAAGTGATAAGTTCACGCGTTTTCACCGGCCTTTCGTTACCGAACTAATCAACGAACAGTTGTCAGTTAATCCGGATTGTTAGGAGGGGCGGGGCCAACTGGTGTGGACAGGATGAAAATTTTCTAATTGTTTCCAAATATCATTTCGTACTAAATCTTTCTGAACCATTTAAGCTAATTGATTGGCCGTCAAAAATCACCACCACGTGACATATATTGATCATGTGATCTGTGTGAGACGAGTACTTATGTACTCATTGTATCTGCCTCAAGCAGCTCATACGATAATTAATCCTGTCTATACAGGACCGAAAACCGGTGGACACTACGATTTGACACACTGGCATACGTACAGCGTCGAGCTCTAATCATGTCCGGGACTACACCTACTGCGAGTTACGTTTGCCATCATAATAAGCTCACCAAATGTTTTGACGATATCATGAAAACAGCGGCAGAGATGCTGGTACAGCAGCAAATTAAGAGCATCCAGCTGAGCTCAGACATAGCGGCCGGTTTCACTCAGTCGCAGCACAAGCTGCTGGGGGAAAAAGTACATACATTCCATTCAGTACTGGATGACTTGGATCTGACTCTCACAACTGCTAAAAACTGCGTCGACAAATTCGCAGCAGAAGCCGTAGAACGCAGAGAGAAACTACTGGAGCAACAAAGGATGCAACAGATGAAGGAGGAGAAGCTGAAACAAGAGCAAGAAGATCGCAAAAGACTGGCAGATGCTCGCAAAGTCAACGAGTCGGCGGCTTTAGACAGCACAGACTACTCAGAATCTACGCCAAGCACATTTCTCAACGAGCTATCCAAATCTAGTCTTGCCGGTCCCAATCTCAACCTAAAAGCGACTGCCGCAGGCACTACCGGCAACAAAAACGATGGAAACGACGGCAGTAATAATAACAGTCATAATGCCAGTGGTGCTAACAATGGCTACTCCGCAGGACTTAATGACCTCAATGATCTTGATCTTTCCATGTTCGGCGGCATTGAGCAAAACGATTTGGGCCTCACAGGATTTGACGAGGCCCCAGTTGCTTCAAACAACGATAAGAACCCTGTAGGCGAAAACGGTTTCAACGCCTCTGTGCAACCCAATAATGACGAGGGCAATGGCCAAGCGCTTAATAACGATCCCACCGCCAACAACACCGATAGTTATCTGACTTTAAATGATTTTAATGACCTGGGGCTGGACTGGAATACATCAGAAGGTCAGAATGCGCTAGATATGAGCGAATTCGACATTTAGATCTCATAGCAGAACGCACGGTACGAATGTAAGACATATACACCTTTCAGAAAGAAAAAAATGAGTGAAAACTATTGCCCCTACTCCTACATGGCTTTCGCCTCTAAGAACTATTGTCGAACATCACCACCATAACCGTAACATTATCAGTTGTACCCTGTTTCAATGCCATGCGCACCAACATCTTGGCAGCCTCATTAGCATCGGTCATATCCTTGATTATGTCACACGCTTCTTGGTCCTCAATTACATCCCAGAGCCCGTCACAGGCTATGATTAGAAATTGATCCGTTGTTGTTATCTCTACGCTTGTGGTAAATGGTTTTCCTACCACTAGACTATCGAAGAACTTGTCACCTAGAGAGCGTGTTACCGCGAGCATTCCATTCACACGGCTCCGCATAACGAGGCCTCCTGCTGCCTCCACTCTTTGCATCTCCAGTATGTCCGAGGCCTTATGGTCGTATGTTAGCCTCACGCTGTGACCGTTGCGACAGAGAACGATCCTGGTATCGCCGACATTAGCCGTGTAGAGCATTCTTTTGTGCTGATCCAATTCGATCTTTTTGTTAGACGCGTTGTCTGGCACTTCCCAACGCAGTACGCCCACCGCTGCTGTGCATCCACTGTTTCCGCCCAGACTCGCGTTTATGTGTTCATCGGCATACGAAAATGCGTCATTAAGTACCTCTCTTACGTCTCTACTCTCATCGCTCATAATGTCTTTTTCTAATACTGCATGTAGATGTGATCCACACCACTTCGAGGCCTGTGATCCTGCGTGTCCGTCGAACACTCCAAAATAACCCCAGTCCAGCCTTGAAGCGAAGTTTTCCACATAAGTGTGTACGTCCTCCATGGTCTTACGAAACTTTGAGTTCTGGTTTTCCGCCACTCCTACTGAGTATGACAGGTTGTATGGCCGTTCCTGTTCCACCGGTCCAGCATTCTCGGCGCCGTCGTGATTGGGAGTGTCTTTCTTTGTCATTGTTGCAGTAGATTTTCAATAATAACAACCAAATCTAGTAGCTACTTCTAACAATCGTTGGTGCCAGTGAGAAGCTTGTTTTCGCGATCGTCAGTTGGTTGCCCTTGTTCATTATCATAAAGTTCATTTGAGAAAACTTATATCTATTTTAAATTCTAATAGTTTGACTGAAAGCAAATAAAGACATAATTACTCGAAGATCAAAGTTGAGCTAGATGATGTCGATCTTACCAAATTTCCAAACTAGCATTGATCAAATCAGGCTCTCAAATAGTAATTGTTTTCGCTCAGGATCGATATATATACGTACGTATGGTCAACTATCAGTGCCAGCATCGGCGCCAGCATTTTGTTGCAAGCTTCGGACACCCGATTCGCGTAGTGAATAAACTTGTCTTGAATGCTGGATTTTCATTCGAAAGCCGAATTATTGGTTAAGTTGAGGTTTATAAGACTTGCCTAATTTTATTGATCACAGGCATCGCGGATCCCCTAATGCCCTGAGCACTATAAATTCGTTGATCCAGAACTGAATCTGAAAGATGATCGTCAACGGCTCCTGCAATGCCCGCACTTACCATTCGTTGTTAGATGCAACTCGCTATGATTGAAAATACATTTTGAACATGCTACAAATACAGACTTTCCAGATTTTCCTCGACCTTGTTTTTCAAGATACGTTCTTTGGCCTGTTTGAAGTCTTCAGCAGTAACCTGCATTCTTCTCTCCCGCAGTGCTAGTAGCCCTGCCTCTGTGCACATGGCTTTAATGTCCGCACCGGAAAGATCGTCTTTAGAAGTGACGAGGTTCTCGAGATCCACATCAGGAGCCAAATTCATCTTGGAGGTGTGGATCGACAAGATCTTTCGTTTCGTCGAGATATCAGGATTTTCAAACAAAATCTTTCTATCGATTCTTCCAGGTCTGATCAAAGCGGGATCTAAGCTCTCAATCTTATTGGTTGCCATGACAACCTTCACGTCACCCCTGTCGTCGAAACCATCCAGCTGGTTCAGTAATTCCAACATGGTTCTTTGAATTTCTCTCTCACCTCCGCTATTCGATTCATAACGCTTGGTACCTATAGCGTCGATTTCATCTATGAATACAATACTGGGGGCGTTCTCTGCAGCTGCTTTGAAGATTTGTCGACATAGTCTGGGGCCGTCACCGAGGTATTTCTGTATCAACTCAGAGCCCACAATTCTTAGAAAAGTTGCCGAGGTCTGGTTAGCCACGGCTTTTGCCAACAATGTTTTCCCTGTTCCCGGGGCACCATATAAAATCACACCCTTGGGTGGTTTGATACCCATTTCTTCATACAGTTCTGGGTGTGTTAGAGGAAGCTCAACTGCCTCTTTGATTTCTTGAATTTGGGACTCCAAACCACCAATGTCACTGTAGTTCTCTGTTGGCGATTTGTTTATTTTCATGACCGACACCATTGGATCTGTGTCATCTTGCAGAACACCAACAATCGACATGGTTTTGTGATGCAGTAAAACGGAGCAGCCGGGCTCTAGAAGCTCTTTATCGACAAACGACAAGATCGAGACGTAGAAGTCTGGCGTTGTGGGGCTCGTGACGATAGCGTGGTCATCGTCGATAATCTCTTCGAGAGTTCCAACTGATAGCGGCGTGCCGCGAATTTCTTCCAGTTGCTTCTTCTCCTCCTCCTGCTTCTTTTCGAAGGGTTTCAAGATCTCGGAATTCGTGACGAACTCTTCCTCGAGAAGTAAATGATCCTTGATTCTCTCCATTCGCAGTAATTTCAACCTGCAACGAGTGCTGGGATAGACATTTGGGAGTTTTTCAGCGGTGGCAGGACCCTTTCTTCTTTTGCGTCCGATTTTCGATTGCACAGAAGGTTCATACTTGGGCTTCTGTTTGTCCTTCTTTTTCTTGTCCTTTCCGTAGGTTGATGCACCTTGGCCCTTTAAAATAGCGCAACTTCTGTTAGTACATGTTTCCGGAACGAGAGAATGGTTCAATCCTTCGATCTGAACTCTACTAGACTGTAAGAGCACAAAAACATACCATTTTATACTACTCGTCTAAGATATGTCTACCTGACTGTTATGTGGGATGTCTATCGTCAAGTTATTTGCCACCATTTCAAAAATGGCCCATTATAATTGAATCTAAAAAGTTTCCGTCCATAGCGATCTTTGAACTAAAACTAGGAAGTAAAGATCATCACATAGGATAACTGGCACGGTGGTTGGGAATGGAGAGACTGATAGAATGCTCAAGATGCGTTTTATGAGATGTTTTTGCTTAGAGGCCCGAAACCACTGTTAAAAATGGCAATTTCTCTTTGGTTTATGGCCTAACTGCCTTGAAACCATAAAAGAACGAAACGAACCATTTCTAACGTCAGGATTTGTGAGCGTATGATGTGGACAGATAACAGATCCGGATTTCAACGGGCGCGATACCTTGAATGAACTGATCTGTGAAACTACTTCTGGATTCTCTGCCGAACATCACATGATGAACGAACAAAGGCAGATAGTTGTCGCTGCTGTGAGTCCAGAACGTCAAATCCTGGCAAAAGTATTGCCCACTTGATTCACCGGATCCAGAATGTCGCCACTCGTTATAGCAGCCGTGTGTGTGTTGAGACGTAAGCTAAGATGCCATCAACTAGAATAAAGTAGTTGCCGTGAGGGAGAAGTATGATGTGTATTTGCGACTGAAAGCATGCCCCTTGACTCCTAATGGCCGCGGCAGGGAACCAACTTCACATACCATGCGCCGAAGACAATTGCATCACATCTTGATATCCGTGAAAGCAGGAAGTAGCACGTCTTGTCTTTCATTTCTGCTTAATTTACCAAAAAATAAAAGAGGAAAAACGACAACTGCAGGATTCGAACCTGCGCGGGCAGAGCCCAAAAGATTTCTAATCTTACGCCTTAACCACTCGGCCAAATTGCCCTATTTCTGTGGTAAAGGAAGACTGTGATGCTCATAGAGTTGAATAAAGAATAGGTAGTCGCGTCAATTCATCTTCCGTTTCCTTATCATTGATGAGTAGAAGATGTTTTGAAGCTCCAACTTGATCTGATTTAATACCCACGGAATAGCTTGTTTTCGTGTCGTATCTAGTTGCTTCTTCCTGGACCAGTTAGTGTTGTATTTTGATAATGTCAATTGATTATACAATCGTGAGACTTGATTTACGTAGATAAAATGCTGTCCGCACTTTACTGATCAAATGGCTGAGAACTTCATTTCAGTGCTTCTTATTGGTGGTCCAACTTCAACTTCGGTCGCATAAGTTCTGTCGTTTCATGTCACTGTTCAAAAACGCCAAGAAGTTCCCTTCAGCTGCATTTGCACAAATCAAATTAGCAGGAATATATAATCAATAAATAGCTGTACACTGTACAAAGGTCCCATTTAGAGAAGCGCATTCACTAGATTCTCTTGATGGCGGAAAACTGTCTATTTCGTCCGCACACCGTAGAGCGTCTTGTATACTCTGAAAGTACCACACAGGTATGGATGCACTTGAAGGTGTTACCCCTTCACTTGGAGTCGTGGTCTCTACCATCCCCGCAATCCCCGAGGATGTGAGTTTATCGCGCACAGCAGCATTCAAAGAAACTCTCGATAGATAAACTCTTACTCTTCTTTTCTTTAGGTTTGTTACGATCTCACACAAGATTTGCGCCGCAGAAGAATCGAGATCTGTCATACCGTTTAGATCCAAAATCATGTGTCTTGTCTGGGTTTTGTCACGAACGCGTGGAGAAGCGGGGTGTGCGGTTACGGAGCCGTAGTTTTCTAGCCGGTTTAACCTTGACTTGAGATCTTCGGTATTGGTAAATATCAACGGCTCCGGAATCTTCACAATAAGACATCCCTCGACATGCTCCAGCTGACAGACGCCAAGTTCATCCTGGTAGGCTAGATCGTCAAATAGATCGGCATTGACAAATCGATTGGTGCCCGAGATCCTTGCGAGTATCTGGATCCTCGATAGAGTTGATTGCTTTATGGTTCTTATAATGGAGTAGCCACAGCCTACGGTAATGCCAGCTTCTACTGAGTAAAAAAATGTCGTCAGTACTGTGATAGCAAACGTAATGAGCTCATTGTATCCACGACACCTGTAGTGGAATCGGATATCAGCAGGAGCTTCTTCGAATAGGGAAATACCCACTACCGTCGTAATGACTGAAAGAATGCACACAGGGATATAGTGGATCATGCCAAGCAAAAATTTCGAGGTGACGAATGTTATTGCACCCATGAAGACGCCTGACATTACTGTCGCGGCACCGCTGTAGGCGTTAATCTTGGAACGGCCGTATCCTCCAAAGGAAGGTAAAGCTCCGAAAAAAGACCCGACTAAATTCAAGCTTCCTAATGCTACCAGCTCCCGATTAGATGAGATAGCCAGGTCGTAAGCCGTTCCCAAAGATTTAGATGCTGTGGTGGACTCAAAAAATCCAAGCAAGGCAACCATAAAACTAGCATGAAATAAATCGTTGTAATAGGATAGGTTTTTTTTCGCTAAGGGATTTCTTAGATGGCCTGTACTTTCAGTGTTAATGTCCCCTACAATTTCAATGCCATAAAGATGCTTGAAATCGTGAATATACGATACAACTGTCACCACAGTCACAACAAGTAGAATTTCAGGAATGAAGATCACCTTCTTATACCTTTTCGATAGACCCTTTTTTAGGTATTTAATCACCATCAAGATGCCAAAAGTGATAAGGCTCAGAGTAGCGGTCGGCAGATGCGCGTTTGCTGGCGCATATTTAATAAGGAATTTGATTTTCTCGTAGGGAGCATGGTAATGGCTTGGGGCGTCTTCAAATACCTTTTTTAGCTTCAATTCCGCAAGCAATGAATTAAGCACCATCACGATCCCCACAGCGCTGATGAATCCTCGCAGTAGCGCCCTACTTAACACGCCGTCCAAGAATCCAAATCTCAGAAGTCCAAACAATAATAAAATCGCACCGCTGCTGAACGTCAGGATGACACAGAGGTTAATCAGATTAATTTTCGGTTCGTGTTTTGCAAGTTTCTCGATGGCCTGTCCCACTACCAAGGAAATGGCGCTTTCTGGTCCAACTATCATCTGCGGCACAGATCCAAATATGGCGTACACGAATGGTGTCACAGCCAAAGCGTTGAGACCACAGATTGGAGGAACGTGAGCAACAGACGTTGAATAAGACATAGCCAGAGGAATTTGGAACGACGCCAACGAAGCACCAGCTAGCAAATCCCTAAATAATTTCGATGAGCTGTAAGAAGGCAACCACGAGAAACACGGGAGGTAGTATGTCAGACAGTCCCACACGGTCAGAGACTGCTGGATTCCCGAGAGGTCTGATAGAACGGTTGTCCGTTCTTTTGGGGGGTCGATTATCTCAATGCTTGACCGAGAAGGCCTGGGACTCTGCGCTCCGGGTACATTTGAATCAGGGTTGGCCTGGTTTGCCAGGGCCCCATCCGAGAGAGAAGTGTCATAAGTTCGAACTCGCTTTAGAGCATGGCTAGAGAGTAAAGGCCTGTTTACGTCCCTCATCTAGCCAGGGTACGGCTTGCCAGGACGTGTTTTCGGAGAAGTTCATTATTCTCTGCGTGTACCATATTCTATATATCGTAGATAAGACCTTCTATAAGGTCCACGTGACCAAATTTACCTTGTCGTTCTTGGCATTCGAGTGAAAGACGACGCTGGGACCCGTCCCGCTGGCTACCACGAAGATAGCCTTTGTAGACATTTCAAAAACAACAGTTGTTTGTGAGATTACGTTCAAATTCATAACGTTCCTCTTTAGCCTAAACTATGATTTAAAGGGCCTTTACATATTTCTTATTTGTTCTGACTTAACTTTTCGGTTAGTTCGGGAACAATCTCATTTAGGTCCCCGACCAAACCGTAGTCAGCCACTTGGAATATTGGTGCTTCTTGATCGTTGTTGATGGCAACGATGACTTTGGAGTCTTTCATACCAGCCAAATGCTGAATGGCGCCTGAGATGCCCAGTCCTATGTACAAATCGGGAGCGACGACCTTCCCAGTCTGGCCAATTTGCAAGGAGTTGTCACAGAATCCGGAATCGACAGCAGCTCTTGTGGCACCAATGGCAGCGCCGAGAGAGTCCGCAAGTGGTGTGACAAGGTTGTCGAAAGTCTCTTTGTTTTTCAGACCACGGCCACCGGAGATGACCTTGGAGGCTGAACCCAGGTCAGGTCTGGCACTTTTCACCAAATTTTCTCCTTCCCACTTGACTGTCAGCTCTGACACCTGAGAAGACTGTGGTGCCTCTGAAATGGCGGCGTTGGTAGCTTCGCTGGCAGCAGCGGCAGGGAAAGACGATGCTCTGATACTGATGAGCTTTTTATCTTGCAAACACTTGACAGTGGCCAAAGCGTTGCCAGCGTAGATGGGGCGCACGAAAGTGGCAGAGTCCACAATTTTGGTGATGTCGCAGATCGGCTGGAAATCTAGCAAAGCTCCCATTCTGGGAAGGATGCTCTTCCCTACTGCAGAGCTCGCCACTACGAAATGTGTGTATTCAGGTTCTTTCAGTAGTTCCAAAGCCAGAGGTGTCACATTTTCTGCAAAGTAGTGATCGTATGCTTCGTTGTTGGCTACATAGATCTGTTGCAAAAGTGCTGACCCTCCAGTCTTTTTGAGTTCTTCGGCAGCTTTGCTGGCAGAAGAACCAGCCAAAAGGGCCGCAATTGGGAAACCCAATTGTGCAGCAGCTGTTAAAGCACTCATAGAAGATTGGGCTATTTTTCCATCTTTGCTCGACTCTAAGAAAACCAGAGTCGACGCCAGCCTAGAGTTAGCCAGCACGCTCGTGCCGTATTTCACGCGTAGAGCGGCTGAAGACCTGCAGAACGCTGGAAACATTGTAACCGTCAGCTTTGCCGTTTTCACAGATCTGTATGATTCAATCAATGATGTCGAATTAAAGCTCTGTCCAAATAATATGAGAATAAGTAGAGAAGTCAAAACCACGTGATGTGGCCCTAAATTTGTATTGACAATGGCAGTGAATAGAGCATTTTTTGTTTATACATCAATCCTAAGACTCCACCTTGGATGCAGTATTGTATTAAGCATCGAATTGAAGAATGCATGCACAAGCAGTGCTAAGCTGAATCTCGAAACAGCTAGGGGCATCGTAATTGATTGTATATTTATCACGTGGTGTTGATTTTAATGTCATTATTGCATCATGTGATATTTAAAAAGACCACAGCGTCTGCGGTTCTCAGCTGCTGTCAGGATGCCTGTGCCGGACGAAATCCATACACATATCAAAAGGTGATTTTACTGAGAGAATGTTGCATGTTTTTCGGGAAACATTTGTAGAAAATTGCACGGGCTGCAATCGCAGCAACTAACTCTCTTCGATTCCATTAAAATGTGATGACAGCTTCGTGCATTTCAACTCTTCACTCCATACATCGGTTGAAAGCACGCTCGAAAGTACGTAATCAATCCTGACAACACAGATATGCTTTCATGGGTGTATCATCTTTTTGGCAATGACTGCGTGGAAAGGCGTGTTGATGACACCATGTGACCAAATGACCGATGCCAGAATAGTACAGAGTGACAATGAAGAGGGAAGCAATAGTAAAGGGCTAAGCAGATTGCGAGGTTCTTAGTATGGAACGTTGGGACCCAGAGGCTCAAGTGTTCTAAATACTCTTCACTTAACCTTCAAACATCGACACGATCTTTCTGAGAGCTAATACTTTTAATAATCATGAGTAGCCAAGCTCGTTTCATTTCATAAGAAATACTCCATGCAGCTCGTGGAAAATAGCTGAACAAACCCCCTTCTAATGGGAGGCAACACAGAACAGAGGATCATACCTTATTAAGCGAACGAGTCATTCCACACAGATAGGAAAAAAGCTACACTTCAAATGTTGAATAATGAAGTCTGAGATTGGAGCACGCTGTATCGCTCCGGCAAAGTTGCTTCCAAGGCACAAAAAAGCTGCCCAGTAGATTGAGATTCAAAAAGGACTGCTGCACCAGAACTTTATTATAGTCGAGGAGGACAGAATCTCTATTTTATGTTACACATTTCAAAGTTTTTAACGAGCACATGACCCATATATTTGCCCCAGATCTCAAATAGTTATTTAATGACCAACAATGAACTCAACTTCTTGACCAACCCATAGATCTTCATGCTCGAGGCTGGTATATTGGCTGATAAAATTCTAGATTTCCTAGCCACTAAGGTAGATACAAACTATCGCGTAGCGGTGATTATTGTCGGACCTCCTGGATCCGGTAAAACAACTATTAGCGAAAGTGTTTGTAAAGAGATCAATGCCAGATATCAACAGTATTTACAATGCCAACAATCTTTGCAACCACACCTGATAGAGTCCACTGAGACGGCTATCGAAGTAGAGAAGCTCTGCGAAACAATTCCTTTTGTAAATTCAGTGGAATGTAGCAAAATCAAGAACGGATGCTTCGACCATGTCGAAAATCTAGACTATATTCCACACAGAATTAAAGTCGATAATGACGAGCATTCTACTGTGGTGGTAGGACGAGGTGGTTTCCCAAACAGTGTACGGTTATCCTCCGAGAAACCACAACTAAATTTCAAAGATAATGTTGGAATAGCGCAAGTTGTGCCCATGGACGGATTTCACCTTTCGCGAGTCCATCTCGACCACTTCCACGACTCAGCTGAAGCACATGCGCGCAGAGGCTCACCACAAACTTTCGACAGCAACAACTACCTTCAGCTGAGCAAGATTCTTGCCAAAAGCTGTGAATTCAAGCCAGAGTTCCCGAGTAACGTTGAGACTAGAAATGGGCTCTTTGAGAAGATATCGGCATCTTTCAGTGAAAAAATGCCTTCCATTTATGTCCCTGGCTTTGATCACGCGCTGAAAGACCCGGTAACAGACCAGCACTGCATAAACGCATTTACACGTATCATAGTGCTGGAAGGTCTGTATCTGCTTCTAAATGAAGAAAACTGGAAAGAAGTATATCCCATTTTCGAAGAAACACAGGCTGTTTTGGTGTGGAGGCTTGACCTGGGGATCGAACAACTCGAACAGAGGGTTGCGAACAGACATGTGGCCTCCGGACTGGCGCCAAATTACGAGGCAGGCGTTGAGCGCTTCAGAATGAACGACCTGATAAATGCAATTAAGATAAAAGAGCAAAGTTTGAATGCGGATGATATAGAGGTACTATCTAGCGCTTGATGTTTACTGCAAAGAACCCATTGTACATGCCGCTGGCGTCGGAACCCTTTATTTTTGCGGCTATAGAATGTCGTTCTTTGAAGCTGCAAGATCCAGGGCTTTCACCTCTTTTAAATGTACCTGTTTTAAAAGCTGTTCGAACGCGCATTTGTGCTTGAATCAGTATTCACAACCAGGTCTCTATGCATCCACAGGTTTTACGTGCAGAAGCTTTAGAGAGTTGGCCTATCAGTTACTCCGAAGAAACTGGAGCGATTGTATATCGATCTTTCGAGTGTTCTTTTCGTTGCACTGGAAACAAATAAATTCCGACTGCCTTTGGCGTTGAATACACACTTCTATGTTTCGGTATTGGCGAAGACTTCGAATCTTCTCAGATCCGACCTTCAGTGAATCAACGCCATGCCGGGTGTCACATTCGTCATCACTGGCGTTGTTAAAATAACTGTTGGGGGCACTGTGAAAGACGAATCAGCGAGAACCAACTATGTCGGGTGCATCTTGTCGAAATGCAAAGCTCACGCGCTTATGCCGCTCCCTCTCCGACCCCGATATCAATATCTTGGCGCACTCTGTCATAAGTAGAGTCTTTTTTTTCTTACACCTCCACGACTTGCATAAAAGGCTTTCCTGGCCATCGTCTTGCGCTTGCATGTGTTTTGATTCTCCTGTTGAAACAAGCGATCGAAACTCATCAGATCACAGTCGTGCTTCTCATTGAGGACATCGACGCGTATCAAAGTATCAAATACTGCCTGCCCAGGATTGCGACCCAATTTGGAACTTGCGGAAGCAATAGAACCAACCAGAAATTATTCAGACAGAATATTTTAGAGAGTACTGCGGCAGTCAAATGACAGGTGAGAGGTATAGCTATAGGCCCGGCTTTTATACGAGCGGTGATTGATATCGGCATATCACATTCCTAATTTCAGGCAAAGCCTACTAATTTTACGGTTTTAGCACCTCCTTTCGGCTGCTAAACGCTGATGACAATATCCGTGCCATTCATGCTGTTGAACCCTGATACAGGTTCGAGGGTATTTATGTCAACGTACGTCCTCGATGCTAGCTGGAGGACGGAAAGAAAAGCATTAGCCGCCATCTTCTTGGTGACAGGGTTAACGCCTTCTCCTGCCTCGACCGATGAAAGTTCAACGCTCGCCTTACTTGGAATGATGTCCTCAAACAAAAGCTTTTTGATAAAAGGTGGGTTTGATCTAGTCGTTTTTCCCACGAAGGACGCACGTTCAAAGATGTAGTCGTAGAATCTGCGGGTCTGGTTGTCCAAAATCTGGTTTTGGGTATGTTCTCTGGCTGCAGAGCCGGCTGATTCGACATCCGCTGAGCTTTCATCAACGTCCTCGACGCTACCCAGCGTGTTATTTCTATGCGTGCGCCTCTCACTGTGCATTCGCCTCAGCTCTTCAATTTGATCTCTCGAGCCGGGTTCTGTTCTACTGGAGCTCCTTCCAAAGCTAGAGGGAGGAAGCTGTAAGTCAATTCTCATGAAATCCTCTCCCATCCCGTCATATCCATTATCATAATCCTCGGGCTCAGCATTTTCGTCAATCTCATGAAGGTCCGGAAGGACAAAAGAATTGGTATTATTGTCGTCACCTACCCTTTGAAGGTCTGCTGGACCCATTCGCCTTCCCCTTTCCGCGCTTGCAACGCTACTGCTAGATCTTGATGGCGGTAATGAACGTACTCGTTGACGACCTCGCTCAACAGCGCTTAGACTGGAAGTACCATCTTCTAAGAAAGACTCGTCATTATCTGCGGTCAGAAGTAGCTGTTCAAAGCAAAGACGAAGAAAAGCGGGGCCCTCGTCTGTGAATAGCACGCTTCTCCATCTATTTTGATCAATGTGAGTGCTGGGTTGATGCTTGGTCGCCTTTGTTTTAGAATCCATGAGCTCGCAGTATCTACCGCTGTTTTCCCGAAGAATGTCATTGCCCAGGCCGATCGTATCGTCAATTTTAAGTTTGAGCAGATTCTCAGATCCGGGCCCAACTTTCCGCCTCTTGCTTGGATTTGCTGTGGCTATTTTTTGCCAGTCTGTGTTGCCGTTGTTTGAACGCGGTCTTCTTTCCGATTCTTGATCTTGATCTTGCTCCTGGTCTGAGATCTGTAAATCCAGATCTGGCAAGTCTGTGTGGTTCGTTTCCCCCACTTTGTCGTCACCAAACAGCAGGTCGAAATCGTCACGGTCGGACAAGTCGTGGCTACCTACGCTCCTGGCCTTTGTAGAGCCCATCTCTACCTCACTGAGCACGTCGTCGAAATCCAAATGCAGGTCTGCGTCCAGGGACGAGAAATCCGGGTGCTTCATAAAGTTTCGGTTTTGATTGTAACCTGGGTCGTGAGGGCCAGCATCGGGGCCTGTTTCGTAGCTGTAGCCATTTTGAAGCTCGTCCAAGATGTCGCGCTGGTGAATCAAGCTTGCGGACTGATTTTGCGGGCGTTTATTGCCGAACAGGAACGACATATCTCTTGTCTGGTTGATGTCGAAAGCTGGATCGTCTGTCAGGATCGCATTGGTACGACGCCTTCGATCGTGCGCGTTAGCCGTGACCGACTGCATTTCTTGAAATTCTCGCAGGTTTCGGTACTCGTGCACGCCATCGAAGATCGTACTATGGTTGACCTTTGCCAGTGATAACACTGATGCTTTTCTGGTTGCTTCGTAGAGCTGTCTCTGCAACTGCGATTTAACGCTGTTGACGTCTGCCAAGACGTAGTCGGTTTTCCTCCCGTAGCAGACGGTGACGCCATACAACAAGTTGGATGCTGACCTCAAAGTGTAATCTGACTTGTTCTGCAAAAGAGCCTCGCAAGTTTTGGGAATTGAAACAGATATGATGTCCTTCTTCTTGACCCCGATCGTGTTGATATTACGCGATCCTCCTAGCGTAGATAGTAGCCACACCGTAGTAACGCCAGAATACGCCTCAGGGAGACCATTTACGCGTTGGAGCTGCAAATTTCCTTGGCCAGAAGCGCTCATTGATCTTAGAATCGCCTTAAATTCTGCTTCTTGTTTGAATATGTCAATGTTAAGTGTGGTACTAAAAAAATAGCCGCCCAGCTTTTTTTAAATAAATGACGCGAAACTCGATGGTCCTGTTACCCGGAGACACTGTTGAATGCTTATATCAAATGACAAGATATGTATGAGGAATACAGACTAAACATCAAAGTCAGCCGTTCTTGAAACAACTCTGAATCAAAGGTAAGAAGATCTGTAGATATCCCAGCAAGCTGTGCTTCAATTTCCTAAAATGGGAGATCAACAGGTGGTTTTTATGAGCCCACAAACAGAAAACCTGGACTACTTATACAGCCTGGTAGATAGAGTTTCTCAACAAATGACAGAGAACAAGAAAAAGCGAGCAGCACTGCTACGGGAGATTGACGTTTTGGTCAATGAGGTTAATCGGTCTTCCTTGAAGAAACCGCCGCGGGACACGGATTTCGAGGTCATATCGAGTTTTTTGAAACAAAGAAACATACAGGTCCAGGAGCCGGTGACACATCGCAGCCGTTCGGACGCAGAGGAGATCGAGAACCTGCGAGAACAGAACAGTGTGCTGAAAAGCATGCTACAGGAGAAAAGTAACAACAACAACGAGATGCTAACACTGCTGAAAGTGCACGAGGGCTGTCTATCGGATGTAGTGAGTCTGCTTCGACGGGACGTGCTGTCATACCACCAGGGCTTGATAAACAAGTGCCGGGAACTCTACCAGGATCGAATATGCGTGCTTGAGGATGAGGAGTTTAAGGAATACATGGAAAACGTCACAGATGTACAGGAGTTGCTGGACATGTCAGAGATTTTTCGACTTTTGCTCAGGATGAGCTGAAAGAGTATGCGAAGTGGATAAACTAGAGTGGAAGAGAGAAAGAAGACGTAGAGAATTCTGGCAGCAAAGCAGTCGCCGCGTTTTGGATTGTGTTAGAAATTGCGGGCGGAGCAAGGCCGAATGTGCAGTGATGTACAACAAAATAAAAGAGCTAGTCGTGCAATCCAAAACCCGACCACCGTTTGATCAGTAGAAATATAGCCATATTTCGCTATGCAGACGAAACTTTCATGAAAGAAACTACATTATTTTGTTTTGGCGCTGCGCAAGCGCATTGGTGGGCAATGCCAAACAAACAGCTGTGGAACATTGATACGCTTCAATCGTGCTTGATTGCATGAAGTTTCTATACCTGACCTGGTGATGGACTTCAATCCCATCCTGATAATACATAATACTACACAGCAAAGCAGACAAGTGATACATCATTGTCAAACACAGGGTTTCATCAGAAGCGCAAGTGGTTTAGTGGTAAAATCCAACGTTGCCATCGTTGGGCCCCCGGTTCGATTCCGGGCTTGCGCATTTGTTTATTTTTTCCATTCTCATTTGTCGAGAAAGTTAATCTTATCAACCAAAAAACTTAATTTTTCGCCCAGAGAATAAATAATTCTGGCTTTAAGCATCGAAAGTAAGTCCAGAAACAACCTTGAATAGGACCGGCTATGGTGTGTGTTCGACGCCTGCTTCTACTGCTATTGAATTGGCACTGCGAATCGCACTACACAAACAAGGACTAGGAGATTCACCACCCGTTCCGTACACAGCGATAGTTTTATAATTTCTCTTGACATCGCGCCTTGAGTCAATGAGTGAGCGAAAACTGAAAGCTACAGACTTACTGCTCCGAAGTTGCTGGAGAAGAATAGTTCAATTTTCGCAGTCTTTGAACCATCTTGTGAATTAATCTCGTGCAGCGCGTCTCATTGCACCATATCAACTGCACCCTACGTCGGTCGCTATCGTCCGTTAAAAATTTTTTTTTTTCACTGCGTAAGTCAGCGTCGTCAGCTTTCTTGGACAGCGAATGAACATCTTTTGAACTCAGCATTTGTGAAGATGGCTGTTTTCGGGCCATCTCATTTCAGAACTGCACCCGAAAATCAGGTACACTCGACAGAGAGAGAAAAAGGTAAGTCTTGGCGTAGAAAACACGCCTTTGAAGTTGGGTGCACATTTTCACAATTCTCACCCACAGACATACCCTGGTTCCAATTCAAAGGCGCGATTGGGGGTGGATATTATGGAAAAACTGCGTGCGCTGCACCCTGGGGCTATATGTGGATGAATATATATAATGGCGATGCCAATGAGCATATTTGAGAACATTAATACTACCGAAAAAATTGTAGCTTTGAGCCCTGCGTGAAACAAACATAGTGAGATCTAGTGAAATTCTACTTCCTTTCTGAAGCCATTGTTCCCGAAGGTGTGGAAGTTTACTACGTCAGCGATACGATTTCTATATTATCCCAGCGTCTTACGTAAGCAGGATATATCCGCCTAAGCTCATCTCATCATCAAGACAATCGCGATGAGCAGTAGCAGTAAGGTTTTCAACGTGTCCGTTTTCTTTGTGGTCTTCAGAGAGTGTCTGGAGGCCGTGGTGATTGTTTCCGTGCTTCTGTCGTTTTTGAAGCAGTCCGTGGGTGCCCAGGACGTGAACATCTACAAAAGACTTCGCAGACAGGTGTGGATCGGCGTGGCCAGCGGGCTTTTCATCTGTCTGGCAATTGGTGGTGGTTTCATCGGAGCTTACTACTCGCTTCAAAACGATATTTTCGGCAACGCCGAAGATTTGTGGGAAGGTGTGTTCTGTATGATCGCTACGGTGATGATTTCGGTTATGGGTATTGCCATGTTGCGTATCAACAAGCTGCAGGCCAAGTGGAGAGTGAAGATCGCGCGCGCGTTGCTAGAAGTGCCAGAGCGCAAGAGAGACCGCTTCAAGTTGGGCCATCTTTCCAGACGTTACGCCATGTTTTTGCTGCCCTTCATCACAGTGCTAAGAGAAGGTTTGGAAGCTGTGGTATTCGTTGCAGGAGCTGGTATTACGACCCAGGGCTCCAGAGCCTCGGCTTACCCACTTCCCGTGGTTGTTGGGTTGATCGCCGGTTGCGCCGTTGGATTGATCTTGTACTACGGTACCTCGAAGTCGTCGATGCAGGTGTTCTTGGTTGCCTCCACATGTATTCTGTACCTGATCAGTGCTGGTTTGTTCTCGAGAGGTGCTTGGTACTTTGAGAACTACAGATTCAACAAGAAAGCCGGTGGTGACGCTTCCGAAGGTGGTGATGGTAACGGCTCGTACAATATCAGAAAAGCCGTGTACCACGTCAACTGCTGTAACCCAGAACTAGATAACGGTTGGGACGTGTTTAACGCTTTGCTCGGATGGCAAAACACCGGTTACCTGTCCTCCATGCTGTGTTACAACATCTACTGGCTCACTTTGATCATAGTCGTGGGTTTGATGATGTACGAGGAGAAGAGAGGCCATCTACCTTTCTGCAAAAACCTCAAACTTCGCATGCTCAGTCCCACTTACTGGATCAAAAACAAGAAGAAGAACGAGCTGTCTGACCGCGAACGCGAGCAGCTGTTCCAGAGAGTAGAGCAACTTCAATTCAACGAACAGGGTGAACTTGCCCATAAAAGCAGCGGCGAGCTAAACCAAGCCGTTACTACTATGCCCTCGGACTCTAATTCCTCCGCAACCGCTAAGAAGGAGGGAAACGAGGTCACCGTCTCATCAAAATAATCATCTACACAGATCTAGTTAGATTACATGTAATATATATCAAGAGGAGTTTACTAGACCATTTCTGACTAACCCGTCATCGAGCTCCAGGGAGAAGACTGTTTGATTGAGCCAACTCAGAGGCAATTTGTAGTGCTCACCATAGATGCGGAGGAGCAGCGTGAGAAGTGAAGGATTCTACAAAGACTGACCCTGTTGACCAGCTTTAAAAGAACCTGGAGAGACCACTCTGCTATAATCAACAGTACTTGCACTTTCGAGCGGCTTCGGCGGCTATTTTTTGGTAGTATAAATAGATAAATAGGACGAGAAATCTTGAAGTTAGAAACATAAATACTCTTCCCAAAAAAGCCTAAGAACAAAAGTGCAGCGAGAAAGAGCAAGTTCACGTCTGAAGCAGCACACAGCGTCAATTTACTTATGTCACACAGCCTTGCCAATGCCCATCTGCGACAATTTTCGTCACCAGTTTATTTGAATACCAACTTGCGCGACGCTTGCTGAAAACCAGGATCACTAGGGCGATTATAAGAACTAAACGCCTATAAATGCTGTTGCAACGGCGCGACACTGGCTTAGTCTCGAATCTGGCCTTTTTCTGGAGCGAATGCAAGACGATGTCTCCATACACGCCAGACGGTCGAGTGTAAGCACAGAAATTTGGATGCGTCGTTGAGCCAGCGCAACAGTGCTGCAATTCACATGGCACCATCTTGCATTCTGGCCCGTAAGATTAGTTATGTCCCTCACTATGCCCAAGAACTGCATATGCCGGAGCTGAAGAACGGAACATTCCTTGTCGTGGCACTTCTGGACCTTCCAAGGTCAGTCCTTTCAAATCTGTAAACGACTCTGAGACAGTGTATTTTGCCAGATGAATGCACGCTTGTTACACCCCTGTCCCTAGTCGTGCGATTGCCAGTATGATGAGTCTACTTAGGCTTTTCTGGCCCGCTTCTTCAAGAGTGCAGTGTTACCATGGTGTTTTGAACCATCTTAATCATTGACTTCACCGTGACCAAGTCCCGGACTTTCTTAGCAATACGGCCGAACAAGTCTTGGCAGAGGGAGATCTTTTGCATCTACGATTGTGCCGAATACTGTGTTTTTTTGATCTTTTTCTAACCTCAGAACACCATCAGCAGCATGCTCGAGTTTACACACTGAGCAAATCAAGCTCGATTAATCAAGAAAACACATTTGTTTGCTTTCACAAACTTTCCCAAAAAGATCGAACCAGAACTATCATCTATTTTACAACCAACCGCATCATGACCATTGCACTTTCCAACGGTCTATGCTCCGAAATGCCTTGGTCTCCAGACGCCGTACAACGGCTCCTACTTCGGCCAGCATGCATGCTTGTCTTCGCTGGCAAGTCCAGAGGGTAACATGATTTTTTTCTCACTGGAAGCCCCGTTCCTGCGGTCTCCCGGTGGAAAAAGGAGCCAAATTCTAGACGCAGCGAGCCGGTCACTGACTCAGCTCAGCGAGCTCTTGTCACCAATATCCCAGGTGAGATTTCTGAATATTCAACTCACCTCGTCAGCTCTTAACAACATTTTGTCGAAACTCAACAGGGTCTAAAGTCGCAGCACTTTCGAGAGATTTGCCAAGCTTCAAACTGATACTTTTATTGTCTCGTTAAACGATTATCTTAAGTCCGGTTCGCTGGTCTGCTTTTATCTGGTCCAGACAATTTTGAATTTTGAATTTTGAATTCCAGGTGGGAACCTAATAGTTGAAAAGTTCAGAAGCTTGCTTTCCGGGAAAAAGAGATCCTTATAACAAGAAGCACTCTTTTACATTGGGTTTGCCATTTACTTAGTTGCAAAGAGACTACTATACGGAGCCTTGGAAGCTCTCGAAAAACATACCACAAAATTCTGTGGAATGGCCTAGACCGCTGGAGCATAGTTTCGAAGACAGCCACATAGATATTCAGCTACCGTGAGATAATCGGTTCAGGCTTTTACTCCCTAAGGAAATTTCTTGGTGCTCGGTATAATCGAGTCTTTTCGACATCATGGTCCTAGTCAACGGTATCAAGTACGCCTGTGAACGGTGTATACGGGGTCACAGGGTCACCACCTGCAACCACACAGATCAGCCCTTGATGATGATCAAACCCAAGGGACGCCCTTCCACAACCTGTTCTCATTGCAAAGAGTTGCGTAAGAATAAAAATGCCAACCCAACTGGATCATGCACCTGTGGGCGTCAGGAGAAAAAACGGCTAGCGCAGAAGGCTAAGGAAGAAGCACGCGCTAGTGGCAGAGGAAAAGAAGATAGCTGTAGTTGTTTGGACGGCGATAAGTGTTCATGCCATCGCACGCGCAAAACCGTTCGTCGGACGGTTTCGTCCAAGAACAAAGGCACCACGGCGTCGTCTGTAACCTCGGGAGACTCTCCAACAATGCCTGCCCTCGACAGTTCGGATCTCATGGGCAAGATCGGCAAAAATCATGGCCTTTCTTCGATCCCATCGTTCCACTCTTCTCAATCGCTTGACCGCGATTTCAGCCTCGCTCAAAGCCCACCTTTCTCCCCTTCGCTGCACAGTAGTAACACCAACAATTGGGATACAAGTTCGATCAGAAGCTCCCTGCTATCAGAGTCTGAACTGAACTTAATGGACCGTGGCCCTTGTTTTTCTGTACAGACACCCCAAGAGCCAAACACAACCGGAGGCAAACATACCCCAAGTTTGTCAAAAGCGCGAGCGAGCGATTATGCAAATTCAGCAGACGGATTTTCAGAGGTTAACAGCAATGGAGGCCTGGAAGGTTTCGGTTTTCACAACGCTATGGGATGGCCTCAAAGTGAGGCCAAACACGGATGTATGGACTTGTTTGCTGATACCTCGGACTTTGGCAACACAGACTATAGAACATTGAAGCAACACCACAGTATTAAAAGTCCAGGGAACTATTCTTCAGAGAAAGCAAAAAGCCCAGAATCGCCTCGTGCAAGCATTGTAAACTCAAGATCAACCTCGTTCCATAGAGATGTGCCCAAATCGTTTGTTTCGAGGCCCTCCATCGATAGTGCTAGCTCCGACTTTTCACGGTTTTCAATCAGCGGTCATAACGCTAAAGACAGGTCGATCACATCCGTTTCCGAAAATCAGTCTGCACATCAACCATATGTCGCGGCGCGGCACCTTCCACCACAAGCATTTTTGAGTAAAGAAAACGTTCAGCCTGGGTGCTTCAATCTGGAAGACAGAAATTCACAGAGCGTTGAAGTTCTATCTTTAACACCAAGTTTCATGGATATTCCGGACAACGCTAACCTCTACTCTGCAACCTCTAACCCATTTTTGAATCCACAAAATGGAGTTGAGCCACGTCAGCGTTCTGTCAGTATACATCGAAATCATCGCTACGATCAGCAAACAGGAAATACCACGATGAGTCAGCCCTCACTTAACAGCACTAATCACGGCGTAAAAAATGCAAAGCTCTCACCGAGTCGCTCCTTATATGAAAGCTCGCACAACGTGCCGATAGTATCTACAGATGCACCGATCAAAGAGTCCCCTGGGAGCGAGAACGATGTTCTAAGTGCCCCTATGGGCCTACCCGATAAAGGTGTGACAGCACGACAGATGGAGCCCACTCCCAGCTTTGCTTCTGATTTCGATGATATATTGGGGTACAACACTAACGACGATACGCATTCACTTCTCTCGGGGCCGTCTCTCAATCTAGACGTGAACGGGAACATAAATCCAGATAATCTATCACTAAATCGAAACACTCAGCTCTCTCCCACATTGTATTCTGAGCCGGTCGGCGACTTTAGCTTCAACGACCTGGACAAGTTAATGGCCGATCTTTAAACCGTCAGGGTCAAGTCAATGTAATATTAATGAGAGGCAAACGCAGTTCTTAAAAGCTTTTTGGGTGCGTACAAAACTGAATGTACCAGGTCTAGTTGAAGACTCGACATCTTCGGATATTCTAGAATAGAATATCTCATCTACATAGTGAACAGTAATGACTAATTAAATATATTGTACTATGTCATATTTATGCATTAGGAATGAGTTTTATCAAGGTTCACCTTCTCTAATCTCGTTATGACCTCATTCACATCGTACTTCTTTGTCTTGATAGAGTTTGGGTTTTCGTCGTTTAAATATGTTGATAGACGCTCATCGTGCACCTGAAGAATGCTTTTTTGGTCGTTGCACTGCAAGGATGAGAGTCTTATGATATATTCCAAGAGCGCTATGGAATCGCTCACTTCTTTCTCTTTTGAGACCACTTCGCTTTTGCTTTCGCCCTGATCATCATCGGAGTCATCAGAATCATCGGAGCTTTCTGAATGCTCATATTCTCCAAAAGCTAGCCATTCGAGCTCCTCGGTGGAAGAGCCTGGATCACTTATGGAGGGACTTTTTAGGTTGTTGTCAATCTTCAAGACAAGAACCGGTGAGTTTCTCTCTTCCAGCTTCAACAGCTTTCCAGAAGCTGTGAAGAATAGTTTGACGACCTGCCAAATATCAAATTTGACTTCTTTCGCGCACTCCTCTGCTGTGTCATGGTACAGGCCATCGTCGAAGCTCTCTTCGACTTTTATGAAATAATCGTATTCTCGTTCGGAACTTCGTTTTCTCCAGACACTGAAAAGAGCCTTCCTCATATCTTCTCTCCATGTTACGCGTGCTCTCGAGTCGGCAGATGTTAGATTCTGAAAGACCGAAAACATCGTTAGCTCAAAAGTGGGGCCCACCTGTACGTTTCCTCCATCATTCACAAAAAGTTCGTTGTTTTTGTTGATGAAATTGGAGGCCTGAAGCAAACGCCCTGGCGAAACCTGTTGTGGAAGCACGGTGCTCAGCTTGGCACCCGAGGTGGTCAAAGACAGATTAATCAACGGTATGACTTCCTCAATTCTTGCGAGGAGATCCAGGACATAAGTCTCCACAGCCTTAATAGAATCCCTTTCGTTCTTTTTAGCATTGAAATTGTCTGTAATTGCTGTTATTTTCATGTCGAATTGATCGATCTCCTCCTTAAGGTCCCGTGTGAGCTTCAAAGTGCTTCCCAGATTAGTGTTTCCTTTAGCAGCTACCAGTTTTATCAAGTCAATTGCAGAAGAGACAATTTCCACCCGGGTTTCGAGCTTTTGCCGTAGTCTCTTCAACCTCGTTGCATCTGCTTCTGGTATTTTCTGAACAAATGTAGCAACCGTTTTTATGGCATAAGTCGATGCAATAGATATCCCTGATCTGATTGCAAACGTTACAGCTTGACTACCAGCTTTGGCTAGAATTTCATCCATCGGTGGTGTGAAGGTACCCTACCAACGAGTATGGTTGCTTGAGAACACGACCGGGGTTTAAATTAAGAAATGTCAAAGTGGTTAGACGGCCGTTCAATGTGAGATATATTGGAAGACGTAACTGATGTCTTTGAATTGTGCTTCGTTTTGAAGCAAGTGGTCGTTCGTGGACTTCAAGGCTTCATGATTGAGATGGTTCCATGTCGTTGGATCACCGTACAACATGGTTGTGGGTTTTATCATTTGTTTGCCGTTGTGACATCTCTTACAATGGTACGTTTCATGCGTGTCGCAGACTGTGTCATTTCTTAAATGAAATAGCTTTTTCAAACTATCTGCGCTGAACAGTCTTTCAACGTCCTCTTTTTCGTCAACAACACAAGAGCTGAGGCTCATTTTCATTGACTGCCGCTGGTAAATTTTCTCCTCAATAGAGCCAGTGGAAATAAATCTGTAAATGAAACAATCTTTTTTCTGACCGTCTCTCCAAACTCGAGCCAAAGCCTGTTGGTCTGCCGCGGGGTTCCAATCTGGGTCCATTAAAATTAGTCTATTGGCTCCAATCAGGTTGATACCGCAACCACCCGCTTTAGAACTTAAAAGAAAAATAAATTCCTGTCCTTCGGGGTCATTGAAGCGATCCACGAGCTTTTGACGTTTGTTGATGTTCATGGTTCCATCCAATCTCACAACGGCATAGTTGCTTGCTCTGCACATACGTTCAATCAAGTCCAAAGTTTGTGTATAGTTAGAAATCAGAACGATTCTGTCATCAGATTCCTTTTTGATCTTATGCAGAAACCTTTTCAGTATAGAGAACTTTCCAGAGTACCGAGTCTGTACCTCGGTGTATGCACGCTTCGCCATAGTTGAGTTTTGATAGTCACTTGGTATCAGATCCTCGGAGCCCAAAATATCATCCGGAAGCTGCAACAGATCTGGGTGATTGCAGAGCTTTTTGAACATTCCAATATGTTTGAGTGGCTGTTCGCCCCTGTTTGGGTCCTTGTTGGAGCCCTTTTGGTCTTCTTTCTCCATCAATTGGGCTTCTCGCAGCTTGATCATTTGTTCATATAGGGCTTTTTGAAAGGGCGTCAAGTTCACGAAAATAACATGCTCGTACTTGCAGGGCAAATACTTGGACAGGATATCATTTGTACGACGAATGATAAACTTGGATACGATGTTTGACAGTTGTTGTAGTTTTTCGTCACCTTTTGCGATTTCCGCAGGATCGGCGTCCGCGTCTCGCCCTTGAAGAATTGGAAGCTCAAAGTCTCTTCTAAACTGATTTCGAGAACCTAACAATCCTGGATTCGAAAAGTTCAATAATGCAAAATACTCAGAGAGGTCGTTTTGTATGGGAGTACCTGAAAGAATCACCCTTCTGGGGCAGTCGATGCTATTCAAGGATGTGAACGTCAAAGATTCGGCATTTTTGAGCCGATGGCCTTCATCTGCCAGCAGCAGTCCCACATTTGCATTTTGTAGGTATTCAACGTTTCGGCGAAGCGTCTCATACGATATAATCAGCACTGGCTTAACTATAGTACGACCTTGTGCGGACCCCCATGAACGAACTGCTTCTGCGACTGTTCCATTATTAAGTGAGCTCTTCTTTCCGTCGATTGGCAAAGCCGGGCATGTCCCTCTACCGAGCCATTTCACTAGCTCGTTGGCCCAGTTGTTTACAAGTGAAGAAGGGCAAACAATAATGCACTTTTCAATGGTTCTTTTACCTGTTGGTCCCTGACGCAGCAGAGTCCAAAGAAGTGCGATGCACTGCAACGTTTTTCCTAGTCCCATTTCGTCAGCCATTATACAGCCATAGGCACCTCTATTTTGTGCAACAGCTTTCGTGGTATCATCCACATCCGAAGGTGCGACAGTCTGTGTAAGTCCGGGCGCAAGTTCGCTACTGGGGGGTGGAGAAGGGGTCTTTTCGGATTCCAAAGTGACCTTGTCCGCTAGCTTCAAAACGTCCTGTTGATCCAAGAAGTCCTTCATGACCAGACCGGTAACACATCGATATAAAAACCGGACACCCTCGACCTGATGAGGGCGGAGGATTTTCGTCAAAAGTGGGTCAATGACAACGGGGACGCTTGCGAACTGCTTTTGCTCGACATTAGTACTGCCCAGAAGCTCTGCGAGTGTCTTGTTAGGCAGTCCATTGGAAAGTTTTTTTCGATGAATTTGTGACGAGATAGCAGGAGTGCTCGGGAGCGCCGGCTCTGGAACCAGTTTGGGATTGATTTTCTTCTTCTTCTTTTGGGACGATGTAGATTCTGGGATTATAGGTTGCATTTGCTCTTGGATGATTTGGGGAGTTTGTCCATCAACACTGGGGTCGTATAGCACAATGGCCAGCTCATCGTAAGGATCGTGAAGTGGTCGAGGCTCCAAAAAAATCTTGGGTTTAGTCCCTAGGGAAAGAGAGAAATTGTGACGACCGACATATCCCTTTATGGGCACAGTGAACGACCTTTTCAAGGTGTGTTCGATAGTTCGTAGACGGTCCGAATCCTGTGACAAACGGCGTGCTGACAGGGCATCGATACGTTTTTTATGAGGTAATGCAGCATTTTCTTGGTAGTTATCGTCGTTAGGGTCGGCATTGTCGATCTCCAAAGCGCCAGGTTCGGCGTATGAGATTTTCTGGTGCCTTTTTCTCGTGCTTCTTCGAGCTCCAGGTGCTACATTGGGAGAAATGGATTTTAGTGGAACCTTAAATGGTTTCGCAAGGGTAGCTTGCGCAGCGTCGAAATCAAAGGCTTTGGGCCGCATCGAAGGTCTCTGACCAGCCCCGATGCCATTAGGCGGTCTATCAGGAAGTTTATGTCTGGCCATGGGTCAACAAATGGTTGGAATGAAGGCGATGATGAAGCTCTTGGGATTGCGTATTTGACGCGTTATTTATTATAAATGTATTTATTTATTGTCTAGATAATTTGGCGAATAGAGCATATATGTGACGTATAGGATGATGTATATTTATACATCATCATTAATTTTAATTCATGTGTTCCTGACCGGATGTGATTGGTCTTAGACCTCTCGAATGTTGAATTTGCGCGGTTAGCCGGAGTTCGAATGCAGAACTGTATTGGTGGCTACGAGCTTGACTAAAGTCTGAGTGACACGATAGTATGAAGTGATAAGGTCATGTGACCTGGAGGGTGTGTCCATCTCAACGCGAGGCAGTGACACCAACGGGTCGTTTGGCATGCGACAGAGTTCTAGGACGGTCTGAATTAATGAGCGGGAGTCTCGTTTTTGAGCTCTTTTGTTGTTTTGTGGAGGCGGACGATTTCCAAAATCGAAATCCAGCCAAGTGAAAGATGGCTTCAATTGTTGACGATCAGTTTAGATGTCTGAAGAAGCACTAGTCTTCGAATGCGAGAGATAGAAAAGCTACTAGTCTCGCCAAATTGACTATTTGCTTTTTTGAGCAATTGGGCACGTCAGCGATCAATTTTGAATAAATGAAGAGACACCAGTCGCTGCAAGTACAGTAGTCCTTGGTTATTCAACTAGAAATATGGTGTGTAGTTATGGTAGCAGCACGTATTTAGTGTTAGTTTATTCAACGCAGGATTGACACATAGTTTTAGTTTCGATTCACATGCATTGCTACTTTCCAAGCGGAGATGATGCACTTTGGGGAGTGAATGAAGCACATCAATGGACGTTTGATTTAACGTTCGATTGGAGTCCTAAAAACAAGATCTAGGACTCGTTTGATCCGGCAAGATCGCATAAAATACATAATTCGGAGAAAAGCATTTTTCAAGATGAGTGACAGCAGAAAGAGAAGTTTTGGGATGCGCTTCGCCAGCCGCGGCGAGCAAAAATGTGAACAAAGCTCTGCCTGGCGGGATTGTTTAGAGAGTGTACACATACAAGGTAGTGGCCAACCAGAAGGCTGTTTCGGTACCTAATTTTTCACCATCGACGTCAGATCGTAGACATATATTTTTTGGGCTTTTTGGGTGGGAGGTTAGTATGTTTATTGAAAGTTGAGACAGGTCTTAGGAGATAGGAAGCAGAGTTTTGAGTGTTTTGAAGAGCTAAAGAGGAAGAATTTGGTCTTGATACCGGGGGAGATGAGGTGTAAGCTACTACATTTACGGACGCGCAGAAAAGAGCACACCAGGTGACAGTACAGGGTGCGAGCGAGGCCTCCGGATAGCCAAATTTATCGAGCATGCTTGGGTGACTTTCGCAGGCTCATGTCGTTACTGCTCTCTGCTGTGTCTTTCTTTCACCCATACTGTTTAGCCGTGTGGTAGTGGTGTTGAAATTGTACTCACGACGGTTGTTTGTACTCGCGGTACCATCGCTTTATACGAAAAATGTAGAGCACTCGAAATATCAGCGTAAACGTGTCCACTGACCTCACCCCAACTCTCATCTCAAGAATGCCAATGATGGACCGTCTTGGACGGGCCCTCCGTGTGTGTCAATTCTACAACTCTTTTTGCCGGAGGCAGTTCGATGGCTTAGTCAGGTGTGATTCGTGGTCGTGGCCCGCCGTGGTGGTGTTTCTGTTTCTCGGACGTTAGAGCTGGGACAAGGGATCGCCATGGCAACGGGTCACGCGCCCAAAAAAGAAACTGCACCCATGTCAGGGACTTACGTAAGATTTGTTGTCGTGGCGACGCATGGACGCTTACGTAAGACAAACGAAAGCGAAATCGAAATCGAAATCGAGACCTGGTTCATGTTCATGTTCATGTTCATGCCATTCATCAGCCCACTAGTCTACTGTAACACCCCCCCCCCCGTAACACCCTACGCAACACTCCCGTAACACCCCAGCCCTCCGTCGCCCTTGTTACTTCTTTACTTCTCTTTGCAAATCAAAACTCAGATCGCGATACGATACACTACACTTGTTCTACCACGCTGCGACATACACTACGTTACAACTCCACGAAATGGGTGCGATCCCGGACTACACACACACACACGTCGCGCACTCGCTTTGGGGCCCGGCCCAGCCCAGCTCAGCCCAGCGCCCGCCTGTCTGCCTGTCTGCCTGTCTGCCAGCCCCCGCTATCTCGGTTTTAGGCCCGAAAAGCTTATAGATACGGTTGAGAGGGCCAGGACAAGGCCAAAAAAATAAATTACAGCGTGAAAAGTGAAAAGTGAAAATTTTGGTCTGTAGAACGTAGTGTTAACGTTTCTCAGATTTGCCAGTGATGTGAGTCTTGCGAAGCATGGCAACCGATTGTGCTGCTAAAGCGACGTATCGCGAGCGCCTGCGTTTTTTTTAACACCCGGACAAAAACATTGTTTTACGTCGTTTTACATCGTTTTTTATCTCTTTGTTTCTAGCTACGCAGTGCATGCGGTGCGTGTAGTAGTGCGTCAAGAGTAAAGTATGTGGCTTTTGGATGCCCACTGGATCGGTTGCGCCGGAGTCAACCCAAACCATGCACGCAAACATGCAAATAGCCGTAGGAACGAGCCCAAAGAAAGAGAAAGGAAGAAAAAAAATGTACTCACATTCAGATTTCCATATCCCAGCAACCTCCGCTTTTGCCAGAAACAGTGCATAGTTGTTGGCATTGTTTTCCGCTCGGAGTATGTATGGTTGAAATTCGAAACTATAAGAGTAGGCCGGCATTTGGCCATATTTGAGGATTTCGTTGCGAAAAAAACGGGCAGCTCACGAAGACGAGGAAAGAAGAAAGAAGAAAGCAAAGCAAAGTAGAGCTCGTCAATCCGTTCCTTGAGTATAGCCATAGCCATTGGCGTTTGTGTCTTAGTCTTACTCGCTCTTTCTGTGTGTTTGTGTGTGTTTCTGTCAGTTTCTCATGATGTTTCCAATCGCCATTGAAAACAGTCGGCACCACTCGCTGCCGCCACTGCTGTTGCCAGACATCTCGCGTATGGGCGCAGCGGCCGCTGCTGCCGCTGCTGCCTCAACATCGTCGTCGTTGTTGTTGTCTTCTTCACATGCCCTGTTCCATGGCTCGTCGTCGTCGGCGCTGTACGGACATCACGTGCCGCGGCTTCAGCCACTCCCGTTGCCACGGTCACATGACCAGGCGCGCCCTCTGCCGCTGCCGCCTGCAGCGGGCCTAGAATCGCTCGCGCGGATCGCCGTGGCAACCGAGACGCGGCCGGTGACGCCAGATGCCGGGTATGCCGACCGCGAGGTGCCTGCGCCGCGCAGACGCTCCCGCAGCAGTCCGCGCAGCCGCATGCCACTGTATGCGGACGCCGCGTCGTCTTCCGTGTCCTCTGTAGGTGCAGGTGCGTCTGTAGATGCGTCTGCGTTGCCGGCCGCTGCGGCCTCCGGAGCCCCTGCGGCTGCTCTGCGCGGGACCAAACGCCAGCGCGCCGGCCCGTCCTGCGATACCTGCAGGCTGAAGAAAATCAAGTGCGACGCCCGCATACAGACGCTATGGCAACACGAGTCGCTGGTCATGTTCAACGGCGATCGTGCGGAGTCATTACACGTGATCATCACCGCCGACGAGGTCCGCGACCACGTGCTTGCGTCGGCGCAGCTGCCGACGCACGTGAAAGCCACGCTGCAGGAGCGGCTCGCGCGGTGCGAGCCGTCGGAGGAGCTCATACGTCACGTGGACAAGCTCATCTTGTTCAAGCCGTGTGCATCGTGTGTGAAGGCCGCGCGTCCCGCGTCTCGCGACTTGGAAAACGCGACGGCGGCTGCCACAACAAGTGCCGCCACGTCCGCTGGGTGCTGCAATTTTGCAAAGGGCTACACTCGCGCCGACATTGCGGTGTTCACCCGGTTGTGTCGCAAACTCGGCACGCGGGCGCAACTCTCGGACTTTTCTGTCAGCGACTACCGCGAAGCGGGCTACTAAACGAAAGCAGCACGAAAGCGAAACGAAAGCGAATCCGGCGTAAACAGTCAAGACAATATATTACATAGGCATAGTGTATGACCGCCTGGTGGTCACCATTTATAGAAATTCAGCATGTTATTTTTTTTTTTGGGAAACATCAGACCGCGCGCCGCGCACGCTTGTTTGATCTAAAGCTGCGGCTTGGTTCGTGGGTGTTGTCTAGCTCTCAAACTGCTACGAAGTATAATGATGCTTTCTTGTTCAATTAATTAATTAATCATCACTTTGTACTAATCTGTCACCTCGCACCCTGGCGCCGTGGTTCATACACACTCATATCGATGTCAGCCATGGTACATCTTCCGTCCCAGTTTTGGTTCGAAACGCACAACAATCCTGGTGCGTTTCACTTGCGTTGTTGATCGTGCAGATTTTTTTTTCCTACATGGGCCCATTCCTGTTCACTCACAACTTTGCCTCGCTCCGGTCCCTGTCTATTTGTTCCACGGAGCCATTTGTTTTTACCTGGGTTGTGCCCCCGTTGCCAGACGGCAAGTTTGAATCTAACATACGTTCAATACTTCAATCTCAATTCTATTAGTCAGTACACTCTTAACGCTGGCAAACCTTGCCTTGTATTTACATTCCGTCTCCTGCACAACCAAAACCGTTCATTTTCCAACTTCGATTGTCGCAAGCTGGACTTCGTGTCAGTTAAACCCTTTACGGGTCTGTTACTAGGTTTAAGGTTTAAACGGTCGTTAGGTCAAAAAACGAAAATCTTGTAAGTTTGAGCCTCCAGAATTTGATCTCCACGAAACCCACGAAATGCTTAAAATTGCCTGGGAGACCTTGTACGAACGAATGAAACTACCATGCGGAATCATTCTTCGTGTTATGGTAACAAAGTTGTTTTCCTATATGAAAATCTAGCGTTGTTGTCATAGCAGTAAAAATTTTATAAAGTTAATGGCGTGGCAATTAGTTTCCAGTTGTGCCAGCTATGCCAGGCTTTTTGAGATACGACGATACTCTTGATCGTCAAGTCCACACGGCGGAAATTCAAACGCCGTTTACAATCAAATTATGAACAAAAAAGAATACGATTTTCACACTACATGTGAATTCAAGGAATTTTCCGAACATCGCAAAGTAACATGCGACTACCCTGGGAGTTTTGTAAAGCATCGCGGAGTGCGATGAGTCCGGTTTATCGTGTCTTACTTCTAGCCCACTTTTGTCAACTACTTGCCAATACCAATAATAAGCCTTCATAGAAATCGATCTGACCTGGTCCGAAAATGATGGAAAAAAAAATTGGTCATTCTCATCGATGGGGGTCTAGTGCATTCAACACTGCACCAAAATCGTTGCACGCCATGGCACAGTTTTGAGCGTCGATCGCGACTTCGGCTCTTTCAATTAACACCAACAGACTCCGCTTTTATGTCAATGAATTAGACATCAGCTTCAAAATGACTGCAGATAGCGCACTCACGGCTACGACAGTGATGTACAGTTTTTTAAGGTCCGATTCATCGTCAGTTTTGAACTGCCGGTAAAAAAAGAACGCCGTGTGAATGACGCCAACCATGATTCGTGTCCAGTACATGGGAATGCTGAACAGGTTGGGCAGCACTGTTTGCAAAGGAATGAAAACTATGTTCACAGCAGCAAGTGCAACCCAAATTGTCATGGAATAACCATAAAGGCTGACCAGCTCCACCAACCCCCAATCACTCTTTATCTTAAAAACAAACTTGGCCAAAACGTGGACCAGAGCCGGACTCACGCTCACGTAAGAGAACGCAAAGGCCATATACGGAATGATGGTGTGGGTTCGGGACATAATAGATGGAATATGGCCCTCAATGAGGCTCATTATCAAAACCAGTAAACTTCGCACGTAGAAGTGGGCCGCAGCTGCGGTCATCGTAACCCAAACAGGAGCGTACAAATCCGGTCTAAAAGGGCCCTCTTGGTCGATCTTTTGAGCAATTAGGGCCGCTTTCAGTCTTGACTTCAGCGTATCCAAATCCACATGGTAAAGGTCAGCATATTGGCCATTGGAAGCCGGATTGATTTTGGCATTGCCAGTGTCGCTGGGAAGTACAGGGGGAGGCGAATCAAGACGCTGAAAATCAGACTCGTAATCGTCCTCTTGGACACCGTCGGCGAACGGATTGGGACCTTCCATTTGCTCTACTCTCAAATTTTTGCCGTTTGCCAGTTCGATGATTTAGAACTAAAGCAGTGGTGATGTTAACTGAATACTGGATCTTTAAAAATTTTGTCACGTGAAACGTCTTACTAGACTACGATTTGAAGATGTTAAGCATCCGAGCAACCGTCGTCTGAAGGGAAGTGTATTGTTTCGAGGCCCGTTTCCTACAATCTGAACAGAGGCAGGTCAAACTTCTCAATCGAAGTCTTTTTAAAAATCGGCCAAAAAATGCGCAGAAATTTCATAGGACTTTATTAATTTAAGAAACAATACGTTTCACAGTCTTATTGGTATTTCAAGACTTTTGAGCAGTTTATATTGAGCTCTGAAATCTTTCTGAGAGCTTCAACGGTCCATTTCGAACCGATTTGACTAAACAAACATAATAAAGTAAAAACAGAGACGAGTTGGTGTGCTTTCGGTGGGCACTATGACTTAGCACATTTTCATGGTTAAAAAAGGTCTTATTCACGGCAAGCATTGTTTTCACGTTCAATTATAGCCAGTGGTGCTGGAATCTCACATTCCATAATTGAGTGACATGATAGTACAAAGTGATCGATCCATGGCGACTGTTCTTGAATACGTTGCTTCCACTATGAGAGCGCACTAAGTCGCCACGGTCGGGAGCGTCTGCTTCCACTTAACACCAGCAAGTCATTTGTTTTTGTCAAAATGAGGGCAATATGAGTATCGTATCCCAAAATATACGAAATTGGGGTATTGAAATCTTAAACCTGGCTCTTCAAACACTAAGACAATTCAACGATTGAACTCGGAGCAGGGTGAGGCAGCTTAAATGAGTAGCAAAACTCTGTATGCTTCGGCAGTAAAATTCAGTCATTTTTACATTCTTCACGGTGGTTATTCATCTTTTGGACTATTGCTTCGTAGCGCGACACCCGAAGAAGTTACTTTAGACAGTGGAAGGGTCGCATTGCAGCGAGAAGAGCCTCTGTAAACATGAAAATGAATTTCATAGATCACTCAAGTTCAATCACTTTAAACAGGAACTCTGAGTGGCGGCTTGTTCCAGAGGGTTTATGACTTTTGAGCGAATTTTGGTCCATCGAAACTCTATGTACTCGAATTCTACATTTGGAACGATCGCTTGGCTCATGCAAGTCCGAGATCCAAGTTTTCATGCCCACCTGTTGCTAATAGATCCCTACAAATCCATTGAAAAACCACCCAACATGAAATAAAATCGCACATGTAATCGAGATCATCATTACGACGACTGGCACTCGAAAAAGCTGACATTCATGTGTTTTATTTCCTCGACTAATTGAACCTCAGGTAACTACTCTCCTTGAATTCGCTTTCAGATACGACGTGTATTTTGTACAATTTAGAAGCCATGTGAACTCAGGATTCCCGTATTTCAACCAGTAAATTATACTTTCCTCGACGTCAGTGACTCGATTCGACCATATTGGAAATTGGTCTGCTGTTGACATTCAGCAACAATCGACTATCCTCGAGCTATTTCACATTCTGCTTTTTTGTAAGTTTCCCTTCAAGTCGAATAATTAATTAAATCAGAAGAATACCTGCAATAATAAAGCGTTCTTACCTGTTTGAAACCTATCATGAATAAGATTGGGTGATCAAATACCGATCTGTACCTACTTTTAGCAACCCTCATGTCGAATTACTCTACGGTATATAGCCCTTCGCCTGAATTCACTGTCCATTACCAAAAATTGGGCATTTAAAGCCAAGTTTCGCAGTCAGTTTTAGAGAGCGCGCAATTCCACGAATTGTCATTCAAATACTAAAAATCATCATGATTACGATTGCGTCCATCCTCTTTTAATTCGACTTTCAGCCCAAGCTTTCATCAACGACACACTTGGAATTTTTTTGACCAAGTCGCAACGAAAAGACAACAGCATCGTTTGATCTAAAGAGGACGGAAGGAAAATTGACCAATGAAAGTTTCGATCTGGTTCCGATCAATCCGGTAACAATGTTGTACCATTAATAACGTCCCGGTGGGCTATTTGCTGATTGGCTCGACGATCTTTTTTTCAGAAACTTTCGAGGGCACACACCCTGACATCAAAATTCCGCTTGAATACAAGAGCGTCATTTATAGGGAAATCAAAGGAACTGGCACTAGCACTAGCACCTTGTTCAAAAAATGTATAAATAGTGCCCAAAATTCGGGATCTCTACATCGTTAACAGTCTGTCCTTTACTGTCTTTTAATTTTATCTGCATTCAACCCGTTTAGTTCACAGTCGCTATAACTGTTTTAATCTTTACAGAAAATATAACTTCAAGATGACCAAAACTGCTCTAATTACAGGTGCTGCCCAGGGCATTGGCAAGGCCATTGCCATCAAAATGGCTCACAATGGTTTCCAATTGGCGTTGGCTGACTTGCCCCAGCAGAAAGAGAGGGCCCAGGGCGTATTGAGCGAAATTCAAAAGATTCAACCTGGTAACAAGCCTGCCATATTTCTCCCTGTTGACGTGTCTGATAAAAAATCTGTTTTCGACATCGTTGACAAGGCTGCAGCGCATTTCGGATCTTTTGATGTTATGGTCAACAATGCGGGAATTGCGACCATTGCTAAAGTTCTCGAGGCAACACCGGAGGAATTGGACCGCGTGATGCGCATTAACGTCGGCGGTGTTCTGTTTGGAACTCAGGCCGCGACCAAGAAATTTGTGGAGCTAAACAGAGGCGGCGACTACACGCCTTCCACTGTCAAAACCGCTCAGCATCGTTTAACAGGAAAAATTATCAACTGCAGCTCCATCGCGGGCAATGAGGCAATTGCGTCGTTGTCGCTGTATTCGGCGTCGAAATTCGCCGTCAAGGGACTCACTCAAGCCTCGGCCAAGGAATTGGCTCCACTGGGTATTACCGTGAACGCCTACGCACCCGGTATTGTTTTGACTCCAATGTGGGATCTCATTGACCAGAAACTGTCAGAAATAACCGGATTGCCTGTGGGCGAAAATTTGAAGAGACAGATCGATGGAATCGCTTTGAAGCGCGGCGAAACTCCGGAAGATGTTGCCGGTGTCGTTGCTTTCCTAGCGGGCGAAGACTCCAATTACGTTACCGGCCAAGCCATTGCCGTTGACGGCGGAATCAACTACAATTAAATAGACAGCGTACACGTACATAAACTAAGCGAGCGTGTGATGCGCTATTAATATCAGCTGTTAACTGTTCTGTTCTGTTCTATTCCCATTTAGATAACTTATTTCTGCTAGCAGCAGAAATCGACAAAAATTTGCGCAAGCCCGGAATCGAACCGGGGGCCCAACGATGGCAACGTTGGATTTTACCACTAAACCACTTGCGCTACTGTTGAGAGTTGTGCAAGAAGACTAGCTACAATACCGGCAGTTTTTGTCATTACTTGATCCAAAAGCAGATCAAAGTTCCGCGCAGTATGCCATAATCCGCTATCCAGCCGTCAGGCTCCATGTTTAAGCCTTTTAGAGCTCTCAAGAGTCGCTATATTAGATTTTATGAGAATTTCACCTCGTATTGTGTGATTGTTCGATCTCACCGGCTCATCACTAATATAATTAATATAGTGGATGTCGAAATTTCAGATCCATCAAGAGCTCATCGCATCATGGTCAAGCTCTTTGTTGAATGCTCAAAAGGCTCATGAGTACTCTGAAATTCGACACAAGGATCCTGAAAGTAGATCCCAAATCTATCATATTTTCTGACACTGCGCACATTGATGGCTCACTTCCTACCATCACAGATCTGGAAACCGAAAGAAACCTTTTGGAAGCTGCAAAAATCATTCGTGAAACGGACGACACTGTAGGATTTCCAACCGAAACTGTTTATGGGCTGGGTGGCTCGTCTCTCAATGATAGATCGGTCTTGAATATTTACAAAGCTAAGAACAGACCGAGCGACAACCCATTGATAAGTCACATTTCCTCGATCGATCAGCTGAATCGAAAAATATATGGCCAAGCCCAAGTTTCAGACGTTTTTCAAAATATCCCCACAGTGTATCGCAATTTAATTGATAAGTTGTGGCCTGGGCCTCTCACAATTCTGCTTCCTGTACCGCGAGTTTCCACTTTATCCAAACTAACCACGGCAGACCAGCCTACTTTCGCAGTCAGAATTCCATCCAACCCGGTGGCTAGAGCTTTAATAGCGCTCAGTGATACCCCTATCGCTGCTCCTTCTGCTAATCGGTCTACTCGTCCCTCTCCAACACTGGTGGCGCATGTGTATCACGACTTGAAAGGTCGCATACCACTAATTTTGGATGGCGGTGCCTGCACTGTGGGAGTTGAAAGCACAGTCGTTGACGGGCTCGTCGATCCTCCTCTATTATTACGTCCAGGTGGCTTCACCTGGGAACGGATACGGGAAATGGGAGGAGACGACTGGTCCAACTGTAAAGTTGAAAATAATAAAACCATTGCAGCCGGCGAAAAAGTGCGAACTCCAGGCATGAAATACCGTCATTACTCGCCTCAGGCAAAAGTTGTTCTATTTTCCCCACACATAAGTGATTCAGCCTCATTATCACAACGCCTTGACAATGTCAAAGCTGCCATTGAGCATCACACCCAAGGCATTCGGAAGTACGCTCTACTTTCAACCCTTCTTTTCCCGGATGACTTGATAACGGATCCTCGTTGTATCCATAAATCGCTAGGGAAGACTAGCTCGGACATTCAAACAAATCTGTTTGCAATGCTAAGAGAGGTCGACGAATTGGAAGAGGTCGATCTTATATTAGTTGAAGGAATTGATGAAGAAGGGGAAGGACTGGCAGTCATGAACAGACTGAAAAAAGCTGCAAGTAACAATGTAACTCTATTTTAGAAAGGTAAATATACTAAAGATTTTTTACTTACACAACGGAATAATAGTATGGGTCATTTATCCTTTGCTTTCTCGCATACCACTTCCGTAATTCATCTCCGATGAAAACGCTGCTGCTGAGCGTCAACAAAAATGCCAAGTCTCCCAAACTCAAGCTCTCTGTCTTGAAAATTCTTTGGAAAAAAGGGATGTAAATTGCACACAATTGGCCCAGCAGGGAAAATCCAACCGCGTAATTGAACATGTTGTTCGCGAAAATCCCGATCTCAAAAATCGATCTAGTAGAATGTCTGCAAGCCAAAGCATTGAACATGTCGAAAAAAACAAAACAGGTGAATGTCATAGTAGTGTCCCTTGCGGTAATGACCCCGTCCTCGGTCATTTCCTTGACGAAAACGTAAATGGTTCCAACAATGATAAATGCAGCACTTTGTAAGAGTCTTTTGAAAACCTCTGGGGTCAAAATCTTGTCGGAGCGCTTGCGAGGAGGCTTTTTCATAACTTCGTGATCCACTGGTTCAACTCCCAGACTTTGAGCTGGAGGTCCATCCATTAAAATATTGATCCAGAGAATCTGCATGGCGTTGAGCGGGTTTGGTAGCTTGAATGCAGTCGAAATTGCAACCAAAGACAAAGCAGCCACCGATGTCGAAAGCTGGAAAGTCAAGAAATTTTGAATGTTGTTGAAAATACCTTTACCTTCCTCAATGGCAGTAAGAATGGTGCTGAAATCGTCGTCCGTCAAAACCATGTCGGATGCCTCTTTTGCCACATCAGTACCCATTTTGCCCATCGAAACACCTATGTCGGCCAATTTAAGTGCAGGTGCGTCATTCACACCATCCCCAGTCATCGCTACGATGTCCCCTCTCTTTTGCAAAGCACGAACAATGTTCAGCTTGTGTTCAGGAGTTGCGCGAGCAAAGATGTTGACATGATCGATGATACTTGCCAATTGGTCTTCATTCATGTGGTCGAGCTTGTCGCCAGTGAGGACAGCAGTTTCAGGATTTGGGATAGAAATACCAATCTGTCTTGCAATGTTGACAGCTGTACTTTCAGAGTCACCAGTAATCATTATAATGTGAACAGAACCCTCAGATAATCTTTCCACTGCAGCCCTGACCGATGGTCTTGGAGGATCATTCATGCCAAGCAAACCTGCAAAGGTCAATCCGTTAATGGTGGCATCATTGAAGGTCTCATTTGATCCATTGTGCAGCTCTAGTTGAGCAAACGCCAAAGTTCGCAGTCCTTCAGACGCGAGCGTGTTGGCGCTGTCGCTTATAACGTCTTTCAGAGCATTGTCGAGCTTGACCACCTTGTTTTCAGCATTGATAAAATGCGACGATTTTTCGACGATCTTTTCGTAGGCGCCTTTGACATAAATCATGGTTTTTCCATTTGACTCTTTCACTTTCACAGCCATAAACTTACGCTTGGAGCTGAAAGGAATTTCACCAATTCTCGTGGCAGAAGGACGCTGGTCATCAAGGCCAAATTTCCGCAAAACTTCCAGCAAGGCTATGTCTGTAGGATTTCCCAAAAATTTGACATGCTCTTGGGAAAAAGAGGAATTGTTGCAGATATTTCCACAACGTAGAGTCGCTCTGACGTCGTCGCTAAGATGTTTCTTTAGATTTCCTTCCGTAACTTTTGAGAGGTTGAGAACGTTCGACTTGTTTGACATGCTGCCTAGACACCATACCTTGTTGACAGTCATATGATTTGTAGTCAGTGTGCCAGTCTTGTCAGAACAAATAACATTAACAGATCCTAGCGTTTCAACACTAGGCAACCTTCTTATGATTGCTCTCCTCTTGGCCATTCTCAATACTCCCAACGCCAGTGTCACAGTAACAATAATTGGAAGACCTTCTGGAATGGCAGCAACAGCCAGGGAGACGGATATCTGAAACATTTCTAGCCAGGAACGACCTTGTAGAATTCCTATCAGACAAATTGCACCAATCAGGCCAAAACTTACCAATGAGAGATCCTTTCCAAGCTTATCCATAGCCGTTTGTAAAGGAGTCTTAGGCTTCTCGATAGAATTCATCATTTCAAAGACTTTACCGAACGCAGTGTGTTTAGCGGTTCCCACTACTATACCCTTACCATGCCCTTCTCTGACCAAAGTTCCCATGAACGCAATGCATGCTCTGTCCGCAAGAGGCACTATTGATCCCGGAATCTCGTTGTAGGAGTCCTTTGACACCTGCTTCGACGATTTGTGAACAGGCTCATTCTCGCCGGTCAAGTTACTTTCGTCGATCGACAAACCCACCGCTTTGACGATTCTCACATCGGCTGGGATACGGTCACCAACGCCGAAGTGGACCACATCTCCTGGGACCAACACAGAGGCTAGAATTTTGGACTCCTGGCCGCCCCGAATCAAATGGCATTCGTCGGGCACAAGGCGATTCAAAGCTTCAATGGATTTCTCTGACCGGTATTCTTGTACAAATCCCACGGTCACTACTATTACAATGGCCAATGTAATGCTAACAGCGTCGTCAATGTTTCCCATTACGAAACTTATGACAGCGGACCCTATCAGCAACAAAATCAACGGATCGCCGGTAAAAGTACCCAAAAACTTGCGCCAAAGCGGCTCATCGTCTTCAGAAGCTATTTCATTGACACCATACTCCCTTTGACGGTTATTTACCTCGCTGGCAGACGATAGACCGCTGTCGGCATTTGTGCCCAAAGCAGCCGCTGTTTCCTCCACACTCATCGTACAGTACTCCAGAGAGGGTGACGGCATGTTCAATGCATCTAATGAATCGCTCCCATTGCGGGGACCCTGGTTTGCGGCCAGCTCAAAGGGATTGTCGCTCATCTCGTCTCCTCGTATGCGGACGCGATCACGGTCAAAAAAATCCGAAATTGTCTCTTTTGAACCGCTGAAAAAGGGCTACCGCAATCAAAACTAACTACAATAGACGACGGCTTGTTAAAAAACGCGCCTTTTGATCTTTAAAGCAGCTATTTCCCACTTTTGCCGACGTTGTTCTTAAGGTGTACACTGATCTTGTTGATCAGTTGTCCAAAATTTTAAACATTTAGACTGATTATGTAATGATATGCTCGTGATTGGTGATATCCTCGAGCGACTGGCGCCAACAATGTCGACATTGATGGTATAGATGTGCTTGAAACTTGGTTGGCTACTTATAGATGCTAGCCGTATGGTTAATGTGTATGTTACAATGTGTTTATCGTGATGAAGTTCCGTTTGTGATGTTTCCAAGAAACTGTTTGATTTTTGATCTTTGATATTATTTTGGCTCAACGTTGAAGCGTAGGTTGATACCCATCGCCGCGAGTTCCGAGTTTAGGTATTTCAACACAAACGGAATGGCCACAGTGGTAGTATCACCGCCGCCAACAAACTTGTTGCCTTGACCATCTTCCCAAATATGGGCATCGTCGATAAATATCTGGTCGTCGCCCTGGTATTCAGAGACCAATTTCTTGGCGTCCTCGAATTTGACAGCACAGCGACGACAGCGCATGGTGGCGAGGGATCCCACGCGTGGAACACTGTAGTGCGCGGTGAGTAGCGCACCACACTCGCGACACACTGGGGTCTGAGTGTAATCCGAGCAGTTCAGCAGACGGTCCTGTAGGAGGAACGAAGTACCGTGCCCGATCAATGCGTCTCTCTCCATTTCACCAACACGAATACCACCGTGTCTCTTTCTACCCTTGACGGGCTGCATGGTCAAGCTGTTCACCGGGCCTGTCGAACGGACTTGGAACTTATCGTTGACCATGTGACGCAATCTCTGGTAGTAGACAACACCGATGTAAATGTCGACTCTCAATTCCTCACCAGTAGCACCTGAGTACATGGGTTCGTTACCATGGTAGTTGTAGCCGGCGTCTTTGAGTTGTTCTCCGAAATAGTCGGCGGGTGTGTCCTGCTCGCTGAAAGTCCAAGGCGTGGCATCGTGCGCGGTACCGTGGAGAGCACCTGCTTTACCAGCAAGCGATTCCACGAACATACCAATTGTCATACGGGAGGGGAAAGCGTGTGGGTTGATAATAATGTCCGGCTGAATACCGCTCTCGCTGAACGGCATGTCAACGGTTGGCCACTTTCTGGAGCAAACACCTTTTTGACCGTGTCTGGACGAGAATTTGTCACCGATCTGTGGAGTTCTTCTGATACGGTATTTGATGGAAACAGTTTGCAACTCTTGGAATTTACTCGATTCGTCGCCGATCAAGTTAACCTCCTCAATGTAGGCGGGTTCGGAGGAGTGATAAGTCTTGATTTTAGTCTTGTTCAAAGTGTCATCGAAATATGCGCAAACAGGATCACCTTCCTCCACGTAGGTACCAATGATAGGCAACCCATCGTCATCAAGTTTATCAAGCCAGTCCTTGGGCCATTCATCATCTCCAAACCCAAAGTGTTGAGTTACTGGATCTCCTCGGCTTCTGTTTAACGAAAGGTCAATCTTTTCAGTTTTGTACATGGTTCCGTAACCGAAACCTCTCTCATCGGCAGATTTGTTGATAATCATGGCATCGTCCATGTCATAACCGGTGTAAGAAATAACTGCAACAACGGCATTGGTACCATTGGGGAAGTTATCCATGCCGTAGTCATCGTAAAGATTAGCTTTGACAATCGGGGTTTGCCCTGTTTGCAATCTGTAGAGCTTATTATCTGAACGGTGACAGAGGGCAACACCTGGTGTTCCCATAGTTTGCTTACCCATTTGACATTGGTACATGTTTCTTGGAGATTGGTTGAAATCTGAGAATGGTGTTAGGTTTGCCAAAATAGAAAGAATGTTGGTAGGTGTAAATTCGACGTGAGTATGGATATTGTTACCAATCTCTTGAGGTGTAACAGCGATGTTCATGTACACCTGTTCGAAAGGACCGACAATGTCCTCTTTGCCAAGTGGCAGATACTTCACGGGCCGCATCATTCTAGAGTGGCCACCGAAGATGTAGAGACCAGGATATTGGCCACGAGACGAAGGTGGAACATAACCTATTTCCAAATCCAGAGGCAGGCCAGCAGTTTCACCTTCCACTTTCCAGAACCTCAAAGTATCCGCAATAATTTTCCCTTGCTCATGAGAGCACCAACCAACAATCTTACCGTCTATTTGGACACAGCATAGCGATGGGCCTGCGGCACAGGTGTGAGAGGCTGGGGCTACACCCAAGGAGTACAATAGAGAAGGAATTCCAGAGACATCAGATTGAGACGTTGAAATTTTGCATCTATGAGCAAAATGGTTCAACAGACCACATGGAGAACCATCTGGCGTGTGAACAGGGCACAAGAATCCCCAAGACTCTGGAAGAAGCTTTCTGACAGTTGTGGTTTTCAATTGAGCAAAGAAGGAACCTCTATGGACCATTCGGAAATGGGAAATGAAACGGTAGAAATTAATCTTTTCCGCTACGACGGTATAACCCGACACCTGCTGCAAGTCGAGACCCGATTGAGAAACCAAGTTACCAGTCGACAAAAAGTATTGCAGCTTGGAGCCGATGTTGTCATTTACCCTCATCAAAACCCTAGACATGTATTTGCGATCTTTGAAATTGACTGCTAGCCCACGGCCCACGTCTGATTGGATTTGAAGTCTGATATTTTGCAGGTACTCTTCGATCTTTTCTTTCAGAATCATACCATACAGGAAACCGCCTAGAAGGACTTCTTGGTGCTGAGTGGCATCGGGATTGTCAGGAGAGCATTCGCCGGCTACCAAAGAGTACAGTTTCCGAATCATGAACAGTAACATCCGTGATTTGTCCTCATTATTTTCACCCAGATGCACAAGGACAATGCGCTTTAGAAGTTCCTCACCCACCTGGAAATCGGTGGCGTCTGGAGCAGCTTGGAGAACGACGCGGAATTTGTCACCCAAATACTGCAACGCTTGACGACGGTTGTGCAGCTGGCCGTACTTTTTCTTGTGGCTGCGGAGTAACAGTTCCAAACGATCGGTCAAAAAAGAGTTGGAGGTGTCGGAACCAACGATCCCATCGAAAACTTCTCTGTCGTTCAGTTCGCACAATGCCTTCAAAATCATGACTACAGGTATCAGATATTCGTTCTTTCTCCAGGAAAATCTGAAAGTAACTTCACCGTCGTTCAAGTAATGCAACACATTTGTCTGAGAGGTCTGGTCAAGTCTTACAGATCGAATCTGAATACCATATTGCGAATATGACGCACCTCTATTGGCGAAAGATGGTCTGATGATGGCCATAGGATGGTTCCTACGCTGGACAATCAGCATTCTGATTAGCTTTTCGATACCGTTGACGATGAAGTAACCTCCTACTTCGTCACTCTCCTCCTTGTGCTGGACTAGTTCATATGGCGACATTTTGCTCAAATGGCAACGGTTGGACTGCAGCATCACGGGGAGTCCACCGCAATCCTTGATCTCCGTAAAAGTTTCTTCGCCGTTGTTGACCGACCACTTGAGCTTAAGCAACAACTTACCTTTGTAAGACGAAAGTCTCTGTCTGGACTCTGCGGGATACACTTTGCGTTCCACGGCCGACGACACCCCGTCGTTGGACATTGGCTTCGCAATCGAAACTTGTTCGACGCTGAGCGAAAGCTTGTTGCCCATATATTCTGGGTTATCGTCTGATTTGGCGCCATCAAATACAACTTTTTCGCCAATGTCTTTCACGGCCTGGTTGAGCAGTCCACCCTCAGCACCCTCTGTGAGCGCATTGAAAGATCCAACGTGGGGTTCCACGGCCTCCTGAAGAAGCGGATATGCTGATTTATCTTTGGGAGGGTTCACAAATCGATTCTCTCTCTCCAACGTGCGGAAGTCTGCCGTTCTGGGAACGGTTGGAGGCTTTATCACTTTACTCATTTTCCGGCCCGTGTAAGCCCTTTCTATGGCACCTTTTGTAAGTTTTCAGTTTAACGCTGGTGCGACGTTTGAGAATCACTTTCAAGGCAATAGAAGTGTTCTCTCTTACACTTTTCCGATGCACTTGATCGTGGTGATGAGCTCGATGCGATGCCCTGCTAGCTTAAGAAATTTGGATAATTCTGAAAAATTTTTTGAAAGAGAGGAACTTTCCTTTTGGCAGCGACACGGCCGTCGGATATGATCTCATCTTGAGATTTCCCAAAAAAAATATTTTTATTTTGTGTTTGTGGTTTGTTTTGATTTCGTTTTTGTGGCCTACGCCCAGTTCTTGTCACGTGGTGTTAAATTTGAGGTAGGATTGAAAGGGCTCGGCGGCTAATCGTTAATCAACAAAAAACAAGGCATGAAGACGTGTTTGATGGCTTGGACGAGACAAGCATGGTCTTCTTCTTCTTCTTCTTCTTCTTCTTTTCTGGGATTGGTTGCGGAAATTTGAAACGTTTTGTGATGAATCAACGCATCTTTTGAGTTCCTCTCCGAACGCGTTGATATGCTCTCAGAATTGACGACGTACATCGGAGTCTGCTAAGTGAAGGATGGGCAAGCTCAGTTCAACGCCGTCGTCGGGAAAATTCTCTGAAAGGCAAACATATTTTGCGTCATTAAGAGGATCGACGTTGGGTTCGCATCCACAACTGGATAGCGGCTAGTGGGGGGATCAATTTGGTCCTCATGCTAATCTCATTACGCGCCGTCACTCCATAAACCTGTGTTGTGAAAGCAGAGATGTATGGCAATTGACGATGCAAAAAGACAGATGGAACACAGGCCACAGTTTATGATCATAAGCAATAACTCAACGGTGATTTTGCTGGCTCTCCGCTGCCACTGTGGACCTCGAGGATATCAACTCAGTTGTCTATGGCATTGGTTCGTGGATAAAATAGGTGGCTACGATTCTACATTTATGTATGAAAAGTCATGGTTAGCAGTCCCAAGGTGCCCTTTAAAGATGATGGTGCCCCCGATCTTTCGTAAACTTCAACAAAAAAAGCCTTGTTGGCGCAATCGGTAGCGCGTATGACTCTTAATCATAAGGTTAGGGGTTCGAGCCCCCTACAGGGCTTTTGTTTTTTTTCGATCTTTCTGTTTGACTGAAATAATAATGGTACATATCTAAAACGGTTCCAGCAAAACTTCTGCTCGGTCCATTGCCGCTGTGTACATCATTTTTTCAAGCCCTAAGCAGTCGTGACGGTTGGAGCAAATCATAGCTCACAAGTTTTATCGTTTGCGACATCTCTCTAGATTTTTTATTACATGGCTCTTGCAAGACTCGATTTTGGCTCGATTTCTGGATAGCGTGCTGAAAAAAAAGTGCCAAGATTGTTTATTGTTCACTTTATTTACCATTGAGAAGCTTCAAGCCACCCACTCAGCCATCCACCGACTCATCACGCACAATTCGAATTATTTTCTGCCTCAACAATGTTGGTGAGGATCGTCACTTTGTCCCTATGCTGTTTCGTAGTAGAGTAGATGACATGCCTCCCGTCTCTCCTAGCTGTTTGTTTCATAAATCAACAATGGGGCTGCTGTTTAATGGTTGTTTGTTCTACACGTCGTTCGATTTTTTTTATGTTTACGCTAAAATGTGTCACATTGAGATCAACAAGGTTTCGAACATCATAATGATTTCGCTAATGTTTCGATAATTCAAATAGTATGCATGCATCAAGCATATATAAGTGAAGCAATAATGGTCGTCTACAATCAGAAGTCCGCTCTTATGAAACTATAGGCAATTCATGTATTTCTTTCTTGTATTCCTTTGTCTGTGTGTATCAGCTCACCCACTCTTGGTCGCGAGAGATATTAATCTTGTCAATGCACCAATAGTTGTTAACGGTTTGTTGGCGGCAGGAGAGGTGACCTCCTCTACTGCTGCTGTCATTGTCCAAATACCTACTGTAGCAGTCTCGACGCCAAGTACAACAACTACGGTTGTGACATCTTCAGTTTACGCTGCAACATCTACAACAGCCACATTACCGACTTCTTCCAAAGCGGCTACATCTGACAGTACCGATTTTTACAGCGGGGCCGCAGGCATTGCATATTCACCTTACCAGAAAGACGGTCAGTGCAAGACTTTGCAGATGGTACAGACAGATTTGGCGCAGATCCAGAGTTTTGGTATTATTCGCACTTACGCAACAGACTGCGACGTGCTGACCAACTTGAAAGCATCGCTAGGACCATCTCAAAAAATCATGGTTGGGATTTGGGACCTGAACAAGATCTCAGAAAGCGTAAGTGCCATATCAGCGGCCTTTGGTGACGATTTTAGCACAGTGTACGCGGTATCCGTGGGGAATGAGCTCGTGAACGCAGGAGAGGCTACTGTCGCAGACATTCAGAACGCTGTAACGAGTGCCAGAAGCCAACTGGGCGCGATTGGATACACAGGTCCGGTTGTGAATGTCGACACTTTGGTAGCGGTGGTGGCAAATCCAGAGCTCTGCGCTGTGTCTGATTTTTTGGCTGTGAATTCTCATCCGTACTGGGACGGCAACGTGGATCCCAGCAATTGTGGGTCTTGGCTCCAGCAACAGATTGCAAACCTGCAGTCGAAATGCGGGTCCGAGAAGCCGATTTTGGTTACCGAGACAGGGTGGCCCTCACAGGGGGATTCCAATGGCAACTGTTGGCCTTCCCAGACCAACATGGAAACCTGCGTCAAGTCCATTACCGGTGCTTTGGGGTCACAAGTACTGCTGTTCACTACTTACAACGACTATTGGAAAAATCCGGGTCCCCAAAACGTCGAGCAGCATTGGGGCCTCTTTGGTGATCCTGAGAATTGATAGCGGGAGACCGGACACGTTGTAGAAACGATGACACAACAGCTGGAAAACCGCAGCATAGCGTGCGAGAACTGTAACAAAAAGGCATACATAGAAAAAATTTGATGATAATTACGAACTTGATACTGGGGCTCCTAGTGGGGGAGGGAAAATTCTGGCTTCTAGTGGCTACTGTGACGCTGTTTCAACACTAAATCGTATCACTTTGTACTAATGCGTCACCTTTCACACAACCGTCAATTACTGCTGCTCCAGACAATTGTCTGCCTCTCTAAATAGCACGTTTGTATCAGTTGACGATAGCCAGACTTCACTATTTCCCTCTAAAGCTAAACAACCGTTGTTTGCAGCCCCGTTTGCAGTATTGGCTTACCATTCGGGCTCGCTGTCTCCTCCGGCAGCGTGCCGTGAACCGTCAATTCCGCCGTATAGCGTCGCCACGTACACCATTCTTCGGCACATCATAGCCCACATTCTGGCCTCTGGTCTCTGGGCCTTTGGCTTGAATATTGCCAATTCAGTGCATTGTCAGTCCAGTGAACCACACTACAAACGCGAAAAACGCGAAAACCACCGCTGATTAGCTAATAAGAATTGACGCGTCTTCAGGAATAAACATGCACGTGACCCACTTTTTGCTTTCTTTTCTCCTTTCTTTTCAAATCAAAGCCATCGCACACGTCTAAAGTGACACAAACCGGGATTTTTTTTCTCTCGGTCATTTTATACCACCTTACTTTATTAAGCCGTGATAAAACCAGATTCAGCGCAGGTGAATCTATCCTTTACTCAGATCTTGCCAAGATCTGAAACTTGAACAGTGGACTAGAGTCGAGCAGGAGGAACCAAATTGAACCAGAAAGCCTAGGTCTTGAATACGTAAAGACATTACGTGCTAGAAAAATACCCAGATCGCCACTTCCCTCTTTTCAAATCCGGTCTTTCACGCCCTATGAAACCGCTATACTTTTACGCGCTATTCTTAGCAGTTGTCGCCCAGGAGTCGCTACAGCAGGCTATCGACGGCCAAAACAACGGTGGCGGCAGCAACACGAATAACGGAACCATCACAGCTACTTCGGCGACTTCGGAATCTTCATCGAGCTTGTTCTCGTCGTTGTCGTCGTCGTCTGGAACGTCGCTTTTCACGGCATCATCTTCCGTCAGCTCAGCCACCTCGTCTGTGTCGTCCTCGTCGTTGTCATCGTCCTCTGTGTCTTCAAGCACACAGTCCGGTTCCAGGTCTTCCAGCATCCCGTCATCCTCAGCATCTTCCACCATCGCCGCTCAAACTTCGTTGACATCCATATCATCAGGTACGAGATCCAGCGCCAGCAGCAGCAGCAGCAGCAGCAGCTCCAGCTCGGCCACGCGATCCTCTTCCAGCTCCAGTGGCTCTTCCTCAGCGTCGAACAGCAGCTCTTCCTCAGGATCAAGTGCTTCTCCGAGCTCCAGTGTGTCAGGACCCGCGTCCACATCGTCTTCGACACCGTCGTCTTCATCGTCATCTTCATCGTCCACCACTTCAGAGGCGTTGGAGACGAGCTCCACCAGCGGTAACCAGGCCTCGTCCACCACAGATGCTCCGTCTACCACCAGATCCCAGGTTATCACCACCACAGTCGACGGCAGAACGCTCGTTTCCACCGTGTATTACACTGCCAGCAGCACAGCAGGGACGACAAGCTCGAGCAAAAGCTCGGGACTTTCCGACAAAAATCGCAAGATCGTGATCGGATGCGTCGTGGGTATTGGTGTGCCCTTGCTGCTTGCGTTCCTAGCGTTCCTGTACTTCTTCTGCGTCAGATCCAAGAAAACTAACTTCATCAATTCCGAAGGACATGTTGTCACGGCTTATAGACAAAAAAAACTGATCAGGTGGTGGTATTCGCTAATGGGCAAAGACATCAGCAACGAATACGAAGGCGACACACCCATAGGCGGAACATCAGACCTCGACGAAGAGTCCGAAGACCATGGCCATCGCAGCAACGGAGTCAGTAGGAACCCTACAGACGGCCGGGGCTCCAATCATAACGAATTGATGCTGGACGAGGAGAAATACTACGACGAGAACGGCAACGAGCTCAACGCCCGGAACTACTGAGCGCCAGAGGAACAAGACCTCAACGATTCAAATTAAAAGAAAACCTGCACATCCCACGCTATTCTTTCTCTTTATAACCCTAAAGAGTGCCATGAAAATATTCCAGTGGTTCAACCATCAAGCATTGCATAAAAAAAAACCTAACCACCTACGCTTTGTGCGTTTCAACCAAAACTAATACACCACTCAGTACAGCATGGTTTTATACTATCAAAACTACATATAAAACGTAAATAATCAATCACATTTGTACATTGCACGGAAGATTACTTTGCCTTTCTAACCAAGTTGTTAGACTTTGACCACAGCACGTATTGCACACCATGTCGCTGAGACTAGATATAGCCTAGTGCTGACCGCAAGCTGTGGGTATGTTGCATTAATTTCCTATTCCTCGCAACTCAATCCGCGATAGTTTAGTGGCTAGAATTCGGGCTTGTCGCGCCCGGGACCGGGGTTCAATTCCCCGTCGCGGAGTAATTTTTATATTTTTTGCTTGTCAAGCCCGTATAAGAAACTCTATGATTGTTTAACTGGATAAATAATATCAAGAGGCATCGATATCTCGGAAAGCCAAGTTGTATGGCGGTTCCGTGACCAGGTTGCCAGCGGAATACTCAAGATACCAATCCGGTGGCACGATAAAGAGGAGGCTGGTGCTCGGCAATGAACGATGTGGCTTTGACCAATAAGTTTTTAAATGAAATTCTGGTCAGCTACTGTGTGTCCCCCGGCGAGCAATTTTTACTGTGCTTGTATGTCACCATCGATAAACCTTCGAAGGCGTTTATCAGAGTGAGGAACCTAAAATCAGATCAGAAGATTAAGAAATATGAAGTGCCCATTGAATTGTCATCATTGGCTTTTCACAGGGACTCATTTGGACTACAATTAGTCCAGGTATCCAAAGCGGTAGGAGGGAAAAAGATCGAATTTGAACACTATATCATCGTTAACACCGGAGATGTACTCCATTTTTTCACTTTGGAACAGCTGTTTTCGATCGGTGAGTACGTGCCCTACAAATGGCGTCACAACTCGAGCACCGATACCGTGACGTCTTTTCATGCATACAACGTTCGAGGTCCAGATTTGCAGGTCGTTTACTGCACGAAATTTGGTGCTATAGTGAAGTTCGACTTCGATTCGAATGCCAGCAGTTTCAAACTGGTATCAGAGTTTAAAGACGCAGCATCGGACTGCATAAGCCATTGTGAGCCTTGCACATCTACACACAAAAATAAAGACGCTATTGAAATTCCCGAACTCGTCTTTTCGAGCTTCGACAACTGCATTTACTCCCTTGAGGGCACCCTTCAGAAATTTCCCGCAGTGGACACTCTGTCTGAACAGAAAATCCTTGTCTCCGCTGTAGGGGTAGTCGCGAAACAGTACAGCAAGAAAAGTCTGCGATATTATGTGGCTAACGTATTGAACGGCGGTTGCCATCTTTTTAAGCGAAGCGCCAACGATACTTGGGATGAGACTCGAATTCTCGAACGCGACACTGTCTTAGTGGAAAAGTCACCGCTCGTTAACTGTTGTTTAACATGCCAAAGCCGAACCCAGCTGCAAATCGTGTCAGGAAGCGAAAGCGGTAAAATCTATTATTGGTGCTACGATTACCGCGACGACAATATTTTGGAAAGCCACGTTCTCCAAGTGGCAGAAACTCAAGATATTGTGTACAATCTTCAAGTTGTGGGTCCTTCTATTTATTATATGGTGAACAGGGACATTGTGGGATCGGCCATAATCCCTTAGCGGCCACCAAACCGAAGACGTTGATGGGCGAAGTCTTATCTTAAAAGCTTTCAAACAACGCATCAATCTGCTTGACGACGTCGATGTGCGAAATTTCGCCCTTGTTGTTGATGGTAGATCCTTTCTTGAACATTTCGGGTTCATTGTTGTAATTTATACCGCACTCTGTAAATAAAATTTCCTGTTTGTCCGCACTCAAGGTGCCACACAGCTTCTGTTCCGATTCCTGCGGGCTGAGACCACACTTTACTATCAACTGCCAAAAAACCGTGTTGTACAGATTATTGATATGTGTGTCAACGAATCTCCAGCAAAGGTAGTCTTTTATGGTGGTAAGATTAGGGTAGCACACGCACCGGGAGTCAAAAAAGGGTAGATTCTTGTAGTCCAGCGCTACATCGGGAAAGAACTTGGACCACAGCGCTACATAGTTGGCTGTGAACAGCGACACGAATAGCGTGCTCAATTTGTCCTGTCGTCTTTTGAAAAGGGTCGAGTTTTTACGCAAAATAAACGAATACTCGTCACTCTCGCCGAATGCACATATGACATCGTTGCGGTACTTCAACACCACGTTTTTGGCGCTGGCGTTCATGAGTTTTAGAGCGCGCGCGTCATTGGGCTTTTCGAAATGGTAGTGTTTGGAAAACTCGTGGAACTTCTTGCCGTCGACCCTTACAACAATGTATGTCTCGGGGAGTATAGTGTCGTGGGCTTCGAACTGCCGAACATATTCAAACCGCGATTTGGCCATAATTTGGGGTTGTTGTCGCAGAGCTCACTGGACCGATGAGATGAGATGAGATGAGATGAGATGAGATGAGATGAGATCCGCTAGTTAACTGGGCGTTGAAAACGATGTCCAATATGTATTCGAGTACTAGAGTAGTAAATGATACGAAGAAAGTGTACTCATGAGTACAGAATTGAGTTTCGTACACAATGCTTACTATAAACACCTTCATATAAATTATCACCCCCCTAGATTTGTTTTGACTTTGTACACAACTTAACACTAGCCGCCAAGACACTTTTGAGACATAATGATATGTGAAACTAGCGTTCAGGTACAAGCGACTGCTGCAGTCCTAGTGCGCACTGTCTAAACGTCATCTTCTCCAAGTTTTTCGGGGCAAAAAGACCTCGTTTTGCCGTTTCCCCCCGGATAGAGAAGAGCGTCACTTTCTCACCGTAAAAAAAAGCTCGCCGTTGCGTTATGTTGTTGATCGAAACCAAACCAACAATTTACCTCGCTGGCCTTCCTTACACCATGGTTTCATCCTTTGGGACCATCTCAAGTGCCTTAGATTTATTTTTCCCGTTTCTCTCAATTGGTAGGCCTGCAACGCGCTTTAATCGTGTCCTTCGAAGCCTCAACCACCGTCTCAGACGGTCGCGATACTCCGGATAGTCGTCCTCACTATTACCGTGTGCTTCCTTCCCACGTCCCTGACCAAATCGCGATGATGTTGGAATACCTTCCGGGTCATCTGACTTGGGCCCTGTTCAAGTGGCCGGTACCGGCCAAAAATCATCACATGACTCACAAACCCGCGGAAAAGCGCACTCTCGTCTCAAATCGTCTGAAAAATTTTAAGAATTGGGCTACACCGGCGGCGCGATGTACTCACTCACATCAAAAAATGGAAAAATCGAAAAAATCAAAAAATTTTTCAACTATATAATGGCGATGAGATGGTCAAATCTGTTCCTGACCCAGCTCTGGCGTGTGCACAACTTCTTTTGAATTAATTTTTCCAGCTACGTCTCCATTCAGCATTTTGAAAATGTCTCTAAGAATCCAAGCTTCCAGATTGATCGCCAACTCGCGCGTTATCACTGCCAAGAGAGCCCTCTCTGTGGCTACCCGTGCCTCGCTAAGACCAACTGCCGCCAGACAGTTCGTCAAGCCAATGGTCGCTACCCGTGGTCTAAAGCAGATCAACTTCGGTGGTACCACTGAAACCGTCTACGAGAGAGCCGACTGGCCTCGTGAGAAGTTGTTGGAGTTCTTCAAGAACGACACCATGGCCTTGATCGGTTACGGTTCCCAGGGTTACGGCCAGGGTTTAAACATGAGAGACAACGGCTTGAACGTTGTGCTCGGTGTCCGTAAGGACGGTGCCTCCTGGAAGGCCGCCGTTGAGGACGGCTGGGTCCCAGGTGAGAACTTGTTCGAAGTCAACGAGGCCATCCAAAGGGGTACCTACGTCATGAACTTGTTGTCCGACGCTGCCCAGTCCGAGACCTGGGAATCCATCAAGCCATTGTTGACCAAGGGCAAGACCTTGTACTTCTCTCACGGTTTCTCCCCTGTCTTCAAGGACTTGACCCACGTTGAGCCACCAAAGGACATCGATGTCATCTTGGTTGCTCCAAAGGGTTCCGGTAGAACAGTCAGATCCCTATTCAAGGAGGGCCGTGGTATCAACTCTTCCTACGCCGTCTGGAACGACGTCACCGGTAAGGCTCACGAAAAGGCCCAGGCTTTGGCCGTCGCTGTCGGTTCCGGTTACGTTTACCAGACCACTTTCGAGAAGGAGGTCAACTCCGACATTTACGGTGAAAGAGGCTGTCTAATGGGTGGTATTCACGGTATGTTCTTGGCTCAATACGAAGTCTTGAGAGAGAACGGCCACTCCCCATCGGAAGCCTTCAACGAGACCGTTGAGGAAGCCACCCAATCTTTGTACCCATTGGTTGGTAAGTACGGTATGGACTACATGTACGATGCCTGCTCCACCACCGCCAGACGTGGTGCTTTGGACTGGTACCCAATCTTCAAGGACGCCTTGAAGCCAGTCTTCCAAGACTTGTACGAGTCTACCAAGAACGGTTCCGAGACCAAGAGATCTTTGGAGTTCAACTCCCAGCCTGACTACAGAGAGAAGTTGGAAGAGGAACTAAAGATCATCAGAAACATGGAGATCTGGAAGGTGGGCAAGGAAGTCAGAAAGTTGAGACCTGAGAACCAGTAAATGTACTGCTCTGCTCTGCACTGCACTCCCCTGCACATATTCAAATAGTCAACAATGAATTGACCTGAAACAAACAAAACAAACAAGACACAAAGACTCTTATTACTGTACATTAATCAGAGAGCGCTAGCACGTCCTCTAAGCACTGAAACATCATCGTTCTGGTTTTCTGTAATTACCTATGTAAACTGGCACTCGTGTTTAATAGAATAAACAGATGTCCCATGGAAACCGTGCTACGGCGTTGTCGTGCAAACCCTCACAAATCGAATCGCTGTGAAAGTGATTGTTGAGGGGAATCGTCCTTTTGATGAACCTATAGTCTTCGGCGGCTAAATTAACCAGAACAATGGCCTGTGAAATCAGTGCGTGTGGAGTGACTGATGTCCTTGAGATGGCATGTATAAATATACAAATCTATCCATTTACAGTTCGTTTTGGCAGGGTATGGACTGCAGAAATACTGGACGCGGGTACAGCGCCGTTTTGTTAATGTTAGGTCTGTTGGCTAGCTAAGAGGTTTACGTTAAAATTCGTCGCTAAGAAGCTCATCTTACGATCGGTAGTAGAATTACTCACTTGGTCTGCGACTCCCAACAAGGACGAGAGGATTCTTAGGTCTGCAGCCTTGGCGAGTACTGCGTTTCTGGATGGTTAACTTATAAAGTTCTGCCGACAGTATTCTCGTATGAGGGCTGACGCCGCGAATTCGTTGTATAATATGCGTTTGGGAAGGCTGATGCTGGAAGATTAGCCACTCATAGGCTGAATCATCTTTACTTTGAGATAAACGGACACATAACTAGAGAAACTGAGCGCGGAATTGACTTTTGATTCAATGCTAGTCGGGACCAAGAAGTTTACCTACGCAAAGATGAAGGTTTTCAAAAAGAGCTAGGTGCCAAGAGCGGACTGGAAGTGGTTTGGGAACTTCTCAAGTCAGTTTTCGATGCCCGGGATCGTATTCCAAATAATGTGGATCTTTTGAGATCCACACTTGTAGGCAATGAATGGGTAAGCTGAGGAGGTTGAGTTCACTACAAAGAGAGAACCTGATTCTACGCATAGTGTTCGGCTAGAAAATGAGATTTTTGGGCAAGACCGGAAAATGAGGCACTGTGAAATTGTCGCCAAAATACGGTAACGAACTGCCATGACTCGCACGACCCATTTGCCAGCTTGTAGACGAACGCTCTTCGAATAATTGACGCTTAGGAGTTCTCAATGGTATCCCTCGAACTCGAGAAGCCTTCGCCTACCCTTAGGAAAGCTTACACCCCTCTGACAGCACCTTTTGGGTACAACAGTGCTTGACAACTCGTTTGCAAGGTCTAATTAGGAAAGAATGCACCAAAATGACCGCCGCCGTGGCACTTAACGGGAGTGAAAAGTGGGTAGCTAACGACCGTGCGAATGCCGATTCATTGAATTTTTCAAATCTGCAATATCAGGCAGTGGCTATGTGAATGAGAGTGTTCAAACACAGAATTCCAAGGCACAATGAGTCTAGAACTACGTCAGTGATACTTAAAAGAAAACGCTAAGCCTGCACGACGTAATAATGATCCTGCGTTTAGTTGAATCGCGAAAGAGCCATCATTCTTCCCCTTATTGTGACGAAAGCCCAGCCAAATGAACACACCACGGTCTTCAGTGTTTTGCACTGATCTCAAAGGTTAATCCCTCGCAAGAAACGTGATGAGAACCCTACTAAACTCCGCCTGTATTGATCCAACAACGCCTGTGTACACCTATGCGTACCTGGACGGTAGCTCGTGAAATCCACTCCATTCCCATGCATGTCGAGGAGCAAGCATTACTGGTCCCCCCATGTCTCCAGCACGCCGGTATGCCGGTGTACTCGTGTCTGGAAAAGGCCATGCGTTTACGAAAGTCGACTTGCAGTCCGCTTCGAGCTCGAACCACAATTTTTCGAAACTTTCCAAATCCGAATCTGTCGTCAATCATGGATGGAGTCCAATACTCCAGTGCCTATCATCGACTCTCGCCTATAAACAAAATCCCGTCGTCCTTGAGACAAACCCGATTCACTACTCAGCTATTTGCCTTTCCACAGTTTTTCTTGTCTCAGTCACTCTGACGACAACGTCGCTTGATGTTGCACATGAGTTAGCGGTCCTGTATCTGCTTGATCATGTAGTGAAATATCAATGAAGCCCGTCCTTGTTGCTAGTGACGGTTAATAGATAAATCGGACTTTCACTGCTACGAGATCCGGCTTGACATAGCTGAAACCACACATCAAAGGCTTACCATTGGTTTACCCAGCTTTATGCACCTTATTTTGCCTTGAACGTGGCTGGAGACAGCCGGTTCTTACAAGATAAGGAAAACGGACGTCAAAACCGACAGCCCAACGCTGCTCAACGGGTGCCGAATGGTCCTAGTAGCAACCAAGGGTAACACTGGGACGTTTTGCAGACAGTGTGCAATGTTTTACCGAAAAGTGCAGAATTCACGGCGTTATGATACAGAATAGCACTCGATCCTCGCATAAAGAGTTTCAGATCGAGAGTCAGTTGGAAACTGTAAGAAGAACAGGAGGACGAGGAGAGGCGGGCCGAAAAACAGGAACAATTATGGCGGGTTACAAAGCCAAGGGCCCGGATGGATCGGCTTCAAAGCTGTGGCAGCAAGGTGCAGTGCCTGCTATTAGATTTTTTAAACAGCGAAGCTGCTGCTGCTGCTGCTGCTGCTACTGCTGCTGATGTCGGTTGATGTAGTACTAAGAGATGGAATATGCGGGGGATGGTGGTCATTGGAGGTGGAGGACGACGTCAAGTCTCCGAGATCAGGTCGAAGGGTGAAGGCGGTGATATTATAGGAAAATAGCCTACAGCCTGTCAGGCCGACTTAAAAGAAGAGGATTAGAAGACCAGTTCCCGAGTTTGGTCGCCCAGTCGCCTAAGTTATAAAACACCTAGCGAAGTCCATGTCGTCTCGAGATTACTCTGTATCACGAACGTTTTTCGCAGGCACTGCAGCGATTGAAACGACGAGCATCAGAGGTCACGAAATGTCTTCGCTCGAAAACGCTGCGTGCGACGACCAAACGTTTCTTGGGTCGTCTTGGCAGGGTCTGAGACGGCCCGAACGCTCGAACTCGGTTCAATCGTACACCAACTCGTCCACACAGGACTCGATGTGGAACATCGAGTTGCTGGAGCCCGATTCGACGTACGAGCCCGCAGTCATCGCATCTCCGCCGTTTGCAAGCTTCAGTGCACCAGCGTCGAGACCCAACTTCGTGAAAGCCAACTCGTACTCCGAGGGCGTCCACGATCTTGACGAAATGTCACACTATCTGTCCTCTAGTGTGTCGTCGGCCCATTCGCATTTGCAGTCTGCGACTGCTCCCTACAGTTCACGGCGTCGTGTTCAGAGCCGGCTTTTGGGCCAATCCAAAAACCCTTACGTTCTTCAGCAAAGGAGACCCTCCTACGACCAGGACTTGCGTCTTTATTCCCGTCCCAGCTTACCGTACGACGCTCCAGTGGCGTTTTCTGACCACACACCACAGATCTCTCAATTCGACGAGTACATCGATTCTCGTCACACTCATGGACACAACTACGGGTACGAAAACAACCAGGGTGTTTCCGTTGCCCGCGCAAACGAACAAAAGCACCACCCTTATCTCCTTTCCCAGCGGCCCGAACCAAACTCGTGCCAGCACCATCAGCATCAGCATCAACCTCAGTCTCAACTTCAGGCCCAGCACCATTACCAGTACCAGTACCAGTGCGAGCACGATCATGACAAACATGACGAGCACGATCATGACAAACATGACGAGCACGACGAGCTTGACGACCCCTGCCAGCACCAACACCAGCATGAGCACCAGCCCCGGCAAAATTACCATAAGCAGTATCAGCATCAAAACCATCAGCACCAAAGCCGGTCTTACCACTACCAAAGCCATGGAGAGGTTACATATGCCTCAGTCCAACCCACACCGCAGCTGCTGGCCTGTAATGAAACTAGTACATACGCACCGTGGCAGGTAACACCTACAAGTAGCCTCTCCGATATACCGCGGGTCGACTACTTTGAAGATCTGTCAGGGTCGCTGAACCTGGACTCCAGCGCAAGATTTCAGTCCTCGGGTCTAGATTCTAGCCCCCCGCCTGCACCAACAACAACGACCAGCTCGGCTTATTTTCCAGACACAATAGCCACTGCACCAGATGTGGCCCCGGAGTTGGAGTCCGAAAGTGAGGCCGCTGTCATGGAGGACAACGATGGTCTTGAAGATCGCTTTTACCAGTCGTTCAACAACCCTGTACAGAGAATTTCGAACTCGAAGCACGAATCCGTGTACGAACAGCTTATCAACGACAAGCCTCTCATGGAGGCTCTGTCGAAGCGTGTCAAAAGAGGATATTACAGGTGCGCTCACTGTCCTAAGATGTTTTCTAGCGTTCTTGATTACGCCAAACACATCGACGAGTTTGAGATTCAACGCGACTACAAATGTCCCTTCGTGTTGTGCCCTTGGAAAATACTAGGTTTGCCAAGACGTCCCGAACTGCGCCGTCATTGTGCCATACAGCACAAGATGGAAATACCAATGGAGCTGAAGGCCTCGCTCAAATTGGGCGAATCGGACTTCCCCATAATGGAATGCCCTTCGCCATACTGCGACAAAAGCTTTTTCCGCCGTGACTCGTATGCCCGCCATGTTGCAATGGTTCACGAAAAGGCTGACAGTCGTTTTAACAGAAGGCTGAACAAAGTGTTATCGGAGTGTCCCTTCGCAGTGGGCACGCAAGAGCACATCGACTGCGTGCGTGCGGAGATGACCAAGACCAAGAGAAGACTTAAGCCGTGATTATGTGGCCGTGCTACGCTGGCGTGGCACCCACAAAAGAGCTGGCGTTCTAACTGTATTATGGATTTTCAATTTTTATGGCGGCGAGATGGTTTTACGGATCCTCGTTTCTTTCAGGTTACCGCATCTCCCAGGTAGAATTACTAGCACAGCGAACTCACAACCACGCCCAACTGGTTGTCTACCTGGTGGAGGACGCGAATACCGGTCTCAAATTTCGCTCTTTTTTCTTCACACGTTGATAATATTCCATTCACCACCACCGCACCAGGGCCAGGCGTCCAAAACTTTTACTGAGATAATATCCTAACCACAAGTCACTACGACAAGAGCATTGCTAATTAACCACAATATTTACGTATAAACTACCTTTCTATTGCGAGCTCGAACCTCGTTCGCTCCTTGACCATAGGGCTCGAAGTTGGCCTGCCTTGTAAGCAGGGCAGGGTCTCTCAAGAGATATGCATCACGTGACATCGCACGGATAAACTGCCCCGTTCGTTGACCGGGCAACTTTAAATCCGATCCGAGAAGTTGTCATGACAATTTCAAAGGTTATTCCGATCCACCGGTTGTCATGGTTTCCCAGATGACCAGCTCAGCTTTATTAAAGACACCACAGACGGTTCCAAACTCAACAATCACCAATTATCGGTCGCATTCTAGGAACACAGACGTCTAGTTGAGCTGATTTGACAATAACGGCACTTTCAATAACAATTACCAGCCTCTTGGCGTTGTTGTTCTCGTAGTTACGAGAGTGCACAGGGATACTAGGAAAATTAGGTTTTTTTGCGCTCAAAAAGGGCTTCACTTTGGAATCTGGGACGTGAAGAGTATTATTTTGGGTTCGAGGCCATCTAGATTTTCGCAGTGCGTCTTAAATCGTTTTGAGGAGAGTCCCCGAGCCGAGGGTCGGCTTGAACAAACGCTTACTGTGAATGTTTTCGAGCGTGTATGTGAGATTTTCCCCTGGGAACCCTCCTGGGGTTTAAAAAGCATTTTTGGACTTTAGCCAGGCTCGAACAAGATGAGAAAGAAGAAGGGAAAAGTTGTCAGAACCAGGCACTAGCTGAAAAATATCATCGTCACAGCTCACAGCCGCCACAACAAACAAGTAGGGGTCTTTTGGGTCGGTTGTGGGTACTTTTAGATTTTATCGGAGATCACGTGACAGATGACAGGTAACGTGTCAAGTAAATACTATCTTGTTTGTAGACTTTTCGTTACGATTCTCGAGTTTTTGGGGAATCTGCCCAGCTGTGCTAATGTCGTCCCGGGGTCGTGGTGTGTCGCTCAGAATTCGAAGCGACATTTCTTGATTTCTCTCTTTTTTTTTTTTTGGCAAAACGGGAAGGATGCGTCAGAATTTGATGCGAAAGACACAGAGTTGTTTCATCGGTAAGCTAAATCCCCCCAATCAGTATGACTAAATAGTTCTCGTATCGTGAAATCACCGTACTCGCGAAGAGACGTGGCCTATGAGTAGGGTCCATATAAAAATACATCACGTAATACGAGAACATATACCCATCACTATGTACTATACTGTCACGCTCAGTCTCTGCACAAATATTCCATTTCTCAGCTTGGTGGCCCCTTCTAAAGCCTCCAAGCTCAACCATCAAAAGGTTCTCATATTCGCAGCACGCAACCACACGTACTTTCACTGATCAAACACATATCACTATGAACGGATATGTCGCTACGTTTCGCGTGTCATGTAATATATTATCCAACTGACGCGTCAACGTCGACCACTGTCGCGTAAAAGACGCCATTTCTCGAGCCACGCGTGTAAGACCAACTTCGACATCCAAATCAAACGTCGTTTTTGAGGTCACTTCCACAAGCAGGTATAACGCCTCGTTTGTTCACAGAAGACAAGCGAAGCACCCAGGAAAATAGGGCCCTCATCGCCGCTGACGCGAACCGTTACGCCATGTTCTTCAGACCGCGATTGGCGGTTCTGCCTCAACAAATGTACACTTACCATCGTCAAGCGATGAGCTTGATCTAAAATTAAGGGACATTTGCCCAATTCACGATTCACGATTCACGATTCACGATTCACGATTCACGAACCACGGTTTGAGGCCAACGATGAGGAGGTATTGGTGGCAGCAACTATGAACCCATCAGCCAGTCGTGTAACGAGCGAGCCGTTGAGCTGTGTGTTTCGCGAAACGCGAATCGCGGTTCTGTCGGAGCCGAACTATCACACCCACCGTATTATAGTTGAGCTCAAACTCCGGCTCAACTATATATTTGAGAAAGATCATTATGATCTCGACTCAGTCAAACAAGAACTCGACCCCAGAAATCCCACTCTGATCTTCCCACAAATCATGAGTTCAATCAGTATAGACCGGGTCCTGTACCAAGAAGATTATCGCAAATACAAGCTTGTTCGGAAAGAACTCGCTTTGTTTCTGCATTCCCAAAAACTCGATGCCACCGATCCAAAGCTGTTTATATTGCTAGCTCGGAACGTACACTCAAATGGTCTGAATTTGTACTTGCCACTGATGCTGGCAGAAATGAGCGATTCTTCTGATGTTGCAACTAGCTACAAAGTGTTATCACATTTTAAACACCACGAGCAGTTTCCCACCTTATTACAAAATTCAAATGGGATCACTCAATCTTCCTTCACTCTTCGACCCAACGACATATGTCACTGGAATCTAGTCATCTCTGTGACACAGTATCTAATGGCCAGCGCCAGACCCTCTGGTGACTACTCTCATCTAACGAGGCAGCAAAGACAAAAAAGATTCAATGGTGAAAAGGCTAAAATTGCAGCTAAGGAATTCCTGGATAATCCGCGATCCTCGAAAACCATCGTGGCCTCTCGGTACGAAGTTTCCTTGTCTACACTGAACGACGCTATCAAGAGACTTCAGCGTCAGCGCGACTTGACTTGCGACGAAAATGCAGGACATATCACCGACTACAGACAAACCACAGACAAAACCGCTCGCAAAAGAGTGGCTAGTGTTGCCCTTTTAAATGTACTTAACTCCCAAGTGTCTCCATCAAAAAGATGCAAGTTGGTTTCTCAGGTAAGCTTCAAATATAACATCCCAGAGAGAACGCTTCGCGATAGACTGAAAGATGTCAATCCAAGTATCTCGAGAGTAGCAGAGGGAATAAGACGGCGTAAATTGTCACCATCAGTCGAGCAATTCCTCACAACATTCTATGCCATAAGCAACCTGCAAAATTCGCAAATCACTGTTAAGGAGGCTGACGCTATTTGTGAGCTGATGGCTAACACAACTGGCTGCTCTGACATTAAACTACTGGATCGTCCTCCCGGAGACAGCGAAACAATCAATCTGCCTGAAATGCTTCGAAATCAGGAGGTTCAATTGGGGCGCAATTTTGGCTGGAGATTCCGTCAACGCAATGGGTTTGCGTCTTCCAAGGCAAAGCGTATGGACAAGAACAGGTTGAAGGCGTCTGATGTTAATAACATTGCGATGTGGCTCAATGAAGACGCGTTCAAATTTCTAAGTTCAACTTCCGCAGAACTTATTTTCAACGCGGACGAGATCGGGTTTGCTCACACTATGAACACCGTGAACCAATACTCACGATATGTGAGTATGAACAGTTCCAATAAAGGTCAAAGAAAAGGTGTTGTTTACAAGGTGAAAGAGACAGAAAATCATCCAAAGACTTTGACAACGGTAACAGCATGCGTCTCAGCAGCAGGTGCAATTGTACCTCCCATGGTGACAGCTGCTTCTTCCATTGCCAAATATAAAAATGATTGCCATCTTTTCAATCCGCGCTTTGAGGCTTTAGCGCGTTCCAAACTACAACCTGGGGTAGATAAGAATGTTAACATTCTTTTCACATCGAATGGTTGGAACAACCCCGCGGCGTTCTTGGAATACGTGAAATGGTTTGATGCCCATACCCTTCATATAGCGCGCCAAAATAGTCCAGAGGGTTCACTCTGTCAGCGCGTTCTCATAGTGGACAACCATTTTTCGCATTACTGTCCAGCAGTTCTAGACTTTGTCACTAAAAGACGAATTGTCCTACTACTACTACCGCCTAATACTACGCATGTCCTGCAACCTTTGGATGTCGGTGTTTTCAGTAATCTAAAGAAAAAAGTTCGTGCTTTAGCCACTGAATGGTGTCCGAAACCCAGCGTGGGACCAGATGGGAAACCTAGATATGGTCACTTTGACATTTTATGCAACTTCATGAATGCACTTAATCATACGCTCTTGCACGACTTTGAACAATCGACCATATCTCAGGCTTTCAAAACCGCAGGTATCTTCCCGCCCGAGAGATCATTGTTCAACCCGGCTGTCAGAAACGTAATGAAGCATTTCGATTCTCACGCCAGGATGAAAGATATATTCCTGACGAACATTCTACCGCTGAATCACACCACTGGATCACGGCCGCGTACGGTCGCTGGAGCACGAATCACAAGTGATGACAGTTCTTCAAATACCGAAAGTTCCCTGGGCTCTCTAATTCCACTAATCAGGAATGAGGCGTTCTTCATAGGAGAAGAACAGTTAGAAAGCTTAGACTACCTTTCTGTCAATTTAGAAGACATACTTCATCCTAATCCTGTGCTCGAAGAGGAAGAATTTGAAAGTAGTAAAGAAATTGGGAACTCGAATGAAGCGCAGCAGCGTGCTGAACCTCAGCCTACGCTAAACCATGACTTTCTCTCAAAATTCACGTTTGAGGACGTGTTGAAACTGATCACTGACCTAATTGGCGGCGGGAACAGTGATGAGGGAATGTCATTGATTCCTAAATTGATGGAGAGGCTAGAAAAATGCTCAGAAATAGCCTTTGCTAACAATTCGCATCTTACAATAACCAAAGAGCTTTTCCTAGAGCAGCAGACCAATGTGATGGGAATAGTGATGTACCTAATATATTTTGGCGCCTGCTTTCTTGGGCTACGCGAACAAACGAAGATTGAAGAAGCGCTGCAGGTTTACGAAGCGAAAACTGATACAGCGACAGCTACCCATTTTTCTGGTGGAGCCATTCTTAACACCGATGTGTTGAGAGATTTATCCAAAAAGCAGTTTTTTAAACTGTTTCCCAAAGTGTCAGGAAATGTTGATCGCGATTTATCCCGGAAAATCGCCCTTATTCAAAGCTCAGCTCAAAATTCGGCCTCCATGAGCGAAGAACTTGTCAATGAGTTAGGTTCTAGCGTCTGGGAATTTTTACAAAAGATGGTCAAAAACGAAAAGTCCGTTCTGTCGTTGCAACCCGAGGACTTGAAGAGAAAAGTCCTTTCTACAGCGCTCAATGCACCCGAGGCATTAGCAAAAGCTGCTACCGTTCAAAGCATGTTTGACCATAGTGGTAAATTGCCATTCAGTAAAAAGCACCTGCCATTAGTGTCCAAAATCGAAAGCCTAGGATCTGTTCCAGTTGAGCTTCTGGATGCAACGTTATCGGAGGCAGAGTTCGAGTCGAGGCTATCTGCTTTACGCGAAGTAGCAGCGGGTGCTCTTTTAGAGCTGAGCACGATAGAAGATGAGGAGGACGACGATGACTCTCTGGAAGGAGACACCATGACCGAAAACGATTCATTTGACGTGGAGGAAAGAAATCAAAGGCTACTCCAAAACTGGTTTCTGGTGTACCATGTGGACAATGTGGTAGGCCGTATCACAAAACACAGGGAAAACATGAGGTTGAAGTCTCAAAATCTGATGTACAGGCAGAAAATCGATGCTTTAACGCGGGCCATTTCGGAGATGGCGAACAATGCGCGGCATTCGAGCAACCATGTTTTTTACGAAGATCCAGAACCGATGTTCGATTACGGAGTAGTGGACAATCCATTTTTTTAAGACAATATTTTTAGTGCATTTTATACAATTCAAGAATCTGTTAATCAAGTCGATTGAGAAGAAGAGTTGGTGTTATAAGATTCGTTCACATTGTATTTTCCGCGTATATCTCGACAAAAACACAGGAGCAGGATTAGAGCTTCCGCTAATTGTAAAATGGAATTGATCCATGGTGCTGATTCTTACTAACTTCTGCTGACACAGGATCCAATTAACGAAGAAAGTATAAGCCTGAATAGAAAATTAAAAGGAAGTTGCAAGCCAAACAAAATCAAAAATTGAATGCTCCTTTTATTTGAACAGGTAGGTATTCGACAAAAGAAGAAACTTTCCTGCCACCACCATGCCCTCCTAGCCCGTTCAACAACAAGAAGTGTCACTTACATTTGAGATTCTAAGCTGCCATATATCACTTTGTACTATCCTGACGCAATTTCGATATCATTAACCGAATTTCGAGATCTGCCAACAGTGCCCGTCTGACTACGTGTAACAACGCTGGCTCTGTAGATTCGTGCATTTGAGTACTACAAAAGTGCTATTTCGCACTTCGACAGCACCAATCTTCACGCCACTTACAGACACGCTTGGTCGTCGCTACTGTAGTTCACCAGACACACGTCTGGCGCTCGTCTTGATCTTACACCGCAGAAATATATTAATGAGTCTTTTCCTTTAAAAAGCGTTCTTTTTACACATGCTAATTCTCAACACTGCGTGTTCTTTAATCGAACAAACCGAATCCCATGTCGTCGTCGGATTCTTCAGCAGCCTCCTCTGGAGCGGCTTCTTCGGCAGCGTCGGCACCGGCAGCAGCACCGCCAGCTGGGGCAGCAGTACCGGAAGAAGCTGGCACAGCGGCCAATTTCTCGTTACCTTCGGCGATCAATTCCTCAACGGACTTACCGTCCAAAGAGCTCAACAAAGAAGAGACCTTGTCTTCTTCGACTTCAATGCCAACGGATTCCAAGACGCTCTTAACGTTCTCAGCGCTTGGGACAGAGTTGCCAGCGGCGTTCAACAACAAGTAGGCGGCCAAATACTTCATGATATAGCTATGCGATGCGGAGGTTTTTTCGAACCAAATTGAAACACCAATTGATTGAACCCAAGGTTTCTCCTAAGAAAGCTCTAACTTTTATTGAAACTTCCCAACCCACACCCAATGCATTCATTGACGTTGCCAAACTATCACGACGTCGGTTTGGGCCAGTGCGTGGGTTTGCGTGGCCTGGTGGGCTGCTGGTTCGTAGCGTAATTTTCCAGCCTTGCAACTTTCCATAGGCTCAGGCTGTGGTGTACGGATTTTTTGCAAGATTTTGACAAAATATTTGATTTTTTTTGCGTGGGTTCATTTCGTGGTGAGCAGCGCACGGACGGGCTAGAAGGAGCCCTGCCTAGACTCTAGGCAGAGCTTGCAAGATTCTAGGCAGAATTTTCATTTTTTGGCAAAACGCTAGGCAGGGATCCGGTGAGGGCCTGCCTAGCAGCCCTGTCTGGAGTCCAGGCAGACCTCTCTGGTCTCAGTTCCCATCTCACACTGGGTGGAATCCGTAGCTGGGCGGAAACTCTGGCAGCACGACAGTGTATCTACCGACCAGCACGATATACTCTTTGGATATTGAAACTTTAGAGAATCAACGTTAGTATTGAAGTGATACTTGTGCCTAGGTTTACGATAACTCTTGAGTAAAGTTCCGTTTGAAACGAATCGAAACAACCGTCTCTAGATCACCGTCAAGATGTCTACTCCTGTTGCCAGAAAGAGAACTTTCAAGACCTACTCCTACAAGGGTGTGGACTTGGAAAAGATGTTGGAAATGCCAACCGAAGAATTCGTCAAGTTGGCCCCAGCCAGAGTTAGAAGAAGATTCGCCCGCGGTCTTTCCTCCAAGCCAGCTGGTTTGATGAAGAAATTGAGAGCTGCCAAGTTGGCCGCCCCAGAAAACGAGAGACCAACTGTCGTCAAGACCCACTTGAGAAACATGATCATTGTCCCTGAGATGATCGGCTCCGTTGTGGGTGTCTACAACGGTAAGGTGTTCAACCAGGTCGAAGTCAAGCCAGAGATGGTTGGCCACTACTTGGGTGAATTCTCCATCACCTACACCCCAGTCAGACACGGTAGAGCTGGTGCCACCACCTCCCGTTTCATCCCATTGAGATAAGCTAGCAGTGGCTCAGGATTCGGCTATGTACATGCGCATGCATCTCCTCTACGTATTTTTGTAATAAAATCACAGGTAAGCAAACCAAGAGGACCGGGAGCGGGACCGCGGTGAGCGACGGCTGCGGCCGCGGCCGCCGAGCAAGCGAGCAAGCGAGCGGGCAAGTCTTTTGCTCGGGTGAATTTCCAGTCGCGTCACTTTTCGTAACACGCCCAACACCGTTCAAATGCTGATGCCATACGTCTTTGTCGAATATGATATCTGCCCTTTCTTTCATATTTATAACTCTGCGCATCAGCAAAAACCTTGTCTTCGTGCCCACCTTACAAACTCCGTCTTCATTATTTGATTATGAAGTCGGTCTTGAAATTCAGCTTGAACACCACCCAAGCTTCACCCCCCTAACAAAAAGTCGTCTGGGATCAATGCACAATTGGTTTATAATTCACCTTACTTCCGCTATATACTCCTCTGCATCTTCTGCAAATCTTCATACACCTCCGAATCCTTCAATCCATTGAGACTGGGAGCGCCCGGGAACCCATTGAAAAATCTCTTGAGACCTTCCAGGTCACTCAGCTCGTTGTTGAATCTCATTCTGTCCACTATCACTTCTAGTTTATCGACGGGATTATTCTTGAATCGTACCTGGATTCCCTCGCATTGTAAATCTTCGCTTAGGGGATCACCTTCGCGTCTTAATTGCGCCGGAGCGGCGTAGCCAGTTATACAGCTCAAGGTCTTACCATCGATCTTGACAGGGATGTGATAGTTAACGTCAGGAACTATCACGTCCATCTCCCTTCTTTCTTTATTGATGTCGTACCATCTTTGAGTGGTGTTGAGTAACAACTCGTGCTTCACGTCCGAGACCTTCCTTTGGAAATCTTGATGAATAGAACATCTCGTGGCTTGAGTTTCTTTGTCAATACATTCAAGCTCATACCTCTGCCTCTGGTAAGCGCGTCTCAGTTTGAAGTCTCGTACTGAGTCAATTTTTTGGTAATAACTTTGAAGGGCAGGATGAGAACCTTCTAAACACATCTGAATCTCCGTTTGTAGTTTGGCCAATTTACTTTCAAAGAGCTTTTGGCGTAATTCTGCAAACTGGTGCTCAATTTCGGTGATTTCCTTGAGAGCGCTCAAACGAACACTTTCCATTTCCATGGGGGACTGCGGTTCTGGTACATCTGCTGCGGAGTTCTTTTTAGCTACGTGCTTTGCAGCGACGCTTTCCAAGGGCTCGTTGAAGTCACTTTTATCAGGAATCTCATCTTCAACCTCGTCTTCGTCCTCGTCGGCATCGTTGTCCTCATCATTTTCTCCATCTTTGCGAGACTCGAGCGGCGGCGCTCTGGGTTTCTTAAAATTTGAAATTCGATCCGCTTCTTCAAGCGAACGCTTAACACTAGGGGTGTCGATATCTAGTTTCGATGTTTCGGTCGAAACCCCATGTGAAAGCTTTGGTGTCGGCTCAACCGCCGAAGTCAATTCATCTCCCGGAGACTTCGGCAGAGTTGCAGCTGGAGATTCCATTGCGTCTTTTGAAAGAATCTGTAACGACCCATTAACCGGGGACACAACGTTTTCGTAAATGTTGTTGACCTCAGAGTTTTCGGGATTGAGGGGGTCTGATTCAGTGATCTTAGCTTCTGAGCTCAGGCCCTGCCGAAGTGTTAACTCGGGTTTGAGTGATTCGGGCTCCACTCTGTCGCCTAATGCCTGGCTGTGCACATCATTCACCACCGCTTTGTCAACGACATTGCCACCTTCAGAATTCGAAACGCCCAGGTTGTCTGCTCCGGCTCGCGGTAGACCTTCAGAGGTTTCTTCTGACTTAGTGGGTTGAGACTTCAGCTCGGCACCTTCGCGTGCAGCATCTTGAGATTTCTCCAGCATAAGATTTGATTGTTGTGGGAGAGATGACTCCAAGCTTGGGGCAAGCACAGGCGAGAGTTCTGCGGGCAGTACGCTTTCTTCAGAAATAGCGGTTGTTTCATCGTGGGGTGGAGCGATTGAGTTACTCCGGGCTTCACTGTTGGCTACAGGTTGCGTATCGCTTTGTACAGCACCCAAGCTCATCGTATCGGTTGTGCCTTCAACAATGAATGGCTTGTCCTTCAACTCCTGGTCTATTATAGCTTCAGATTCCTGGTCCTTCACTACTGCACCGGGCACGACCCGTGGAGTGTCTGGTTTGGGGCTTTCTTTCATTATATTTTGTATCGAATCCGAAGCTTTCGGACTTTGCAGAGCTGCATCTTCCGTGTGAGAGGCTATTTCGTCGCCCTCTTGAGTTTTCTCACCCTCCCCGTTCGCCTCGAAGTTTTCCAAAGCCAGTTCTCCAGAGTTATCGGACGTGGACTTCCCAGTGCTAGCCAGCTGGCTCAGGACTACATGGCCCGCTGTTTCGTCCTCCATTTTTTCCGTTTCTGCGTCTGAAGACATGCAAAATCCATCCAAGTCGAACTCGACCTGTGCGTTATTACTATTGCTGTCTATCTTACTGAGCTCGCTGACGCTTTCGTTATCGTCGTCGCTTTTCCCTGCTCTGCGCCGGTTTTCTACTTTATCTTCTCTTGCTCCCAATAGCGCCAAATTTTCCTCTGTAAGCAAGCTACCGTCTGTCTGAAGTTAGTGATTGCACAGTTAGACCATAATACTCGGTCATTTCAACTATTCTCGCTTCTTGTAACATACTCTTGGACAAATCCTCTTTTAAACTCATCTATCGCTAGCAAAAGGCCAACCAACAGTCGAGACAATTGAAACTTTCTTGTGCGCTACGCAACTAACACAATCTAAAGTAGTTGGAAACAGGTACTAAGAAATGATTCGAAGATGGTTGATCGCTGTGCTTAGTTTGTGAGAGAAGAAGTTGGATGTTTTTGTCAAGTTGGGTTTCTTGAGCTACTAATACGATAATTGTCAATTACTGGAGATGTATCGAGAGGACACGTGACTAAACTATTGTGAAAAGACGACGTTTGACAGGCGTAATGGCTGGGAAATGGACGGAGATAAATTGTACGTTGAGATACGTAAAAAAATTCACAGTAGGGGTGCTTTTAGGACACTCTTGGAAGTGTGATGAGTGCATCACTATGTACGTAATTGAAACTTGCTAATTCATCGCATTGAGAAAAGACTGGGGTAAAATGTGCAATGATGAGCGTCACAAGAGCTGTTTCATGCTCCCAGCTGCTGCCTCCGATGCTTGTGAATTCCCCAGATTCGTGAATGTTTTGACGTATTATGAGAAATTAAAATAAAACGAATTCGTCAAAGGTGACCAATTCCTTTATCAGCTAATCGCAAGGACTCTGGGCTTACCCAAGGGAAGCTAACCCCATTGTATGTTCAGCAGCTGCAGTTGTGTCTTGTAGGTGGATAAGATTCAAGAAATAAGCTATTTTTCTTTTGGTTTTATGCGCTTCGTTTGAGTGCGAAAAATCGCCTTGTAGAAAGACATCTTGCGAGAATTGTTGTAGGAACGCTGTTTTGAATACTCACGACGACGTCTCATCTTTATTAGAAACGTTGAAGCTGGCTAATTCGTAATTGAAAAACAGCGTTGTATGGTCTTCCTGTGGCGTACTGTATTACGGAAAAAAGTCACCTCGATCGTCTACGTGTGAGCTGAGCAGCAACAAAATACTCTCGTAGAGTCGAATTATAACATGTGTCAAATCCCGAAGTGCCCACTACGCGAAGTCGTGCGTTTGACCAATCAGTTGAGCTTATCACTATTGTCTTAAGCGACATTAGCTCACGTGACTCACACAACCACTTTATCAAAAAGAACAACTGCGCACGCCCTCGCAAGCTCCTTCTTTCACTTCGGGGTAGATCATTCAAATCTACCATATTCCATCTCCCCACGAATATCAAATCTTCATCCCTCGAGCGTGTTCTTTCGAAACAAAAACTCGTAAACGGCCCAATTTTATCACTTTTTCTTCTTCTGTCGTGGTGTCAGAACAGAAATTGAGCACCATAAAAGCTTCAAAAGCAGAAAAGCTCTTACACCATCGTAAAGCCATGCCAGAAAACTCTATCTGAATCGCTGAATATTGAACTCAATCTGTAACTCCAAAAGGGCATGGCGCCCGGTGGCTTAATTCTACCAGACAATTTGTATTGGAAAATCATGGAAAAGCGTTCAAAAAATTTCAGGTAAAAACCAAAAAATAGCCCTTCTCATATGGCAGATCATCGAACTGAACAACACGCCATCTCGATCTCAACAATTGCGGACCAATCGCTTTCATCAAACAGGTTTAAAGTATATTTCACGTGAGACCTGTCCATCTCAGTATTTTTCAGTGACGGCCCAGTACTGAAAAATTTAGTCAACTTGATCTTTAACTAGCTCATCGCATGTCAAAGTTGTGAATTAAACGTACCGATATACATAAGAATGGCTTCAATTGACAAGCTTTTTGGATCGGCCGGTGGCCAGAAACTGGTCAGTGGTTTGAGTAAGCTTTTTGGTGGCTCTTCTGGACCTCTAGACGCCTTGAAAGTCAAGCAGAAAAGTAGAACAGTACTTCCAGAGGCTAAACGTAAAACAGATGCCAGCACCGCCGAAAAGAGCTCGGAAAACGAGTCCCAAAACCAGCCTGAAAGTGATACTACCGGGAAAAGACCTTTGGAAGGCGTAACAGAAGTCGAAGTGGAGGAGGATTCCAAGAAAAAGAAGGTTTCCAAAAGACAAAAACGCAAGCTGACCAAAGACGCTGAGAACACAGATTTGGAGTCTAAGTACTACTCGAATCTATTGCTAAAGGAGGAGAAAAGTGAGCAGAAAGAAGAAGCGGACGACGCTGATGATGTCTCGAAAGAGGAAACTGCCGACGTTGCAGAGACCGCTGTCGATCTCAAGCCAGAGGCCAAAGTGGCTTCGAAAAAGGATTTCAAAGAAGCTGAGCTAGAAAAGGCAGAGAGAACGGTTTTCGTCGGAAACGCCCCCAAGGACCTGGTAACTTCCAAAACTTTGAACAAGAAATTCAAGAAACTTTTCGCAGTTGCCAAAGAAACTAAAAACGAGGGCGACAGTAACAGTGACAGCGAGGAACAGGGGTCTGACGAAAATGCAGTTTTCAAAATCGAAAGCATCCGTTTCAGATCGATCTCGTTCGAGGAGGCTCTTCCCCGTAAAGTGGCCTTCGTTCAGCAGAAATTGCACAAATCTAGAGACTCTGTGAACGCTTACGTTGTTTACGCTGACAGAGCCGCTGTCAAGGTTGCTTGTAAATCGTTGAATGGCCAACTTTTCGAGGGCCACCATCTTAGAGTCGACTCCGTGGCACACCCTACGCAACATGACAACAAGCGTTCGGTGTTTGTCGGAAATTTAGATTTCGAAGAGACCGAGGAAAACTTATGGAAACAGTTTGAAAAAACTGGCGACATCGAGTACGTGCGTGTGGTGAGAGACCCTAAGACAAACTTGGGGAAGGGTTTCGCTTATGTTCAATTTGCGGATTTCCAAACCGTGAGCAAAGCTTTGTTGTTGGACGGAAAGAAGCTAAACGGCACCGGACGTAAGCTGCGTGTCACCAGATGCAAAAACATGAAGAAGGCACAACCTACATCTCAAAATGGGCGCAGCAAAGAGCTTACAGATCAACAGAGAACCAAGCTTGGGAGAGCCAAAAAGGTACTTGGTAAAGCTGACAGATCTACCGCAGGAAAGGAAATTACAATTGAAGGTCTAAGAGCCACGAAAGGTGCTACGACGCCAATATTGAAAAAGAAGAAACAGAGATCCAAGACCGGAAGGGTGACCAAGCGTTCTACGGCATTCAAGAAGGCCAATCAACCCAAATAAGGACCAAGCGCCGCGTGTTTGCCGGCTTGACAAATATGTAACATAGTCCACCGTGATTGTACAATAGGCAGAAATTTAATACTGGGAGATCCTCGTCCCGAGAAGGTTTTTGAATGTGGCCCAAGGCCAAGCAGGGCAGGTTGAGCATTGAAGTCAGATTGTTACGTAGTCCATAGTAGTGACGCATTAGTACAAGATGATGTGTTGTGAAGACCAACAATTGTGGTTACTTCATCCAACGGCGTGTTTATCTGGAAGTCTATTCGAGAGTCCATCTGAGAGAAGTCAAATTTACTCTGACTTGAACTCTGGAGTACTTTGTAGAGGACCTCTTTTATGCCAAAACTGCCAATGTCATGAATAATAAAATAACTTTGAATTCCAATTCAATAGATGGGAAGGAGTAAAATAAGTCAGTCTTAACCCAACCTCATCGACACTCACAGGTATAATAACTATGATACAACGGCATAAAGCTTACATACCGCTAAAAACGACTCTTATTTTGGTTAAAATATTCCGCAAAATCGAGGACCGTCTTTCTTGTTTAGACGTCAATTCAGGTGTTTTTCATTTGCATCCCAAAGCTGTATTATACCTGCTTATCAGGGAATGATTTCCCTTTATTCCAGAGTCATCGTGAGCCATTTCACTTAGGTTTGCCTACTCAGGAGTTTTTATTTTAGTTTGACGGTGAGAGCTCGGATACTTCTCGAAAGTAGTATCAAAATGATAACAATAACCTGTCAAACGCGAATAAAATACTCTTGGTCAATTCCATGAACGTTTTGATACGACTGTCCGCTTAAAACAGAACGATGATCATCTTCCTTCAAGAACACGTGAGACTCGTTAAGAATCGCTGTCGCTTCCTATTGATTAGTCCAAGTTAACTGAAAGTGGACATTGACAAAACTACACCGCCAGTGACGTCCGCTAAGCTCTCCAGAGCCAATATGGAGCTTCTCAAAGTATCTTATGGGATTGAAAAATTACAAGACATAGTAGAAGAGCGAAGTCGGCTTGTCAAAGCCCTAAATATGAGTCCTTCGATCAACGACACGATAAGTTTGAAGAAACAGCTCAACGCCACGCTAGATTCGCTTAAAGAGGCCGAAAGTTGCATTTCAGACAGTGAAGAAGCAGGATTTAACAGTTTGGCAGCCAAGTATAACTCGGTCGTGGCCCAAATTCCGGATGAAGCAGTGGAAAAGGGTCTTTACACTTTCTCTAAAAGGGTCAAAGCCAACAAGAAATCCAGCACGTTTAGCACAGCAGAGTCCAAGAAAGTACGCTTCAAGGACAATTTAGCAGAGTTTCAGGAGCATCCAAGCGTTGCCGAGACTCAGTTTGCCCCTTTCACGGATGACGTTCAACCTGAGGACCAAGAAAGAGATCGTCTATTTGGTGAGAGTAGTGTAAATGAAGCGAACAATCAACCTTATTCAATTGCACCGCAGCTTTCGAACCAGGACATTTTCATCCAGCAGCAGCAACAGTTGCTGGAACAGGATTCGCACTTAGAATCCCTTTCGCATTCCGTCCACAGGGGGCATGAACTGTCGCTGGATATTCACCATGAAATGACCGACCAAAATGATAGCGTACTGCGAGACCTGGAGAGTCTGGTGGACAGCAGTGGCAGAAACCTTGACCGTGCGAAAAATAGACTGCAAGTATACGAAAAAACGGCCCGAGAAAACGGCCCTTGTCTCATCATCGTATTGCTGGTGATGATCCTAGTGCTGCTTTTGGTGGCTCTGTGACCGTGCTGGCACTGGTCCAAGCGACAGCAGTCTCGCAAATTCAATATAGCGGAAAAGCTAAAACTACAAAAACCAACTCGATAAAAAACTATACACTTACTTGCCGGCGATTCTATGATAACCGCGACCCTGTGGTACCCATGTCTTTTAAGACCTTGTGCCAAATGCTTTAAACCCAAAATGTCGTGCTGGCCGTCGCGGGGAGCCACGCCCACCGTGACACCTGTACCATGCGCGTTGTACGTTGCACGTCTTTTACCAGTTTCTGATCCCCTTGATGGCGTTCACGTCCTGCTGCGGCGAATACACCTGGAATCCAGAGTTGTTCAGATACGGATTGTGATGCTGGTGTTGCTGGTGCTGATGATGTCTCTGTTGTTTCTGGTGTTGTTGTTGCTGCTGCTGGACCGCTGCCAGAAGCTGATTCTGGTAGTATTGTTGTCCTGTGAAACGTCTGGTTCCGTCCAAAGAAGTTTTACCAGCGTCCGATTTGGGCACCATGGACAAATTTGACTTGAGAACCGCACGCAAATTTACCGGTGAAGCAAACTCCCTTCCGCTCGCAGTATTCAAATTGGGACCTGCTAGAAGTTTCACCTCTGGAAAGAAGAACTCGTCATCCATAAACGTTTTTTTCAGATTTAGTCTGATTCTGGCATCTCTGGTAACTGTCTCTTCGTGCTGCTGTTGCTGCTGCTGCTGCTGTTGTTGCAATCTTGCCACGGCGGTCTGTGTCATGTCTGAGAATTATAAACCAAGTCTTGAATGTGTGTTGATGTGCCGATCTTCGAGTGGTAAGAGTTGTCGATGAGCTAGATGTGTCTTGATCGAAGTTACAATATCTAGGCATTTTGTCACTGCTCGACAAAACACGTGACCTGAAGTCCAAGAAATGACTAAAAGTTGTCAAAGATTGCAAGGCAGAACAGTCGGTGTAGCTGTTGTTACTGGGAAACTTTATATGCTCAAGTGTAGAGTGTGTGTGAGTCTTGTGCTATCTCGAAATGCATTTTTTTAATGTCTTTTCTTAGTTGTTCAATTTTTGAATTAAAATCGGATCTTGAAATTTAATGAATCCGAGCAGGCTGGCAGTGTCAACAAATGAAATAGCTAAGTCTACAAGACGCCGCGGTTTACAGTTGTGTCTTATTTTACATATATGCTGCTTTCTAGTCCTTCAAGAATTTTAGGCCTGAATATCTGTGGGTCTTTCACAGTAAACACGCCTCGCAGAGTCCTCTTTAACAACTCAAAGACCCAATTGAAGGTCAAAAATGCAAGTTGAATCATGTAGCGTAACGAGCGCGCATTCCGCTTCTGTTGCTAGCCCCGCGTGGCCAGCATTTCCATGCAGACTCGCAATATCGTGAGATAAAGAAAAAAAAATCAACGTTTTCATGCTAAGGTATTCCTTTAGACCTCATATCGTCCCCATATTGCCCGCAACGCGTCATTGTTGGCAAACCTTAGGTTTTCAGGTGTCATTGGAATACAGTCCTTTCATCAAGTGTCGCGTAAGTACAGAGTGATCAGAAGCAAAAGGTTTTCGAGATGCCGTGTACCTAGGCGAGTGTTAGCGTTATTTCTCAACTACTCAATCCAGTAGTTCCAGTTCCGTCAGAACTGGTATGTGGTCACTTGGGTGACCTTTATTTGGTAGTCCAAATTCTTTCATTTGTCGCAGCTCCTGCGAAACTTCTGCACCGCTCAAGATGCGCTTAAGCCTAAAATCGCTGTCATGGTACCAGATGTAGTCGAAAATTCCCTTCAACTTTCCAGAGTAGCAGGTATGCTCGAAGAGCTCCGCAGACGTGTCTTGGTAAATGTAGTGGTTCAAATAGGGCCGGAGCGGGTTAATAAGACTGAGATCGGACCGATGCACGCTCTCGCCTTTCAGAAATTTCACGACGGGCGAGTCCGGGCTCGAGTTCAGGTCTCCTGCAAACAGAATTTTGACACGCGAGTACGTCGCACCGTCTCTACCGACCAACAATTGCTTAATGACTCGGTGCAGCTTGCGCATAATCGTGAGGCACTGGCACAATTTAACCTCGTCGTACTTCCAGTACAAATGTGTATTGATGACCACGAACAGTGTTCGAGTTTCTCTATGCATGAGCGACACAAACAGGCTCACTTGGTTTCGGCCATGCAGCACGTTCAAAAGACTGTCTTTGGCGATGGGTTCGCCAGCACCGTTTGTCAGCGTGATGATGGTGCTTTTGAGATAGTTGAGCTCGTTGATGTTAAAAAGTCCGATCAGATCGTTCAAGTAAATACTGTTGGTCGAAATATGCTGAAACTTGTCGAGGTTGTAGAAAATCCCAACCCCGTCCATTTCATCGCTGGTCCTCTTCCAATACGCCGGGGGAGTTTTTGCAATGTAGCTGCTGCCGTAGTTCATTTTCTCCTTGCAGTGCGTTTTCCAAAACCCTTTGTAGTCCTTCTGCGTCATTTCCTGTAAGCACATAATGTCTGCTCGGTACAGACTCAGTATCTCGCGTTCCAACAGCCGATGCCGGTAAGACCAATCCTTGTATTGTTCTGGCACATATGTGTAAACTTGCGGCCACATATAGTACGGCGACAGCATGTTATAGGTTAGAAGCGTAATTGAGGCTTTACTAACCGGGAGAGAAGCCTTTTCCAGCAGCGTGTTGCCCACGGGTAGCAGTTTTCTCGTAAACATGTTGTCTTGTGCTAAAAGTGGGTTAAAAAGGCCCCAAAAAAGCGCCAGTAGGAGTAAGGGGGGCCAATCGAGGCTGTTTTTTAACGATTCTGGCGTCAAAATGAGCTCCAAGCGACGGTAAGGGCACCTTTGCGTATGTAGGGTCCTCAAATGTACTGAAGATGACTTCAGCCGTATCTGAAGTACGGGACGGACTTAATATCAATTAAAGGTCACGTGAACCAATCTCTTCAGTAACGTTTACCCATCGTTCAAGCTCCTGATTGTGCTGGATTAACGACATTCTAGCGTATGCGTCAAATAACTTAAAATCTGAGTTTGATTTCATTGTATGCTTTCCTGTTCAATTCGTGCTGTTTAAAGCGTTTAAAAAATTATTTAAATATGACTACAGGCTGTTTGAAGCTTCTACTGGTGGTAGTTAGGACATTAATATTGACGTTTGGTGGTTATTTGTTAAGCCGGGAGGGGAAAGTGTTGAAAGTTTGGAGATTCTCGATGAGATTTGCACTCTTTTATTTTTTTTTTTCTAAAATAACCGTTATTGTCCTGGAGAAATGCTATTGAAGCGGGCTCTGACACAGCACCGGACCTTGGTTACTGAGCACTTTATTGCCGTGAAAAAAAATCCGATATGAGAGTCCTTGCAGTTTTATTGATTTGTAACATTCTATTGGTTCATGGTTCGTCTTCTAATCCTCAATAGAAATTCTCGAATGCGATTTACATTAATTTGTACCTCTTGGTGCATACAGAATTTTATCTCTTGTGCAGATGAATTTGCTGAGTCTCTGTGGTATTAGAGATGAATATAATTTGTCTGGAAGGAGCTCATTTCAGAGCAGTCGGACCGCTATCAACTGCTTCTGCGGAGTGCGGCAAAGCCAGCAATATCTTCTCCAGGACAAAAAATCGATAAAGAGACACCCAGCCATAATTGAGTAGCAAATGATATTTATTGAGTCCACTTAAACTTGTTTTTTCCCCGGCTGGTAGGCTTTGACAGATTTCTTCTTACACTTTTCATTTTGTTGAATAAAAAGTGCAAACGTCTTAGTGACGCTTAGGAAAGAATCCTAACTAAAAAACGCGGGATTGATCAATACCAGAAAACCAAAAAAAAAAAAATAGGTCATAAGGTGGGTGTAGCAAACCATATTTGAACTCTCTCGTTTTCATTATTTTAAATGACACATTTTCACTGTCGTTGTGCGCATATAATATAGATAAAAGAATAAAGGAACATTGAACATAGCAATTATTATCGACTTCACCTCCTCAACTCATGCACAAGACTCTCTCTAAGTGAATTACCCCGGCTACCCAAACAGACTGTTAAATATCCATGCTCACACAGCTGTTGCGAGTATCACCAAAAATGACAGAATAGTATAAAGTGACATGAGAGTAATATTGGCTATAGACAAATAATGGAGCTCAACAACGTCAGAGAAACGGCATCTTCAAACATTGTTGTTGGGCCCAAAACGTCGGATTTGCTTGGAATAGAAGAGTTTCGATACTCTCAAGTATAGTCCTCATTGTAAAACTAGAATTTTGCTAAACCATAGCGGCCTTCAAAACCATCAATTCGCTTTCAATACCGCTCCAAATAAGGATCGAAAACGCTGAAATCCAATAACTCCGAAATAACTAATAATTACAAGAGCTAGCGTCTTGAGATTTCAGAATATTTCAAGGTTTATTTCATCAAACACTGACCGCATTTGTTGTATTGTTGGCCCGCCAAAAATCAAGCTTATACATCAAATCTACTGGCTTCTAAACTATGCGAACTAGAGGATCCAAACGTAAACACATCGAGATAGAGATCGAAGATGGAGAAAAATCCAAATACTTTAAGAAAGAAGAAGAGATCAAGCTGGAAGCTTTGGAATCGGTTCGAGGTCCTCCCGAGAGAGAAAGCATAGACGTAGAAATGGTGAAAAAAATGGGCCCTGACACTTACTATGACTGGGTCGATGCGAGGACGAAAGACGAAATCACATATAAACCTCTGGAAGACAAACCGCATTATCCTCGTAATTTTTTGTCCATATACCAAAAAGTGAGAATAATGAGATCCAAGATCGCTACTCCGGTCGACTCTGTGGGGTGTGCCATGATTCCTCTGACTGTGGGAAAGGAATTTGGGGAATCAAAGGAAACGATGCTACCACGAACTTACCGCTTTCAACTTCTTATCGCACTTATGCTTTCTTCACAGACTAAGGACGAGGTTAACGCTAAGGCCATGTTCAATCTCAAAGAATACTGCAAGGAAGATCTGAAAAACCCTGAGGGAGTTACTCTGGAATCCATGTCCTGCATCGATCAGGACACGCTCGCACAGCTCATATATCCCGTAAGTTTCTACACAAGAAAGGCACTTTACATCAAAAAGACTGTCAAGCTACTCAATGAGAATTTTGACGGTGACATGCCGCCTGATATTGTGGGGCTGTGTTCTTTACCAGGTGTGGGCCCTAAAATGGGCTACTTAGCCCTTCAGAAAGCATGGGGCAAGGTAGACGGCATTGGTGTCGACGTTCACGTCGATAGACTTTGTAAGATGTGGCAGTGGGTGGACCCGCATAAGGCAAAAACTCCGGACCATACACGCAAACTTCTGGAGGAGTGGCTCCCGTATAATCTCTGGTACGAGATCAATCCTGTCCTCGTTGGATTTGGCCAAGTAATATGTTTGCCAAGGGGAAAAAGATGTGATTTATGCATGGCCAACGACGTCTGCAACGCTGTAGATCGCAAGCTTGTCAAATCAGCAAAAAATCGAAACGAACTGCGCAAGAGTCGTGGAAATGTTGCAGAATGGATCCAATACCTTGAGGAAACCACTAAAGCTCGAGAAACAATCAAGCCCGATGGCGACGTAAAACTTGTCATGGAGGCAAAGGAAGAAAATGCACCATAAAGGGAAGATCACAACTAGCATTTGGTATTTGTGAAGCGTCCCAAGCCAAAGAAAAAAGTTCAAAGCGGCGGCAGAGCCATCCGCTTGTCAATTGAATCCTTACTTATGTCCAAACATAATGGTTTTGGGCTTCCATTAAACTTGTACGTAAATCTAAAATTATGCGTTAACGTAATAACCCCAGCCAATCATTCTTGGCTCATGCTAGAAGAGCCTCACACTTTTTTAGACTCTCGGTGGCATAGAACCTGACATCGATGTCATCGTCTTGGCAAAGTTTTTCCAGAGAGTCGATCACCGTCCTTTTGATCAAATCTTTGTTCTTACTTTTGTTTGTGCAAAGACTTTGAACCACCGTGACATAAGATTTGGCGACATTAAATCTTATGTTGGGAACGGCATCTTCAGTCAAATGATTTATGAATGGTAGAATTTTTTGAGTAGTTACGTCGTTCGAGACAACTTGGACCAGTTCAGTTAATGCATGTAGTAATGTGATTCTGTAAACGAAATTCTCCAGTAGTTGTGAGTCGGACTTCAGTAGACGGGAAATAATCTTCTCACTGGACCAGTCAGAACCGAAAATTTCGGTCAAGTTTTTTAAATTAACAACGGCAGCGCTCCTTATGGAGTAGACGGTGTCCCATAACCATGATAGGCAAAGATCGCCCAGTTGCTTGTCAAAAAATTCAACTCCCAACTGCTCCGCAAGTAGCGGAATGTAGTCAATAATGGCCATTCTCACTCTCCAGTTGGCGTCCTTAGCAAGCTCCGTGATTGCTGGTAGCAAGTTTTCGGAGAGCAAATCTATTCCTACAACTTCATTGACCACCTTTAACTTAGCAATGATGTTCAGACGAACATCGGGGTATTCGTCTTTCAACATGTTGAGTAAGATTGGGACTAAGCTGTCAATAGCGTCTTGTTTGGGGACCAATGGTGCTAAATTAGTAATTTCTGAGGCCAGTGACGCTCTTACCATTTCACTTTCGTCCATGCTCAAATTCTGCACTGCTGGCAACACTTTCTTTAAAACAACTTGGGGGTCCCCGAGAAGTTTAGCAAATCCCGGTAGCTGCTTGGCAACTCCTTTCCGAACGTCACTTTCATTATCTTCACAAAGTGCTAAAAAGGGGCCCGAAAGCTCTTCGATGTATTGAGGGGTGGATTTGAATTGAAATGCTAGCTCTTCGAAACGTTCTGCAGCCATGTAACGAACTCTCCAGGCTTCATCGCCAATGAGTTGGATTGCTGACCGTAGCAGGTCCTTGGAATGGGTTGTATCCTGTTTTTTGCTGAAAAACTTCAAAATAGAAATCAGGACGTCGACCGCAAGAAATTTCACCGAATCTTGACCGTCGGTCATAATTTTCTGGAACATGTTAGAAATGTAGTCCCAGTCATCGGATGTGGACAAGTCTGGATTTTGAGTGAGCAGATCTATCAATACGGGCAAGTTTTTCCCGGCTGCACGTCTAACCATAGGAGTTTCGTCCTGAACCAGTTGAAGATATAACGCCAAAAGCTCTTTTCTGAACTTGTCGTCCTTGACTCTCACCAAAACTGCTCTGAACAAACCACAAGAAGAAACTTTGGACGAGAACCAATCGGCTGTGGCTAGATGCTCGATTAGCGGGATGAAATCGTGGAACAATTGATCTTCCGAAAGTTCCTGCGCCACGTTATTGAGCGACTCCACCGCTTTCTCCCGCACCAAAGTTTCTTCGGTGGAAGCAAGGATCTCTAGTGCGGGCAGCAGTAACGTCGCGAACTTGGAACCTCCAATAAATGGCACAAATTTCCCCAGTTGTTCGGCCAAAACGGCAAAAACCTCGTCTTCGTCGTCCTGGGCAACCTCACTCAAAAACGGAACCAGTTCGTCTCGGGTTCTTTGCGGACCCAGAGCCAATGCAATTGTGTCTAGTTTTTTCATGGCTTCCACGCGGTTCCCGATGTCGTCATGTTTTAACTCATCCATCAAAAGCGCCAAAGGATACAGATCGTCGCCGTCTTGTGCTCCGTTGACGCCAGTCTCTCCATGCTCGGTGGTGGCGACGTTCTTGTTACTGGCAACTCCGGGTTCGTCCATGTTGTTTTTATTGTTACGGCTCATAAAACCACGAAAAATTGGTCAAAATTCTCCCTTAAAATTACAGTAATAAGCAGCTAAGCTGAACAGTCGTTAAAAAGGTAATTTGGCTATCTCAAAGGCCGGTTTATAGGTTATTTAACAAACAATTCCTTGTTGGATAGACCTGGCAGCTACCTTGAAGTTTTCACTGAGTTCCAAAATTTAAAGGGGAGCGATATTTTGATGAAAAACGATCTAAATCAGGGTAATACTTTTGAAACTTTGTCATGGGTTCGAACCTTGGATGAGACATGAATATTGATTTTAAGCGGTGCGGAAGTTAGATGCTCAACAGGAGATTCAGGAGTGCCATCAAGCGCTTGGACAGAGCTGGAGTTTTTTGGGCAAGCTGTACGAGCGTTTGTGATTTTTTGAGCGCGAAAAAAAGAGCCAGAATGATAACGGGTGCGACGTTTTTGTTCAACACAAACTGTTGCACCTTCACCAAATGGCCTTTGAGGTGTGTCAATCGAGAAAAGGAGATCAATTGCGTCTGTGATTTGCGGGGAGTTTCAAAATCAGTGCTTGTATGTGAAAGCGGATCTTTTGGGTGTTTCGTATGCATTTTGTCCGCATCCTTTTGCGAAACACTTTTGGACTTGTGTCGGCTAGATTGGGTCGTGGTGCGCACCTGAATAGTCTTCTTTTTCTCTATTGCATTGTTGAGCTCTTGAACTATGCAGGTATCCAGCGTCGCGCCCGACCCTGTTAGTTCCACATTTTGTTGCAAGACAATTCGAAGTTTTGGCATTTCTTCGTATAAACCTGCAAACAAAGCCTTGGGATCCCGATTATGCAGCCCACGCACTTGAATAGTTACGAGGTAAAATATGACGAGGTCTCGGAGCTGTCGCGCTTCTTGACCACCCTCCACGAGCGAAATGACTTCATTTATGCTATTTTTGGTGAGAACGGACAAGCGTTCCATCGACGAGGTTGCATTGTCCAGTTCTGCGACTTTGAAGTAGCACTTAGATTGTGCTAACAGACCCGCTATGCGCTCATTAAGAGGTTCACGGGCCAGCATTTCTTCAAATGCAGAATACTCGACATCTGCAAAAGTAGCACGGACGGCTCTCATCACGCTGGTCCCAAGAAGTTGGAAATCTACCTCCTGGCAAGCACTCACAAAAAGTTTCCACACTCGATGATCGGTACGCAAAAGCTCTGCATTCAGGAGCCCGTTCGCCAGCATGCACTGCACACACTGCTTATGGTCTCCCTTCGCGAACTCACTCAAACATGCGAGATATTTCTCTGATACCAGATCAGATAGTGGTTCACGAGCTCTTGGTTCAAAGGTCTTGTCCTTGAGTAGTTCCTCTATAGTCGTCCGATTAGCACTCGTGCACTTTGGTTCCACCATTATATAGGGCTGTAAAGGGCGAGTGGCAGCTTTTTTAGAGTCAGCTTGGCCACAACTATAACGCACCTTTTGGAGTTGATCGAAACAGTAGTTTAAACTGCGAGAACGGTCAGTGTTTTGGCGCCCTGTCTTATTTTCATTATGAGAACATCGATCAAGTGTTCTTACAACTATGTCATTTTACATTTTGAAGCCTAATTTAGAGGCTAAACTGACACCCGAAGAAAGATATCCAAACTCCTCGCATTATAACTTCTAAATGTCAACTAATTACTTCTAATGTGCGAATGTAATCGGCTCCAGAGCTCTTTGCCTAGCGTCTTCCCAGAAAAAGCCCGGTGTCATATTTCAAGCCATTTGTCGTTGCAAATCTCCTCGATGGAGGGCCTCTTGCCAACTGATCTATTAAGAATCTTCCGAATCAGACTGACACAATCGTCACTTACCCTTCGACTGGGGTTTATTCTCAAGTCCGAGTCCAAAATCTCGTCAATATTATAGAACGGATTCTCTTTGAAAATAATGGTGTAGAGTAAAATACCAATAGCCCAGATATCTTGAGGCTTGCCTTCATAAGGTTCTCCTCCCAAGACTTCTGGTGCCGCATAGTCAATGGTTCCTACGAACACGTCAAAGGGACCGCTCTTGATGTAAGCAGCTGATCCAAAATCCACAATTTTCACGAAACCGTTACTTTCAACAATGACGTTTTCGTCCTTAATATCCCGATGCACAATCCCGTTATCGTGCAAATGCTTGATGCCAGAAACGATCTGTTTGAAAATCAGTCTCGCTTCATGTTCCGTCATGTCTGTCTTCAGTTCGATCAGATCGAACAAATCAATAGAGCCACTCAGTCCATGAACCGGTGTTTCAATGTAGTAGTAGTCGTCGTCCTCGAAAAAGTCCAGTAGTTTCAAAATGTTCTCGTGCGGTTTGGCATTGAGCGTAGCCATTATCTGAATTTCAGAGGGTATTGTTCCCAACTTCCGGTCCCGGACCCATGTGTCAACCAGAATCCTTTCTTTGAAAATCAACTTGATCACCACGATATACCCGTCTTTCTTATGCATGCACAAATCCACTTTACCATATGCGCCCTCCCCCATTTTTTGCAATACTGCAAAGTCCGAAAACTTCTTGACATGTTTGAGACTTCCTATATTAGTCGCCGGCTCCGTGACAAATGTCTGTGTAGAGCCTACACCACGGCCCTCAGCAATCTCTTCCTTCATGAACATTTCCCCAACCTTCTCACCACCCTCGGTCGAGTTAGCTGTCAAAGATAAAATGAGATCCTCATTCAATCTGAAATTGTTGTCTTTAAAAAATAGCGTTTTATCCTGACCATAACTTTTCGTAATATCGAGTTTGACCTGGATTTCGTCGTTCAATTTCTTCAGTTCTAATTTACTCCCGCTATCATGGCTCGATTCATCAGTAGGTGTGTCAGGGGATTCTGCAACGCTTCCTTCCGACTGGTAACTGGCGTTCTCGAAGGAGCCGACAGTACTACCGTCCAGCTTGAGACTGTCTTTAAGGGAAGGCAGCTCATCGACATGAGGTCTCCCACTAGGTGTTTTTAAAGAGCCTCGGGAAGTTGAACCACTACCTACAAGTGCTAGCTCGCTTTCCTTAAGCATAGGCAGTTGTGATGGGGTAGTTTTATAGTTCTCGAACACGACATCTCTGGAATGGGTAATCCACAGCAAAGACGTCGTTTGGTTTATCACTCGTAACTGAATATCAACTTTCAGGACACAGCCATCCCTGTGAACAGCGTCGATTCCAATGGAATTGAAATAGCTTTCCTCCTTGTGATTCATCTCAGCTTGAATTTTCCTAAAAAAGTGCTCAGTGAGGACCAGACCCCTGTTTTTGGGCAGAAGGATATCTAACCGGGGATACTTCAGCTTGATAAAGTTTATCATGTTACTGAAAGAGGGAATGATGGTAGACATCTTTTTTCCTACCAACTCAGAAGCGTGGAGTCCGAACATATTTTTGGCAACTGATTTATTGAAACTCACCAAACAGAATTCCTTTGAGTTGATAAAAAAGATACCAGCCTGGTAAGGTAAGCTATGAATCTTGAGCTTGATTTCATTTTCCAGAATGGATGAAGATATTGCGCAAGGTATATTCGAAGAAAGGTGGTTGAGTGTAAAATAACGGACTTCATTTATAGCGTTCGAAACTTTTATCGGAGTTGGCAAAAGATCACCATCATTGACTGGTATTGCTCCATTTTCGACACCAGTTAATAGTTTTTTAAGCGAATGGCTCAAGTCGTCGATATCATGTATTTCATTAGGGAATTTGACACTTTTCTTTGAACCCTTTTCCCCGGCTTCATTTCTTTGTTCACTGTTGCCTGTATTTTGTTTCGAACCTTTTAAGCCAGCACCACCTGCAATGTGGTCAACAGAGAAATCATCTAAATTCAAAAGCACATCCATGAAATCACAGGGAACCTTCTCGAAAACACAAAAGATTAAACCGTTTCGTCTTTTTGCCCAAACGGATGACCACACCAGGTCAGAGGACGACTCACCTGGCTGTATGATGGCTACAATTTCTCCCGTGAAAACTTGCTCGTGGTTATCAGTGGACATAATTTTGTTCAGCACGAAGTTTCGGCTATCACTGTGAATAAGATCAAGTAACGTCAGAGCACGCAGCGCATTTTGAGATATTCCAAATGTCAGACAGGCAAGATCGTTCGCGGATTTGAACTGCCACGGGTACTGCTCTAAGCAGGTGAAGATTGCCTGGGGTGAGGAGTTTTTGCTAGAGAAAGAAGTGTGAATGAGCCTGGTGCTTACTGATGTGCTCCTCATATTGGAGAAAGAATTATCATCGATAGAGGAAGTATCCACATCTAAGTCCAAGATTTTTTCCGCTTCCACTGCATACTCTGAAGCATTTGAATTTTCGAAAAAGGGCTGCGCTAAGCTTTCCAGTAAATTTCTTTTAAGAGTGTCCTCGTGTTTTAGACTACGCTCACCAGAATCTTGGTCGCTCTTGTCCTCTTGCTCCACATCCAGGGAGAGTTTGCTGAAGTTCAAAAGAGATATCATGTGAAGGTCTGAGGCCTTCTCTGCACCATTGTTTTCTAACGCATCATTAAGCAGCGCAAGCAAACTCTTTAGTTCGTTTTTAGCTTCGAGAAATTCGTTGCTTTCATGGCATTCTTTCTCGCTTGGTGTCTCACCATCTCCGCGATCAAGTTGAGAGGCAGAGTCTATAGAAAATTTCTCTGGCTGTGGATGCGGGAGTTGATCATGCTTTGGTAGTACTTTTTTGTAAGCAGTGGAGGGTCTGGAGCCCAGTGCCGAGGGTTGAAATGGTCCAGAGCGTCTGCCAGGTGATTGACGGGTTGCGAGAGAGCCTTTTGCGTTGGACACGAGGGCCGTAAGAGCAGCAGAAGAAGCGTTTCTCAGTCTCGAGGCAGAGAGTGGTTTCGCTCCATCCTGACTGTAGCTCCTCGGTATACTGGGTCGCTCGGGTAGCTTTATGCTATTGGGGTTAATCCAGTCGAAGTCCTGGCGACTGCCATTAGGTGTCCCGACCTGAGAACTATGATTAGAATGGTGTTCCAGCAGCAAGCCAGGGTTGCGGATCATGATTTCCAAGGACCGCTTTAAGATTCGCAGTCTTACCGCTAGTGAGTTTGGCGACAGGGGATTGTACGAATAGGCATGTGTAGACTCGTTAGGAAATGTCAATAGCTCTTTAAAGTCTATCTCGCTGTTGGAAAGTGAGCTTGAAGTTTCTGGCTGCGGGCTGGGAGCTCCACCGTGAGCTGAAACTGATTCTGGAGTTACAGTCGCTTCGCCACGTTCAACTGTTGCCGAGTTTTCTGGTCGAGGAACAGGATTTATCTCTAAAACCTCTCGAGACGGGCTGGAAGAGTCATCTTTTAGCTTATTGTCTCTGCTTGGTTTGCTCATCGATAGCTTTTCCTTAAAAGCTTCAAACCGGTGTTTGTTGTGGGGCGCACCCACGTACGGCATATGAAGCTAGCCGGAAAAACGGTTTGGTAAATATATGAGACACTTGGCCCAACAAACTGTATGATAAAAGGGCTTTGGCCTGGGCAGCTGTGGGCAGCTATGGGCAGCTATAGTTCCTTAATCAAATATCGAAACTTCTATGAGACCTGCTATAATCAAAATTTGAGCAAAATCCAAAGCGTTAAAAAGCTGATACAAACAGTTCTTTTATTGCAAGGCTTCACGATTCGTGTTGATGCTCTGGAGAACCAGACTCGTGCCTTTTCAGCAGTTGTTGATATTCATGATTCATGTCTTTTAAGAGAGATCAAAAACATGGATGAAGTTTTCGTCAACGGGGAACGCGACAGATAGGAATAAAATGATAAAGTGACGAAGAGGGAGGGCTTCGAGATCGAACGGGACACAACTGCAACTGGTGATTGAGCTGGAGTTTGGATTGATGATGTGTGGTTTTTTTGGTGTCTTCGGTTTCTTTGAAGAAAGCAAGGGCTTTTCGTTGACCATTAGAGTGATACATAAATTAGTGGTGGAATGTTAGCGTGTGGAGGACATCGATGTAAAGAATAGAAGAGGGATACGCGACAATTGAATACGTGGGGTACAAGAATTGCCTGTATGTCGTTTTTGGTCCGAGTATCAGTGTGAATAAAAAGGTTTACGAGTGATGCAGTTTTATAGGCAAGTGATGAGCATCTTTTACATGGGTTGGACGGCTGATGGCCACAATGTGTGGGGGTCCACGTTGTGGGGAATTCTGGGTTTAGAAAGAATCATACCCAAACCAGCAAGCCACACGAGAGTTGTGGATATCGAAGTGGAGAAATATACTTTCGATTATGCGCCCGTTCAAGCAAGCACAAATTTAAAAGGTTAACCACAAAGTTTTGGTAAGACAGTTCCTGCGGCTTCACACTCTACAACGACGAATAAAAAATGCTTTATGAGATCAAGTTCACGCAAGATGTCGTTATGAATATGGTTTTTTCGTAGTGTCTGCGCTGAATGGAGACCAACGTTCAACTGTGATTTGCCGACTCTCCAATTTTGTTTTCTACGAAAGCCCTGAATTGCCTTGTACTATTTCGTCGTCGTCCATTTCGCTGTTGCGTTGCAGCTCACAGTAGATGATAAATTGACAAAGTAGATATATATAGTATAATACACCCGATGATTTTTACTTCAAACTAATACTTTAATGAAAACATGCACATAAATAATTCAACGAACATGCGTTTATACACATAATTCAATGAATATATGTATCCGTATTCATACCAAGTTCTGAGTATACGTACACATATACCCCAAAGTAAATAAACCTCCAAACACACACATAGGCACACAGGCACACATGTTTGAAATTCAGCATGTCTTTAGCTCTCTTACGGCTTATATTCGATATCCGCCCAGGTTGATTTTTGCCTACTTTAAGCTGAAATTCCGAGTTTCTGGACCATTTTGTGTCGCGCTAGAAAGCCACGTACCGATCTTCCAGCATTGTCATTTACCCAATCGGGCAATCGCGGACTTGTCTATTTTTCTGACACAAAACCGATTTTTGGAGAGGTATATAAAGACCCGGTCCTTGGCACCAATCGCCCACCTTTTCCTCTTCTCTGACCACCACTTATCGTTCCCTGGATCAGTATATATACAGTCAGATTAGATCAAGTTTTGTAGTTTTGTAGGTGTATAGCAGTCGAAATGAGTTTGACAGGATCTTTGGTGCTCAGCGGCATCGGCGGTCTGATATATAAATACGGCGGACAACAGTCGGTTAAGGATGATGATCTACCTGTGGGGGCACGAGGACTGACTGTGGGGTTCGTCGAAGTAAAGATCCGCGTCGTGAAGGAGCGGTGTGGCAGAATGTCGACCAACTTCTGGCACACCTTGATTCACAACGGCGGCTACAAATACCCATTTCGAGTATGTATTTGAGACGTTTTGGAGAGGCAAATCACGCAGCGACCAAAGAGCCCCCATCGTCTTTGTCGTGGTCTGCGTCTTGTGTCACATTACATTTTACTAACAACTTCTATCATTGCTACAGGGTGTTTCCGAGATGTTTCGATCGCGGGTTTACGTGTACCACTGGGGACGAGCGTTCGCGCTGTATCTGGTGCTGTACCTCACAATCGCCTTTGTTTACTTCGTCACGATTCTGCCTGTGTATCTGGCCCTCCTGGCGTTCTGTGGTCCCATTGGATTTGCCATTGCTTACCTACATTTCCTCTTGCACTCTAACATGCTTACAATGATGGTGATGCGTTTCACTCAGCTGAACAATTCCCTGTTTGACTTGACGTTGACGCACAACGGGAAAGAAGTCTTTGTCAAAACCGCCATCGAGAGCCCCACGTTGCCTATCAGATATTACATCCCCATGAACACGTACTACTACTGGTTCAACCATCTGCCCTGGAGATTCACCGTTCACATGATTCAATTTACCGTGCTATTGACCCTAATGGTGATTTCCCTCATTCCAATCTTGGGACCCATTTTCTTCAATGCGCTAATCTCACCCTACATTGCTAGAATGTATTTCTCCAGATTCTTGCGCCTCAAGAAGTTGGATAACAGACGCAGAGACGATGAGTTCTATTTCAACTTTGGTCTGTACGTTTCCTTCGGATTCATGGCAGGTCAATTGGAAATTCTACCCTTCGTGTCTGGATTAATTTACTGTTCCAACAGCGTTGGTGGCGGATTGTGTGCTATTACTGCGCTGGACGCAGAGCATGCGGCTGCTCCAGATGCGACTGCCGCTGCCGGTGCCGCTGTCAGAGGCGCTGAATCTGGCGAGCCAACAGTTGCATGATTTATAGAGACAGGAGTGGTATTTCTGTCGAATTTCCTTTCTCACCATTTGCATAAAGCTTATTGCCGTATTATCTAAATCTCTAAAATCTATGATTTGCTTTCATCAACAACCATCTACTATGGCTTACGACCGGAGACGTTAACGTCAATGTTTGTCATTTCATTGACGTTAACTTGAAATTCACATCTTTGTGCGCTTGAAAAGAGATTGATATTATTTGAAAAGACGTTGACAGCTGCCAACTACAAGTTCGAGGAACAGTAACATCGCTAATATGACTTCAATAATGTTGCCAGTGACTATTCGTAACTCTGAATCGAATTGCAATGCAAAACAATCGGTAATCACTAATGTTCGCCTGTTCCTGTTGGCTAAACTAGAACTATGGAGTTTCAGAGCAAATATGGCTACCGATAGCTTCTTTACCGATATGTTCAGAACCAGGTTCTGGCTCTATTCTTTCAAAGTAAGCAATGATCATGCGATACCCATTGAAACCAATTAATTCAAACTAACTTAGTGTTACGCTTTCTGCTAAAGGGCATGAGCTACGCGATGTGGACAAATCTATTTTGGAAAGAGATGACCTTCATATTCTTGACTTATCTCTCAAAATTCGTGCTGGTGTCAATGGTTTATTACTTGATTGTGTTCCCGTTCGTTTTGGGCATTAATACTGTGTTATGGGGACCACTGGGGATCACTGTCGCTGTCGTTCACTCGATATTGCAGGTCAACATGTATGCCACAGCCCTGACACGGCTTCACAGTTTCGAATATGCCACTTTGATGTTTGAAAAGCTTGTCAAGAGCAGATCAGATCACGCAGCTCTAGTGAACCTCATTTACTTGCCTGCTGTGCAGCCCATGAGAGTGGAACCGAAACGACACTGGTCTAAAAGCATACCGGTACTTCTGTTCAAATTGGCTATCCGTGCCAGCAACTTTTCAGTGCTGTTTGTGATATCGTTTGTACCCATTGCAGGCGTATTTATCGTCCGGTTGTTGCGTTCTGGCGCAATTGGCTACCAGTATTCTGTTCCATTTCTAGCGATGCAAAAGCCATTGCAATTGAACCAAGGGGATGTATTTTATCGTGAATTTGGCAGATACGCTGCTTTTGGAATTGTTAGTGGCTTTTTAGAATGTATGCCACTTTTGTCTGGCTTGATCATTGCCTCTAATTACATCGGTCGTGGTTTCTGGCTGCTCGACGAAAGCCGGTCAAACCACATCAGTTAGTGTCAACTACAAAACAAAAAAGGCAGAGAGAAATCGTTAGCTATTTACTGACTAGATAGTGGCTAAATACTTGAGTAGAGAACATAAAGATACGATAGTTGGTCGCATTTCACCATTGTTATCATTTTGAATTTCAGTGACACTCTTGACACATAAAAGTTTCGACGACAGAGAAATATATTTAAACTGACATTACCACAAACCATCTACCATTACGCTGTCTCTCAGGACACAGTTTCTCGATATATATACTTCCGAAATAGTTATAAACAATGAGTAAAGCTTCTCCATCTGCAGGGCTGAGCAGACGTCGGCGGGAGTCCAAGCACGTTCAAGAAACTCAAGAAATTGAAAACCCACCTAATTCCCGTATTTCAGGCAGCACTTTTATCTCTCTTTTGGCAAAGAAGTTTAGACTCCGTGCCGAGTACGTTCGCAAGAATTTTCTGTCTGATCTCTTTGTTGACCAGACTTATGTGTATCCCATTTTGGTAGGTTGAAGGCCTTTCTCAAGAAACTCTTTACAACTCTCGAAACGCAACTCTCAGCATACTAACCAGTGGATTCTCTTCCATTTTTAATAAGGGATTTTTCAAGTTTCTGGTGACACCTTCCTTCTGGCTTTACAGTCTGGTTCTTGCCTTTTGTTTCGCTTGCATCTTCATAACCGTTGCAGCATTGTACTACTTCTTTCTTGTGCCCATTTTACTGACCTGGGCAGTGACAACTTTGGGTCCTATTGGGTTTGTGGTGGTGCACGTCCAATGGCTGTTGCAATCCAATGCAGTTGCCGTTGCGTTGACGAACATTCTCATTGCACCAGTGTTCGCCAACAGTATTTTCGATGCTGCCTTGGCCAAAATGGGTCACTCGGAGTTTTTGGAAAGTGCCAAGAAACTGCCAATTGCGTCATTGAAGCAAGTGTCCTGGACATCGTTGGAATTTTGGCTCGTGGTTCTTCCCGGAAAGATCATTAGCTTGAAGCTTAAAGTCGCGTCTAGACTATTCCTCAGTGTTCTCTCTCTGATTCCGATTATTGGACCCACCATTGCGAATCAATTGCTAAGTCCAAAGCGTGGATTCGCATACAACCGGAGGCTCTACGATCTCAAGAATTTGAATGGCACGCAGGTGAAAGACAAATTCTACGAGCACCTTGGGCAGTATACTGCGTTTGGAATGATGGCAGGCTTATTGGAGTTAATACCAGTGATGTCAATCGTCACTGTACCAAGTAATATCATCGCAGGTGCGCTATGGGCGTCAAATGAGCTCAAGAAAAATCGCATCTGAGCTAAGTCTTTATCTATGCCGTAGTCTATCAATACAAAACAACACTGTCGACGCAGCCGAAGCCCGCAGCCACTCCACCTTCGTCAGAAGTACTGGACTTAGATCTTAGAAGCCACCCAGCATAGTCGTTAGAGTAAATCTCGTTCTCGTCGAATAGAACGCATCCGAAAATGCCAAGCTCACTCAGAATAGGCTCTTGGAGGATTTTCTCGCCTCTGATAACTACGTTCTCGGTAGTTGGTAACGGTTTGATGAGCTCCATCAAGATAAATCCGCTCCATTCATGTTCAGGAATGGTTTTCAAGAATAGTGGAATGTCTGTTTTGTAAATGTTATTACCACCACCCTCGCGCTGTGGCTTTAAAACGAAACGCTCGGGCGATTTCATGGCCATCTTTTTGGCCTTTTCACCCACTTCAGAGTCGTCCATCGGGTAAATTTTCACGAAAGAGTCAACCAAAGACGCGCGCTCTTTCTCATCGGGCACAAAACGCTTCAGGGTGGACTCCTCAGTTAGAATTTGTTGTACCTTCTTGACACCAGCTAGCTGGGTTAGTAGATTTGGAGCTTTTATGGCGTAGCTGGTCTCTAGAAGTAATCTATTTTCCCAGTCCTGGCTGTTTGTGAAGTCCTGTGGAGAGTATCCAGCTCTGAAATAAACAACAGAAATTTCTTCACCAGTGGGATTGTAAAATAGTCTTTTGGTGTTTGGATCCATTGTGGTTTTGGTATTAATATCATGGATAGTAAGACGCACCGATTTGATGCCATAATCCTGGAAAAGCTTATATTCCAAGACACGCTGATCAAATACGTTTCTTTCGCCCTTTTGAATAATAAATGCCACCACCGTATGTGTCTCACTGGTCTCGAATTTTTTGACAGCATCGGCCAAGCCCCTGGACAACAAACTAGAAGAATCTGACACTGGAAGTTCTTCACTGTAAAACGGAGCACCACTGTTTTGCGAGTATTTCCCCGTGTCATTCAAAAATCGGTGCACTTGTCCCACTTTCGTAGAGAGTCCACCAAAGGACACAGACACTGTGTTGAACTCGACTTGTTTAGCCATCAAGCTGTCTGCATCCAAGAGGTAGTCAGATCTAAACAATCCAAGCGCTAACTTTTGGCTGAGACCTCTTTTCTTGGCCTCTAAATGCAACTCCCAAAGTTTTCCCGTGAACTCTGCATCGAATTTAGCTAGCTCTTCGATTCGACTACTGAGCCAGCCATCTTTGTCTTGGGAGATTTTGGCATACAATTTGTTGTACAAAGTCTGTACAGAAACCGCCTGCTCGAAACTTTTGCGAGGAAAAGGTGTTGGATACAGAGTAATTGGAGCCACTGAACTCTGGGAAACGTTAAAAGTCGGTGGGTACATCACTAATCCATTGGTCAGTGCCCAGTGGCTCACTTCAGGAACTAATTCGGCTTTGATTTCATCAATTGAAAGTTTGGGAAACTGAGGATAGTTCGGATCAGGGCTAGACATGGCTAGGAGTCACAGAATGGTGTTGAGCGTTGGGCAAAAAGTTGGATAAAAGTGCTTGGTAAGCTACCTCATCTCGAGGTCTACTTCATCATTTATAGAGCATTCTGTACGACAGAGACGGTATGGATTAGTGACGACAGAGTCAAAACAGGGCTGGAAGAGCCATTAAATGACGTTCTAAATACCAAGAGATGTAATAAGAGAACTGGAGAAGTAATTGCCTAGGTAAGGCCTTTTTTGAGACCTTTTTTGCTTTGTTATTGGGCATGAACTTTACAGAAATTGATTATGGTGTTTTTCGGTTTTCCTGACATCATAGTTTTAAAAGAGGTGTTCGATGCTACAAATCTGCTATTTTATTAGAACGTCATCTGAGATTTATTTTCGTGTCCAGATCGGTCAAGTTTTCGTTTTAGAAAGCTGTATAATAAACCGTCAAAGTTGAAAGAATATTGTCTCTGTGAAGGAAGAAAAATAGCTCAACTCACGCTAAGATGCGATGTGATAATCAAAGGTATCAGAAAGTATGGTATTTTATTTCTCTAAAAACCATCTAAGCATTACAAATTCGTTTTCACGCTATGGCAGCAGCGTCGAGGCGATCGATTTTCTAATCAAAATCTCAAGCTAATTTTACGTTGAGCTCAGAAACACTAAATTGTAATTTCATAACCATACACCTGAGTATATTCCGTAGCATAGAAGTAGAGACCGCTCGATATTAGGCCATTCTGCTGTCTTTTAAACTAAAGCTCAATGATCACTTTCAGATACTCCGTCACCCAAGACACTAATGTCACGTTTTGGAAACGACGGTGTTGCCTCGAAGCTAACAATCTCACCGATCCAGCAGATGTTCACCAACGTTTGGCAATAGCGGTTTCCGCATTGTACCGAGATTCTCCATACACGTTAATTCGCAGGGTTCGTTATTGGTTTGCTTCTATTTATCAATAATGGTAAGTAAGTAAATATTAAAAAGATATATGCACCACTCGAAGCGTAGAATGAACACCAACAGACATCATCTTGCAGCCTGAGGGCTTCACTTCGCTCGAGGCATGACGGTCTCTTCGGTTTCCAAAACTCTCACCAACACCAATTTTTACCGCAACAGTTGCGATTTTCCGATTAATATCTTACCCATTTATAAAAAATTGTTATTAAGGCAGAGATCCTACTGACTTGTCGAGCTGAAACGTTACGAAGCAGAGTCCCAGAAGTTCCACTGCCATGCATTTTCACCAAATGAAGCCTCAACGGCATTTCCTCCGGAAAGTTCCTTCTTTATTTCTTCGCCTGGCGCCGTAAAGTAAAGATCTTCAGGTGAGTCGAATTTGATCTTCTTGGATTCGCTCATCACCGTTGATGACGCCGGTGAACTATTTGGACTGCCATCTAATTCAGCAGCTTTCCGTTTCTTACCCCGAATATCGGGTTCAGCCTTCTGAGTACCAAACGAAAAATCGGACAAACGTGTAGAGCCGTAAACATCTTTGAAAACCTTCGAGACGTCGTCGACTCTGACCATATAAGGGCTAGCCTTGTATGTGCGAAGTGCGGGATTAGGGGACATGATAAGCTTGTTGTCCTTGATAGATGCATTGGCATAATCTCGATCCTTCCCTCGTTGCGCAGCGGATTTGCCTGCTTTTTTCTTTCCTGTACCGTTGACTTGGTCTACAATTTCCTGTGGTATCGGGTTTAAAAATTCAACGGAATCTTCAGCAACACCTAAACAGTCTGCCAAAGAAGATAAAAAGAGGTCCACCGGTGAGTGGCGGAGAATATCCTGTCTGCGTTTAAATCTGGAGATGATTTCGTTTTTGCGGACTATCATTCTCTTAGAATTGTCTTCATCTTCTTTGTAAGGATAATTGACAGTATTATTCTGAGCCATACCACCTGGAACTGATTTCGGCGATGGACTGGGGTTGGTACTGGCAACTTTGTTTAGCATAGGCGACATACTTGTTGTTGCCATATGAGGTGTGTCCGCCCTGCTCGTACCGGAAACGGCTAATCCTGCTGCCAAATTGGGGACATCAGTAGATGCCATTGTAGTTGCACTAGGCGTACCTTGATTCGAGTTTTGCTTCATCGTCATCTTCTTTCTCATTTGGGCTTGCTTCTTGGCTGGCGATACACCAGCCTGTTGAGGAGACGACTTCGCGTTTAGGAACTCCGGAGAGTTCAAAAAGTCTATACCTGCAGAAGCGGTGCGAATGTTTTCGGGAGCAGAGTGCAGCGGCAAACCAGGTTTCCCATCCAAACCATTAGTACTTACAGGCCTTGTCCAGTTGTTCAACTGCGGATTGGGTTGCATCTTTTGTTGTTGTTGCTGTTGTTGTTGTTGCTGCTGCTGTTGTTGCTGCTGCTGCCTCATTTGCATTTGCTGCTGAATCTGCTGGAAGGAACCCTGTATGCGTTGTTGACTGAAAGCTGGATCCACGGGGTTTAGCGGCGGTGTTTGAGTATCCTGCTGCTGTTGTTGCTGCCTGGCAGCAATAATTTGCTGATGTCTTCTTAGCACCTGGTCCTTGATGAACTCATAGTATTTTTGGTACCGGAAAATGACCTTATCAACTACCTCAGGTGGAACAATGAAGACGCCTCTGGACGCGTGCTCGGTAATTTCTCTCGCCAACATCCTAATCTGTAGCAATTGTCGAACATTTTCCTCATTTCTAGTGATCATGTACAAGGTTGGAATAAAGCTGTCGACATTTGTAAATAGCTGTCGATTCAACTGAAGTTTATTTCTAATCGACTGTTTTTGTTCCTGAGATATTTGGTTTGTAATGTTCGAGAGTCTGAGATGAGATTTCTGTATTTCTGCCGAGATCCTGCGAAGTACCATCAAATCCTGTTCGGTCGGGCGAGGTAGCGAAAACTTTGGTTGTGGTGGAGCTTGCTGTACTGGGGGAACTTGTGGTACAGTTATTGGCGCTTGAGGTGCGACATTGAGTGGGGCCGCTGGATGAGATGAGGAAAGTCCATTTGCATCACTAAAGTTATTGCCCGTATTGGCCCCGCTATATGGCCTTCTTGGAGCCATATTGGCGGGAATAGGAACGCTGTCACTTACATTATTGGAAGAGAATTGACTCATTTGAGGTGCAGAAGCCGTAGTCATTGGTATTGGAGGCGCCTGCTGAGGCGGTGCAGAGTTTGAATTGTTCATCTGATTTCTAGCAGCCTGCAGCTTCTTCAAAGCCATCTGGTTGATGTACTTTTTGATATAAACAGCTTGCTGCTGTGGGGTCATAACGGATGGCAATCGATTCGTCCTTTGCAGATCCGCGATGAGTTTCTTACCATTTTCATATAAGGCTTTTTGTTCTGCCGGTGTGAAGATTTGGTTCAATCTGTTCAAAACGTTCGGTACCTCCTGAGTCTGCTGTGGATGAGCTTGATTCATCTGAACAGGCTGTGGTGGCTGAGAGAGCTGGGCATGTGGAGGTTGTTGTTGTTGTTGCTGATGTTGGGGAGTTTGCTGCTGAATGGTGGTCTGGCTCATCATTGGACGCTGATTCTGTGGAACTTGTGCCGTATTTGGGACCTGTCCCTGTGAAGGAGGCCGCACCTGCTGAGCGGCGCGGTTGTTAGCGTTTGATTGTTGGAGCTTAGATTTGAACACGATCTGTTGATGCATCTGGTAGACCTGTTTGGCAATCTGTAGGTCTTTGGGCCCCAGTCTTTTCTGCTGGGCCAGCTCTGTGACCTTCTGCCAGGTATTGACTCCTGGAGGCAGATTGGGAATCCGTTGTAGCAGCTCTCTAGGAATTTCTGCGCCTTTCATCTCGTTGATGAGCTGCTGCTGTTGTGGCGTGAGCTGTGGTCTTACTGGTGCATTAGAAAGAGGGCCACTTGGTGCAGTCCCATTTCGTAGCTGTTGCGCAGCTTGTTGCCTGAGCTGAGCTTGCTGGTTGAAGAACATTTGTGAATTGATATTATTGTTGGGAGGTGCGTATTGAGGAGCTCTTTGCTGCTGCTGCTGCTGCTGCTGCTGCTGCTGCTGCTGCTGTTGTTGTTGTTGTTGTTGTTGTTGTTGTTGTTGCATTGCTGGATTATTATTCATGTTTTGAGACTGGGATGCCGCCTTGGCTATGCTCTGTTGAACGTTGGCTATTGCCTTTTTCCGTGCAGTGTCCATGGCCGCAATCCTCTTGCGCATCGAATCCAAATACAGATCCTTGGAAGAGCTGCTTGCATAGAGGCTTTTTTCGAACTGCTCTGCGGTTTTTTTCAGCTTTTCCAAATTGAAGTTTCCACGGTCCCCACCATTGACTTGGCTGATTTGTGCCAAAATCTGAGCTAGTTCTGTGATGTACTTGGATCGCTCCTGATTTGACAGTGTAGACCTCCAATCACTATCCATGGCTCCTGTGGTGAAAGAAAGAACTTATTTGATTCGATCCACTCGAAAATCTCAGATAACGTAGAACTGGTAATTTGAATATTTCAATAATGATTGATCTGTCTGTCAAAAATCGCGTTTTTACTGAATGATCAACACCGATTCTTGTAAATTATTTTGAGCCCTGAAACCCACCGTAAGTTTAAACTTTGAAATTGACCAACCGTTTGAGTCCGCACTGCTGAAGGACTTCCAGCTTAAGTTCCGATAAATTCGGCAATTTCCGCGCTCTCAAGGCAGCAAACCGAACACTTTTTTAAACCCGAATACTAAAACTATCTGCTTGCACCAAGGATCTCGTTGCACCGGTGAAATTAGTGGCTTCACGTTATAGTGGGTAGAGTTGATATGTTGGTTTGAGATGGGTAAGATTCCCGGTTCACATATACTGATAAAAGTTAGGTGATATCACATTAGACGATGAGTTAAATACAGATACCTCCAAGATAACTAACTGACAAGGCAACACGAGAGAGCTTTTATGTCGGCAAATTTCGTCTCTGACCTTCTTATAATATTTGGAGATTTATGGGCTCCTGTTTGATGTTCAGTTTCAGCTAGAGTTATTTGTTTTTGGTCCGTTTTGATGCGACTTGAAATAAGCCCAGAAATGCATTTAGCGACAACTCACTCGCTTACGGAATGACAACCGTTTGTCTACTGGTTCTCATCAAAGATAATGTCCTCTAGAATGTCGCTGACGCGATTATCCAGAGCTTCGGCGGCCTTTGGATCATCTTCGCTGATATGAGTGTCGAGGGCCAGCTTGTTCTTGGCCAACTGAAGAATCTTCTCCTCGATGGAGTTGCGCGTGATGAGCGTGGTGGTGTGCACCGTCTTTGTCTGTCCCACACGGTGGGCACGGTCTGCAGCTTGTTTGTCGTCGTGAGGGTTGAAGCTTTGGTCAAATATTATCACATGGTTTGCACACACCAAATTGATGCCGAAGCCTCCTGCCTTGGTCGACAGGATAAACACGGGAATGCTTTCATCGTCGTAGAACTTGTCGATCAGTGTCTGTCGGTCGTTGACCTGCGTCGAGCCATCCAGACGCAGAAAGTTGATGTTCAGCGTGGTCAGCGCCAACTCTAGGATGTCCAGCATCTGCGTAAACAGCGAGAAGATCAAGACCTTCTCCTTCTTGTTATCGATAATGTCCTTGAGAATCTTGGCCAAAACCTGAATTTTGCCCGAGTTCATCCATTCGTCGTTTTTCAGCTGGAATGATCCTAGGGTTTTTGGGAAATTCAAGCACAATTTGTGTAGCTCGAAATCCGTCATATAGCTCATGTCCTCCTTGATGTAGTCCTTGTTTCCGTTTTCTGCATAATCGGGTTCGCCTAGAATCGCTTGACTCATCTGATCCAGCATGTCATTGGTGTAAATATGTCTGAACAGCAGCGGGTGCAAAGAGGCTTTCCTCAAAGACATGATTAGGTTTTTCGAGATATTCATCTTGCTCTTCACGGCTTTCCCGTTCTTTTTGGTTTCTTGTGGTGATTCTCCTTCTTCGTCTCTTTCTGCAAGCATGCGCTTGTGCTCTAAGACAAGCTGAATCTCTCGATTGTAAATTGCTCGTTGTGTCTCTAACATATCGCAGTATTCGATTCTGGTGTGCTTTCTAGGCAAGTGTTTTAAAACTTGATCCTTTTTTCTTCTCAAGATAAAAGGTTTCATCATAGTCTTTGCTCTAGCCACAGCTTCCTGAGCTAGTAGCGGATTATAGTCCTTATTGGAGTCAGAGGTTCGGGCTCTCTGTCTAAACACGGCCGACAAATCGTCTTTTTTCGAAATAAACAGGCTGGGCATAATGAACTCAAGCAAGGACATCAGCTCCTTCAAATTATTCTGAAGGGGTGTTCCGGTCAACAAGAGCCGGAAATTCGCCTCAATCTTCATCAGTTTTGAAAATCGCTCTGAAAGCGAGTTCTTCAGCATGTGGCCCTCGTCGTATACCACAACGTTGAATCCACGATTCTTTAAGAAAGAGACATCGTACTTGCTACCTGACGCCAAATTGTAGGTTGTGACTACCACATCGTATTGTCCATCGTTATCCTCTAAAATTTCGCGTAACTCTGCCCTTTCTTGTTGAGACCCATAATAAGGCTCAATCTTCAAATCAGGACAAAACTTGGCAAATTCTCTGAGCCAGTTTTCTAGCGTTGAGGACGGAACCACGATCAGATGTGGACCGAGTTCATTGTTTTGCTTTAGGTACGATAAAAACGCAATGACTTGGCATGTCTTTCCGAGACCCATTTCATCTGCAAGTATGCAGGATAGGTTATTGCGATAGAGAAGGTTTATCCAGTTAATACCCGTCTGCTGATAGTCTTTCAGCGATACTTCAGGAGAGAGCAGCTTAGGCTTCTGCTTTAGAAATTTGACTGTTGTCTGCTTTGGTCTACCTCTACCACGGCCCGAAGCCCTCGTTTTCCTCTTTGCGCGGAAATCTTCGTCCTCGCTGTCCTGATAGTCTTCCTCGTCATCATCAATATCGCTTTCATCGCCATCGATATTTGTCTTCTTGGATTTAACGATAGCACTACTATTGTTAGATGGAGTGGTTTCTGGAACTGGAGAGTCGTCCTCGCTGACCTCACTTTCATTGTCGTCACCAATATCGATGAAATTGAGCTCTCCACTTTGGATGTCTTCAACATTGACACCCCACTTCTGAATCTGAGAGGCGATAGATGCCCCGTAAGCCGAACACTTTTTGATCAAAGAATCAATCGCGTTATAACCTTTCATGGTTTGAATTACTTTGTCTAACAGTTTCTCACCGTCCTTTTTCGTTTGACCTCGTTTCGTCGTCTTCTTCTTTTCCTGTTTTTTTAGTTCATCTTCGGTTATAAAGTCTGCTTGACTGAATGCTTCCAAGCTGCTGTAGGGCCTGTTTTTGACGACCATGTTTGCTTTATCCAGCGAAGTATCCGCTAGATCAGCTATATCTTTCACGTCCGCCTCGTTCAAGAACTTCAAGATTTCGGCATCAATATTAATTTCGGGCGTATTTTCCTGATAGTCTTCCCCACTGATGTTCTCGTCTCCGCTAATTTCGTCCTCATCCTCGTCAGAGAGCGACACAGAGCTTTTCTTGGTGCTTGACGAGTGAGCCGGCCGTACGTTATCCGCACGAACCAGTTTCCGTCTCTTGCGGGTTGTGGACTCCAATTGGGCCACTGTGGACGGATCTACCACGACAGATTCCATAGTAGGTCTGTGACGCTGGTTCATGACATGCGAGTACCGATCGAAAATGGAAGTTTTCTGTTTTTCAACAGTGACTTTCGAGGACTTTTCTGGCGATGCAACTACGGTTCTTCCGGACCCGTATCCCATTCTGCTCATCCCACTTGTTCTTGCGTCTGAGGGCGATCCTAACGTTCCAAGCCGGGCAGTAGGCTTTTTATCACCGCTTCTCCAGGCCCACGATCGCGAAGTTTTCTGCGACTGGATTTTTTCCAGTCTTTCACGCGTCAAACTCTGGTTGTACGAGTTGGATTTGAACACTGCTCTGATCAAAGTTTCCGAAAATTCGGGGTATTCCCCAGACAGCGTCGCCACTTCCGCATCTATCCCACTACCTGACGTTTCACTGCCCTCTACAGCATTAAGTTCTGGGTTCTCAACCGGTTTGTAAACAAATCTGTCCCTCAAAAGCGATGCCTGTGTATCGTTGTTTTTTAGCGGCGAAGACGAAGCAATCTTCGATTCTTCCGCTGGTGAAGACTCGGGAACTTGCACTTCACCATTTTTAACCGGTGTTTCGGTACTCATTGAATCCCTTTTGGAGTGGAAAGCACCCTTTCAGCTATGTAGTCCGGTTCGATAATGGTAGTGTTATGAGTGTTGATTTACAATATTCAAAATTTTTTTATAAGATAGCCGCTTCATTAAGAAACTATAGTTTATTTGAAAGTGAAATTCAAAATCATTTTCAAAAACTGTTAGTCTTAAGTGATTGGAGCAGCTAAATATTCAGAAATATAAGCTAGTGCGATTGCGAGAGCTGTTTTGAGCCAGGGAAAATCTCAACCTCAAATTTTGAGCTACTCAAAGATCCAAAAAGTGCGGTGTTATCCTAAATATCATTAGCTGGATAAAAGACTGGAAAGAGACACGAAAAGCAGGTCTTCAGGGATCGAGAACACCGGTATATTAGCAGAAGAGCTTTGGAGTTCACGTCGCCTCTTTTCCTGAGCCTTTTACGTTTAGAATAGCTATTCTGACAAGCTGCCAAGAGTGTCTGAACGATAAAAGATCATCAGTGTCATTCAAACCAGCTCTAAAGGAACATTTAGGAGCTCAAGGATAAGAGGAGATAGTCATGATCTTTGAAGTACTTGCGTTTGGATCGAACGGGTGTGGTCAGCTTAGGCCTCGGTCATGAAGACGACATGATCGAGCCCCAGGTGTGCTTTCGCAGCAAGGCGAGGCCTGTCAAGATCAGCAGCGGAGGCAATTTCACATTGCTGCTGCTAGAAGATGGGTCTCTGTATATGGCTGGAAAATTACCGTTGGTGGTGGACTCGGAGTCCGTCGCTTTAGATCCTGTGAATCAATTTTGGATCCAGGTTCCTGGCCAGTTCACGGACGTGGCATGTGGATGGGCACATGTAGCGGCGATAACTCAAAGTGGAGTAGTTGTTACTGGCGGAATAGGCGAAAAGGGAGAGCTGGGGCAATCTCAGACAAAATGTTCAACAGAACTCCGGCCAATACGGGTGCTTGAAAACCGCCAAGGAGCGCAGGTATTCGCATGTTTCTACAACACGTACGTTCTGGATAATGACGTGCTGTATGGATGCGGCTCCAACAACAAGAGCCAGCTCAAAGATCCCAAATCACGGGTTATTGAGACGCTGGAGCGTGTCAGTGACGACCCCGTTACTCGAGTGTGCGCAGGCAAGAATTTCGTGTGTTACGAAGATGCGTGCAGCCGACTTCACGCGAGAGGGCCAATGGTGCAATACGAATCACAGCTACAGGAGCATGCTGACCAAAATTCGAGTTTTGAGCTTAAGGCTATGTGGACTTCTGTCACCAGCTTCAGCGGCCAGATGTTCCACTTCTACGCGCCCGCAAACCAGAAGCAAGATGCGATTGTCAATTATCGTTTTCCCAAGCCTGTGACAGCGTGGAATACCGGCAGCGAGCATGGCATTGCGTGCGTCGATGGTAAAATGGTTTTTTGCTGGGGCTGGGGCGAACACGGGAACTGTGGCCGTATTGCGACGTCTCGCGTAGCGAATGGTGTGAATGATATGTCGAACATCAACAGCGATGTAAACCTGGCGTATGATGCCAGCTCCAGGCCAAACGCAACGGTGTACGCGTGTTTTGGAGGATGTGCGACCTCGTGGGTTTGCATAGCTCACAAAGATTTTCAAGAGGATGTCTAAGCAAGACATTTGAGATACAAACGAATCTACAACTGACCAAAATGTTAAGAAGTACCTTTCCCTAGTTCATTTACACGGCAAAACCCAATTAATCGATGTTTCGTCGTTTCACAGGGGAAATATGTAAAGACTCCTTGATTGTTACTCTAGAGAATGCGTATCAAGAACCAGCAGTGAGACAAAGTCTTAAAAAGACCAAGGTGTTGCTCGTCCTTTTCTTTATACATTCCCTGGTTTTTAGAAGTGGTGATAGAGTGGGAAGGTGAGATTTTCAGCTCAGTCTTTTCATACTAATTGGAGGCACTATGTACGAAGGATCTCGTGTTCTCTTAGGTCTTCGAGAGTTGAAGGCAGCTGTTGATGTTGAGAGTGTTCTTCGGGGGATTTGAGTCGGGTGAGTTGGGAATGCATGATGATCCAATAGTGTGTGTCCTTCAAATCGTGTGGAACTCTAAAAAATTGGAGTCAAGGGATTAGGGCGCAACCAATTAGAAGCTCAAGAATATAGAATACCACATCTGCTTGCAAGCTTGGTTGAGCTTTTTATTCGTATGACAATTTTGCTCTACTTTTGCTAACACGAGATTTGAAAGTGCTGGTAGTTCTTTTAATTGATGCATACATCTCTGTATCGATTATAATGTTGTCTATAGTTTTTAAATGGGAAATCTGGGGAAAATATCGTCGTTAGATATTTCTGTCAATCCACATAAATAGATATTTTCATACTCCAGTGCCGTTTTTTGTCCCCATGACACCAATCACGAATCATGTCGCATTACATTTCCAGCTACACTGGCATATATTTTTAGTTACTCAGCTTTAAATTTAATTAAACGTTGTGTTGTTAAATAAATAACTGATAATTCCAAATGTGCTCCCCGCCTGTGTGTGGTACACCGGACGTGCTTTACTCAGTCGCTTGAGTTAGGATTACCGTCATGAGGCTACAAGCTAAGGACCGCACGCCACGTGATCAGACGACAGCTGTCAAGCTGGTGAAAAGTGATAAACAAATCTGAGCTGTCCTGAGTAGAACGTCAACTGGTCAAGACGACATACCAACATGGCCGTGCCGCGTTGAAAGTCCTTAGCGAGCTGGTTCCAATCAGTAAAAATCTGTGGGGTGAAGCCTACTGGTTAAAAACCTGCTTGCTGATGATCGCTCTGCGACACTGAGGGTGTTTTATAGTTCTGTATTCCAGATTTAAATCGACTATTGAAATTATAGGCCAATAAAAGTCACCGTAAATGGATAATGTCAGATAAACAAGCAATGTTTTGTCTTAGAACGCGACTGGGACGTGCCATCTGTAACCGACCTTCGATTTCGCCCCATTTGCCAGCTTGATCAGCAACAGTGTGAGGACCACCGCGAGAAGAAGGTGTGTTCGTGCGGAATTCGAAAAGCCATGTAAGAAGATGACCTGTTATTGGGTAGCATTAGCCAGTGCTGCCAACTATTCAAAAACATAATCACTATACATTCGACCACCTTTATATATACAGATACAGAGTCGCACCAGCACTGCACCAAGCGATCGAATACAACTGTATAATTTGAGCTGTAAGTTGGTTAGAGCTGTAACCAATTTGTCGCACTCCACCTCTCGACATAGCTACGGTGCAAGACGACTCAGTCGTCAAAATGTGACACTCTGTTCTAATAAACACTGGTAATGGAAGATGACACGTACTCGTACTCGTACTCATACTCAAGTTTCCAGATTAATAAATACCATTTCCGTCAACGTCAAAAGCTCTCTCATTTCACCATTTGTATATTCACAATTCAATATATTGTCCTGCAAGCTTCCCATTCCAATCCCATCGCATCACTTCGATATGTAACTCTGCTCACAATTCCTAAATCACCCAAAACAAGACCCAGCCATGGAAAAAAAACTCCACACTACTTCTTCAACACCAAAACCACTGCTCAATCACCTTTCAAAAGCTCAAACGGCCACTGAAGCTCTCAAGTTCTCTTATCTGCCGACGACAACGACTTCTTTGAATCTCGATGGTCACCTGTTTGTCACGACGCCATTCTTACCTAATCATCACGTGTCCCCTATCGACTTCAATTAATAGAACGAAATAACTATGAAAATGCTTGAACACACATCCCAAGTAATGGAAACAACACTCACATCCAAAAACCAAACGCCAGCTGACGAATAAGCACTATTTAGCAGCGGCAATGAACAATCCGGCACCTATTATGGGCTACTCCGGGCTGGCAGGACAGCCGGGAGCGGTTCAGCCACATTTGCCGTCTGTTTTGGGTACTCCTGGAACGCTCCAACAACAATTGCATTTGCAACAACCTCATCCTCAAATGGGCTCTACACAGCAGGCGGTGCCTCCTGGACTGCTTGGCGCACAAGCGGGGGGCTTGCCCGTTTCGGGCGCGGTATCAGGCGTTTCGGGCGTGGTCTCGAACGCGGGAAACCCGCTTTATCACCCACACCAGGGCGACCCAACAATGCTCAACAATCCGATCTGGAAGCTGCAACTGCAGCTTGCCGCAGTGTCGAGACAGTCTATGGGCCAGGCCAACGTTTACGCGCGTCAAAGCGCCATGCGCAAGTATCTGCTGACCAAAACTCACGGTAACGCCGCAGCAGCAGGCGCGACGGGTGTGGCAGGAACGGCGGGCACAGCGGGTGCTACGGGCCCAATTGGCGGCTCTGCATCGCCCGCACCCAATACTGGAACCCTCAGTGAGATGTCTGCGTCGCTAGTCGACAACACCAAGCAGTTGCTCTTGGATCTGGCCACGGAGCCAGCAGCAGCGGCGAAAAACGCGGGAGGATCCTCGAGCGCGGTATCCACGCCCATCACGCCTAGCGCTGAACTTAACGGCGGAGCTAACCCTTCTACGCCTTCGCTACTACTGCAACAGAAGAAATTATCGCAATACAACATCGACGAAGATGATGAGATAGAACACCGCATGACGGCACTCTCCAACACAAAACATGACGACCAATTGTGGCATGCGCTTGACCTATCAAACCTACAGGTCTTCAACTTGAGCAGCACGCTGTTCAACTACGAGTTTTTGACAAGACTGTTCCTAAACGGTAACAATCTCACGTCGATACCAAAGGATGTGAAAAAGCTAAAAAATCTTCGGGTCCTGGATCTCTCCCACAACCGATTGACCGAGCTTCCTGCGGAACTAGGACTGTGCCACGAGCTGAAGTACCTGTATTTCTTTGACAACATGGTTTCGTCGCTTCCTTGGGAGTTCGGCAATCTGTACAACCTCCAATTTCTGGGTTTGGAAGGAAATCCTATGGACCGACAAATGATCAAGATTTTAACGGAAAAATCAGTCACGGGCTTGGTGTTTTACCTCAGAGACAATGCTCCGGAGATCCCGCTACCTGTGGAAAGAAAATTCATTGACATCAACATGGATGGCGAACCTGTGGAAGAGCACAGCTCGCTGCAGGAGTCTGAGACGCATTTGAATCGTGAAACGATCAAGAAATCGTTCACCCTGCTGTCGTACAATACGTTGTGCCAGCACTATGCAACTCCCAAGATGTACCGCTTCACGCCCTCATGGGCCCTCAGCTGGGATTATCGACGTGAGAAGCTAAAAGAGCAGGTCTTGGGTTACAACACTGACATAATCTGCATGCAGGAGGTAGAGTCCAAGACGTATGACGATTTTTGGGTTCCACTGCTGCGGGAACTTGGTTACACGGGTATTTTCCATTCCAAGACGCGGGCACGCACAATGCACGCCAAGGACTCCAAGAAAGTCGACGGCTGCTGCTTGTTCTACAAGAACTCGGAGTTTAAGCTGGTATTCAAGGAATCGATCGACTTCAGTAGCATATGGATGAAACATAAAAAGTTTCAACGCACCGAGGACTATCTGAACCGTGCCATGAACAAGGACAATGTTGCGTTGGTAGCCCGTTTGCAACACGTCAAGAGTGGTGAGCACGTGTGGACCGCGACGACGCATTTACATTGGGATCCTCAGTTCAACGACGTGAAGACCTTCCAAGTAGGTGTTCTGCTCGACTACATGGAGAAGACTATCAAAGAGCACCACGGTTGCAGTAATGCACAGGAGGTCAAGAAGGTACCCGTCGTGGTTTGCGGTGACTTCAATTCTTCCCTCGACTCCGCCGTATACGAGCTGCTCAGTACAGGTGCCGTGCGTGAGCACCGCGATATCCATGGCCGCGATTTCGGCTACATGTCTCATAAGAATTTTGCCCATAACTTGCCTCTGAAATCCAGTTACGACGTTATCGGCGAGCTTCCCTTCACGAACGTCACACCGCTTTTCACCAATGTCATCGACTACATATGGTACTCTCCACAGGGGCTACGCGTACGTGGTGTGTTGGGTGAGATAGATCCGGACTACGTTGCCAAATTCATTGGATTTCCTAACGACAAGTTTCCAAGCGATCACATCCCGCTGCTGACCCGCTTCGAGTTCACCAAAGGTGTGGGTGGTAGTAGGAAGGCTTAATAGCCGTGATGCTGGTCCCGGTGCCTGACACACCACCGTTTTTTGACGTTTCCCTTCACGAACCCAACACTCTGTACCATATAATAGACGCTTTATACGCTTAAACCCAGTATATCACGTGAGACGTCTTTCCATGAGTGTATTTTAACTGCAGGCCATGGCCGATGAGTGGCTTGCATTGTCAACTTTGCATTCAAATAATATCGCTTTGTTCCTCACACCCTTCGAAATGGAGAGATCCCAGAGCATGGCCTCTATAATTCGCACTTATATATCGTGTATATAGGAACAGCAGGTTATTTTACCGTTTCCGGAATTATGATTGCTCAAGAGAAGTTGAGTACCGACATAAGGTCGAGACGCTATTTTGAACGTGGAAGGGCTTTTTCCAAATGCTGTGTGATGCATCCATGGAGACAGGCTTAACAATATGTAAATTCGGCCACGTGATTTAATGACAGACGACAAGCTTGATAAAAGTGACAAACGTTTCTGGATGACAATTCAGCGGCGACAGAGCCTAAAATCAACGTGGCTTTTTTGTTGACAGAGCTCGGTATATGGTGCTTCTGCGTTTCCAACGCTAATAAACATCTCTGTTTTTACGGGGTGTGCAGTATTCAAAAAACCACACCAAGTTCACATTTAACTGAGGGCTGGACCAGTATGGATCATTTTCACAGACCTAAGTATCAGATAACAGTGAAAATCAATAGGAATAAATGGCCTGGGGTATGACTCTGGGCTCATGCCGGCATATTCGTCGATCACCTACAACACACCTCGTGTTAGAGAATATATACTTGCTATCACGTTTTGTCACGTGACTTAATTTGAATTTATATTGGTATATCAGTCACTTTATACGTTTGTACTCACAGGAATCAAGATATCTACCACCTTAAGCCAAGTAAAGATACAATGACTACCACAAGTGAACACCCAATTGCCGGCCATCCAGCATTCGCAATGGCTTCAACAGAGCAGGGAAACATGGATGATCAATACCATCGGCACCACAACCTTGAAATCCAGCTCGAAAACGCTTCACTGGGCGAGAAATTGCGAGATGTCCGCTACGTTACGTTTCTGCTGATTGGAATCGCACTGCTGTGGCCATGGAACACATTTCTCAGTGCATCGTTGTACTTTCAACATGACGTTTTCCATGATGATACCATTTACGCGAAGATCTACATCAGCACAATGATGTCAATATCAACATTGTCATCCGTGGGCTTCAACTTCTGGTTGTCGAAAAGACAACACAGCTACGCGACTCGAGTGACCAGGGGGCTGACATGGGAGGTTTTAGTGTTTGGACTGCTCAGTGTGTTTGTATTGGTGCACAAATTGTTTCCGCCATGGCTCAATTTCGCGTTTTTGATGCTGATGGTGCTGGCCAGCTCCTGTGGCACGGCCATGACGCAGAATGGCGCAATGGCGCTGGCAAACGTTTTTGGCCCGCAATTTAGCCAAAGCATAATGATGGGACAGGGGATTGCAGGCGTGCTTCCCTCGCTCGTACTATTTTGCGTGTCGTACATCGGCGATCCACGCGATCAGAGCGTCGGAGGCATTTTCGCGTATTTCTGCACTACGGTCATGGTTTCTATTCTTTGCATTGTGCTGTATCGATTCAGCGCCATTGGCAGTGCTGACAAGTCCGAGGTACTGATGGAGGACCCAGCCTGCAACAGAGAAACTGATGCAGTTGCGTTTTCGACATTATTTTCCAAGCTCAAGTATCTGGTGTTGTCCATTTTCACCACATTCGTCGTGACTCTACTGTTCCCGGTTTTTGCGGCCAACACGTTTGTGGTGAGGCTTTCTATGAATAACGCGCAATATATCCCGTTTATCTTTACGATTTGGAACCTAGGCGATCTGTACGGAAGAGCCATCTCTGAAAAAGCATTTTTTCAGTCCTCCAACTTCACTCCACTGAGGACTTTTATTTACTCGTTAGCCAGGATCGGGCTGGTGCCTCTGTTTTTCTGCTTCAACCTGAATGACCGCCTCAAGACCTCCTCCACAGTGCTGTCCGACCTGGGCTACATCGTGCTGCAATTCATTTTCGGGGTCACGAACGGCAATATTCTGTCGATCAGCTTTATGAAGGTCAGTCCTCAGCTCAGCTCTGACAAGGAACGCAAGGCCGCTGGCGGTTTTACGAATATTTTCCTGTCGTCTGGGCTAGCTTTCGGTAGTCTGCTCAGCTACGCGTTTGTGTACATTGTGAGAACGTGCATGACTGCCAAGGCATGATATAAAGGTGTCCCAACGCAAACAAACGCGACCCTATTGACTTGAAAGCTGCATGTTACAGATCAAGTTTCAAGTGCGAATTTCAAGCTTAGTTCCTGAGCTCAAAAAGCATCCAAAAAAATAAAACCAAGACCAAAATATAGCTACGATCCCAGCACTACTTCCAGGGACTATATCTATTGCATTGTTGGTCGTTTTGCATTTAGCATAAGTCCCAATTAGGTGTTACATCATTTTGCTCAAAAAAGCTTCGTTTTTTCCGCCAAAAAATGATAAAAAAAAGCTAAAACTTCGCACAAAGCTTCCTCATTCTCCGCATTCCATTTTTCACTTCACCATACTCTCACCGAGGGTGCTTAAAGCTCTCTCATGCTCTCTTATTCCATCACGACGTCGCGTTTTAATATCTGAAGAATAGGTCACGTGCCACGTCCGCGCTGTCTCAAATTTTCCAAATAACAGCTGTTAACAACTTCGTGTTCTTTAAACCCACACTGAACACCAAACTCGAAAACCAACAACAGAGCTATACAAAGCGCCGTCTTCTGATTGGAACAAAAGTGCCTTAGAATGTCGGCGACCGGGTTTCAACGAGAGCCCGAAAAAGGGCATTTAAAACAGCGAATTGAAGCTGATACAGGCCGTAATGTAACTCCGGACTTGGCGGAAGAAAACGAGTCCAAAATCGTGGAATCGCCAGATGACGCGCCGCTAAGGGAACTGGAACGTGTGGTGATGCCAGTGGTGTTCACGTTGCTCGGTTTCGCTACCAGGATGTACAAGATCGGTGCCAATGACCATGTTGTTTGGGACGAGGCCCATTTTGGCAAGTTCGGGTCCTATTATCTAAGACACGAGTTCTACCACGATGTGCACCCACCGCTCGGAAAAATGCTTGTGGGGTTCTCGGGGTTTCTCGCCGGCTACAATGGATCCTGGGACTTCCCTTCTGGTGAACAATTCCCGGAGTACTTGGACTACGTGAAAATGCGTATTTTTAATGCGACTTTCTCGGCCCTGTGTGTCCCAGTTGCTTACTACACTGCCAAGGAAATTGGATTTTCATTGCCCACCGTGTGGCTCTTCACAGTTCTGGTCATTTTTGAGAATTCGTACGCTACGCTGGGCAGATTCATTCTCTTGGACTCGATGCTGCTATTTTTCACAGTCACGTCCGTGTACTGTTTCGTGAAGTTCCACAACCAGAGATCTAAACCTTTCGGTAGAAAGTGGTGGAAGTGGCTCGCTATGACGGGTCTTTCGCTAGGATGTGCCATTTCCGTTAAGATGGTGGGTCTCTTTGTTATCACCCTGGTTGGTATCTACACCGTGGTCGATCTATGGAATATGCTGGGCGACAAAAAAGTGACCAAAAAAAATTATGTGGGTCACTGGCTAGCCCGTATCTTCTGTCTGATTGTGGTTCCCTTCTTGGTGTTTTTGGCTTGCTTCAAAGTCCACTTCGACTTGTTGTCTCACAGCGGTACTGGCGACGCCAACATGCCCTCTTTATTCCAGGCGGGACTAATAGGTAGCGACGTTGGCGAGGGTCCTCGTGACGTTGCACTTGGATCCTCTTCCGTTAGTATCAAGAACCAGGCACTAGGTGGCGCGCTACTGCACTCCCATGTTCAAGGGTACCCTGAGGGCTCAAACCAGCAACAGGTTACTTGTTATGGTCACAAGGACAGCAACAACAATTGGATTTTCGATAGAGTTCGCCCTCTTCCAGCGTGGAACAATGAAGAGACGGACGTCGAATTCATCGAACCCGGCGTTTCGTACAGACTTGTCCATCCAAATACTGGAAAGAATTTGCACACTCACGAAATTGCGGCACCTTTGACCAAGTCCGCCTGGGAAGTTTCTGGGTATGGTACAGCGGAAATGGGCGATCCCAAAGATCATTGGGTCTTGGAAGTGGTGGCTCAGCACGGTTCAGAAAACTCGTCGCGTTTGCATCCCTTGACTACCGCTTTCCGTTTAAGAAATGCTGAACTAGGCTGTTATTTGGCCCAGACTGGCAACTCTTTACCAGAGTGGGGATTCAGACAAAGTGAGGTTGCTTGCTTGAAGAATCCCTTCAAAAGAGACAAGAGAACGTGGTGGAACATCGAGACACACACCAATGATAAACTTCCAGAGAGACCGGCAGACTTCAAGTACCCCAAACTCAACTTTTTCAAGAACTTTGTTCATTTAAATCTAGCTATGATGGCCACCAATAATGCTTTGGTACCAGACCCAGACAAGTTCGACAATTTGGCTTCTTCGGCTTGGCAGTGGCCCACGCTGAATGTTGGTATTAGGTTATGCGGCTGGGGTGATGACACAGTCAAATATTTTCTCATGGGATCTCCTGCCTCTACGTGGCCCTCGACAATTGCTGTCTTTGCCTTCATGGCTTTGATCGTTATATTACTACTCAGATGGCAAAGACAGTACACAGACTTCAAAAGCTCTCACGATCTTAACTTGTTTATGATGGGTGGGTTCTATCCACTTTTGGGATGGGGTCTGCACTACGCGCCTTTCGTCATTATGAGCAGAGTGACTTATGTTCACCATTATCTGCCCGCCCTCTACTTCGCATTATTGATTTTATGCTATCTTTTTGAAGCTGGATGTAACATTTTGGGTAGAACGAAAGCTGGAAATCTATCGAGATCATTGATTTACTGTTTCTACAGTGCTCTGGTGATCTACGGATTCTGCTACTTTGCGCCTATTTCCTTTGGTATGAATGGGCCCTCGGGCGACTACTCTTACATGAACTGGTTCCAATCCTGGACAATCGCCTAGTTAGTAAGTACATTCAACGTAAACACTCATATTTTTATCTTGTAAGATCAAAACTATTCTAAACCGTTGCCACGTCTGGCACTCGTGCCCGGCCTCAATGTCGAAAGGCCAAGAACTTGAGTACTCAGCCGACAACCGTGGGTTGCGTCATCCATTAAAACCAACTATCCGAACCGACTATATTTATTGGGTTATTCTATCAGTGTCCAAAAGCTCTGATAAGCTATGCAAATGAACTTCTTGTGTGTTCACAGGCGTCAGAACATGAGCTGGGCCAGCATTTCCCTGAATGCTTATAATATTCTCTAACTGAGGCGATTGTACAGGCGCCAATTGCAAGCTACTTCCCTCGTGCGAGTGGGCCAGCGGAGGCGGTAGCGGCATATGTGCTTCATTTCTTGAAACATGGTGTTGCCTTGAAAGTACGTCGTGGTCTATCGCGTCTTTTCTTGACGGTGTTGCTGAATGAATAGTTGCTCTTGCGTAACTTGGAGGAGATAACAACCTCACATCTTGGTACGTAGGGGGGACTTCATCATCCCACGCTATTCCAAGCCCTGACCTCTCAGTGATTACTTGCCGAAATTGCATTCTCAATACACGAGCAGCGCCTGTTGGGACACCGACAACGCGATGATTTGCGGCAGGTTTGGAAACATTCTGGGCTGCATCAGAGTTTGGGACTGTAGCGCTTACATGATCAGCAGCTACCTGTGCCGAAGCGGGGTTTCGGGCAGCTAACATTGGAGAGACTTCAGCCAATCTTTGATCGGAGCTCGCAGGCGTTATACCGCTGGACTTGGGGGTATGTCCCGGATGAAGAGGCTGGCCATTGGCATATTGAAGCATTTCCTCAGCAACAATGACCTCTAGTACCAGTAAGTGCTGCACGTATATGCCCAAGTGTGGATCTTCAACGTCACAAGCAACAGTTATGGGTTGCGTGCCCATGTCAGGCACTGGATGCATACTTGACACTCGGTTGATGGGATTAGAGACACCAGAATTCAGACCCATACAATTGATTTCTGTGACCATTTCGACTTTACCCTTGCCACTGAAATCGCTTTTCCATCCGTTCTTTACCTCGCCATGAGCAATGGTTCTTATTGCTTCCGTGAAGAGGGCCGTCCCGTGAGGTAGTTCTTGTCGCAGCATTTCATCCCTTAAACGCTGCTGCTCTGCCACCCGTTCTTGACGCAGCGCATGATCACTAGGATGGATCAGGTTATTTTCTTCCGGAGCGCTTTCTTCCTCTGGAGCACTTGGTTCAGCCACAGCATTCGGGTCTTCAGGAGCATTGGTATTCGAGAGGGCTTCCTCAAGAGTGCATACCGAAGTGGTGATCTGTGGGGCGGCGTCGTGGCTTCTTTTGACTGGCTTAGCTTTACTGGTTTTTTTGCGAGCTTCTGATTCTGCTACTTCTTTCTCAAGCTGATTTAGTTTAGACTTGTGGACATCGCAGGCCTGGAGCCGTACACGCGCTTTCTCTTCAATCTTCCAGTTTAGCCTTCGCATTCTCCAGCGTCGGTCCTCGGAGGAAATACCATCAATTTTGAGTTCCAGAGGAAAAGTGGACTTGGGGTAAATGATATTTGGTAGCACAGCAGTGGCAACCAAATCTGTGGGTGGAAAGATTCTTAGCGAATTTCTGTCCGGCCCACGTAAAATGCTTCGAGTAACAGGCACCGGTAACGTTAAAAGTACCTTTCGTGTGCGTCCACCTTTATTCTGCTCTGTGGGAATCGGCTTATACGATGCTACAGCCACCAGCTCATAGTTCACCTCCGTTTTCGACTCCATTCCTATGGCTACCGTAGCAGGAACTGACCCGGGAATCAAGTGGGAAAAGGGATAGACGTGATCGCCAAGCGGTATGTCTGTTTCTTTAACCACGACGTCCCATCTTGCAAGCTCGGTAACCTTGCTGCAACAATCTTTGCACGAATGGATGGCTGAGGAATCCGCGACGAATGGCTTGGTATAACGAACTTTCTGGACAAGTGAAAGACAGACAGATTGCACTCGGACTTTTGAATACTGGAGAGAAGGGTTTTTGGTTGCTCGAGGCAAATCCACGAGGCTCATTGACGAATTTTTCATCGATAAGTTGGAAAAAGTCTGGGACAAAGCATTTAAACTCGAGCTGCTCTTTTTCATGCGCCCATGAGAACTTACTGGCGAAACAGGTTCGCTGAAAGATATCACATCTTGTGGGTGTCTCACTCGGAGCTTGAGAAGACCACTTAAAAGAGCTCCTGTGGACTCTGTGAGGGCCCCATATAGAACGCACGGAGGAGACTCAACGTCAATCAAAAGTTCTACCATACCATCGTCCGTCCACTCATGATCCGGCGTGCTGGGTATGCTCTTTATGCCAGCTTTCTTCTCATTGTGAGGATTTTTTTTGATAAACACCATTGGCTTTGGGGTTCTGTTATATTCTTGATGCCCTGTTCTTGAGTCTCGAAGCTTGGAGCTCAGAACTCAGCTTTTTGGAGCTCGAATGGTAGAAACAAAGACCCAAGTGTGTTGGATTCGATTTCTCGTTACAGACCACGAAAACGAGCGCAGGAAAAAGCTCTAAAATCTGAATAATTAGACCAAGCCGTGTCCGATTGATGGCAAGACCCAGACCTTAAAATCGTGAAATCGGCGTATTTTGGGTGAATCGACAGCCTTTTGAATTCATGATGGTGTTTCTGTTAATCCTTGAGATAGCTCTCAGTTGAGATTTTCTTAATTTGACCATCGTATATAGTGATTGACAGATAAGACAGCGTCAGCGACGTTAAAAAGCTGGCGCGAGCTCAAAAACAAGCTCCGAGAGTTCTGATATTGTAACTGCTGTCATCTTAAATTGATGGTGTATTTTCTAGCTTTTCAACGGTTGATTTTGACCCATTTTGAAGGTATTTTGAATTTATTTTTTTGGTCGAGTCGTCGTCATCGTCGAGTCGTCGGGTCATATGAAATCTGCCCAAGTGTAGTCTCCGTCTAGCATATTCTGTATGTTGACATCATCACCAAATAGTGACATGGGATTCATGAGCTCGTCTGTCAGATCATCCTGACCGATGGGGAACGCTGTGGCTGCCAAAAGCTCATCTGCGGAAGGATAACTGGGAACTGATGGGCCTTGGCCAAGAGCTTTATGCACATAGTTCGAGAATTTCACCCAATCCTCGGGCGAGTAGTCAATTGCTGCTGGAATGTATGTGTCGCCTAAAACCTCCTTCAGATGACTGGTTGTGTTGGGATTTATTTCATTCTGGATCACCTGCATTGCATATTCCAAGAACAGTTGCTTGAACGAAGTGAAATAGGTGTCGGACAGGGTGTGAGAACCCAAGTGAACCAATTTCTGGACGTATTGGAAAATAGAGATCGCGACAGAGTCTATCACCGACGTTTTGTAGTTGATTTCCGCTCCAAGACTTTGCTTGTTTTCATTCTGCCACTTGAAGTCAGAGAGCCCTTCCTTTACCCTCAGAATAGTCAAGATGACGCCGATCAGATAATACGATACTCGAAAAGTACCAATCTGCACCAGCTGGTCCATGAAATAGCGATGATCGCGGAACACTAGCTTGTTTTGTTCGTCGCTTGCAGAGCTCATGTAGTCTTGAAGCATTCCCCCGAGATGAAGCGCGGCTTCGAAACACTCCATCGTGACCTCTCTATAACGCAAAGGCAAATGCTCGGATCGACCCAATCGCTTAATAATTTGAGCCTCCAAATCGCATACGATCGAGGCACGGATTGCCAAGAAGTATATTCTGATAATGACATTTACCTTGAAGTGAAGCGCGTTGTTCATACTTTGTAACACAGTGTGAATTGATGTCTCTGGTGCTAGATAGCGAGTATTCGAAAGCGGAACCACATATTGTAATTCATACTCGAGGTGCCGTATCTTTGAATATATCTCATCAACGTCAGTTCCTTCGCGCAACTGACTGGACAGCTTGTCTAGAACGCTAGCTTTGCTGTAAACTTCCAATTGCTTGTGAAGAATCCGATGAACTTGGTACTCTGTTTCGTCCTCGTAGTTCTCTCGTACCTCTTGCTTCAAAGTCATATTGGCATATTCAGCGCTCAAGGTGGGAAAATTGCCTCTCAAATACATGTCTGACCTCAATAGTATCAGTGTCCCCATCCAGAGCTTTGTTCGGTAGTGGAAAAAGTACCTTCCCTCTGGATCGTTGCTTCGATCGAGCTCTGAATGTATACAATCTCGATAGAGACCAATCTTGAAAGCATGATTCATTATCAAAGACATGAGCATATCTGTAATGGAACCAGTCATGACGTCTCCATCAGTAGGAAAGTAGAGTAGTGACCACCTTATTAGGATTAAACAGGAAAGAATGTCTTCATTTGTATTGTGCGAAAGCGCAATCAAATGTGCTAGGCATTTTTGAGCAACAGAAATGAACTGATTTGTGACTTCTCCATCGTATGGCTTATTCACTAGCATCATCGCGGTGTATGATATGCGCAATAACACCAAGAATATGGCAAAACGGCCAATTTTCCGAGCGAAATCTTGATCATCGCCGATTTTGAGACCTATTACTTGCCCAGAGTGTGAGTACTGAAGGGAATCCGCAACCATTTCGAGGATTTGCGTCTTGTGAATGTATGGCACTAAGGGATACATCTTGGTCATGAAGTAAGTGAGAAGTTGATCGAGATTGGTTTTGTTGGGCAAAATCGACACTATTAGATCGATGAGTTCTTGACGTGTGGTCTTGGAAACGTAAAACTCAAGGTCAATTGGCTCAGTCAATGCATTCTGTGAGGTTTGAGTGCCTTTTTCCAAAAGACAGCGTTTAATGGCTTCTGAGGTTTCTGCATTCAGATCTTCAGGGTTCATTGTGTGCTTTTTCAAGATTTTACGGACTTCTGGTGTCAAAAACAAGACCTTGGCCACGGACTCCAGTTCGTCGGAGTGGGGTGTGATGATGTCGCCCACAGACAGCATGAGTTTTTTCACGGCATAATTAAGTGGCTTAAAAGAGCGCGTTACAAACTTCAAAAACGGGTTCAAACGTGGATTTCTTTGAATCATGCCCATGTCTGAAAAAGGCTTGTAGTCGGACTTGAAGATGCTGGTGAGACAGCAAGGCTGAAGTCCTTCGTAGAAATTTACCTTTGTTGGAACTTTACTCGGACTAGAGGCCTGATTCCAGTCTTCAAGATCTCCGACTTTCAATGTGCGTTGCAAATCTTCAAACTTGCTTTCCAGCTCGTTCAATTTCTCATGTAAGGTTGATGGCTTGCTTATCCCATTCTTGTGCTTCGACTGATTCTCGAGATCATAGATGCATTCAATGTGCAGTTTAGCACAGTTACCACAAGTAGGCCGTTTCTTGTCACATTTGATCTTCCTTCTCTTGCAGTGATGGCATACCAATGATTGCCTTACTCGGGTTTTTTTGACTTTCTCGGTGTGATCTGAGGAAGAGTTCGAGAAAGATGGACTGTTGGAACCATCTGTGGCCATTGAAATTTCAGACACTGGTTTAGATATTGTTGGGAAGTGGTGTGGCAGATACCAGCTTGTAAAGTTTTGAGAGTTGTCTGGCAATTTGATGTCCACCCCAGTAAATAAAGAGTTTCGCCAAGATATAGTCACGTGGATATTTTAATTGGTGATGAGTTGGATCTAAGGGCCCTGACATCAAGGATTTTTGCCGCTGAAGTTGGCTGTTTGGATATCCAAAGGCTACTTTATCTGTCTAAACAAAATAACTCACCTTTCAGACTCTTTAAAGCTGAAAAATCGGTGCACTTCAAGCAATTTAGATTTCAATGAATATGGGGTGGAATAGCTCGAAAAGCGGTTAAAAAGAGCGTAGAATGAGACTCTAATGCTATTTGGAATTATTGTTGCTTTTCCAGGAAGTGAGATATCAAGGCTTTGGTGGTTATTGATTGTTCAGAATCGCTCAAAAAAAGTCTATGCTGAGCTAAACTTTGGCCTTTTCTTTGACTGGGTGTGGTTTAATTCACCTACAATTTGGTGTTTTCTGAAGGTTCATTTTTTTAGTTGCAAACGAAGCCATTTGGGGAGCGCAATTAGAGAATGTCTGGCTTTTCTACCTATGCATGTCGGGCAAGTCGAGTGAAAGAACAACTCATTAAAACAGCAGAAATTCATCCAAAATGCGGTTTTACTTATTGAGAATTTGCGAGGGTCGCTTGATTGGGCTTTTTATTGTTCGTTTTTAACGCATCACTCGCATCCATGCGTTTAGTGCGTCCATGCAGATATATCAGCACAAGCACGTTGGATTCATATCATACGAAATATACTTTCCGTATCAATTGAATTATCATCACACATTTATGATGCCGGTGAGGGATGCATTCACACACGTATTTATAATGGTAGAAATCGAAAAAATCGCTCTTACAATAATGGGCTGAAATTCACTAACAACTGCGGGACCAATTTAGAAACCGACCAGAACAACAATTTGGGTCCACCTCAATTCAGTAGTCAATCGGACACTCTGCGAAAACACTTGGTGATGTCTACCACTACGTTTTAAACATTAGACTAAGACAATGTGTTGATATCACTTTTAGCGTTTCTGACAATGACGCTGAGCCTGTCATTGAGTCACGTGTGTAATATACCAACGTCAGTGAAACCTTCGGTGTGTGTGTGTGTGTGTGTGTCGTCTATGGCACCGACGGCACTGTTTCGTAGCCTACGTAAACCACTGATGAGCGAGAATGACCTGCCGAGGAAGAAAGACCGACTGAACCACTTCCAAGATTGCCTAGGCGGATATACGCACTTTTTGAAATAAGAAAATAAACGGCTTTTTGAGCACTTCGAGTTTTAGCTGTGTACAAGCAGTTGCTACTCACGATTGATGCAAGGGACAAATATCCATGTGCCATTTTTTGCACTTTACACTCCATTGTTTTAATTACATAATTTTAACTCTTTTGATTACTTTTCAAGGAGAAATGATCCTGTAAGACTATTTCATAACCCACGTACACTATTGAATGCGCAGCGTTGTGCCAGCCACTCTCGATTCTCAACAACCATCCTATTGTTGTGATTCCCGGACCTCAAGGCCTTTGAAGATATCATTGGTGTTGATTAAGTACAAAGTGATCAAGTCACGGTTACCGAAAACTGACATCCGCACGTCGAAGCAGGGAGGTGGGTGGCGTGTATCGAAAGGGGACCAATTGATTGACACACTGGCAGCAGCGTTATAGCCATATATAAAACTCATCAGCTATCGCGGCGGGGGGGCGGGCAAAAGATCCACAGCTCACGTGACCTAAATACCAGACTAATATCAGCAAAGACGAATATAAAGTTTACATACGTAGTATTATCACGTGTCCCAAGCAGTCACGCTTTCAACCTATATATCATTCAGAACGAAACTTTTCATTTGCTTACCTAATCAGTACTACCTGACCTTATCCTACGTACAAAACGACCTCGTGCCCAAATTCCTAAAATAAGCTTTGTTTAACAGTATAGTAACTAACTAAAACTCATCCATCCTGATACATCTCCTTCTTCCGACTCAAAGAGCATCAAACCCCCGGTTTAATACCAGCCTTTCAACATGTCCTCTTCGGTACCCTACGATCCATATATCCCAGCAGAGGAGTCGCAGTCGCAGAGCAAAGCGGCCGCTTTGAAAGCCGTAAGTATCCGAAAACGCGAAATGCGAAGTTATCCTTTAAGTTGACTTTACTAACCACGCTCGATGATCAGGAAATCGATGATACCGTTGGTATTATGAGAGACAACATCAACAAAGTCGCAGAACGTGGTGAAAGGCTCACTTCGATCGAGGACAAGGCCGACAATTTGGCAGTTTCCGCACAGGGCTTCAAAAGAGGCGCAAACAGAGTTAGAAAACAGATGTGGTGGAAAGACCTGAAAATGAGACTGTGTTTGGTTCTGGCCGTTATTATCCTGCTCGTGGTCATCATCGTGCCCATCGCCGTCCACTTTAGTTGAGCAGTTTTGGCAGTTTTGGATACGCTAATTTCGAGACAAGCGTTCAGTTCTCGTATTGCGTATATCTATAGGAAAGCCCCAGGTGCTATGTATAATAAGTTTCCGATATGTTATTCACGGTCAAGGATTCGTTCTCTGTCTGCTGCGAGTTCTTCTATTCACCCCAGATCCCAGATCAATCGCTTAAAGAGAGAGAGAGAGAGATCTGGTTTGTCGAACTTACAGTGGTGACGCTGGCTGTGGAGGTAAGAACAGCACTGTAAGACTCCAAAAAATTCTTTCTCAGTAGCGGTTGGTTAGAAACTTGATGCAAATATGTAAATAATAATATATATATATATATATATGTATATATATATATATTAAACTCATACGCTTACCATAACTAAACTCCTCTCTGAACCTCTTGAACTGTCACATGCTGCGTAACCAACTCAACAACTCTTCTGGTGACAGGTAAGTTCATCCAAGCAGGTATGTAGGCCTCGATTTTGCCGAATTTTCTGGTTTCTATCAAGTTGAAAGGATCCTCAAATGGTCCGCTTTCAACGGTGAGGAAAATATCGTTGCTGTGTGTTTGAGACTTACCGTTTGATGACAAAGAGGACTCGTTCTTCACCCGATCTGTAACAAATGTTAAAATCTCCTGAGGAATGGGCACTTCATAATCTGCAACCGCATATTGAGTAATAAGCTTCTGAATTTGCACCGGTTTCAGCGAAGAGCAAATCTCCCATATAATATCGATGTCCTCCAAAGTGGCCTTTTTCAATTGCAAAAGCTTTGAAGCTTGAAGCATGTGTTGCAGACAATCGGTGCCTTCTGGGATGTGGTGAGACTTACACCACTCCTCCAACCTGGTCACGTTGTAGTTGAGCTGTAGACCTCTTTTCCATGACAGGAAGTTTCTCTTCATGATCAGATCGTTAAAACATATGGAGTCCACAAACTTTAATAATGTGATGATCACTTCGCGGAACACTTCTTGCTCAACGTGGTACGTCTTCATCGACCAGTAGATGTTGTTGAAAAAGGTCAATATGTCATCCATCTTGTAATAGTTCGACGGAGTAAAGAGCTTTCCCAAAAATTGGGTCGATTCATTCGCAATGAAACCGGGAAGAGATTGGGACATGACCACGGCAGAAACGGCTTTTTTCTCCAGGTCCTTTTGTAATTTCTTCAACCAAATATTGTAAATGTTGTAACTCAAGGACTCAAAATCATCCTTTAGCTCAGTGACTAGAGTCACGTACTCTTTATACTCATCTTCGTTCAAGCCGCTATTGTAGGAATCATCGTTTAATATACTCTCTTGCGCGAAAACAACAAAGGAGTACAATTCGCGAACATTTGTGAGCCAAAAGGCACCATGTTGCACCATATCATCACCTTTCAATCCAGTGACAAGCTTTTGAATAGTGGACATAGCGTCTGCGAGAAAGCTTTCACTTTGTTTTGTCAAACCCAACCTCCACATGTCGCTCAAAACAATGATCATTATTCTAGCAGGGTACAAGACCTCCTTTCTGGTCAACTCAGCAGCTACGCCAGTTTCTGGAATCTTAAAGCCCTTCAAGAGCCCCTCTACGATTTCAGTATTCAAAGTCTTGGTGTCTTCGAGAATTTTGTAAAGTTCATCGTTGATTTGAGACAATGCACTCGCTGTTGACCTAGCATCGTCTTCCATGCCGTTGTTCATAGAAATAACGTTCAACTGTCTTGGAGAAGTTCCATCTGTCACACTGCTATGACTACTGAATCTTCTGCTTTTAGTAGGTGTATTGACCATCATACCATTAGTGCTGACGCCGCTCCGAATACTGCTCTGCAAACGACTGATTTCATCCTTCAGAGATTTAACCTCGTTCTTTAGATCGGAATTCTGGGTCTGCGAGTCAAGATACTCTTGCTTCGCTTGTTTGAGGGCCTCCACATTCGAACGGACGTCATCTTTGAGCTTATCGTGCTTTGAGAGCAACTCGTCAATTTCCATACGAGCAGACTCGATTTCTGCTCTAGCTTCGCGTAGTTCCTCTGATTTGTTGGCAAGCTCCGCATTGTGTGAATCTTGCTGTTCTTTGAGATCTCTGCTATGCTCCTCTTTCTGCGAATTTAGAGCGTTTTGAATGTTGGCAGATTCATTCAAAGATGTTTGTAGTTCAATGATACGAGCAGTCATTTCTCTATTTTCCCTGACCTTCTCGGCCAAATTCTCTGTGAGCTGTATGACCTTGTTTTCCAGCTTATAACTGACTTCTTGCAAATGGTTAACCGATTTGGCCTCAGACTTCAATTGTTTCAATTGCCTTTGAGCTAGTTTTCTTCTTACCAAGGATTGAATGCGAATCGAGGATCCTCTTGTTGTGTTGAAGCTCTGGCGAGGACTGAAACCCCGAATTTTGCGTTGGATGGCAACTGCGGCATTCGCACGCTGTTTTTCGGACAGCTCCTTTTGCGCAATGCGTTTCCTTGCCAATGATTGCACCTTAATGACAGAATTCATGGTCGTCTTCACATAACGACGTTGGGCCCAGGATCTAAAGAGAGCTTGTAAGCAAGTGGCTGCCATATTTTTCAGTTCAAGTTCAACCTTCATCCGACAAGAGTGACCACCAGCAAATGCTTGTAATTTATGGAGAGCAGTCTGAATAGCCTGATATTTTCTGCGGTAATAAATCCCTCTGATTTTTTTCTGTATCAGAACGCAGGCATTATGCATTTTCGTGCTTCTCAGTTTCTCCAAATATGCCAGCATACCTGCCTTGAAAAAGATCTTAGTGTTACCAAGCTGGTACTTCTCCTCATCCTTGACCGTTACTTTTAGAATTTCCTTGCATAAAGCTCTGATGTCCTCCTCCGAAGCTTCCAAAGTAAAAATTTTGGTCCAGTTGTCTGAAGGAATTAAAATATGATATCTCAGAATAAATTCGTTGTAGGTCCATCTCGATGGGAAGCCTGCACACGAGATGCGAATGGTCTCTAGCACACCGCAAGCTCGAAGTTGAGACAAGACCATGAGGTTATCGAACTTCCAAGCCTCTTTGTCTTCATTTGGTTTTATGCAGCGAATGTAGTGCACGTTCGTAGAATCGATCGTTGTCATCAAATCAATTAGCGACTGCTTGAACATGGACCCTAATGTTGGTTTCTTATTAACCATTCTCGCTTGCCCTGGCCTCTTGCTAGCTTCTTGTTTCTCGGCAAGCGCAGCAGCATTTTTGTCGATGATATCCAAAATGGACCTCAGGGTCTCATTTTGAGTAGCTCTCAAAACCTCGAGGTGTCCGTCTGAGACTGTATCTCTGTTTTTTTCTATGAACCCGTCAACGTCGTAGGATACGTCCAGAGCATAATGCGAAACGACGAATTTGCTCTGGCCGAATCTTGGTTTTGAAAAAACGGAGTTTGTAGGAGGCTTGTCGAGAGCCTGATATAGTTTCTGAGTCCAGCTTTCATCAGATCCTGCGGGAAGCCTAGATTCCTCATCAAGTAAGGACAGTATACCCAGCTTATTTTCGATCAGATCGATGCAAGGTTGGTTGTCGTTGAACTCGATAAAGGACCACTCAATCTGCTCCGCAACATATTCTTCTTGTTCGAGTTTGAAGACGTGTTGATTGAACTCTTGTTGCAATTTTTCATTGGCGTAGTTGATACAAAATTGTTCAAATGAGTTCTTCTCAAAGTGTTCAAAACCATAGATATCTAGAACACCAATGAAAGAGCTGATATGGTTTGATACTTCCGGATTGCACAGAACTGTGTTGATATTTTCCACTAGCCAATCGAAAAGCGCAGTGAATATAAATTTCGCGACGGAATCCCTGGCAACAATCGCTTGGCTATAAGATAAATTCGAAACGATCTTCTCCGACCTCGTTGTAATTTGTTTCTTGGTGATCCACTTAGCAAATTCAAAGGCATCAATACCCAATAATTCGCATGCAATGACGAGATTAGGTTCATCTGAGCTCAAAGAAGCGTCGTTCCGGGTCTTTTTCACTTCAATGTTACCAATATGGAGCAGTGCGGCCAAAATCTTAAATAGTTGATGCTGAGTGTCGGTAGAAAAGCCGACCAGCTTCAAAGCATCTACAGTTTCGTGATAGTCAGCGGCATCGTCGACACCTTTGATGCGGTAATCTCCTCCCTGGTTGAGGTAATGATAGTCTTCCACTTTGCTCAGTTTCAACTCAGATTTTTCTTCCACTGACAACCCCGCTAATAGTTGATAAAAGATGTGGTAGTTTCTTTCCACTTGTGGTTGGAACACAAGTCTTGAGCGCTCTAGTAAGTAGGTTCTAACGCGGGCACCGATAATGGAGGTGTTTGAGTTGAACAGAATTTCCAGGTATTTGCCAAATCTCGACGAGTTGTCGTTTCTGGTGGTCTTGGCGTTACCAAATGCCTCCATGATCGGATTGGTGGCCAAGATTCGACGTTCGGTCTCCGACATTTCGTGACGCTGACCGTGGTGGTCTGCAATAGCCGAAGAATCCCTGTTGGCCGCTTGCTCGACTGATGCAAAGTAGCGCATGATGTATTTGGCCGAGACGGTTTTCCCGGCACCAGATTCACCACTCACCACGATAGTTTGGTTTTGTTTGTCGTTTTTCATGAGCCTGTAGGCTTCTTCTGCGATAGCGAACAGATGTGGCTCGAGCTCGCCCCTGCGACGGCCGGCATAGGCCTGGATCATATCCTGGGAGTAGAGCTGTTCTACACGGTCGAACGGATTCGTGGCGATCAGAACGATCCCAGAGTAGGTGTAAATATTGAGTTGTCCATACCGCGTCTTGATGGCATGCAATACGGCAGGCTCATTCAAATATGACAAAGACGTCAAATCTTCAATTGCCTCGAGGATCGGAGGGTTTCTCAGCAGTGGCAGCGTGGATTTGGCGTCAGCACCGCCATTGCTAGAGCTATTGTGATGTTCCTCGCTCAAGGACGATGTCTCGATATCCACAGTTTCGCCATTTTCGAGTGTCAACGTCAAACAGTACTTGTTTTCCTGTGAATTCGAGAGTTTCGAGACTTCAGCACCGACCCAGCCCTCTTGTTTATCAGGAAGCCAGCATCTGGTCCCCACTTCGTATGACATAGGTGCGAATTGACAACTGAAAGCTCTTAGATTATGTGTTTGATGTTCGAGGTGGTAAAGTTCTCAAAACTTGGAATATTTCGGCTCTGAAAAACGCTACAATGACCTGCAAAACTCGCCAAAAGCGTCAAAAGTATTCCCACGCAGTATCCAGTCTTGTTGCTGCGCTTTTAGGGTCTCGAATCACCCACGGTTGCACAATTTGGGTGAAGATCGATATTTTGGATCAGTTACAGGTTAGTTTAGAAAGCATTAATCTTTTTTGTGTGGTCGAAATACGTGGTAATTTTTCCACCGTAAGAAAAACGCCAAAATTTTGGTGTTTTCGAGTCGCTGAGATTTAGATAGAATTTAGAGCTAAGAAACGAGCAGTTAGTGAGGGAGTTTACAGTGGCTATGAGACCTTTGTAAAGGGACCCGGACGTGTCGTTGTAGATGTTGGAAGAGAGAAAATAAAGTCACGTGACTTTTCTGGAATTCAATGAACGTATTTATCGCAAGTTTCTCGCCTGTAGCTTCGAGGTTAACGACGACGTGGCTCTAATACATTATTCTATACTGGCATTTGCGAATCAAGGTCTCGCAAGTCGATGCTGACGTTGGTTATTGATCATATTCTCGTAACAGAGTCACGTGACTAGATGACAGCATAACAGTCAAAGCACGATAGGGACGATCCTCTTGTGAGCAGGGGTAATACACTTGGTTGAATGAGAGGTATGTGTATACTTCTTTGGGGTGAAGTGTGTTCACTTTCCTGGTCTTTGTATTTTTTTTTAAAGCTTCACCTTCGATTTCATATCCTATCAATTTAGCGTCGCCGCTCGCTTCACTGGCCAGCGACCACTACCAGACGTTTTCAAAGACCTGGGGATATGGATTTGCGTTGTGATTTTGCCTTGCAGTAACTATTGATCGCTGTCGCTTTGGATTTTATAATCGCGAGAGTTTTATGACGCTCTCAATTCTTAAGCTTTGTTTCTTACATATATGTATAAACTATTCTATAATGCGAAGAGCCACCACAAAATATTCACAATTGCTCGTTGATGCTCTGTTCTTGGTTATCATCAAAAAAATATTTGGTTCGCAGTTACTCGTTGATGCTTTCCACCATTCAGTATAGATTCAAGGCCCTTTCTTATTCACAATTGATCGCTGACGCTCCATTGTCAGAAAGACTGAGAAAGTTCTAATTATTCACGATTGATCGGTGATGCTCTCAATTGTTCAAGTTACAAAATCTATTGATAAATTGTTCTGTAATGCTTGCAGTCGCCATAATCATTCACAATTGATCACTGACGCTCTCGACCGTTTAGTTATGCTCGTAGTTACTATGATCATTAACAACCGATCGCTTACGCTCTCAATTGGCCAATAATAGTTCAAAGCCCTTTCAAATTCACAATTGTTCGCTGACGTTCTCAATTGTTCAATAATACTTCAGGGCCCTTCCATATTCACAATTGTTCGCAAACGCTCTCAATTATTCAATTGTGCTCGTAGCTACCAAAGCCTAGCGGCTACTACAATCGACCGCCAAATCTACCCAAGCGTCCTCCCCTCAACTAAGCTTTCCGGTCCCAATTTTGCGTTCCTTACCCAATTGTATCCTCTATTAATACCCTACAACTTGTTCAATCGTTCATCTCATCGCCTATAAAAACAGCACGAGCCTAGCAAAGCACTCCACATCTCCCCATCCTTTTGTAACTTTTTCTAAACTCCTAGACGTATCTTTACCGGCTCTACAAACAGTCAATACTTTGTCCCTTGTAGCTGGTCTCTTACACCACATATAGTTTCTCCGCTAGACACAGTAACTCGCCCATATCATATTTAAAAGACACTGCGAACCGCTTGTACCCGACTCTACACCGATTACAGCTACTATTCACCACTAAACACACCTTTAAATCCTAACTCTTTGTCCTGCTTGTTTGACACATTTCAGTTCAACAAGTTCAAATGAACCCTTTCTAATCTTCGAAACTATGAAAAACGAACCAGTTTGCGAACTCCAAGACCATCAATGTACGCGCAAACACCTCCACTCGGCCAAGATGTTCTCAGACTCAGACACTCGTCGGAACATGGGGAGATTCCAAGACATGCGTTCCATCGAGGCCGTGATGTGGAACGGTATGCCATGAATAAAGATGACTTTACAGCTGCTTCTATGGGTAAGTTCAGTGAATGTTTGTTCCGCAGCGGCAGAAACAAATCAGTATCCAGACCTCTGACCTTCAAGAGCGACTTATCAGTGCATGCAGGCGACAGTCCCCGGTACGGGTCGACATCGTCGCTACCAGCCTTCACAAGAACTACTTCGTACCTCCGGCGAAACTCGCCTTCTGCAAACATCAAGTCCTCCAAAAGCCAGTATGAAAAAGTCGCAGACAAGGGGCTCGTGTACCAGTTTCTAAATGTCGAAGATGGTAGTGCAGCAAAGCCAGAGGCCCAAGTCCTGCATTCGTCGCAACCATCAATTACATCACTGTCGTCGCAGGATGAGCGGCTTCCACGATTAGTGCTGTGCGATTTGAAGGACGCAAGTACAGTTCAAGAGGGTACAACTCGCGGCTTCAGCACTTCAAGCCCCAGTTCCAGGCCCAATTGCACACCGGGTCTAACCTTGGCTGACGAAATATCAAAATTCGACAATTGCATTCGAGGCACCCTGACCGAACTTGCAACCAAAGAACTGGCCATGAAGCAGGCTTCGGAAGAGCTGGAATCGTTACAAAAGGACATACACAGGACTCAAGAAACCATCAAACAAATTCAGTCCCAGTTGGCTTACCAAGACATCAAAAAAGTACAGTGCGCGTTCGACACAGAAAACAATGCCTCTTTCATCTCCAGATTTACTAACAACATACAATCCTATAGCGAAGAACTAGCGGCATTTGAGAGACACATCGGCAAGTGCAAGGTCGAATTGACAAACCATAAGGCTACCGTGCACAAGTTCGAAACGACCATCAAACTCAATGAAATGTTGCGGGACTGTCAAGACAGTATGTGCGTGATAGATCGACTACGAGAATATAAAGGCATTCTAACGGATCTTTTCGCTTTGGTTTTGATTGTCGTTCTCTCAATTCTGCTCAAAAAATTCCTGATCCACAGGAAAGGAAGCTAACAATAGGGCAAATATATTACCCAAAGGAAGTAAATTCAAAGAGCCATAAAAGGAACCGAAATATACATCACTGATCAATGCCTAGTTCCCTCTCAGCTGCTGTCCTTCTGCTTTGAATGTGTCCAACTGTCACTATACACGATATGTGCCATTAATTACAGATGGCCTAGCTGATTGGATTGAAGCGTCCGGCAAGAACCAACCAGTTTGCCTCCAAGAACGGTTATCTCTAGCGCTCACAAGAAACTCAACACCCTTGAAACCACAATGGCACCATGGTATGTGGCTTATACTGTTTTTTCCGAAGCAAATTGCATTTTTTTGCGGCTAGCTAACCCAGTTAACAATCAGCCTTTTCATGACCCAAGTGGCTCCCGGAGTTGTTCTTCCCATTAGAATCTTCATCAATCGGAAACAGATTGCCAAAAATATTGAGGATGGTATGTGTATTTTGAGCACAGTGATTTGATGTGGTTTCTCAGATCTTCAAACTAACTCTAATGCTACAGCTCGACCTTCCTTTGAAACTCCCATATTGTCGAATAACTCCATAATAAGGCTGAAATCTCCACTCGTAAGGCTGTACCTGTCCAACACCGATGCCCGAAATCTATGTGAAGAGATAAAAGACGAGCTGATGTTGATCTTGTACGAGCTGACGGCCAAGAAAGTGCACGAAAGTGTTACGGGGAAATTGAAAATTGGCAACCTTGTAGAATTCAAGGACATTTTAGAGAAGCTTCCATCGCTTAGGTCAGCGTTTCAATGGGATTCACACCCCTGTGGCATTCTCACCCTCGAGAGAACGGCCAAATATCAATACAAACTGCATTATGACAGGAACTGGAGCCTGGACATATTTATTGATGATATCAGAAAACTTTCACGCATAAGGGATACACTGTTAGCTCGTCTATTCCCAGGAAGCGCATTACAGGGCTCTATGGGCTCTATGGGCTCCCCTGGAATGAAGGTCCTAAGGCGAACTCGTCAAGAGATTCCCGCCCCTTTGTCTACCACCGAAAAACCTCAAATCCTGCGTGAAAGCGAAGACGATATGACTTTACCTGATGATATTGGAGAAGGAGCAGATGGACTGCAAAAGGCTGAGGTTTCGGTCAATACTACAAAAGACGAAAAAAAACCTCAGTTTCGGTATAGACATCTTCCGATGCTTAACCTGGGAAACTGTATCAATATCCATGTCCTGAGACGACCCAAGCGAGCTCAAAGGACCAGCATTTGAAGCATTGAAAACCTGTTCTTCTACCCGGTCCTCTACCTGTTTCTCTCATCATGTCGTGAAAAAGGACTACAGGGTTTTTTGTCATATTTTTGAAGTCACTATGATTCATCTCTGATATCAACTACATCCAACCTTGATCGAAGTCCTGTCTTCTTACCTAATAGACTACACTTTTGATTGAACAGGCCATTATTTTACGACATGAGTACCAGCGCCGAAGCTACCGCCAAAAAAGCCCGTTTGAGCGGCAACGTTCTGAAGACTATTTCCAACGAAAAGCGTTCTTCACTTTTACACAAGATTCACGATGGACTGAAAGCCAACGCCGCTTCTATCAAGGAAGCTAACCAGCTAGACTTGCAAAGTGCCGAAAAAAATGGACTAGCAGACTCTCTTTATAAGAGATTGGACCTTTTCAAGGGTGACAAATTCGAGACAATGCTAGTGGGTATCAAAGATGTGGCTGGATTGGAGGACCCAGTTGGCAAACTTAAGCTAGCACGGGAACTGGATGAAGGTTTGAATTTGTACCAGGTGACTGCGCCTGTAGGTGCTCTTCTAGTGATTTTTGAGTCCAGACCAGAAGTTATTGCGAACATCACATCTCTGGCAATCAAATCTGGTAACGCTGCCATTTTGAAGGGGGGAAAAGAATCTGTCAACACGTTTAGAGAGATTTCGAATATTATCAACACGGTTATCACTGAAAATGAAAGTGTCTCCGGTATTCCTTCCGGTGTTATTCAATTGATCGAAACCCGTCAGGATGTGTCAGACCTTTTGCAGCAAGATCTCTACATAGATTTGGTTGTTCCTCGTGGCTCGAATGCTCTGGTAAGACAGATCAAATCAAGCACCAAAATTCCTGTTTTGGGCCATGCTGATGGTATATGTTCAATATACCTGGACGAGGACGCCAACTTGGAAAACGCGAAACGCATCACGATAGATGCCAAGACTTCTTATCCCGCTGGATGTAATGCTATGGAGACCCTTCTCATAAATCCAAACATGCCTGAATGGTGGCAAGTTCTCGAGAACTTGGTCAAAACAGGAAATGTTAAGTTGCACGTCACCGCTGACGTGAAATCGGCCTTGTTGACCAAGCTTCAGGAAGCTAACAAACTTGACGAGCAGCTGCAAAGTTCTATTGTTGATGCCGATGAGGCCACTGATTTTGACCAGGAGTTTTTGTCTCTCGATTGCGCGGTAAATTTCGTTGAGTCAACGGAAGCAGCTGTCGCTCACATCAACCTACATTCGTCTAAACACACCGACGCTATAATAACAGAAAATAAAGCCAACGCCGAGTACTTTTTGAAGGGTGTTGATTCTTCTGGTGTTTACTGGAATGCGTCGACCAGATTTGCTGACGGTTTCAGATACGGGTTCGGTACCGAGGTTGGAATCTCCACGAGCAAGATTCATGCCCGTGGACCCGTTGGGTTGGATGGTTTAGTGAGCTATCAATACCAGCTTAGAGGTAGCGGCCAGGTTGCCAGCGACTACGTTGGGTCTGGTGGTAACAAGGCTTTCATTCACAAAAATCTAGACACCTCTCAAGTCCAACTAGGAGCCTAATTCAACAACCGTTCATAAAGAATTAATTACAGAACTACGAATAATGTGATTTTGTTATAAATACCCACAGCTCCATTGAGAGTGTCGAAGCAGCGCTTAGCGTTCTTTCATCAGTCATGAAATGGGTTTGCTGAAGCATCTTGCAGTTCCCCATGGGCGCCTCTCTTCAGTGTCGTGTCATACATTCTGATAACTTTATCTTGGCCACCGACTTCGCTTTGAGAGAAGGCGAAACCACGCTGTTTCTTCATTCTTTGAACTTGTCTTACCCTCCGAATAGCCTTTTGGAAATGTTCCATGCGTGGTCTGTAGTCTCCAATGTTGTACTTTTGCATTTCTTGAACGACGTGGTAGCTCTCTGGGGTATAAGTTCGCTTGTAGTATTTCCAAACAAAGTCCCTCAGCAGCGCAAAGAAGGGCAAAACGATGCACATCAACCAGAAGGTTGCAGATCCGTAGACGTGTGGCACAATACCGTAGTATTCACGCGAAACATTCGCATGTGGAAATATACTAGCGTAAATGGGGAAAAATACCAACCAGAATGCCAAAGAGCCGGGAATGGCAAAAGCAGTGAACTTGGTCCATTGGTTGGTGACAAGCGCAGCCTTTCCAATGACAATAATGACACTACATGTGTAGATTGCCACCCCCCATGTCCAATGATCAGCAGTTTCTCCATGAGAGTTCAAAACGTTTCCGCGGCCATAGATCAAGTACGATCCCAAGAAAGTAACAGCAGAGTGGTAGAAGCCGTTGGCGACCCAGCCCCAAAAAATTGTCACCGAAAAAAATTGACCCTTTTGTCCCAGTCTGTACAGCTGTGGGTAGCGGTCGAGAAGACGACTACTAACAAATTGATCAAAGACTCCCATCACGAAAGGCGGCAAGACGGTGAAAAACACGTTGTAGAATGTCATTGTCCATGACTCCATGATAGATTGTCCCGAGTATGCGTTGGCGAACACGTACCAAAATTGGGTCATGTAAAGCGCAATGTTTTTGTAGAATGAGTAGAGAATGGCCTGTGATATTCTTTGATAGGACCACGATCCGTGAACTAGTAAGAGTTTTTTCAAGAACTTGAACTCTGCAATTGCGAAGTCCGCTGAACGGGCAGCCTGCATACCCTCCATTCCACTGATACCCACACCGATATGCGCCGCTTGAATCATGCTGACGTCGTTCGCACCATCCCCGATTGCTAGTAGCAGGGACTCTGTTTTGCGTTTCACCATTTTCACCACGAGCGCCTTTTGCAACGGAGAAACACGGCAGCAGATAACGGCCTTGCATATTTTTCCCACGGCTAGTAGGTAATCTTCCAGATCGCTCTCTAAAGCATAACCGAGAGATTTGCCATCTATCACTAAAGCCAAACTGTTAATGTCCTGTTGAGAGATTTGATGGTTACCAATAGCCCTTAGTTTTTCCATTAAATTTCTTCTGGTAGCCTCTTTTGACTCTTCGTTAACGATCAAAAGGTTCATGTCTTCGCTCAACAACCGGCAACTCATACCAATGTTTATGGCCGTTTCTTGTCTATCACCTGTCAAAACCCAAATTTTTATTCCAGCATCCTGCAAAGTGTGGATGGTTTCAGGAACTCCATCTTGTAGCTTGTCTTCAATTGCAGTCGCACCTATCAGAAACAAATCCTTTTCAATCGATTCAGCCGCTTCATCCATTTTTCCAGCTCTATCGTCAAGTGTTGTGGACGCCGCGTTATACAGCTTTTTCCAGTCAGCATACTCAGTATCAGATATAGTTCTCGTTGCAAGACACAGCGTTCTTAACCCCTGAGCCGCATAGTCTTCTAGATGACGAACTGTCGCTTCCACATATGGATTGTTATCCGCTCGAAGTCTTTCCAGTATGACCGTGTCAGCTCCCTTACAGAACAATTTGATCTGTCCGTCCGGCATTCTGAATATTCCACTCATTCTTTTTCTGGTAGAGTTAAATTCACAAATATCAAGCAGTTCGTAAACTTGTTCTGTTCCTGAGCTTTCTATCACAATAGAAACGGTGCTGGGTTTACGGATGATGAACTTATAGCCAAGCATTGCTGCACCCTCAACCAAGGCACCCTCATCCGGTGAGGCAGCTTGGTATTTAATTGACCCGTCGTCCTGGAACTCGGGTATAACTGTATGGCAAGTTGCAAGTAATGTCAAAAAGTCATTGATAATTTGAGACTCAGGATCATCACTGCAATCAAGTCTAGATTTCATCTCGTCAAATTTCCTGAACCCAACCTCGATCCCATCTTCTATTCTTGCATTGTTTTCCTCGGGTATAGTTTCGATGTAACACTTGCCAGCGATGGAGCAAGACTTGAACTCCATGACATTTCTTGTAAGCGTACCAGTCTTATCACTGAAAATGTATTCTATTTGACCGAGCTCCTCAACCAAAGAGGAGGTACGAACAACTGTTGGGGTATCAGTTTTTTCATCGTAAAGGTCCAGATCAGAACCGATCATATAGGCTTGGTAATATTTGATCATTTCGACTGTGACGAACAAGGAAATAGGTACCAGATTTGAGAACAAGATCCAGTAGGTTAGGATATCTTTAAAAAAGAGACCGACTTTGTTCGTGCCCTGTAAATACAGATACGACAGGTGCTTGGCGTCACTTGTAACTTTGATAACATTGCCAATAGAGGAAATCAAAGCCAAAACGATCAGAACACCGAAAAGAGCTAGAATCTGCATGTTTATGACACGCTCAACAGCTGTTCTTTTAATAGGCGTCGCAGTGGCATTACGCATTAGCTTGGTTTCGTGTCCTGTGAAAACAACAAAGCCATAAACCCAGGCTGTGTTTCGCAAAGTGGCACCTCTCAGAATCAATTGTTCGGGCGTAAGTGGTATTTGCTTTCCATTCAAAGTCATTGTTCCCTCGTAGGTGTATAAGCTTGAATTTGGCTGCTCGGATACAACTTTTCCGGACACTCTGGCCAGTTGAGCAGCATCCAGATTTTTGGAGGTTTCCACTCTGGCCTGTTTGATCTTCAGATTGGTCTCACCATCGAGATTAGCAGTTTCGATGTAACATAGACCCTCTGGTTCAGAAGAGGACAAAATTATGATATCTGCCGGGATGGCTTCTTCGGAGTTGACTTTGATGATATCGCCAACCGAGATGTTGACCCACTTGTTGGCAACAAAATCGTGTAGCTGTTCAGAAAAGACTTCTGCCTTGGAGTCATTGAGCTCTCTGTCTGAACCTGCTCGCTTCAAATCTTCAACACTCTCTTTAACTGCCGAAACAATTAAAACAACCAACAACGTGCCAATGGTAGTGTATCGATTGGTTGGTGTGACGTTAGGAACCTGCTGTATCGCAGACGTAAACAGGAAAAACAAGTTTGCGTACTTCGAGAACTCCTGAAACAAAAATTTCGGTAAAAACGTGGCCAGGTTGTATTTGGTGGTGGAAATGTGATTGTCGCCGAATCCCTGGGCGATATTGGCTTCCCTATCGTTGAGATATATAATTCGCGGGGCGCCTGCTTCCACATTCTGGTCTCCAGGTCGACGTAGAATGTAGCGATTGAAAAGTACTTTAATGTCGAATTTGTTTCTAGACCTTGTGTATCTATCATCTTGGCCCAGGTCGTCGTAACTGTGCATTTCGAAGCCCTGGTAGGCGTTAGGACTATTGTTGCCCAGACTGAGGCCGGTTTTCAGCCTTCGAAGCGCCCTTTTAAAGCGAGAACTTCCTTGCACTGGCATTCCAACGTCACTAGGATTTCGTAGAGACCGTTCATTTGTGTCATTGCCAAATGGATTTTCTACCATGTCATTTTCGATATTGTCTTCGTGTCCAAACTCTGCTGAGCCACGGTCGAGGTCCACCGTTTCCTGCGGTACAATTCCATGTCGCAAACCATTCAAAAGGTCATAATCAGAGTCTACTATTCGCGTTTCGAACGGATTCGTGTTACTGACGTTAGACAGCCGTCTGTCGAAATTTGGCGCAAAATCATCGTTTAAAAAGTCAATGTCAAATAATGTATCTTCGTTAGATCTTCGCCGAACCTTACTCATGGTGTATAGCGGTCAATTAGGCTGTGGATGGGTCTTTCTTTGACTGAAGTTTGGTGGTGAAATTGTTCAAGAGCGTTTGGGTTTAACTTTGAATTTATGTTAAGCTCGCTGATTACTTAATCTTTAAGATGTTTAAGTTATTAGATAGTCTTGTACGAGAGAAACAATGGCCTTAAAAATCATGTGACACATGTAATGCTTTTATACGAGTTTTTTACTTATATAATCAAAAAACAGGTCTCATAGCCACGTGATTAAATAAAATATTTTCACACGAAATAAACGATTACATAATCAAAATATTTTTCACGAACTCTATCACTTTACACGACACTGAGTACATTGGCCGGGTGATGGAATAGATGCTATTATAGTAAGTACTTAGTAGTAGTGGTAGTATACACGATGACAGGACCCAGGTTTCCCAATTCTTCCTATGGTCTAGTAGCAAGGGCAAACTAGCGAGCCAGTTCCTGCTGTTGCGGTTGAGTTTCCTCTTCGTATTCAATTTCAACTCTGGGACGCTTCTTTCTGGCAGCGGCCGCGGCCAGTTTTCTGCGTTTCTGGTTTTTGGTTTCCTCGTCGTCATTCTCGTCACCACTGCTGCCACTGGTAGTGTCCTCAGCGTCAGAGTCCGAGTCTTCATCACTGTGCGAGGCGTTGGGGTCGTCAAGCCATCTCTCCAGGTCCTCCACGTCAACAAGCTCTTCGTCGTCCACGTCATCTTCGACGTACTCGATCTCTGCATCGCTTTCTTTCTCGTCTTCGTCCTCGTACTCGTTCTCGTCTTCGTCCTGGTCCTCCTCGACGTGACCCAAAACCTTCTTCCAGATTTTTTCGTCGACATTCAAAGGCTTGTCACCGTATGCACCGCTCTTGAGTCTCTCCAACAGCTCCTTTTCAATGGCCTTCTCGATCTTCGCCGCACCCAGGGCCTTACGTTCACGGTTTTCCTCTCTTCTTTTGACTTTGGGCGCGATCCCTACGTAGTGTCTTTCTTCTTCTCTGAGTTCCATGCGTCTTTCTGTAACTGCCACCTGTGTCAGACGAGTCAGTCTCTGCTTGCATTTGTGAATTAGAAATTTGTTCCAGTACAGCAGTTGGTCGTCCACTTGTTTTAATGCTTTCGCGTAGTTCTTTGACAGCCTTATTCTTTCCCACATTTTGGCCGGCGTGTGCGCCCTCTCGGCCGTTTTCATGTAAAGATACAGTCTACCGCCCACATTTTTTACCGTTGCGTATCTCGCATTAGCCAAAGGACACGATTGCCGGGAACAAAAACCAGTGACGTTGTATTCGTTTCTGCAGAAATTTTGACCTTTGTCGGTTTTTAACTTGTATGCGCAGAAGTGTTGATTTATGACCTGCCAGATAACTTCATCAGACATTGTAGAGCTTGTTAACCGTGTTTAAACGCTGTCTCGATATTCAAAGAAAGCTTCACTCTCAGTTGTTTACGTTGGTTAAAGCTTTCTAGAGCTCATCTCATCTCATCGCTCTAATAAATTTTATCAAAAATTTTTCAGATTTCTCGACGACAGGAAAATAAACAATGATGCGTAGACAGCTCGTTAACGGCTGACCTTATGCCAGAAAGCGATGAGCGATGAGCAGTCTGACGACACACTGGGAAGTTCATGACAGCATGCTTGTCATTTTATCTGTTCATATGTTCAGTGTTTATTCATTGTAGTGGGTAGTGATTGCAATTGAATTTAGATGTAGCCCATTAATTCTGCGAATTAAATCCTTGGGTGTTGAGTGCGGATTAATCGAACGTCGAGTGTATTCCATTGGGTTTTGTAAATGTAGTCCTTGTATATTATAAGTATGAACTTTCACACTCCACATTTTTGTTTATCTTGCTGGATATTGACGCCCCATTGTGGAGTTCAAGATCCTGCGCCAGTAAATGTTGCTACTGTGATGCCTCTCTCAATCGCGTAATCTCAGCAGAAGAGAGACAGCTAATGTAGACACATTTGCTTAGTAGCTCTTCATTTGCCTTGAAGTCGTAGAATTTGGACCACTGAGCCCTTTGGATGAAATTTTTGACAATTTGAACGTTTGTCTGAAACTTGCTGTAATTTAAGACCTGATTGTTCACAATCCAATTGTTCTTTTCAGAGTTCAGCGTGAGATCTGACAAGTATACCACAATAAATGGTATACAACCCTTCAATGGATCGATACTGTTGAGAAGACCCCGAATATTTTGGTAGTTCTTCTCCAATGATGGAATGTTTTTCAAAGACTCCCATATGAGAACGTCACCAGGCTCAATGAGCCTCCAAGCATCTCTGAAGCTTTGAGCTACCAAAGAGCTTAGTGCCAAAACTATCTGCATCAAAGTGTTGTAGTTTTGAAATTTCCCGCAGTGGTCTGCCACATGTATGAATCTCTGAATAGTATTTCTCCTGAGCCTGTTGTCTGTGGTCAAAACAATCTCCGAAATAACCCAGTCGACTGTAAGATTGAAACGCGCGATTGCCAGATCAATACCAGAAAGATTCACATTTTGCAACAGAAGCTGCAACCAACTTGTCACTGAGAGAAAACTGTGGCTTACCTTCAAATCAAGAAGTTCTTTCCAATCAATTTCGTTCAAAATCTCCCTCTCCACTAACGTCAACTGTTCGGCAATGGACTTCGAGTCATACATTAAAATGAAAGGCACATGCTGGTCCGCGTTGGAGACATCCAATCTGCTGTCTTGTAAGGTATAGCTTTTCAAAAGTTCCCGTATTTGGGCTTCAGTAGCTTTACGATCACTTCTTCCATTTATGTTTTTGGAGTGGGGCGTCAATGGTATTTCACTCTTCACTTGCCGCCTTCTTTCAATGAGAAATGAGTTTCTATCTTTGGAACCGAGAACAGACAAGCGTCTAAGCCTTAATTTTTCTATATCAATGTCTTGTTTTTCTTTATTGGCCTGCGTAAAGTCGAATGTGCCCTCGAGCTTCATGAGAGCAACATTTACAGGATCGCCGTGTAATGATTCATCCGTCAGCTTGGCCAAGTTGTTTAATCTGCTATCTTCGGCCTTGTATGGGGAGACAATTGGTGTTATGCTGCGCCGATGATGCTCATTTTGGTGTTTCTCTCTATAAAGTTCATCAAGTCCTTGCTCCTCGCCATGCTCATCATCATCTTTGGTATCTCCTTCGTTGATTGAATTCGTGCCCTCATTCATTGAGTGAGAATCGTTTCCAACTGGACTAATGAACTTGATTTTGAGATCTTCAACATTCTTTTCGGGCGAGGCATCGTCAATACTGTCATTGTCTGGAGAAAACAAGTATTTATTGCCCTGTTTATCATCCCCATCCGCAAGTGCTAGCGAGTCCCTCGCAGCAACATCCATGGGGAAGTTATTGGAGGAGTCTTTTCTCATTGACATCCTTTCAATTCTACTGCTAGTTGAGTGTTTTCCAAATGTACCCATTGTGTGGGAAGTAGAGAAGGAGTCACCACTCACAATAGAATGTATACTTGGTATCGAGGTTAAGCAAATAAGCTTTTGATTAGCGGCAAACGTCTCATTGTCCACAGAATTGGTGTCATTCTTTTTGTTTGGGCTAGCGTTTCTAGAAGCGTAGAGCTGGTCTGTTGGTACTGAAGAAATCAAAGATGCCTGTGATACCTTTGCAAACCCTTGATTTTCGTTGTCAATTTGAAACATCGATGTTCTTTGCTCCAAATGCCGTATTTCCTCTTGATTGTTTAAAAGTTCACCATCGAGCTTCATGAAAGAGTCGTCCTTCATCACATTGCTGAGCTGTGCCGCAGGTTTTATTTGACTAGCTCTCTGGTTTCTAGTTCCTAGTAGGCTGATCCGCCCACTTGTGTTAGTGACTGATCTGTGCGCAACTGAAGAAGCTGGGGTAAAGTGCTTTGTATCATCCCGTATACTTATGTCGTCATGAGAGGTGAAAAAACTTGAGTTGTCTTCATCGGCATATGTCTGGGCACCACTTTCGCGAGGCGCCTCTTCCAGAGAGTCCTTTCTGACCTCAGGTAATGCGGTGTTGTCGCGATATAATGTTGGCGCGGTATCATTGTGCTCCAAGGTTTCCTCGAAGTTGAATTCTCTTAGATTTTGCAGGCCCTCTTTTCTCTTTATAATTGGCGAGGTAGGGGCCTCTTCTCGAGTCCTGAGAAAACTTTTCTCAGTGGAAACGCTTTGATCAGGCTCGGAATTTGTATCATCTGCTTCAACAATGCTTGCAGATAAACGCAAGAGCTTCCCGGGCGAATTTCTGCCAAGTCCCTTCGCAATCGTCTCCTGAGAGGATTGCTCATTCGAGTTTACTAGATTTGGCGTAGAACAACTGCCAGCTCCAACTAGAGGTAGGGAATTGGCAGAAGTGATTTGTTGATGTACACCAATGGTCTTAGCTGATTTGTTCTCTTGTCCGTGGAAGACCAATTTGCGAGGACCATCATTGGCAGCCACTGGGGATCTTGTGCTTGAGCGGATGATGACTGCTTTTCCTGATGTGCCATTGTTTTTTAGGGAAGCATCCGCACTATTCACGCGCCGCCTTTCAAATGCAGCGTATGATGGAGAAGTGATCTGCTGACTTTGTAACGTTTTCGAAAGTGAAATGACTGAAGATGCAAGGAAACTTACCGTTTTGTAAAGATTTAAATTGTCCATAGCGCTCACACCTTCTCGTACGGCACTTTTAGGGCCGCGACGAGCTTCTCTTTGTAGTTCGAAAAAGCTTCCATGGCGGGGAATCTTGGATAACAGCTCATTTTCCTTGGCAATGAAAAACTCCACTTCATCAATGGTTCTTGCACTCAAAATATCAAATTTAGGAGCTTGAGCAGTGAGTAGTTTTTGCATGTCATCGTCACTTTTACTTTCCAACGATGTGATGGAAAACACCAATTTGATGAAATTTTCAATTTCGAAACTGGGCGCCTGATGCCTCGCTTGCGGCGTGGCTAATCTTGTGTGATGATTACGCTTCCATTTTGAGAGTAAACCGATCAACCCTGTGCTGTCTTTCTTACGTGGTTCTTCGCTGTTGGTGAGCCCCTTTGACGGCAGATATGAAGACCTGAGAATGACCTCAATGTTTTTAGCTGGTGTTGGGGGGATTAGCTTGTCAACAGAAGGATTTGTTGGACAGTGCAAGTCTTTGATGACCTCGGTGACGCTGTCGGTTTTTGGAATCACGAAACCTACTTTTTCATGCTCTGAAGACTTATTATCAGTGGCTCCTACACTGACGGTAGATGAGTAGTCTCGCGGAAACAGAAACATGCTAGCTGTTCGCTGCCTAATTTTGGAGCTCGCGTTGCCACTCGAATAGGCGAGGTTTTCGGGAAGTTGAAAGTTTTCTTTATCCACATACAACGAGAGCACGCTTCTATTTCGAAACTCTGGATTCTGCGAGCTTTGAAGCGCGTAAAAACTTAGTCTCTTGACCTCATCGCCAGAGGTGGGTTTCTGCGAGATGTCGCGAATTTCGAATTCGAGCCATTTAGCACTGTTAGACGGTGAGAACTCGGGCGCGATATCTTCCCACATGAGCTTCAAGCAGGTGACCCACGACTTCTTGATAGTGACGACAATTCCCTGGATGAGTTTTGGAACAGGTTTCGATTTATCCCAGCGCAGCGAGTTGATGACTTTGACAAATCGGCATCTCAGCGCCGTGTTTGTGAGAAAATCCTGGGCAAAATAGTTGAGAATCCAGTGTCTGAACACCACAAACGTACGCACCGAAGCGATCTGGCCGATTTTTTCGCGAAAAGCGTCACCACACATGCATTCGTCAAAAGCCCACTGCAGTCTGCATTCCAGTAGGTCTAGTAGCTCAGTTGGACTCAGAAATTTGCGGTATGAGAGGAAAAAATCCGAGAGAAACATATACTCAATTGCGTCGACTGGTGAAGTAAGTTTCACAATCAAAGCATGCATATCAGTCTTGATGATGAGTCCATTGTTGTTTCGTTGTGCATAGCTTAGCTTCGACTCACTGGGCGTTGGGTAGTATTCTTCTTCGCTGAAAACACTTTGCCCGTGAGTACCATCTAGAGGAGCATCATCAGCGCTCATTGTAGTGGTAAGAGGAACGTCCAACGTCTGTTGTAGGTGTGTCACAAGATGGTGTTCTCAGAATGAACGATTTCATCTCAACTGTAATTTGAATGTTTACCATAACCGCCGAGCACTTGACACGGCATCGCCAAAATTCGTCGGGAAAATGAGCTCGGGGGGGGAATGCGACGACAGTGAATTTTGACAACAGATGGGATGGTGGTCAGGACATAGCGATCGATTTGGAAATTGTATGGTTGTTTCTTCGAATTTATGAAACAAAGAAGACTCTTTTTATCTCGTTTTTTTTGACGTGGAAAAGTTGTATCGAGTTAAGCATCAGTTCTCGCTTATTTCCTTTTGAGCGAAAGTTTAACCAGTGCGTAGTTGGAAATCTTTTTGGAAATTGAAACGACAGTGGTGTGGTTAGACTGATGGCTTACTGGGTTAGTTTCACGATTCAAAGACTCGATGTCAGCAAGTTATCATTTCTATTTTTTTTTCCTAGGATTTGATCATATCGCTTTATGTGGTTTTCAACTTGGCAAATGGATAGCTACTACTTTTATGATCATTCTGATACCCAGCAAAAAGCGGACTAGCTGGACTGTCCTTGTCGCCCTCGTTGTAGCTATTTATTTTGAAGCATACTATACATGTCGTTCGTATCATCACTTGGTACGTGTGTGTCGCAAAACGTTGATACCTTTAAACTGTCACTACTCTGAAAACATTCAACAACGCACGAATTCTGCAAAGAGAGATATGGTTTAGTTTGATAACCCATCAGCATTCATGAACTTAGACTTCCATCCCATTTATACAGCGGCCAAATTCTGCATAACGTGTAAAAAAAAAACAGAGTTCATATAATCGCGATACGATTCTGATCTGATGTATGATGATAACGAGTAAAATCTAAATATTATGATCGAATTGAATTGGCAATGGAATCGTGCTCAAAGCATAGTAATCATCTTGGTTGTATTTTTTGTATTAAAGGAAACGCTCATTTTGAGGCACTTTTTGGTCGATCGTTATTGAGCCCGGTTTGTGAGGATGCCTATCTTCATACGAGGTAAAATAGCATATCTCGCGTAAGGGTCTCAGTGCTACTATGAGCTGCATTGAACGTCGTTGCATCGTACGCTTCTGTTAATAGCACCTTTTGCTTTCTTTTATGGCAGGGCACCAAATATTCGTTTGAAGACCTCACCTATGTAAAACCCAGGTCCCTTGTGTCTTTTTAAAAAGCTACGAGTATCTGACATGTTTTAGTAGCCGCCAGCGGCTCTGGTGTGCTCGTGGCTCCTTTTGCGCCAATCGATCAAAAACACAGCCTGACATAACTTTCATCTGGAGGGCGGTAGGGTGCAAATTAACCAAAATCATGAATCGAGGACTCAGGATTTCTTAGGGCCAAATCAGCTACAAAAGCAGGTTTAGAAAGTCATGGTATCTATCAATGCATTTTACGGTTATTTCGTAGATCTGTGGCAATAATATTGCGCTTCGAGAATTTTATCACTGATGCACGGAAAAGAACGTTGGCGTTCAACGCCCTTGCAGTCTTTTTCACTTAGCTTCCAGCGCCTTCGTACGTCGACAATGTCGAAAACAGCTTATATCGATAAGCTCAACAGTTGTATGTATTCTGTAGCTGGTTCACATGCTCTTGCAAAGCTTTCAGGTCGCCCAAAATATCCTTTGACTGAAAACTGTTCTGAGGGCTTCGAGAGTAAAAATCGGGTCGGGGAGCAGGAGAGGGTGAGAAACTTTGCGCTTCCCGAGGGGGCAAGCTATACCCCGTATTACTGAGTCCTGAATGCGACGGTCCTGTATAACTGGGGTGCAAATAAGTCCTATCATGTTGGGTTTGGATGGGTCCCTGGCTATTGATGATGGGAAACGTTCCACCACTGGAGTGCCCCGCCAAAGGTGGCATGTGCGTCTGATGTGGCTGTAAATGACTTGAATTCGGTGGCTGATTGATCTGCAACGTGCTGCCATTTGGTGATGGTGACGCTGACATAAACAATTGATTGTTCATACCAAGTCGGGAATTGAGATGACCTTGATCAGTTGGCTGCGGCGACATGCCATAACTTGACAACCCGTGCGACTGAGATTGATTGGTAGTTTCACCTCTATAGCCGTTCGAAAATTGTGATGGCTGATATGGTAATGGAGAGTAGTGATTGGGGGCCGGAGAAAAGTGATTGGAGGGTTGTAGCTGACGATTTTGAGTAGACGGTCTCTGTTGGAACTGGGAATGAGGCTGAGTGAACGCATCAGTTGAGGATGCGGGGCCTAAATCCGGGGTACTAGTCAGGCTCGAACCAAATCGTGGGTTCGAAATTAATAGATTGGGGCTGAGGAACGTCGAATTTCCAGGTTTGTGGGGAGCTATCCCGCCATTTTCTTGACGTGAGCGGAAAAGATTGTTTGCCGAGCCAGTGGCGGTAGGTTTAAGCGGGAACATCGGTTCTTGGGGTGACTGCTTTTGGTTGCGAGCCACATTGGACTGGAACAGATGGTTTGCAGAGCCAGTCGATGTTGGTTTCAGCGGCTCTTGCTGCATATGCTGAATGGGGGCTTGACTGGATCTGAAAAGGTAATTAGCAGACCCTGTAGCAGTAGGTTTCAGTGGTTCTAATGGGATTTCGTGGCCTCCCTTGCTTTGCAAGGCCTCTGCTGGGAGGCCACCCCGAGCTACGTTATCAGCCTTTTGTAAATGTTGGAAATGACTTAACGACTCCTTCATGTCTTCTAAAGCTTCCTTCTCCTCTTGCGTGTCTGGTACTTGCTCCGAGGGAGGTCTCGAGACTAAAGCCGAATTTTTCTTTCTAGCAGCCAGGTTCTTGAGAAGCTGATCCATGGGTAGTGACAAGTCCAAAGGTTCGTTAGAATCTATCGTTTCGTCATTGTCCGTTTGTGAATCACTGGGATTGTGCCACGTTTGGTCCTGAAACGTCACCAGATTGTCTGAGAACCGAACTTTCTTCAGTTTTTTGATGTAGTTGGTAATTTTACGTCTCATTCGTTTCTTCTTCTGCCCTGTGAGCAGGAGTGATGCAAAGCTGTCGAAATCGACTTTGAGTTCGGGCCCTCCAGCCTGGGAATCGTCAATCTCCTCGTAAACCTCTTCATTTCCTGCGGCCAAAATGGACTTAGGTTTCGGCACAGGCGTCGATTCCAGAATCATGCGTCTTGTAGGGAGCACACCGTCGTGCATAGCCCGCGACAAGAGTCTTAAAACGGCGAAAAACTGGCCAATGTTGAGCGAGTTTTTGCAAGTCTTGAAAATGTGTGCTACTCGCTCTTTAACCACCTGGGAGATCAGAAAATTCGTCATGAAGCAAAACACATCGTCCAGTTTTACCAGTTTGGCGTTTTTTCGCGACGTTATGTACCCGTACCACCGTAGATACGTTCTGACTTCCTCCTTTGATAGCTGACTTTTTGACAACGAAAGTGGGACTTTTGAGTCCTCGTTCGTCTCAGTGTACTCAGTTCCACCGTTCGACACGCTTATATCTGCTTTCTTCTCGCTAACCCGCGAGCCAAAATCGAACGACACAGGAGGAGGAGGGGACGCTGCACCGCTAATATGGTCCGAATCGACCGGCGAAAGTCCCGGAACGTTCAGCCAATCGAAAGACATTAACTTGAGGTCCACTTAGAGCTAACAAGATCTCTTCCCCACACGTTTAAGTGTGCTTTTCAGGTTTCAATGAAGTAAAGATTTAATGTTCACAACTTTAGCTTTAAACTGTAATATCGAATATTATATATAGTCCCACAAGCTAAACCAACAAAAATTAATGAAGTTCAGTAAATCCAAGCGCAAAGGGTCCAAAAAGCGAGCTTTTGGCAATGCCAATGATGAATCAGACAATTCCGATCAAGAGGAGAGTTTAGAGCAGTTTATGAAGCGAAAATCGGCCAAAATAGCTGAAGGTTTGCCCCAGACAGAGGAATTGAAAAGTTTAGGCAATGATAATGATCGTGGGGATAAAATAGCGGCAGAACGCAGAAAACGACCAGACTCTTCAAAGCTAATTGACAAATTCAAAGCCGCCAAAGAGCAGCGGGATCTGGATAAGTTGTATCATCAGTCGTTGAAGGCAGAATTGGAAAACCAAAATGACGAATTGAGTCAGAAATCGGAGAGTTATATAAGTGACAGCTATAAAGAGAAGAAAGAAGCACTAGACCGTGTCTCAGAGGCCGCGAGACTTGAGGAGTTGGAGGAGAATGCAGATGCAAGCTATTCGAGATCGGCCGCGACCGCGCACGTGAATCGTTTTCTGATCCAAACGGACTCGCGCGACGAGTACAGCGCGGAATGTTCGAAAAGTCCGGCTCGAGAATCGAACGCGAGCAAAGAGCTCGTGTCGCTTCAGAAGGGCCCATACCAAAATGACGTATACGTCGGCAAGCCGGCAGCAGCAGGTGTAGAGCGACGAGCTTCGAGCTCAGCCGGTCTGGCAAAAGCTCCATTACAGCTGTCAGAATTGGGCCATAGGACAGTGATCGCGAAATTTCTCGCCTCCACGAAGACTTTCGAAGAACTCGAACATCAAAAACAGCTTTATCTAGCAAGACGGTCAATGGAAAGTTGACAAAGTTCAGCACAAACAGTACTCCCAGAGGCCAAGAAGTTGATGTCGTTTGCCCTTTGCGACAAACAATTTTCAACTTCCACGTGTTTCGGTTGCTGGAATACAGGAAGTGGGGACTCTCTCTAGTGTGCCCTTTGGGCTACTTTTCTTCCACTGAGTCTCTTTTCTCTTTATGGGTGCCGAATACGATGGCTTAGATCTTTTGGTCCGCGTAGAGCGGCCAGTTTCGCCCTGCAAAACCTCTTTCACGAGCGAATCAACGTCTAGGCGTTTGTCAACGAGCTGTTTTTGTCTTCGTTCTGCAGCGTTTCGCGACAAATCGATACATTCGTTGAATATTCTATAGCCCGAGCTTCTAGAGGGCGAACTTCTGCGACCTTTCTGTCTGGATGATACTTTTCTGGCGACGATGCCGGATTCGCTGGCTTGTAAATGCTGCGCTTCGAGGCTACGAACCTCGGGATGCAACACTTCTTCTGCCTGTTCGATCTCGTCTTCCTTTTTCAATGCTTCTGCCGAATGTGTGCTCTTACCTCCACAGTCTAACAGATTAGACGTACTAATTGGAGGAGTTTCTGCCATAATATTCATTTTCGTATGCTTCCCCTTGGTCGTGTCGTTTAGGTAATCTGCGAATTGATATTTGTAGTCTTCGTCTTCAGATTTCCGATCCTTTTCATCAGCATGTCTTAAATAGTCACTTTCCAATTCATCGACCTTCCATTTAGCTGATTGAATTTGCATCCGGAGAAAATAGTTCAAGAAATCTTTGCTGTAGGCTCTCTGATGTTTGGAAAAAACCGGTTCTCGATATTGGTAGGGCAAGTTCATGACGTCGACATCCGTCCTAGCATTCGTGAGTTTGCTGTCTGACAGTGTAAGCAACCTCGTTATGTCAATGGACTCACCTGGCGGGATAGAGACCTTATTAGAAGGCGTAATACAATCCATGTCAACTTCTTTTCGAAGTACATGGTCAATGTCTATTGCCGAGAAGAAAGCACAGTTCTGAGGAAGGTCATTGATCCCCATTTGTTCGGAAAAAATTGCCCTTGTCCAGAGGTTGCTAACTTGCAAAGCCATCGCTGTACGATACTTATCCTTTTCGGCCGTCAAGTAACGAATCTCGTCATGAATTGAAATGCATAGCCTTGCCTCAATCTCGTATTTTTTGATGAGATAGTTCATAGAGCAGCATAATAGGTGTAAATAGTCAACACCCGAAGACTGAATTGCCCAATTAATTCGCGATGGAAGAAACGTGTTTGATCCCAGATTGCGTTTCATAAGCGAGTATGTAATTCCTGCCCCTAAGACAGGTGTTTTCGGGATGTCCTGTTCGGCAATATGTTCTAGTTTGTTGAACAGTATGGATTCGGAGCCACCATACCAGAATTTCTTGAAAATCTTGGAGCGCTTAGTTAGACCCTTGGTTGATCCGTACAGCTTTTCCGCCATTTCTTTCGTTTCGACATCGGATAAGTTTGGATTAAACTTTTTCAGCAGTTGAGTCGCAAACTTTACGCCTGCACCATAAATCCTACCGTAATTGAATATCTTGGCTTCATTTCTTGAGCACTTCAATATTTGCGCAGTTTTCGAATGCAAATCTGTTCCTTCACTTTTAGAGCCCTCGAGGCACATCCACCCTATCGGCGTACCTCCGTGAATATTAAAAACGGAATCACTTACGAGGGATGCAATCCAAAGTTCTTCACTGTCAACGTCAGCGCCGACGAACGCATATCCTGGGGGAGCTTGAATTTGCGCTTTCAGCTCAGACCCAATTCTGTTAACTTTCGCATTTGATGCCGTCAACCAAGTATTTTCCACAGATCTTCTGGTAACTGTTCCCATTGGAATCACAGCAGGCAAAATGATACTCACACTACTGTCTGAAAAGGGTTTACGCCCTAAGTCTTTGAATTGAGCTGGGAACTGCTTGGAAGATACGAGAAATTGTGACATAACTCTCTCGCGAGCGGATATCCAGTATGAACAAGAGGAATTTATTTTTAAAGCCTCCTGAGCCAAATCTGAGCTAGAAGTTAGAACTCCTTTCTCAAAATACTGAACATAAGGTTTGCTTAGCAGAGTCGTACAGTTGTACTGAGGCCCATTAGGATGTGGAATTTTGAAAAGCTGATATCCTGGCTTTGCCACATCTACAGGATCAGCTGTAACATAGTTTTTCTCCTTCATCTCCTCAATTCGATGATTGGGAGCAGCAAAGCACCATCCACTAGTATCGGTCCAAAGAACAGGTTCCCCTTCCCAAGAAAGTTTGAAAAAGAGAGGAATCGTCCTATTTCTTATGGTAATGACAGGTGCTTCGCTGTCTTTGGAAGGAAACAATTGCCTGTACCATTCCGGAAAACCGGGCAATTTTTGCCCTTTTGCAGGGACGCCTTTTTTCGTGAGACGTAGTTTTTTCAAAGTCCAGTCAAGTTGATTTAACCAAGGATCCTTGGTGAATGCGTCTTCGTCGTCTTTCAGTTTGACTACCTCTTCGATGATAGTAACAATTTTTTTTTCGATGCTCTGCTTGCTCTGTTGATAATGATTCTCGGACTGCGCAATGTACTTTTTCCAGTCTGAGTCCTTTGTCGTTAGAATCGAAGTTGAAAGCAGCCTCAAAGCACCAAATGAAACAGGATGAGGACACTTCAGCAAAAACAGTGGGAAAACAACATCAAACACTTTACTTGTTGCTTCAACGTCCATAGCACAATAATCGACCATTGGATTGAAGTTGTCTATGATGTCATTCTTGTCGAGGGTTGAAAAGGCATCTCGTTGGGTTTTGTCCAATTTGATTCCACAGTGTAGAAGCGCTACATCCTCGAGTGAGTTGAGCGCTGACACATTGGTCCACGGCTCTTCTTCCTCGCTGCCAGAGATAGTCTCTGTGCCAATGTCCTCGTCGTTGTTTAGTTTTTGCGCCTTTTGCCTTTGCATCCATTGAGGTCGCTGTCGTGAACACATACCGGAGGATGCTACATGCAATGACATTGTGTCTAGAAAAAAGGCTTTTGATTCCTGGCAGTTATACTCTTCCAACACACGAGCACGATCGTACCCGACGTTATGACCTATTACGAGCCTGGTCTGGTTTAACGTATCTAAAGGAATCAAATGTGTTGGGTCGTCCGATTCTCCACATATAAACGGAGAACACCAGCAATACCAGGCTTTTTCGGAGACCGCGACGGCCAGCGTCGGATAAGGCGAAATTTTATACAGTGTTTCAACATCAAAAACGATTGTTTGCTCGCAAGGGAATGCAACAGGTTGGTGCTCGCCAGAGGATGTGTATCGCGTCCATCCTGCTTTTCTGAGCCAAGATTTTGGCTTGGGCGGCAGTTCGGTGAACTTGTTACGTGCCTTGCTGAGAAAAGGCTCAGAAGCATAGTGACCCAGCTTTTGGAAGTGCTCGTCCAGCGAGTTGCCTTGTAAAAGCGGTAAATCAAAAGAGATAGGATTTGATATGGCGGTTTTTTTGCCCAAAAGACCGTGTTTTTTCAGAAATTGCCTGGACAATCGTGTAAGTAGCTGTTTCTCCTTTACAGTAAGCTCGGGAACTACCCCATTGGACTTTTCGGCCCCAAATACCTGGTTGTGTAGATGTTTGCCTAAGTGCTGAATTCCAACTGCATTGATGCGTGGTTTTTCTTCAACAGAGTAGAATCGTACTTTCCTCCATACCCGACAGTCTGAGACGACTCTCTTGAGAGTTGCTTGCATGCCACCGCTTCACACTAGGTCAAAACACTTGGATTTGGATTGTTGTGGATTTCAACAGCGGTATAAGTTGTACGAACTTGTTTTATTATGCTTATTTACCAGCTGGGAGAGCACGTGACTGGATTTGAAACTTTAATGCAATAGAAATGGCAAGAGAGGGAACGCATATCGGTGGTGCATAATATCTTCGGTGATTTTATTACATTGGCAAGGCCTCAAGCATGGTGCCAGAATTTTCAACGGCCTTTTTCCGTATCTTTTGGCGTTTTTAGAACACTATTTTGCGTTGCTGGTCGAAAGTTGATTAGGACAGGGAACTGCTTCGAAGGAGCAGTTTTTCCTGGCAAGTAGAGGCTGCTGATGTATTACCAAATTGTTCACAATCCTCCTTCGTCCATTTTTAAGCCTTCAGGAGGTACCTCAAAGCTCTTCAACGAATAAGAAAATTTACTAGAAAAGGATTAGCTTTGGAAGCGAGATTCGAGTCTCAAATGTTTTGCTCAAGACAATAAAAACAAGACCAAAGGATATGCTATGCATTCTTTCTCTTGTCTCAGGTTTGTCAAAGGTGCAATGTCAGGGAAATATGAGAATGAGCTATACTTGAAAAGAACTCAAGATGTAAAAATTGAGAATTGAAGAAGAGGAGAAAACACCGCCCAGAAGCCTCACCACAAGTCTAATTCTTTTGAACATCTCCTAACGCCCAGCCAGTCTATCCATTCTCTCGAACTTACACTACTCAATTGAAAGATCTCAAAATCTCCGAAAAGTGTCAAAGAAACCTCGAACTAAGCTGAAAAACCCGGAAAAAAACACCAGCTCGCGTACTCCATCAATAAGAAATTTTCAAGTCCCAGTAAATACCCTAAGCAACCTCAACCCACCTCTATCTCCCTCCTGCTCAAGGCGGGTGGTACCCACTGACACCATAAATTCCATCAATGTCACTTTGTACTAAGGCACCACCTCGGTCTTAACAGTTTTTCAAATCACCTCTCGTTCCCCTTTCTGAATTACTTCCAGGAGGTAACTTGCACCAAGTCCACCCCGATACGCTAGTTTGTTAGGCTATATTTGTTGCATTACAGTTTTAGAAACCTTTCGCGGTATCACTGTATTGTATAAAGTAGTCCTTCCTGCAAATTTTCGCCTAGTTTTAAGCACTTTTACAACCTGACTGGAAACAACATGTCCGCAGCGATTACCTCTTTGACAGCTTCTCAGGTGAACGATGAGCTCAGCAAGATGCAGGCGTTCATCAAGAAGGAGGCTGAGGAGAAATTTAAGGAAATCAAGTTGAAGGCCGACCAGGAGTACGAAATCGAAAAGACCGGTCTGGTCCGCAACGAGATCAGCAACATCGACTCTGCCATGGAAAGCAAGACCAAGAAGGCCTCGTTGAAACAGCAGATAACCAAGTCGACTATTGCCAACAAGATGCGTCTCAAAGTGCTCTCTACCAGAGAGCAGTTGCTGGACGACATCTTTGAGGCTGCCAAGGCTGAGCTCAAGACCATCTCTGCCAACGAGAAAAAGTACAAGCCCGTGTTGAAGGCCGTCATTCTCGAGGCGCTGTACCGCTTGCTGGAGTCCAAGGCCGTGGTCAAGGTTCGGGAGCAGGACAAGAAGCTGGTCGAGTCGCTCAAGGACTCCATTGTGAAGGAGTACGCCGAAAAGACCGGCAGACAAGTTGATGTCACCGTCTCATCCGAATTTTTGAGCAAGGACGCCGCTGGTGGTGTCGTTGCCTCTGACGAATCTGGTAAGATCGTGGTCGACAACACCCTTGAGGAGAGATTGTCCATTCTCAACCAGGAGGCGCTTCCAGCGATCAGACTCGAGCTGTTCGGCATTTCTGAAACCAGAAAGTTCTTCGATTGATTCTAAACGCAGCTGTGCTGTACATTCGAACAAAACAGGCCCGCCGTCGATACATAATAAACTCTTCGTACGTGTCCGACATTTTGAGACCTATAGTAAAATAAAGGATAAAATTGAAGCGCTTAACAACTGTAACGTATCGTTGCTTGGCTTTCTGGAGAACTGTAGACTCGATTGAAACCCTCAGGCTATGTACTTCGCACCATTTTTAATATTTCTTATCATATCAATTTTCCAGCCAAGCAAAGTAAAGTAAGTGCTTTCGTTACTAAATAAGAGTTAGCGTTAAAGATCAACAACTTTCGCATACTCAACATGTTTATGAGACCTTTTCGAACCCTCAGACCTCTGAGCAGGCTACGGTGGCCTCAAAAACGAAGCTATCAAGGTCTTCTTCCCGAGCAAAGCTCGGGGATTCTGTCTCTCAAGCCCATCACGCCCAATGACGCATTTGTTAGCTGCACAGTGTTCGACAAACAGGGAGGAGTGTGTGCAGTGTCTAGGAAGTACCCGAAATGGACGTTCTTGCAAAACCACAATCTGTTCCCGCGAGATCTGCGAAAAATCGATGCCACGGCGGTAGATGTGATTCCAAGCATCGTTGTCAAACCCACTTGCATATTGATAAATTTACTGCATATCAAAGCCATGATACAGAAGGATTCGGTCTACGTTTTCGATACTTCAAACCAGGAGGCTGCTTCCAAGCTGAGCGTTCTTATGTATGACATGGAATCGAAACTTTCTTCTGCGACGGGGACGCATTCGTCGCAGCTGTATGAGCACCGCGCTTTGGAGAGCATTCTAATGAATGTAATAACCTCCTTGGAGACAGATTACAAACAGCACTACTCTATATGTGGCATTATCCTCAACGACCTGGAAGACGAGATCAACAGGGACAAACTGCGAGATTTATTGATCAAATCGAAAAACCTGTCTTCTTTCTATAAGAAGGCTTTGCTAGTGCGTGACGTGTTGGACGAGCTGCTGGATAGTGACGAAGATCTCGCGGGCATGTACCTCGGAGTCCACAAAACCGAAAACGATGATTTCGCAGATCTGGAGATGTTGCTTGAGACCTACTACAAGCAGTGTGACGAGTACGTGCAGCAGTCTGAGACGCTGATACAAGACATCAAATCCACCGAAGAGATCGTCAACATCATTCTGGATGCCAATCGTAATGCGCTGATGCTGTTTGAGCTTAAAGTCACAATTTACACTCTGGGGTTCACCATTGCCACGCTTATCCCAGCTTTCTACGGTATGAACCTGAAAAATTTTATAGAAGACAGTGCATGGGGTTTCGGTAGCGTGGTTGGCTTCTCAGTTATCGGCGCCCTGTTGGTGACGTGGTCTAACTTCAGATCTTTGAGGTCTGTTAAGAAACTTACGATGATGAACAATCACACGGGAGTGAACTCCGCCAAACACATCACACATGCTCGCACTGAAGTGGAAAGAGAGGTTTCGACCCTCCCAGCACGCTGGACTCGCGGAATGCGTGCTGTATGGCAGGGATCCAGCTATCCCGTGAGAAATGGTAAGCAGAGAGATATGATTTGGAAATGGCTTGTTGACGACAAAAAATAAGATTTCAAAGTCAGAACAGGCTCTCATGAAAACCCAAAATTCTAATTCGAGCTACGCACACCTTGATCGAATCTAGGATAGCTACAATGGTCCAGTGAACGCCCTTTTAGAGATCCGTTCGTATTATCATCACAATTTACGACAAAAGGCATCAAGTTCCCAATATTTTAGACTGTAGTCTACAGTTCCGATAGATGGTGGGATAACCAACCGTTCGCATCAAACATACGATTGAGCAGCTTCAAAACTGGCTTATTGAGGTAACTGTACTCGTCACGCATCGAATGTACATTAAAGCAGCAACGTCTGCGTCCAATTCCACCCCACGAGGAACGGGCTTTCTTGACCATTACGATGTCAAACTGATTAAATGTCGTGCAGTTGCTTTACGTTTACAGGAGTTTCTGCGGATTTTGAAGATTTTGAACAGCACTGCGAAACGCAGGAGCGAGGCTCGATTTATTATTCCATTGACGAATTACATTTTGGCCCTGTACGGGGCCCCAACTTTGAACATCTCAGAACATTTGCACAAAAAAGTCTTGGCTATAAGCGAGTTCAAAAATGTGCCAGTGCCAGATTCGATTCCCGCGTATGATCCAGGGTTGCTGGATATACGAATTGAGCTCGCCGCAGTGGAATCGGACCGTGAGAATTTCAAAAAGAACGTGTACAATGCAGGACTCCAGGGGAAAATTCTGGAGACGGCAATTAAAGTCACGATGATAGCATTGCAACTGGCTGAACGTAATTGCGGAGACTCAATGACGGAGCGTAATGTAAAACGGCTTCCAGATATATCCGGTAGACCTTCCGAACTGGATGAGACAACCTTCGACGAGCTCATACAACCGGCAGAAGTAGCTATGGCTCTAGACCTGGCCGTTCTGATAAAAAACTTCGACACAGATACCTCGGATGTCTCATTCGAGAAGCTCAACTTGCAGGTGCTCACCAAGTTCAAAGACCATATGAACGGAAAGGTTTTGCGTCCTATCAAGTCGTATCACACATCGTTATTCCGATTTTCAAAGGCCTCCTCGATCAGTCAGGCAAAGATCATAATGAACCTACCTCACTGGCAGTACACCATGCACCGTATATACGCGTTGCTTCTGCGGATCCTGTACATCTTGACCATAACAAAGGCGTTTTTGAGACAAATATACGTCCCAAACAAGCAAGTTTTGGAAGCCTATAAAACACGGCTTCGATCAGCAAATGTGTACGAATTTCAAGAGCTTCTGCAAAACCTTGAGCGCATATGTTTGGACGAAAGCGACCTCGACCCGCTAGTTGAGTCTGCAAATCTATATGGTCAGAGCGGTTCAGTTTTCGGTGTGCAACCAACTAACATCTCTCAGTGTTTCGAAAATGACATCACACCTGCGATCAGAAAGCTCCGATTTTACTTTCAGATCATGGAAACGTGGATTTTGACGTGGAGAGCCATTCAGGAAAATAAGAGCGCTGCAGAAAAATTGGAAGGGCTCTCCGAATCGGAATTGAGCAAACTTTTGGAGGAACGTATGACTAACGACAAATTAGAGTATATCGTGAGGAAAAACAATGAGTCCGCTGCTAAAAGTGAAACTGAGCAGAGCCTTTCAATGAAAACGCCTACAAAGCCCACTCCCATGAAGACCATTTTCAAAAGATCATCTTTGCAACGGTCAAGCCTTTCCCCCATAGCTAGTGAGACTTCTTCGTCAGGCTCGCCCCCTTCCAGGGGTCTCAGTAGGTCACCTTCTCTCAAAAACAAGAAACCTCCAGCTAATAAAGTATCGAGAAATGGCAGCAACGTATCCTCACCATTAGTTTCACGACGTGGGTCAATCGCGGAAAATGAAGGCGCAACTACTAACAAAAGGACGACGCGACCAAAGCCATCTACAGGTGCCAAATTAGGCGACAGTAGCACGGATGCGGCGTCAAAAGTATCAGGAAGAAGGCGATCTGCGTCCTTGCAATCATCAGTGCAATCACCCGTGGATGCCAACCATATTGCATTGCCTGCGGACTATCAACGTTCTAACTCATTACAGGCTAGCGCGAGTTTCAACCAGCGTATGATCCGCAACACGTTCGCACAAGTTTCTGGTAACCTGATGGGAAGCAGCTATGCTTCTCAATTGGCACCACCGGCCGAGTCACCTTCACCAGTTCAGAAATCGGTGAAAATGCTGCGATCCGCTTCCGCTTCTCCTCCTTCCGGAAACAGCTCTCCATCTAAGAAGAAATCTACTAACCATGATTGCGATGAGCTACCTAATATTGAATCATTGATTTTCGATGAAGAAAAGCTGGCACTGGTTTCCAAGCCCAATTCCAATAGCAGCAGCACCGTGTCCACAGAATCTCAACAAACCGAAATAGTCGCCGATGGAGGTGAGGGAGAAGATCTTCCTGAGGACAGCGAAAACCATGGCGCGGATGCTGCTTTAGATGTTAGTGTTAAAAAAGTTCGCTTCACGGGCGTACCACCGATTTCCGTCAATGAAGATCCGAGGCCGAAGAGAAGAGGCTGGTATAAAAAGCCAGCTGTGTTGCACTATCCGCCTCCTCCTCCCCAGTTTGCTATTCAAAAGTATACATTACGGCAAGAGGGCGCTGCTTTCCACAACAGCATTCGGGAAAGAGATTTCGATAGCAATGGGCCGACTCAAAAGAGATCTTCCGTTATAATGCAAACAGACATGACAGGAACGACGGGACACAAGCTTGCTTCAAAGTGGCGAGACAAGCTTATTCGGTAGACGTCAAAGTGAGTGTTCGTGAGAATAAAAGTAGCACTTCAACCGACCGCAATAGAAAAAAGTTCCCTTTGTCGATCTGATTAACACAACAACGATAATTACTAGACTCAACACCCCTTTGATACCGTCTCATTCGATCTCCTAACAAGTCGTTTCTAAACGCTAGGACCAAATGCATTTTGTCAATGTTGTGTCGCACGAATTGTTCTGTTATCTGGGCAGTCCACGCAGATAATTACCAGCAATGCTTCAGAAACTTTCCATAAACACTTCCAACGTTAACTGGCCACTAATCCAAGCCAATCAAGCGCTACAGTCCGTCCAATTGTCTGTCTCGTCGCGAGCCAGACTGGTTCGTGAAAAATGATTAATTCGCGAATAATTAATATGATCTCGTCTGAATGATAAACCGTGAATGTGCATCCGATGAAATAGACATCGAAGAGCAGAAGACAGCCTGTTATGTCTCTATTGAGCTCTTTGAGCTCACTATTACCACGTCCAAAGCATACTGCTGATGCTGTAGAGATTTCAAGCGAGACCAAAGACCTCATAGCTGTTATCAATGAGTCAGAACTTGTTGACAATGGTTCAGAGGTCGATACAGAACAAGTGACCAACAAAAGCGTTAGCCTTGATGCATTTTTGCCTTTGAGACAGAAGTTCCCAGATGTAAAAATACCACTTCCAAGTAATAACGAAATTCGCCACAGTTACGAGCGTACTAAAGCGATTTTCGATAAAATTCTGAGGGAAAAGCTGAATCCTCAGGGAACCAGTTCCAGAGGCACTTCCAATGTCCATCGCAATACCAAAGCGGTGGAGTACCATGGTGTACAGAATGGCACTAGTGGAACAGGAAATACTTTACAGATTGTTGATAGGCAGATTGATCCTCTGCAGCCCAACTTGTTCAAAGTCAAAAAAATGGTTGCTCCGCCCACTGACGAGCCTTTTGCTCCAGTTTTGCACAGTTCCGACGACAAGAACGTTCAACTCACCAAGGAGGAACGCGCTAGGTGGAATATCCCATCAGCCATATCGAACTGGAAGAATCCTAACGGTTACGCAATTGCACTGGATAAAAGAGTCGCTGTCGATGGAAGCTCCAATAGAGGCTCCGGTGCTGATCGTCAGATAAGTGACGGGTTCACAAAGCTCTTTGAAGCCCTGGATGGCGCGGAAAAGGAGGCCAGACGGGAGGTAAAATTGAGGCTCGAAGCGAAAAGAATGTTAGCAGAGCAAGACGGTCGCGAAAAGGAAGAGAAGTTGAGGCTTCTGGCTCTCAAGGCACGCGAAGAGAGAAGAAACTTGGGTAGAAATCTCTCTTCGTCGAATGACGATGAGAGCGAAGAGTTAAGACATAGAGAAGCCGACAGAAAGCAAAGAAGACTGCAAATGGAGAAGGAGTTGCGACAATCCAAAATGAATACGGCGAACCGTTTGCGAGCACTGGCCGCCAAGCAAAATCGTGAAATCTCGGAAAAAGTAATCCTGGGTGCGGCCAAGGCCAACGACACGAAGGACATCCAATACGACTCGAGGTTTTTCTCAAAGGCCGCGAACGCCAATGCAACTAGAAGTGGCGAGCAAGTTTACGACAGCCCTCTATTCGCTCAGGCAGGAATCAATACCATGTACCGTCCTAATTTTTCGAATTTGGCGGACGCTCAACGGACAGATGATATCGAACAGTCCTTAGGAAAACAAGTCTACGATAACATAAGTGACAAAAGAAGTCGTGAAGGCCCAGTGGAATTTACGGACGCGGACACCCCAGACAGGGCAAACATCAAAGACGTCCAGGACAATGAACTCAATCCGCCCAAAAAGCATCGCGCTCAGTGAACTCTCAATAACGTATGTAAATTATCTATGCAGGTCGTAGACGAGAACGCTAGTCTTGAGCATCATCTTCGCTCACATTTTTAAAGTGTTCGCCTTCTCTATTATTTTGGATCACAGCCAGCACTCTTTCGTTTCTTCTTATAGCGTGTTGCTCGATTCGTTTAATGGTGCCACTGACTTTAACGGGGTTGAGTATTATTCCTTCAATCGCATCGATCTTATTCATGAGTGTGAGTGCCACTACCACCAATTCGTAGTCCTCTCGACCGCATCTTATGATTCCAGTCGAGGTTCGGTTCGAAAAGTATTTCATTTGCAGTAAAGAGTTGACCCTTCCAGCTCCATAGTCGCCAAAGTTATACTGAAGTGCTCTCCTCAGCTCTTGAACGATTGACTTGGTACTTATTTGAGCTGAACTAGCCTTGTGATGTTGCAGTAGGATGTCTTTTCTGGATCGCTCAGAAGAGATGTCGTCTTGCAGATCTGTTGGATACAGCACTTCAAATAAGATATACCTACTTTTGAGACGCACCATTGATTTCAGATTTAATCTGAAATGTGTTTTTAGGGGTTCGACAAGCTCAAATCTAGTAAGATGACTTATGTTGTACTGCTTTAACAGTTATTTGACCTATATGTAAATTATCAATACATTTTTAAGATTTTGAAAAGTAGCCTGGTCCTAAAAATCCATTGATGAGACTGTTGAGATGGCCTGAGAAGTTCACAACTTCTAATTCTATATTGTGCTATAATCTACACTTTAAATTAAACAAGTTAAATCGAAAGCTTCTCTTGCAAAAGTTGAGAAACTTCTTTGACAGCGTTTTCAATTCCTTCTGGTTTGTCACCAACACCTTGGAAGACGTTGGCTTTACCACCGGCCTTACCACCAATGTTGCGAGAAATTGCATCTAACAAATCGCGACCAACAACACCCTTCTCAAGCGCGCTGTCTGAAATGTAGCACCCGTGAGCAACTTTTTCGCTACCATTCAGCAGATAGATCGATTTGTCCTTGGCAGACGTTTTGATGTAGTTTACTGCTTCGGTGATGGCCTTGGCATTGGTTGGAATATCGACGTACTTGACCAAGAACTGAGCGGACTCATTTTCAGCGAAGAAGTTCTTGACTTCGTCCACAGTCTGTTTGATCTCTTTCTTGGCGCGAGATCTGAGCTCGTCTTTAACAGCCTTCTCAACCTTTGCGAACTTGTTCTTCAGATCGTTCTTAGAAAGAACAGAAATGTTCAACTGGCCCAGCTGGACACCAAGTTCCTTTAGTTTCTTTTCTTTCAGAGGTGAAAACGACATTTTCTCGGCAGCCGTTAGTTCAGCATCGAAGGCCAACGCTATTCTTTGAACTTCGTGAGCTTCAGTGCCGGAAACAGCAACAATTCTACGAATACCTTTGGCAATCCCGCTTTCCTCGGTAATCACGAACTCTTTGATGTCACCAGTCTTGTTGACGTGAGTACCACCGCAGAACTCTACCGAGTAGTTTTGCCACTCATCGCTAGATGGGTTAGCCAACAAGTCGTCAACAGGCTTGCCCACTGACACGACACGTACTGGGTCTGGGTATGTCTCACCGAAGACCGCGCGAACGGAAGATATTTGTTGAGCCAACTGAAGTGGAACGTTTTTGTAATAAACTGGCAGGTTGGCCTTGATCTGCTTGTTGCAGGTGTTCTCAACTTTTTCTACTTCTTCCAATGACAGCGCCTTTTTGTGAGAGAAATCAAATCTGAGCTTCTCAGGAGCAACCAGAGACCCTTTTTGATCAACCTCGCCCCCAAGGACCTCCTTCAAAGCAAAGTTCAGAATGTGAGTACCGGTGTGGTTGTTCTTTATAGGAAAACGACGAAGCTCGTCAAACGAGGCTATGATTTTGTCCCCGACGTTTAGTTGACCCTCAGCAAGAAAACCTGTGTGAAACACGTAACCATTGTACAGCTGTACATTTTCCACCTTAAACTCAGTAGAACCGTCGATCACCAAAGTACCAACGTCGTACTCTTGTCCACCTTGCTCGGCGTAAAAACAGGTTTGGTCCAAGATTACACCATACTGGCTGCCGACTTCGCTGATACCAGAGGCAAAGATTTCGCCATCGTAAATCTTCAACACAGTGGCTTCGACGTTAGCAGACGTGTACTTCGTAGAGTCATCAGTCTTAGGAACATTTTCTGAGTTCAAAGTCGAGAGTCCGTGAACGTCCAATTTGATCAAATCGGAAGCACCCTTCTTCCCACCTTTCTTAGAAGCCTCGTAAGATTCCTGCTTCGCTTTTTCGAAACCAGGACCATCGATTTTCAAGCCTTGCTCTTCGGCCATCAATTCTGTCAAGTCGACTGGGAACCCATAGGTATCGTAAAGTCTCCAAACCTGAAGACCATCCAAAGTCTTAGATTCAGTTTGCAGGGCAGCTTGAGCGTATTTTTCAAATAGCTTTTCACCTCTATCTAGCGTCTTGGCAAAAGAAGCCTCTTCTTCGTCAAGGATCTCGAACAGGTAGCTTGGGTCTTTGGCAATTTCAGGGAACATTGCTTTCGTTTGCTCAATTAAAGTTGGGGCCAATGTTGAGAAGAAATTACCGATAGGGTAGTTTAGATATTTGCGGGCGTAACGAGCACCTCTTCTCAGGATACGTCTCAAGACGTAACCTCTGCCTTCATTGTTAGGAACACCGCCATCAGCCAATGCGAACATCAAGGTACGGACGTGATCGGCCAAGACTCTGTAAGCAGTGTCGATACCATCCACATCTTCGGATCCAAACTTACCGGAGTAGGCTCTAGCACCAGTAATCTCTTGGATACGCGAAAACAAAGGCTGGAACACATCCGTGTCATAGTTCGATCTCACATCTTGCAAGACAGACACCAATCTTTCGAATCCCATACCTGTATCAATGTGCTTAGCGGGAAGAGGTCTTAGTTTCCCGTTCTGTTCTCTGTTGTACTGAATGAACACGATGTTCCAGATTTCCAAAACATCTGGGTCGTCCATGTTGACCAAAGAGGACGCGTTCCTGCCACCGATACGGTCGTAGTGGATTTCAGAACAAGGTCCACATGGGCCCTGGTCACCCATTTCCCAGAAATTGTCCTTGGCGTCACCAGTCAAGATGTGATCGTCCAAAACACCCACTTGGCGCCAGAAGTCGCGAGCTTCTGTGTCGGCCTCGAGTCCCTGTTTTGCGTCACCTTCGAAGTAGGTCACATACAGTCTGTCGGCTGGAATTCCGTAAACCTTGGTCAAAAGTTCCCAGGCGTAGGCGATGGCTTCTTTCTTGAAATAGTCGCCAAACGACCAGTTACCCAGCATTTCGAAGAAGGTATGGTGGTAAGAGTCTCTTCCAACGTCCTCCAAATCGTTGTGCTTACCACCAGCTCTGATACATTTCTGAGAGTTCATCGCGCACTTCAAAGTGTAGAAGTCGGAAGATGGGTCGACAGTGCCCAAAAAGATAGGCTTGTACTGGTTCATACCCGCATTAGCAAAGAGCAACGTGGGGTCATCGTATGGCACCACTGGAGAAGATGGCACGAACTTGTGGCTCCGCTCAGCGAAGAAATCCAAAAACGTAGAACGGACATTGGAAGCAGTCCATTTTTGCTTATCACCTACCGTCATTCTGGCAGCGCTATATGAAAACCGTCTCAAGCACTTAGAAAACACTTTTCAAGCACCTTTAGGTAGTTGAAAGGCGACTTTGACCTGTATAGACTGCCGAATCAAGAACTGTTAGCTATACTTATGATTTGTAGAAGATGATTTGATGAAAATTTGGACATTGTTATATTCCGTGTAGAGTGATACAAAACTCAATTGAAATACTCAGCTTCAACGTCGTTGAGCGTTTTCTATGAGCCATTCGGTATTGATAGCTGGAATTTAAGAGCATAAAAATGAATATATATGCTTAAGAGCGAGGAATTCCAGGCTTTGCATTCGTTTTGTTGTATTACATCATTTTTATGGTATTTTTATTTTGCGCTGACATTGTGAAAAGGTTTACGATTTAAATCAAATGGTCAACACATCACACCGGATAGTGCTGGTTTCTGGATTCGAGGAGAATATATATGTGTGTAAGTGTGCGTGCATCTCACTAAATATGTGATGAATTGCATTATTGGACGGTTATTGAGGTATGTCACTTTGTACTACTGAGTCATCGCCATGGACTGTGATTCCGTCGAGATTAAATCAGCATTTTGAGCATCAGCGAGGGCTCGGGTGGACGAAGTTAGGCGATTCACATCGATTGTGTTGTAATGGTCTGAATTATTCTGGCCAACCCTGTGAGTGCCAAGTCTAGGGATTGAATTAGCACAGTTGCTGTGAGAATTACACACACATATATATATATATATATATTTATATATGATTCAAATGAACAAATCAATGAGTGATTTTCAACCCATCACTCTCGCGACCTCACCTTAAGGCTATCCCAGGACCGTGGGTGTCACTGCCAGAATACCATATTTGATCATTTTGTACTTGGCTGTCATGAGAAGGTGTTCATAAAATCCAATATATAACAAGCCATACATGAATGGAAGCCAGCTCAAGAGGTGGTAGCTATGATTCAGTGCGCAATTGTCGAGTAGCTTCTCTAATCAAGTACATATGCAGCCATCAAAGCTCGCTTTCAGCTCGATGGTTTCCCACGCAGTTGATACAAAAATTGGTGCTGACGTTTCTTGACCAGATCCAATGAAAATTATAAATCAACTACGATTTGTCTCTAATAAGGCTCCTTCACTCGACCAATACGCGATAAAATTGGTTTGCATTCTCCAAACATGGCGTGAAGGATACAACCACCTTCACCACCACCTCACCAAATCTCACCCAAAAAAATCAAATTTGGCTAATTCACACAGCCAAGACTAGCCCAATTTCCCAAAAACAGTCTCAGAGGCCCAATATTGAGCATTCCACCTTCCATAACAATCGCTTCATCGATCTTAGATCAAGATCCAGCTTTCCGTACAGCGCTACCTATATTCACAATGAATTTTGGCGCCTAATTACTTCACTTGTCATATCCATGACAATCTATCTTCAAGAAAAGAGGCAGGTTGATGAGAGTTCAAGATGCTTTCATCCATCATTCTGCTGCTTCTTCATGTCTTATTGGCAAGTGGAACAACTATCACATTTCCAAACTCCAGCTCTGGGGATAAATTACGTGCGTGGAACACTCTCATCAAGCTAGTCAATGATCCAAGTGTTTTGGAACAATTGTATTTCGAAATAGCAGGCGTTGGGGATGAATTTGAAGATTTTGATGATGTAGATACTTACGACGACCCAATAAATCGAGTGGTGGGTGCTTTAAGCTTACATGATCCAGACATGGCGGGCCTTTTTCCTTTACATTTCGCATTAGAACCGGGCTTCAGCTTGAAAACGTCAAACGACAACTACTTCAGGCTGAATAACAAAAAATTCAGCTCCCCTGATGATCTTTTCTACCTCAAAAGTGCTGACCTAGAAGCTCAAAAAGCTGTTGTGGATAACGAAATTTCGAGTCCGGGCGAAGCCATCATAGGTCACAACGCAAACGCACCTCTGATCCAATTCTACGGTTGCGATCGCGTTTCAAGCTGGGAGTCTTTCAATCGAAACTTGTTTACAGAGTCTCGTGCAGGAAAAATTAGATTTGTATGGAGAAGTACTTGTCCAAATGACTTGCCATTTCAATTCGTGCCTTCCGCGGTTGCCCTTACTGTCAAAAAATCGCATTGGGGCGAGTCCCTCAGTTTCTCACCGGAACTTCCTGTGGAGTTTCATTCTGACAATCTCAATACTCAGCAAGTAAGTGGAGGCCAATTGAGCGACCTCGATATGAAGGTGAGCACTCTCATTTGTGATCTCTATGAACAAAATAAAGACTTCGCCAAAACCTTGACCTACATGAAACAGATCGTCAACAGCTTTCCCGCTCTGGCGCATGAATTGACAAAATTGCCTTCGAGTAAGAGAAGGATCGTCGAAGCTTTAGACAAAACCACAGAGAATGGCATAGATCATACTATGCTTGGATTCTATGTGAATGGTCAGTATCATAAGCTATCAAGTTTAGATAAGGGTTCCGTTGCTCAAGTTGTTACCGCGGAGTTAACGCGAATCAATCTTCTGAGGAATGTTTTGCAAAAGTACGCAGGTGTTGACGATGCAGAATCCACTGTTCTTGCTAAAAAACTGGTCCAAGCATTTTCCTCACGCTCGCTGAGCACTCTTCAGAACTCACAGCCTGTGAAATATGATCTACATCGGATCTCTGGATTTTCGGAAAGTGTCATTTACTTCAATGACATCGAGAACGATCCGGAATATAAAGGGAAGCTGACAGACGACATCGGTGAGTTTTTCAAGCAATCTGAATTCGGACAAATACCGGCCTACAGAGAGAACTGGAATGAGGTTATATTTGTTATCAATCTTTCGGGATTGGAGTCAAAGGATTCTATGGAGGCTCTGCAGGGACTCATTAGAGCAATTGATGTCGTGAAAAATGGGCATCCTCAAAGAATTGGGTTTCTGCCAATGATCACGGATCCTGAAGATTACGGTATACTTCGGAGAATATACGAGGTAAAAGACGAAAGCTTAAATTTACTTCGCGGCTATCTTAAAGAACTTTCCGTGGGCGCAGGGTTGAGGTCTAGTGCGTTTGATGAAATTCCTCCAGTCTTGGATATCTTAGGGTCTAAATTGAAGCTGACCAACACATCCATCATTGTCAATGGAGAAATCTACCCGTTCAAGAGCAACTTATGGAATTATATTATAGCAAAAGTGCTAAAAAAAGATGTGGCATACATAAAAGATGAACTGCGTCGAATCAATGCTGCTGGGGTATTGACAGCTAGAGAGATACTGCATAGAAGATCTTTTACGGAACGAAATCTCAAACTCGCACCGGACTACTTCGAAGATGCGATTTATTTTGTTACCAACGTAACCGCGCTTAACTCGTTGGGCACAAGAATGATTGAACTCTCCAAAAGTGACGATCACGACTTGTTGCATACCATCACGGTAGCCGATGATTTCGATACCCCTGTGGGGCTGGAAAGACTACTCAACGCTTTGAAAATTAAGCTACTTGGAGTGAGAATAAGAGCTATCCACCTCGGCAGAGAACTGAAACAATGGAACAAGATTCGGAAGTTAGTTGAGAGACTGGCATATGCCGATATCGAAAGAACCTTGTCGAAAATGAAACCAAAGAAGGCAGCTAATGTCATTGATCATAAAATTTTCAGTACTTGGATTCTAGAGCTGCCAGTAGAAAAATGTGCAATGAGCTCATTCCTTACAGTTAACGGAAAATTTGTACAATTTGATTCGGACGAAATTTTGACATCAAGTGAGTACGAAATGATACTACAGCGCGAAGCACTGCGTGTACTTGATACTGCTCAATCTATGCAAGATGTTTTGCCGCGAACTTGGAACTTAGCCATAGACTCAGACATGATGGAAATGGTGTCGAGCATTGTGACCAAAATGTTCTACGAGGGACAACGGATCTATAACAATGGAATTGACTACACGGCTGAGGGCTCAATATCCAGAATCAATTTGGATGAATTCATTGATTTCACCGCTTACAATTCTTTCCAACTTTCTCACGAGGAGAAGAAAGTTGACATTACATTGATAATTGATACATTGGAAGAACGCACTCAGAAGCTTTTAACTTTGATATCGGATTATGTGAATTTGGATTTCGTCAACCTCCGCCTTCATCTTTTGCCAACTAAAGATTTGAAGATATTTCCAATCCATAGATTCTGGCTAGAAAACGATTATTCTCTTTCTGAGCTCGAAAAGGAGGGCGTCTACTATATTGATGTGGACCGTCCGTCTTATTGGCATGTTGGCAACCTTGACGGGAACAACCTTGAAGGTGAGCATACTACACTAGAAGTTAATGCATTTGCGGACACATCAGTCCCTTCTAAAAGTCAAGTTGAAGGGCAAGGTAATGTTTGCTTGCAACTTGTAAATGAAGACAACACAATAATTGATAAAACGATGACGTCCAAAACTTTTGGGTATGGTCAGCTCAGACTCAAAAATCTGGGCACAAAATTTCGGATTGAGAGCTGCTCGCCCGACTTCGAGGTGACCTCCTTCTCGTTGGATGCCCGTTCAAGCTACATGCCTGTCAATTCATTCGATTTTACAACCTTTTCGCCCTTGCGGGCTTATGTCAAGCTAGCAAATTTGAAAAAACCTGCGACTGTGAGCACATCTCACTCTAAGGCTGCGATCGATATTTTTTCAATCATTCAAGACCGCGAACATGAATCTAAATTCATGGGTCTAATTGCCAGCATTTTGAACTCCAATGTAGATAAGAACATGAAATTTTGGATCTTGATGGGGCAGCAACCTTCGGCAGACTTTTCGAGATTTTTAGTCAGCGTTTCCATGAAATTTGCCAAAAGAATAGAGCTTGAATATTTGAAATACGATTGGCCACGCTGGTTGCGGCCCCAGCGATTCCGTGAGGATGAACTTATGGCTGCGAAGGTTTTATTGTTAGACTTCTTATTCCCTGAAACCGTTGACAAGATAATCTATATGGATCCTGGCGCAAGAATTCAGGATATTGAAGGTCTGTGGTCATACAAATTTGATAATGTCTTCTGCTTACCTCGCGCATACCATTCACTCGGAACACCTTATTGGAAAGAGGGATATTGGCAGAATTTTTTGAGCAAACACAATCTAAAGTTCCATGCAATAGGCCCGGCATTTGTTGTTAACTTGGCCAAATACAGAAATGACCATACAGGGGAAAAATTCCGGATCCACTACCAGCGTCTATCGGCTGGCATCAACTTTTTGGCAAAGGTTGACCAGGACTTGGTTAACGATATGCAACTAAGCGTTCCACTGTCCACATTGAGAAAGAGCATGGTGGCTCAAAAAGTGTCACCACAAGACTCGGATAAAAAAATCATCGAAGATCTTATCAAACAAATCTCGAGCGATTCAACAGAGTCACCAAAAATTGAGGTGCCAGTCATTCATGATGAGCTGTAGTAGATGGGTTGAGAAAACGTCACTTAGCGCTTCCCAGCTGTCACATGTCGACGTTAACTTTCAAGCTCAAAATGAATGAAAAATCATGAAATAATAGCTGAATTGTTAGGTCCAAAAACTTACTACATCAGGTTTTCTTAGTTGGGCTTCTCAAACCTTAGATATGGCAGCTAAAAAGCAGGGCCCTCTTTCGTACGGAATTGAACTTAAAAATTTCGAAACAGCACAATCTCACGAAAGTCCTGGACTTTCTGATGCTCATTTCCACACGTTTAAATTCATTGCATGCCTGCGCATACAAAAATTATCAGATGTTCCAATCTTTCAGCTCAACACTCAACGCTTTTTATGTGCTCAATATGCACATTGAAGTAGGTTTGCAAAAGTTAGTAAGAACCATATAAATAAGGGACTCGGCGTTGCGCTCTTAAATTAAGGCCGGTTCCAAGAATAAAGAATAAATACAAATCCAATCGGGTCTTTGGCTTTGACCTCAAGTTCGAGTTCAAAATCCAAAATATTCGAAATGCGTCATAATGGTAAATAGTGATAAATATATCATGAAATTTGATGAGGCATCGCATCTGGATACATCGATTCAAAAAACCAAAACAAAGTAGAGCTCTAACAGCTATTGTTCGCGGTGATTTAATCAAGGCTGTTGACCATCAATGCTCTTTACAGTGTCAACTTCGTGTGAAATATGAGTGAGAGGCTGGACGAAGCGGGATCGAAAAAGAGATCAATTGACAACACAAATTCGGCTGCTGAGGATGATCAGTCCAGTGAGAGCTTTTTCAGCGGACCAAAAAGGCTAGCTTGTTCGAATTGCAGACGTAGGCGGAAAAAATGCGACTTGAAATTCCCTTGCGGTAATTGTGTAAGGCTAGGCTTGAAATGTAACGTAAACATGGAAGACATGAGGAAGAAACGACACACTGCGACTTATGTCGGGTCTTTAGAATCGCACGTCAGCTCGTTGGAAACCAAAATCAGAAAACTTACTGAGAAACTAGCATCAATAGATGGTTCGAATGTCACGAATGATGACGAAGAGGTCTCAAAAGATGGGCATGATAGCTCTTTTATCAGGAATAATTCAGAAGAAGCGTTGAGTGTATCAAGTGTCACCAGTGTCTCTGCTTCAGACTTTAGTAGATCGGGCGGTCTGAACGATGACAGTCTGCGCAAGAAAGGGTTTGTCAAAGGGAGCATCTACCCTGAGGGACCTGCAAGTTATAAGCGAAATAAGAGCTATCAATCCATTCCCAAGCCCAGACATAGAATAGCAGACCTGAAGACGACAGTCATTATACGAAATAATCAAGTGGGTGGGGAAGCCTTGAATGCGAATGCGCAAATCTTGAAAAGTCTTTCGAACTTTTACGTGTGGCTTTACCCCGGGCACTTCGTGTTCGTTCATCGAGAAAGTTTCTTATATGGCTTCTTCAATCACAGTGAAGGTAACTATGAGAACTCACAATACTGCTCGGAAGAGCTGGTCTATGCTGTAGCAGCCATAGGAGCAAGGCTAACTCCCGATACACGAGGGCTTGCGGACGTTTTTTATCAAAAATCGAAGGAAATACTGTTGAGGACAGTTTTTAGCGAGCATAGCATAGCCAAAATTACAACTGTTCAGGCCCTGCTATGTTTGGCTTTTTATGAGCTTGGAAATGGCCAAAATCAACTGGCGTGGTACTTCTCAGGGCTGGCCATCCGTGTCGGGCACGACATGGGATTCCAATTAGATCCCCGGGTGTGGATCACGGACGATTCAAGCTCAAACGAGCTCTCCCAAAGTGAGCTTGAAATCAGAAGTAGAATATATTGGGGCTGTTATATTGCTGATCACTTTATATGCCTTTTGCTGGGGCGAACCTCAACACTAAGCGTATCGAATTCTACAATTCCTGAGAGCGATGAACTACCTGAAGTTAACGGTACAGAAGAATTTCGATTCGAAAGTAAGCACATTTTACAAGTCTCGCTTCCATTAAAGAACCTGGTGATTCTGTCAAGAATTGTACAGGTTTTCACCGCCAAGATCTTTATTGAGCCGAGCAGTACAACACAGCGGATTGAATACCTTATCAAATTCAATCTGAGAGTTTACAACTGGAGACAGTCTTTACCCCAGTTCTTGAAATGGTCAAAAAACCTAATCAAGGATTTAGACAGGTCAACTGATCCAACAATCTCTTATTTTTGGTACCACTACTATATTGTTTCACTGACGTTTAACAAACCATTTATGGAAGACAGTAAGGAGGCCAAAACGCTAGTTTTCGAGGTTCTTGGAGAGCTGAAAGTTTTGTTATCTAATTTTCAGGTAAGATTTGGCAATTACGAAAAGGCCAGCATTTACCAATTATACAGCAGTCTGATATCACTGGCTTGCTCTCGAAAGCTTACGAATATGTTATCAGTGGGCGAATCGCCATCAATGCTGGAGCGAGGCAAAAGGGATTTGAAAACATTTGCCGATATTTTCCAGAATTTTAGTCTTAGCTATGACCTGCCGCGTAAACTTCACGAGGAACCTGACCTGGAAGTTGAGAACGATCCGATGTCGATCAACCCGCTCAACAATTTGAGCTACATCCATGACTTTTCCCTGAGCGATGAAATTGATGAGCTTATTAAGCAAGTTTTCGGATTCGAAAGCTGGTCCTTGAACACTGGTCATTCAGTGTAGCACTTGTACTGAATGTGATTGAGATTAATGGGTCAAATAGAGATGTGTCATGACGCTGTGCCATAAAAAAGGCTGCCAATGTGTCTTGTCGGAAACGCAATGATCGGTCAGTACAGTTGTGATTATAATTTCGAGACCAGCACTGGAATTCGAAGCTTGAAGTGAAATCAAAGCTATGTTATTGGGCATGATCGATTTCCCTTCACCGCAATAATATTTGAGAATAGCATTATTACTATCGTTGTTGTGACATCAAACGTGGCGCCGCTATTGCCAGTGGCATCCTCGAGTGAAAACTTGAAGAAATAATCTCAAAGTGCGAGTGAGCTGTGCTGGTGCCTTTTGAAAAAGACACTCGGCCGGTTTTTTGTCCTCGGTGAGCTAACCAATGCGCTGTGACTATTCATGATGACGTAATCCTCATCTAGTTCAAGATGCCTTTCTTAATCGTGACAGACTCGACCAAAAGTGGTATGACGGGACACTTGACAAAGCTTACAACTAAAACCGCGCTGCGGTTGGCATTATCATGAGCTGTGTTAACTGACACGCTGAGCACCCGCGTCAACGGCGATTTACTGAAATTGCACAAACCTGAACAGCCCAAGCCTGAACGTAGAAAGCGAACGACGCATTCGTGGAGCATTCGTAAGCGAACTTTCCATCAGCTGTCCTTCCGATGACCGCCCGGTAGTGGTTTCCACTGTCAAGAAGAGCCCGGTACCAGCAGTAGTTCTACTGTAAGAACAACGCCCAGACATACACCCTGACCTTCTCATCTTACACCCAGACATACTTCCCTCCTCACGTGACACCACAAAAGCACACCCAGACCTCCTTATCTTACACCCACACATTCCCACCATCCTCACCCCACAAAATCACACCCGCACATCCCACCACCCAGACCTCCTCATCTTACACCCACACATACTTTCCTCATCACGTGACACCTTCCCTCAGCCCTCTCCACGTTTCTTTTTTTTCCCAGTCCTCCTTTCTCCGCCCCTTCCCCCCTCGTCGTTTCTTTTCTCTTCTCTATAGGCTCAAAAGCTGACTTCCCCAGAAAAAAGCAACCCATAGCATCGCTAGCTACGAGCAACGAGTCGGGAGTACCGGGATACGAAAAATATCACTCAATCTAATCTGTAGACGTATATATAAAAATGCAAAAGCGATGAGATGCGATGAGATGCGATGAGCAAAAGATCTCGCAAGGTTACATACAAAGACAAGTGGCCACACGACTCGGAAAAGTTTAGAATTAAGCACATTCTAGGCAATTAGTTGTGGAAACCTGTTAGAGAACTCTCGCCGCGAAATTTGCTTGATTTTTGAGCAGATTGTCATCGGAGAAACACACCGACATTTACACACACTTTCACACACATTTTTTCAAGAAAACAAGTAGTTCTGCTACTGAACTGAGCCATGGAAATCAATTCGCCACAGCCAGAGCACGCTCAATTGAGCTGTCCCCGGGTTCATCCAAAGACGGCCGTTTCCGGCCGTCTTTTGGCTGCGTTGCACCAACAAGTGGTCAAGGCTACAAGCACTGAACACCACATTTTCGGGGTTTCTACGTCGACTGGAATCGACGGGGCCTCGGGCTCCATCGATGGAGCTCTGCTAGAGCCCGCTATTACGGAAAACCAGCTAATCCCATCGCCACCTTTGTCACCCAAACTCGTTGCCCACGACGTCGACAACGCGTTCGATGAAGACAGTGTGAAGACATCAGAGTCCTCAGAGCACCACGATTCTATGCTGGTAAGACCGCTGTACGACTCGGAGATCTCACCCAGGCGGTATCGGACCGCAATGCTGGGATTTCTGGCCCAGTACCGATGCGTGGACCTTTCCCGCTCCCATAAACGAAGCTCTGCAAACTCCAACTACAAAACACTGCGCAGAACCCGCAATTACACTTTGTCATCCACAGGACATTTCTCAAATCACTCTGGGAACTCCGATTTCGAGCGGTCCTATCGCACACGGCGGGTCACGGGTGGCCTTGCCAATGGCGCTGGCCCTCGTGGTCATCTCGTTGGAACTTTAGAACTGTCTCGCGACCCCACACCGGTCATTTCAAGGCCCTCTACTCCCACAAGCAGGCATCGCAAAGCTGCACTGGTATCATCGCCATTAGCCTCTGCTGCCACCGTAAATGCTCCAAACATGAACTGGGAACGATTACCAGACTACAGTCCTTCTGTGTCGCTATTGCCCAATAACAACAAATGCTTGAAAGTTGAGTGGAAGGGCTCGTCCATGGATCTATCAGACGACCCTTTGAGAGATCGACTACATCCAGCAGAGTTGCAATTGGCCCAAATACTAAGATTGCCTTGCGACCTATATCTGGATTCCAAACGCAGACTGTTTTTGGAAAAGATGCATCGGCTCAAGCAGGGTTTACCTTTCAGAAGAACAGATGCTCAAAAGGCTTGCAGGATCGACGTGAACAAGGCGTCACGGCTTTTCGCTGCCTACGAGAAAATAGGTTGGTTGCAAGACGATAAATTTGAGCAGTTTCTATGAACCGGTTGGTACACTGGTTTCAGGACAGGTAAACTGGCATTTTTTTGGTAATAAATTTGGGGAACATCTCGGTAATCTATGGTAAAAGGACAAATAAAGGTGACGCAAGGATGACGACAAGCCATGGGAGGCTTTACCGACACCGGCTTAAACATTGGTAAGCTATTAGGTCATTCGAAAACTGATTTATATGTTGTATTTTGTTTTCTCTCTCTCTTTTTAATTCTAACTTCTTTCTAATACTGATGGTCGGTGTAATCGTTACGTCCTGGTTATGATTACCAACAGCTCGAGTTGAACATCGGCTCAATATGGTCGAGTCCAAATTGCCGATTATCATCGCTCTGCAACATTTCCGGCCTCTGCATGTAGCACATAAACTATAAGAGCCAGCCCTGTTTGGCTCAATCTTCAATCTCCTCATATCGCGCCAGCAGTTTTTTTTTGTATTCCTGCATGTCGTTGTCCCATAGATCTGCAGCCACCGCGTTTAGCGGAGAACTGTTGTTTGGTTCCTCCAGCAGTGATTGCAATGAGAGTAAAATAGTCTGGACGTTGTATACTGCAGACCATTGGTCTTTCAAAATGTCCAAACAGATATTCCCGCTCATGTCCACGTTCGGATGCCACATGGGACTCACAAACCGCACTTTGGGTGCTGTGTACGGGTACGTTTGTGGAAACTCCAAAGCGATCTTAAAGCGCAGGCCCTCGTACGGAGTGTCTGCGGGGCCTGAAATGATCCCACTCCATCTGGTCAAATCTTCTTCGCTTTCGGGGAACGCACTCAAACCGGGAGAAGGCGACATCATCAACTGCACTAGCTCGCTCTGTAGTCTTTTCACCACCGAATGACCATCGGGAACTTTGGATTTCGTACTGCTTTCCATTTTTTAAATATACCTTGGTTACGATTGGGTCTTCCACTAATTGAGCGTTCTTAAAGACCGGTCTTAACGGGCCTGTTTTCTGATTCGATGATCTAGTTTTCGTCGATGTGATGAGCTTGATGGTAGGTAGACGACAGACGATTCCTGTTACTGGAAAACACAAATATATTGAAAGAGATCCATCACGTGCCATGTGGTGTGTGGGTGTGTTCCGGTGAGGTGTGTGGGTGTGTGTTGGGCGCGCTGGCGTTTCGGAGCGCAGACCAATCGGGATCAACGAGCGAGAAGCTCTCTGGTAGCGACTGATCAGTGCCCAATTCGTGATCAGAATGGGAAGCAAGCTCGGTGGCGTCACCGGTGAGTTCTTGGAGCTCCAATCTGGTGTTTTGGGCTAAGTACCGTGTTCGTGAGTACAACCCTGTTTTTGACGTTTCCTGGTGCGTTATGAGACTGTGGACGCGATCTGAAGAGCATTGGTCGCTGGACTCGAGCAGCAGTTCGCGTACTTGTGACGACAGAAACTTGACGCTTTCGTTTACGGGGGCCAGCGATCGCCAGATCGCGCGCTGTTCCTCATTGAGGGCCGCCTTCCCGTCATTGAACGCCGTCAATACCAGTTTCTTATAGCTTTGAATTCGGAAAAGCAGTTTTTGGCACTTCTGTAGCTGTCCCCGCAAGGCTGCATGCCGCAGCAGCTGAACGCGCAATTCTTGCATCTTGGCTGCGACACCCTCGAGAAGCTGGTCTTCTGCGTTGAGACCCCGAGGCAGCACCAGAGATTCGTGGTGCCGCAACCGGAACGACCCGTTTTCCATCAGCTCCTGTGGGATTTGCAGCACGTTTCGTAGAATGTACAGTTCTAGCTTGTCGAAGCTTCTGTCCACAGAATGTTCCCATAAAGTCTCTAATTTCGCGATACCTACTTGGATCTCCCCGGTATAGTCGCGACCGCCTATAAAGTTGCGTTCTAGCAAGTACTTTTCCATCGCCTGCGTGCATTTGTACATTAGCTCGTTAACCGCGTTTATGATGTCATCTACCAGCGAAATCGGTGGATATCCCAGATGCTCCGTCAAGAGGAGGGTCGTACGCATTGTAGGCGCCGACATCCTCGGCTACAGTGAAATATAAAGCACGGGGAATCGGATCTAGGAGCACTGGAGTTGCGTAAAATGGGCGTGTGTGATGTGTGTGTCGAAAGGTTTAAGTTTGGTGTGTCTATTTCGTGTTTCGTGTGGGATGCTCTGTCATACTCTCACTTTTCGGAGCACGTGACATGATGAGGTCTGACTTATGTAATCAAGTGACACGAGATCAAAAGAGTGATAATCTGCTTACCTTCAAATCTGTCTGGCGTCAGTGCCAAAACCATGGCCCAGGCCGTATCGAGCCTTGATATGGGTACTTGACAGATCTTCTCTGGAATAGCTCTTTATCGATTAACTCAACTGCGTCATCTTCGCTGTGCGTGTGAGTAGGGTTTATGAATTTGAAAAACTTGACAATGCGGTCGGGGGGGGGGGGGGGGGTGGGGGGTGGGTGGTAATGGACAGGGTATGGCTTGCTGATCGATATGATTCTTTACACGTTTCGCATTCATGGCAAACCATCCTGCTGCGATAGTGTAAAAAATCACCCCCGTGCTCAGCCGAACTTGAACATTTCTGTTGCAGCGTTGTGTCGTCGACTTCATCCGCAAGGTAAAACACTATTCACTTCTGTTTTGCGCTGACTTTTCAGAATTTTATTTCATTTTCTGAATTCCAACAGCTCATGACGCATTAGCACCACTGTGCTTCACAATCCATCACTCGACCTTGTTTTGTAAAGTGATTATGCAAAGTTCGCAGCAAGCCAATTAGTATCGATAGATAAAAGGCATTCCCCGCCGGCTATGCATCCGATAGCATACAGCTGGATCTGGAGGCCCAACGTAGCACGCATAAACTTTAAATGGGGACATTTTGAAAAGTGGACAAGCGAGAAAAAAAAACATCTGTTTTCGAACTTCGTTAATAGAGGCACCTTTCACCTCTTCGGAAATTTCTTAAAAGTGCTAACTTATACGTCCCACCGCACGCTAACTCCAAATATGTTATCACCTAATGCAATTGTATCGTTTTCCACTATACATGTAATTCTACAATTTGTAACAACAGCGCTGCTCTCGTCTATTCGCTGTCGCTAGACTCGCTACTGCTAGAGTTGCTTTCATAGACAATCTCCTCGCCATTGTCTTCTTTCACTCTTTTGGAAAGCTCGAGGTCCTTGTGACTCTCTCTGTTTTCAGTAGACACTTCGTCATCGAAAATAATCTTTTTGTTGGACACGACTGGCAGATTTTCGGCCTGAGAGCGGTACTGGCCTGTGTTTTCATCTTCAAGTAGCGAACCCTCCAAAGATACCACTTTGCCCGTTGTATAGACGTTTCTCACCGTGAATTTTAGCTTACCATCGAGTTGCCGGCCATTTTCGTCGACCCAGTGACCCAGTGATCTGGTTTGTCCCGAAGTACCCTCGTTTCCGCTCTCGCCATTGCTATCGGCATCTTCGTTGTGTACAAAAGTCCATTCTGCAGGAATGGTAGTTTTTTTTATGCTGGCGTTGAAGGCATCGTGGATCAGCAGACCAATGTGCGATGGAGACTGTATGAAGATCCAACCCTCGATCACATTGCCGACTTGTGGCTGCCACACGAACAGGTCGACAGTGCACCACGTAAATCCGAACGGAGTATCTGGGGTCACCTTCACTAGCTTATATTCTGCGTCCTCATCACCTGGGCTGGAGTCTTTGATGTCCAGATTTTGATATCCTAGCACCACACCACCCACATCGCTGCTGTATTTCATTATCATCGGGTTCAAATGCTGTTTCTTAATACCCTTATTGGGTTCCCCCATGTATGTAGGAGCCAACGAAACATACATCGAGACCGGCACTCGAACGATGCATTTTGATACGCCGCTTGTTTCATCCACTGGATTTTTTAGGGCTTTCCTGTGTTTCTTCACAAATGCAACATTTCTCTGCTGCTCCAGAGGCCTCTTCACACTTGACATGACAGCGTCCGAACCCAGTTGCTCCGATGCCAGTGAATCTATTGTAGCGATGCGATGAGCTTAAGTTTTGATTCCAAAAATTTTTTCATCACTTTATACTTTTCTGTCATTTTTTGGTGATGAAATTGGCCAGCGTCAGTTTAAGCTGGGACGGGATGAAGAGCGCGATGGCAGCGCAACACACGGAAAACTGTCAGGTTGAGTACTAGCCGTGATAGTACGGGAAATTTCCACTGCAGTCTGAATAAACCAGCTTTTTGCCAGGTACGCTTAAAAATTGTTGCCGCACTCAACAAGAAAAAAGTGGAAATGTCATGGAAAATTCCCCATTGTGAGCGGAACGATAATACCAAAATGACCATTTCCTCTTTCACCAGAGAAGAGAGAAGCGTCAGTTAATTGTTACTGCCACTATACATAACGGAATATTTTGATTTATCTAATTGACAGTAGCAGAGAAACCCTAAAAAAAAGATAGAGCAGCGTCCTTCGAAAAACGCATGTGTCCAGTGGCTTTCCCCAAGAAAAATGCAGGGTGTAAGCCCGGTCACAACCTTTAAAAAGCACAACTTCCCCCGCAACTTTGCTCATTCGTTTCTCCCAGACCATCCTCATGGTTACCATAGATTTAACTGAATTACCTTATGATTGACGTAAGCTTAAAAAATTATATAGTGTCCAACCGATATATATTAAAAGAGACATTCAATTTTGATTCATTTTCTCTTTGATCTTGTTTTCTGCCTTGGAGCCCTGTCCCGAACCAAAAACGCTGGCAGCGATACCACCGATCGCTCCCAGGTGCATTTTGTTGCCCACGTCTGCTCCCAGAACGGAGCCAGCGATGGAGCCCGCTAGATTACCTTTGTCGACCGATTCAGCGTTTTTGTCTGGCATTATATATTCGTGAAGTGAGGTACGAAAGATCCCTACACTGGTAGAAGTAGAAGCTCCAGATCTGTTGATCGGTGGGCTAGGGTCTTCCCTTTATATAGTCAGAGCCATGAATAGCAAGTTGTTGCGTTAGGAGCTGGGTCGTGTAAGATGATGCTGATGGATAGAACAGCCAGCCGTGACAGACTAGTTGAAAAGAGCGAGTGAAATTGAAGTTCAGTCGTGTGTTAGTAGTGAATAAGCTAGCTGGGGTGATATGAACAATATTTCGGATTTGTCGTCGCTAGAATAAACAAGCTGGGGTGTTGTGAAGAATGTTTTTTATTTTTGTCATTTGACAGATGTGGGTCCAGTTGCGTAAGACATACTTATGGGAGAGATGGGGAGACTGCACTCAGAATTGAAAGATGCAAAATTACATCCACTGTGAAGTTTCTCGACGAACTGGGGTTCGGGGAACCGTTTGGAGGGAATGTTTGTTTAAGCAGTGGTCACGTGGTCCGTGTCAAGATTCATCGTGCCAGGGAGTATAAGCTGCCCTTACGTGTGGTGTCATAGCCAGCAGTCTGTTTCCACTGGAATACGCTCCACACTTTTGGCATTGCTGAGCCGAGTTCCATGGTCAGGAAGCTCAGTTTTACGCCCGGGTTTTTTTTCGCTTGAGAGATGACAGACAAGTCTGAAGTGATCTGGCATTAAAATGGGAAGACTTATGATATATAAAGAAAGCACGTAGCGTAGTGCTCGAGAGAAGACAGATAGAGATGCGTGCGTTGGTCTTTTGTCATGGTAAATATTCCCGCCACCTACAGATGAGTCTTTTGATTTTCGGTCATGATCTCTAATACCTTCTATAGCATTCTCTTTAATTATTTACATTTAAGAGCCTCAACACTTGAGAAAAGTGTTTTTTACACTGTGAAAAGATACTGTCAAGTTGACACTCTACTTCTAGTTATGAAAGATCTGTAGGCGCCAAATGGTAATGTGACCACGAATTCAACCAGCCAAAACTTCTCAAAATTGCAAAAACGATGATCGGGCCCCACCAAAACTGATTTTCACCACCCCTACGATCCAGACTCCAGCACGGGTACACTGATTTCACTGATTTCACTGGTGCACTGGCGCTTACCCAGATAGCCCATTGTGAGAAGATCACTTTGTACTAAAGTGACACTATAGTCACGTGCTCCATCATTGTTTTACCTTCAATTTAAAATAACTCTCACCTTCTCTGTCCACATCCAATCGGTTTCGGAAGCCAGAGAATACGTAGAAAATAATTTCTCTACTACTATCAGCCTTCCTGATACCTTCGTTTCGCTGCTTTGCAAGACAAATTTGGCTTTTAAGTCACGTGCTTATCACGTCTTAATTACCGATCACCCTACACGAACACATCTTCTGTTTTTCACTTGGATTTTCTTTTTTCCATAAAATTTTTCCATAACGACTTATAAAGAACTCATCTCATCTCATCTCATCGCATCAATTAAATTCAAACTCGATCTCCCACCGAGACACTCGAGAATTCAGTCGCATTCATTCAATTATCTCCGTGCAAGTTTCTGCTTGAATCTGGAGGTGTTTGAGCCTAATTTTTTGCGCTCAAATCCGTTGAAAACTCATAGTTTTAGTCCCATTTCGATCATCACCTTCATCACCATCACATCGCACACAACATGGATATCTCGAAACCTGTGGGTTCCGAGATTACCTCGATGGATTTCGGAGTGATGACCGCGCAGGACATCAGAAACGTGTCGGCCATGCAGATCACCAATCCCACGGTTCTAGACAACCTGGGCCATCCCATCTCCGGTGGTCTTTACGACCTGGCTCTGGGCGCCTTCTTGCGAAACCTGTGTGCCACTTGCGGTCTTGACGAAAAATTCTGTCCCGGCCACCAGGGCCACATCGAGCTGCCGGTGCCTTGCTATAACCCGCTGTTTTTCAGCCAATTGTACATCTATCTTAGAAGTACGTGTTTGTACTGCCACTCGTTCAGATTGAAGGCTGCAGAGGTGCATCGCTTTGCTTGCAAGCTCAAACTTCTGCAATACGGACTTATCGACGAGTGCTATCTGCTGGACGAACTTCGCGTCGGAACGCTTGAAAATGCTGTGGAAGAAGCGGAGGAAGATGACGATGAGGAAAAACCTTCCAAGCAACTCGACGCCGCTATGTTGAGAGAACTAAAAGTCAAACGCAGGGAATTCGTGGACCTCTGTATAGCCACTGCGCTCTCTGAGGGCCGTACTACTCACAAGGGCACTTTCACCGCCACGGTGAACGACGAGAGAAAAAAACTCATTCACGACTTCCACAAGAGACTTCTCTCCAGACCCAAGTGCGACAACTGTGGTATGTTTTCCCCAAAGTTCAGAAAAGACGGTTTCACAAAGATTTTCGAAACCGCTTTGACTGAGAAACAACAAACGAACAACAAGGTCAAAGGTCTAATTCGTGCCGATGTCATCAAGAAACAACAACAGCGGCGTAAGCTCGCTGATGACCAAAAGAGTAGCACGGCTGGCGACGACATCATGGATGTGAGTGAAGACTTTGGCTACGACAGAGAATCCTCTTCAAGGCCCAAGACTGGATCTACTTACATTTTGTCCACTGAAGTCCGCAACATTCTACAAAGTGTATTCAAGAAAGAACAGGAGGTTCTGCAATACGTGTTTCATTCGAGACCAAATCTTTCCAAGAGATTGGTTAAAGCTGATATGTTTTTCTTGGAGGTGGTAATTGTGCCTCCAACGCGTTTCCGGTTGCCTTCCAAGATGGGCGAGGAAATTCATGAAAACACTCAGAATCAGCTGCTATCCAAGATTTTGACCACCTCTCTACTGATAAGAGACTTGAACGAAGAAATGCTAAAGTTGCAAAAGGACAAAGTGTCGGTCGACGACAAAAGAGTCATTTTCAACAGATTGATGAATGCTTTTGTCACCATTCAAAATGACGTAAATGCTTTCATTGACTCGACCAAGGCTCAAGGTAATACCGGTGGAAAGGTTCCTATTCCAGGTGTCAAACAAGCTTTGGAAAAGAAGGAAGGTCTGTTCAGAAAACACATGATGGGTAAGCGTGTCAACTACGCTGCTAGATCCGTTATTTCGCCAGACCCCAACATCGAGACCAATGAAATTGGTGTACCACCAGTGTTTGCCACTAAGCTCACTTATCCCGAGCCCGTGACGGGTTACAACATTGCTGAACTCAGACAGGCAGTTATCAATGGTCCCGACAAATGGCCAGGTGCGACTCAAATCCAGAACGAAGATGGGTCTTTGGTTTCATTGGTCGGAATGACTTTGGAACAGCGTAAAGCTCTTGCCAACCAACTTTTGACTCCTTCCTCGCACAGTTCCACTCATTCTTTGAATAAAAAGGTTTATCGTCACATCAAGAATAGAGACATTGTCATCATGAACCGTCAGCCTACCCTGCACAAAGCTTCTATGATGGGTCACAAAGTTAGAGTTCTACCCGGTGAAAAGACTCTTCGTTTACATTACGCTAACACCGGTGCGTACAATGCTGATTTTGACGGTGACGAGATGAACATGCACTTTCCTCAAAACGAAAATGCCAGAGCCGAGGCTTTCAATCTTGCTAACACCGACTCACAGTACTTGACCCCAACTTCTGGGTCTCCTGTCAGAGGTTTAATCCAGGACCATATCTCAGCTGGTGTTTGGCTAACAAGCAAGGACAGTTTCTTCACCAGAGAAGAATATCAACAATATATCTATGGCTGTATTCGTCCAGAAGACGGGCACGCCACCAGAAACAAGTTGATTACCGTTCGCCCTGCTGTTTTGAAACCTGTGCCACTATGGACTGGTAAACAAATCATAACAACTGTTCTCCTTAATGTCACCCCTGCTGATATGCCAGGTATCAACTTGAAATCCAGCAACAAGATTAAAAATGACTACTGGGGTGAAGGCTCCTCCGAAAGTGATGTGATTTTCAAGAATGGTGAGCTACTCTGTGGTATCTTAGACAAATCACAATACGGTGCTTCCAAGTATGGTGTTGTGCATTCTTTGCATGAGGTCTATGGTCCAGACGTCTCAGCTAAGGTCTTATCTGTTCTCGGTAGACTTTTCACCAACTACATCACAGCAACTGCATTTACCTGTGGTATGGACGATCTTCGTTTGACCGATGAGGGCAATAAATGGAGAAGCGATCTCCTCAAGACCTCTCACGATGTTGGCAGAGCTGCTGCTGCGGAAGTTACCAATCTGGATAGCGACGTCAGTGTCAGTGACTCAGAGTTGTTGAAGCGTCTAGAGGAAATTCTAAGAGACGATAACAAATTAGGTATTCTTGATGCTGTAACATCTTCGAAAGTCAACGCAGTCACTTCTCAAGTTGTCTCCAAGTGTGTGCCAGGAGGTACCATGAAGAAGTTCCCATTGAACTCGATGCAAGCCATGGCTCTATCCGGTGCTAAAGGTTCTAATGTCAATGTGTCCCAGATTATGTGTCTGCTTGGTCAGCAAGCTTTGGAAGGTAGAAGAGTACCAGTTATGGTATCAGGGAAAACCTTGCCATCATTCAAGCCATTTGAAACTGATGCCATGGCAGGCGGCTACGTCAAGGGTCGTTTCTACTCAGGTATCAGGCCTCAAGAGTACTACTTTCACTGCATGGCTGGTCGTGAAGGTTTGATTGACACAGCTGTGAAGACATCAAGATCTGGGTATTTGCAACGTTGTTTAACAAAACAGCTGGAAGGTGTTCACGTCTCTTACGATAACTCGGTCAGAGATGCTGACGGAACACTCATTCAGTTCTTGTACGGTGGTGACGCCGTGGACGTTACTCAAGAATCGTACATGACCCAGTTCAAATTCTGCGCTGATAATTATGAAGCTCTTCTCAAAAAGTACAATCCCTCGGCTTTGATCGAGCACTTAGATGTGGAAAGCGCTTTGAAGTACTCTAAAAAGACTCTCAAGCACAGAAAGAAGAATGCCAAGATTCCTCATTACTCTCAGAAAATCAAATACGACCCTGTTGTTTCCAAATACAACCCATCCAAATACCTGGGTTCTGTTTCGGAAAATTTCCAGGATAAGTTGGAGAGTTTCATTGATTCCAACGACGTGCTTTTCAAAGGTAGTGACAGCGTGAGTGAGAAGAAATTCCGTGCTCTCATGCAGCTAAAATACATGCGCTCTTTGATCAACCCAGGTGAAGCTGTTGGTATTATCGCCTCACAGTCTGTCGGTGAGCCTTCTACTCAAATGACATTGAACACATTCCACTTTGCTGGTCATGGTGCTGCTAATGTGACATTGGGTATCCCCCGTATGAGAGAAATTATCATGACAGCTTCAGCTGCCATTAAAACACCTCAAATGACACTACCAATATTGGACGATGTCACAGATGCGCAAGCCGACACGTTCTGTAAGTCAGTCACCAAGGTCATGTTATCCGAACTCGTTGATAAAGTTGAGGTCACCGAATCCACTGGTAGCTCGGAAGACTCTACAGGATCGCGCTCTTATTACATCAATATGAAGTTTTACGGAAGCAACGAATACGACGAAGAGTACGACGTCTCGAAAGAAGAACTTCAGAACGTTGTAGCCGGTAGATTCCTGAAGACTTTGGAAGCTGCCATTGTCAAGGAAATCAAGAAACAAAAGAAGACAGCCCCATCCGAAATTGGCGTTGCCCTTCCTCGCTCCCAAACTGCCATTGCATCTGAGGAAGGTGGTAAAATCTCGGACGAGGACAACGATGAGCAGGAGTCGCGTCAAAAGTCGAAACAAGCCGTTTCCTACGATGAGCCCGACGATGAAGAAATCGAAACAATGAGAGAAGCAGAAAAATCTTCGGACGAAGAACTAGAATCAGAAATGGATTCTGATACCTCGATATCTGATGCCGAGGGCGACGATGACATCAAACCTGTAGTTGAAAAGGTCAAGAACGGTATGACTAAGTCTCAACGGGATAGACAGTCAGCCATCATATCATCCCATAGATTTGTTACCAAGTACAACTTCGATGACGAGGACGGAGAGTGGTGCAAATTCAATATCGACTTGGCCGCTGACACCGAGAAATTGCTGATGGTCAACATCGTGGAGGACATTTGTCGTAAGTCTGTCATAAGGGAAGTCAAGAACATCGACCGTTGTGTTCATCCCGAACCCGAAAATGGTAAGCGTGTGTTAGTTACCGAAGGTGTCAACTTCCAAGAGATGTGGGATATGGACGATTTCATCGACGTGAACGGAATTACCTCGAATGACGTGGCAGCCGTTCTGAAAACCTATGGTGTAGAAGCCGCAAGAAACACCATTGTCAACGAAATTAACAACGTTTTCTCTCGTTATGCAATTTCTGTTTCTTTCCGTCATTTGGATTTAATCGCTGACATGATGACCAGACAAGGCACATACTTAGCCTTCAACAGACAGGGTATGGAAACATCTACATCTTCCTTGATGAAGATGTCTTACGAGACCACTTGTCAATTCCTCACAAAAGCTGTTTTGGACAGCGAAACTGAGCAACTCGAGAGTCCTTCGGCTAGAATTGTTCTCGGTAAATTGAATAATGGCGGGACAGGATCCTTCGACGTTTTGACGAAGGTTCCCGCATCGCATTAAAACTGTATTTGCGCATAGAAAGTAGTAATCATGTAAATTATAAGAAATATAAACGTCACATCAGGACGAGCAGCGGCCGACAGGACCATACGGGACTTCAATCTTCAGTAAACCTGAAAATTTCATCATGAAGACAGTAATAAAATCAGAAAAGAATCAATCATTTGCGTGAGAGTTAACTCGCGCTGCGGAAGTCGATCGGAAATATAGTTAATACTTATAAATGCTGAAATACTAAAATACAAGAGTCTTGATATCCGTGCTGCGGGTATTGCGAAAAATGCTTTCTACTCAATGCCGAAAACAGTTTTCATCTTACGCAGCAACAGCCAGTCTGACCTAGAAACTTGGTCTCTGAATGCTGGATCCTTCAAAGTGTCCAAAGATCTTCTTGTAATCAATGAGTATAATGTGTCCTTCTCATCGACGTGACGACCCCAGATCGGTTGCTGACCAGATGGATCTTCTAGACGCATTGCAACACCGGCAGCCGTTTGACCCTTTTTAACCTCGTTGTGTGCTTGGTGGTTGATTTCCAGCGAAACAACCTTACCTAGTAAAAGAACATTCTTTTCTTTGGTGACAGGGTCTATTCTAACAGCACAAATTGGTGTTCCAACACGAACAGAGCCTTCTAGGACGTCGACACCAATGATCATAGGACCACGCTTGTTGATGATTTGCAAAGTGTTTAGCACACATGGGAAAATAGCATCATGCAAGAAGTCCTTACGACGCTGCTCCATGAGCTTCTCTTGGTATGCGGTAAAGGCGTCGAATAGATGGTAAATGATATCGGCATTGAAAATCTTGACACCTTGTTCTTCAGCATAGTGCTCGGCTTCTTTATCTATCTTCACATCGAAGCACAGCATGACTGCGAATTCTTTTGCCTTCTCCAACATTGCACAAGCCTTCATAACATCCCTTTTATAAACAGGACCCAAGCCGATGGACATTACGGGAATCTTCATGTCTTTCAAGAAGTCCAGCAAAGCCTCCAAAGAACCTAGGGTAGACGCTTGCACAACCACACCACGACCAGAAGTGTCAACTGAGTCAAGAAGACCAGTCAAGTCATCCATAACGTCATCCATCATTTCTTCCTCATCGTCATCTGGTCCAACAACCAACAGTCTGGAACCAGAAACGGCTTTCTCCAAGTCGTTAGCGGCAATCTTGACACCGAGGGCAGCTTTAACTTCCTTGTGATGCACATACTCAGATTTCAAACGAAGCTCTCGCAGTGGTTGTGGGGTCAATAAAGCTCTGATATTAGTGACGATAGGGCCGTTCAGACCACACAATACGATACGGTCACCCTCTCTCAAGTAACCGTTGGACAAGATAACATCAATGGTAGTACCGAAACCCTCGACAACCTTGACTTCCAAAACTGTAGCAGCAACGTGGGACAGGTACATCAATTGTTTGGACATTCTCTTCTGTGTCAACTCTAGCAACAACCACAACAAATCTGGAATACCTTCACCAGTGACAGCTGATGTAGGTACGATAGACACATATTTGGCCATGTTTTTGTTCTGGAAGTACAATTCAGAATTTAGACCCTGCTCGGCAAGAGCGACTTTGATAGCCTCTAGCCTAGTGGCAAACTCTTGTTTGACACCTCTGGTCTGCTTTTGGAAAGTGCTTCTGAAGGCGTCATTAGGGGTGGCTTGCCAGTCATACAATCTATCGATCTTGTTCAAAGCAACCACGAATGGTGCCTTTCTGTCTCTCAACAATCTAATGGATTCAATGGTCTGCTGTTCAAGACCGTGCATGATGTCAATGACCAAGATGGCGATGTTACACAGCGAGGAACCTCTGGAACGCAAGTTGGTGAAAGATTCGTGACCTGGAGTGTCGATAACTAGCAAACCGGGAACATCGAAAGTCTGCTTTTCGAACTGAGCCATGGATTGAGTCTTGCTGATGACAGACTCAATTGGAAAGTAAGTAGCACCAATTTGTTGAGTAATACCACCGGCTTCACCACCTTGGACGTTGGTCTGTCTGATCTTGTCCAACAGCTTAGTCTTACCAGTATCGACGTGACCCAAGATACAGCAAATTGGCGAACGTAAGTCTTTCTGGCCTGCTGGAGATGGAGATGGCGATTGACGCGAGACCGCTGCGGATGTCGTGGTCTGTGGGGCCTGTGGAGCCTTCTCGACAGCAGCAGGTTTGACTGGGTTGATTTCCTCAATTTCTTCTTCCTCTTCACCTTGCTCAACAGTTTCCTCGGGCTCAGATACAGCAGCTTCTTCAGCTTCCTCGTCGTCCTCCTCGAGTAGATTTTCCCAGTCATCGATGAGAGCTTCTTCTCCGTCGTCCTCAGCAGCATTGGCAGCTTCAGCAGCTTTCTGGGCCGCAGCAGCAGCAGCTTCGGCATCTTTTTCCTGCTGGGTCTTCTTCTTTTTTTTGCCGTACACGACTTTCTTGGGCTTGTTAACGGCTTCTTCACCAGCTTCGTTGGACTTGTTCAAACCGGCGACTTGAATGTTTCCAGCGGCAAGCAGAGCGGCACGTCTCTTTTCAATGAGTTTTCTCTCCTCTTTCTGCTTTCTGGTCAGAAGTTTACCTTCTGCCTTCAATTTTTCACGCTTGGCCTTTTCCTTCTCACGCTTTTCACGCTTGGACTCTTCTTCGGCCAGTTTGAGCTGTTCCTGACGCTCTTCTTCTTCCTTTTCCAGCCTTTCTTCCTCTTCTCTCTCAAGACGCTCTTGTTCTTCCAATTGTTTCTTGAGTTCCAATTGACGTCTCAAGGCTGCAAGACCAGCAGGAACCTTCTTGGCACTCTTTTTGCTTGCAGCAGCAGCAGGAGCAGCTCCCGAGTCATCAGAAGCGCCATCACTCTTGTTCTGTTTGGATTTCTTGGCGTCTGCAGCGGACTCTGCTTGCTGTCTGTTGAGTTCCTTAGTTTTTTCCTTTTGGGCCTGTTGCTGGGCCTTCTTTTTCGCAGCCAATTCTTTCTTCTTCTGCTTTTCTAGTTCTTTCTTCTCCTTTTCCTTCTCTTTCTTGGACTTGATCACTGGTTTCTTGGCATCCTGTTCTTTCTCTTTGGTGGCAGCTTTGCTCTTGGAACTTTTGAGAGCAGACATGAAATCTGTTTCCAATTCTTCTTCCTCGTCGGCATCGACAAGGCTAGCATCACCGGTTTCAGCACTCAATTCAGGCTCTGGAGAGTTTGCAACGGAGTTTTCCGCCGCCAATGGCTCGGGAGTCGCAGAAACGGCGTCTTCTCCCAGATCGTCGTCCCAATTGCTTTGTTGAGACTTCTTAGATTTCTTCCCCATGGTTATGACAAACTAACGACTAACGAATTCAACGAATAAATGTGGTAGTTTATAAAAAGCTGAAAGCTTTGTTTAGTAAAAGAAGTGGTTTGGGTTTTCTTGAATCACTCAGTGGGATTGTTGTAGGAATAGGCTATCAACGTAGTGTTGTAGAGAATCTTTAATAATTAAAATTTTTCAGAATGTTTGTCGTGTGGGGTGATATAAAGACAGAAACATGCTTAAATGGTCATGTGAAATTCATGTGACTGTGGCGTGACGAAGCTCCAGATCACGCTGTTTTAACGTGTGTCACAGGTCACGCTCACAGCACGTGACACAGTTTAACGTCATTTGGTATTCACGTGTATACATATGTCACTCCTTTTTCACGTGAATATTTTTTTTCGACTTTTTTCTCTCCTGTACGTACACAATGACCATTGGCACCAGCAAATAAAATTTTATTACCACCATCACTACAACTAGAACTAGAACTATGACGACCCAGACATCATCGACTTTGAATCTCATCCAAGCTATCCATCCCAGCTCCTCTTCTCACATCTACAACTCATCAACTTTCCAATCGTCAACCTCATTCCCTTTTCTCACCATCCATCATGTCCACAACCGTAGAAAAAATCAAGGCCATCGAAGATGAGATGGCCCGTACGCAGAAGAATAAAGCTACATCTTTCCATTTGGGTCAACTCAAGGCTAAACTGGCCAAATTAAGAAGAGAAATCGTCACCTCGGCGTCCCAAGGTGCCGGTGGTGGCGGTGGTGTCGGTTTCGACGTCGCCAGAACCGGTGTTGCGTCCGTGGGATTTGTCGGTTTCCCATCTGTAGGCAAATCCACTTTACTTTCCAAATTGACCGGTACCGAGTCCGAAGCGGCAGACTACGAGTTTACCACGTTGGTGACTGTTCCAGGTGTCATCCGTTACAAGGGAGCCAAGATCCAGATGTTGGATTTGCCCGGGATCATCGACGGTGCCAAAGACGGCCGTGGTCGTGGTAAGCAAGTCATCGCGGTGGCCAGAACTAGTAATCTGCTGTTCATTGTTCTGGACGTCAATAAACCGCTACACCACAAGCAAGTCATCGAAAAGGAACTCGAAGGTGTCGGTATTCGTCTCAACAAGCAGCCGCCCGACATTATGATCAAGAAAAAGGAAAAAGGTGGTATCTCCATCACCAACACAGTTCCACTCACACACTTGGGATCTGACGAAATCAGGGCCGTCATGAGTGAATACAGAATAAACAGTGCCGAAATCGCCTTCAGATGCGACGCAACAGTCGACGATTTGATCGACGTTCTAGAAGCACCTACCAGAAGGTACATGCCTGCGATCTACGTCTTGAACAAAGTGGACTCTTTGTCTCTGGAAGAGCTAGAACTGCTGTACCGCATTCCTAACGCAGTCCCCATTTCATCCGGCAAAGAGTGGAATTTGGACGAACTTCTGCAGATCATGTGGGACAGATTGAATCTGGTACGTGTCTACACCAAGCCCAAGGGAGTCATGCCCGACTTCAATGATCCCGTTGTCTTGAGATCCGACAGATGCACTATTCGCGATTTTTGTAATCAAATTCACAAATCGCTGGTAGACGAATTCAGAAATGCTATCGTGTACGGGAGCAGTGTCAAGCACCAACCGCAATATGTCGGACTCAACCACGTCTTGGAGGACGAAGATGTTGTTACCATCTTGAAGAAGTAAGGGCGTTTCCCCTGGGGCAAAATGGCTCCAATCTACTTCATCATTCCCGTTCCCATTCCCATTCTCAGCTCTTTGGACCTGAGTCATACCAATTGCATATCATTACCTTTCTAGTTTTACATATTACACAGTAGTGAGCCATCATTAAATCATCATGTAACAGTTGTTTGACTTACGATCTGAAAACATCCACCACGCGAGCACACACGGTGAGGGTTGTAACGTAAGCGTTGTTCTTTCTGTAATCACCTTAACTCTTTTCAAAATGGCCGATCGGCTATTTTCCGGGCCTTCGGTGTCCCCGCCGCAGCTCTTTCTGACTGGAGGCTGGCGAATGATAGATTCGCGGAAGCATTGTCATCTTCTGCGTCTTCTTCTTCTTCTTCATCAGATGAAGGCATATTCCTCCTCTTTGTGGCGAGAGATGTCGCATTGAGAGAGAGACCTCCAACTCTAGCATCGGGATAATCTTCTTGCAGAATGTGTTTAGAACGAAGTCTTTCTGCAAATTGTGCTAGACTTGGGAAAGACGTCGAAAAGTCGAGCCCAGTTTGCGCGATGGTAGGGCGCAGGGATCTCACATATTGAAGAGCCTCGCAAACACTAGCTTGGGAATTGGTATGCAGAATGTGAGAGACAAGCAGTGAAGACAAGTCGCTTTCGTTGCCGCTAGACGAGAATACCAGTACATTTCCGGCATTCGACAGCTTGAAGATCTTAAGCAGATCGTTAAAGGCCTCGAACACATCAATTCCTTGTGCCGTTATCACGTTGCGTTCGTAAATACCCGCGCTGTGGTATAAAAGCTGCTCTAATTCTGGCTGCGGTGTCAGTCCGCGATCAGAATTGTAGTTAGTCTCGGTCTGGGCACTTACTTCGGCCGTTACAAGTCTGAGACTTGCAGACTGGGTTCTACAGTATTGGGAGACCACATCTTGAGGTTGCTGATTTCCGGGAGTCTTTTGATCGGAGTTTGGATCGAAATTTGGATCGAAATTTGGATCGAAGTTTACCACTAGACACTGTTCTGAGGGAAGCGACTGACAATATTGGGCTACGCGAGCCGTGGGGATCCCTACTGCGACGAAAAACTTGATATTGTTGGCTTGCAAAAATCTCAGCTGTGACAAAGCGTTTAGTGGCCCGAAAAAGACATTATTGGTCAACTGCTGCGGTATGAGCTGGTTCTTCCAGGACGCTACAACAAACTGGTTTTGAAAAGACATTGTGGGTAGTCAAATAGTGACCAACTTGGGAAAGTGGTACCAAATATATGGGTGATCAAAATATACTGGCGACGACCTTAGGCGCTAAGCGATGTGATGAGTGCAAAGTTGGTGTTGTGTCGGGTGAAAAATTTGGCGATGAGTTTTGGTATATCCATTTAGCGTCAACTTGGGTCAAAGTGATAAAGAAGCGACAGTGAAGGATGGACGATGGGTAGTTCGGCAATCGACGGTTGCTTGGCTAGCTTATTCTGGGCATGTTGGTTCAATTGAGAACGAATATTAATTAGTATCGTAGGGGAAGTGCAAACATGATGTGTAGCCGGTTTACAATTTGGTTTAGCACTTACCTTAGTGTGCGAGTGCGTATCGTGAAAGCATCTATGGCTGCCCTTGCCTTTCCTTTCCCATCCAATTTTCTTTCATTACTCTATAAACGTTATACCTATTGTCGTCATGGTCGTCAGCTGTGCGCGCCCGGTGATGAGCTATATCCTAAAGGAGGTCAGAAAGCTCTGGCGTTGAAACCCGGGCCGCATAGTTGTGTAAAAAATAAACTCATAAAAAGAGGATTGCGACTTGTTGTGTGCGCAATCCAAAAGCGTGCTGCGAAGCTGTGCTTGGCCGTGGTTTTTTTGGGCCTGCCTGCCTGCCTGTGTGTCGACTGGCTCGCTGTGGCTGGTTGTCCATGCTGTGCCCGCTGTGCTTGGTCTATCATGAAAAAGCGGGCAATCGTAGCATGCTGCATGTGTGTGGTTTGGTTTGGTCTGGTGAGCATGCGTGGGGGATTCTCTTTGGGTCCCCCGCTACTTGCTGCGCTCGCGCTCCAATTCCCGTTTGAGTCGCTGCACCTCCATTTCGTACAGACGCTCGTTGTTCTGCAAATACAGAATATAGTCTACTGCCTTTTCCAGGATCATGCTCTTGTTGAGCTTGGGCGTCGCAGCGTCCGTGAGACGCACCGCGACCGCTGTGGCGGCGTCCGACGAGCAACAGGTGGCCTCCGAGCCGGAATTGCACGAACTTGACGAGCCCGTCGCCGACGCAGCGCCTGCCGCGCCGCCCGCCTTGCCCTCGCCAACCTCGAACGCAGTTTCTTCCGACGCGACCCACGGTATGATCTGCTGCAGCTTCGAGATCTTGGTGTTGATGTTGATGCGGTACCGCTTTTCGATCTTGTTGTGGGCCTCTTTCTGGTGCGCCGTCAGCCGCTTGCGAGGCGCGCGCCGTTTGCGCGCGGCTGCAGCCGCCAGACTGCCTGCATGGTTGCCGGCGTTACCGGGCGCATTGCCATTGTTCGCGCTCTCGTTGCCCAGGCCGACGGCCTGCTCAAGGTCTGCGAACCCGTCTAGCGTCGCCAGTGGCAACTGCTGCGCGCCGCACACACCTGCAGCGTCCTCGCGTTTAACGAACGACGGCGAGCCCGACACCGAGTTGCTGGCCGTGACGAGCGCGTCCGAGTCCGCGCCACTGCCGACGCCGTTGTCGCCAGCCGCGAGCCCTCCGGCGGGCCCGACACCGCTGTCGAACAATGTGGAAAACTGGTCCAGCGGCGAGCCCGCCGACGAGGTCGCTGTCGACGAGTCCGTCACCGCGTTCGTGCACGACGACGTCGCTCCCCACGGCGCACCCGCGCCCGCGCCCGCGCTCGCCATGGACTCGTACTCGCCCGCCAGCCGTGCGTCGCCCGTTTCCGGGAACAGCCAATCTTCGAAGCTGGCCGATCCCCCTGTACCAGGCCCAGCACTGCAATTTTTAGCTAGTCCACCACCGTTGCCAGAATTTGTAGCTGTGGACATAGTCATAGTTCCAGAGCCGTCCATCTTGTATGTGGTGTGTGGTGTGTAATGGATATTAAAATGTGAAGTGAATAATTTGAATAACCCAAAATTCCCTTTTACTAAACCGCCAGGTTCAGCTCTTGCGCTGTGTTGCTCACCCACTAGGCCAAAAACCTGGTATCAGCTGGTGGGTTTTTCCAAACCCGCTTCTAAAGCTTGCTTCTTCTCTCTTTTATAGAACTCACTATAATTTTTTTTCACCCAATGGCACCACAACCCACGGTTCAGATAGCGCTGCGAGCACACAGCGAGCACGGCAGAAGCAAGAGGAAGGTCTAAAAGATTGCAAAAGTTTTTAAACACCGACGAGGCCTTTTGGGCAGAATTCGGCAGGATTCGGCAAAATTGGGTAGGCTTGGTTGGGTCCGTCCGTCTTAGAGAGAGAAAAAAAAAAAAGAATCAAAATCATTTCCAAAATCAAAATCAACACAGGTGTGCTATGCTGTGCTGTGCGTGGCAGTTGGTGTGCGTGGCAGTTGCTCTAGCCGTGGGCGGAAGAATGTCCGTTGAAATTTATTGTTTTGTTGCGGCGTGTAGTTCGCAGCGGGCCGTGGGCAAGTCGTGGGCACGACGTGGGCTATTTTGTTGATTTCAACGTTAGCCAGGGGAGTGCGGGAGGGTACGGGAGGATACGGGAGAGTACGAGAGTGTACGAGAGAGGGACCACGTTGAAGGTTACGAGAGAGAACGATAAGAGTGTGGTCGGCAGAGGGAAATTTTTGGTATGTGCGACAGTGGGGGACAAAGTGATATGGAGGATGGGCAGAGAGATAGGGAAGAGAGCATAGAGGGCGAACTGAACAGCTGGGAAGATGAACTACGGGGAAATAGAACCCTGGGAAAATGGACCACGGGGGTAATAGACTTTAAGAAATAAGCTTGTTGCTTTTGTGGTATTATTTGTCGTGGAAGTTGTCCAGGTAGTTGTGATTATAATGCTGGCTACGCGTTCCTTTCCTCGCTCCAACTTCCACTGCCACTGCTACCCGCGCCGTTTTCGATCCGATAGTTATCGCCTTCTGTCTCGGCAGCTCGTTTCTATCGCCAGACCTCGTCCGTCGTTGGGCAAGTGGGCAAGGCAAGTAGAGAAATTTTCTAGGTAAGTCTCTTGTCGCTCCTGCAGTCCCTTCTCTAGTCGCTTCTCCACTCGGGACTGGTGAGCACGTGATTTTTATGCAAAGTTGTACATCACCTCATACGAATACTCGCATCTCACCTATCTTCAACCCCACCACTCAGCTCATCGCTCGTCTCTTCAAAGCACGAACAACTCACTACTCCCCACCCTATGGATCAAGATGCCCTAGCGGAACTTCTCTCTGACACAACCGACCCATCCCTCATCGTCCAGTCCCAGCAAAACCGCCCCGACTCGCCCCTGCACAACTACTCTTCCGTCTCCGTGCTAAGCGCACCGCTCCACACACAGCAACAGCGTCTGCTCTCAACGCTAGATGACCAGTCTTTCTTGAAACTGGTTAACTCGTATGAGCTTTCACCACACGAAAAACGCTCGTTGTTGGGCCACGAATCCGACAGCGAGCCGCAATGGGAAAGTGATGGCTCCCACACGCCATCCACAAGTCGAAAATCCAGCTCTGAACCTGATCACAGTGCTAGTGTCCCGTCCAGTCCAGAAACGTCTACCGACAATTCTGATCCCAGCCCCGGAGCACCGCACATTCCTGTCCAAAACCTCAATTTTGGCGATTACGGGCAGTACTTCTCTGACAAAAAGGTGCTGCAACAAGATCGCGATGCCCACATCAAAAAACTTTATCAGGATGCCCTCAACAACGGGCAACCGTTCCCTCCTGTCTTCAAAGACTGCATCATCTACATAAACGGTCGTACCGACCCAGATCGCTTGCAATTACACCAAAAAATCGTTCTTTATGGCGGCCAGTTCATGCACTTTCTATCTGGTAAAACCAGCGTCACACACATCATTGCCAGCAATCTGACTGCGAAGAAACGAGTAGAGTTTCAAAAATATAAGGTCGTCACCCCAAGCTGGATAGTCGATTCCATTGCAGCAACCAAGAGACTTCCCTGGCAAGACTACGCCCTGATAACCGGCGACCATGGTCAACGGAAGCTTGATTTGAACATAGCCCGTCGGTCGAACAGCGAATCTGCGCCTCAGGTTAAAAACTCGGAAGATTCGGTCACCACGCTGGATTGCAAACACCCTGACTTCTTACAAAGCTTTTTCGCCAAGTCGCGACTGCACCACCTTTCTACCTGGAAGGCAGATTTACGCGCTCTCTTCTGCCAAAAATACATTGAACACGGAGACGTTAAAAGCATCTCTGAAAACGAAAAAGTGGCCATATTTCACGTTGATTTTGACTGTTTTTTCGCTACCGTCTCTGCTTTGAGCGATCCGCGCTACAAACTTTACAAGGATCCCTTGGCAGTGGCACACGGCACTAATAGCTCTGAAATTGCAAGTTGTAACTATGTGGCACGTAGCTTTGGCGTGAAAAATGGGATGTGGGTGCGCTCTGCTAGGAGACTTTGCCCTAAATTGATATGCATGCCCTACAATTTTGAACAGTACGAAATCAATTCCAAGCTACTGTATCAGATTCTAGCTGGAATGCAATTTTTCGACATGATACTTCCCATATCCATTGATGAAGCCATTTGTGTAAAAAAAGTCAGCAGCTTTCCAGATCATCATGACGTCGAGCATCAATGCGAAATGGTTACCAGTGCCATTAGGCAGCAAGTTTTTGACGCAACTAATGGTTGCACTGTAAGCATAGGGTGTGGTCCCTCTCTTGTGAGTGCAAGGCTCGCTTTAAAAGAAGCCAAACCAAACGGTCAATGTGTTGTAATGAATCTAACCGGCCAGATTCAAGTCGATAACTTTCAAGCCAAATTCACGTTGAAAGATTTGCCAGGAATTGGTTCCTCTATTGTGGACAAGATCTGTAAGGAACTTTTGCCAGATGCATCTGTAACGCCCACGATAGGAGACCTCAAAGCTGTGTCTTCTTTGAAATCTCTGACGTCTATTTTAGGGACTAAAACAGGCCGCAAGCTGCACATGTTCTTGTCGGGCAAGGACGATGAAGAGAATAGTCGGATCTTGAGAGATCCATTGAACTTTTTCGCCAGAAAGTCCATATCTGTTGATATCAATTATGCTATCAGGTTTGATACAATTCATGAGATTGACGACTTTATCGATAGGGTCTGTCAGCATCTGACGTCCAAAATACACGAGCTTGGCCTGGTAACGCCTCAAGTCACATTAAAAGTGATGAGAAGGTGTGAACACGCCCCAATTGAGCCTGCCAAATATCTGGGTTCCGGTGAGTGTGACACCTTTAGCAGAAGCAGCCGATTCGGGGTGCCTACCGATGAAATGGGACTGATCGCCACGGAAATTAAAAGCTCTTTTAGGATGCTCGCGTGTCCTTCAAAAGACCTGAGAGGCCTGGCGGTTCAATTAAATAAGCTGGAGAAGAAATCAGCTCGACATGAGCAAAGGAAATTTGCCTTTGCAGACCAGTTGCCAACGCTTCATAAAGATGCCGAGGCTTCAGCGTTAAGGCCAAATGCGTTCCACTCGCTACCTCAAACTTTAAAAGAAGACGTCAGGTCTGAGCTTATCAAGCGACACATACAGGTACCGCTGTCGCCATCGCGCAACGACGCTACTTCTACTTCACCTGTCAAAGAATACTGGGATAAGTTTGGCAAACAAAGAGACACGTTCAAACAGGAAATGCCTAGCTCTCTAGATGAAGATTTCATGAGGAACCTACCTTCGCAAATTCAGCGAGAAATCAAAAGAGATCACGCAATTGTTAAAAAGACGCGAAGCTCTGTGAGAAAAAGAGATGTCAATAAGGAGGAGGCAGCATCGAAGTCTTGGTTAAATCACAGGTCTACCTTGACCGAAGTAGACAAGTTTCAGGCTTTAGAGCGCCCCCGCGACATTTATAATTTGATTGGAACCTGGATTGATCAGACGATCAGTGTAGGTCCTCATGCAGATGATCTAGATTTATTCGATCGGTACTTGGATAGATTAGCTTCCAAATGGAAGTCCTATAAAGTGCTGCAAATCGCAAGAGCCATGTCTAGCAGATTAGAATATCACGCTTCGTTCACAGCGGCCGAACCGCGAGGCCGTCAGGAATGGGAAGAGTATTTATTGAGACGAATGATACCAAAATTACATTCGAGTTGTTCTGCAAGAAGCCCACAAGTGCAATTCGAATTGTAAATCGATCGCAGCAATACAAATTGTGCTATTCACACAATGTCTCAAAAAAGGTTCAGGACGTGCTTTTAACGAGTATGAACGTTAGGTTGTACTGTTTCTAGACGTATAAATTTATAAAGGGTCATTAATTTAGACGGTCAACACACGCAAAGTGTTGGAGTGACCAACACCGGCGGCGAAACCTTGGATGGTAACAATGGTGTCACCTTCTTGCAACATACCGAATTCCTTGGCCTTTTGGATACCGAATTGCAAACGAGCATCGACGTCCTTGGTCCAGTCGGATTCAGCTTCCTGTTCGTAAACGAATGGGAAGACACCTCTGGACAAGTGAGAGAATCTGGCGGCTCTTGGGTTTCTGGTGACCAAGACAATTGGAACGTTTGGCTTGTACTTGGAGACCAATCTTGGGGTGGAACCAGTGGTAGACAAGACAATGATGGCCTTAGCCTTTTGCTCGTACACGGAAGACACGGCAGCGGCGGCAATGGTCTCAGTGGTAGAGGTTGGCTTAGGAGTGCAGTTTCTCAAGTCATCGAAGGTTGGTAGGTAAGGAATGGCTTGTTCGGCCATCAAAGCGGTCTCGGCCATCATCTTGACGGCGTTGATTGGGTAGTTACCCTTGGCGGTCTCACCGGACAACATGACACAGTCAGCACCATCCAAAACAGCGTTACCAACATCGGAGACTTCAGCTCTGGTTGGTCTTGGGTTGTAGGTCATAGATTCCAACATCTGGGTGGCACAGACAACTGGCTTACCAGCAACGTTACACTTGGCAATCAACTTCTTCTGGACAGCTAGAACTTGAGGAGCTGGGATTTCGATACCCAAGTCACCTCTGGCGACCATGACACCGTCGGTAACGGCCAAAATCTCGTCAAAGTTGTTGACACCCTGTTGGTTCTCAATCTTGACAATGATCTTGATGTCCTTACCGTCTTCACCTAGAACTTCTCTAATAGTGGTAACGTCGTTGGCGGTACGGATGAAAGAGGCGAACACCATGTGGACACCGTTCTTGACACCGAATCTTAGATCGGCCTTGTCCTTCTCGGACAAAGCTGGCAAGTCAACGTCGGTACCTGGCAAGTTGACACCCTTGTGGGAGCAGATCTTACCGGCGTTTAGGGACTTGACCTTTAGGGTCTTGTCGTCAACGACTTCTAGGACCTCAAAGGACAAAACACCGTCATCAACGTAGATGATACGGCCGCTGTCGATGACACGGGTGATGTTCTTGTAGTCGATGAACATGACCTTGTCGTCACAAGCCTTAGCGTATTTGTCGTCAGTGCTGAAGATCATTTCGTGGTTTGGAGGAATTGGGTAGTCGACCTCGTTGGTGGTGGTACCAGTTCTGATCTCTGGACCCTTGGTGTCAAGGGCGATGGCAAGAGGTCTACCTGGGTAGATCTCTTCAGACTTTCTGGCGTTGTCAATGACAGACTGGTGGTAGTCGTAAGAACCGTGGGAGAAGTTCATTCTGACGATGTTTAGACCAGCCTTTCTTAGAGAAACAAGAGCCTCTGGGGAGTTGGTCTTTGGGCCAATGGTCCCGATAATAGAGGTTCTTCTGAGGTTAGAACCGGTGTCGGTTTGAAGGTTAGATAGCCATCCTAGTCTAGATTCCATGATTGGCGGTTATGTGGGCGGTTGAGTGCTAGTGATTTTGAAAACCAAAAGATAGAGTCTGACTGAAGGAATGATGTATATTTTCCTGAGTGACGGTTCTGCTACCGCTGCTATCTTTTATACCTGGCGGGAGCGACCAGATGGTGTCGATCACCCAACGTCAGCGCAAGTGAGACGAACAGTCTGGCGAGTGGTGGCGATGAACGAGTTTTCCTTTCCTTCGTCATGAAAGCGGAAGCGCATTGCGGAAGCCGCTGGCAGGAAGAGGAAGCTGGCGGCTGGAAGCTGGAAGCCGGAAGCCAGAATTCTGGGCACGTGGTTATAAAACTCGTTAACGCAGCTGAAAGCGATATTCTCCGGGTAAATGCGGATGCGGTAAACTTTCGGCAGCTGTAACCTAACCGTATAGTGTGATATCAAAGTTTACATCACGTGATCGCGGTGGGCGGCTACGGTAAGCGCGAAGCAGAGCAGGGAGTGTTCTCCAAGCACACTGGACCAGGAAAGAGCGAAAGTGCTCGATTGTGAGTTTTAGTGGTGTATGAAGCATTTGTCTGAGAAATAGAGAGCACTAGCGATCAATTTCGGTCCAGTTTGGGAGGTACTTCTGCTAACAGCTAAGTCAAAATTATCTGCGTTCAGCCGTGACTCAACGTTGGGCCCAACAGTTGAGACCCACACCATTGGATATCATTATGCATGGCTTTGATCAGTTTCAAAGAGATCTAACGCTATTCTTTTTGCCTTTTGGTCTATCATTCTGTCCCGATGAATGGGGAGTGTGAAGAACCAGGGAACTTTATCTTTCAGGGTTGCTCTATTTATACAGGCGTGGAAGTCTTCGTTTTTGTGTCACTGAGTCTTTATTTACAATATTTGAAGTCACTGTGTACGGAAATAATAAGTACAACAAAGCGCGACGTTCTGAGACTTTATGGCATAGACGCTATGTTAAAAGGCCCCGAAGAGCGACAAATACAGACTCAAATTCAGCCGGCAACCAATGGTCTTCGAAGTTGATTCTCACCGCTTGTTCCATGTAGTAACAATTAATATCACTATGTACGGATCTGATATTGATATATAGAGTGTCAGCGTCCTTGAGTATTGCAGAGTTAAAGAGTCGAACGCGGTCCTTGAACAGTCTGTGTTTGAATATTAGAGCTACTCGTTCATTCACTGCTGATGTTTGTTTTGGTGTTCCAAGAGGCGACTGTGTTATTTGAAAAACGGCTGTTGGTAGAAAGCTGAAAAAAACCCAATAACTTTTTTCACACTTTATACTGTGTTTATATAACTCCTTGTTTTGATCAGTCGAAGCGTGTTCAGTTTGTCTCCGGGTCGAATTGCCGCCTCGTTTTGTCTCATTGTCTGCTTTGATTTTAAACGCTGGCAATTTCGATGTTGAAATATGTTTTCTGGCGAGCCAATGGATAATTTTCAGTATACGACTCCCCGAAGGGCTCACGAAGCCTAGGGAAGTGGAAGATGCCCTCGCCAGGACCACTAGCATATACTGTCATTTTTGGTTTGGGGACACATGACCCAATGTTTATATGAATACCATACTTTCCATAATGACAGGTCGATAAAGCCTGAATTGAATCTCTACGTATGGTCCCTACTAAGAGGACGATATTTGTTTATCATCTCGTTAGTTGTACATGCAAGTACGCTTATTAGAATGTGGAGCTGTTGTGTAGACTTTCAATGAGTTTTATGGTGTAGAGGAAATGTCACCTTATGAGAAGAAAACATTAATTTAAAGAAAACCAGGCACCATTGTGTCGTAGACCATGTGGTGTTGGACACTGCGCACTGGTTCACCTGTGTTCTAGTATTCCAGGCGTGTTGAAATAGAGCTACCATTAGACCAGTCATTTTTACTTATTCTTGGAGACAAATAGCATAGTCTAGCTGTAGTGCAAACTATTTCTCAGCATATATTTGAAATGTAGATACACTTCACCAAGTGTAGACTTTAGATAAGTCTTTCGTCCTGAAAAACAGGAAATTCATCTGTTCGGGTCATGCTAATCAAGTACTTAACCCCATATGTTTCTTACTTGCTATAAATGTCCAGTTTGACACTTTCAACTGTACATTCAGTTAATAATGACAGACGATGTTGATACAGATAATTGACACTTTTAGTTCTGATCAACAGAAAAAGGCGCCTCCAGTTTCCAACATAGTCTCATAGAATCGTCTTTTGCTCGAGGGTCGCTATTCGAATTTATCTTCAGATGTACTCTATTTTTCACAAGAAAGTTGCTAGTCCGACATTTGAGCAGCTTTGAAAACTTGAAGCAGCAGTTATGATCATTTTTGTTCTATGACCGGCTTCCCAAAAAGCTGCAGTGTCTACTGATTGAACAATAAAACAATATCTCTGTCAAAGTGCGACTCATTCAGTCTTCTTATCGTCTTGCACTCTGAACAAAAACCCAGTCAAGGAACCAATAAATATCCAAGATTTATAGACACGTTTGAGACCGGGTTGTCTCAGAATAATGGAATCATTGATGCTTTCAGCTGCTTTATAGAAATGTCACTCTAAGTGTATATTCGGGTTTGACTTAAAAGACATCTTCTATCACGAATCATACAGCTACTCAGTATTAGAAGAAGTAACGAGATCGAGGAAGCTAGGCCAAGTCTCTCTCAATCCAGGATCACAAACCTGCCACATGGATGTTAACAATGTTGAAACTTTATTAGAGGTGATCAAAGCTGGTGTTCAAAGCTTAGATGAGGTCTCAGATGTTCTAACTGCTATTGATCGATTTCAGCAGGATCCTTCCATACTTGATGATTATCTAGCTGAGTTCATCGGTACCCTTTCTAGGAACTTTTTTGTCAGATCGAAATCGGATCAGAGGTCCATTGGAAGTATATTCTACACTCTGTCAAAAGTATGCAATTTCAAGAGAACGAAAAGACACTTACCAACTGACATTTTCTTGCTGCCCCAAATTTTGACTCAGCTTGCCGACTGGGAAGGCTTTGAAGACTGGAGGGTGCTGTCAATGCTTCTTTCCTGGCTCAGTATAATCCTAATGTCGCCCTTTAGACTGGAAAATGACCTCGAAATTTATGAAGAAACAAGAAAACTGAAGACCTATTCGGTTCTAGATCCGTTGGTGGCTGCCGTTCATGCCGAACTCTTTGACAAGAACTTGGACCTGTTCAGAAACCAGTATTTGAGGCAGAAAGTAGATCTTTTCACCTTGAATCTGACTTTAAAATCTATACTAAATCGAAAGAGCCCACTAGCCTCACAACAATTGCTCGATCTCTTAACCTTGGATAATTTGAGTCTTTTCTGTCTAGAGCAAGCTTTTGACTCGAGTGAGACACACAACATTCTGGTTTTGAAGATTTTGCCCAAACTATGCCGGCTACACGCGCTACAAGAAACATGGGATGGAATTGAGGAGATCACTACGTGGTTGCTCAATCACATGGCTCTCAGCTTTACGGATGCTAGAATACAGCTAGCTCATAGTTTGGCTAAAGTTGTTCAGTTGTTGGCGACAATTGATGCCGAGTCCTCCCACAGTTTGGTACAGGGTATCTTTGACGAGCTTATAGAAGAACTGAAGTCAACTCCTGTCGATGCAATAGATCCCGATAGATTGCATACAGAACTTCTCTTCATCGCAGAACTTGGCCGTCTCGGCTCCCTAGAGGCTAATTTTATCACCCAGTTTGCCCAAGATGTCCTGCCAGTCACGACGAAGTTCCAGCAGTTGCGAGTGAACAAAATAACCGGGCACCAGATACGGGACGCCAGTAACTTTGTGTGCTGGTCCTTGGTTAGAAAGTGCAAGGTATCCTCTGCTGTTGAAGCTATTTTCTTCCATCTCCTAATGTGTTCAATGACGGATCCTGACCTTACGATTCGACGGTCTGCCTCAGCAGCTCTTCAAGAAACTTTAGGTCGATACGGAACTGATTTAATGGATGATGCTAGCGTTATGAGGCTAATTGAGCTTCCTCCCAATAGCCTTGAGGTATGTTTTAGAGATAATATACCGAAGCTCATGAATTTACTCATGTTCAACGCTCCGCACCTCATCAATTCCGCTATAGATTGGCTTATAGTCGACAACGTTCTGCGTAATCAAGATTACAATATTGTCGAGCTCTCCACGATATCCGTAGGTAAGCTCTTCACACTTGGAGAGAAAGGCGACATCGCAAGCAAAGTACTGAACTCACTTCGGACCAGAACAGACGAAATGACTTGCGATCAGAGTGGCGCTTTGAGCGCTCGGTATATTTACCTAGCTGCAGAGTTACCATTGTTTGGCGAAAACAAAATTAGAAGGCAGTGCATCAGCTGTCTGCCCACTTTGGCAACCCAACTTAAGGAAGAGTCCAATAATCCTTCAGAAAGATTCAAAGTTCTGGCATTTATGAAGGCCTTGAATGCAACGGTTATCACAGAGACCTCCGAGCTTCAAATCAGCATGTCGATCTTGAACACACTACTTCGAATCATTAGATTTAGTTCGCCGTCAGAATCTCGATTTGAGCACATAAAACAGCTTTTCGTGCCTATGATTAGCAGACTTGCTTCAAATGGTGCCCTGTTTGAGTCAAGGGATATATATCAAAAGTTTGAACAGAACTTCACAAAGTTTGTTACTACAAACAATCCAATCTGTTGTGCCGGACTGGCATATACTCTTCCAGGGAACTTCCTGTGTAGTTTCCTCTCCTTCTGCCCCCACCTCAATCATGAAGGGCGTTCTCAAGTATTGAATGCTTTATCAAATACGTTGCCAGAAATTGTTCAAGCCAATGGACCTGACATTCTCAAGCTACTTGCAGAATTTCTAGATGATTATACTGTTACCGAGCAAGGTGACGTCGGTGGATTGGTAAGGAAATCAACGGCAGATCTTATCGAAAAGCAGCTCTTACTTTTTCTGGGTGCTGGTAGCAGCGTTATGAATCTTGTCTGCCCCAGGCTTCTAAGGTTGGCGGCTGAACCCACAGATAAGGTTAAGGAAACTAGTCTTCGAATACTGAGTCAAGTTTACAGCTTCAAATGCTCTGACAGCGTGACACACGACGAGAACCTCTTTCGATTCTATTCTACGAACAAAATAGAATTCCGAAGCGATTTCTGGCAAGGATTCATGTTTTCTGCTGGAGCAATCTATTCAACGGACTTGAGAATACGTATTAGCGTCGATTCTTTTCTCAGATTTTTTGATCGGCAATCGGCAGAGGAAAGGTCGGAGTTACTTGAGCTTCTATTACGCATTGTACCTTCTCTCACGCACGTACAGTCATGGCGAAAAAGCCCAATTCATCTTAACCGAGTCGGCTGTCAAAGAAGAGACCTAATTAAGCGCGCGACTGTATGCGCGAACTTTTGGCGCCGCACACTGGAATCTGGACTTGATGTTAGGGAGAACTTTAGCTTGAGGGCTGTTTATGCTAGATTCTACAATTTGCACTTGCTCAAAACCCCTCTATTGAGAACAGCTGTCGTCAAGCTGATGCCCTATCTCGCTGTGGCCTGTGCTTCAAATAAAGGTCCAAACCATGAAGCGCTTAAAAACGAGATTTTCTCTCGCTTGCAAATGTTAGCAAATAGATCGAAAAAAACGGCAGATGATATCTCCTCGCTTCAAATTATTTGTCTGGAAGGAATGCTGACAATATGCTTAGCCTTTGGTGAGCAAGACAAGCTCAACACGCCAGAGGTATTTCAGCAGGACGAGAAGGCGTCCGAAAAAATCTCCTAACAGCTCTTGCTCAATTTATTACGCATATGATCGAGCGTCGACCGGATACGCTCAGCATTTTCCCAGTCTGCTATCAAAGAATAACGACTCCCTGAGTCACCACTTTGTCGGCTTTCTTCAAGATTTCTAGACTCTAGCGATAAAAGCTGTTTAGGAGTTAGATCTTGGATATGAAAGGCCCCAAAGATATCCTTTAGCGTTCTTTCGGGAATTACTGCCTCATTGGTTTGAGAATAGTTGGTAAGATGCCATTCACCCACCTGCTTCAGAATAACGTCCAATTCAGCAGCATTTTTCTCCATGGCCCGCACTTTTTCGAGGACGTTCCCAACCGCACTTGTCAAGTTCCAATTAAGTTTCCCTTCTCTATCGACATGAATGCACTCTTTCCCGAAATCCAAAAGGTAATGTCGCAAGTAGAAATACATGGTCCGAAAATCTTCTCCGGGAAGTGTTGAACGTATGAGGTTTGCGTAGTCCTTATCTGTCAAGGTGTAGTGGGGTACATCGTGGCTAGATTCAGGCCACTTTGCCTCTTTAATGAAATTAAAGAGCTCGCAACCTGCAAGCTTTGCTGCTGAAGACTTTCCTGCAGCATGTAGCAAGATATGGAAGCCACCTTGATTTTTGCAGCTTGCTAACTTATGCGTATTCTTGAAGTCTTCCGTGCAATCAAAGTTCAAGATCAGCCGGTGCCAAAATAAGAGGACAAAACCTAAGGACCTATGCGCGGCGACATGGGAAAGAATGGTATTCAGATGGAACGCTTTCAAAGAAGGACATGAGCTTTCGGGTGGCATCGTTTTTTCGAAGAAGCTGCACCACCAATTTGTTGACATGGCTTCTACAGGAAGCTTGGTCGACAGAAAATCCATTGCTGGGCTTTCTTCGAAAAATTGAACACGCGATTCGACCAATAACTCTATATAGTCACCAAAGCTTAAATTTCTCTGGAAGGTTTTCCATGGTATAGAAACGGCGGGTCCTTGCTCGTTTCTTGCTCTGTTCAGTTCCAGCTGAAGTTTAAAAGCACCATATTTTTGACTCAAGTGATCAATTCGATAAATTGTAGAGAGGTCCGGTATCCCTTGCTTCATCAACAACTCTAGTGCCATTTGAGCGTCCCCTTCCAAACCAAGACATACGAACCTGTTCACACATTGATGAATAAGAGGAACTAAAACACCAGGCAGCGGCTGAGATCTCAGCATGTCACTTGATTTCAGTATTGAGGAAAGGTGTGAGATTTGATCTGTTTGCAGATAGAAGGCGATATATGCGTAAATTTTTGATGGCTCGTGGTTCACCAGCTCTAGAAATCGTTTCAAATAGTAAATAGAGCCGGTACGGGTCAATATTGCCCCGCAGTTTTCCCAAAACACGATATCAGGAGCCAAAGTGCTTCGCTTTTCGAGTATCTCAGAGTATTTACGAAGGACCACTAACGTAAACCTAGCGAGACACACGATGTCAGATCGATCATGCAAATCGGCACACTGAGCGCGCAACATGTAGGAAAGCTCACGGTACAGCTCAACAGGAGTTTGATGGATAATGAAGCTTCCAGATCTTGATCTCCATCGGATTTGGCTTGATTGCAATCGATTGAGCAGAGTGTAGTAGGCGTCGACATTTTTCGCAAGACGAAGTTTTCTAAGATTGACCAGGACTGCATCCAACGACAGTTCTGGTGGGCCTTTCTTGTGTAATTCTTTTCTTCTTAAGATCTTTTGAGTGCGCAATCTGTCGCCCTTTTTTACAAGGGCTTCTTTTAGCCATATGTCGGTTCGAGAAAGAAGTGCAGCTGACGGGCTTCTCAGTGACGAGCGCCCCACTTTTTCCACTAGCTTTGCACCGCCAAGAACTCTCGCAGTCAGTTCTTGCAAGGATTTCACTGGTAATTGACCCCGCAGCATCCCTCTTTAGCTTGCATTTTTTCCAAAATGATTTAGCATTATGATATCCTGAGAGAGATGGTCTAGTTTAAATTAGCTTGTAATTTGCTTGATACCAAATCTGAGCGATGACCTAAAAGACTGTAGAGGAGAGATTCAGGCTATCAACCATGTCTTCTGCCTACTCTTTTTGTACAAGGAGCATTCAAAACATAACATTGGCTTGACTATAATGCTATTAAGTTTAGAGTAGTTCCACAATGTCGAAGAGCGAGTTGCGATGACATCTAAAAAGCTGGGGCTACCTTGTCGAATGAGTCCGCGAGGGCAGGAAAACAAAGTCTCAGTAGTGGACTTTGGCCATCTTTTTTTGGGAACCGTGGAAGGAGAAAGGTTCACAGTTTTTGGCAGCTTTCTCTTCCAGTCTAGCTCTTCTACTTTAGGCGTCGTTTCGACGTCTTGGACTATTCTTTTGTGATAGAGCTTCTCAAGTTGACCCTTGTGTTTTGCAATCCATGAGTGATGGAACGCAGACCGACTATCGAGACGTTTCTGCACGTCAATTTCCAGTAATCGACGGACAAAGCTTTTGGCGTGATCAGAAACTTTGCTCCACTGCCTAGAGCTGAAGCTTAAGGACCCCACTTTGGCGTTTCTGATGATGCTAGCCTCGGAGCCGTCTCCGTAAAAAGGTGAAATGCCAGTCAGGACTATATGCGCGATGACACCAAGCGACCACAAATCGCATTTGGCGTCATATCCTTGCTGTTCGAAGGTCGCTGCTCTTGCAAATTCCTTGTAAGCTGTTCTGTCAGCCTTGAATCCCACTTCAGGAGCGCAGTACTCGGGGGTTCCAACTACAGTATGCATGCGGGAGCGTGACGATGACAGGTCCTTCGCTATACCAAAGTCTGCCAAGACAATTCTGGCACAGGGCTCGGGGGTACAGAGAAGAATGTTGTCCAACTTCAAATCGCGATGCACAACACCTTGCGAATGCAAGTACCGTAGGGCATGCAATATCTGGTACACGATAAGTAATGCTTCAGTCTCAGAGACCGGAGATAAGCAGTCCGACTTGGCAAGGTACGAGAAGAGGTCTCCGCCAGTGATCAGGTCCTGAAATATGTAAAGGTGATCGCTCGAGCCTGCGAAAGTTTTGTGTACTTTGATGATGTTGGGCTGAGAAAGCGTTAGTAAACAGTGGCTTGCTGTCTTCGATGGTATTGGTCACATACATGTGCGAGTTTGAGTAAAATCTTTGCCTCTTTGTCCAATCTGCTGGGCTTCATTTTGATAATTTTGACTGCGAAATTTATCGCCTGACGGCCGGAATTGGCGAATGCGGTATTGTTCGCTACTAAAACGTGGCCGAAAGTTCCACTGCCGACCACTTTGGAAGTAATGTGCCAGTTTTCGACGTTTTTTTGAAATCCCAACTGTTCGACGAGGCCATTAGTCGTCAGCTTGATACGGGCTACAAATCGGTAATCAATTGCGTTTGGAACCGTGATAATATCACCATCATCCAGCAAACAAGTTTGTCCCCGTTTCATTGACAATCCGTTGAGCTGGATTCCGTTTAACGAGCAGTCATTCACGTAGTACATCGGAACACTGTCTTCGTCAAATCTTATGGCCCAAAACATGCAGTGAACACTAGACACAGACGGATGGCTCAAAACAACATCACATTCGCGCTCATTTCGTCCCATTTTGACCAACTTGTTTTTGGTTATAGCCACGGCGGCTAATGGTTCTTTGCATCCTAAAAACTCATTTTCCGCAGCAACAGGCTCGAGGTATCCGAGAACCTCTCTATCTGCCAATGCCAAATCTCCTATACCCATGACCGGTAGCTTGCAAGTGTTAAGTCTGACCTTATTGCGAGCGGAACATGTAGCCGCCGATGGTGAAACAGAGAGAAAAGTGTACATTTCAGAATATATTCTGTCATCAAGTGTCACTATACACGAAAGATAAAACTAACACTCCAGATTCAAAGTTGCCGGTTTTGATCTCTTGGAGTCGTTTATTTCCACTCCATATCTGTACTAGAATTAGGGAAAAATTGAGTTTTGGCTCTTATTCATATAGTTCGTTGATCTATAGCGAACTATCTTTACAAAATTCCTGTGACGCCAGCAAACCCATTTTTAAAATCATCAATGAACGTAGTTGATCGTTGATAGAATGGTCCGTTGTACCTCGAAAGATGGCGTGTTTGCTTTTGGAATAATCACCGAGTTTACTTGGACACGAGTACTGATAATGAGGGTTTGGATTTATTGTTCTGTTGGTATTTCAAGAGCGAGGTGGGGTTGCTGAACTCTGGAATTCCCGCCATCGTATCTCGTAACCAAAAGCACTCGCTAATACCTTGCTGTAAAAATACGAAAAACTGTTGATTGTACGCCGAATTTCTAATGTTGAGATTTATGCACACCACTCCAGCGTCGTTTGTTGGTTCTAAATGGAAAAAAGTTGGAACAAGTATGTATATATGGGCAAATGGTTTGATCAACTTCGAAAATGCATCTCACTGCGTGGTGTAGCCTGACCCCCTCAGGTCATATTAATTGTAGTTCTAAGTGGCCTGATGCGTGTCATCGCTGATACGTTCTTTTATCTTGGCCTTTGTATTATTGTCTAGAATACGTTAATATAAGTAAAATCGGCAAAAACCTGACAACGAAATTGCCGAATTCTACAAACTCAAGAGAAAGCCACAACGTTACCTCACGCAGCGTTCAGATTTTGTATTCACTGGGATTTAATTTGTATGGTCTGGTTTTTAAAAACTTTTTAGTTGGTATTGGCGTGGAATGTGCTCTACCTTCGACATTAGCATAGATTTGTCCGACGTTTCCCCAAGGGCTGATGATCCCATTTACATAAGATGAAATTTCCGGTCGTCTCTTCAAATGGTAGATTTTGAAGAGTTTGCAAACACTGATGATTTGTCAAGTTCTATAATCTCCTTTTTAGTTTTGCTGTCTTCTTTCGAGTACAAGCTCGAATAAATAATCATATAAACCATTCTCTATTCAGCCCCAAACTGTTTCTTACACCGGGCTACTTGAGCACTAGTTACTTAAGGATGCCCAGATATCTGCGTCACACGTACTCGGAATCGTCACAATAGAGAATTTCAAATTCCAATCGAAATTTAGACCACTAAAAACGGTAAGCGCTCACATCATAAAAATTCGAAGTCACCAAGGTAAAAGTGCAGCCAAATCCATCGCCAGTAGATCAATCGCAGCTCTCATTACATGTGTGCCAGCTCTTCTCGTTTTTCGTGTCGCCGGGATATCATTTGTTCTCACTCAGTCATTCTTGTTTTTCATGCTGTACCGCAAGTTTATGGTATAACATAGAGACTACGAATTATAAGCAAGTGACAGAGACACTGTGAGTCTCTCCCACCTCTCAAATAAAATACGAAGCCGCTTAATTCTCATCAAATCTTACTTATTTATGTACAACGACTTGACTCAGACCGCCAAAGTAATTTACAAAATTTAAAGATTGATGAATAAACTAGCTCTACAAACATGGTCAAAGGTATCCATGCTCAAATACACAAGCAAAAACCTGGATTCTACTATACAAATAACAAACTATTCAGGAGACATGGTTCAGTTCAAAAGTCACACCTGTTTGAAGCTAAGAGTATCGAATTTCACGTGACTTAAATTGCCCGCACTTTTTTATAATGTGTCATTCAAAGATGATTAAGGTGACCATCTCATCTCCAGGTTTACAGGAATCGACTGAAAGAAGAGCTAAGATGACTGCGATGTTATCCCCAGAGACTCCACAGCACACTGCTGCCGATGAGGAGCTGAATATTGACAATATCAACGAGCTCGACGAAAGCGACATCCAGGGATTGGATTTGGAAGATGAACGTGAATCAACTGCAAGCACTACGTATACTCAACCGGCTGTGAAACGAGAAAGAGTCGATGAAAATTTCGAGGAAAGATTCGATTTGCAAGACGACTTCATGCCTCGTGTCAACATCAGTTCACCGTTTTCGTCTGATGTCGACGTGAAAAAATACGCACAGCGTGCACACTACGCTTCGCAGCAGCGTAAACTATCGTTGTCACAGCAGTCGAAATTCATATCTTACTGCGACGACAAACTACTGGCAATTCAACGAAAATTCGTACAATCTAGAGGGCTGAATGAGGAAAATGGCTATCAAGGTCTAGGACCGCTTTTAGAAGATCTCAAAACGGTGTTGGATTTCGTATGGTTCTCTATAGAGGGCCTTACCAATACTGAATTACTTTTGAAAATGGGTCTGAACGCAATGACTCAGGACCAGTTTGCAGGCACGCAGCAAACAAGTTTTGGCCAGGTAAACTATCTCATAAGGGTGGCAGACGACTTTTTGGACTACCTCACGAAGTTTGAACTGAATAAAATGAGCAGTGACGAGCAGCACAAAACTGTCTCCAAGGCTTTCAAATTTATGATTATTCTGGACGTGTCATTTGCACGTCTTCTGGAAGGCCTGGTACCGGGAAACACTAAGCTAAGCGGCACAGAAATGGTAAGGATTGCAGGAATCGCGGAGCGCACTCGAACCGCTGTACCTCGTTACTTAAGTGAACAGCAGATCCATGGATACCATTACGAAGTAAGCAAAATATACGAGGAGACGCTTGAGAGATGCGCATAATAATCGTTACTTGCATATAAGCAATATTTATAAGCAGTTTGTACTTTTATGAAAGTTGGTCAAAAGGGTTTGGAGCATGCACAGTCACCAATGAAGGCGTCGACAAAGGGGTGACTAAAAGAGAGTTTTGGGGCTCCTCTGACCCTGCTCGAGCCTGGGACTGAGTATGTTGTTGCTTCGCAGTAGGCAAGTCATGCTGCTGTTGCTGTTGCTGTTGCTGTTGCTGCTGTTGTTGTTGTTGCTGCTGCTGTTGTTGTTGTTGTTGTTGTTGTTGTTGTTGTGCAGCTTGAGAAACGCTTCTGTACGAACTCAAGTCCAGGATAACAGTGACGTCCTTTGTAATCTTGGCCAATGAGGCCAAGTTTGGTCGCACTTCATTAAGAATGGGTAGGTCTTTCATGATGATTTTCGTATTGGCCAAAATTGAGATGATGGATTTGAGAAATGCGTTAATGTGTTCCCAAGTTATCACTTTTTCCACTGCACTTAGAAAATTATCCGACTCAGTCTGAGAAATAAGGGCCAACCTTTCTTTCAGCATCTTTGATAGTTCCATGGACTGGTAGCATGTATCAGTGAGATCCTTTATTTTAGCCGCGATGGTACTGGTGATGCTGGATGACTCTGCGCTTTTTGTGCTAGCAATGGCGCTTTTTGTTATTGCTGCGGTAAGTTGGGCGTACACCACGTTAACCATCGTTATGACCGATTCTAGTGTATGGTAAAGCTGTGAATCGACATCAGAATCAGTAGTCTCATCGAGTGATGGTTTTGATGAAGCGGGGCCTGAAACGCTGGAGGTCCCGTTGAGACTTGGAATGTCTGCGTTTCTCCTTGCGGCATGTGGTGACGTCTGTGCGATGTCCGCTTTCATTCGTGGTGAGCCTTCATCATTAGATCTTAGCTCAGATGCAGCCCCACTTTGGGGAGGAGGCGGGGTAGTCGCTACCGATACGTTAGCAGACCGATGACTTACAGATTGTGGTAAAGGCGATGCAGTCGGAAGTGAGGCGTTCGTTGTCACCGACCTTTGCAACGTGTTGCTTCTAGCTCGAGGTATATGCTTGTAGCCCTGAGAGACGCTCAAGGAATGTGTTCTTGTCAACCTTCGCTTGACAGGAGTGGATTTGTTATGAGGGGTGAGGAGATTCCAGGCGTTGAACATTTCGGTATAGGAACATAATAGGTTCAAATAAAACATTCTTGCAAAGCAGATATCGTTGCCGTGGAAGAATGCTCTAAAATTTTTGCGGAGTAGAGTCAGCATCTGCTTGAAAATGGTAATGATTGTGAGACAGAGCTTGATCAAAACGCCATTTTTCGCCGAGGTGGGGCTTTCGCTCTGCTCAAGTAGCTCTACTAGGTTGTCGATGTGAGACCTGACACTGTAAAGAAGTGAAACCGCGTTTACGGCAACAGCCTTGTCTTCACAAAAGGATGTGATTTTTCGTATGCTTTGTTGACACTCTGTAAAACAGAATAGAAGCTTTCGGCACGCCAGCAAGAGCTCATCATGTGTGATTCGCTGGGAAGTCGTTTCTTCTGGTAGAACCGAGAGCCGTTTAAAGTAGTCATTGTATTTGTTGTTACTGTGAATTTCTTCCTGGCGGTGTTGCTCTTCCGAGACGTTGATGAAGCCACGACGTTTGGCGGCTTTACTGAGCTTGGCATCCTCGAAGTGCTTCCGCAGCGCAACACACCAGTATTCTTCGGGCGAAATGGTATTTATAAGCGAAGATAAGGGCACTTCGGCCTTCACCTGGTCAAGTTCCTCTTGAGGGATCGGATTGCCCTCTATTTCCAGGATTTTGAGGCTATGCAGCGACACCACGGCCGGGTACAGATCTCGTATCGAGGTCACATTGTTGTTTTTGAGTGAGAGCACCTGTAGATTGTCGCACCACGTCTGTGGGAAAGCATGCGGCAAGTTTGCGATCGAGTTCGACGAGAGATCCAGGATTTCGATGCGTTGGCACTGTAGCAGAACCGCAGGAAACTCTCGTAGTTTGTTGTTGTGCAGGTCGAGATATCTGAGTTCGCGTAGTTTACTGAAACTCTCAGGCAGCTCGGTAAGCTGGTTTTTCTGGATTGATAGTCTTTCCACGGAGAGCAGCAGATCGATAGTGTCTTCGGTAAGAGACGATATGCCTAGGTCTACGAGCTTGATGGTCGGATCGCGCTGCGACAGTTGTGTCGACGCGACATGTTCCAGGCTTGTTCGGCGATCGATAAGAGGACGCAGACCTGTAGTCGACTCACTTATCGCATCCATTAGAGCTTGAGATGTGAGATAACACACGGTTTCAAGTTGCGCTTCTCGAGATCAGTGAAATTGGCTCCATCTTGTCAAACCAGCTCACGGTTCGCCATATGGTGGAAATTGCACATCTAGAAACCATGTGCCTTTGTACGGGAGACTTGAGGCCAGAGAGATCATGGAACACGAATACCACACCATCATCCACAAAAAAGGCTCGGCGGCTAAATTTCCCCCATAACGACGATACATCGAAACGTAACGCAATGGCGTGGGTCAAATTCGAATCCATCAAGATGCTTAACCAAAGCTTCTTCGAGTCCAGGAAGCCATGCTTCTCTCGCGGGGTTGAAAAATCGGTTGTCATTTTGAAGGAAGGCGCATGGTCCTGTGTGCGAACTTTTATGTAGTCAGAGATCAGCCAGCGGCACTGCTGCGAACACAGTTATAATGACCAAGGTATTTGAGCATAGTGACATGGCATTTACGCGGTCTTCGCACCTTTAGGTCGTCTATGTGGTGGTAACTTATAATGCGCGACTCCGCCTAGTTTTCTCGACCATAAACAAGTATCTTGAGCTTCACCTCGCCATTTGGATAATGTACCAGATCAGAACTAATGCCAATAGTCGTAGAGGTAAGCTTTAAATCATTGAATGCTCATATGTTACAATGGTGTGTAAGATGTATTTGAGATGATAGCCGTTTCTTAAACTATCTAATATATATATGAGAGGGCCTCGCGTTGTACGAGAACAAAGCCTCAAGTTGTTTATCGAGGCATTTATCAATTCATACCTCTAGTCACCGAGTCGAGATCTGTCTGAGCTTGCACGTCTATAAATTATGAAAAGTTTAATACCGATATCTGAGGTGCGCTTGAGATGAGACCCGATCCTCCAGGATCAAATTGACCACGTCCGACTTATAACATATCTCAATAATGGGATGGTTCTGGGCCGACTCTGGCGATTCGAAAGTATGTTGTTTCTGGTTTTCACCAGACCTGAACGTTGTTTTAAGACTAACATTTTAATAGCCAAAGACTTGTCCGAAAACTGCTAGCTTTGAGGCTCTTCAATGCCCTGTTAATCATAAATCTGTCCCCAAAACAAGCCGAAATGACAAAATTGAAGGCTGCCCTGTTATTCATGGTTCCAAACCTCAGGATGGCCTAAATCCGTTGAACCATATTCCTGCCAATTTGTCGGTGGAAAAACAGCCCCATCAGAGCTTGGACCTGCCCAAAGATCGCACTATGAGCTCGATCCCTAAAGGTAGCAATCCGAACGGGGACTTTTGGGAGTACCCATCGCCTCAACAGATGTATAACGCCATGGTTCGCAAGGGCAAAATCGACCCAAACACGGGCGAGGCGATCCCCGAGGACGCCGTGGAATCCATGGTATTCGTTCACAATTTCCTCAACGAAGGGTGCTGGCAAGAAATTCTGGACTGGGAGAAGAAATACACAGAGCTCACCAACACCGAGCCTAAGCTCCTGCAGTTCATGGGCAAGCCCTCCCAGCTTTCCCCCAGGGCACGGTGGTTCAGTGTTCTTGGCTCGCTTTTCCCATCCAAATTCTCCAGCGAGCCTCCCTTTGACAGACACGATTGGACCGTCTTGAGACCAGACCCAAGTTCCAGCGATGCCGAATATCCGGGCTTCAAGAAAGTTCGGTACGTGATCGACTTCTACAGTGGACCCGACGATGAGGAAGGCCTTCCTACTTTCAATCTTGACGTACGCCCTGCCCTTGATGATTTTACTAGCGCGAAAGATAGGTTCACGAGGTGGACGGAGCCTATTTTCAGCGAATATTTCGACAAGAGCCAGAAATGAGCATATTCGTGGCAATTTAATGTTGTTCGCTAGAAATCTAATCCTGGAATCCATGCAGCGGGGGTATAATCTTATGTTCCCCTATCGACGCCGGCGTGCGTCGTTGATCATTCAGGTGTTGGTGTGAATTTATGTTACATGACGAGAAGTATCTGATATTTACAGTGCAAGAGTATAAACTTTTTATTTGGAGGCCTTGGGCAAAGCAACCTTATTTTGAACCAAAATGTCGACGTTGCGCTGAGATGGCGTGAAGTTCCTCACCGCGTAAACATCTTGAAGAAGTTTCGCGATTGTATCAGCCTCGCTTGATGTGAACTTGCCGCTTAAAGCCTTTGACACCTGAGCCAGCGTGTGCGTTACTTTTGATGCTGCCTGGTATGTCAAGGACTTTTGAGCTTTCTTGGCAAAAGTCGCGTAGACAAGCATTTTTTCAAGCAGAGCGGTAGACTTTTCCTTGATACTTTGCTCACAAACAGCTTCAATGATGGGATCCAAAATAGACCTGGTAATCGTATTCATGTCTCGTGTTTCCTTGACAAACTTCTTGAAAACTTCCTCACAGGCATCAATGTTTCCGGCCTTAGATTCTGCAGTTATCATGTATCCATACTTTTTGGCTCCTAGCGGGGTTTCAATTTCTTTGAAAACACTCCGCACAGTGTCTATTTCTGGGCAAATTTCTGTAAACTTCTTGAAAATTTCAGTGGAAGTGCCGACGTCATTTTTACTCTTTGAAATGCTTTTGAAGAACTGAAATTCTGGATCCTTGGTGTATAAGGAGTTGAAGTACATCTTTAGGGCCAGGGTCGTGCTGTCTGGTTTCAGCGGAGCATCTGGGTCTGTGAACTGCTGTTTATAGAATTGGTCAATTTCTGCTTCGGGCAGTCTCTCTTCAGTCATTTTACGGAGAACTTGATTTGCCAGTTCTAGAGAACCGATTTTCTCTGGTAACTGACCCTTTATGCCTTCGAGACTGAAGTTCTTTCTGAAAGACTGAAATAAAAGGTACTCCTCAGTTAGTTTTTGTTCTGCTTTCAATGCAGACGGAATTTCGTTTATCCACAGTTGCTGCAATTGTTGGAAATTCCTGCTTTCTCCCAATGCTCTAACTAATGCAATATAAGAGCTGGTTTCGATTGGATCGGAGGAATTAGTAAAATATGTATTCCAAACGGCCTCAATCCGTTTCGCCTTTTGCTCTCTCACGTCTCTTCCAAAAACCGGGATGTTGGCGACCGCCACAAGCAAGGCATTTTGAGTAGATAAATCGACTTTCCCGGTCTGTTTAATCAAGTTAAAACACTGGATCGCTTGCTGTGGTTTTTTCAACTGAGTGAATTTGATCATAAAAGCAGCAATAATATCGCCACTTAGAGGTTGCTCAGACAATCTCGAGGCAGTTGAAAGGTTCTGAAATAAACTCTGAACATCTTGCACAAGATCGAGGCCCTTCAGCTGTTTTTCGAATTCCGGTCTGCATGTGCGCACGAAATCTAGCAGAAGTAAAGAGTAGCTGTTTTTCGCAATTTTGCGAACAGCAGGGTCCATTTGCAACGTGTCAATCAGGTATCTGAGTCTTGACATTTGGATTTTCTCCGGAGTGTCACCTATGTTTAGAATTTGAGCCAATTCGGATAGGTGAGGTGCCTTGTCTCGAAGCATGAGGTAGCCAATAGATGCAAGGGCCAGGTTGTTTTCATGGTGTGAGCCGTATGTTATAGCCCTAGGGTTTTCAGTCAGTGTCTCGAGGTATTTCACCCACAGACCGAGGATATCTTGAGGAGCATTAGAGGCGACCAAGTGCTCAAAAACCACTTGGAAGTGCAAATCGCGTGCAAGCCCGTGCTGACACATAACAGTTAAAATCTCGTAGGGATTTGGTGGGAGCTGCGCGTTAGAGTCTGCAGAGCCTTTGGAAGACGTCAGGTCTGCTTTGGACGCCTGCAAAAGTTGTTTGAGCACCGAGTTGAGACCGAAAGACCTTTGGAGGGTGAAACGAGGATCATTCAGGTTTTGAGAAACGTCGTAGACTTCTTTCTTGAACAGATTGAAAGCTGCCAAAGTGTTGTGCTCGACCTTGAGTTGATTGCCCAGATCAAGACTGAGTTGGGAGATTGGGTGCACTTGGCGGGCCGCGTTAGCTGCAGTAGTGTTCCAACATGCCGCTACACGACTGCGGATGCACAGGGCATTCTTGAACCTGAAGGAGCTGGACAGCATTGGTGTTGTGTGTCGATGAGATCGAGATGGTGAGCTAAATTGGACAAATTTTCAATAAGTAGGGTTTTCGTAACAAGGTACGCGCCATGTAAAAATGTGAACACCTAGCTGGGGAATGAAACCGAGCTGAGAAGGTCAGGAGTGACGGCGTAGCTCGCAGTTGTGGATTATTGGCGTTGGAACTCGTATTGGAATAGAAATTATCTCTGCGCTTGCCGGTCTTGTCGATGGGCGAATAAAGATGTCGCTGTGTACGAAACAACCACCTTGACACCGTCAATTCATAGAGACCTGATGTCATTGAGAGCAATGGATCCGAGCGGGAGCCTGAGAGGCTCTACAGCAAGAAGAACGCAAGTTTCCAAATCTATATACCTACATACCTACATACATACATACATACATACAATATATATACATATGTATACGTGTCAGTATCGATGAAGTCGCGAAAATGCTACTCACACAGGTCCAATACCTAACAAAATCACACAATCACACACACACGAGTCGCTGGTGCCAAACCACTGCTAGCAGCGTCGTCGTCGACAGCCGTTCTCCCAATCACGTGACCCTTATCGCGTCGTTGCTCCAATCACGTGACACAGCAATACAGTTCCGTACATAGCGATACAAAACGAACGAACAAAACACACAAACAAACAAAGGTAGTCTTCGGCAAGAACTCTCCGATGTAGCGCTCCAAAGCGCACTTTTCCAAATCCACTCAATCGCGTATGTTCTCGCTCAACACTTAACACCCACACGCCACATCTAAAGGCACGTGACCCATCCCTGTTCTCTCGCATACTCGAGCGCGCCGCTATGACATCATTTCAACGCCCTCATAGCAGGAATCGAGCGCAAAACTACGTAAAACTACGTAAATCTTCGTCATAGTCGAGTTCAGCACCAAGTTCCAGTGCATTGACACATTTTTAAGGGCAGGATGGTTTGTCTCGACACAAAAACAAAATTGCTGGGGGTATATAAAGGATGGGCGATACGCTAGCAGAGCATAGGTCTCGAGCACCACTTTTTGGACACTGTCGTTCACGAAACAGGTAAACTATACGTGTAAGAATAGTGTTTAGTTCAGCATAATGGTGTATGTAGAGGCAATGAGTAAGTAGGTGTGTGATGTGGTTAGTATTTGGGCGAAAATAGCGCAGATCGCAAGCTAGTGGGAGGAAAAAAGTTAGTAAGAAGTGGTTCGAGAGCATGAACCATCGTATCGCGCGGCCATGACCGTCGTTACCCGCTTCCAACCCGATTTTCGCTGAGTTTTGATGTAAGATTCAGTGTTCATACTCAAACTTTACTCATTTCACTTCACAATTTTCTCGCTTTCGTAGCAGCTTGGTGAAGAAATTTTGACACCAGAAGATGGAAACCGGCAGACTACACACTGTAGTACGTTTCCGTTCGGCAACCACCATAGTTCCTGTTTGCCAGTAAAAATCGAGACCCTGAGCTAGGTTTGCAAGGCTAGGGCACGCAGTGTCGTTGTCTTACTATTAACTCTCGGTCTTTTTTCGCTTCCCCTCCCCCCTCGCACGCAACGCAACCCTGATTGCGTCATGGAAGCCTTGGGCAGCAGCAACAGCCGTGGCGACGACGCGCAGATTCGGGATCGGAACCCAAGCGAAATGGAAAGAAAGGATGAGCACGACCATGAACACGGTGGCGACCACCGTCACATACCCCATCATCATCACCATCACCATCACCATCCCCGACACGACGACCACCATCAACAACTACAGCCGGGCAAGCCTCTGGGCCAGGCTGAAAACGACCCCCAGTGGCTTGAGACGCTTGAACGGTCCAGTTCGGCCCCGGCACAAACGCTTGTGGCGGCGTCGAGCGCTGCTTATTCTACAGGCTCCTCAGTCTCAAACACTTTTCCGTCTTTTGATGATCTAAACCAGCAGCAGGAGCAGGATCAGCAAGGCCAACAGGACCTGCCAGATCAGCAGCAACAGCAGCGGCGGCGACAGCCTTCTCAAGAACTGCATCTTCGTCACCACCAAGACTACCAACCTGTTGAGAAAATGTCCCTTGATCCTGATCTTGACTCCGTGGCCTATGTCTTGGCAGAAACTTTACCTCCAGCAGCTGGAAGCGTTGCGCTACAAGCCAGCAGTGTAGCCCACGACAACCTTGAAGACGTCTCCAGGGAGCCCTCGGACCGTTTCGAGCCATCCAAAGCTATCTTAACGCCACACACCAGGAGCACTAGCAACACGGAGACTCCAGACCAGGATCATGGATTACAACAACAACAACAACAACAACAACAACAACAACAACAACAACAACAACAACAACAGCAATATCAGCGGCAACTGTCACAAGCACAGCAATCGCAGCAACAACAAATGTACCAGCAATACGGGACGTACACGCAATACCGTCCTAATTTGAATCCTAGCCGCTACACAACAGACACATCGAGGTCACACTCCTCAAACGGTTGGATGAATCGCTCGCGGTTCAGGCCCTATTTCAACATCTCACTTGTTGGAGATTCTAAGGTCGCCACCTGCATCTATTGTGGAAAGGAATACAAGGAAGGAGAGTCCACCGGAAACCTCTCTAAGCACATCACCAATAATCATGCTTCGGAATACAAGTCGCGCGAGCGCGCTGCTTCCAAGGAGAATACTTTGACCTCACTCACCAGCAAAGAGCGTTCCTTGCGGCTCTCGGCCAAGTTCGTTTCGGAGCTTAATCGAGACAGCGGTACCTTGGCATCGGTGATTTTAATCACCGAAACGCTAGTTCCCTTCTACGTCGTGGAGTCCATGGGTTGGAAAATCATCAATGGTCTTATTCCCGATGTCCCACTTATAGAGACTCGTAAATCCGTAGTGGAAAAGTTAGACCACTACAGTGTTTGCTTGAACCAATCTCTTATAACCAGTTTGGCTTCCTCCACCTTTGTGAGTGTTCAACTTTACGTCTGCTCACGAGAGCATGGACTAAGATATTTGGCCGTGTCAGTATCTTACGCTCCGAACATCATAGACCAAGAAAGGCTCGACGCTGTGCAAACTCCAGAAATCTTGGTGAACAACACAGGGGACCCCGTAAATGGCCACCTGCTTGATGTGGTAGAGTTTGACGATAAAGCACGCGACCACCACACGTTATACAAAGGAGTACTCGAAATATTGGACAGGTACAACATCACGTCCAAAGTGGCGTTGGTAACTGTTGATCAACTCAGCCACGCGCTAGAACTACATGAGCCACTGATAGACGCACTATCAAGTAATTCGGACTCGAAAGTAATGCGCTATCTTGGCAGTGTGCGCTTGGCTCGGTGCATTAATTCAGGTTTGGAGATTCAATTTGAAGCCATAATTGGCGACCTCATGAAAGATGGGGACTTTCAACATGAATACCAAAAGATTGAAAAACTTGCGCGGTCCTGGGAAAACATACCAAGCTTGAAAAGTTTTGCAGACGAGTTAGTTTGTCCTCCTCATTTTTCAAGCCAAGCCAATCAGGCTAGAGGTATCTGGCGTCAAGTAACCAAATTTCTGCGAGTGAGACAGCGGCTGAAAACCTGGATTGAAAGTCCGGATAGGGAGGCCGAAGGCTCGGCGGTGCAGGATATAGAAGAAAACATATCCCATACGACAAGTGCCTTAGAACTGTTCCATTTTTTCGCTGTCTGCTGTTCTATCATTGACAGACTGCGAGGATCTATGCTGACGGATGGAATTTGTTTTTTACCGGAGGGGGTGTTCATTTACTACAAACTGAATAAGTTTTTCGATCTGTGCGAGCAGGCCTCCAAAGGTGAACAGGTTGAGGATGAAGAGTATTCATTTGTTAACGGTTCAGACACGCTACTACCGGAACACAAAGAGAGGGTCTTGAGGGCCGTACTGAGTAGTAGAAAGCTGTTTAACGGATTTTTCGAGGGTGTTAAAAATAATAGTTTATTTTTTGTTGCGGTAGCTTTAGATCCCTCTGTGAGATTCGAAGACCTCCAGCAGTTTATGTCTGGTGAGGAAATGAATCTCATCATGTGCCAAGTGGAAGTCAACATCCAGGAATACCTGTCGAAGTGCGATCTTTATGAGCATAGCAGCGCCAAATCCGAGACTTCGGAAACTAATAAAGCTGCCAAGCGCAAGAGACTGGGAGAAGAGCCTTCTAAAGAGGGGGTGTTTACGAGCAGCTATGACGAATGGACCCAGTTCAAGGGGGAACTTAAAATAATGTCAAGATCCCGTCGGAGTGTGATCCAGTGGTGGTACGACCGGCGCCTAAAGTATCCACACCTGTTCAAACTCGCCATGGCGATGTACTACACTCAAATCAGTTCTAACGAGACCGAGAACATCTTTTATGTTACCGAACACACATTGAAAGTTTATCAAAGAAGCGTAGGGAGAGAAAACACGCAAAAGGTAATGCTGCTGAGGAACCGGTTCAAGAATTTTGGACTTTACAACCAGGCATTGCGGTTTGTCAACCCCTGTATCGATTGAACATATATTTTCTAATTTTAACATGCTAAGGTCAGTACAATTTAAGAGAGAGAGAGAGAGAGAGAGAGAGAGAGAGAGAGAGAGAGAGAGAGAGAGAAGA